AAAATTCTCAATTATATTTTTCTATATCCTTCTAAAATAAAAAATGCGTTTATCTCAGAAATTTTTACAAATTATCATTCTCAACTCTTCTGAACAATTACATATTAATAATCATATCCAATGCGTTATTTATTTGATCATCAAATTGAAACTCAAAAAATATTGAATTACAAAACAAAAGAAAAAAATGAATTCCACCGAGAATTCGATCCAAAAACCCTCTGATTATTAGGCGCGATCTCTACCGACTTGACCACGAGGCTACTAATTTTCACACGTTTATTTTTAAGTGATAAATAAGGGATAGAAGGGGGAGAGAAAATGAAAAAGAGAAGGAGAAGCGGAAAAAAATCATAAAATTTTTGAAAAATTCCCATTTTTTATCGAATTTCGCCGATTTTGTTATATGTTTCGACTGTATAAGTAACTTAAGGATGGTAGAAAGGAATGTCTGTCGAAATTATCTAAAAAGATGGTTTATTTCTTGAGATATGATCCCCCCCAAAATCGAAGCCGTTTTGCTATGTCATTTTGGGGGGGATCATATCTCAAGAAATAAACCATCTTTTTAGATAATTTCGACAGACATTCCTTTCTACCATCCTTAAGTTACTTATACAGTCGAAACATATAACAAAATCGGCGAAATTCGATAAAAAATGGGAATTTTTCAAAATTTTATGATTTTTTTCCGCTTCTCCTTCTCTTTTTCATTTTCTCTCCTTCTATCCCTTATTTATCACTTAAAAATAAACGTGTGAAAATAAGTAGCCTCGTGGTCAAGTCGGTAGAGATCGCGCCTAATAATCAGAGGGTTTTTGGATCGAATTCTCGGTGGAATTCATTTTTTTTCTTTGTTTTGTAATTCAATATTTTTGAGTTTCAATTTGATGATCAAATAAATAACGCATTGGATATGATTATTATTATTATGTAATTGTTCAGAAAAGTTGAGAATGATAATTTGTAAAAAATTTCTGAGATAAACGCATTTTTTATTTTAGAAGGATATAGAAAAATATAATTGAGAATTTTAGAAATAAAATAAGAAATAAGAAAAAATAAGAAACAATGGATGATATCCGTCGAATTCTTCGCCCTTTCTCTACATCCGATATTAAAAGCGCTAGTTTCCAAATTATCGAACCTGAAAAATATGTCAAAAATGAAACTCCCCCCTCTCTTGGATATTTTTCATTTTTTTCACCATTTATTTTTTCAAATTTTTGACAAAAAAAAATTGAGGGGGGGATCATGACATTTCAAAATTTTGGGGAGGGGGGGATCATTACATGGAGGGTCTGTTGGGCAAAGATGCCATGTATGCTTGAGTCGTAATATCTTTGAAACAATTGAGATATCCGAGATATTACAATATACTCTAGTCTGATAAATCAATCAAATCCGATAATTTGTACCAAACTACATACACACTTTTATAAATCGGATCATCGCAAATAAATATTGCAATGTGTAAACAGGCATTTGGGGCTATTAATTGTAAATATGAGCGAAATTTCACACCTCCAAACTCTACCCGGTTCAAAAAAGCCCTAAACTACTCACTGAAAATCAAGATTCTAACTGAAGGAATATTCTGAAACCACATTTTCGACTGATTCGGAACATTTCATATTCGAAAAATGGTGAAAAATCGAGATTAATCTATAAGAGTTGGAAGCCGTGAACTTTGAATAAATTTGATTAAAACGTGATTATTTCTTTTCGCAGAACAAGGATTTTGAAATGCGAATAAATTTGAAACTTAATAGTTTCGCCAAAATAAAATTGACCGTTTGACAAGAGTTACAGACACCAAATCAAATCTCATAAAAATCAACATTCTCGAGTTTTGAACCTATAACTTCAAAAAACTATCGGAAAACAAATGGATAACTTTAAGCTTTCAGTTCTCACTTCTTCAAAAAACCCCTAAAAGGTGAACTTTCATAACGATCAGCGAGAAATATGACAAAAATCTGAAGATTTGACTGAAATCAAAACGTGCACATTGCTCTTACTGAAAACATCAAGATTTATTGAAATTTCAAGAAACTTTGGTCAAAACTTAACTCCTAATACGAATTCGAACATTTTAAACCAGAAATACACTAGAAAACCTCAGAAACCCATGAAAAAAATAAACTTTTTTAAACACCCGAAAAAGAAAGTAAAAACTGCGGCTTGCGCAAACTGAAACCGCGCCAGCATTTTGCCATTGACGTGTTTTGTGTGCACAGCGGAAGTTTGAATTTTATTTATTTTTTCGGGAATTTTCACGATTTTTCGGAACTCACAAACTCTAGAAATGTAGATTGCGATCAACAATTATGAGGATCCATCTGAAAAATACAAAATGTTAGGAGAAAAAATCAATGGCGTCTTCAAAACAAATAAAATTAGATCAAACCACAAAATGTGTGTTTAAACGTTTTTGCTTCTGATTTTTATATTTGTTTCTGTTGAAAATCGATTCAAAAAAATTTGTGCTCTCCTTTTAGAAGAAAAATGTTGATTTTCTGATCTTTTGCTATTCAATCAATTAAATTCAGTCTTCAAATAAAAATAAACCAATTCATCGCATAATTTCTGCCTAATTGAATGCTCTTATTTTTGCAAATCGTCTATTTCCACCTGTCCAACCAACATTATTTCATTCAATTTACGACACAAAACTTCTTATTTATTCATATTCAAATTTGTATAGTCAATTTATTGCACACAAAAATCATAATGTGAATCGATTTTCTATTTCTCAATTTTATTTGCAAATGAAAAAGACTACGAAATTCGGGGGACCTGGAAAAACATGTGATATTTATTGTGCCAAAATTGATAAGAAAAAGCAACAATTTAGATACAACTCCTAGTTTCCCGGCTGATTTTTGATAAGAAAATGTGTAGTTGTACAGTGGGAAAAATTAGGAAAATCGAACAAAAATGATAATGCAACTCAAAAGTTCACGTTCAAAATCGTATTATTTTTCAATTTAATTTTTAAAATCAATGAATTGTCAAGAAAACAATAGACATACTGTAACTTTATGAGCCGACGTGTTTTATGATAGTGTGAAAACATTTTTTTCATAAATAATAAATTTTGGAGCGATTTCCGGCTGTGAATAATAGTTTATTCTCCAAATGGAGAAGAATTTCATATGAAAACATTTTTATATTTTTTCATACTATTGTTACTATTTGACAAAGAGCATTATTGGCTTTATATGTTACATCAGGTACATTTATTTGATATATTTGTTTGAAACAAAAATGGTTCCCAGGAAAAATTGAGAAAAAAATTAAAATTTTCACAGGGAAATCAATAATTTTGGAGAAAACATATTTCGCAATATGTTTACCAAACAATTTTTATCAGTTTTCACTCCAAATTCAGCAGAAAACTTGAAAATTTCGAAATTCCTCACTTTTATTCCCTTTTCCTCCCCTTCTGGGTATACGCACTGCCTCCCCAAATCTGTGGAAAACGAAAAATGTCTATACGCCTCGCAAACACACATTTCGCACACAACTTTTTATTTTCGCGAAAACAGCATTAGGAGCTGATTTTTTATGTGTTTTTCATCGGAACCACAATAAGTGTTATACATAGTTGAAAGAGAATTTTTCGGTTACAAACACATATGAAATGTTATAAATGAAACCGAGATAAAAAAATAAAATTTCATGCAAACATGACATGGTTTTTTTGAATTGTGTGAAAAACGCATGTGTTTTTTGATGACCTGGCTTATTTTTTGAATATCGAATATATGTATAATCGAGTCGTAGTTTTGTTCAGAATTCAAGGGCTTTCAGATGATGTAAATCAATATTTATGAAATTGTGAAATCATAGAGTAGGGATTATTTTCGTTTGTCAATTTTTAAAACGAAATTTTCATTTTCATTTGAAAAGAACTCGAATGAAGTTTACATACGTTTTGAAGAGAATTTCTCGGGCTTCAAAATCATATATATTTTTATACACAAAAATGGAAATTGAAAGCACCGCTTTCGGTTGAAAACTTGTTGGGTTTGCACCAAACAAACAAACCGCGTTCAGTAGCGTTGCGAAAAACAGCGGTGAGTTTTAAACCGAAAGCGGTGCTTTCAATTTCCATTTTTGTGTATAGAAATATATATGATTTTGAAGCCCGAGAAATTCTCTTCAAAACGTATGTAAACTTCATTCGAGCTCTTTTCAAATGAAAATGAAAATTTCGTTTTAAAAATTGACAAACGAAAATCCCTTTTACTCCTCCATGATTTCACAATTTCATAAATATTGATTTACATCATCTGAAAGCCCTTGAGATTCTGAACAAAACTACGACTCGATTATACATATATTCGATATTCAAAAAATAAGCCAGGTCATCAAAAAACACATGCGTTTTTCACACAATTCAAAAAAACCATGTCATGTTTGCATGAAAATTTTATTTTTTTATCTCGGTTTCATTTATAACATTTCATATGTGTTTGTAGCTGAAGAAATTCTCTTTCGAACTATGTATAACACATATAGTGGTTCCGACGAAAAACACATAAAAATCAGCTCCTAATATGCACTGTTTTCGCGAAATAAAAGTAAAAAGTTGTGTGCGAGAGAGTGTGTGTTTGCGAGAGCGTGCCAGACATTTTTCGTTTTTCCACACACACGTAGATTTGGGGAGGCAGTGATACGGTAGACAAGCAAACACCACGAGGTACGCAATACATATTGCGTACTCGCGTTGCACACCGTATATCCCTCAATTTATTTTTTTTTCCAAACAAAAAAGCCGTTTTTGGACCGTTTCGCCAATTTTTCGGGCGGTCTCGTAAATTTTAACACTTGCATAAAATTCTCGATCAAAGTGCCCATTGATATTCATTATTTTTATTGTTCTACGATGCTCGTCGAATATTTTATGATTTTTTGAAGATTTTTCGTGTAGAGAAAGAAAATTCGAATTTTTATTGTTTCAGAAAGGTTTCACTCCTTTATGGAGAGTTTCAATGCGTTTAACATCTATTACCATCACATTTATCCTGTTCTTGGTGCAGGTCATCGCTGAAACACCAGGATTCCCACACGTTGTGAGTTTTTCTTCTGATTTTTATAGATTTTCAATAATATACCTTTCCAGGCCCAGGAAAATAGTTCGAATGACGATAAATTTGCGACAATTCTCGTGTCAACAATCGACGGAAGATTGCGAGCAATTGATTCACAAACCGGGACCATAAAATGGACTCTTCAAGAAGAACCAGTTCTCCGCTCGCCATCTTCAGTCAAACAAGGTTTTACCTTTCTCCCAAATCCATTAGATGGCTCACTTTATGTGCTCAAAGATAGTCTGCTCAAGAAGTTGCCTTTTAATATTCCCCAACTAGTTCATGCTTCACCTTGTAAAGGAAATGACGGGATTCTGTATGCTGGTAAGATAATTTGAATCAATTTTATAGTTCAGAAAACAACTCATCAACTTTTCAGGTAGCAAAAAAGACGTGTGGTTTGGCATTGATCCATTAACTGGAATGAAAGTCGAAACACTGTCTTCAGCTTCAGCCGATCGAATTTGTCCAGCAAATCAAAAGCAAACTGTGTTTTTGGGACGAACTGAATATCGAATATCGATGTTTGATGAGCATAACCGTGGGAAAACTTGGAATGCGACTTTTAATGATTATTCCGCCCATTTATTGCCGGAGAAAAACGAGTATCCATTGAAACACTATGTTTCGTCGTCACATGGCACAATTTTAGCGGTTGATAAGAAAAATGGTGAGATTTTGGGGGTTTGAATGGAAATTCCGAAAACTTTTGAAGCCTGTATATTCTTTGTTGAAATTTCTGAAATATTTTTGTTTTGAATATAAAAATTATCTTGCCTATTTCCATGACGTGGCAAATGCTCACTGTTTTCAGAAGAAGAAAAATTTGAAAATGAAAATTTTTATTTTCCAAACGTGACATTTGATTTTCCCCCATCGATTTCCTATTCTCTCGTTCATTTCTCCAAAAACAAACATTCGAATTGTACGAATTCTATTTTAAAAAAATGTAAGCAAATTTTTTTCCTATAATAAAAAATCCATAATGTTCATGTTTATGCGATTAGTTTTTATGATATTTCGGCCAGAAAACCAATGTTTTTTGTTTGTTTTCTCTCCAAAAATGATATTTTCCAGGAGAAATCAAATGGGATCAAGACTTAGGACAACCCGTAGTTGCTCTTTATCTTCTCGAAAATGATGGATTACACAAATTGCCGTTCACTGTTATGGGAAAAGAAACGATGGAAAATATTGCCAAGGTGAGCTATTTTTCATTGAAATTAATAGATTTTCAAACTATTCTTGTAATAACCTTCAAAATTCTTATCAAAAACTCTGATCTTTGCCAATTTTGTTCTGCGTTCTTCAACCTACCGCATTTTTTCGTACGGACAAAAAACTAGTGTAAACGAACATTCTTCACTTACAAAAAATGTTCCAAAATTGGTCAATCTAGCCAATTATACGCTATCTTCTTGTTATACACTAACCAGTTTGGCCTTGAACCGTTTTCGGTTAATTTTTTCGAAAAAAAAACAGCGTGTGACTTTAATTTGTTCACAAAATTAGGGATCTTGAGAATTTCTTGAGGTAAAAAAAACAAAAACTTTATGGACCTGTAATGATTTTGTGAATGAGAAAGACAAATAAAATTTGCCTTGAACCGTTCGTCGAACAAAAAATTTGAATTTTGTGAGAGAAAAAATGGAAAGAGTACAAAAAACAAACGAAAATATAATCCTAAATTGATTCCAAGTGAAATTATGCCAAAATTTTGGGAAATTAGAGCTCAAGACGGCTCACCGTCAATGTCCGGATCGTTGTGAGCTTCCATGTCTAAAACTTCGCCACGCGATTTTGTGCGAGGCCTACGGACTGTGGAACTTCTGAAAAGTTATTTATGGGATATTGATTTTTCCCCAGAAGAACTCACTTTTTTCGTGCATAAGGTTCTGAATAGAAAGGTTCTTCTTGATGGATTTCATCTTCGACATCTTCTTCTTCACTATTTGATAAACTATAATCATAATTTCGGCGAACCATATAACCATGAACTGGACATAACGCTTTCATAACACGAATCGAACCATCGCTATTATATTTGCATAAACATGGAAGATCTTCACCAGGTGCCAAATATCTACACGACGCTGTTCTTGAACCCTCCTCACTACTTTCCTCTTCCTCTTCTTCATCATCATCATCGTCATCGTGTTCCATAATTGCCGGCGGCAAATCTTCGATCAAAATCGATTGTTTCGATTTGGACGAATGATTCGAATGAATGGATTTGATTGATCGAATGTCCATCACCGACAACTTCACACTTTGCGCTGTACTACTCTTGTGAAGAGTGTTCAGCGAAATTCTAGAAGCTTTATGTTGCGCGGGAATTGAGTGATGCGATTGAGCGGAAATTGAGCTGAACGAGATACATTTCTTGTGAGCACAGCTTGTTTTCCCGCCCAGATTTAAAAAATTGACAAAAACAACTCACCCTTTTCGTTTTCTCACATAGGCTTGTGTTGCGAAAACAATTAGTGAAACGATTTCCAAAAGCGATACTACCGATGCACCGATCCATAAACCTGTCAAACCACCAAGATCGGCTAACACCGATGTCAAAGTGTAAGCCGGGCTCTCCATCATTGTTTCATAATTCAATTCTTCGTAGAAAATTTGAACCATAGCCGCGTTAGTTCGATAATTTTCCAAACAAAAATTATCACCTGGAGTACATTCCATAACTTTTGCTGAGCCCGACGGCCATCGAGCTGATGAATATGTTACTTCATAGTTTGTCTCTCTGAAATATTTAGATGCTATTCAAGTTAGAGAGATAATCCCAATATTCAAAACTTACTGGCAAGGTTGATGACAATAGCAATCTGGAATCACATCTTTTCCTTTCGAATAGAGCTCTCCCAAATATAACGTCGTATTTCTCAAACACTCCCGTTGTGTCATGTTCACTGCGGCGCAAACTTTTATATCAGAATGTTTTTCTGGAATCGGATACATTGGATCGGCACACGAACATTTTTCAATAATAATTTTTTGTGCGCAACTTCTATGACACGCCTCGACAGAATAGTTGAAACCGGTATAAACGAAATGATCAGACTCTTCCCCTCCGTGACTACAATGGCCATAAGGAGGTTGCAAGCGAATAAATTGTTTCATTCGAACACCAAATGATGACATAAACCCGGTCGGTGCGGAATATCCAAAAGCATCTGGGAAAGGAACTACAAATTTGTCATGTACAGTTATTCGAAATCCAATAGCTTCAGTTGTTGGTAAATATTCGCTAACATTTGCGTAGAGTAAAACTCGAAGACCTGTAATTCAAATTTTAACAATTTCAATCAAAAACTCAAATAATCTCACCATAATTTGCTCCTGCTCGATGTGATGCTACTTCGGCTGTTCGATTAAAGTTGAAAGTGTAACAATTACCGAAGGTATTATCGTAATGTTGTGTAAAGTCTCGAGCCATTTGACAATCTTTTTGATTAAATGAGCATTGTAAGATCAACTCGTCCAAATCATATGACATTTTTTCTTTGGCTTTTTCTGGCATCTCGTTTACGGCAAACATTATGTTTTCTTGCGCTTGAGTTGTGATTGCAATATCATCTGTGAGCTCTTCCAAACCTAAAGCTTCAGTGAGTTCTGGAGCTTCGGTAGTTGTTGTTGTTGCTTTTGCCTGTTCTCGAGCACTCAGCTGTGCACCAACTCTTTTAACAACATCTAGATTCTGTATATCTTCCTCGGGATCGATTTCAAGAATCACACCATCGTCACGACTCGAGACACAATGATTATAATCTTTATGACAGAGACACAAATCGACTTGGTCTCTAATGTCATCGAATTTTTTCATTTCCTCTGTAAAATCGCATTGGACAATGACCAGAACTATCAACACATTCTTTGCAAAGTTCCTCTTTCCAACTGGAATCTGAAAATCAAAATTTGAATGGTCATAACTTCTATAGAAGATTTTACTTACAAGGAAAACACGGCCAAAGTGTACGAGAAGTGATATCAAATTGACATAGACATCGTGTAGAATGAAGACTCAATCCGATATTTGAGGAATTCGCGAAAAATTCCACCTTTCCTTTTGAAATTGCTAGACATGAGCCATGAGAAGCGCGCGATACAGACTGAGAAGGACAAAAACATTGTGCAAACGCTTGATGATACCTTCGATCTCGTAATCGATGTTTTGATCCGGTTTTTCGTTTGCTTCGTCGAACTGTAAAAAGTCAATGATTTTTTTTGGATGTTGTTTTTTGTTTCTCTGATATTTCTCTCTCATCTGTTGAAAAAATGTGAGAGATATCAGAAAAAGCTCATGGATCAGACAGATGAAAAATCGATTTTGCAACATTTGAACGAACCTTGGTTACGTAGATTTGACGCAATTAATGATTGAGCAACACCTTCGAATTTCTCACCAGACCCTATTTTTCTTGTATAGGCTTCCATCATTGCTCGTGTACTTGGATTTCCTTCTATTGCACTTCGCTTGTATGGATTTAGATTGCAAATTGTTATCGATGGAAATGGAGCATTTTCGAATTTCAAATCTAGATCTACTGTTTTACCATACTGTCGATATTTTGATATGATGAAGAAAATTTGAATAAGCAGTGCGAACAGACATATCGTAAATGCCGTGTACCAAAACCATCGCCATTTTGCTGTCGGCGCTGTGGCTGCATGTGAAATTCCGTGAAATGTGGATTGTCTCTCGAATCTATGACGAATCTCTTTCCAATTCAAATGTCCAGTCATTCGAATATTACGCAGACCTGAAAAATTCAAAAAATTAGAGATCAGAAGTTCAGAGATAGCTTCTAGATACCGGGTGACACTGTTCGAACATGTCTTTTTTTCGACATTGGTCGACCCAAACTTTGCTGAACCACCATTTTTTCCCTAATTACAATTCAAAATAGTCTTATATGTAGTATAAGTATATAGAAAGAACGTTTTTTTTTTCAAGAATGACTGAAAAATGTGATGATTTGTTGTCTCTTGTGTGCTTGTCTCGTTATCATATCGGATTACTTGCCGACTAGATATATAATATTTTGAAAGAACAAAAAGTAGGTGGGGATGATTTCAACATTCCTGCTTGGTTTTTGAACCTATTCCTTTCTCACCGTTTCGTTTATATTTCCTAAATGATTCGCGAAATGCGTGTGGTGGCATGAGAAGTGCTAAATGCTCGTGTCTCGATGCTTTCCTTCTTGATCCTATACTTGACTCCATCGATGATTGATTCTTCATCATTTTTGATCGAATTCGCTCTTCCGCCATCTTTGTTCTTTTTTTTTCGAAGTTAATTATTATCATAAATTTCGCATACTTGACAAGCTAATAAAACAATAATAAGAGACCAGGCAAAAAATATTGGAAGCAAACGAGCAAAAAATGAGTGTAATATATCAGACAGAACTGATTGTAAGATGAAACTTTTTTTTGGGATGACTCGCTTGATTTTTTGATTTGATGGAGAAAAATTGGTGTGAACAATTATCAGTGAATTATAGAAAAAAACAACTCTTTAGTCGGCCAAAAAATGTGACGATTGTGCAATTAAAAAGAGATAAAAAAGAGACAAGAATATTTGGAATCAAGAAAAAAGAAGAAATAGATAGAAAAGAGAAAAATGTTTTGGATTTGATTTGTTGCTTGGTTGGTGTTGTAAGAGCAGTGTATATCTTGTTGATATGTATTGAAAAAAAAGTGGCAAGAAGAAAGGAACACGGACAAAAAATAGTAGGAACATCTGGGCCTTTTTTCGAGAGATAATTTGGAGTTTATGATCGAGGTGAGGACAGGTGGAATTCGGAAATTTGAGAACTTTTTGATCGTGGACTCAGGGGACTTCGGAAATATCAGACTCGAACCCTTTTCCTTATGTACAGTAGATTGCCACTTGGGTTTTCATCCCAATTTGATTTTTGAAAATAGAACTAAAATCCGTAAGCTGTACCGAAACTTATTGATTTAATCTCTACTCTATGGAATTTAGCTGAACTGTATTCTGACTGGAATCCTCGTCTCATTTACGGTAGTCAAGTACGGTACCAACTTGGTCATACATATTCCCTTCCCTTTATTCTTCAAAATTTGTATCTAGATTTATCGATAGCCTCATTTCACTCTGGAATTTAGCTCACAAACAATTCGACCCGGAAAAATGTGTCATAGATCACACTGGTTTCTGTCTATCAGATTTTCTTGTTTTTACTCCCCCATCACAAATAAATCACCCACTCATCGATTTTACGTGCACTTTTGATCTTACTAGAATCTATTCTTAACATAACTGAAATCTGTGCTCGAAAAATTGGAACGGTGTCGGTTTACCTGACACCTCTGATTTTTGTTTACCTTTTCTTCAATTTCTAAGTGGAATTTCTTTTTTTTTTTTTTTTCGCGTTTTTTTGTTTTTTGATCAATCAGGGAAGGAACTCAACTCAAAGTGCAAAAAGACAAAAGTGATAAATGAATTGGTTTTTGATGATGATCGTGATCAAAAGACATACCGTGCACTGGAAACATTGAAAGACGACTGGAATTTAGTAGATTCTCCATAGTTCCGATAGATAGATTCTATTAGTTAGTTGTCATTTGATTTCATTTCGAAAAAGTCGTCATAATATGAAAAAAATGAACACCACCTTTCTTCTTTTTGCTATGTTCCGTTTTTTTTTCTAGCTGTTGAGTTTGTTATGATAGATTACATATTTTTCTTTTTCAAACACATTGGATATGAGAAGTTATAAAAACAGAGATTTTCTGCCAACCCCAACTTACCGTGTTTTTTCAATAGTTCGGGATTTACTGAAAGTCGTCTGGCTACATTTCGCCAATCGGGTTTGTGGAGATTTCGTTTTCGCGGGCGTTCTTCTTGATCGTGAAGGAAGCGGATGTTTCGACTGTCTTCGGAAGCGTGGCGGGTTCCTGGAATGTTTTAGATGTTGTCTTCAAAATTGGAAATTTCGATTCTGATTGCCTACTGAATTTCAGTAGCCTTTAAATATTGAGAAATTGAATTTCAGCCAGAAATATGGAAGTTTTATGTTCGCCTGAAGTTTAGCGATTTTTTCTGAATTTTTAAATCCGACTATCTTTTTAGCCGAACTTCTGATATTCTTGATACAATTCGAAATTTCGATCATATGTTTTGTCTATGATAAAGTGGTGTGAACTTTTACTTTTTTATTTCAATAAAAATTTGAACCCGGCCTGAAAATTCGGTTGAAGCTTATGGAATTTCTGTTTTTTTTCGAAAATTCATGGCACCACCAATTTTTGTCAAACTTGATTTCAAATTTCTCGGTTTTTCGTTTCTCGTTGGACTCTTTAAATCGAACTACAAGCGCATTATTTTCAAAATTCTCTCATAAATCACTCCGAAATTCTCATAATTACCTGCGAACGACGATGGTACACTACTTTGACCGATCGATTTTTCAAACGACAAATTTCGTTTGTTTTGATCGGCTGCCCATTGTTGATTTTTTGTGCCCACCGCCTGTTGTTGTTGTTGTTGTTGGTTCTTTTTGACTGCACTTTTCGGAGCATTTTCAGCTGGCTCATCTTCTGTTGACCGCTGAATTGTTAGAATTGGAGCCGGTATCGCTGCCGCATTCTCCATGCTCCCATTTGGTTTTTCAGGCTGCAAAACAAATTTGAAGACAAATTTTGATTGATGATTGGAAGTTAGAGAGAATCGATTTTTGGGTAAAAATAGCTAGAGGTGAAAAGTCTAGGTTTACATTTACACTTTTTCCGAGATGAACACAGAAAACAACAAAAATCAAGGAAAAGCTAGATAACTTCAGAATTTTTGACTGAAGTATGGTACTATTATTTTATAGTTGTTTGATCGCACAATTCGGAGTGCTAATTCAAAGATCAGAAAATCATATCCACCCACTTCCTCATCATCAAAACTATAGTCTATTCTATTTTTATCTTCCACAAAAAATTAACTAATTGATTAATTAATTAGTTGGCTCAACTCGAATCTTCTCGTATAGCGAATTTCATGAAAACAAGCAAAAAAAGTGACAGGATATAACAAATTACAATTTGATTGTTTCGCAAAATCCGTTTTTCTCTCTCGAAATTCAGAGATTGATTAATGGATTTTTGCACCCATTGATAAATTTTGTTTGGACCAAAATTTGAGTCCACAGAGAGAAGCCTGAAATTTGGGCTGAGCGGTAAAATCTAGGCTCAACCCACTAGCAAAAAGCAAAAAAAGTAATAATAAAAAGTGAGCGACCTGGGGGTAGTGAGAAAAAATTCCGAGCAGAAAAAAGTGTTTGTGTGATTGTGGATATGATGATGATGAGAGAAAAAAAATAGGGAGAAAGAGGGAGGATAAAATGTATTGGGCAACAGTTGGGAGGCATTTCTGGGGGGAAAATAGAAAATCAAGAGAAAGAAGAAGAATTCACCGATATTCGAGAAATGAAAAACGAAAAGACAATTTTTTTCGCTCTGTTTCGTCGATTCGTTTTTGACGAGGTTTGATGAGTTTTGCACACACAAACGAAAAAGTTGTTGCGGATTTTTGTTCTCGTTTTGAGATGATTGGTTTGATGTTTCAAAGTTCAAATTTCAAGTTTGGAGCTTGATATATTTGGATTTGAACTAGAAAAATTCAGAATCTCAAGAGGAAAATTCATTTTTACAAAACTCATTGAGCACCTCAACCGCAAAACACCAACTAAAAATAAAATAAAAACCTAGCCAACAAGAAAATAGTTGTAACTCAAAGATTTATTACCCCTGTCAAAATTTTCAGAGCATCTACACAATGGATCTCTGGCCATCGATTCTCGATGCTGATCAACCACATCATACAACATCAATTGCCAACTCGTTTTTCATGACTTTTTATGTTGGCGAATCACCATTTGGTCTTTATGCTGTTGATGCTTTGGTTGACCATCAAACTATAACATATTCACCAAAATTGTTGGGACCACCACTATTAGAAGGTCCCGCGCCGATTGCGTTGAGTGATGCTGAAAAAGAGCAATATTTGCCGCCGAAACGGCCGATTGTTCGGAATATTCCATCGATTACGCATAAGACTTTGGATGGCGAATTTTTGCTTTTAGGTGAGACGAGTTTTTCTTCAAAAATCACTCTTGGATTTTTGTTGTGTTATGTTTTGTAGTGATATGCGATATCTGAAACTATGATATCGGATTACTAAACATACGAGAATGAACATTGAACTATTTGAGAAAGTGTGCCAGACTTGCATTTTTCGATTCTCTTTGAAAAGGCCTGAAGACTTAGGCTTTGAAGCTTATTGAATTATGTTTTTTGAAACTTCAGAATTGTTTGGGAAGAATGTGCCAAGTGAATTTTCGGGTTGAAAGTTCTGGAATTTTGCAAAACACGTGAAAAAAATTGATTTTCAAATTCCAGGCTACCACGAGACTCCGCAAATGACGTTGACCTCAATCATTCCAACCCGATTCCCGAATTATGGACATAATCAATATTCGATAGGATATAATAATGATATTCGAAGATTACCTGGACCAGATCGAGGATTGGAACATCGTAAAAAGCAGAAAATCGAAAATGATGAAGATGACAGTTCGCTGGGCGAAATTGTTTGGCAAATCTATGTGAAACACACCAGACAATTCTATGGTGCAATAATTAGTATCGGAATTCTGATTGTTTCGGTGGTTTGGATGTGTGGAAGACAATGGGGACAATTGAGTCAACAAAATAATTCGAATATGGGAACTGGAGAAATAGCGGGAGAGACGAGGAGTGCGCAGACATCTAGACAATCGAATGGTGGAAATAAGCCGAGTTGGAGTTGGGTTAGCAAGAAAATTGAGATTCCTGATGGTTGGATGGCGGTTGGAAGTAAATTGATTTATAATCCCACGGATATTTTGGGAACTGGATGTGAAGGAACTGTTGTTTATAAAGGAACATTTGATGGAAGAGATGTTGCGGTCAAAAGAGTTGTTTCAAAATTTGTCAAATTTGCGCATCGAGAAGCGGATTTGTTAAGAGAAAGTGATGCGCATCCACATGTTATTCGATATTTTTGCATGGAATCTGATAGTCAATTTCGATATTTGGCATTGGAATTGTGTGTTGCGTCTCTCAATGATTTTGTTGAGCAAGAAGATGTTAGAAAGAATGTGAATTTGGAGATTGATGAGATTTTGAGGCAGGCGACAGCTGGATTGACGCATTTGCATGCGAGTAAAATTGTGCATCGCGATATTAAACCGCAGAATATTTTGATAACTATGCCGAATCAACGGGGTGATATGCGAATTGTTATTTCGGATTTTGGATTGTGTAAAAGAGTGCAACCTGGTCGCAATTCTTTATCCCGTGGAGTCGCATCTGGCTTGGCTGGAACTGAAGGTTGGATTGCTCCAGAAGTGTTGATCTCTGAATCCACGTCATATCCAGTGGATATCTTCTCGCTTGGATGCATATTTTACTATGTTCTCAGCCGTGGAACACATCCATTTGGAAAAAGTTTGCATCGACAGACGAATATTGTAAATGGGCATTATTCGCTGGAAAAGATTCAGGAATCACATTTGGCTATTGCTCTGATTGAGACAATGTTGGATTTGGAACCGAATCAAAGACCGTCGGCGCAAGATGTCGAAAATCATCCGTATTTTTGGAATGCTGAAACAAAGCTGGCCTTTTTTTCGGTAAGGGATTTTTGTAGTTTGTTGAGAAATTCCCTGATTTTCAGGATGTATCTGATCGTGTTGAAAAAGAAGAAGATGGCAGTCCGGTTGTTCGACGACTTGAAACAAATGCTCGACTTATTGTAAATGGTGGTTGGAGAGAACAAATTTGTGAAGCCTTGAAAGAAGATCTACGGAAATTCCGGACTTATAAATCATTTTCGGTTCGAGATCTTTTGAGAGCGATGCGAAATAAAAAACATCATTATCGAGAATTGCCGGATGATGTTAGAAAATCACTTGGTGATATTCCGGATCAGTTTTTGGAGTATTTTACAAGCAGGTTTCCAAAGGTAGGGTTTTTTAGTTAATTTGTTGATATAAAAATTACCGAAAAAATAATAATTGATCAATGTAATTATTTTGAAACAGTGAGAAATTGTTTGGCTTGGGAAAATTCACTGTTTCAAAAAATTTTCATTTTAGAAATTTTGAATTGTTTTCGATAGTTCAATTTTTTTTAGTACTTACTACAGAAAAATTTAAAAAGTGTCGAAAAGCAATTTTGTTTAGAAAAAAAATTCACTGTTTCAAAAAATTTTCATTTTAGAAATTTTGAATTGTTTTCGATAGTTCAATTTTTTTTAGTACTTACTACAGAAAAATTTAAAAAGTGTCGAAAAACAATTTTGTTTCGAAAAAAAATTCACTGTTTCAAAAAATTATTATTTACAATATTTTATAGTTTTTTTGATTTTGGTTCCTTTCATCGAATTAAGAAGATTTCTCTCATTTTACGAAAACCTACTGTTTCAGTGATATTTTATCAAAACTAAGCCTGACATCGGAATGATGCATTGAAAATTCAATTTCATTTTGTTTTGAAAAATCTACTGTTTCAAGAATATTCTATGAAATTCCAGTTTCAATTAAAAATTATTGAAGACACATTCTATTCAGAATTTATTTAATTTTTTTCTGAAAAGTTGACTGTTTCAAAAATGTTTTATTTTCGAAGGTTTGATCGAAATGTATTACTTTCCGTTTTAATTTTTGATTCTATTTTTTTTCACAATATTAAAAATTCTTTCTGATTCAAAACTATATATTTTGCAGCTTCTTCTTCATGTATATAACGCAGTCGAATATTGTTCATCTGAACCAGTTTTCCGGCGATATTATTCCGATGAAACTAGACAACGAATGGCTCCAATTGTAGAAGAAGAAGAAAGAATTAGGAAAAATATAAAAGCTCAAATGGAAAATGAAGTTTGGGCTCGACAACCAAAAACTACACCTCAGAGAATGTTAATAGCAAATCGAGTTCAAGATTTTTCTTCAGCTTCAGCTTCTTCTCCAGCTGGACCTGGAGAATGGCAAAAAGTTGATCCACCAAAGAAAAAATCGAAGGAAACATCATTAGAAACCTATTTTTGTGTGATTTCAGTTGGCGGAGAATTATTGATGGCATTTGACTTAACTCTCCTTATATTTTGCTCAAGCTCCGCCCACTTTTCTGACACATCCCCCCACTTTTTTTTCTTATTTCATGTTTTAAATTGAAACCGGTCTTTGGCTTTTGTTTTGTATAATAGATCTCTTCTGGTCCTGTTTTTTTTCTCTTCGTTGTTGTTTTAACCAAATTTGTGATTTTCGGGAAGTTCTTCATGTAGTTTTATTTTTCTTGTTTTTTTTGATGATAATAATATTCATGTTTACAGGTTTTTGTGAATATTTTTGACTTGGGTGATTTTTTTCTTTTGATTTATAAAGTCATTCTTATATTTGATCTTTAGAGTGAAATTATGAAAATTAGAAGGATCTTGAATTCCTCGGAAATTATTTTTGAAAATAAAAAAAAATTCAGAGAAGAAAGTTCACGTTGTAATTTTCAAATTGAACATTTCACGTGATATTGATTTTGAAGCAAAATTAAAAATTAGAACTTTTTGGAAAACTAAAAAAAATTTATTCAACATTTTTCTCTGACAATTTTAAAATCAGCTCAGAAAATATTCACAAATCTCTAGCCAATCTTCCACACGGATAATATTTAAAATCGGTGAAACATTCAACATCATCAAAAGTGTTAGCACTCTGTGCACTATTTGTCGAATCAATCGCAATACATTGTTGACAAATATTCACTGGCCTACAAGCGCCATCCGGGTTATCAACACTCCATTGATAATAATACTGTGTCAAATATTTGTCATAAAATGTGTAGGATTCAGGAAATCCGACGTCTTTGCTTCACTGGTCCTGGGAGGTTGACCAAAAATTGACCAAATTTTGGCCAAAAACGAAAATTGGTCGAATTTTGACCAAAAATTGATCAAAAATATTTATTGGCCAAAATATTGTCAGAAATTGGCCAAAAAATTGGTCGAAATTTGGCCAAAAATCAGTGAAAATTTTAATTGTGAAAAATTTCGAAAATCTTAATGTTGTTGGGCAGACATGTCGTTTTGCGGCTTTTGGTGAAGTTAGGTTGATGAATTTCGTTGTTTTTCTACTGATGAATCAATAAATAGGAGTAAAATACTTCGTTTGGTGAATTTTGGCGCCACTCACACCAATTTCACCATTGACGCAAATTTCAGCCCCAAATCTTCAACTAAAATCAGTTTTGACTTATCTTGAAGCTATTTTTACCAAGCAGAGACCTATCTCGAATCTATCAGTTGTATTGATCGATCCTTGATTTATCAAGAACAAGGGCTCAGAGAAATCAGAAGTATTGGGTTCAGGGGCAATAATTTCCATTATTTTTTGAAAGAATATTGTTGTGATAGCCATCAGCTTCGAAAGAAATAACACCAGTGTTCCAAAAATCGTGCATTTTTTCCCAAAAACGTGAACTCAAATACTTCCACACATAGAGATGATTTTTATATCATTTTACTCAGCGTGAAATTCTGAATCGAATGGTGCAAACTATTTATCACCAAACACTACTAATTGGTGCGCGAAAACAATAGATTAAAGGCGCACATATTTATGCAATGTGGTCCTGCAGCGAAATGTGTGTGCGTACTTCTCTCGGACGAAATGCACGCCACCAAATTTTTCTTTTTTTTTTCGTTTTTTTGTGTGTTGCCCTACTTATAGAGAAATTGATTGTTCACGACTGCTAATAAGATATAAAGCTTGTTCCCCGACTAGGATCTACCAGCAAGTTTTACCAGAACTTTGAAATTCACATATTAAACTTGAATTTAGGCCAAAAACAAAAAATTGGTTTTCTTTGAGTTTTAGATTTTTTTATCAGAACGGGGCTGTTTCTCAATTTGACAAGTTTCCAGCAACATTTGCATGAGTTTCTATGTTACAATCAGAAGTGTCTCAACAGCCGGTAGATGGCCGTCGGGGTTTTAAAATTCGATTCTTATCGATCTTATTTCGCAATATTGATATTTCTGCTGTTTTTAGAAACTACTAACCAAGAAAGAATGACTACTGCTCTTGCTGAGACTACCAACACGACCGGAGAAACCACTGTTCCATTTGAAAATGTCAAGACCACCACTAATGAAGAAGCAACTCGAGTCCAACTACTACTGAAACTTCCACCGCTGCCACCAAAGAGCTCACTGCCGAGGAAAAGTCAGTTTTTTCTTCTGAAGAATTTTAATCAAAGTTGGTTCTTATTTCCAGGACTACATAATTGAAGAACAACTTGACATCTAAAAGCGTCATTTGTTGACAAGCGAATTCAGCATGGGTGCTGATCTCTTGAGTTTGGCTTCTCAACTTGCGTAAGTTTTGAAATTTTCATACATTTTCTATTTCTATGCATTTCAGTGGTAAACTCTTCGGAGACGACAGCGAACAATCATTTGAACTTTACTTCTACTATGGACAAGCCCTTTGGATAACTTGAAGATCAAGTTTTCTCAAATGCCATGACTAATTGCCAACCGTAGAAGAAGGTGATGCCAACAACGATTCAATCGACGAGGAACAATATGGTAATCCGGATAAATTGTCAGAAAAAGGACGTGAGCGAATCAAGGAACAAGTTGACAATGCTCTTTCTGCTGGTGCAGAGAAAGCAGAAGTATTTGTCGAAACTGATGCAATTTTTATTGTTTGTAAGGTTCACAAACTGTTAGGAGTCTGCGATTGCTCTAAAATTGACTTTCTTAGGTCAAAATTTACATTCTTCCGAGCACAAGCCTCCAACTCTTTTCTCTAATTAGCTAAAAATGTTTTTCAATGAAAATTAAAGTTCATAATATAAGCAGATTCCTAACAGTTAGAACCATTTTTTGTTTCTTTTTTGTTCTTTTCAATAAATTTTTGTTAAAAAATGTGTTTTTGATTTGAAAAAAGTTGGGAAAAATGATCAAAAAATGGTGAAAAATTGGTGGGAAAAAGTTGAAAAATTGACCAAAAAATGGTGAAAATTTTTTTGGTGCATTTTTGGTCAATTTTTGTTCAAAATTTTTTTGACCAAAAATTGACCAATTTTTGGTCAAACTCCCAGGACCAGTGTTTTTGCGTTCATCAACGCTGTAGAATTATCCCAAAGTTTTCCATCAATCAGAATCATAACTAGAATTCCATTGTTTGTTTTCCAACTTTCGCCCAAAACATAGTCCAACTCTTCTTTACTATAAATTCCAGAAATTGACGCATTTTCAGCCTCTTTACCGCAAAATGCATTGGCTTGTTCAAGACTAGGGATGGAAAAGCGGGCCCCGCTTACGTGAAAACGTGACCTACTTTTTTTGGCATCGCTTTTTTTGCCAGATCGCCCGATCGCCCGTTCGCCGCCTAAAAATAGAAATGGCTCATTTTTTCACGTGTCGACGAATGTTTTTTCATAACAAAAATTTTTCGGAGACGAACGGGCGATCGGGCGTCTGGGCGATCGGGCCTCCGGGCAAATGGGTCGTCCAGAAATGGGGCGATCGGGCGGCCCTAACGCCCATTTTTCCATCCCTATTCAAGACTTCTTCCACTACTATAATATAGTTTCATACACCACGCTCCTTTTGCTCGAGTAAATTTCGACCATCCATTGGGACATACTCCCTCGATATCCCAATTTGTTCCATTATTTGTGTAGCTATAGTGGTTAGAATAGTAAATTGTGTCTAGAGATATTGCACAAATTGTAGTGTTTGTCTGAAAATGTGTTCTTCCGGCAAAGTTATCCTAACTGTTCTGACAAGACTCACTTGGAATGCGAAAATCTCGGTCACCGGCGGTTTTTCAAGCTGTAACACTGAGAATAGGTCTCCATAATCATATCGAATGCATGTCTCGTTCGAAGAGTTATAGTAAATAGCCTGACATTTCATTTTTGCACAGAATTCACAGAACTTCTCAAACTCACCGAGCAACTCGTTATGTTAGAGCATTTTTCTGCACAGATTTCGTAAGAAGAAAAATTCGTTCCCATAACTATTGAAGCTTTAAAATCAACCGGTCTTCCAGGAATCGAAACAAATTTAGTTCGAATTGTTTGAATTATCAGAAACAGACAGATCTGGAGAAGCATTTTCAATATATTTTGAAGCAAAAGTATTACAACTGTCATGGATACACATTTTTGCCATGCACTGTGTGTAATTTACTACCCCAAATGGCTAGACCTCCATATTTTCAAAACTTTTCGTGGTACATCATAAATATTTTTCTCTGAATCTCTCAGTTCTGCAAAATGGACTTGCGAATCAGTCATCGTTTATACTCTCCGTCTACTAGATTAGAATTTGGAGTGCCAGAAGCAAAAACACGAGAAACATTTTTGAAACTAGAAGAATAGGCTTAGAACTGGTTGACTCTGAAGTTTTATTGATATTTTGTCATGGCTACGAGTTTTAATAACTATGTTTTGTTGATGTTGGAATTGGAATATTAAAGTTTGGAATACTGAAACTCATCCCAAAAACTGTGAAATTGAGATTCATAATCATCTCTCCCAATCTTCCACAGTTTTCCTTTTTTGATTGTCCACAGTTTGTAATCACTATTTTCTTTTTGGAGAATTGGTATTATAATCAACCCAATTATTTATAAAATTAGTTACATATTTGTCATGAAACGTATATACCCATGGAAATTGTGGAATCTAGAAATCTTCATTGACCAAACCAAATTTATCAAAATTTTATACAAGCAAAATAAATTCATCGAAATTATACATATTTTATACTACTTGGACTTCCCAATCATTTCCAGTTTTGGTGTATTTGTAGGTTTTTGAATAATAGGAAAAAAATACTGAAGGCATAGGATGCACGCAAGTTGTGATGTTTGTCTAAAAAAATTTTTTTTCATTTCTTGTCAGATTTTTTGCAGGTATACATACATACCTTGAAAGTAAGTATTTCGGTAGGCGGATAGACATCGAGTTGCAAAATAGAAACCAAATTTGGATAATCATAGGTTGTACAAACCATGGTAATATTATTGTAGTAAAATGCCTAAAACGTCAATAATTATACCTTTAAAATTTCACATCAACAAATGAATTGTTTACCTGGCATACTGTGAAATTATCACAAATACTCTTGCAAACATTGAAATCATAGAAATCGGTACTGTTAAAGGAATGCTTCGAAGTACTTCCCACTCTTCCGGAAATCGAAACATACGCAGTTCGAATTTCGCCAATCAAAACAAATGTAACAAAAAGACGAAGCATTTCTCGTATCGAAAAAAGTTGAAACTAGTAGTTAAATTTGAACAATTTTCTATGGCTACGAGGTTTAACAACTGTGTTTTGTTGATGTTAGAATTGGAATAACGTAGTCTCCTCCCATGCATCAAGACACAGTCTGTAAATTGGCTAGTCTAATTTGTTGAAACTTTGTTGTAGATCAAATTTATTTTTCTACAAATTTGTTTTTTATTGCAAATATTTTATACAAGAAACGCATCAAAAGTGAATTTTTAAAAATTTTTTGATAGTCCAAGTGCTAAACATCCTCGACTTCCCAATCATTTCCAGTTCTGGTGTATTTGTAGGTTTTTGAATAATTTGTTGAGTATGAAAAGTAAACTGAAGCCAAAGAATTTGAACACGTTGTGATGTTTGTCTGAAAACACTTTTGTCATTTTTTGTCAATATTTTTTTAGACATAGATACTTTGAAAAAAAATATCTCAGTAACCGGAAAGGTTTCGAGTTGGACAAATGAAAACAATTCGTCATAATCATAGGTGATACAAGTCTTGGTAGAATTGTTGAAGTAATATGCCTAAAAAGTGGTAATCATCGGAATATATAACTTTCGGAATGAAAAGTTACCTGACATATTGGAAGTCTAGAGCAGAGACCTATGCAACCCTCATCGTTATCTGACCAAGTTTGGGCATGTTCGGCTTTATAACTTTTTGATCTACCGGGAATTGCAACAAATGCAGTGAGAACAGTCTGGATCACAAAAAATGCCGAGAAAAGAAGCATTTTTTGTATCTAGAAAATCTTGAAACTAGTTGAATCCCAGGTTTTTATTGATATTTTGTCATGGATACGATTTTTAACAACTCTGTTGTTGGATATAATTCTGAAAAATATGGTGGGCTGTTTTAACTAAAAATAATTTATACACGATCAATAAATGCAGTAAAATTTGAATTTTTAAACTTTTTTTGGTTGTCCAAACAGTTCCTTTTTGATTTACAAGTACAAGCAGCGCATCAAAGTTATATACATATTTTACACTCCTTGGACTTCCCAATCATTTCCAGTTCTGGTGTATTTGTAGGTTTTTGAATAATTTGTTGAGTATGAAAAGTAAACTGAAGCCAAAGAATTTGAACACGTTGTGATGTTTGTCTGAAAACACTTTTGTCATTTTTTGTCAATATTTTTTTAGACATAGATACCTTGAAAAAAAATATCTCAGTAACTGGAAAGGTTTCGAGTTGGACAAATGTAAACAATTCGTCATAGTCATAGGTGATACAAGTCTTGGTAGAATTGTTGAAGTAATATGCCTAAAAAGTGGTAATCATCGGAATATATAACTTTCGGAATGAAAAATTACCTGACATATTGGAAGTCTAGAGCAGAGACCTATGCAACCCTCATCGTTTTTTGACCAAGATTGGGCATGTTCGGCTTTATAACTTTTCGATCTACCGGGAATTGCAACAAATGCAGTGAGAACAATCTGGATAACAAAAAATGCCGAGAAAAGAAGCATTTTTTGTATCTAGAAAATCTTGAAACTAGTTGAATCCCAAGTTTTTATTGATATTTTGTCATGGATACGAGGTTTAACAACTCTGTTGTTGGTTGTAATTCCAAAAAATACGGTGGGCTGTTTTAACTAAAAATAATTTATACACGATCAATAAATGCATCAAAATTTGAATTTTTAAATTTTTTTGGTTGTCCAAAGAGTTCCATTTTTGGTGTAAATGTAGTTTGCAGATATGTTATTCGTTTCATTTGTGTAGGTTGTATAGAAAACTGTTGGCATATAATACGAGCAAGTTGTGATATTTGTCTGAAATGAAAACCGTTTCAAATTTCGTATGAGATTTTCTGGAAGGTATCCTGGTGATTTTTAAATTTTGCCACGTCATAGCTTCAAAGTTAACATAAGTTTGTGTTCATTGTGCATTTTTATTTCATTTTGAATGTAGACAAACCTTGAAAGTCCAGATTTGAGTTGGAGGATATTGATCGAGTTGATCAAATGATTCCAGTTGATTATAATCATATGTGATACAATGACTCGTCGTATTGACATGGTAATATGCCTACAAAAATTTTAACTCGTGACCCATCAGATATTCTGAAAATCAAGTCAGATTCAAGAATTTCATTACCTGACAAGCTGGATACGTATCACAGATATTCTTGCACTTTTCCCATGTTATTGTTTTTTGGTCATGTTGGTAAGTGGCATTGTGAACGATTCCGGGAATCGAAACATACGCAGTGAACACTGTGAAAACGGCAAAATACGCGGAGAATAGCAGATGCATCTTTTTGGTTTTGGTTAGGAAAACTGAATAGAACTGAATAGTTTGTAGAATGTTTTGTCATGGATACAAATATAAATGGTTGGTTGTTTTTTTTTGGGGATAAATTTGGAGATTTATAGAAGTCTGAAAATTCTGCGAGAAGATGTTTTTGATCTTTGGAATGAGATCGATCTGGGATTTGAGAAAATCAATTTCAGAAAAAACGCTGTTCTTGTTCATAAGTCTTTAACACATCTAAAACTATATTTTTTTTAATTCTGAAGTCGATTTTTTTATCAACTAGATACAGTTGAATATTTCAAAAAAGCATAATTGAAAAAACAACTTTGGAAAAAAAATCTTCGAAAAAAATGTTTTAAAAAATTTCAATCTGAAGAAATCTTTGAAATTTTCTAACAATAAAAACCGAAAACAAGCTCTTTATACAAGAAATTCATCAATTTGATCAAGTAACAACTTGCGTTGTCCAAATAGTTCCATTTTTTGTGTATTTGTATGTTTGTTCTTTAAAAGTTGAGTAGGAATAGAAAACTGAAGGCATAACTTCTGAACAAGTTGTGATGTCTGCCTGAAGTTCAATATTTTTAAGATTCTATATATTTGTTTAGTAGAGGTACCTTGAAAGTAAAAATATCTGTCGCAGGATAGGTATCAAGTTGAATAAATGATTGCAAATAGCTGAAATCATAGGTGAAACAACGAGTGGTCACTGTGTTGTAGTAATATGCCTGAAACTTTTAGAGTTTCATATTTTCACAATTATAATCAAATACCTGACAAGCTAAGTATTTAACACAAATACCCTTGCATGATTCATTTGTTAGAGTAGTTTGATCATGTGGTTCAGCAGAATAGTTAATTATTCCGGGAATTGAAACGAACGCAGTGTGGACTTCAAGACTCAGAAAAAATACGGAGAAAAGGAGATGCATGTGTTTTGTTTTGTTGAAAATGAAGAACTGCATAGTTGTGCAACTAGAATATTTTTGTCATGGATACGAATCTAAATTTGGAGGAGGTTTTTTTTTCAAATATAAAGTTGAAGATTTATTAGCGTCTGAAATTTTGACGTGACGGAATGAAGATGTTTCAGAGAAGGTTTATAAAAAAATGAGAGAAAAATTGTGCAGAATTGCTACCAGAAATCGGACCACTTCAAAAGTATTAGAAATCGGACAACAAAAAATTGGAGAATTATTGGAGACTAATGTTTTGTGAAAAATTGGTTAGTTTTCCTGGCAAAAGTAGGTTTTGTCATGGTGACGGAATTTTTGAAAAAATATTGAATGAGATGTCTGGTTTTTTGGAAAATGAGATATGTTTTTACTTTCGTGAGTTTCCGCGTGGCGAAGAATTGAAGACTAGAGTCTAGTTAGTTTTTTCATTTTTAATAAATATGTTGTGCCAATCTTCGGGTTTCCATAGAACATTTTCAGGAGAAGGAGCAAATATTGAAATTATGAATTAGCTTTCTTTCATCGCTTGTCAAATAGTCAAGCCTAGAAACCTATGTGTCTAGGACCGGCGTCTAAAGACCCTCACGGACAGATGTCAAGCCTTGAGATCTACTGTGGATAGGCACGACGCCTTGATACTGCATATTTCAAGTAACCAAGCCTAGAAAGCCTAGTTCTCAAATAGTCTTGCCTAGAGCTGGTTTCTCTGGTCAGATTTTTGCGGAGTTTTTTTTTATTCTGAATTTTCTTTAGATTTGCATTTCCGAACCTGAGAAAAAAAAACATTTTTTTGCTCCAACAATTCTTTTCTGGAATCTGGGCCGATTTTCTTTAGCTCAAAATATTTCTACATTTTTCTCAAGAAGAATTTTTTCGATTGAAAATTAGAATCTCAGAACTCAAAAAAATTTTACAATTCTATTTTCTACGAATCTTTGTTATTTTATGCTTATTTTTGCTCAAATCCAGAAATATCCTTCAAATGTTTTCCTTTTCAAAGTCTGAATTCGGGTTTCCTGGTGATGTCAAATAATGCGGAACGTATTTGTTTTCATTTATTTTTCTCATATTTTTTCTCTATTCTGATCACATGCTTTTCTCTATATTTTTGCTGTTGTTCTTTATGCAAACTGTATTTTCAACAATGTTGATATTTTATGGAACACCTGGAGCATCTATCGATTGCACATCTGCTTCAACAACTTCTTGGGATTCTTGTATTGATAATTGTGAAGCCAATTCAACTTGTTTTGTAAGATAATCAGAAACAAAGTCAGCTTGAAATCACTCAAAGCTTTTTTTTCCAGTTGGCCTACTCATCTCCTCAAATTTCTTGTTATTATTGTGGCTATGGGCAATTCCCAGACATCACTTATTCTACTGATGAGATCACTTACACTCTAGCTTTAAAAACAGATAATTCCACCGTATGCAAACCAGAATTCCTCGAATATCTCGAAGCCAACAACTTCGATCCTCTCAAATTGTGCCCCTCTCCATGGCTCAGAGTTATCCGAAATGATACAGTACTTTGTGGAGTGCAAATTGCCTCAACTACACCGTACACCGAAAAATTAGCCAGCGATTATTGCTTGAATAATCTTGTGGATAGTGTTTTGATTGGTTTTGCCGATCAGGCCGAGACTGATTTGTGGGTTATTCCAAATAATAAAGCTCGTGTAAATCAGTCGATGCTTCTCGCGTTGAGAAGAAATGATGCGGGTGGCGATTTTTTGTGGACTGATCCGTGGATAACTGCAACATGGGATATTGATTGGGATGTTGGACATCCGAAAAGCGGATATAATTGTGCATCAATGCAATTCACAACTGGTTTGATACAAAGTGAAAAGTAAGAGTTCTGATTTACAGAAATCCATAGTTCCTTTGATAAAAATTCTCGAATAATGTAATTCTTTTGAGACAGGGATTTTTGATTTCCACCAATCCTTGTAGTTTCAAAGATACAGTAACCCATGCAGTCTCTAAATCAAGTTCATTATTTGTTTTCAGTTGCACATCAACCGCCTGCTCAAATTCTCGCTGTTGTTATGCTGCTCTTTGTGGTCAACTTATGAAATAAAATAACTAAATTTGATGAAAAGCTCTTTTCTTTTTGAATGGATAAAATTTAAAAAAAAACATTTTGAAATTTAAAACGTGCCCCAATTGTTATTGTTCACGAGAAAAAAACGTGGTTTTTTTGCAAATCATTTCATATTATTCCGCTATCAATAACTAACTCTATTGTGAGTTTCTTTTTGTATATTTTGGGAGGATAACGGTATTCAAAAATTTTGTTTCATGGTTTATGAATTCAACAAATTTTTCTCTAAATAAAAAACATCGGAAAATTAAAAAATCATTTCTTTTTGAAGAATCTATCTAAAATTCTTGGAAAAATTAAACAAGAAATTATTGCATATCCATTTGTATGTTAGACCTTATTCCAGCTATATGTGTAAAGAAAAATTCAAAAACATTTATGAGCTGAAAAATCTAGAAAGATGAAAAGTTCAAACACTTTCATGGTAAAAACTATAATGAAAAACAATGTTAGATTCCCAGCTGAATATGGCTATGGTTTTTTTGCGGAAAAACGCATGTTTTCCATTTTTCGGAAAAAATTTGACGAAAAGTTTTAAGAACACATATTTATTTTTAAAATGTGATTTATATTTGTTTTACAGTTTTCATTTGACTAACAAAAAACATATGAGAAAACATATTTTTTTTCGTTGAATAGCCCCATTAGAAAAATTGGCCTATAATAGGCATATATTCATTTTGAAAAATAGGTCAATAATAGACTAATAATAAGTTGATCTGTAATTGCCTGTGTACGGAAATTCACCTCGCCAATTTTAAATTTTCTTGAAAAAACAGCAAATTTTTGCTTGTTTTTTCGTAAAACAGTCGTATTTTTCAGTCGAAAACGTTGTTTTTACCTCGCCAAAAATTTTTGAAACCCAAACCGCCAATTTTTAAAGTTAATTTGCACGAAGCTGGGCGTGGTATGAATACAAGGGGAATATGAGAGAACACAGACACCCGCTATGCAAAATTGCCCGAAGCCTGTTCATTGATTTTGGCTCGGTTCGGAATCATGATGTACTTTGTTTCAGAGAAAAAACCAATTTCTGTAGTTCGAGACCAATTCGCACCAACCGAACAAATGTTCATATTTACCATCAATCAAAAAAATCTGCGATCGGTTGAAGTTTTTTTGGATAAACAACTCATAATCAAACAATATATCGAAGTTGTTAAGCCGGTTGGAGAATACTCACTAACTTTGCTGCCCAAACGATGAATACCACTGGTCTCTCCACGAATTGCATGGCAAATTCTTCCCTGTTTGATCAATCGGTTAGTTTAAAGGATGAGAATATGTTTCTTTGAGGCGTATAACTTTATTAAACCTCGATGTTCATAGATTAGATTGATTTCGTCAAAAATTGATTTGATTTTGTGGAACTCAGTTTCGAAGTATTTTATTTTTTTTTCGCAATATTCAAAAAACTTTATTTGTGCTAACATTCGAACTTTCTATTATGGGGCTATTCAACGAAAAAAATATGTTTTCTCAGCTTTAAGAAAACGGGAGAACAGCGAAGAAAACCTATTCAAGTCGGTTGAGAAAACAAAAAAATCAAACAGTTGAAACACACAAATTGCGACGAGACCCAACGAAAAACATCGTGTTCCTTTAAGATACTGTAGAACTTCGCAACGGAACCAATTTACAGTAATGCAAAAGGTCAAAGGAAAATGTTGTTTTTCGTTGGGTCTCGTCGCAATTTGTGTGTTTCAACTGTTTGATTTTTTTGTTTTCTCAACCGACTTGAATAGGTTTTTTTTGCTTTTCTCCCGTAGTCTCAACGCTGAGAAAACATATTTTTTTTCGTTGAATAGCCCCATTAGAAAAATTGGATTTTTTCAAATTTGGATTTTTGATCATCCTTTAAGGAGCCGAAATGAAATTGTTCAATAATCGATAAAACGGTTTTGAACTTACCAAATCGGCCCTGCTTAACAACTTTGTGAAATCAGAATTAAGAAATATTGTATTTGAAATGAATTGAAAAATCTCCGGATTTTGGCCAAAATGGCAACTTTACGTCTCAAAGGATCATGTTCTGAAATGGCAGTTGGTAAAAAATAACGTAATCATGTTTTTCTAGATCACCGATAAATCTTATTATGCACCTCAAAAAAATGATAATGTTTTGACGTATGATGATGATGACGATACATATGCAAATATAAAATCAATCTCGATGGAAATATCGGAAGAAGAAAGATTTGACTTCTTGCTGCGAGTCAAACCACAACTTGTTGATGTTTTCAAAAATGAAAAAGATCTTAAATTTATTTCTCGAATAGTGAGTTTTTATAATAAGTGAATTCAGAAAATATAGTCTCTTGGTGGTAGTGCCACGATATGAAATACTCGTTCGGCAACATTCCCATTCGGAAATATTCGGGAATTTCTAAATATGCTCACAAGTTTACAGAATTATTATTGTCAATTTAGAGAATCATTATCAAATTCAAAAAACGTGAGAAAAAAGGGCTCTGTTCGAAAATAAAGGGGTTTTGAGAAAATAAAGGGTTTTTTTTTAAATAAAGCGTTTTTCAGAAGATAAAGGGGTTTTCAAAAAATGAAGGGGTTTTCAAAAAAAAGGGGTTTTCAAAAAATAAAGGGGTTTTCCGAAAAATAAAGGGGTTTTCCGAAAAATAAAGGGTTTTTCAGAAAATAAAGGGTTTTTCAGAAAATAAAGGGTTTTTTAGAAAATAAAGGGGTTTTCAGAAAAAAAAAAGGGTTTTAGAAAAACAAAAAGGTTTTGAAAGGTTATTTATAGATATTTATAAATATCTAAAAAGATAAAGAATTCGTTTTCATTAGAATTTCACTAAGCCTATGTTCCAAACTGGCACAGACCAAAAAAAATTAGAGTTTTCAACATTTCCACCATTCTAAGCTTAGGCTTAGTGAACTCCCGTAGAGCACAGATCCACATCAAAACCGCAGTAAAAAAAAAATCAATACTTGATAAAATTGACAAAATTTTGGACTCGTTTAATGGAGTCCCTATACTTTTTTTCGGACCCTTAAAATAATTTTTCTTGGAAAACGTTAATTTTTTTGGTCTGTGTCAGTTTGGAACATAGGCTTAGGCTTACATTATGTATTTTCAGATAAAGGGAATATTTCGGTTTTAAAAGAACAGTTATCGGAAACGAAAGTGTTATTCATGTTTTCAATATTGGAAAGACAAATTGAAATGGTATCCATTCTTTTGAATGGAAAAGTTATGCAACAACAAACAATTGAAATAAAGGATAAAAACGAGTTTTCAATGAATTCGATGGGAAAAACAACCGTGGCCGAAATATCAACACTTAAAACAAGAAAAATGAACACCACGGTTAGTTTAAACGATGCAAAATGTTTCTTTGATGCGTTGAACTTTTCGAAAACTCGATGTGCAAAGATTTGATTGATTTTGTCAAAAATTGATGTGATTTTGTGAAACTATGCTTTGAAGAATTTCACATTCTTATTCGGCGGAAAATAATGTAATAATGATTTTCTAGGTAAATTCGTGCTCCTACCGAGAACCCCCCCGTGGCAATACAGCAATCGAAAACATATTGGATCCAACTTATTCAAATTCTGTAAGTTGGACCATTGAGGACGAAGAGGAAAATCCACAAGTTGTATTGCCACAGTGTGAGGAAGACAATCTTCGAATAACATCAAGCTTGGTGAGTTTTCATAATTAGTCAGGTTCAGGGTCAGACGCTATATTTCATGAAATTTCCAATTTTTAGCTCAAAATACCCTCCAAAAAATCCTAAAACAGTAATTTTTCTGATTTTTTAGAGGTCTAACATGAGTGATATTTTTGACGCCGACCTCAAATTTCTTAATTCTAGCGACTACAAATCTGACTTTGAGCGCAATATTAGCCGTTTTCCCGACAAGCTTGTTCCTGATTCATTAAAAGAAAAAGAGGTTTTTGAATAAAAAATTCGCTTTCAGAATATTGGATTGCACAGTTGGTACATTGCAGAAAACGAGGAAGATGCAGAACTTGTAATGAGAACAGCATACAATATTGTGAGTTTTTATAATTAGTGAGAGCAGAAACGTATATATTCCAGTTTAAAAAAATAAGGAATTTCTGAAATTGTTAATGACAGAATTACCTTGAAATTTTTGAAAATCCCGCATAGAAGTGGGAAATGAAAAAACAATTCCAATTGCCATGAGTTTTCTTGGTTTATTTCTAAATTGTCTTTAAATTGTTTATTTTTCATTTCTTACGTGCTTTTCAAAAACTTCGAGGTAATTCTGTAAACTGAACAATTTTAGAAATTCCAAATTTTTTAGAATTGAATTGTTGCTTAACGAATATTTCAAGACAGATCTATGTTTTTTCAACATGTTTTTTCATAGGAAAATGTGCGTAAATGAGGAAAATTCAATTTTTCGAATTATTTCTGAAAGAGCTTAAAACAATTTTATTCAATTACAGCTCAAATCTTTCCGAGGTATGTTCGAAAAGGAAATGAATGTTGTTCCACCAATTGGAATAGTCTATCCATTTATTCGAACAGAAATAACAAAATCAGGAGGAAAATTGAGAATTGTAAGTAGAAAAATAGCGAATAATTAGTTTCGAGCATATATCTTAGGAACTCATGGGCTAGGATTCTGCGCATCGCCCAGAATTGTTTCGGGTCAAACTGTCTCATTTCGGCTTAATTTTCATTCTGCGCTCTACACAGCCTTCACCCAATTACATCGGAAAGCCAATAAAATATCATTGTTTTTGTGTTGATCAAAAAACTTCTTCATATTTGATAAAACTGTTTATTGTGAAATGTCTGCACCCAGCCATCTTCACACTTTTCTCCTCTGATTTTTAATCTAAATGTTTGTTGTGCCAACCATTCACGTTAGCGATCCCTTCAAAATTCTAAATGTATATCATCATCAGAGTAATAAAATAAAATGAAAAGATTCTGACACGTGAATCGTACACTGCTCGCAGTTTTCCTAATCCTAGCCCACGATCTATGCATAGATATTAAAACTTTGAGTTGAATAATTTCAGTTGGGAGAAGCTTTGATAATAGCGACGTGGTCAGTTCCGCAGTTTCAAAAGATTCAAGAAGTTATCAAGAAAATCGAAGAAAATACAACAAGACCAAGAGCTGGTTCCAAAATACTCGAAAAAATATGCTTGTTGGCGAAAAATCGAGATCAATGTCACAAACTGGATGCCATACTGCAAAATTTCATAGTAAACGAGACAACAACAGGTCAACTCGAAAAAGTAGGTTTTTTAAAACTCCCAAGTTTTATGATATGTAGTTGAAACAAAATAACAGTTGTTATTTAGGAGTTGGACGATGCGTGTGAAACGGGAACAACAACGCGGAAAGAAAATCAGAAGAAAACTTTTATCACAACATCTTCGACCGATTAAGGAAACATCTTCAACCAATTCAACCGAACTGTGTTAGTAAATATGTGTGAATAAATCGTTTCTTTCAAAAATAATTTCATCTCTATTCACTGATCTTCCTCACACGATATAATATTGTCAGTCCGCAAAAACAGGGCTGCTGGAAAAAAATAAAAATTCTAATTTTCATCTACCGTACGGAATAAAATGTGAACATCTTACTAATGAAACGTGTATTCACAACATGTCAAATTTTGGTGAAATTGGTGAAATTGAGGGAGACACAGAGAAAATCTCTGATATAAAAAGGAAACGTCTTCCACGTATTTATTAAACATGATAGTTTTTATCAAACAAAAAAAACCGAAATTCCGAAATGTCAATTCCGACCAGCCCTGGTGTGTGTAAAGTTTGTACACACAAAGGAAATTTTCGAAAAAAAAAGAAGAAACAATGGGAGAAAACCGACTCCGCCTACTTTTTTTGAATTTCCGCAACGAAATTTTTTGAACAAAAAAATAATTTTTTTTCGCTGTGAGAGCTGGATCCAAAATACTAATAAAAAAGATGGGTGCGTGAATCAATCATATACCCTTTGAAGCGTATAAATCAGGGGTTTGAGTATGTTATGCAAAAGTAGCTAGGGTTCAGATTTTCTTTCAGAAGTAGCTAGTGGACCGAATCTGAACCATAGCTACTTTTTAAATTCAACATGAGGCTCAATAAGCCCAAAAATTAAAACCACGCGTGGATTTAATTTGTTTTCTTCTTGAGGTGTTTCCTTCTTGTGTTGTTTCCGCGTTCGCATTTTCCAGATCCAGAATGAAAGATTGTGATTGTGAAATGTTCCTTTTTCCTTCCCAAAAATTCAAAAGAGTGAAAAACAATACATCAAACTTGTTGATCCGAAAGAGTTTTCAATTACGCGCACATCTAAAGAAAAAAAGAGAATACACTTAAACCGAGGTACTGTACATTAGCGACCCAGTATTCGTGTTGCCAATCTACAGTATTTGGGTCGCTATTCTACAGTAACTTGATTATGGGTGGCCATATGAACATATATCATAAATGGGTGAGTGCATGAAACCAAAAATGACAGATCAACAAGTTTTTCACTTTTTTGAATTTTTGGAAAGGAAAAAGGATAATTTCACAATCTAGTAACAGTGAAGAAAGGGAAGAAATCACAAAATCTCTGAATAAAGATATTATTTTTTATTTTCGGTCAACATTTGTTCAACATTTTTTTTGCAAATTATGTGGCAACTTTTCCACAAACGTACATTGTTGCCTGTTGGTAGCATCTGAAATTGCAATTTTTGCTACGAAATAACAACAAAAACTTGCTCATAATCATCATAAAGTCCGTCGTGACGATTTCCAGGCCAATACCATTTCATCATACATCTCTGATAAACTCCATTTGTTAAATGTGCATCTGGTTGATAATCAAACCAAATATAGGTGACATCCGAAAAGTATTTATCTGTGAAAGTCCAACCATTTGGAAATGTGCAAGCTGATCCTGGATTTCCTTTATTTACTAATGGAGCACAATTTTCATTCATAATTCCATCGAGATGAATCAGTGAGCTTAATGGTTCGAGAGCATAAACTTGAACTGAAAATTATTCTTAAGAATGTTTCACATATTACTTCCTTTCAGAACTAACCATTTATGTAAGTACTTTCTTCAGTTCTCTCAATTGCTGTTAAACTTGCCCCCATTGCTGCACATTTCGCAATAGCTTGTGTATGATTTATGGCATCTCCACTAAAAAATCGAATACACCACTTCCTTCCCTTTCGAGCTGATTCATACCAATTTGTTGGGCAGGATTTCAACTCTTCTTCCGTTGCACTAAACAATTGCCACGTGTCACCGACGTGTTGAATTTTGTAGTTATTGATTGTCGATGTATAGAGGCGATCTGGTGAATCGGAACACGATGTGGAATTTGTCTGAAAATGGGGTGATATTGCAAAGTTGAGCCAACTCTTACCTTGAATGCAACTCGTTCTCCTGATGATGAACTGACTACGGTAGCTTCGACATAAGAGTAAAAATCACAAGTTGTTCCAGAATGTTGGATGAACTGAAGAAAAAAGTGCCCTCAAAAATAGTCTAGTCACATGTTTCAGGCATTTCTCAATCCATAAAAAAATTTTAGTGGCTTTTTCAAAATTCTCGACATTTCCTCAAGAAAAATTTAAAGATGCTCAATAGCAATTATTTCAATTTCATCAAAGTTTTTTGTGGAAAATCCAAATAAAAATACATTTATGACTGAATCTTATAAAAAAGTTTCGAAAATATTTCTCTCACCAAGCACTTAGCATCACTATAACAAGCTGCAACACAAGCAGTGTACGGAGCCAATGTTTTGGTATTATAGGAACTTGTTGAAGTTGACACTTTTCCCCAAACAACTACCATTGTTTGAGAAAAAATTGAATTTGGAAATATAAAAAGAAGAAGAAAATGTTGAAACAACATTTTTTGAATTGTTTGGAATGTTGTATCTAGGAAAGCTAGAGAAAATGTGAAACGAAGAATGGGAGGATTTATGAATCAGAATTTTGAAATATGGAATGTAGAACATTTTTTTTTGACAAAACAAGACTTAAAACTAAGAACAATTTCAGTTCAAGAGAAACTGGAGTCTTTGTGAATTCTTTAAATTTTTTGAATCAATTTTTCGAAAAATTTATTCATCAACAGAAATCAGGATAGAACTTATCCATCATTATAAAAGTCATTAAAAACTCGATAAAGTATGAAGGAACGATCGAGGAATGCGTAAACTTTTGGCGCAAAAATTCGTTCCTTCCCTGAAAATTTTCGAATTTCCACTCGAAGTTTCAATAAATTTTATTGTAAAAAATATGACTCATTCTTTTATCTCAAAAATAAAAATTGATAAAAAATATTGGATTTTTCAAACCATTTTTTCCTATTTCTTGTTTCATAAAAATGATGATTTTTCTGATTTTTCTAATATTTCAAATAAATTGTCAAGACTTCATTGATTACAATTCACCAAAACTTCTGAATTATTTGAATGTTTGGAAAAATTCTGAAGGAAAAATTCAATTTTCAATTTCTGATTGGTTTTGTAATGAAAAAGCGTCTTATTCGGAAATTTTGGAGAGTTGTTCGAGTTTTGCAGGTGAGCTTTAAGATTTGGGAGATTTTTTGAAAATTTCGAATTTATAAAACTGAAAATCTAGAAGCTAAAACGCTTTTCAAAACATTTAGAACTAAAAATTGCTTTTTCAGCTTCTCTGAACCATTGCTGCGCAAAATTTCAAGATTGCTCAGGTCAAGCTCAACTCCAAATTCCAACCGAAAAACCTGATCTAGACAAATATCACTATAATTATTATGAAAATCTTCCGCCACCTATAACTCAAGAACTTTGCCAATCAAAATTCGAAAACTGTACAAAACTAGCAATTCGAATTCCAACTCCAGAAACTCTGAAATGCCGTGACAAATTGTATTCGGAAATTGGGGGAACTTCCAAATTTCTACCGTATTCTTTGCCAAATGGGAAGTTAGAGGAAGTCAACAAAAATGCACCGGAATCGATAAAAAATGCCTCGCTCAAAGTTGAATTTGAGAATATTTATGATAAATGTCCAGGGAGAACTGGTGGGTTTTTTCTAACATGAGCAATACTTTCCCCAATTATAGAATCAAAATATCACTTGAAAAACTGAAAAATAGGTGACTATTTAACCTGAGCAATGTTATATTTTCCTTTAGAATAAATTGGATAGAAAATAACCTAACATCTCTAACATGAGCAATTCTATTCGATTTTCAGAAAATCTCAAGTTCATCTATATAATCTGAGCAATCCCTTTTTCCAGCCACAATCTCCTCGTGCTCTCAAAACTTCGAACTTTGTTTCAAAGTTTTTCCAATCAACATCTGTGTTCTAGATTTTTGTGATTGTCTTCTGGATTATGTTCAAAATAACTTTTCGAAAAATAAATTCGAAAATTGCTTTAAAAACAACTCAAAAATTTTGCCAAAATTTGATTGAATGTGAGTTTTCCGAAACATATTTTGTGAATTTCTCAATGTTGAAAAAAATTAATTTTAGATTCTGACCAAACTTTGGCTGCAGATGCGAGATTCATAGTTCAAATCAAAATCATCGGATTCCTGGTGCTGGTTTTTGGTGCTTCTCTGAGAATTTGTGTGCTTTTATGGAGAAGATTTGAAATTTTAGAGGAGGAATTTTTCAAAATTGAAGAAGATGAAGAGGAGAATAACAACGAAGCCAATGAAAACTGATGTTTTTGGTTTGTGTAAGAAAAAATAAATCGATACATTTATTTTGTGTAATTCTGTTCGTGTTCTCTTTCTCAAATAATTCAAATTCCACCATATGCCACATTTTCGAAATATTCAAATTCAGCGCGTTCCTGCAAAACTTGGAACTACTGTAAATAGATACGGTAGATCAAATTTTCCCGCTCAAAATATACAGTATCCCTTCAAAACTTACATAAGGTGATGGACTCATTCCAATACAAGTTTGAACATCTTGACTTGGTCCCGAAAAATCATTAAATCCCGAATATTCAGACAAATTTGGTAATTCACGTAAATCGGCCAAAGATTGTGTTGAAAATTCGCGAATTTTAACATCTCCCAAATTTTGAGCCAAATTCTCCTGTTTGTCCTCGAAAACCACATCAATTTGTTGTAATTCATAAATCGAATTTGATGTCATCATTTTTTTGTTCAATGTTTCAGTAGAGCGAGAATAACCAATTGAAGGAGAATTTAAAGACGAAGGAGATCCTTTGTATTCAAATTGAATTGGAAGTTGAGCAACATTTTCGATTGATTCAGCACTCAATGCATATTTATTCAAAGTGATATTATTTGGTGCAAAAACACGTGGCAAATAATTGGCAGATTGATTTGAATTTGAAGATGAAAATGGATCAGAAATACGAAGATTGTCAGTTGAAGTAAGAAGATTGTATTGAGAATCAACTTGATGCTGAAATATAAGAGTTTCTATAAATTTTCCCGCCAATTTTTACCGTATTTTGATCCTCCAACAAATGATTGAAATAATGCGATGGAGTTGCATAATTTGGATGATTTTCATATGGATTTCCAAATGATTTTGTATCATCTGCAATATAATTTGGGTGCAAAACTTCTGGCATTATATTTTCGACCGAAACACTGCTTTCTTGATGGTCCTGAAACGAAATCCATTTTGGTTATTTTCAAATATCTACAGTACACCTACCTGTTCCTTCAAAGGTGCAAGATCTTCTTCGAAAATATAATGCTGCGAAGGATGTCTTCTCAAAACCGTATACGGATTCATTGATCCATGAATTTGTCGATAATTTGCTTGATATTCTCGAATGTTCGAATTATTATTGATCATTTGTTTTTGTTGAAAAGACGAGGCGCAGAATACTAAGTGAACAATGAGCACAATACCTGAACACTCGGTTTTTAAAGGGATTTTTCTGGGTTTCTGGAACACGTTTTTATGAAATTAACGTGTTCTAAATATATCTTCTCCTTTTCTTTGGAGTCTCATTTTTATATTCAATAAAATTTCAAAAAGGTGAGCTGAAAATACCTCCTCTCAATATCAACAACTAAAAATTGTCTCACTACAGATTCTTCGCTTTTTTGTTTTGTTAAAAAATAAAAGATTCAAATGGAAGTTGCCATCGAAAAACAGTCTTCAAGAATAACGCAAACTTCAAGAAGAACACCAAAAACCACAGTGATTTCTTTGAAATCCGTAGAGGAACGCGAAAATTTCGATAATCAATATGAATTTTTGCTGACAACTATTGGTTTTGCGTGTGGTTTGGGAAATATTTGGAGATTTCCACAAAGGGCTTATGAGAATGGAGGATGTAAGTTTCAAAATTCGATAAGAACTTACCCTAACTTCCCGTGAAACATTGTCGAAATTCCGCTTTTCGTATCGCCAAATTTTTTCAAAAAAAAAAATCAAATTTCGTCCGGGAGAAGTACACGATTCTTTTCGCTGCGGAGAACACACATGTTTTTAATCGGCCTCCCTTTACAGGGTGGCGCATAAATATAGGTGCATCGTTTTTCTGATGGGGTTAATGTATTTTCAAATATTATTTCATGATATTTGGTGAAATTTCAACTAATAGGGTCCAAAACAAACACAAATGATGTTCACATCAATATTTCAAACTATGATGATGTTTGGAGCGGCCGCGTATGTTGAGCTCGGGGCAAATTCGCACGCACCTATGTTCAACTTTGACCACGTGTAACTTCACGTTGGGTACATGAAACCTAACATGAAAATACATCAAAATGTTCGAAAAATGAAGAGGAACAATGTTGAAACGTACTCATCATGATTGACTAATCTGCTGTTTAGAATTCATCAGTATTGAACACCCCCCAAAACAGAAAAATCAGCCATTTTTCTCTCAAATATTGTTCTTTCGACCCAGATCGCATAATTTCACAAAAGATGGTGTGATTGTAGTTGGATTTAGTGTAAAATTAGTTATTTCATAGTTTCTATTCCTATTACAAACATAAATAAAGTATATCTTATATTTTGTGCCTTCAAATCCTTGAAAATCAAAAAATCTGAAAATTTGAAGTTTTGACTGAAATTCGAAATTGTTTCGGGACAACCAAAAACTAGGACTGTGAAAAACTCAAATTTAGACCTTTTTAAAATGTATCAAAACTTTAGATCATACAAAATGACTGAAAATCAACTGAAATTCATGGGTGAAAAATTTCCTCCGGACCTGCGTGCTGATTTTCAAAATTTTTGAACATTGAATCTAAGTTTGACAGCCTGTCCGGTCTTTAAATCAATCAGTATTGTTGAGAACACTTGAAGATAAGATAGAATAACGCATTAGCTTCAAAATTATGTATATAGACCCCAGAAATAATTTTGAGAAAATCGTGGTAAAACCATGTTAACAAAAATGCATCATGCACCTATATTTATGCGCCACCCTGTATTTCATTTTTCTTTTTTTTTTTCTCTGTTTCCACGTTGCAAGCTGAAAAAAGCGCAAAACTGATCCAATACGGTCTTTCCAGCCGCCTTCCTCTTCCCATATATAACATGTGCAATTCTCTTCGGAATCCCAACAGTTTACATCGAATTTCTTGCCGGACAACATCAAGCAACTTCTCCACCAATTGTTTTCCGGCGAATCGCACCAATTTTAGAAGGAATCGGTTGGATGACATGCGCTATTTCAACAATTTCAGCGATTTATTATAGTGTTATTATGGCATGGTGTTTCGTTTTTATTTTCAATATTTTTCGAGGTCACTTGGAACTTTGGAATAATTGTGATAATCCATGGAATATTCGAGAAATTTGTGTTGAAATGCGATCTTGTTCGAGGAATTTGACTGATTTATCTGAAAATGGAAATGAAACTGAAATTGCTTATAATAATAACATAGAAAATTTGATATTTTTCAACGGATCGTGCCAAATTCCACCGGATTTAAATTCTACAAAATTAATTTCGCCAACTCAAGAATATTTCACAAATCATATATTACAACGATCAGATGGTTTTTTGAATATAACTGGAATTAATTGGCCAATTTTATTTTCAATGACTTTTTGTTGGATATTGGTTGGATTATTGATTTTTAAAGGAATGAGAATTATGGGCAAGATTTCATATGTGAGTTAATGTGAAATCCCAAACCTAAAGAAAAAAGCGGGAAAAATAAGGGTGTGTGTCAACACCGACTGCCCGCAAACACCAAATCCTACGCGCAATCTTGTAAAAATGAAACAACAACACTCCGCTCAAACAGGCAAGCGCCGCTGTTTTAATTTAATTTTTTTTCTTTTTTTTGTTTTGGAAGCAACTAGGCTTGTAGAAACAATTTCAGAACATTAATTTCAGGTCACCGCAATTGTTCCATACATTTTGGTCATAATTTTTGTGATTCGTGGATTCTTCCTTCCTGGTTCATCAAATGGTCTATATTTATTCCTGGGCCGGCCGGATTTCAAAAAACTGTATTCACCTCGAACTTGGTCTGAAGCTCTCAAACAACTTTGTTTTTCAATTTCCGTTGGACACGGTGGACTAATGTCAATGGCATCTTATAATAAAAGATCATCAAATCCATTTCAAAATGCTGTGATATTAATAGTTGCTGATACATTTATGAGTATTTTGGGAGGTTTTGCTGTTTTTTCAACTCTTGGATTTTTTGGCGGAAAAACGAGGAGTTGCTGTGGAGCATGTTGTGGAAAGTGGTGTGAATTTGATTTTTGTTGCGTTTCCTGAATCGTTTTCGGGACATTCTGCGATTTGGGCGGTGCTGTTTTTTGCGATGTTGATTATTTTGGGAATTGGATCACAAATGGGTGAGAATAAAAAATTAAAAATTGACAAACAATTCATTTTTGCAGCCTTTGTCGAATTATTTTGTTCCTGTTTCTATGATCAACATCCAAATTTTCGACACAAAAAATATTTGATAGTTCCAATTTGGTGTCTTATTTTATACATTTTCGGCCTCATCTTCTCAACTTCTGCTGGTTTTTATTGGTTTGAATTATTCGATAAATATTCAGCTGGATTCTCATCAACATTTGCAATTATTATCGAAATCTTATGTCTAATTTATATTTATGGCGCGAGAAATATCAAATTAGATATTGAAGAATTAATTGGACAACCAAAGAATAAAATAACACAAATGATTGGCGCACATTCACCATATTTTATTATAAATTGGCAAATTATTTCACCTGGAATCGGATTGATTTTGATTGTATTTATGTGTTTTGAGCAGAAATATTTGATGGTTTTCGATATTTTTGGATGGATTTTGGCGTTTATTCCGCTGTTTATGATTCCGATTTTTGCATGGAAAAATTATCGATATTTCAAAATCAATAATTATCCAATTAAAGGTGTTTTATCAATTCAACGACAACATTTATCATTTTCAAGGATTTGTGATATTTATTCGGATGCGGAATTTGAAGAAGCTATGAAATTGCCCGAACATGAACCATGGGAGAATCCAAATCAAGAAGAAAATTTTGAAAATGTGGAATAAAGTTTGTTTTTTGTAAGCTTCTGAAATTACCTACAAAATGCTAGAGTGAACTTATTGTTAGGATAAATCAAAAATTTTATAGATCAGGCTATTTTCAAAATAATATTGTATTTAGCTTTCGTATTTTCTGAAAAAAATTATTTTTTTTCCTCAAATGCTGGCTGGGAAAAATACGTTTCGAAATTTTCTCGAAAATAGAATTTCTTGCCATACAATCAGTCTTCAACCGATTGCAGATTTTTTGAGTGTAGCTCTCCTACTTTCAAAAAAAACATCTTCCAATATTTTCGACGTGACCTAGAAAAAGTACATTTTTTTTTCTTTTTCGAAAACAGTTTTTCAACTCCCCATTTTTAGTTTTTGTATAATTCCGAAATTAATTCGAGTTTTTTTGTTTTTTTTTTGAAAAAATATAGCACTTTGTTTCTGAAAATGGTTGTATCAAATATTGGTGAGTACTGGAAAGATTTTTTGGGTGCATGATAATATGAAGTAGTTCAAATTTTAATTTAAAAAAAAGATCAAAGCAGGCGAATACAGAATTTTTAATGTAAATATAGATATATAAATTTCAATATGAAAATGTCCTACTTTTTCAGAATCCGAAAAAGAATCGTTCAAATCTCCAAAATCACTTCGAGATGATCCAAATTCGCCAATTCCAATCCCAGCTTTATCGCCAAATATTTGTCAAAAATCGATCAAGAAAACACCACCGAAAATCCGGGAAAATTTGCGCGAAAAAGATGGATTTCGAAATTCGTGGGAATTTATTTTGACAGCGATGGGTTTGAGTGTTGGATTTGCAAATATTTGGAGATTTCCACAAAAGGCACTGGAAAATGGTGGATGTTAGTGAGATTTTTGGGGAAAAGGAGGGGGGGGGGTGAGAGGTACTGTAGATACAGTACCTTTCCTAGACTTGAATCTACAGTACCCAACTCTAATCTTTGCAGCCGCCTTCCTAATTGTATACATAATTTGTGCCATATTCTTTGGTCTTCCCACAATTTATCTCGAATTTTTCATCGGTCAATATCATCAAATTTCTTCGCCAATCATTTTCCAACGAATTTGTCCAGTTTTGGAAGGAATTGGATGGATGTCTAGTATTTTATCGATTTTTTCATCAATTTATTATCTGGTTATAATTTCGTGGATATTGATTTTTATGATTAATTTGTTTCGAGGAGATTGGAAAATTTGGAATAAATGTGATAATTTATGGAATGATCCGGAAAGTTGTTGGAGAAACACATTATGTGCAAATAATTCTTTGGAACCCGAATTTGAATTTGAATACGAACATTCAAATGGATCTTGTGAATTTTCTACGGATTTCAAAGAAATTTCACCTTCTGAACAATATTTTTCCAATCGGATTTTGAGAATATCACAAGGAATTTTGGATTTTGAAACGGTTAATTGGCCAATTTTCATTTCTATGATTATTTGTTGGATTCTGGTTGGATTGATGATTTTTCGAGGAATGAAAATGATTGGGAAAATTAGTTATGTGAGTTTTTTGGGTAGTTATTGAAGGGTGAATCGAAATTTGAAAGTAGTTTTTGTGGAAAAAATATATTTGTTAACCTCATATTAGAAAAAACGGAACATTTATGTGATTTTAGAAACAGTAGAATTTTTTGGGAATGTTTTCTTGTTTGAAAAATTGGATCTTATTTTGAAAATTTTTTGAAACGGCAAAATATTTTGGATATCATACAGTGCGTTTCATAATGATAGGTTCACCCCCAAAATTTCTGAAATCAGCCGAGGTGTGAGTTGTAATAACAATCCGAGTTAAAAATAAAAAAGAGCACACAAAATTAGCTAAGAAAACTCAATTTTATCTGAAACTACCAAATAATAAAAAAATAAATGACCGGAGTTCAAAAATTTCAAAAATTTAGCGTTTCAAAACGATAGGTTCACCTAATCCAGAATTCCCATTGGAGACATATAATCGAAAATCAATACTTAGTTGGACCTCCATGTTTAGAAATGACATCATAGAGACGATTTGGCATCGAGTCAACAAGTCTCTTGAGGTAGTTCTTATCGATTTTATTCCATTCCGTCTCGATGGCATCTTTGAGTTGGTCCACAGTATCATATTTTTTTCCTTGAGCATAAACTCGGCGAACGAGCTCCCCCATACGTTTTCCATCGGATTAAGATCAGGAGAACACGCTGGCCAATCCAAAACTTTGATTTTGTGGCTTTTGAACCAATCTTTTGATGATTGGCTGACGTGGATGGCAGCATTATCCTGTTGAAAAGTGAACTTTCTGGTCCGGAACCGCCTCAAATATGGCAAAAGATAGTCATGGAGGGTTTTTTGGTAATCTAACGAATCCATCTTGAATGAAACAAAAGCTATTTTTAACGTTCCAGCTGCAGAAAATGCGCCCCAACACATAACCCGTCCTCCTCCAAAATTTCTCTTTGGGAAGCGAAGTTGATCCTTTCTGATATCATGCCAGTATGAGTTGTAACCATCCGGACCATCAAGATTAAACTTTTTTTCGTCAGAAAAAATTATCTGAACAAGAAAACATCAATATTTGATGTTTTTAGAAAAATTACTTACCTTATCCCAATCTGTGGCCATGTTGGCTTTTGCGAAAGTAAGACGGTTGTCTTTGTGGCGAAGTGTGAGACGCGGAGCTGGCACCAATTTGGCTCGAACGATTTCTGGGGATTGGTCTATGGCTCTCCAAACTGTAGTCTTACTGATATTCAAACCCAGCTCGTTTTTGATGTCATTACACGATTTCATTGTGTTCGAAGCCAACCTAACAATCCCTCGTTTATCTCTCTCCGTGAGTTTTTTGGGAGCTCCAGTGTTTTTCATTCGCTCATAGTGATCCGGATTGTTGACAAATTGATTAATACAGTTGAGAGATCGTTTCAATTTTGACGAAATCATTCTATTGGACCATCCGGCGATTTTGAATGCTCTAATTTGAGCTTGTTCCTCTTTTGTAAGATGACTTCCCCGCGACATTGATGAATGACGTGAAAAAACGAGAACAAAAACAGAAACACGTTAAAATAATCAAATATCACTCGTATTTTCCAGAATATTCGATAAAACTCCTACCACGAAACATAACTACAGTACTACTGCGGGTGAACCTATCGTTTTGAAACGCTAAATTTTTGAAATTTTTGAACTCCGGTCATTTATTTTTTTATTATTTGGTAGTTTCAGATAAAATTGAGTTTTCTTAGCTAATTTTGTGTGCTCTTTTTTATTTTTAACTCGGATTGTTATTACAACTCACACCTCGGCTGATTTCAGAAATTTTGGGGGTGAACCTATCATTATGAAACGCACTGTATGTGAGAAACAAATTTTGTTTACATAGAAAATTCATACCTGGTGAAATCCTGAAACAGCGAATTTTATTCATAAAACATTTTTTTCCAATAACTTTTTTTGAATATTTTCCAGGTAACCGTGATTCTCCCATATTTCCTCATCATAATTTTATTCATCCTTGGATTGACTTTGGATGGCGCATCAGATGGTTTATCGCATTTCTTCCTTCATCCCAAATTTTCCCAAATATTTTCATTTGAAATCTGGTCAGAAGCATTGAAACAATTATGTATTTCATTTTCAATTGGACATGGTTCAATAATATCACTTTCCTCTTATAATTATTCGAACAAACAACAAAAATCTCCAAATTGCTTCATTATCTCAATAATTATTCTAAGTGCTAATATATCTTTGAGTATTTTGAGCGGAGCTACGGTTTTTTCGAATTTGGGATTTTTGGCGAAGCAAAGGAAGTCAAGTATTTTTGAGATTGTTGAGAATCGAAAAAGTTTGATATTTGTGGCTTATTTGGAAGTTTTTGGAGAATTGGATGTTCCGTGGATTTGGGTTTTTATTTTGTTCTTGATGATGTTTTTGATGGGATTGAGTGCAGAAATTGGTGAGTTTTTTGGAACAAGATTATTACCAAAAAAATTATATATATTTTTTTTAGTTAAAATTTGAAACAGTAAAGTTTACAAAATTGAAATAAATTTTTTCGAGATTGCTGAAATTTTCTCAAAAATTTTAATGCTTGATATTCAAATTTTGAAACAGTAATTTTCTAGAAAAATGTTTTCAATCATTTTTTTCCTGCTAACCGAATGCTCACAAAAATTATAGAGACAGTAAATTTAAAATCAAATTTTCCAATTTTTTCAGCGCTGCTCGAAACGTTTTGCTCAAACATCTATGACAAATTTCCAAAAATGCGTAGAAAAAAATATATTGTGGTCCCAATCTACATTTTTCTTCTATCCATTCTCGGCCTGATTTTTTCAACATCTTCTGGATTTTATTGGTTCGAAATAATCGATGAATATTCGAGTTCAATTGCAATATTTTCAATTTTATCACAAACTCTGGTTCTAATGTATATTTATGGTTCAAAACATATTCGACAAGATATTATTGATTTGTTAGGAGTTTCGTCACATTTTCAATTATTTTTTGGTGCAAATTCGCCATTTTGGAGATTTAATTGGATGTTTATTAGTCCAATTATTGGAATTATTGGTTTATTAATTAATATTTGTCAAAATGGATTTTCGATTTTTGGCTGGATTTTGGTGATTCTTCCAATTTCAATAGTCCCAATTTTTGCGATCATCAATTTCATTCGATTCAAAAAAGTTTCAAAATCTGCTTTACAACTTCAAAAAGACCATCCATCTTATGATCGAATTAAAGGAAAATTAATATCCAAAAAAGTTGCTGAAAAGAGTTTACCAGAAGCATCTCCAAAAATTATAAAAGCACCTGAAGTCTTACAAAAATCGCGAAGAAAATCGGAGAAAAAAATGCACGAATTTGGATAAGAAAATGTTGAAAGAAATTCGAATTGAAATTGAGGAAATGAAAGAGGATTTGGAGAATTTGGCTGATAAAATTGATGATATTCAAGAGGAATTGAAATGCGAACCGTCTTGAGAATTGTTGTTCAGGTAATGAACTTTTTTATTGTTTTCTATTTTAGCTTTGAAGCTTTCTATCAAAAATTGCATTCTATGAATTGCATGCAAAACTAGCCGGGCAAAAATACGTTTCGAAATTTTCATATATTAGTAAAGGCCGATTGATCAAATAGTTTGCCATGCAATTCGTGGAGTTACCAGTGATATTTTTGGAAACCATTGCAAGTGATGGACTCATTCCAATACAAGTTTGAACATATTGACTAGGTCCCGTAAAATCATTAAATCCCGAATATTCAGACAAATTTGGTAATTCACGTATTATCTTTCCTTCGTCAAGGTAATTCCGATTTACGATCAATTTACGAGAACGAAAACATGATTCCGATTTTTGCATGGAAAAATTATCGATATTTCAAAATCAATAATTATCCAATTAAAGGTGTTTTATCAATACAAAGACAACATTTATCATTTTCAAGGATTTGTGATATTTATTCTGATGCGGAATTTGAAGAAGCTATGAAATTGCCCGAATATGAACCATGGGAGAATCGAAATCAAGAAGAAAATATAGAAAATGTGGAATAAAGTTTGTTTTTTGTAAGCTTTTGAAATTACCTACAAAATGCTAGAGTAAATCAAAAAAGATAAATCAAAAATTTATAGATCAGGCTATTTTCAAAATAATATTGTCTTTAGCTCTCGTATTTTCTGAAAAAAAAAATATTTTTTTTCCTCAAATGCTGGCTGGGAAAAATACGTTTCGAAATTTTCTCGAAAATAGAATTTCTTGCCATACAATCAGTCTACTTCGATAAATTGTTTTTCGATGAGTTTTCGATCAAGAAAAACTTCAACCGATTGCAGATCTTTTTGAGTGATAGAAAAAAATATCATTTTTAAAGTTTTTAAAATTTCTGAATCACTGCAAAAATATGTGCTTATAGTTGTCCAATATGATATATTTGCCATAATTTCATCAGATACTTCCGTTGTATTTGAAGAGACAACAAATCAGTTTTTTTTTAATTTAACACAAAATAAAGTACAGTAAACCTAGGTTACTGTTGTTTTTAACTTCCGTCCAAAATATTTTTTACCAAAAAATAATAGATTTTTCGAAGTAGTTACAAAGGAATATTGTAGCTCTCCTATTTAATATTTTCGACGTGACCTAGAAAAAGTACTTTTTTTTTCTTTTTTGAAAACAGTTTTTCAACTCCCCATTTTTAGTTTTCGTATAATTCCGAAATTAATTCGAGTTTTTTTGTTTTTTTGAAAAAATATAGCACTTTGTTTCTGAAAATGGTTGTATCAAATATTGGTGAGTACTGGAAAGATACATAATTTTGAATGTAAATATAGATTATATAAATTTCAATATGAAAATGTCCTACTTTTCCAGAATCCGAAAAAGAATCGTTCAAATCGCCAAAATCACTTCGAGATGATCCAAATTCGTCAATTCCAAACCCAGCTTTATCACCAAATATTTGTCAAAAATCGATCAAGAAAACACCACCAAAAATCCGGGAAAATTTACGCGAAAAAGATGGATTTCGAAATTCGTGGGAATTTATTTTGACAGCGATGGGTTTGAGTGTTGGATTTGCAAATATTTGGAGATTTCCACAAAAGGCACTGGAAAATGGTGGATGTTAGTGAGATTTTTTGGGGAAAAGGGGGGGGGGGTACTGTAGATACAGTAGTTTTCCAACTCTAATCTTTGCAGCCGCCTTCCTAATTGTATACATAATTTGTGCCATATTCTTTGGTCTTCCCACAATTTATCTCGAATTTTTCATCGGTCAATATCATCAAATTTCTTCGCCAATCATTTTCCAACGAATTTGTCCAATTTTGGAAGGAATTGGATGGATGTCTAGTATTTTATCGATTTTTTCATCAATTTATTATCTGGTTATAATTTCGTGGATATTGATTTTTATGATTAATTTGTTTCGAGGAGATTGGAAAATTTGGAATAAATGTGATAATTTATGGAATGATCCGGAAAGTTGTTGGAGAAACACATTATGTGCAAATAATTCTTTGGAACCCGAATTTGAATTTGAATCTGGATTTGAATACGAAAATTCAAAAAATCAATGGATCTTGTGAATTTCCAACTGATTTTCAAGGAATTTCACCTTCTGAACAATATTTTTCCAATCGGATTTTGAGAATATCACAAGGAATTTTGGATTTTGAAACGATTAATTGGCCAATTTTCATTTCTATGATTATTTGCTGGATTCTGGTTGGATTGATGATTTTTCGAGGAATGAAAATGATTGGGAAAATTAGTTATGTGAGTTTTTTCTTAAGAGACATTAGGGTAAACAGTAGAATCAAAATTTATACAAGTGGTAATCGAAGTTTGAAATCTTGGTTTTTCTTTTGTGAAAATTTTGAAACAGTAGAATTTTTTGGGAATGTTTTCTTGTTTCAAAAATTGGATCTTATTTTGAAAAAATTTTTGAAACAGCAAAACATTTTGAAGAAATTTGTTTACTGACGGGATGTATGACTCAGCAATTTTTGTTTCGAACATTTTTACTTGATGAAATTCTGAAACAGTGAATTTTATTCATAAAAACATATTTTCCAATGAATTTTCGAATATTTCCAGGCTAATGTGATTCTCCCATATTCCCTCATCATAATTTTATTCATCCTTGGATTGACTTTGGATGGCGCATCAGATGGTTTATCTCATTTCTTCCTGCATCCAAAATTTTCCCAAATATTTTCATTTGAAATCTGGTCGGAAGCATTGAAACAATTATGTATTTCATTTTCAATTGGATATGGCTCAATAATATCACTTTCCTCTTATAACTATTCGAAAAATAAACAACAAAAATCTCCAAATTGCTTCATTTTATCAATAATTATCCTAACTGCTAATATATTTTTGAGTATTTCGAGCGGAGCTACGGTTTTTTCGAATTTGGGATTTTTGGCGAAGCAGAGGAAGTCAAGTATTTTTGAGATTGTTGAGAATCGAAAAAGTTTGATATTTGTGGCTTATTTGGAAGTTTTTGGAGAATTGGATGTTTCGTGGATTTGGGTTTTTATATTGTTCTTGATGATGTTTTTGATGGGATTGAGTGCAGAAATTGGTGAGTTTTTTGGAATATTTTCGGTCAAGATTATTACCAAAAAAATTATATATATTTTTTTAGTTAAAATTTGAAACAGTAAAGTTTACAAAATTGAAATAAATTTTTTCGAGATTGAAATTTTCTCAAAAAATTTAATGCAAGATGAATGAAATATGTTTTATCAAAAGAATATCTGAATTTTTTGATATTCAAATTTTGAAACAGTAATTTTCTAGAAAAATGTTTTCAATCATTTTTTTCCAGCTAACCAAAAGCTCACAAAAATTATACAAATAGTAAATTCAAAATCAAATTTTCCAATTTTTTCAGCGCTGCTCGAAACGTTTTGCTCAAACATCTATGACAAATTTCCAAAAATGCGTCGGAAAAAATATATTGTGGTCCCAATCTACATTTTTCTTCTCTCCATTCTCGGCCTGATTTTTTCAACATCTTCTGGATTTTATTGGTTCGAAATAATCGATGAATATTCGAGTTCAATTGCAATATTTTCAATTTTATCACAAACTCTGGTTCTAATGTATATTTATGGTTCAAAACATATTCGACAAGATATTATTGATTTGTTAGGAGTTTCGTCACATTTTCAATTATTTTTTGGTGCAAATTCGCCATTTTGGAGATTTAATTGGATGTTTATTAGTCCAATTATTGCAATTATTGGTTTATTAATTTGTATGTGTCAAAATGGATTTTCGATTTTTGGCTGGATTTTGGTGATTCTTCCAATTTCAATAGTCCCAATTTTTGCGATCATCAATTTTATTCGATTCAAAAAAGTTTCAAAATCTGCTCTACAACTTCAAAAAGACCATCCATCTTATGATCGAATTAAAGGAAAATTAATATCCAAAAAAGTTGCTGAAAAAAGTTTACCAGAAGCATCTCCAAAAATTATAAAAGCACCTGAAGTCTTACAAAAATCGCGAAGAAAATCGGAGAAAAAATGCACGAATTTGGACAGGAAAATGTTGAAAGAAATTCGAATTGAAATTGAGGAAATGAAAGAGGATTTGGAGAATTTGGCTGATAAAATTGATGATATTCAAGAGGAATTGAAATGTGAACCGTCTTGAGAATTGTTGTTCAGGTAATAAACTTTTTTTGTTGTTTTTTATTTTAGCTTTGAAGCTCTTTATCAAAAATTGAATTCTATGAATTGCATGCAAAACTAGCCGGGCAAAAATACGTTTCAAAATTTTCATATATTAGTAAATTATTGGGTTGGTATGTTCTATTTCATTCTTTATGGATCTAGAAAAGCATACGTAATTACATTTTTTCACCATTTGGCATTTTATAGGTGATTTTGGGTCAAAATCTGAAACTTCAATTTTAATTCCAATAATTATTTTTTTTTAATAAATTTCCAAAGAAAAATTCACTGATTTTTTTAAATTCAGAAAGCCAAAATCTAATTAAAAGCATATTATTCTAATTCGATTCTTTGAGCCAAACAGCTGAATTTTCATAATTCTAGACTGATTTTTTCTCCGCCTAATTTTACTATTAAAAAAATGGAAACTTATCTGCAAACCACCTATAAAACATGTCCATCTTTCGATTATTTCGAATCCAACGATTTTCTCAAAATAACACTTCGAATTATTTCTATCATCACATTTCCTCTAACTATTTATTGCACATTTTTGATAATTTATGTGACGCCAGAATCAATGAAAAATGTGAAAGTTTGTTTTTTGTATGTTCATTTTTTCACTTTTTTGTTTGATTCTGTTGATGTGTTATTGCTGGAACCGTATTTATTTTTACCTGCTCCAGTCATTTATTTCAATGGTATTCTTTATGTCTATTTTGAGATCAATCATCATATTTTGGTTTGGTTTATACAATATTCGATTTATTGTAAGTTGTTTCTAGTGCTTGATGTTTTTTAACTCGAAAACACGTTTGATCGAATACTTAAAATTCGAAGAAAAAACTTAGCAAAACTCAGAACACAATACATAGACTCTGAAATTTCAAGAACAGATGTTTATTTCGTGTAACGTTTCTGAGAAATTGAGTCAGATCTGCCGAATAATTTATGTAAGAAAATAAATTGGGGACAGCTGATTTCTGGTTGAAAAAATATTTGAAAAGAAGCTGGGGAACACTACTTTACAATGAAATTAATAACAAAATTGGGAAAATTGAAAATGGGTAAGAGCTTCTTTTTTTTTTTTTTTTTGAAAAAATCACCCAAATATTTCACTCTTTCAAAAATTTTTGATCAATATGAATTAAAACCGATTCGATATTATAATAAGCTATTCTAATGAAAAAAAACCTTTTTCAAAACCCCCCAAATATGTTTTTCTTCAGTAATTGGAATGTCAGTAATATTTTTATATCAATCTCGTCACAGTATGATAATCACAGCCAAATATCGAATCACTAGAACCAGCACCAAAATAATTTATCACACGATTAGTTATCTTTTTGGTGCAATTGTTTTAGCTGTATACAATTTACAGGGTAAAAAATGGGCGTGGCACACACGATAATATTTGACCATTTTTCCAATCCTGGCACGCTTTTTTCCCAAAAGTGTTTTACTAACAAACATTTTGTAGATTACGATCAGGATACGGTCAAACTTAAATTCCTCCAAATTTATCCATGTCCTCCAATTGAATATTTTGATCAAAATGCACGAGTTATCACACCAAATCTCTCACTAATTATATATTTTCAATTTATTGCCATAATTTGGGTAGTTTGTCATGGTTGTTTTTGGGTTTTTGGAACGGTTTATGAACTCACCAAAAAGACTTCAAATATTTCAAAAAAGACGAGAGAAATGCAATTGAGATTTATCTATACAGTTAGTATTCAAATAACGATTCCAATTTTGGTTGTGATTTTTCCGGTTTCATATTTTACTTATATGATCGCGGCTTCATCTATTAGTCAATTTATGGATAATTTTATAGTTTTGTCAATGGGTTTACATGGATTACTTTCGAATATTGTATTGATTTTAATTCAGAAACCTTATCGAGATTTCACTTTTTGTTATTTTTGTAAAAACAAACATGAGAAAAAGGTGTTTTCAAAAGTTAGTCGTCAGCTTTGAAAATAAATGATTGTTGCATTTTTCCATAATAAAAGTTGTAGCAAGATTGCTAAAACTCGATATTCGTAGCAAAACATAGCAACATTTTCCCCGAGTGTATTCAAATTTTGGAAATAAAACATTTTTTGAACTGAATTTGATTTCTTCGCAAAACATTCAAATCAACGCAGATGATTCTAATTCAATTCTTTGAGCCAAACAGCTGAATTTTCATAATTCTAGACTGATATTTTCTCCGTCTAATTTTCCTATTAAAAAATGGAAACTTATCTGCAAACCACCTATAAAACATGTCAATCTTTCGATTATTTCGAATCCAATGATTTTCTCAAAATCACACTTCGAATTATTTCTATCATCACATTTCCTCTAACTATTTATTGCACATTTTTGATAATTTATGTGACGCCAGAATCAATGAAAAATGTGAAAAGTTGTTTTTTGTATGTTCATTTTTTCACTTTTTTGTTTGATTGTGTTGATGTGTTATTGCTGGAACCGTATTTGTTTTTGCCTGCTCCAGTGGTTTATTTCAATGGTATTTTTTATGGGTATTTTGGAATCAATCATCATATTTTGGTTTGGTTCGGACAATATTCGATTTATTGTAAGTAGTTTAATCCCCGTCTGATCAAATATTTCAATTTCGAAGAGAAATTCTTAGCAAAACTCAGAACACAATACATAGACTCTGAAGTTTCAAGAACAGGTGTTGATTTCGTATAATATTTCTGACAATGAGATGTTTTTTCAGTGGTCGGAATGTCAGTAATATTTTTATATCAATCTCGTCACAGTATGATAATCACAGCCAAATATCGAATCACTAGAACCAGCACCAAAATAATTTATCACACGATTAGTTATCTTTTTGGAGCAATTGTTTTAGCTGTATACAATTTACAAGGTAAAAGAATGGGCGTGGCACACACGATAATATTTGACCATTTTTCCAATCCTGGCACGCTTTTTTCCCAAAAGTGTTTTACTAACAAACATTTTGTAGATTACGATCAGGATACGGTCAAACTTAAATTCCTCCAAATTTATCCATGTCCTCCAATTGAATATTTCGATCAAAATGCGCGAGTTATCACACCAAATCTCTCCCTAATCATATATTTTCAATTAATTGCCATAATTTGGATAGTTTGTCATGGTCTATTTTGGGTTCTCAGAACGGTTCATGAACTCACCAAAAAGACTTCGAATATTTCAAAAAAGACGAGAGAAATGCAATTGAAGTTTATCTATACAGTTAGTATTCAAATAGCGATTCCATTGTTGGTTATGGTTTTTCCGGTTTCATATTTTACTTATATGATCGCGGCTTCATCTATTAGTCAATTTATGGATAATTTTATAGTTTTGTCAATGGGTTTACATGGATTACTTTCGAATATTGCATTGATTTTGGTTCAGAAACCTTATCGAGATTTCACTTTTTGTTTTATTTGTAAAAACAAACATGAGAAAAAGGTGTTTTCAAAAGTTAGTCGTCAGCTTTAAAAATAAAACATTTTTTCTGAAAAATACAATTTTGAATCTCGAATCGAACATTTTTTTCCATTTTTTTTCAGAGCAAAGAAATGAACACAATTTTTTTTTGCACTTTGAATAATTGGCTCAAATTTGACCTTGTTTGTATTTTGTGGGAAAAGTTCAAACTCTCTTCAACAAAAAACTACCATACTCTACTTTAGTCTGAAGGATCAACACATTTGTTATTCTGGTCTCATAGCGAATCTACAGTAACCCATATAAACTCATACCCATTAAAAAGTTTCAAAAAAATATTTATCCACAAGTAAAAAAATAGAGGAATGAATAATCAAAATTTTACATCGATTTTATAAGTGTTACAAGTAACACGAATTTTCTGTGATGTTGTTGTTTCGAATTCAAATCCTTTACTAATAGTTCCATTAGAATTGATTTTCTCCCAAGTATTCATAACACCCAATTCTTCGCGATTCAAAATTGAATTATCAATTCTCCCATCATACCAGAATGTGATGAGCGGCTTCTCTTTCTTTCCCTCATTTTTCACCCGAATCAAAAACTGATAAAATAAACTGCTATCAAAATTCTCCTCGAATTCCATGTTTGCCCGATTGCCTTTGAAAGAGAATGCGAATTTGTAGGCGTCATCTTGACGAATGTGCAATGTTACAGTCTTGATTTGACATAACTGAAAACAACTGGGGATTTAATAAAAAAAATTCTTGAATTTTCAAAACCTACCTTATTTTCAGTTATAATATCAGCTTCATAAATTGATTCCAATGATTGGGGCCAAATCCGAAACTCAAAATTATCCAAATTTGTTAAATAATCGAGTTTGATTCCAACAAGAGTTGTAGATTCATTGAAATCCTGAAAATATTGATTTTTGCGGAGGCTAAGCATGATAATTTTTACTCACCAAAATGCGGCATCTGACAATTGAATCATTATACTTTTTGAATAAATAGTTCAAATATTTTGCCCTGATTTCCTGTTGTCTTCCAACTATAGTTGTTAGAGATGTTGGATCAAAACCACTGAAATTTCATTGAAATAAAAAAATATTATCGAATAAAACAAACTATCTTACATTCCATAGCTGACAATAGTTAGATTTTTATTGAATTTTTCGAGTTTTTCAAAATCGAAGTACACCGATTTGCCAAAATCGTCTGATACATCAAAGGTAAATATCTCTATCTCGTTTTCAATTGAAATTGTCGTGATTTTCGGACCCGATTTCATAACTTCTTCTTCACAACTTTTTGCGCACTCCGAAAAATTGCATCGGGTTTTCAAATCCATCTCAACAATCACCATTTCTCTCATTTCCAAAGGTAAATCGAACCAGGAAGTTTGGAAGGGCTGAAATTTGTTGTCATAAATCAATAATTGGAATTTACTTACATAAATATATCCATTTTGATTGATTATTTCATTTCTCAGTCGAATTGTATAATCAAGAAGTTCGGAATGTGAGAATTTGAGCAATTGATCATTAGTTACATTCATTTTTAACAGAAATAGTAATGCCGTTAATTTCGTAAAAACCGAAAAATAAAAAATGAGCAAAATTTCATGTGGAAAAACTAGATCACGTCACGTTTTTGTTTTTTTTTTTTTTATTTTCGGACTTTTTATATGTCTGAAAAAATAATAAAGATCAACACCAGAAAAAATGCATATTTTTTCCCCAATTTGTTGGTTTCTATAGTGAAAAAATGAAAAGATCTCCACCAATTTGTTTTCATTTGTTTCAGACCAAAGAAACACACTTTTTTGCACTTTGAATAATTGGCTCGAATTTGACCTCGATAATTCTGTTTGCAAAAATGTAGACTTTTTTCGGCTCATTTTGCAAGCAACCTATTTATGTTCTAGGAAAAGCCCGGCACAATTTTTTTGGTTCTCTCAAAAAATAACATTTAAAATTTCGAAATAGATTAGATTTAGAACATAAAAGTGATTTATTTGTTTTTTTTTTCTCATCATTTTTTTAGGCTGACATTGAGAAATTACAACATTTTTTTTCATTTTTCGAAAATTGAAGCAAAGATAAACCACAAGCTTTCGTGAAGTGCTACAATTTTCTAATTTTGATATAATTTTTTATGATAGATCTGAAACATTTTTCTCTTTCTCCGCGTTGAAAAATGCGAGGATTTTTTTCGGGTATATATTACACGATGTGTCTTTCGCCGAAAGCTTTCAACCTCCCGCGTTTCCGGAAAATTGCAGAACAAGCTTCTTCTTTTTTTCTTGAATTTCGTTTTTTTTTTGCAGATGCGAAAAAATTCATGGATTTTATTGTCAATTTGTGTGACGATTACTGTAGTTTGGATTCTTTTTGTGCGATTTTGAAGGTGTGAATTCTAAAGAGTTTTTGTAGGGAAATCTGGAGAAAAAACCTTTTCAAATTTTTCTGGAACCTTGGAAGTTTTGAAAAAGTGAAAAAATATATTACAACGTTTTTCTGAATCCTCAAGTTCAAGTTTCAATTTTTGAGAGTCAGTCGAGTTCAAGAAATCATCATTTTTGAAAACCACAACATTTTTTGAAACAGTGGGATTTTTGAAATTTTCTAGTTGAAACATTTCGAAATAGTGAACTTTGTTTTGAAAACTGGACTTTTTTCTATAAAAAATCAAAACAATCAGAACTTCAAAAATTTCATAAAATTTTGAAACAGTGATTTTTTCTAGTAAAATATAAATAACTAAAAATGTGAATTTCAGCCCATGGAGTTGAAAAGCTGATGTTGAAAATTTATTGTAGAATTTTTGAAACAGTAAACTTTTTGAACAGAAAAAACTTCAAATGAACAAAATAAATTGGTCAATTTGATCAGAAATCTAATCTTGAAAACCAATAATACAAATTTGAAACAGTCATTTTTTGCAGACTCCGATTTTCTGTCCGATCCTCCATGCAACAAATCCATTAAAATCTTCGAAGCAACTGGATTTTTCGGAGATCAAATTAGAAATTCCGCATTTCTCTCGCATTGTTCAAAAGAAGTTCAGGAGTATTGTGGAATTACGAGACGAAAACCTGATTTTGAAAAAGCTGATGCTGTTGTATTTCATGCCAGAGATTATAATCACGCGGTAGATTTTCTAGAATTTGTGGAATTTTCAGATCCACAGAATTCATATTGTTAATAATTCCAGAAATCTCGATGGCTTTTTGAAAATCAAAATCGGAATGCCAAAATTCCCTATATAATTTGGACCATGGAATCTCCGATTTCTGAACAAAATTTTCCGAATTCTATGAACTTGACAATGTCTTATGATACTGCCTCAGATATATATTTTCCTTATGGACATTTTCGTCGAAAAAATCAGAAAACTGCTGAAAATTTGGAGGAAATTTGGAAAATGAAGAGGAAATCGGCTGAAAGTGGAGCTGAAATTGCATGGATGGTTTCGAATTGTGAAACAGTGAATCGGAGAATGGAAATTGTACAGAAATTGAGGAAATTGGGTTTGAAGGTTGGTTTGGGATAATTAGGGAATATTTGTACTGAGTTCAATGAAGTAATTATCATTTTTTTGGGTTGACAAATATGTTTACATAAATTTTGAAACGTAAAAATTTAGGTTTGAAATCATTGACATTTTGAAACATTTTTTGAGAAAAAATTCATTTCTTTTGGAATTTTTCACCGTTTCAAACTTTTATTATTAAGTTTTGGAAAAATTATTTATACACAAATTTTGAAACAGCAAAAAATGTCCATGTGGAAAACTTTTTACGAAAAATCCATTATCATTTTTCTCGAAAATACTTGAAAAGGCTTATCAGAAATTAGGAAAGCTATATTTTCAAAACGTTTTGAAACAGTAAAGTAATCCTTTCTTTAATTTTCAGATCGACATTTTCGGAAAATGCGGAATTCTCCCAAAGCAATGTTCAATATCCGAAGCCACTTCAAAATGTGAATTCGATCTAATTTCCCCCTACAAGTTCTATATTTCGATCGAAAATTCGAATTGCAAAGATTATATCACTGAAAAATTCTGGAGAAATATCAAAAATCGATTTGTGGTTCCAATTGTTTTGGGCAAACAATTATATTTAGATTCTGGAATTCCAGAAAAATCATTTATTGCTTTGGATGATTTTGAGAATCTTGAAATATTCAAAAATTTCATAGAGAATTTAGCTGAAAATAAAACAAGGTATCTGGAATTTCATGAATGGAGAAATGAATTTGAGTAAGTCTCAAATATTTTTAAAAAATAAAGATAAAATTTTCTTCCAGGATCGATGATGTTCTTGGAGAAGGAAGTAATGACCATGGATTTTGCAAATTATGTCGGAATTTGAAATCGAAAAAATATTCAACAAATTTGAAATCTTATTCAAATTTAGTTGGAAGTTGGCATAAATTAGAAGACTGTGATAATAAATTAGGATCTCAATTTTTGGACGGGTCAGCGAATATTTTTTATTTCTCAAATAAATTAGGTTAATTATTAATTATTGCACGAATTCCATTCACAAAAATTCGAAATCTTTTGTTTTCTCATAAATTTTTGTGAATTTATGAGTTCGACCTTTGAATTCTCGAACCATGTATTGAAGAAGTCGATTATTTCGAATTGTAAACCAACGTTTCATCTGCAAAAAATATTTTTTGATGTTTATACTGCGAACAGTAAATTTTTAAAATATAATTTTTTGAAACAGTTAATTTTTGGAATACGCTTATTGCTTTTGAAATTCCAAAAAACAAGAATAATTGAAAACATTTACCAAGAATCAACAATTTTCAATTTGAAATTTCTCAAAAAACATTTCTGAAACGTATGAAATTCTGGATTTTTTTTAAATGTTACTAGGGTTTTTGCCTCTAATTTCAGAAAATTTGAAAACAATATTTTTCTCAGAGGTAGTTTTTTACAAAACTGAATAACTTACCTTTTCCGGTTTCTTCGCCAAATTTTCCTCTTTATGATAATAAACATAAGTTGGTGTTAGAACAAACATTTTTTCATCTTTTCGATCAATAATTTCACCTTCTTCAATCATAATCAATCCAGTATTTGATACAGTAGTCATTGCTCCTTTTTCCTTATTTTCTTCCAAATTTTCTTGTTTATACTGTTGAATTGTGATAAATCCATTAGAAATATGTGAATTTTCCAAATCTTCACTAACAATTTCCGACGAATAATTCAAATATGATGTTCCAAACATTAGCGATGGAATAACTGATATTGTTAGTGTCTCATTATAATTAATTGTATTAATTAGATCAATTGGATAATCAGTTGTATGATTATTATATCCTTTTATTGATGTTTTCCATTCACCCAAAAGCCAATGAAAAGGATAAAGAATTGGTTGAAGTGGAATATAATTGCGGGAATATGGACTGAGAGGTTCGACTGAAGAATAATTGAGATTTTAGACATGAAAAAATTAACATGTAGAAATTTTTTGGAATAAAAATTATTTTCTTCTTACAATTGGTTCTAGAATATTTTTCCTTTCTCCCAAAAACCACTGTTTCAAAAATTATTCAAACAAAATCTGCTCTCAACAATTTTAGTTCGTCTTTATTTGAATTTCCTAGGAAAAATCACTGTTTCAAAAATTCTTATAAAAATATTTGACAAAAAATTGATTAGTAACCCTCTCTGCAGAGAAAAAAAACAAGTTCTATTTTTTTGCAAAAAAAAAATCCACTGTTTCAAAAAATTCTCATGAAACTTTTACATTAAAGATTTTTGATAAGGTCTCGAAACTTCCAACCCTCAAAAATCCTCCTACCTTCAGTCAAATTCGAATTCAAATCCCCTTTCTGTCTACAAATTCCACAAGATTCAGCACAATTCACATCGAAAAAATCGGTCTGCTCTCTCATAAATTCGCATTGTCCCTCTCTTCTCCATATTTTACATGATCCATAAATATCCGAACATTTTCTTTCACAATTTTTTCCCATAAAACCATCGGCGCATTCGCAAATATATCCATTTCGGATATCTGTGCATTTCGCGTCATTTTGACACTTTTTCCAGTCACATTCATTGATTTCTGCAAAAAGTAAAATTTTTGATAGGAAAAGTTACTGTTTCAAAGTTTTCACAACAGAAATTTGAATGTTTTTACTGCATTCTCAGTCTCGTATTAGGAAGAATGAATTAAAAACTTTTTGCCATGTGAATTTTCAGAGCAAAAATAATGCTTCAGGATTTTTCAATTTATTTTTGAAATTCTTAACGCTTGACCTTCAGAGAAAAACATCATTTTTTTGTAGAAAAAGTTACTGTTTCAAAATTTTCATAATTGAAATTTTAATTTATTGGAATCGTTCTCACCAATCTGACATCTTTTTCCAGTTGTTCCAGGCACACATTTACACGCAAAATTCGCCGTATTCGGTTTCAAATAACAAATTCCTTCTTTCTTACAAAAATCTTCAGGACATTTTCGATCACAAAATTCTCCATGATAATCATTTTGACATTGGCAAGTGTAGTTTTGAGCAGAATTTGGGGAAGAATTTGGTATACATGTGGAATTGTTTTGACAGTAGTTGGAAATGCAGACGGGGTCTGGAAAAATAATACTGTTTCAAAATTTTTTCAAGAAATTAATGTGAAGCTAAACTTTTCGATGTGAACATTATTAGTTCTGAAGAAAAATTTAAAGCTCAAAAATTTTCGTCAAAAATGTCCATGTAAAATTTGCTGTTTCAGAAAAAATTGAATTTCTGTATTTTTCGGTCCAAAAAAATGTACGTTTCAAAAAACCTCCGAAAATTTTCAGCCCATCTTTTTTTCAATTCCAGAACGTTTCCCAGTTGCCAAAAAAATATTTCCAAATTCTTGTAAAATAATCCACTGTTTCAAAAATATTTAAATTTTGGAGCTCCAAACTTTGTTTTATCTATTCCTGACAGTAAATATTATGTCTAATAAAATTCCTACCAATTTCCTCTTTCAACAATTTCTTCACTTCTTCTTCTTCTTCATTCTCATTTCCACTTCCATTTTCCTTTTCCTCCTCCAAATCCACAAAATCATGTTGAACATTATGATTATTCAAAAATCTCAAATCATCTTCTCTCAAAATCGTATCATTTATCGGAGCGAATTTTTTGAAAATCCTTCCAACCATAAAAGCCGTAACCTGTGAAGAATCCTCAGTGAATTTCGATGTGAAAATCGATGATTTTGGCTGAAATTTTTTACAAATTTCACAGGATTCTACAAAGCCAGAAACCCTACCTCTTCTTCCGCCAAAATTCCACTTCCTTCCTGTTCGCCATCAGAAATTCCAAAAACCTTTTTATCCACCTCAAAAATCGTCAAATTCTTCTCTTTCAGAAATTCTTGTTGCTCCTCGAAAAGTGGATATTCGGAAGCTTTCACTTCGGTTTCCATATTATTTTCGACATTATTTTGATTATTGTATAAAAATAATTCTTCTTTCAATAAATCGCCATTTTCATTTGGTCCCAGTAGAAAAGAACTTCTTGGTCGCCATTTCTCCCAATATAATTGATTTTCAGTGGCGATTGTGGCGCTGAAATTTTTTTTCCAAATAAAAAAAAAAGATAAAAATAGCTGATGAGAGTGGGATTCGAACCCACGCCCCCGAAGGGACTGGTGCCTTAAACCAGCGCCTTAGACCGCTCGGCCATCTCACCACATGTTTCTATCTCTCAAAAATGTCAATAAAAAGTACTCACACAAATTGTACATTGCCAATATCTCTCGCGGTGGTCCATTTTGTTTCGGCCAGGAATTTTTTGTCATCAATTGTGTGGGTGAGAGAATCGTTGGTGTGAAGACGACCGCATTGGTGGAATTGAAGACCTTGAAATAAAAATATTTACTGATGATTGATTTTTTTGAGGAAAATGAGGAAGCTGAGTTGGCATCAGGAAATGTCACGCTTGAAAATAATAAAATATTTTATTTTTCATTCTCAAGATTTTCATGTTTTTCTGTGACAAAAAAATGAAAAAAAATATCGATTAATCCACTGTGTTTTTTCTAATAGAAAAATGCAATTTCGAGGAGACGCAGACACTCGCTGGTCTCGACACGATGTGTGTCTGCCACACACTATTTCTCTCCCTTTTTCGGCGAGAGATTTGTCTGCACACGTTAAAGTCTGCGTCTCCCTCGAATTGCAAAAACACAGGGGTTTTTTCACTACCGAGTCAATGCAAAATTGTAATCGAGCAAATAGGCTCCGCCCATCTTTTTCCGCACAGACATGTGGGCGGAGCTTAGGTTTTCAGATTTTCAAAAAGAAAATTGAAAACCCTTTGGCTCAAAAGACACACAATAAAAAGAAAAAAGTCGGGCTATATGTGTGTTTGCAGCGACCGACATCTCGCGAGGCCGGCCACACGCTATTGTTTTTTTTGTCGGCCACGTAGCGTGCTGTTTGCGGAGGTTTTTTGTCGTCAGATAAAATGTTTTGTACGTGATTAATTCTCGGTAGTGAAAAAACCCCTGTGATAAAAAAAAATACAGTGAATCTGATGTGTTTGAATTCCCGCCCGTGTTTGCAACCCATCGCACGGCTTTTTGCAATCGGTGCATGGTTTTTGGGAGATTTTATTTTTGTTTTTTTTTCAGAGAAAAACATGTTTTCAGGGGTTTTCAATGTGTTTCGGCTGGTCTTCTAAATTCTAATCGTCTCAAAACTTGAAAATAGCAGTTTCCCATGATTTTTTCCCGCTCCAGGTAATTTTTTTTACGGATAGGTTTTTCGAAAATTCATAAAACCCTAGGTTCAATTTTCTGCTTTTTCCAGCATTCTCCTCAAGAACTACACCAGCTGGAATTGACTCAAATCATGGATTTGTATACAGAAAAATCAATGAACCTGCAAAAATTGATCAAAAATCATGTTTTTGAAGGATTTTTACTTCTAGGTAAATAATTTACGTATTGCTTCTCCGAAAATTCAAAAAAGCCGTATGTTCAACGTATCCTAGTTTCCAGACTACTCAAACTCACCATGCGCTTCCCATTGTTCATCCTCAATGAATTTGCCGCCACGAAGAGTTCCAATGATTTCTCCTCGAGAAGTACACAACCTCGTCTGCAACATCAACCCGCGAAAATGCACATAGGCCTCCAATTTCACACGATAGATTTTGCCTGGCTCATATTTTGCAACTTTCTGGCCGGATTCAATGTCAAAAATCGATAAATCGAAGGGTGGATCGGCGGATTGCGGGTTGCCGTGTAGTTCTCGTGGAAGACGCATGGAATCTCTAGAAATTGGATTTTTTTGTTGTTGGGAAACATTTTTCTCAAAAAATAGACAAAGTGTCCCTTTTTGATGATCTATAGTTAGATCCTTTAATCTTCAAATTTCATCTTTTCTTCGACTTCAAATAAAAATTAATGGCAACGCCCTGACCTTAATCAAAAATACAAAAGCCATTTTGAAGAAATGTCCGGGAAAATTCTGGATTTACAAGGAATTCGAGGAATCGCAATTTTGGCGGTGCTCGGTTTCCATTTCTTTCCAAAATGCTTTCCAAATGGTTATTTGGGCGTGGATTTGTGAGTTTTTTGGGGGATAAAAATTATGGTCCCCACCCCTATTTTTTTGCAGATTTTTCGTTTTATCTGGATTTCTAGTCTGTATGCTGCTCACTGGCTCCGAAGCCGAAAACATGACAAAAATCGAGATTTTCTGTGATTTCTATACGCGAAGATTGCGTCGAATCGTGCCCCTATATTTTCTATTTATCCTAACTTCTCTAATTTCTCTCCACACATTTTTTCCCAAAATTGTTATTGAAAGAAACGAAAAATCAGCGAAACGCGCAATATTTTTCATCTCAAATCAACTAAAATCAAATGAGGATAATTATTTCGAACAAATGAATTCGGCTTTCGATATTTTCACACACACTTGGTCGATTTCTGTCGAAATTCAATTCTATTTATTGGCCCCATTCATATTTCTGGTGAATTTTGGAAAATTGCCAAGAAAATGTGTTTTTTCCGGATTATTGTTGATGAGTTATGGTTACAATTTCATGTATTTACAAGAAGATTTGGCTTTTTTCGATATTTTTGCGAGATTTTGGCAATTTTTTATGGGAATTTTGGTGTATTTATTTTGGCGAGAAAAACGATCTCAAGATGATTATGATATTCTGATGGATAATGAAGATTCTGAAGAAAATGAGAAGAAGAACAATTGGATTTTCCAGACAGTTTTAGTGGTTTTATTGATTTTTGGTGTATTTTTACCAATTCCAATTCATGCGAAATTTTTGAGGTGAGAATTGTTTTTGGAAATGCTTTTAGAAACATTCTTATGTAAGCTGGTTCCACGTGGCAATAAAGAACAATTTGAAAAATGAACATTTTCAAGAAAAAAAATCCTCCCGATTTTCAGTCAAAAATTTTTTGAAAAAATTAAAATTTTCCAGGCCTATTTTCACATTTCTAACCGCTATTATAATATTTCTATCAAATTCCGATCAAAATTTCATTCTCTCCAACAAAATTCTCACATTTTTCGGTGATATTTCCTATTCTCTATATTTATTTCACTGGCCAATCTATTCTTATTGTAATTTTTATGGTGAAACTCCTGATTTCAATTATTATATAATTCTATTTATCTCTCTATTTTTATCGATTTTAATTGCTATAATTCTGCATTTTTCTTTTGAAAAATGGTATCTCCAACAGAAAAACATTATTTTAATAAGTCTAATTATATTTTTTGTTATCCCGATTATCGCAATTTTAAATCTCGAAAAAATTCCAAGTAAAATTTCGAATCCCGTGGAAATGATGAATATTGAATGGAGTTTGAAGGATCAACAAAATTTGAGATATTCTAAATGCTTCATTGAAACTGGTCATTTGTTTGGAAAATGTTATCATTCGGATCTTAATTCCGATTCAAATTCGACGAAAAATGAGAAAAAATTCAAAATTATGCTGTTTGGAAATAGTTGGGCAGCTAATCATGCTGCAATTGTTCATGAGGAATGTGGAGGAAAAGCGAGCGAGATTTTGCAGATTGCTGCGGCTGGTAAGAGATTTTTAAAAAAATTGATGAACCTTTTTGAATAAAAATATTTGTAAGTGTTTCAAAAGTCAAATTTAGAAAAGACCTTCATAGGAAAAATTCTAATTTCAAACCTTTATATTTTTTCTGTTCTAAAAATCGGAGAATTTTTGTTGTTCCAGAAATTTTTAGTCCTATTTTTCAGGCTGCGAACCTCTTGTGGAACTCGAATGTTACGATGGTTGCAATAAATTTTCGCTCGAAATTCAAGAAAATCTCAAAAATTTCCGTCCCGATTATGCATTTCACATTGTACGGCCTTTTGGACTCACAGAAAATTCCACGGAAAACTTGGAAAATGATCGAATTTTCCAATTTATGCTCGAAAAAACACAAGAGATTTCAAAATTTGTGTCGAAAAAATTGTACTTTTTGAATTCGATTCCGGATGTAAATACGAGAAATATCGCGAGAATTGTGCAGTTTTTGGAGAGAAATCAGACAGATCAACTTGATGTGAGTTTTAAAAAACAAATTTGTTAATTAATTAATTTTTTTTTTATAGAAAATCCTGATAGATTCTGAAAATCACTATGAAATTGCTAGAAATCGAATCACCAATTTGGTCGAAAAATGTGGGGAAAAATGTGAAATTATCGATTATTATCCGCTTTTTTTCAATGAGAAAACTGGAAATTTCAGATTTTATGATGAAAATGGATATTCGTATTTGACAGGCGGAAATCATTTGAGTCCAAAAGGATTGGAATTTATTAGACCGGTTTGGAGAAAATTGTGTGAGGGTATTTGAAAGTTTTTTTGGAATGAAAAAATTTACTGTTTCAATTTTTATTTTAAATTTTCGAGGATGGGGAAACAAATAATGCCAAACTCTTTTTTGAAAGAAAGAAATGCTGCTTTCAAGAAAAAATCCACCTAAAGTTGCAATTTTCATCCGGAAATCTTTCACTGTTTCAAAATATCTATAATTTTTTTCGAAGATCTGATTTTTCAATACTAGATTCTGAATTAGAAAATATTGTTCTTATCGTAAAATCTAAAAAAAATCTTCTCCCGATAAAAAATTGAACTGTTGCATAATCTCTTTTTTCTACAATAAATTTCCCCAAAATCTTTTTTTAAACCTCTCAAAGTTTACTGTAACTAACCTGCTATAACAATGAAATCCACTAGTCTCAAACAATCCTTTCGGCCATTTTTCTGACATTTCTTCACAGCTCAAAAAATGCCATAAAAATTGAATTATTAGAAAAAATCGCATTTTTAGCTTTAGCTGAAAAATGACCAGATAAATAAATACATAAAAAGATAAGAAAAACAACAAAAAGAATGATAAAATTAGTGGAACATGACGAAATTAATGGGAGAAAAAAAAGAAAATTAATAAAAAAACATAATAACAAGATTTCTAGAAGCTGGAAAAAACTGGAAGTTTTTGGGAGAAACATTTTTGGAACCAGGAATATTTACTGTTTCAAAAAAATTTAAGGTTTTTGGAAAAATTATAAGTTATTGCAACTAAGTAGAATTCGGAATTTTTTTTTGAAAAAAAAAACAGTTGGGAAAAATACGTTTCAAATTGTTTTGAAATAAATTTTGATTTTTCGAAAAAATGATATCAATTTTTGACTGAAGAAATTTTTTTTGAGAATATTTCGGGGAAAAAAATTACGGTTTCGAAAAAATAGCACAAGGTTAAATGAAGATTTTGTTCACGTAAACGTGAACTTCAAAATTAGAAAAAAATTTTGACTTCTATTTTTTCAGGACTGAAAATTTACCGTTGGTTAGATTAATTTTTTTCAATTTGGGAAAAAATTGGTTAAAATTTTTATCGAAAAAAATTCAAAATTCAGAAAAAAAATAAAATATAGTGAGCCTCCCGCTTCAAAAAATAGTTTTGAAAAACCTTGAAAAATTACTGTTTCAAAAAATTCATAACATAAAAATGCTATTCAAAAAAAATCGTTAACAATTTTCAACTTCCGCGAAAAAATCACACCTTTTCCACTTTTTTTTTCAAAAAACATTCTCTCAAAAAGTTACTGTTTCATCAAAAATATTTTAAAAAAAATCTCGCGGTTTCAAAAAAAACTTCAAAAAGTGCAGACATAAAATCTTCTTTCTTCTAAGTTTTTCTCAATTTTTCCCGCCAAAAAAGACCAGTTTATCCCAAAAAACATTTGACGCTAATGTACTTTTTCATTCATTCAATCCCAAAAGATAAGATAAACTTTTTATTCCGTAAAAAATGTGAAGAAAACAACAAATCCTCCTAGAAATCTATAAAAATCTGCGAAAAAATCATGCAATATAGGGGCAACTTATATAAATTATACATAATAAAATTGGGGGAAGGGGGGGGAGTACTGTAGCTATGACAAAATTTTACCTATAAAAAATTGAAAAAAAAATATGGCAAGTTGTACAAAAAAAGGCGGGGCTAGGGAAAAATCGAGAAATTGTTGGGGGAAATAATTAATCCTCATCTTCTTCATCACTTCCATGAATTGATGGACGACGAGAAGTTGCAGCTGATGGAACCTGAAAAATGTAATTTGTACGATTTTTTGGACAAAAATGTTCGCAAATCTTCAAAGAACTAATAAATTATTGGATTACGGGACCGAAAAAAGTATTAAACTAATCAAAGTATCTCATATAATTAATAAAATCTTGAAACAGTAGATTTTTGGATTACAATTTTTTTTTGAAAATTTGAAACATTATTTTATTTTCGGGGGAAAACACACTTTCCGAGAAACATTAAATTTAAATATATCAGATTCCTCCTAAAAATTGTTCCTAAAATTTTAACTAAAAACTAAACTACAAAAATGCTAACATTTATAAAAACCACGTGGAATGTTCATGGAAAAAACTGTGAAATCAACCGATATTTCAGGCTCTGCATGTCGTTTTAAGATACACAGTTCCTGCAATTTCATCAGAAAGTAATGCGAAAATCTGATTTTTCTGGTTTTTTTAAAATCAGAATCTGATTTCTATTCAAATTTCCCATTTCCCCCAAAATCGCTCACTTTTCCCTCATTTTCCTTGATAATTTTCACAATATCCGGATGAAGACGTTCCAAAGCCATACGACGAGCTTCTCTGCAAAAATTGACGAGATTTTTCAAAATTAATTTCAGGCAGGAAACAAGAAAAAGCTTACCTATAAAATACTCCCAAATTTTTCCAATCCAACAATTCCGACAATCGTTCGGTGGAATTTCTCAGAATAATACGTTGGCGGCGAGACATTCCACAAAATTCGTACCTGCAAAAAATTGAGAAATAAAATTTTTTTGGGGTTTTTTTGGGCAGATCCCTATTTCATCAAATGTTGATTTAATTTGCCCTACTTTAATTAACAAAGTGAATTATTTTACCAATTTTGTTTCTCGCAAATGTTTTTTTTTGTTGAAAAAGAAAAAAAAATCAAAAAATCTCAATGTCCAAAAAGAATATAAATTTTTCGAAACAGTAAATTTTTTTGAAAACTTAAAACTTCAGGCAAAAAATCAAAGAATCACTTTTCATTTCATTTTCAAAGTGTTTTTGATACTGTTGTATGATCAGAAAATTCATCAAAAATTCCAATGTCAAAATGAAGTATGAAATTTTGAAACGTATCTGATTTTGGCGTTTTTTAATGAATGGCCAAAGCCTTGTTTCGTGAAATTACGGAAAATTCCCCCACTTTTGAATGTCTTAAAGAAATTTTAGAAACAGTAAGTTTTTGAAGAGGAAATTAGACAATTTCAGAGAAAAATCGGTGTCCAATTTTAAAAACTTCATATAATTTTTTGTATGATTTTTCAAATCTAGATTTCCTTAAAATTTCGATCATTTTCAACCCACAAAAAAACTCACATCATTTTCGCCAATTGCACAACCGATTCTTCAGCATCTTTATATCTTCGATCAACAACATAAATTCCATACTCATCTGGATCTTCAACATGTTCTTGCATGAAACAACCGAAACCAGACAAATTTGTTGAGACTGACGGAATTCCCATTACTGTACATTCGGCTGGAGTGTAGCTGCAAGAAAATAAAAATTTTTATTGGAAACAATTTTGGAAAAATCGGAATATCAAAAAAACTCTGCACATTTGCGGGTACGAAAGTTCATCTTATTATTCTAAATCACCCATCTCAAATCTTCATCATCGTAATTTCCCAATTCTCCTTTTTAATGTATTTATTTTGATTTAAAGATGTATTTTCATTTTCTCTACGAATTTTCGTGTAAATAAATGTGATATGAATAAATAAATAAAAATTTTGAAACAGTGAAATTTAGAAGAACATTTTTCCCAGAAAAAAAATTAATTTTTCTCAAACAGTTAATTTTTACAAGTCAATTGTGGAATTCCAATGATTTTCAAAAAAAAATTCCGAGTTTTAACATTAAAAATTTGAAACAGTGAAAAAATGTAAATTTTCAGAGGACATTTTACAAAGCTGATTGGAACTTTTTTGAACAAAATTCAAAATTTCTGGGTAAAATTTATAATCTTCATAATTTTCCAGAATTTTTTGATCAACGAATTGAACATGTACGACAATAAAGTCCCAAAATCATCAGAAAAATTCAATATTTCTTGAAACAGTGACTTTTCCTGCAATTTTTCCACTTCGAAATTGAATAAAAGTAACTATTATATATTTTTTGAAGGAAAATTGCGAGGATTAAAGTACTCAGGGAATCACGGGCGAGATCTCCGCGATTCGCGGGACCCAGAAATCCGCGAAATCGCCGCGAACACGCCGCGATTTCGCGGTTTTCTGTCTGCGAATCGCGGAAATCTCGCGGTTCTCTCTCAAAAATCAAAAAGTAGAGGCGCCGCGAGACACAACTAATCGCTTTTAATCATACTCACTCGGCCGGCCTCGATCCGACACTCTCCGCCTCGCACACATTCCTCTTACCCACTTGACCATCCACGCGCACGACTCATATCGCTGAAACGTGTTTCATATCTCTGCACTCTTGTCGTGACAGCCCGCGAAATTCACGCGAAACGCAAACTTTTCTGCGTTTTGCGGAAATCTCGCGACAAAATATTTTCGACCGAGTCACTTCGCTAAATTTGCGCAATTCGCAAATGTCCACCGCGAAGTTTCCGCAAAACGCTGGACGCCCGCGAATCGCGTAGATCTCGCCCGTGATTCCCTGAGTAAGACGAGTGAATTATTTTCCAACAACCGATAAAATTTACTAAATAATATTTCTTGAAACGTATTTTTTTCTTGAAAAAAATTCCCCCCCAAAAAACCAACCCCCATGGTTCATAATAAGACGGGAAAACACCCAAATGACATCCGCGAACAAAATCCTCATAATCCAAACCAATCAATGGTGAAACAGAAGACAGGAATTCTGGAAAAAAAATCAACATTTAGAACCATTTTAAAAATCCACTGTTCCAAAATTTCCAAAAGAATCTCTCATCTACTCAAATCGTTTTCGAGTTTAAAAAAAATCCCTAAAATCTGACTTACCAGGATGAAAAACGACTTTAACCCGATCTTCTGGTCGATTCAACAAATTGGTCCGTCTCAATGCATTTAATACCGGATCGTCTCCTTGAATCATGTTATGAGTACAAATTGGAGGAAGTTGCGATTTTTGCATTGCCATCATACATCTTTTTAGCTGTAATAAAAGTAAGTTTGAGTAGGTAGAGTCTCTGAGTGATCGGGAAAAACTAGAATTGAACTTTTTGCTATTTTTGTTTCGAATTTTACAACAAAACATTTGCCAAACATATTGTTGGTTTAATTTTGGTTCGCATTATCAAAATTTCTTGAAACAGTAAAACATTTTTGTTTGTTTGTTTTTTTTTTTGGTAATTTTCCCCTTAATTCAACACAAATTATAGACTTTGTGAATTTTTCTCAAAAATTCAACATTTTTTGAAACAGTGAAATTTTATAACCTCACAATGTCCCCATATTTTTCACACAATTCTCTATTTTTCCAACCAAAAACCCCTCAAAAAATCGCTAACCAAAATAGTATCAGCCGGCGATACCAATTCATCAGGATCGGGTAATTGTCCTTGTAGACAAGTGTCAAAAATGCGTTGTCCAATACTTTCCTTGATTCGATCAACAGCTTCTTTCAATTGTTTTGTCACTGCTTGACCTTTCAAACTTTCCACGTTGAATGAGTTGGCCGGAGCTGGAAAAAAATAATTTTCATAGAAAAAATCGTCAAATTCAGAAATATTTGACTGTTTCAAAAATCGCAGAAATTAAAATTGTAAAATTTCAGTATGATAAGTGAGTCCAAGTCGAGTGGAAAATTCATTTAAAAAAATCAGAAATGGAAATATATGAAAAATTAACAAAAATGTCAGATTTTTTATTTTTCATAAACTCTACTGTTTCAAAAATTGAACAAATAAAAATTAAGGATTTTTTTCTAATGTAATAAATCCATTCAAAACTTGGGCAATTTTTGATAAAAATTCAATTCAAATTTTTTGCATAAGTTCACTGTTTCAAATAAAACAGAAATGAACATTTTGAAAAAAATTGGTTTTTCTCAAATAAATCAATCAGTTATGACGTGACATTCGAAATAATAACAATTTTGTACTTCTCAAAATTGCACTGTTTCAGAAATCTCATGAAAAATAAGAATTCGATTCTGATCAATGAAAATATTTTCTCAAAAAATAATTTCAGAATCACAATAAGTTTTTATCGAATATCAGAGATGTTCGTCATTTTTCGTCGGGGGTTTCTCAATTTTTCTCAACAAAAAATCCCAACTTACCAGGATAAATAATAAAAGCCACAACAGTAATTCCCTGATGTCTCGGATCACTTGTCGTTTGCAAATAATGATTCAATCTAGCCAACGACTCAATAAACATATCTCCTCCTTTATTCGAGAATTCATATCTTCCGGCGGTGAAGAAATACAAAGTTCGATCGAGGTCAAAATCCAAATGTCCGTGAAAATGACCGCGGATAAATGTGTTGATTTTCTCCTTGTTTTGAGCGTGCAAATTTTGGAATTCGTGCAAAGCGGCAAATTTGACAACATTTAGACCGTTGGGTGTCAAAACATCGGGTTTTCGGCACAGGAAATTCTCCGCTTCGAGACCAGTGATTTCGGATACTGTAGTGAAAACATGGGCGGCTTGACAAGCGGCTCGTTCCAAACAATATTGATGATAAATCTAGAAGAAAATAGAAATTTTCGAAAGTGTTCTGGGATGAATTTGCTTTCACTAACCCGTCTCTTTCCAGCTTCCGCATCCAAATCAAAATTCGCCAAATTATTATACAAATCAGCTCCTCCGGCACACAAATGTCTTCCCAAAAGTGTGGCATGAGTTGTATAAACTGTGGCAATATCCAATTTCCACAAACGTGTCATCAAAAGACCGACTCCTAGAAAAAAACCATGGTTTTCAGGTTTTTGGGGCAAAAATGTGGTTTTGGAAAGTTTCTTGAGATTCGGGTGAATTTTTCAGTGAAAAATGTTCTATTCCAGAATTTTTTGAATTTTAAAAAATAACTATAAGTTATTCTACTCCAAAATTTCCCCTTAAAATCCCTTACCAGCTTGCCATTCATGAAAATGTGCAGCAACCAATGGTTGATAATTCGTAACACTTTCTCGAAAATGTTTCAAGAAAATGGCGACCAAAAATCCAAGAATAACAGCATCATTTGATTCGACATCTTCGTATGGTATTCCAATTTTGCATTTATCATACAATTCTTGTTTCCATTCATTCATTTTTACAGCTCCACTTCCCAAATCGAATAAAATCACTTTTGGATATCCTTCGATTAACCATCTTCCGTACATACATCGGAAACCATCGGCCTAGAAAAGTTGATATTTTGGACTTGAGAAATTTTAAAATTGGCGGAAGTTTCGGATTCAAAAATATATATTTTCCGAAAAATTATAGATTTGGCTGATTTTCAAGTTTTAAGTATTTGATAAATTCAGAGAATTTGGGATGTCTTGACCGGAACTTTACCAAATTTTTATTATTTTCATGTGCCATACGAAACTCAGTAATTAATTTTAAGAGATGTCTTCAAATCAAATATTTCAAATGCGCACCCAAAATTGATAAAAGCTTGAAACAGTAAAAAATTTGAAAATCAATCAAACACAGAGTTTCCACCATAAACTCGGCTCAAATAATCAAAGTCGGTCGATTTCCAACCACACTTATGAAAAATTTGAAACAGTGAACCTTTTTCACATTGAAATTTCAAAAATTTCCAATTTTGAGGTTCGAAAATCGAATTAATCTAGTTCCTACAACACCAGAAACTTTAAATATGCATGCGATAAATCTATGTTCGAGCCACAAAATTGAAAAATTTGCAGTGAAAAATTTTTACTGTTTCAAAATTTTTATAATTTCGGTAGAATGTTTGAACTATTTGATTTCAACTGGATATTGTTTTGAAAATGAAAAAAAAATTGAAGAAATGTGGAAAATTTCATGTAACCCAAATGTTTTTCTGAAAATTTCATTTCCGAATTTTTCCACAACATTTTCGAGTTTTGTAGTTCTCTCGGAGATAAAAAATGCCCACCTGAAATCTCTTCATCGCTTCTCGAATCGTCCGATTCTCGGGTTCAATCGGATCAACTTCCAATCGCCATTTTTCATCTTTCATCGGTCCAAACATACAATATTGATCGCCCAATTCTTCAGTGCTAATTTCCGCTTTGCTTCTCAAAACCGTATAAATTCCACCAACTTTATTCGCCACTTCCCAAGCACATTCGAATACAAAACGTCCTTCTTCGCGAGCCGATCGACCTTCGTCCATTTCTAATATATCTTGTTCGTCCAATTCTTCGCCGGCTAAAGTTTTGGCGATCTGGAAATATTGATGAAGATTTGCGGAGGATTTAGAGAATGGAGAAAGAATGTATGAAGGGGAATTAGGTGTTTTTGGTGAATTCTGAAGATTTTCTTCTGATTTCGAGATGACATGTTTAAAGATGATAGGACTAACAATCTAGATATTTCAGATTTCTAGATTTCTGAATCTGAAATTAGAGATTTTAGGTAAGAAGTTTAATTTCCAGAAACAGAAGCTCTAAAAATCAGGAAAAATTCAATTTCTCTGACCCAGAAGCATAAAACACTAGTATTCAAGCTCCGGCTCAGAAAAAGTTGAAAATGTTCTATTTCAAGCTTCTGGGTACAAAAATAGCTGAAAATTTGAACTTTCAGGTTCAGGTTTTGAAAGTGTTTCCTTTCTCTGAACTTGAAAGCGTGTCATTCTAGATCTTAAGCTTCTGGATAACGAAAAACTGAAAATTTTGGAATTTTTCAGCTGTTCAGCTAAATTTCATAAAAATCACGTAAAACACAATTTCTGGTGGAAAATCTCAATTTTCTAATGACAAATGACAAAAATTATCTTTTTTTTCAAAAATGTTAGGTTTGCACTATGAAATCAGCTACATTTTTGAAATTCGCCAAACAAAAATATACTTTTTCCTTTTTACAACTGATAATCTGAAGATAATCTGATTTTCGGGATTAAATTTCATAATTTTTTGGCTTAAAACATCATTTTCAACCAAAATCGATATTTCACAGCGGGGAAAATCACTCACTTTTGTTGACGACAAATTTCTCGGCATACGCGAATGATCCGGCATTTTTTCACCTGAAATTAAATTTTTTAGGTGAAAAACTGGAGTTTCCTTCAAATTTTCGAAACAGAAAATGATTTTTTCGACAAAAAAGAACAACTGTCCAAAGAAAAGGTCAAAATCAAACAAATAAATGATAAAATGTCAAAAAAACATACATCAAAAATACAACTTTTTGTTCAAAATACATTGAAAATAATGAAAAGTTCGATTTTCTTAATGAAAATCTGAAAATCCGAAAAATTCCTAGGAAACCTCAAAAATTCTCAATTCAACTTCTGTTTCCGAAATTTTCGGGGTTGCTTTTTATCAGGAAAATATGAGAGATAGAGAAAAGGACACGTGATGTGGGAAAAACATGAAAACAAGGAGAAACGTGATAATTTTCAAGTTCTAGAATGTTCCAGTGGATTTTGGCGCCTTCGCGAGATTCCTCGGCCATGGAAGAGGATTTTGAAGTTTGATTGGGGAAACTTGGGTGTTTAGATCAAAATTTAGGCTATGGTGTGGAAAAAATTAGGTTTACAAATTCCAGGGAAAACTTGAGAAAATTCAGAATTTTATTGGAATTTCAGTGAAATTTCAGAAAAAATTCAAGTTTGAACCCGAAATCGAGAAATCCTCACCTCACTCAAACTAGAAAATATTTTTCCAAATTTCTGTCATTTTGTTTCAATTTCAAAAGACAAAATGGAAAAAAATGGGGAAATTCTGACACGTAACACATAGGTCACGTTTAAAATTAAGATAATTTTCTGTTTTTTTCAAATAGAGAAAATGAAATTAGCTTTTTTAATACAAACGTGAACTATGACGTGGATCTCATAAAGAATCATTTCTAAATTTGGAAAATAAGGGAATTGGGAAAATCCAGATTTTTTAGATTGTAGTCAGATGTTTAGATTTTCGAAAGCCTAAGCTTATAAGCCCGGTTTTCAGACCAAAACTAAACACCATAGACTAAAAACTATCACTATCTCATAGTGTTCTCCGAAATACGACAAAAAACTTGCAACAAATAAAAACATTAACTTTTTATCAACACACACCCCGAAAAAACTGCGATAAAAAATAAACATTTTTTGGTTTTTGTTTGTTATCATTTAATTTTCGTCTCGTTCGTTCTCTTCAAGATTTATAATTTTATCTATTTTACAACAAAACTACTCGTTTTCTCAGTTATCAGACAGGATTTTCGGTTCAAACAAAAGAAAAAGTTACTTGAAAAAACAAGAAAATAGTGCAAAAAATGAAAAAATAAATAAAAAAGAACACATGCTTGAAGGCTATCGATTTTTCCGCTTCTCTCTCATTTTTTGATGAGAAGAAGCAAAAAAAAAAACATTTTTTGCCGTTTTGCAAGACAGAAAATGTTTCGCGCTTTGTGTGCAAACAAAGATCGAACCCGGATTTCACTTTGAAACTTAAAAACACGCAGAAAAAACAAAAGAACTCCAGATTTCCCGCGAAAAAAAAAATACGTGTGCGTCAAATAAAATGCATTCTGCAAACACGGCGACGCATAAATGCACACAAGGAGAGGCGGGAAATTTGAAAAGGGATAAATAAGATAAAATAAATTATTTATTTTTTTTCGGGACTCAAAAAGTATCACAAAAATAAATACATTGGGACTAGTTATAAGTGGGGATTATAATATAAGTAATTTCGAATCAAGAAGTCAATAAAACATGAAAAAGTTGGTGCTCTATGAGCTCAAAATCGATTCAATCGTAAAACCGGCGGAAGAAGAAACGGCACTTCCGCTACTTTCAGGTGACGGTGGAGTTTTTGCAGGTGGAGTTGCCGCCAATAAATGGGGCATTAAAAGAAGGGACAATGGATTAAACATGAAAGGGTGTGGCTGAGGAGCATTTTTGAAATGCGGATATTCCGGAGAGATACCTCCTAACAGACTGAAATTCATAAATGGAAGTTGTGGCGGGAAAAGAGGGAGTGGTGGGGGACTAGAGTCTAGTTTACGCGACATTTTGAGGGGAATCTCGTCGTCGTCTGAAGTGTAGCCACCGTTTTGGAGGCGTTGTTGCTCGCGGTTCTGGAAATTTTTTTGGTTGGGATTGGGTGGGAAAATTTTGGTGCCAAAATTGGTGAGGGAATTTGAGTCTCAACAAATTTATATCTATTTATTTTTTCAATAGAATTTTTGAAAAGAACCAACAGTTGAACGATTTTTTTTCATTTCAGAAATTATTGAAACAGTGAAGTTTTTTAAAGTGTTTTTTTTTCGGGAATTATATTTTTAAAAAAATTAAAACTTTTAGATGATCGCAACCTTCAAAGAAAAAAATACGCCCGAAAAAAAAAATAAGAGTGTGTGTCAACACCGACTGCCCGCAAACACCAAATCCTACGCGCAATCTTGTAAAAATAAAACAACGACACTTCGCTCAAACAGTGTGTGAAAATTAAACAACGGGCAAGCCAAGAGTATCGTTGTTTTACTTTTATTTTTTCCCTTTTTTTGGGAGCTTTTTTTTGAAATGACTTTTTTGTTTTGTCGAAATTAAAAGTGTTCACGTTTTTATTTTAAGAATAAATATTTTCTCATTTCTCGAAATATTTTATTTTATTTTGTATTTGGCCAATCTTAAATTTATTTTGCTTTCCAGATGTCGAGAGATTGAGGATTGATTCGAAAAAAAACAAAACAAAATGAATTTGAGGATATTTGGTTCTTATACAACTCATGTCAGGTTAGTTTAATGGGTTTTGGGTTTTGGGAGAGAAATCACAATGATTTGTGTTAAAGGGGGGGTAAGACGACAAAATTTTATTTGCTCAATGAATCGGGCTCCCTTTGAATAGTAAAAGCCCCAGGGGATTTTTTTCTCGAAAGGCCTAAAAAGGTCCGAAAAAAATATTCCATGAACTTTTTTCAACGTATAGCTATACGTTGTCCAAAAGTTTATGGAATAATTTCAACGTATAGCTATACGTGGTACCTAGTTTATGGAACATTTTTTCTGGACGTTTCCAGAAAAAATCCCTTGGAGGTTTTACTACTTTTGGGGAGCCTTTAACTTTGCGACAAAAAAAATTTGTCGTCTTACCCCCCCTTTAAATATATCAGGTAAGTTTGGGGTATATTTGTATAAGAGACGAGAGCAAGAACTTGTGGAAAAAGAGGAAAATGCCTCAAAATTCCTCGTTATTTTTTCTTTCATTTTTTTCAAAAATTATTTTTATAGTTTTTTTTCAAATATCTGACATTCCTATTTGTTTTCAACAAATTAAAATTCTCAAAAAATTAATATAATTTTGAAACAGTGAGAAATATTTAGATCAAAAAATTAATTTTGTTTCAGAAAGAAGTTTTAAAAAAAGGCATCAAATTGAGAAAAATAATTTTTTCTAATTAGAAATTTTTGAAACAGTGATTTTTTTTCGGAATTTCAATTAGTCTACTCAAAATTACTGTTTTCAGCAGAAATTTCGAAATTTTTATATTTCAAAAAATAATTCACTGTTTCACAATTTTCTGGAATTTTTTGAAAGAAAATTAGGTTTTAATAAAGGGTAGAACTAGAAATATGTTACAAATTGTAAAAAAAAAGTTCACTGTTTCAAAAGTTTTTAATATTTTCTTGTATGAAATATGTTTTCATTTCATATGAGCCTTTAAAAAAATTTTCCAAAAGTTTTTTTTTTTCGCGAAATTGTATTTTGAAAATTTGAAAGTAATTTTTCAAGAAATTTAAAACCCGAAAAAATCCAATTTTTCCCTCATATTTCCCCGTTTTTTTTGCCATTTCTCTCTTCATTTTTCCTCATCTTAACCTACTATCCAATTCTACTAACTGACCTATTTAAAACCATCAAAAAACCTGTCAAAAAATGAGTAAATCAAAAAAGGCGGCGGCAAAATGAAATAAGCCTAAAGCCTTCGTTTTTAATCTGGTTTTTTTTTGACAAAATATTTGTCAAAAAAAGAAAGATAAATGAAATATGCCGAAGAGTACTGTAGGTTTTTTTTTGGTAAATTGGATTAAAATTTTAATTTTTCTAACAACAAGGGAGTACTGTAGATTTTTCGGTTTATTTTAATAAATTGAATGAAAACTGAGGTTTTGCAGAAAAAATTAGGATTTTTTGAAACAGATAATTTTTTGCAGATAAAAAATTTTCAGATTTTTTTAGGTTACTGTATATTTTGTTTTTGATTTTTTCGAATTGGATTAGAACTGTACTTTTCTGAGAGAGTACTGTAGATTGTGACATATTACGACTACTCAATAAAAACTGGGAGTTTAGCAGGAAAATTAGGGAATTTTTGAAACAGTGAAAATTTTTATTTTTTCTTCGTTTTTTCACTGTAGCTGGATTTTTTCAGAATTTTGAAATTAATTGTCTACATATCAAAATTGAACACCCGGAAATTAAAAAAAATCAATGTTAGTTCTTGAAACAGTGAAATTTTTGAATAAAAAAATAAGTTCGATTTTGTACGTTTCAAAATTTTTTGAACTACTCATTTTTCGAGCCAAAATTTAAAAGTACAGTACCTCTCAAACAAGACCCATGCTATTTCAAAAAAATTGTGAACTTTTTTGAAACAGTAAATTTTTCTCATTTCTAATAATAACCCCAAAATTTAAAAAAAAAATTCAAAAACTACAAAACCCTTTAAAAATCCCTTCAAGACCTTACAGTACCTCTTCCCTCTGTAAATCAAAACTAAATTAATCAAAATCAAAGCAAACCTCATTTCATTTCATTTTTTTCTTCAAATAAATCAATCTATCACCTTTGCCTCTCTCAAACATACAAGGCCAATCAAGTTTTATTGTTTTCTTTTCTTCTTTTTTTATTTTACTGACCAACAAATCTACCTACCCTACAGTACTCCTCCCAAAAACCGCCCTTTCTTTGATTTATCTTAAAAAAGAAGAAAATCAACATCTACAGTAACCTAAATATAGACAAAGTCAAATGAAGTGATAAGAAAATATTTTGATAAGAAATCATTTTTTTTCGAACCGGGAAGAAGGGGTACTGTAATATTTTTCCCTTTTTTTGAAAAAAAAATCACCTTGAATCGTTTTCGACGACGTAGACAACTTCCATTTTCGAACATTCCCAAGGCATTTGGATGAACTGCCCAGTAGGAACCCTGGAACCTTATTTTTGGAAAGGAATTTGGGATAATTTTCACAAGTCCAGGAATTTTTAGGTATAAAAAATATTTATTTTGAATAAATTTCCAGGAAAATTTCGAAACTTCAAAAGTTTTACCCACTGAAAATTTTAGATGGAAACCTAACAGTACTGAAAACATCATGAGTTTTGAAAATTTATTGATTTTTATAGAAACAGTGGATTTTTTCTCAAAAACAGTTGGAACAACAATTTTTCAAAATATTTTTGTGTTTATTGATTTTTTGAAACAGTGAAATATTTTTTGAGATACGTTTTTCTTCCTGAAAATCTCAAGTTTTGACAAAAATTTTTCTTTAAAAATTCACTGTTTCAAAAAATCGATATTATTTTTGTAAAAAATTCAAGAATTCGTTGACAAATCTATTTCGAATTTCAAAAAAAAAATCCACTGTTTCAAAATTTCCTCATAAATTTTCAGAATCCAGAAAAATTTCAGTTTTATTTCTTTAGGTAGACTTGTAGAGAAAATATATAGTGTGGAAAAATTAGAGATTGCTAGACAGTTAGAGAAGCCGACAAATCGAGTGAAGAAATAGTGTGTAAAGTCAGAGGGTACTAGAAAATTAGAGAAATATAATTAGAGAGTGCCAGGCGGCTAGAGAGTGTTTGAAACTGAGAGAGTGTTAGACAACTAAATTTTTTTGTTAGAGACGCAGACCATTTCACAGTTACTTTATCAAAAAAAATATTTGGGATTTGAAACTCATGCAAATTTTGAAACAGTGAATTTCCCCCCCCCCCCCCCAAAAAAAACCAACTTTTCCGGGTCGATCAGCTCGTCTCGGAATTTTAATAAAACAATCGTTGAACGACAAATTGTGACGTAACGAATTTTGCCATCTGAAAATTTGGATTTTCATTTTAAATTTTCAGCCAAAACCCCCCCATACCTTTGGGTATTTTTTCGATAAAACGGAAACCTGTCCATAATATATTTGTAGATTTCAGTGAGCGGAAGCATTTTCTCATCCGAATCTTGAATTGCCATATAAGTTAGCCAAATGTAGGAGTATGGCGGTTTCTGGAAAACTTTAGGGGTTATTTATGTAATTATTTTTTAGAGGATTTTTAACTCTTAACAAGAAAACTTGATAAAGTTTTGAAACAGTTGATTTTTTTTCTGATAATGTTTCTCTACTGATTTTTAGAAAGTCAACAAAATTAAGAAAATTTCTTTCTGAACCAGTGGATTTTTCGGAGAAATACTGGAATTTTATTGAATTTTTCAAAAACAGATGTTTGGAATCGTATTTAAATATTTGATAGATTTTTCATGTATTTTTTGAAACGGTGAATTTTAATGGAAAAATTATTTTCGAAATAACCTATATTGAACTGTAATTCTCAAATTTTCAAAAAATTTGAGAAAATTTTGAAACAGTGAAAATTTTTCATTGGGAAAATACGGAATTTCATTAATTCTGAAATGATTTTGAAAAATATTTATCGTATTTTTTTCCAATTTTCATAAATTTTTTGAAACAGTGAAATTCTGATATTATAAGCTGCTTCACAATGTTTTTGATTGTACTAATTTTCAAAATTTTTTGAATTTTTCAAAAATTTCTCAAAAACCAGAATCAAGTTAATAGAATATGTAATTTTTTTAAAGAAATTTTCGAAACAGTGAAAAAATACAGAAACTTTTTATTTATCAAAATTTCATCTGAAAATTTTCAGGATCTGAAAAATGATCTCAGAATACTGTCAGTTCTGAAAATTATTTTCAGCTAATTTTCTAGCTCCAAAACGTTATCTGAAAATGCAAATTAAATTTTCACACTTTAAAAATTCATCTATATCCCTCTCAAAACCAACCTGTTCATCATACGAATCCTTCCCAGGTCTCGGCATTTTCAGCCAAATATATTTTCAGCTTATGTATATTTTTTCAGAAAAAATAATAGATTCAGATCTAATTAACTTGATTTCAATTTTCAACACACAAATTTCATTTGAAAAAATGTTGAAAATTATCCACACTCAAAATAAGTCTTGTGAAAATAAGGAGAGAAGAAAATGTGGCGCCAAAAATGGGCGGAGTCTGTGGGGAGAAAATGGGCGGGGCCAGCCATTTGGCACGTGTCGAGATCGTAATTTTTGTGTTGCGAATAATGTTTTTTTGTTCATCATCATCACTTTTTTTTTGACTTACGCTATGTTCCAAAAAAAATGAACCGTATTCTTACCAGTTTCGCGCACAACAATTTTCCTCCTCAAAACCTCCAGCTGTGAAGAAAGAAGCGGTAAACTAATATTTTTCGGGGTGCGCGCTTTGTTTTTTTGTAGCGCACAAAAAACAGTACCGGTTTGATGAGAGAGGAGTACTGTAAGGTATAATAATAGTAATAATGGGTTAGTAGATCATGAAAGTGTTTACGGAAGTCGAGAATTCGAGACAGAGAAGTAGAGTTCTAGGAATTGTCTGCGTCTCTAGCTCTCTAGAATCTTTGAATCTATCAATTTTCAGGTGTAGGGTTAGAGACGCAGAGAAGTAGAGTTCTCTAACTGTATGGTTTCCCTGCTTCTCTAACTATCTTGGAAGATAATAATAATAATCGGAGAGTATTCAGGTTAGAGATGCAGAGTAACGTTATGGCCTCCCTGTGTCTCTAACACGAGAAATACTGTCCCTTTAAATCTGTCTGTCTAATTTCTCTGCGTCTCTAACAAGACAATAGCTTCTCTGTTTTTCTCAATTGTCAAATTTTTCTTGCATATCTAACATGAGCAATGCAGTTTCAAGAAATCTAGTTTTCTCTAGTTTTTTTCGGGTGTCTTCTGAATTTAGATGTCTAGATCCTCTGCATCTCTAACTATCTAGGTCTCCAGCTGTCTGCTAATATGAGAAATCTGAAATTTGTCTCAGCTTCTCTAAATCTGCCCTCCTCCTTATAAAAATCAAATTATATTATCTCTGCGTCTCTGCCTCTCTAACTTCTCTGTGTCTCTAACCCTCTTTTCCCATTTTCCTCTTTGTTTCAAAAAACAACCATACTGTACTACAGCAAATTTGCCTATACTAATCTAGTTCAATAGACCGTGAACTTTTTTTTCGAAACTTTGTTTCCCATGCGGTGTACTGTAGATTCCGATTTCCAAGAAACAATTAATAATATTTATTATTGTGTGAGAGATTTTCCCAAAAAAAGACCTCCCGTAAATTATAAATTCCACCTACAGTAATCCACGAAGAAGTGCAATTAATAATTTATATTTTATAATATATTTTTTTGGCGGGAAAAATGTGTGATCATAATAATTCATTTTAATCACATTAAAAGGTAGCAGAGTTTTTTTGGAACAGCATTTTTTTGGTACTTTTCCGCTCATATATAATACTTGGGTGGTCGTGAAAAAAATTGAGAATGAATTATTTATGGCTTCTGAATGTTCATCTGGTGGTGGATTAAATTAATTGGAACATTTTTTGAAAATGAGAAAAGTTGGGGGGAAAATTAGACAGGATGAGATACGTTTCAAAAAATTATGATAAAAATTGATTTTTTTTCAAAATGATTTCCATTGTTGTATTGCTACCATAGAAAAATAAAGATCAACATTATTTTTTCATGAAGCAAAAGTGAAAGATATTGATTGATTTTTCGAATTTTGAAATTCATAATTATCATCATCTCAGACTTGGAAAATTGTGGGTTTCTGTGGAAAAAACTTCAATGTTTCATAAAAAATTTCGAGCCCAATAACATATTTTTTCAAAAAAGTTCACTGTTTCAAATTTTCGTGAATAACATTTTTTTCTCAAAAATCTCACTGTTTCGAAAAAATAAAAATTTGGTTTTGTGATCTCGATAAATCCGATGATTTTTAACATTTTGATGCACAGAAGTCTTTTAAAAAATCCACTGTTTCAAAATTTTGTGAATAGAAAATTAATTTATTGAAATCCTAATTATTTACGAATATTGTATCAAATAATTTTCAAAAACCTCTGCTTCCAAAAAATTGAATTTCAACATTAACTTACCTAACTTATGCTTGAGCTCAGTCTAAACCGTCTAAATTCTTAATTTTTCAAAAGCCTCCCTTCAAAATTTTTCAGACTTAGAAAACCATCTACCTCCCGTCAAAAATTCACTGTTTCTTCAACAAAACATCCAATTTCGGCTTCATCAAAAACTTTTTCCCGTAGTATTGTTTCCCTCTTCCATCTCTGCCAATCCAATCCAATCAAAAAACAAATGCCGCCGCTCATTTTTATTGTAACTTTTATCCCAATTTATCTCTCATTCATTTCCTAAATCATTTACGGTTCATTAATTGAGCGGTGTGATTCGAGGAAGGAAGCCAAAAAAAGAAGAAAAACACATTTCATCTCATCTCATTAACACAACCAAAACTACAACAAAAATGAAATCTCCTTGATTTTTTTTGAAACAAAAAAAAGTGGCGGCAAAGTGTCTGGTGCGAGGAAAAAATGAGGGAAATATTGAGCTAGGGAACTTGGAGGAACTGTAGGTGGAGCTGGGGTACTGTAGATGAGAACCTCTGGTTACTGTGGGCAAACTTGAAGAACTGTCTTTTGAAGATTGAATCGGCAGATTCTGAAAAATCTACAGTAATCTTGGAATTGCAGATTCTGAAGGTACTGTAGGTCAAGAAGGGTTACTGTAGTTTTTTTCCAAAAAGAGTACTATATGATAGTTACAGTGGCCATACTGATTGTAGCTAAGGCTACTGTAATTTGTTCCAAAGACTACGGTACTCAATAAACCTACAGTATTCTCAGAAACTGTGACAACTACAGTAGCTCTCTCCTTAGATCAAGCAATTTTATTTTTATCAAAAGAGTACTGTATTTGAGTAACTGTAAATCATCCAAACCCACAGAACTTCATGATCCTTTAAAAATTACAGTAACCCTCTTGTTTGCCTTTTTGTTCCTTCCTATTTACATATTCAATTAGTGTTTTCTCTTTATTTTTTTTCTTCAAAAATGAGATTACTGTAATTGTGTTGAAAAAGAAAAGAAAAACAAAGAAGTCTCTCTTCTCAAGTGGAAAAACAATGTTGTTTTTTAATCTTTTTCCTCATTTTTTTGCTCATTTTCGGTGAGCAAAAAGAAAAAGACGAGTGAATGAGTAAAACAAATTAAATTGACTGACTGAGACAAGAAAAGGAGCAGAAAATTAGAAAAATGTGTTTGTGTATTTGTTGTGTGTACAAATACATCATAAAATTTGAGAGACTGGGTTACTGTAGCTCAAAAATTATTCCAATTTTTGGTTTAAAAATTTGGATGTGCTATAGTAATCTACAGTACTCTCTGGAGCTACGGTAATGCAATTATTTTAATGAATTCATCAATCGTGTGAAACAGTGAAAAAATTCACGAAAATCAATGGGTTACTGTATCTCAAAAATTAAATGATTCGTTCAGAAAAATGTATATTTTACAGTAATCTACAGTAGTCTGGATCTGAGTTTCCAAAATTTTCATTTTATTTTAAAACTTTTTTGAAACAGTAAATTTTTTTTTGTGAAAATAAAAACGAATTTCAAAAAATTGTTTTTGATTCAAAAAATTTGGAATTGAAAATTCAATCATTTTTTTTTCTAACTAGGGTTTTCAAACTACAGTAACTACAGTACTTTCTCTATTTCTCTAATCCTCTTTCTCTCTCTCTCTTTCTCTCAACCAATATTAGTTTTTCGAAATGTGTTTTCATTTCGATTTATTTTATATTCCATGCTAATTAAGTTTTTCCCCATTTGTTTCCAAATAAATTAGAAAAAAGTGGCGAAGGAACAGCATAATTGAAATGTTTTGTTTTGAGATTTTGAGGAATTATTTAAAGGGGGAAGAGTGTCATAAAATAAAATGATGGATTAATTTGGGAAATTGGGAAATTAGGTATTATTTTAGGGGAATTGGGGACGTTTTCTTTAATTTTGTTGAATTCTTGAATTTTCCAGAAGCATTGTCATGAAATAACATTCTTGAGTATTTTTTGATTAAAATGGATGAATTGAAAAAGTCCCAACCATTGAAAACTTGAAAATTCTCTGAAACAGTGAATTTTTATTGCAAAAACATGTTTCATATCGACATAAATTGAAATGAGATTGAACCTGAAAATTCTGGATGATTTTTGAAACAATGATTTGAAAAATTAAAATAGTAAATTATTTTCGAGAAGAAGGAAAGAAATTTCGAAACCAGAAAAATATTTTTGAAACATTTTTGAAACAGGGAATTTTTTCCAGGGAACATTTTGTGGTCACTAAGTTTTGTTATTCAAATAGTGAATTTTTCCACAAAAATTTTTTTATCTCAAATATGAATACATCAAGAAATATACTATAACTCTTCTAGATTGCTGTACCTTTAATACCGGCTTACTGTATTCGAATTTTCAGGTTTTTTCAGATGTTAAATTCCCAATTTCCTTGTATTTTTGCTTCTCATTTTTGCTCTAACCGTCTGCGTTTCCCCTCTCAATTTCGCGCAATTAAAACGTGGTGCTAATTAAAAAAACGGGGTGGCATAAAGTTGTAATAAGTCACTTCTTCTCACTCACTCAAAAACATATGTTACTTCAATTTTTATTTCATTTCGAGCTCATCATAAACTGAGAGCAATTAAAAAGCAACATTATGTTGCCAATATTTATTATACTAGCAAAAATAATAAGGAGGAAAAAAAGGCATCAAGTTTTATGACATGAGAAGAAACAACAAAAAAAGGCAAGAAAATTATGAGACAATATAGGGATAGCACTAATTTTTAGTGGAGTTTTTTGGGGGTTGAAAAGCTTTTAGCCTTAGGCTTACAAGAGAACTGTTCTAATGTTTACTCTGGAATTTTAATGAAATATATTTTTAATTAAAAACAAAAAAGGTTTTTTCGCAAAAAAAACCCACTGTTTCAAAAATTCATAAAATTTTTTAAACAAACTTAAAAATTTAATCTTTTAAAAAACTACTGTTTCAAATTTTTTTTAAAAAATTTCAATAATGTTTTTATTTTATTTCTTCTGCGACTTTGACTCAAATTTTGCAGCCCGAAAATTTATCTAATTTTCAAACATTAAACCTTGATCCCCCAAAATTTCTCGACAAAATCCAGTTTTCTTCTCTTCTCGCTGTCTTACGCCATCCTATTTTTTCTGATAAAAACCTGCCATTTCCTGGATTTCTTTCAAGTTTTCTAATCATTTTCATTTTTTTCTCGAAAATGAAAAAGGCTTTTCCTATTTTTACCTTTATTCCTTTTAAATCTAAATTTTTCAATAATTAGTGCTCAAGGTAATTAACTAATCAATTTTGATACTTCAAAATGAACATTTTCAGAGGTTCCAACATTGACAGCTACAGTACTTGGCGGTGATTTGGAACCTTTTGATATTCCGCTGGAAGAATTGGAAAAGGATACGAAACAGGTTACAACTTTGGCTGAGCAATGTAAACGATTTGTGAATCATTATAGGTACGGTAGGAGGAATTTGGGGTTTTTAGAGCTACAAAATATGCGCCAGCAAAAATTCACACACGTCTCTAAATTTTCATCTACAGAAAATGCGTCAGTAAAACTTCGAGTTACAAAATTCACGTCAGCAAAACAATCATTGACGCCATTCTTGCAGATACTATTGCCGTAGATCAAATCTCGCCACATACAACGAGGAAATTCGAATAATTTGCGAAAGATATCGAAACTATTGTTCAGATCGAATTTATCCCGCTATCAATTATGTGAGTTCAAGAAAAAAAAGCTGAAAATTCCAGAAAATTTCAGCTTCGTCGTCAAAAAGAATTTTATGATAAGGCGGGAGTTCCAAAAGCCACGCAAAAAGTGATGAATTCGTGTTTTTCGCATTGCAAAGAGACAGATCCGGTGTGGGTTTTTGGGGGTTTTTTTTGAGAAAAAAAAGTCCCAAAAATAAAAAAAAATTTTCAGCTGCGTGAATTCTTGCGAATGTCTTCACCTTCAATGGATGATGAATTACGAATGTTATCCAGGAACCCGTGCTCCAGCCTACAATAATTGTCAAAGATGGGCGGCAAAATGTCGTGGAATCTGGAAACCTCGTCAAGATTACACACCAGCAGATTACCGTGACATGGCTCCACCTCCAATTGTTCGTGGTGTATTCTATGGTTATGATGGTCTTGCAACACATCGAACATTCGATCGACCACGTGATCACGGAGTATCGTTCTGGCGCGGTACAAATACTGTGCTTATTGATTGGCCAGAAGGAAAAGTTGCTGGCGGAACGACGTATGAAGTTCCGTTTGCTGGTGTTAATGTTATTCCGAATCAATTCAATATTGGTTTTCCCAATATTCAGAGAGCAATGCGGGAATTCACAAAGTTAGTTGAGCTATGACGTCGCAAAAAATTTGATTTCCAATTTTCAGACAAAATCCAGATCCTCTAAATCCTGGAACCGGACGAATGGCTGCAGTTCAACGCTACTAATTAACTAATTAATCAAGAAACCTTCACTTAATAAAAATAAACTGTGTATTTCTCTCGGATGACCTAAATATTTGAGGCGCAAGCGCGGTAAATTCGAAAGGCGTCAAGCTGTGCGAAGAAAAAAAACGAAATTTTTCTGATGTCGGTATTTTTGACATGATTGAATATGGTTTACTTATCTTAGATTTGCTTGCGCTGGGGATTTTTTGAGAGCAAAACGTAGAGGTGGCCTAGAATTTTCGAAAACTAGGCCACCGTCCAAAATGACTTCATTTACTTTGCATGAAAACCTTAGCCGTTTTGAACCCTAAAACTTTCGCTCTAAAATGTTTGCTCACAAAAAGCATAACCAATGGCGAGCTAACATTCAAAAAATCAATGCACCAAATATGAATCATAAATAGCAAAAAACCTTGACAAAATGAGCAAAAAACAATTGCCGCCTGAGCCCCAGCAGCGCATATAAAACCAATCGATAATATGATATTTGCAATACAAAGTGATCGTTCTGCGCCTTTAACCGAATTTGTTGATGACTTTAGCATGAGCAATGCATAAACTGCGATTATTGTGCAAATAATTGTGAAAAATATGGCGACCAAAATGAAAATCAAATGTTGAAAAGGTAAACTGGCCCATGAGATTTTTCTGATATAATTATTTCGAAATCCACCATAAATACTAGCGATCAAAATTCGCGAGACAACTAAATTGAAAATTGCGCCAACTGGTGTTATAAATATTGTCAATAGAGCGAATTTGACGCGGTTCCTCCACATTTGCAGATATTCTAAAGGCCAGACTGCGCATGTCATTCGATTGAAACTCATAAATATTTGAGTCATTGATTTGGCCGCTTTTAAATAATTGCTTAAAATCATAACCAATTTCCAGAATAGGTTTGGGTAGGCGAAAATTGGCGCGAAAATTGAGCAAAGTGGAGGAATAAACATGAGCGGACGATTGACAAATCCGTCGAGAAGGAGAATTGCGAAACTCTGAAAATTGGGGTTTTGATGTTGGAATTTTCCCGGAAAACCTACAACAATCGAATCAGCTGCATAAATCGAAAAAAATGAATTTCCCACAAATTCCTCTCGATTCTTCCACAAAACTGTTCGCAAAATCAAATAATGCAAAACGGCGGCCACGAAAATATAGGCGGCTTGAAAAACAAATTTGAAAATTTCGATAGTTGTGTCGTAATCTGGATTACAAGTGATAAAATATGGGTCATTTTCAGCATCCGAATGATTTTCAGCTGACATTTGCTCTTTGAAGAAAATTAGATTTAGAACTAATTTTGAAAATTAAAAGTTTTGGCTGAAATAATCTGAAAATAATTGAAGTTTCTATAGAAAACTGCAAATTATAGGGTTTGAAATGAGCAATGGCCAGACTTTTGGTTTTTTTCACAAGTTCAAAATTCGAGAACAAAAATGTTTCCGAATGTGTGCATTTGTGCGTCATCACGCAAAAATGCACACAACGATGATTTTTTTTAATTTTTTTCATTTCCCAGTTTTTGTTGTGTTTTTCGCCTAAAACCCTGCGATTATATGTTCAAACTCAATTTTTTTGTTTGTGAATTTTCTCAATGTTCAAAAGAGCATAGCTTCACGCTTTTGTGAGAGAAATTTCGATTCATCAAATTTTTTTTCAAAAGTTTTGCTCTCGAATAGGCTTGTGTGGAATTATTTCGCCCCAGAATTTCAGGTCTGAATGTATTATGAAACCAATACGCTTTCAGACCGCTGATGCAAAAATCGAACTTGTAAGAGAAACTTTTTCCTAATAGATAGCAAGCCAAAAAAATAAAACACATTTTTTATAAAAATTTTTATTTCTCAAAATCACGAATCAATTTCTATTAGTCCAAATATTTGATGGAAACATCGTATTGATCCAAAAATTGAGTGGCCGCATTGTAGAACTCCCAGAATTGATCTTCTTCTGCAAAAAAATGATTAGTTCGTCATTTTTATATGCTATTTGGTATACTTACCTGGTTCACGCTTATGACGTTGAGGAGCAGTTTGGGAACCAGATTGGGCACCAGGTTGGGCACCATTTTTTGTGTTCATCTCGGTCAACTTGGCAGCAGATGCTTTTTTCAATGCGTCGACCAATAACTGTCTGATATCTTTGTCGGCCGTGTTGACTTTGGTTTCAATGACTTCTCCGGTAACCATGTCAGCAGTGAAATAATATGGCGAAAGAACAAATTCTGGAATTTTGCCAACCACCTGAGTTGACAAATCATCATAAGTCTGTGCAGCTGCTGAAAGTCCGCAAAGCGTTGCCATCAAAACAATAACGGCAATCTTGGTTTGAGCCATGACTTTTTTCAAATTCGAATTGGCAGAAATCGATTTTCAAATATTCTCTTTGAATGAATTCTCTATTTCAACGTCGCTTTTTATACGCATTTTTGACGACGTGGAATTTTTTGAGATAAGATCGAAGTAGGGCGCAAGAATGTCACGCTGAAAATTGAAACTGCGTGTTAATTTCTTGTTTATTTTTAGGGGTGTCAGAGCAAATTAACAAACCTAAAAATTCTCTTCTGGTCTTTTTTCTAATTTTCAACTTTAGGCAGTTCCAAAATTTCAGGGTTTTTTGTTGAGAATTTCAGGCTTCCGAGATATCAGGCTTTTTTAAGCTTCTCTTCGAATTTCAAGCTTCAATCTTGAAATTTTGGTTTTTCTTTACATTTAAAGCTTCATGCAGACGAATTCCAGGTTTTTTTGAATTTCAAGCGCCAGGTCTGGTTTTGCGGTCTTTTCTTTCTTTAAGCTTCAACCTTATTTTAAAGCATGCATTCCACAATTATTCGTCACTCTGAAATTCATTTTTTTAGCGCAAGTTTTCGGATCCAATAGTGAATTTTAAGCTTGCCTTTCACCTACAGGGCTTTTTTTGAATACCCGCTTCGCTCCCGAATTTTAGACTTTTCCGTAAATTTCAGGCTTCCGGACTGGATTTTAAGTGTTTTTTAATTTTTTAAAGCCTCAGGGCGTGAATTTCAGGTTTTAAGCCGGGCTATTAGGCTTTTTTTGTGAATTTTTAGTTTCAGTCTTGGCATTTAGGTTATCTATGAATTGTATGCCTCATGCTTGTGCTTTTTGGTATCTTCCAAACGCCAGATCTAGACTTTCGATCTTTCCCCATAAAACTTTATTTGTTGGAATACGTTGATTATAAAGTTTCCGGATAAATGGAAGATTTCGATTGTATTTGATTTTCTCTTCCACGGCCCTCAAAAATTATGTCCCTTTTTCAAAATATTAAAACGTGTTGTTCCAGTTTAATCCACGTAGCTGATTGTTATCAGCTTGCTATAAAATGACGAGGCTCAAATCACTCAAAATCAGAATCCTCTTCAATTATTAGTTATTGAAACAACTGTTTTTGACGAGTTATGAGAGCTGTCGGTGTTGTGTTGGTTTTGGCGGCATTCGCTGTAAACGGTCAGTTTCCCTAGTTATCATCGATTTATTGATTGACCTATTCATTTTTCAGATGTCTTGTCTACAGCTCAGTCATTTGATGAGAGTAAAGTATTGAATGCCGAAACACGTGATGAATTGAAATACGATCCTGGCAAAGTAATTCCAGCCAAGGATGGTAATAAAATAATCAAGGACATTCTAACCCCTTCCGAAATTGTATGTTGAAAATAAATTCGAAAACCGAGAGAAAACAAAATTATTTTTCAGGAGTTATCTGGTGAGCACCACTTGGTTGTTGCAAACAGTCAAGAAGCTCACGTTTTGCAAGTCGCCCAGAAGAAAGATGATGGAACACATAGAAATCCATATAAAATTGGAGAACTTTTGGGATACATCTATGAGAAACTTCAATGGACTGGAACTGATAGACCATCGGCAGGGTGGACTTTTGAGCTTTTCAAATATCCCGAACCAAAACCATCTGCAAATAAAGATGGAAATGCACGTAAAAGAAGATCGAATGTGCCAACTCGTAAGGCTAGACTTGTTTTTACCAGAAAAGCTGTCAAAGCCGATGCAAAATTGGAGCAAGAAGAGAAGAAATAGGAAGAAGCAGAATGCGACCAAACTCGCCAATCAATAAATAGATTTTTGTAGAAATTTGTTGAACATTTTTTCCTAATTTGCGGTTTTGGGACCTAAACCGCAAAAAACATTTCGTAGATCTGACAAGGGAACTGTTTCAACTTGCAATCAAGATTTTTAATGAGTTATGTTTTCTAGTAGTTTTCGACCCGCTGATCACGATCCCGCTGTCTAAAACTGCAAAGCTCGACTCCTAACATGAGTTATGACGTGGCAAAGTTGGAAAATTTTGAAAAATCGGGACTTTGGAGGGTCCGAACTCGCCTTCAAAATTATTTTCATGGAAATCGATTACTCGATTACATAAATAAACTTCATGCTTTCAATTTGTGACCAACTTTGAAAAAAATTTTTTGTTCGGTGAAAACAGGTTGCAGATTTCAAAGTTTTTTGAAAAATCTTCCGGATTTCTGTATGGACCTTCTAAACTTATGTAATCGACCTTCCTGAACAACCCTATGCTATTAGATTTGCATGAAAATAATTTTGAAGGCGAGTTCGGACCCTCCAAAGTCCTAATTTTTCAAAATTTTCCAACTTTGCCACGCCATAACTCATGTTAGGAGTCGAGCTTTGCAGTTTTAGACAGCGGGATCGTGATCAGCGGGTCGAAAACTACTAGAAAACATATAACTTATTAAAAATCTTGACACAGGCAATAACGGAAGGATCCATAATGTGCACCTTATGGATCCATCACCTCGAGGGGGCTTGATGGATCCATTATGGATCCATTATGGATCCTTCCGTTATTGCCTGTGTCCATAATACATCCATACTGGATCCATACTGGATCCATTATGGATCCATCAAGCCCCCTCGAGGTGATGGATCCATAAGGTGCACATTATGGATCCTTCCGTTATTGCCTGTGTGATTGCAAGTTGAAACAGTTCCCTTGTGAACTGCTATCGCTTACTTTTTCTCCCATCCAGATTTTTGTCTGAAACTGGCAACTCCACTTTCAAAATCTATAGATTTTGTTAGTCATTTGCTCAGTTTTCATAATGTGGTGATTCATGTCGGTAAAACGTTTTTTAATACAAACATTTTCGGATTCAGAAAATTCAATGAAAAAAAATGTCTAACAAGGGAACCTTTTTTACTCAACACTTCAAATCATGATGAAATTTTGTCCAGAGACAGCTTTTGGGGCCATAAGAACACCCTAAAAATCTTAGTTACCCAATGGACCTCTGAGCCAAGTTCTGGGCTCTCAAATGTTCAAAAATTGCCAAAATTGGCTCATAAAACACGTCATAACTCAATTCTCGATCAATTTTATGAAAAACTAAATAGCAGATGATGATCAGCGTGGTCGATTTACCCAAAAAACATCAATAAATCGAATTTTCAGAAAAATTTTTGATTTTGAAAAAAAGAATGAGCAGGGGCACATATGAATTTTCATGAATTTTCAGCCCAAAAATAAAAAACTTCAAAATTTTTCGAAATAAAGTTTTTTTATTGATGTACTTTTAGGTAATCGACTATGGTGATCAATATCTGAAACTTTATTTCTCCCAAAAAAATTTTGAAATGAAGCTATGATGACTTTTATGACCATTTTCAGGCCTTTTTTGAGTTTTTGAGAGCCCAGAACTTGGCTCATAGGTCCATTGGGTAACTTAAATTTTTAGGGTGTTCTTATGACCCCAAAATCTGTCTCTGGACAAAATTTCATCATGATTTGAAGTGTTGAGTAAAAAAGGTTTCCTTGTAAAAATAGGAAAAAATACGTTATTTTTTCGACCCCATTACAAAAAAAAAGCGTCGGCTCCGCGCGAAACGAAACCAATGTGCGTCCCGTGTTTGCACACAACAATGAGCTGGAATTTGAGAAGTTTGCAACAGGGCACACATGATTGCGTGGCCGAACTTTTTGATAACCCGCTTGTTTGTAAAATTTTTAGGCCAGAATCACGAGAGATTTGAAAATTCCAAGCTGAAAGATCTGAACTTGGTGAAGCCATGTCGTTCCCCAAAAAAGTCAACAAAAATATAGTTCCTAGAAAAATTTATTATTGATTGGCGAATTACGAACTTTTACTCATTTCTTCTTCTCTTGCTCCAATTTTGCATCGGCTTTGTCAGTTTTTCTGGTGAACACAAGTCTAGCCTTACGAATCGGCACATTCGTTCTTCTACTACGTAGAGCATTACCATCTTTAGTTAGAGATGTCTCTGGTTTTTTATAATTGAAAATCTCATAAGTGAATCCACGACGTGGAGGCAGGTCTGGCCATTGAATTTTCTCATAGATATATCCCAAAAGTTCGCCAATTTTATACGGATTTCTATGTATTCCATCATTTTTCTTCTGGGCGACTTGCAAAACAACCGCATTATTTTGGTCTCCAACAAACAAATGGTGTTGTTCTTTCAAAAGCTACAAAATAACATTTTATTGTTTGTGATGTCAGAAATTCTTAAACATACCACAACTTCGGGTTTCCGTATGCCAGAAATTGGTCTTGTATTCCCAATATCGATTGGAATTTGTTTTCCCGGATCGTATCCCAAATCATCAACAGTTCTTTCTCGGGCCTTCTGAACTTTACGCTCATCAAAGGCAGCACAAAAGACATCTGAAAAATGGATAATTCAATCAATACTTCACATCGACTAGGAAAACTGACCATTTACAACGAATGTTGCCAAAATCAACAAAACACCGACAGTTCTCATATTTAATTCCGTAAATAAAATTGTCATTTTGAGTACGACTTTTATAGCGAGTTCATTGGCCACGTGGTCGATGTGGCGATAGCGGAAAAATGTGGAACACGTTTTGAATTTTTGAGGAATTTTTTCAGTTTCGAAAATATTTTCGCCACCCGAAAATTGGGCAATTTTTTCATTTGCCAGAGTTTCCTATAGGTTTTTTGGTGGAGCGAGCCTGAAATTCAGGGAAAAAGAAAATTCGGGCCCGAAGCGCGAAATGAGAAAAACCCTGTAATTAAAAGGGAAGCTCAATTTTGGCAAATTTTGAATCGGACCAGGTCCGATTTTTTGAGAAAAATTCTGAATCGGACCCCTTTTTCAAAAAAGTCAATTTTTTGGTGCAACTCAGGAAATTTTGAAAAAGTGGTCCGATTCAGAATTTTTCTCAAAAAATCGGACCTGGTCCGATTCCTTTTTTGTGGTCCGATTCCTATTGAAAAAATGTCGCCCTGGTCCGATTCCTATGGTCCGATTCAAAAACTGCCAAAATTAGGCAACTTTTTCATTTTCCAGAGTTCCCTATAGGTTTTTTGATCGAGTGAGCCTGAAATTCAGAGAAAAAGAAAATTCGGTCCCGAAGCGGGAAATGAGAAAAACCCTGTGCTTCGATTGGGGTGTGAATTCCTCGAGAAATACACAAAATAAATAAAGTGTGCGATATTCGCGGGTCCCCGGGACGGACCCGCGAAAATAGACAAAAATTTGTCTGTTTCCAGAAGTCAACAAAATTATAGTTACTACAAAATTTTATTTATTGATTAGCGAATTCTTCTCATTTTCCTTATTTACTTCTTCTCTTCTTGTTCCAATTTTGCAGCGGCTTTGACAGCTTTTCTGGTGAAAACAAGTCTAGCCTTACGAGTTGGCACATTCGATCTTCTTTTACGTGCATTTCCATCGTTATTTGTAGATGGTTTTGGTTCGGGATATTGGAAAAGCTCAAAAGTCCATCCTTGCGGTGGTTTATCATTTCCAGTCCATTGAAGTTTCTCATAGATGTATCCCAAAAGTTCTCCAATTTTATATGGATTTCTATGTGTTCCATCATCTTTTCTTCTGAGCGACTTGCAAAACAGCCGCATTATGTTTGTCTCCAACAAAAATGTGATGTTCATCATTACCATTCAAAGTCTGCAAAAAAAAAGATACGTTTCGTTTGTGGTTTTCGAATTTTTCTCAACATACGATAATTTCCGGGTATTTCAAGCCAGCAATATCACGATAATTTGTATCCTGTAATGGAATATCTTTGGCAGGATTGTACATCAAATCATTATATGTTTCTGCATTCTTAACATGACTGTCATCAAATGGGGGCGCCTGAGCTTGAGACAAGACATCTGAAAAATGATAAGGTCAATCAATAAATCGATAATAACTAGGGAAACTGACCGTTTACAACGAATGCTGCCAATATAAACAGAGTTCTCATAACTCGTAAAAACAGTTTGTTTTCAGGAAAAGTGATTGTTAGCACAACTTTTATAGCAAATTATTTGACCACGTGGGTTACGTGGCGGGAAAAAAATTGGAACACGTTTGAAAAATTTAGAAAATCTTATTTTCTCTTAATCTCACAATAATTTTTGAAATAATCAAACTTCAGGATTTTTCAAAGTTAGTTCAACTCTGAAATTGGAAATATCTCAAAAAATACATTTTCCTATTCCAATGTAAAAGTCATTTTGCACAGAATTCATTTATTTCGACTAATTTGCTCATTTTTTACTACTTTTTTCACTCTTTTGGCTCTTTTCACTCTTTTCGCTCAAAAGCGGCGTATCTTTTGAAGAATTTGTCCATGGTTCGAAATCGGGCAATTTTCCGACCAATTCTAGTTTCTTCGTAGTATATTTTTGGGAGATACGTGGAAATGAGACGTGTTGTTTTTGAAGAACGAAAAGGCCAGCTTTGTCCTGAAAAAAATGTGGAAATTGATCAAATTAGAACTTTGGGCGCTAGTTCAAATTTTTGAAAAAACCACTCACAAATTGATTCTTTTTAAAATATAGCACATTTCGTACAGCAAAAATCGGAATCATCAAAAGTGGCAAAAACGCCAACATCCATCCCAAAAAATCAAAAATCGGCGGATAAATCGTCGCGTTTCCCATAAACGGATAGTCTCGATCAAAAGACAGTGCAATCAAAACACATCCGATTGGCGGCAAAATGAAACGCCAATTTAGAAGGAAATACGGCGAATGCGCGCCGATATATTCAAAGATTTTGAGTTTTGGGAATTTGATCATTTCGAAAATATCCATTTTGAAATTGCGATGTCCGTAGATATAGGCAATTGCGATAACTTCGATTGTGACTGCACAAACTGATGAAAAACCGGCGGCGTATTCGTCAAATAATTGGAACCAGTACAGACCAGCCTGAAATCAAACATATTTGGTTGGGGGTATGGAAAACATGGAAATTATTAGAACTAGGCTATGTAGGCACTGATCCTTCACAATTGAACTCCTTACAAGGGAACTGTTTCAACTTGCAATCGAGATTTTTAATGATATATATGTTTTCTAGTAGTTTTCGACCCGCTGTTCACGATTCCGCTGTCTAAAACTGCAAAGCTCGACTCTTAACATGAGTTATGACGTGGCAAAGTTGGAAAATTTTGAAAAATTAGGACTTTGGAGGCTCCGAACCCGCCTTCAAAATTATTTTTATGAAAATATGATGGCATAGGGTTGTTCAGGAGGCTCGATTACATAAATAATCGACCTTCCTGAACAACCATATGCTATTAGATTTGCATGAAAATAATATTGAAGGCGAGTTTGGACCCTTCAAAGTCCCAATTTTTCAAAATTTTCCAACTTTGCCACGTCATAACTCATGTTAGGAGTCGAGCTTTGCAGTTTTAGACAGCGGGATCGTGATCAGCGGGTCGAAAACTACTAGAAAACATATATCTTATCAAAAATCTCGATTGTAAGTTGGAACAGTTCCCTTGTTAGGCGCAGCTACTTGGTATTGAAGTTCTCAAGGCGCGGCTCCTTGCCAGAGTCCAGACATGGTTACTTGACATCAAATTTTCCCTTGATCAAAAATTCAACTTTTCAAAAGTGCGCGAAGTTTGTGAATTTAAAAATCCCCCGTTGAAAACTCGACCCACATCAGTTGAAAAAATGACACCAGCCAAAAACAGCAGTGTACACCATCCACCAACCACCAACCACCGCTTCTTCCGCAATTCCTTCTTTTGATCATATAAACACGTGCAAAACACTTCAACATACGCAATTTCCGAACTAATTCCCAACAGAAATAGCATTGTGAAGAAGAGAAAAGCCCAAAGCCACGAAACCGGCATTTGTGTCATTGCTTCGGGATAAACTACAAAAGCCAATGATAAGCCGGATTCGACAACTTCTGGGACTGCAACATTTCGTTGTTTGGCAAGGAAGCCAAGAGTTGAGAAAACTGCGGCGCCACCAATTAGAGACATCATTGTATCACCGACTATTATGATAAGAGCATCCTGGAAGAATTTAGGTTTTGGTAAAATTTATCAGCAAAATTCTACCTTGAAACAATTATTGGATTTCTTGCTATACGAAGCCATCGACATCAATCCGCCATGTCCAACAGAAAGTGAAAAACAAAGTTGTTTGAGTGCCTCGGTCCACGTTTTTGCCATCAACAATTTCCCATAATCCGGATTTCCAAAATAATAGTAAAGCCCATCGCTAGCCCCATCCAACGTAATTCCTCGGAAAAACAAAATAATCACCAAAACATACGGCAAAATAACTGTCACATAGCTAATCTTTCCCATAATTTTCATCCCGTTCAAAATCAACATTGCAGTGACAAACCAGCAAAATGCCATAGCTCCTAAAATTGGCCAATTAATATGGTTGATATCGAGTAGACCAGTTGAATGATTTATAACATTTTTCATCATATATTGTTCAGTTCCACTGACAAATGAGATACCCACAAATTCTTGAACATCTCTACAAGTCCCGTTGAAATAAATCATGTTTTCGGGGAGACTTCCAACCGAAATGTTCCAGCCTGGCGGTTGATCGGATTTGCATAATTTCTGATTCATCATTTCGATACAAGTCGCCGGATTATTCCACGGATTGTCACAACGATTCCAAAAATTGATATCGCCACGAAAAACATTCACAATATAAATACAGACCCACGAAACTATCACAATGTAATAAATCGAAACACACGCTGACACAATCGTCGACATCCAGCCAACTCCTTCGAGAATTGGGGCGATTCTGCGGAATACGATTGGTGGAGAAACACCTTGATATTGTCCGGCTAGGAATTCGATGTAGATTGCTGGGAGACCGAAGAGAATTGCGCATGTTAGATATGGAATGAGGAAGGCGGCTGGAAATTTTGATTTTAGTTTAGTGGTGGTTTTGAGATGGGAGAGAAGGATAACGAATTTACACCAAACTAGGTTTTTTGAAATATTTTTGGGGCCAGAAACGTTAGAAAACCCCACAAAACCCTGAAAAACCTCCCGAACACGCACACATTTCCAAAGCAAAAGGCGGCAGTCCATCGTTTAAAGGGACACGAACCTTCTGCAGTCTCTAGCAGTGGAAAAAACTTATTTTCATGAAAAACTGATTACACCACTGAAATCCCCGTTCCATTCTACCCCAGAATAGTGCTTCTTGTGGTGAATGGCTCAGATTTTTTCTCTTGGTAGTTCTGCGAGAGTCAAAAGACCCAAAAAAGTTTCGACCAGTTGCGCCTTGAAAAAATAGCGTTGAAAACAGAGAGACGCAGACATTTTTTTGAATTTTTTTTGAATTTTGGTGTAAACACGGCGACGCACAATTACACACTTTTGTCTTTTCAGACAGTAGTGTTTTCGGTGGACTGCCGCCTGAATGTGTGCGCACGCATTTTTTTTCTGAAGAAAAAACGGCAACGCCAGTTTAAAGGGACATGAACCGTTTGTAATGAAAAAACTCAGATTGGCTGAACCATATAAAAAGTTACATACACCATTCGAATCTACGTAAAAAACTGCATCGAAATAAGGTTCGAGTGGTGGATTTAGTGTAACTTTTTTCTCGCGGTATTCGTTACGGGACCCAATTGGTTTTTCGAAAAAATTTCCTTTAAGAGAGAGCGTGCGAAAAAGAGAGACGCTATTGCGCAGAGACATTTTGTGTGCAAACACGCTGACGCACAAATGCACCACACACGTAGGGGTTCACACCGTAGTTTTTTCAGCGATTTCCTCGCTTGAAAATACGTGTGCGTGGCGAAAAAAAAAGAAAATAAAAATTGAGGATGCGCCAACACAAAACGCGTCAGTGTTTTGATGCTGGCGTGTTTTGTGTGAAATGAAATATTTTTTGAGAAAAATTGAATCGATTCAGATCAGATCATTTTGGACAGCAAATCGGTCCTCTTGTCAGATTTCTAGGCCCAGGGTTTCCCATAAAACTCCAAAAATCCAACTAACATCCACCATTCTCATAAGCCCTCGTTGGAAATCTCCAAATATTTCCCAATCCGACCGACAATCCCAAACAAGTCAGCACAAATTCGATGCCATTTCCAAATCCACCTCGATCATCGGCTGAACCTGCGACTGCTGGAACTTCGACAGCAGAAGTTGTAGATTTTGTGATGGTGGACTCATTTTTGGTGATGGTGGATTTTTCGACCAAACTTTTCGTCGAACGTTGCGACTCGATTTCCGAACCTGTGGCAACCATTTTGAATCTGAAACTGCAGAATAATTATTGAGATGTCTGCGTCTCTCTTTCTCTAACCTGTGTTATTTTTTTTTACTTTTCCTTTGACACAATAGAGAATTTATTCCAATTATGAAAATCCTGGCAGATGTTACCAAGATGTCGAGTCGAAAATACTGATCTCCTAGATCTCACTCTGATTTTTTTTGCTGCCCCAAATCAAGAAAATAGGGTGTCACGTAAACGTGGAACATCGTTGTTTTCTCCCCGATTTTTCTACAAAAAAAAGAACATAATTTACAGTACAGTACACCTTAGCCCACGTCTTCTTCAAATTTTTGCCAATTATTTTTATGCGATTTTTTTCACATTATTCTCAATCAACCAATTTGCACACCGTGTATAAAATATGTGCGATTTTTATTGCAAAATATCATACTGAATAGAAGAATGAGAATTTTGGTGTTGGCAATTCTTGTTGGATTGGTGGCCGTTACAATGGCGGTAAGTGCGGAGCATCGTAGTTTTGTACTGTGGGAACGCGGAGCATCTTGATAACTGAGATTAGGGTGTTATTGAGGAGTGTCGTTAGCAATACCTATTCTATTCTTTGGAATCGCGGAGTATCGTAGTTTCTATGCTGTGTAAAAGCGGAGCATCGTTTGAAAAATGCTATTAGTTTTCAAAGCGGAATTGCGGAGCAACGTTCGAAAAACATGGCTCAGCCTAGTAATTCTAGATATTTAAAATGAAAATGCGGAGAACCGGCGTTTCCTTACAGTATCTTGGTGTCGTAATAGCGGAGTGTTGTTCGAAAATCCCAACATTTCACTTATGTTTTTTCAGCGCAGCAAACCAAGTTTGAACAAAGTTCTACGAGACCAGAAAAAAGCTGTGAGTTTGAAGGCTCTCTCTTTAAATTCCTATCTGAAACATTTCCAGCGTCGTCTTTTGGCGGCTTCGAATTCGAATTCGGCATCATCAGAAGAATCATCAGAAGTTGGGTAAGAAGTTCTCTTTTTCGGATTTTCAAAAAACAAATCTGAAAATTTTGCAGAGTCTCTGACTTCTACGAGGATCGTTTGAGTCGACGATTGGCTGGCGGGTAAAATTTCAAAATTTAATTTCAGGTTTCCAAAGAACAACAAAAAATTTCAGGAGAAGAAGACTTTCTGGCTCAAGATCTGGCTCAAGATCTGGAACCAGTTATAGAAATCGAAGACTTTCACGTTTTCCAAGAAGATTTGGGTAAGAAAAAGAAAACATGGGTTTTTCACGTGGCAACTACTGTAACCTTTTTTGTAGGGATGACTTGGATCAATTCAACAATGTCGAATCCTATAGACCAAGGTAATTAGGTTCTCAAGCAGCCAATGCTTGGCAGAGGGGCTCACAAGGCATGGCTACTTGAGAAAGAGGCAACTTCTTGACAAGCAGCAGCTCCTTGACACATGTGTTCTCGCCTTTTCATAACATTAATTTTTCCAGAAACTTGGTTGGTGGATATCCAACAAGCGACTTTCATGGGTCAGTTGATTATTAAAATTTCATTTTACAAAAATTCTTGCAGACTGCCACGTGGACTCAACCGTAACGTTCATCAAAACATTTTCAGTCCACCTCGTCGACTTTACAATAATGGATTCAGCAAGTGAGTACTTCAAGAAGTGACTGCTTGGTTGATATATCGGGTGTCAAGGAGTGTTTGCTTCACAAATGAAACTAGGGCTAAGGGATAGCTCCTTGACACCAAATAATTTTTCAATTGACATCTGCTTGACTAACAATTTTGCTGTCAAGTAAAACTTTCTTAATCAAAAGTTTTCAGCCCAACAACCTACAACAGATTCTCTCAACAATCGAGAAGGTAAATTTGAATTTTTCTGCTAATAATTTCTTCCCAAAAATGTCTGAAATTTTCCAGCTTCCCACGTCATCTTCAATACAAAATCGAACCAATGATTCCAAGAATCTAATTGATTTTGATAATCTTGAATTTTTGTTAATCGATAAATTTGCATTTCAAAACAAAATTATTAGCTAAAATTATGGGAGAGGGGGCCAGGTTTTTCTAAACTTCTTTTTATTGATATCGGAACGGAAATGAATGCTGAATATCTTTAAAAATAGAAACTTCAGAATATCAGAAATTTGAAACGTATTATTTCCAGGAAAAAATATTGAATTCTTGAAAGACTAAAACAATATCTTTTTTAAATGTTTTTTGGTACCACAGAAAATTATTTCCCAATTGTTGAAAAATAACTCAACTGTTTCAAAATTTTGGTATAAAAACACATTCCTCTCTATTTTCCGCGAGCTGTGAATTGGAAAGGTCACGCTTGAAATTGTTATGTGCTCAACTTGTCAATTATATCGTTCCGTGATTTGAGCACTGTGAAAATATCGACGAAAATATTCAAGCGACTTGATAGCAAGACACAATTGGTGTGTTTCAAACTGTTCTGTTGTCATCCTAATGGTTTTTTTAGGTGTTTTCGAAACATTTTCTTCAAGCTTGCGCTCACCCTGTCATTGGAAAATTCTTATTTGCCAATTCAACTATTTTCAATATAACTAATTGGCAACATTCTGGACACATTTAATTCGAATTTTGAAACGTATAATTTCCAGGAAAAAATATTGAATTCTTGAAAGACTAAAACAATATCTTTTTTAAATGTTTTTTGGTGCCACAGAAAATTATTTCCCAATTATTGAAAAATAATTTTACTGTTGCAAAATTTTGGTATAAAAACACATGCCTCTATATTTTCCGCGAGCTGTGAATCAAAATTCGGAATAAAACCAAAATTTTGAAAAAATAAAAATAATGTTTCACAAAGCTTATGAATCATCAAAAAATTCATATGAAATATTTATTCCCAACCCAACAAATCAATAATTATTCAGATTTTTCTCGAAGTTCTTTTTTTGATTGATTTTTCGTGTTCCGATGGATTGGTTAGAGTTGAAAATGGCATTGGAGCGTGGAGCATTTTGAATTTAATTTTTCAGTTTAGATTTTTGATCATCCAATCAACTTTTATACAATTTCAATTTTCTCATGATTTTTTTCGGTGAAATTCCTCAAATTCCTTTTTTTCTCTAGAAATCAAATTTTTCAAATTCCTGAGAAAATTGAAATTGTATAAAGTTGAGAAGAGCCCAGTATTCAAACAAGAAAAAATCAAAATGATTCATATTGGACTAGATTACGGCTTGGGTCAAAATCCAACAAAACCTTCGGAAAACAAGAAATCAATCAGAAGAAGAACTTCGAGAAGAATTTGAATAATTATTGATTTTTTGGAATGGAAATAAATAATTTCATGGGAATGTTAGAGTTTATTTTTTATTGTTTCAAAAATTCCGAAGGCATCTTGCAAAAAAAAACTCACGTTTGGTGTTTGCACACAGAATCATCGTCTACAGTACCTCTTCCCAAAAATAGTTTATTTACAACATCGAAAAAGTGTCGTTTGAAATAAAGCATGCTTCAAAAGCACTCAAAAAATACATATTCACATTGAAGAGCAAAAAAATGAAACCTCATTGATAATATTGGACATTTTGTTGTATCATTGGTTGTGGAAAAGGTGGATACATTTGATAATATGGCAATTGTTGAGATGATTGAGGTGGTGGAAATGGAGGAAGAAAAGATGACGGATTATTCATCATATAATATGGATATTGTTGGAATTGAGCAAATTGTTGAGGAGCTTGTTGAACTTGCTGATAGTAATATGTTGTTCCCTGTGCTGGTAGTCTGAAATAAAGTTATTTTCGAAAGTATCGTATAAAAGTAATTGCACACTATCCAATAAGATCTTTACATACGTCTGATTGAAATCCGGTTGAAGTTGTTGTTGTGGATACATCATAGCCTGTGGTGGTGTTTCCAATTGTCTCGGCACTTCCGAAAACGATTGATTGATGTATGGCTGAATTGTCGTGTTCATCAATTTTGGCATTTCGCTGCTATCAACCAGATGTAAATAGTGACATCTGAAAAAGCAACTTATACCTATTTTCAGCCCACTACTCCCATTTCCCACCTTTCTCCAAACCGACAATTCCCAGCCATAAAATTGCGACATCTGCCTCTCGCTGGTTTCGCGGGCGCCGCATAAAAAATCCCGCCGAATTTCACAGTTCTCGCTGGTCGCTGGTCTCGCATTCGCAGCTCGTTTTTGCCGTGTGCAAACCGACAACTCGTGCCGTACGGACATTTTCCTTCGCGATTAAATACGTCGCATAACGAGATTTTGTAGGTTGCTGACATTTCTTTGCGACACGGCGCTGGTACGGCTGGCTTTTCGCGTTTTTTCTGTGAAAAAGTCTATATATAGATTTAGATTAGAAATTTCCTCAAAAAATTCTTACCTGCGAGAGTTTTTCGAGACTTTCATCGATTGAACGAAGCAATGCGGCTGGACACGTTTCGTTTCTCAAAGAAGATCCATCCATATATGAATTTTCAGTTGTCGTATCAGGTGCATTCAATTGTGCCATTTGTTCGGCAAGTGGTCGATTTTCTTTCATTTCGAGCGTCTTCCGAAACTGATGAAATGAAGTTTTTTGTCGGGAATCGCGATCGATTGAATTTGGGTTCTATTTAAACTTTCGCGGCGGGTCAAAACACAAAAAAGTGAAGATTTGAAAGTCTGCAAAATATTTTGCGCGAAAAAAAATTGTGTGCATTTTCATGTCGCGGTGTTTGCAACTACCGTACTCGTTTTAAAGAAAAAAAATTTATTTTTTCAAAAAGCTCAAGAATTCCGATCAACTCTCCATCGAAATCCCAATATTCCCACAATTTTCCAAAATATTATGAAAAGCACAATGACTCCATAATCAAGTGGAACGAGAAAAGGTAGAAAAGATTGAGAATCGATAAAATCTTTACCAGTGCGCCATTTTGTGAGGTTTTGATGATGATGACATCCAGGAATCTCTCCAACATCTCCAAAATATGATACAGTTATAACTTCGAAACCTCTTCGATACCACGAAACAAATGACAGTGGTCTAAGCCAACTCGGAATCTCATCAACTGAAATATAAAATCCACTCAAACTCATAAATGGAAGATTTAAGGCCAAGAGAACTGTGATTGTGACAACTGGATTGATGAAAATTGCAGCAATCGCATGAGCTGATGAAATGGCATTTAATGCAATTAGAAAAGTTATTGCAAAATAGTTAGAAATTGCTTGAAATGAGATTGGAAGTGACATCATTGAAATTGTAATTGTTCCAAAAACCAAGGGAAATATTGTGTATTGAACTGTTTCGATTGTTGATTTCGCTATGAAATATGCAAACGGATCATAGAGATTTGAATTATATTCACGAATTATTATTGGATAATCACGATGGAAGATCTGAAAACAATTCGGAGTTTCACTAGAGAACTTTTTGGAGAAACTCACATATGCACTTGGTATCATAAATAGAAAATCGACCATAATCACACTTCCCCAAGCGAATCCTCGAAAATTTAGTAAATGATCTTTGTGGATTTTCGTGCCATGATACATACAGCCAATTATTATTGAGATTGTCTGAAAATAGATGTTAGGGTTGCGTTTTTAAAGCTTCTAAACTGACAATAGTTTGCACAATTTTCCACATCATTTCGAACTTTTTTCTCTTCATCATTTTGAGATCGCGAAGTGCAACATACAAGACTTGTTGATGCCATTCTCGATTCATTCTGAAAGATGATTGTCTTTTTTCCAGCTTAAAATTTTTAAATAAAAAAAACTGACTTTCTGACAATTTCCTCATCATCTCCTTCATCTCGAATTCTTCTCGACGAACTTCGATTTGAACAAATCGAAAATTCGGGTTTCAACGAAACCGCCGCAAATTCGTTGATCATAACTTGCACTCTTTCATCATATTCCTCATCCGTTTCATCATAGGCTTGCGATATGAAATTCATAAGATTCTCGGGTGAATTCACAAACTTTGACGATATATATCGGCATTTTTGGAAGAATCGGACAGCAGATCGGGCTGGGCCATTGTAGACGATTTCGCCTTGAGCAAGTAGAATCAGGCTGGAAATAAATGTGTTTTGAATTGAAGCTTGTGAATAAAGTTTCCGCGAAAAATGTTGCAAAAAAAAGAAAGTAAAAATGGAAGTGCGCTCTATTGCAAACAGCGCGCTTTTCAATATTTTTTCCACGCTCAAATTCGACTTACTTATCCGCCAGATCAAAAACAGTTGTGCTTGGCGTATGCACCGTACAAACAATAGTCTTTCCCTCATTCGCCAACTGTTTCAAAACCTTCATAACCTGCGCAGACATGAAAAAATCGAGTCCAGAAGTTGGCTCATCGCAAAATAAAATCGGAGGATCATTCAAAATCTCACAAGCAAACGCCAATTTCTTCCGTTCTCCCCTCGATAAACATCCCCTTCCAGAAGCTTTTGATCCAACTCGACTATTCTGACAAGCATCTAAACCCATACAAAATATCATTTCATCAACAATTCGATCCAATTCTTTTTCTTTCAACAATTTCACTGATCTCATTCTCGCCGCAAATCGAATTGTCTCTCGAACTGTTAATTCTTCAATAAAATGATCATCTTTCTCCACATACGCACTGATTTTCTTCATTTCTGATGGATCCATATATCTACCATTCACAAAAACATTTCCCATTGATTGAATGTGTTCAAGACTTCGGCCAGTTAAAATATTCAAAAGTGTTGTTTTTCCAACTCCACTTGGTCCCATTATAAATGTTAATTGACCTGGTTTACAAACTCCTGCGATATTTTTCAGAATTTTCACCTCCAACCCATTTTGCACTAAATTCGCCTGAATTTCTTTGAAAACAAGTTTCCTCGGCCAAACTTTAGGCTTATAAGATAATGGATCAAAAGTTTGCAAAATCCTTGAAGAAATCGATAAACAATCTGAATCCTCCTCACTTTTCGATGTTTTTTTTCGAGTTTTTCCCAAACAACATCCTCGTCTCTTCTTATTTTTCATCTCGAGCTCTGAAAAATAGTTTTAGAAGTAGCTAAAAGCTCATCTAAAAATTCTTACCAACACTCCAAGTATCAGTCGAAGTTGACATATTTTTTTGTTTTAAATAAATGATACGAAATTGTTTGTTTCTCAATTTTTGAGTTGATAAAAATGACTAGTTTTTGAGTGGTTTTTCACGTGAAGATTTGGTATTTGGAAAGGTCACGCTTGAAATTGTTATGATAAGTTTTTTGAAAAAAAAAGTTCCAGAAATGAGATTGTTTTCAAAAAAAATCGGCCCGAGTTTTTTTCAAAAAAAAAATTGGCCCGAGTTTTTTCAAAAAAAAAAAATTGGCCCGAGTTTTTTCAAAAAAAAATTGGCCCGAGTTTTTTCAAAAAAATCGGCCCGAGTTTTTTCAAAAAAAATCGGACCGAGTTTTTCAAAAAAAAATCGGCCTGAGTTTTTTCAAAAAAAAATCGGCCTGAGTTTTTTCAAAAAAAAATTGGCCCGAGTTTTTTTCAAAAAAAAAAATCGGCCCGAGTTTTTTCAAAAAAAAAATCGGCCTGAGTTTTTTCAAAAAAAAATCGGCCCGAGTTTTTTCAAAAAATCGGCCCGAGTTTTCAAAAAAAAAAATCGGACCGAGTTTTTCAAAAAAAAATCGGCCCGAGTTTTTTCAAAAAAAAAATCGACCCGAGTTTTTTCAAAAAAATCGGACCGAGTTTTTCAAAAAAATCGGACCGAGTTTTTCAAAAAAAAATCGGCCCGAGTTTTTCAAAAAAAAAAATCGGCCCGAGTTTTTTCAAAAAAAAATTGGCCCGAGTTTTTTTCAAAAAAAAATCGGCCCGAGTTTTTTCAAAAAAATCGGCCCGAGTTTTTTCGTTGGATAAAAAATCGGCCCGAGTTTTTTCAAAAAAAAATCGGCCCGAGTTTTTTCAAAAAAAAATCGGCCCGAGTTTTTTCGTTGGATAAAAAAATCGGCCCGAGTTTTTTCAAAAAAAAAAATCGGCCCGAGTTTTTTCGTTGGATAAAAAAAATCGGCCCGAGTTTTTTCGTAGGATAAAAAAATCAGCCCGAGTTTTTTCAAAAAAAAATCGGCCCGAGTTTTTTCAAAAAAAATCGGCCCGAGTTTTTTCAAAAAAATCGGCCCGAGTTTTTTCAAAAAATCGGCCCGAGTTTTTCAAAAAAAAATCGGCCCGAGTTTTTTTCGTTGGATAAAAAAATCGGCCCGAGTTTTTTCGTAGGATAAAAAAAATCGGCCCGAGTTTTTTCAAAAAAAAATCGGCCCGAGTTTTTTCAAAAAAAAATCGGCCCGAGTTTTTTCAAAAAAAAATCGGCCCGAGTTTTTTCGTTGGATAAAAAAATCGGCCCGAGTTTTTTCGTTGGATAAAAAAAATCGGCCCGAGTTTTTTCGTTGGATAAAAAAAATCGGCCCGAGTTTTTTCAAAAAAATCGGCCCGAGTTTTTTCAAAAAAAAATCGGCCCGAGTTTTTTCAAAAAAAAATCGGCCCGAGTTTTTTCGTTGGATAAAAAAAATCGGCCCGAGTTTTTTCGTTGGATAAAAAAAATCGGCCCGAGTTTTTTCAAAAAAAAATCGGCCCGAGTTTTTTCAAAAAAAAATCGGCCCGAGTTTTTTCAAAAAAAAATCGGCCCGAGTTTTTTCGTTGGATAAAAAAAAATCGGCCCGAGTTTTTTCGTTGGATAAAAAAAATCGGCCCGAGTTTTTTCGTTGGATAAAAAAAATCGGCCCGAGTTTTTTCAAAAAAAAATCGGCCCGAGTTTTTTCAAAAAAAAATCGGCCCGAGTTTTTTTCAAAAAAAAATCGGCCCGAGTTTTTTCGTTGGATAAAAAAAATCGGCCCGAGTTTTTTCGTTGGATAAAAAAAAATCGGCCCGAGTTTTTTCAAAAAAAAATCGGCCCGAGTTTTTTCAAAAAAAATCGGCCCGAGTTTTTTCAAAAAAAAATCGGCCCGAGTTTTTTCAAAAAAAAATCGGCCCGAGTTTTTTCAAAAAATCGGCCCGAGTTTTTTCAAAAAAAAATCGGCCCGAGTTTTTTCAAAAAAATCGGCCCGAGTTTTTTCGTTGGATAAAAAAAATCGGCCCGAGTTTTTTCGTTGGATAAAAAAAATCGGCCCGAGTTTTTTCAAAAAAAAAAAAAAAAATCGGCCCGAGAAAAAAAAATCGGACCGAGTTTTTTCAAAAAAAAAAAAATCGGCCCGAGATTTTTGGAAAAAAAATCGGCCCGAGTTTTTTCGTTGGATAAAAAAAATCGGCCCGAGTTTTTCAAAAAAAAATCGGCCCGAGTTTTTTCAAAAAAATCGGCCCGAGTTTTTTCGTTGGATAAAAAAAATCGGCCCGATTTTTTTCAATGAAGCTCAAATCTCACCTGTTAGTTTTTTTCCTCCCCCCCCCCCAAACCTCAAAATAAACTAACTTGACTGATCATTTCCGTGAAAAGTTGTTGATTTCTTTGAATGTCTTGTCCAAACGAAACATCTTCGTTTTCGAAAGCCTGAAATATCTACATTCTTTTTCTCAAAATCTTCGCCTATTCTTAAACTTACATCAGAAAATGGCAATTGTGGATTTGATGGGATCCCTGCATTCTGTGACGGTTGTCTCTGAAAAAAATTAGAAAATTGAAAAATGATCATACAAAACCAGAAAAATGATTCAGTTCAAAAAAAAAAACGTTCAATCGATAGTTTCTTTTCAAATAAAAAACACATATATCTCTTTCTCTCTCTCTCTCTCTCTAACCCTCTCTCCATTTCCCACACTCTCTCATCTACCCTGCAAAAAAAACAACAAAATAAACACGCTAAACAACGTGCACGCGGAGTATCGTTGTTTTTCTTTTATTTTTTTCACGACCTTTACTTTTTGCTTTTTTTCTGGTTTTTGAGTGGTTTTTTTAAGCGCAGAAAGTGTTATTAATGGGTTGATTTGGTAAATTTTTTAATTTTTGATAAATTGCAAGGGGAACGTGTTGATTAGTCGCATTGTAGATGTTAAGTTAATAAGTTTTTGAATTGGAGCCAAATTATCAATTACGACAAGTTCGAAAATAATGTGTTTATATCCGACGTTTCGGTACTTATACCATCATCAGGGACTGTAAAATTCAAAATACAAAATTACAAAATATCATAAATTCGAAAATTGCACAGAAAAAGAAAAGAAAAAGGAAAGAAAAGAAATAGGCAATGGAAGACTAGAAAATGGAAGACTAGACAATGGAGAGGGGAATAATCATCATGTGTGTATTTACGCTAAACAAGGGGGGATGAGGAGTGTTGTTTATGTCAATTTTTTAGATGTGTTTTTTGATTATTTAAAGTTGGTTTTTTGGATATTTTTTGGATATTTTTTGGAGATATTTGTGGTAATGTTAATGTTCCAATCTTCGATATCATCTCCGAAAGTTCTTCCTTGCAATTCAAAGTCGGACTGAGGTGTTTGATCAGAATACCTTCGAGTATTTTCCTTCGGGAAGTGTTGTTCTCAACATCCAAAATGTCAACATCTATGATCAGGCTTTCGAAAAAAAAAATGTTTCATTTGAACAGGAAATTCAAAGAAATCAACAATTTTTCACGGGAAGGACCAGTCAAGTTAGTTTATTTTGAGGTTTGGGGGGGGGGGAGCAAAACTAACAGGTGAGATTTTGAAAAATATTGGGTAAAGTTACTAGATTAATTTTTTCATAGTTTTACGCACGCGATTTTCATTTTTGTTTTGAATTTATTTATTTTTCTTTTATAGTCTATGTCTCATTAAACTTCACAATTTGTATTCCCAGGCGTAACTTGTTTAAAAGAAATATTTTTTCACGTCAGCTTAGCTGCGAAAAATAGGTTTTTCTTCAAAATTTAGAATTTTTGAGGATTTTCTGACTGTTTCACCGAGGGACACTGCCCCTAGTCATATTATATTTTTCAATCCTGCACCCGAGGAAAATTCAAAAAAAATTTGTTTCATTGTTTTTTGGGTCACCCTGTGCTTTGAAAAATCAGTGATCCCGAAAAAAAGAAACGACACGAAAAAATAAATTCATCAAAATATTTAATTGAACTATTCTCCATAAAAATGATCGGAAATTGAAAAGTACAAGTTTCTCAAAGATTTTCAGCACCAACTATCCAAATTATCCATAAACCAGAAGGGCTCCGCCGGCTCCTCCTTCTGGGCTGTCGTGGCTTCGCGTTCAGTATTCTTTTGAAAAACAGTTCGTTTCTCTGAAGTCCTGTTAGCATACGGCGATGATGCAGATTAGTTTCTCCTCGGGGCTAATTGAGGAGAAAGAGGAGAAACGTGTTGCACGTGGAGGCGAAACAGTGCATTTTTTGAATTTCGCCCCATTTCTCCTCGGAGAAGAAACTCTTCTGCAACATCGCCTAACAAAAAAAGCCGATTTTTTTCGATAACAAAAAAAAAAGTAAAATATAGTAATATTTTTTAAAACGTGTTGCCCTAATTTTGTGGAAAAAATGTGGAAAAACGTGATTTTTCTGGTCATTTCTACAGATTTTGATATCGCAATCTGGTTTTTAAATTAAAAATCAATAATGAGTGTTCAACGATTGCAATTTGAGTGAGTTTTTTTTTGAATTTTTTAAATTTATGCCAATTTTTTTGCAGAACGAAATATGACCTCGAATATATTATGGAGAACAATGCTCAAAATGATCAAGTTATGGAGTATAAAAGATTAATTCAGATTTGCGTTGAGTCATCATTCCAGGATAAAGTGAGTTATATGCATATCACGCCCAGCTTTGTGAAAATTATTTTTTTGAAATTGGCCTATTATAATCAGAAAATTGCTTGTTTTCAATTAAAAAATAAAAATGTGATTTTGCGAGTTCCAAAATTGCAGCCGTGCAAAATGGGCGTGGTGTGGATATGTGCATTGATTTTTTGAAACTTTTAATCAATTTTTCAGGTTAAAGCTTTAATAGCTCTTTTGCCATTGCTCAACTTGTCAATTATATCTTTTCGTGATTTGAGCACTGTGAAAATATCGACGAAAATATTCAAGCGACTTGATAGCAAGACACAATTGGTGTGTTTCAAACTGTTCTGTTATCATCATAATGGTTTTTTTAGGTGTTTTCGAAACATTTTCTTCAAGCTTGCAGTCACCCTGTCCTTGGAGAATTCCTTTTTGCGAATTCAACTATTTTCAATATATCTAATGAAACAGTTGGCAACCTTCAGGACACCTTTAATTCGAATCCAATTAATGTTATGGAGTTGTTAGAAAGTATAAAAAATGGAACACTTTCTATTGATCGGATCGATATCGTCAGTTTAATTTTTTTTGATTTCTGATTTTTTGGCTAAATATTGTGTCTTTTCAGGAATTGGATCAGATCCCTTGTTGCGACGAAATCTCGATATTGATGCAAAAACATATTTCTAAAAGAGATGCCGCTATCTTCATATTTAAAAAAAAGAGTCGGAAGAATCGACTCGTGAGCTTCCAGACAAATGTAAGTTTTTCTGTCGAATAACTTCTGAGTTGGTCTGCCGCAAGTCTGCAGTAGATTGTCATCAATCATTCCTGCAAATTTGAAGAAACACAGAACTTCAAGTACCAGTCAGAAAGTATGCATTTTCCACCAAAAAAAACAAGTAAAAATGAAAATGAAAACAATTTTGACGTGTTTTGCAGCGTGAAAAAATGTTTTCATTACTTTTTCTCGCTTTCTCTTCAAATTTGCAATCACAGGCAATTATTTTTTTTTTAGAATTGTTAGATGAATGTAATTTCCTATTTTTCACTTTCAAATTGATCACAAAGCAGCTTTTGCTAATTTTTGGCTAGATTTAGAAAATTTTATCGATTTTTGACTTTGTGGCTATTTTTGAAAACAGATTCGAGATCAGAGGGTTCGATTCTATAGGTGTACCAATTTTAGGAAAAGTTCAACCTAACCTCATGTATTTTCCTAGTAAGCTACAGATGTGTGGCAGACTTGCAGCAGCTCGGGCTTATTTTGCGATGAAAAGTTTTATTTTCTAAATCAACAAATTTCAGATGATGGAAAATATGAGGATTTATTCTCTAGCAAGAAGAAATTAGCAGATGCTATGGTAGCACTAAAATTGCTATGGACACCAAAATGCCCGAAATGTCACAAACCAATGGTTTTGTATTTCAACTCGGCGGATACGAAATCACAAGTACGTTTCCAGAAGGTTGTTGAAAAAAACAATCAAGCAAAAATTGAAATTTACAAGGAAATTGTTTTAACTTTCACTCGAGATTTTCTGAAAAATGTTCATTCGACTCAAAATTAGACGGGGAATTATTTGAAAACATCTAGACATTGCGTAAATGTGCATTAAAAGCTGAAAATTTGAATTAAAAGTTTTTTTTCCAAAAAAAAAAATCAACTCACAAGGGAAGTCAAATACTTTTTTCAGTTTCGTTGTCCGCTAGATAAGAAAACGGCCGGTGTAAGAAACAAAAGTTTTTTCAATAATCGGAAAACACTCGAATTCTCGATTCGACTGATTTGGCTGTTGGCCCGTAAAGTAGCAGCGAAAAAAATCGTACGGCTCGCGGATACCTGTGAAAACACTGTAAAGTCCTTCGCGTTTAAGTTTGCCTAGTGAGTTGAATGAACAAATACAACTAATTGATTCCCAACTTTTTTTCAGCGAACTTCCGCAACATTGGTCCGCATCGGAAAGATTTGATTTCATCATCGATCGAACAATCAAAAAATCAAACTTTGATTGATTTTTGTTTTGGAATAAAGGTTGTATGAAATTCGGCATATTTGAATGAAAAAAATGTTTTTTTTTAAATGAAAAGTACATTGTTTGACTCTTGTTGTCTTTTCATCGAAATTTGGGGCTCCAAACACAGGGATTTCGCAAAATACTCATAACGAGCACGAAAACAGAGAACAAAAAAACGGTGGGCTTTCGTTTACGCGAACATTCAATCAAGATAAGAACTTCGAGAAGAATTTGAATAATTATTTGGTTTTTTTTTCGAGATTTTCAAAAAAAAAATCGGCCCGAGATTTTTGAAAAAAAACTCATCGACTTCATTTTTACATTTTTGCATTAATCCAAATCTGTAACTTCTTACTTTCTTTATCAAAATATTTAGTTGAACTACTTTCCATAAAAATGATCAGAAATTGAAAGTTTCTCAAACATTTTCAGCATCAAATATCCAAATTATCCATAAATATTTTAATTTTTTGATATCTCGATCACTTTTTCTACTCATTTATTGGGTTGTTCTTCATTAAAATATTCAATTTTTTGATATTATGCGTTTTTTAAAATTAAAATAACAAAAAATTTAGAAACGAGTTTATATTCACATAATTCTTCCAGCTGAATCAGCGACTGTATCAAATCGAGTAGATGATTTGCCGCTGGGAGATATAAACTCAATGGTAGATTGATAAACTTTAATAACAGTAGTTTTCCCATCATCTTTTGAATTTAGCATATGTTTCTTCCATTCAGCACCGAAACCATGATAACTTCTATATGGAAGGCCTTCAATAAATACATGTCCATCAAATTTGATCAAACCTCCGTCGACGGATCCTGAAACTTTTTTCATTCTATGTAGAAACAGAATCAGCATCAAAACTTGCCTGACACTTTGTGAAGTTGTTTTCCATGAATAATCCAGTTGTCAACACCAGTGGTCATAAATCCAGTGTTATATGAAACACCAGCAAAAACTTCTTTCGAATCTCCAGGAGCAAATTCAATCCATCCAGAATCATCGGTCCCTTTTCCAGTGTATTGATGAAGAACTTGAAATTTGAAATAACTGCCAGTGCGGTTTTCCAAAACTATTCGAGCTTTTCGTCTAGTCAGACCTGAATGTCATAACTTGGATTTTGAAATTTCGATTCTGAAACTAACCTTCGGTTAAATGTGCTACAGTGAGAAGCAAAAATATAGGCAAAAATCCGGTGAAAAATCTCATTCAAAAAATTCTAGACGAATGCAATTTGAATCAAAAAGAAAGAATCTGAGTCATAAGATTTTTTTTTGCGAAAATGTTGTGATGAATCATTGACCTCGTAACAACTGACACAATGTTTAGAGTTTGCTTGAAAAAAAGACAAAACATTTTATCCAAAAAAAATACGTTTCAAAAATATCATAAATTGTTTTACAATTCTGAAATTTTTGATTAGTCCAATTTGCTATATGTGACACCAAAAAAAATGAAAACAAATGGAAAGTTGTTTCAAACACAAAAATTCGAAAATTTTATATAAACAAAAGAAAATAATACTGTAATTCTTGAATGAAAAAAATGTCCAAACATTTTTTGGCAAATCACATGAATGTTTCTATTGTTTTATTATTCTGAAAATTTTCATGAATTCAAAAATTAAACAATTGCGTTCATTGTCTTTCAACAATATAAAAGAGTTCGTGATTTTCCAAAATTTATCATTGAAAAATGAAAGTTCTTATTCTTCTTATTTCTGTTTTCTGTGTTTCTCAAGCTTCGGATGCATTTCAAAAATACATTGAGCAGTTAGTTGTCTTCTGAAAAAATTTAGAAAAAAATTGTTTCAGAGCCATCGATTATAATGTTCACCCATGTGATGATTTCTACCGTCATTCTTGTAGAAAAACAACAACACAAGATTTAAAAGGCGCATTATCAAGTCATATTCAATCAATTCTCGATAAAACTCATATTAAAATGGGGACACCAGCTCTTGAAAAATTTACAGTGAGTTCAAGATTTCCAGATGTTATTTAAGAAAAAATTGCTTTTATAGAACGTTGTTGGCTATTTTTCGAGACGCAATTTCACTGCTCAATTTGTGAGACAATTCAAAGAGCAATACTTGAATAGGTAAGATTTTCAAACATAATTTGAACTTTCATAGTTATCCTATAGATGTCAAAATCAATCGTTGGAAGTGTTCCTCAAAGAAGTTCAAACCTTGTATCCAGAATCTTCTGATTGTATCAATGATATAACTTCAAATAGAGATTGTCAATCTGCTTCTCAACAATTTGCGTCATGTGTCGAAAGTTTTCCTGTTGAAAACTTTCAATCTGATTTAAATGATTTTGTGGACGATGCTGTTCTTCTGAATTGGATTGATCAGTATGGAAGTTCTGCGTTGAATCGTATTAATTCAACACTTTTGGACGTCAAACAAATAGCAATTCAATTGATAAAGGTAAACCTTCACTCTGTTTTTGGAAAATATACTAATTCAGAATACTCCATGGTTAAATAAATATGGATTAGCAGAAGAATTCCAAAAATATGCTGAAAAAACAGTTCTCGCCAATTACACTTCATTGAAAAACGCTAGAATGGCATTGTTTGAACGACAATCTAAAGTATACAACAATTGCTCCTCAAATTCTGTACTTCAAAATTCACCAAGACATGTGTTGTGTCTTTTAAGTTTATTAAAACACTCAGAACTTGTATCCTATGTTTTGGATCCAATTCAAATCGACGACAATGCATACAATATGGGCGGTGCTTTACATTTTTATTTCACATATTTTTATGTTGCGCAATATATCACAAATCCGGCAGAATATGTGAGACAGTAATTTTTCATAGCCTCTTGTATGTGATTCATTTTCAGATGGCTTACGCTGGTTTTACAGTTGGACATGAATTTGGCCATTCAATTGTTACTTCAACACTTAGACCCTTAAAATATTCGGAAATAGTGAAAAGTTGTATTCAGGATCAATTCAAGAAATCGTGCAGTTATTTTGCAGAGGTTTCTGTTTTACCATTCTTCGCCTAACTTCACAAATATATAATTTTTATAGTTCAACTGCACTGTACTTCTTGACCAAATAGGCGACAATGGTTCAGATTTGATCGGTTTTCAAATAATTTATGATTTGTTCAAACAAGAAATTGGTGAAAAATTACACGACCAAGTTCCTGAATATAAACAAAACATGACTTATGAACAACTATTTTTCTATGCTTACGGTGCCCAATGGTGTAAACGGTATCCAGATATATCATACGATGACCATCAAGCACATATTACAAGAACTAATGCGGTTTTGATTCAACACGAAGAATTCCAAAAAGCGTTTGGTTGTTCAGATCAAACAAGAATGGTTCAATCGAACAATGTGAGTGAATTTGAGAATTGAAGATAATTTTGGAAATTTTCAGGGGAAATGTCACATTTTCGGGCCAGATGCTCCACAAGAAAAAGGTCGCAATTTCGAGGGTTTTTAGATAATTTTTGATGGGAAATTGGGAAGATCAAATAAAGATTTTGGGATTTAGAAACTTCAGAATTCTTTCAAAAAAAAAAAAACAAAAAAAAACAAATTCATTCATTTACCCGTATGTTTTCTCAAGAAAAAAAAAACAAAAACTATGGCTCAACATTTCTAACTCGCAACGAAACATGTGATGGTTTACGCTCGAAAGTGCTCAAACTCGAAACATGCGACAATCCATAGACTGGTCTTCGAATATTTGAAGAAGATCGAGAATTTGTGAGAGAATATGAAGATGTTGATGTGAAACTAGAACCTCCAGATAATGAAGATTGTGATGTTGCAGATCTTCGAAGTCCTAATCCAAATCCACTTGACACCGATTCAACTGAGGATGTTGATGATGTCATTGCGTCTGATCTTCGATTTGACAACACTGATGAACTTCGAGTAGATCTTGAAGTTGTTGGCGGAGGTGGTGTATCAGTCGCAGCTCTTCGCAATTTCTCCCGTTCGCTCAATGGTAATCTACTTGGTCGAATATCTTTCGGAGCTGGTGATGCACTTCGATATGTGATTGGTGAAGGAGATTGTGATCGAACTATAAGAACGGGTTGTGGTCGAACTATTGCGACAGCTTTTCTTTCTGTTCGCCATGGCGAAGTTGCTCGAATTGGTGAGGATGGTGGGCGGAGCAAGGATTCTGAAGGGGTTTCTGAAGTTCTTCGCGATGGTTTCTTAGGTGCCGCAGGCTTCCATAATTCCTTTTCTTCACTCTCCAATTTCTCATCAAGTTTTGAATCTTGCGATGTTTCCGATCTTGTCAATTCCACAGCTGCCGCATTTATTATAACCCTCGTCGGACCTTCGGAATTCTTCAATAAATCTCTTACACAATTTTCGATCTTCAGAAGTGTCTCATCATCTTCAGGAAGTTTTAGACGTGCTTTGATTTTGGGCAGAAATTTGGCGGCTCTGATTCGGATGTTTGAAACTTGATCATTTGTAAGAGTCAAGGTTGAGTCAAGAAAATTATCAATGAAGATTTGTTTGCTGAAAATATTGAGCACAATTTCAGCGACATCGATGAAATTGATTCGTCGATAACAGCAGGAATGTTTTGACAGTTCTGAAAAACATGAATTATTTCAGAAGTTCTCGATGATAAAAATACCTTCATTCAAAAATTCGACAATTTCCTTCCTAACATTTTCATCCTTAATATTCCTCATCAAAAACAAGAGTGATTCACACGCCGTAATTCGACAGGGAATTGCGCGAACTCCCAAAATCTCACGTTTCAACATCGGAACAAAAGTTTGGATGAGAACATCTTGAGAAACACAATTTGTTATTGATCGAAGACTTCGGAGGAGCGATTCGTGGCTTCGCCAATTACTATGATTTCGAAGGATTTGATTGCACCCAATTATTAGATGATCTAGTTGGGAAGTACTGGTTTTCTGAAAAGAATTCAGAATGAATCAGAAGAGTTTTCTTACTCTTCTGAATCAGGAGAGTTCAAAACTTACTCCTGGATTCTCTTTAACAATTCTGTAAAGAGTCGGAAGAATTGTTGACATATTTTGTGAAACTTTTGCAATAACATCAGTCGAACCACTGTGTAAAAGTTCAATGAACGGCTGCACCAAATCATACCGCTCTGGATAGATATTGAGAATTTCGTGGTATGATGAGGCGATGCAAAGTTTGACCTCATCATCGTGATCTGTTCCAAATTGTTCGACGAATGGAAGAAGACGATCCGCGTGTTTTTTGAACATCAGAATCATGCACTGCAAAAATATTAGATTTTTCTGATTTTGTGAATAAGTTCCTATGACGTGGCAGATTTTTCTATTCTTTTTTTTTTTTTTGAATTTTGAAACAGTAGATTTTTTTCAAATTATTTTTTCCATCATAATTTCTAAACGGTTTTTTGTTTCCAAAAAATTCCCGGAAATTGTACGTTTCAAAAAAAAAATGAATTATAAGTTGAAAGTCAGAAAAACGTTGGAGTACATGAAAAATTGTAACTTTTGAATTTGTATTCAATAAAAACTCACAGGCAAATTATAGCAACACGATTTTTTCAAAACTTTTCGAATATTTCTCTCAATTCCAACTTCACATTTCTCCTCAGATATTTGAATCATTTTACAATACGTGTTCAAAATCCACGATTTATCCAATTGATCGATAATCTCATTCAAATCCCACGCCCATTTTCCAAAATTCTGTGAAATCAATGCAATCGCCTCATTCTTTTTATCCAATGCTTCTTCAGTTATCGATTTGATTTTCCCGAAAATTGTGTGTTTTTTCGAATCTCTTGTGAATAATGGCATTGCATCGGTGATATTATTCATAACAGCTTCGCGAACATTCATTTCTTCATCGGATAAAAGTTGGATATAACATGGGAGAAGGCAGGAAACCACGTCATGCGAGTTTTTGAGAGCATTTGCCACGACGCAAAGTTTTTGGGAGATTGCCACGCGGACATTTGAATTGGCATCTTTTGAGAGGGTTGAGATTATTGGACAAATATCTTTTCGAATTCTGGAAAAATCGTGCTCAGTCCGGATTTGAAAAAAAACTTTTGAAAAAATTTCACTGTTTCAAATTTTGGTATTCTTTTTGGAATTGTCTTGAAGTTTCTAGGCCTAAATTCAATATTTAAAAAAAATCCGGACACATTTTCAAAAATTTTTTGTATCATTTTCAAAGTTTTAATATTTGTCGATTGATTGCCCATCACATTCAAATTAATTTTGAAACAGTGAAAAAAATCAGATCAAAAAATTCCCATGAAATATTTATTCCCAAAAAAGTTATTCAAATTCTTCTCAAAGTTCTTCTCTTGAATGAATTTTCGTTTTCCGAAGGTCTTGTTGGAATAATCTTTGATACATCCGGAATCGGTAAACCAACTGGCCAATGGAACATTTTTTGAATTTTTATTCAGTTTGGATTTTTGTCTCTCCTCATAACTTTTATACCATTCCAATGTTCTCATCGGGGGGTTTTTTTGGAAAATTTTTCAAATTCCTTTATTTTTCAGAAATCAAACATTATTTTGAACTAAATCGTTTTCAGCTCAGGAATTTGAAGAATTTTCCAACAAAAAAATCATGAGAAAATTAAAACGGAAAATGAAAGTTTCTAGGATTCGAAAAAATGAATCATGTTTCGATTGGGATACCGGTTCCGGATCTATTGAATATTACTCCAACAAAACCTTCGGAAAACAAAAAAATTAATAAAAAAAATGAAGAACTTCGAGAAGAATTTGAATAATTATTGACTTTTTGGTATGGAAATAAATCATTTCATGGGAATTTTTTTACTGTTTCAAAAACAATTTGAATTATCAGATTTGCAGGAATTTATAATTGAAAGCTGGAAGTTTTCTAGAACAAAATAATTTCAGAAACCCCTTGAAAAATTATTCCACTGTTTCAGAAATTCTACAAGTTTCTATTACAATTGAGGGAACTTATGATAACGGCAAATTGAATATTATAATTTTAAAAATTCTTCAAAAAATATTTCACTGTTTCAAAAACTATTGAAAAATTATTCAATTTTTTATTTGAACAATTTGAATCCGAAATTACAAAATAATTTTTACCGTTTCAGAAAATTTCTATAATTTTAAAAGAAAAAATTCTATAATTACTACGTCCGAAAATTCAAAAAACCAGAGCTCCTCTAGAGCATTGAGCTCCACCGAAGAAGAAGAGCTGGCTGGGCTGCTTTCAAATCCATAGAAAAAGCAACCGACGCCATCACTTGCCAAAAAACCAAAGCAAACTTATTCGATCAAACGGTTCTACCCGCCCTTTGCTATGGTTCAGAGGCATGGACCCTCACAAAAAAGAATTCAGAAGCTCTTCGAGTCTCCCACGCGGCATTGGAAAGAAGATTAGTTGGCATAACACTCAGCGAACAACGCGAAAGAAATCTCCACCGCGAAGACATCCGGAAGCTATCGCAAGTCAAGGATCCACTTCGACACATCCGCCAACAAAAAACCCGCTGGGCCGGACACATGGCAAGGAGAAACGACAACCGTTGGTCAACGGCAACATTGGATTGGTATCCACGAGATTGGAAAAGACCAGTTGGACGCCCTCCATTGAGATGGTCAGATGAACTAAGGAAAAACCACTGTATATATGACAACAACAACAAATTGGTCGAATATTGGACAACTTGTGCCAAAGACCGTGATAAATGGAGAACTGTGGTCCGCGCAATATGCTGAAGAACGGATCGACTAAGTAACTAAGTAAGTAATATCACTGTTTCAAAATTTCCTGAATTCTGAGATGGAATTTCAACCGGGTTCACTCTTCATTAATTCCTTACAAAAATTATAAATTGATTTTTTATAATTTCTCAAAAAACATCATTTCTCTTTGCCAACAATTTTTGAAAAATTATTCTACTGTTTCAAACGTTTTACATATAAAATATTGATTTTCAACAGAATATTTAGTATCGAAAAATTTACCAAATATTTTACTGTTTCAAAACTTTCTGAACTTTGAGAAGGAATTTCAACCGTATTATTTTTCATCAAAAATTGAAAACTCACTCATTTGCTGGTAAAAACATTGCCAATTTATGAATTATCTTTGTGGCAATAATCCTTCGCTGAACTCGTTGAACTGGCTCAGCTTGAACTTGTACAACCGGAATAATGTATTGTTTAATCGAAGACAGTGATAAACGGTCAGCTATTTCGACAATTGTTTCGAGCCAGGCGGCCGCGGATACTGGAATAAAAAGTGAGCTTGAAAAAAATTTTCTAAAAATTTTCTGAAAGAAAAACATACAATGATGCATTTGATTGGATTTAATGATGATTTTTTCTTTTTCATGCGGTTGTTCTGGAAAAGAGTTAGATAGAAGAAAGGATAGGTTTTTTTTGAAACAGGAAAAAATTAATTCAAAACTCACTGTGCTCTTTTTGATTTTGAATATTCTGCAAAATATTTTCCAAAATTGTATCCGCCAATCCACTGAAAAACATATTATTTTTTCTCAGAAAAAAACTTCTGTTTTTCAAAATTAGACTTACGGAAACTTGCTGATCAGTTTATCATTTTGAATTATGTTCTTATAGACAACTGCGGCTTCACAATGCAAATCCAAATTGGAACTCTCGATTTTGAGGCAAGACTGGATTGCGGGAAGCATTTTTCGGAGACATTTATCGCCGTCGGAGAAATCGAGAATGTCGGGGAAGGTTCGGATGGCGGTGAGTTTTTGGATCTCGGTTCCCTCGCTGGAAAAATTTTAGTTAGTGATTTTTTTTATCGAATACACAGTTAATAAATATAAGAAACATTATACAGTGCGTTTCATAATGATAGGTTCACCCCCAAAATTTCTGAAATCAGCCGAGGTGTGAGTTGTAATAACAATCCGAGTTAAAAATAAAATAGAGCACACAAAATTAGCTAAGAAAACTCAATTTTATCTGAAACTACCAAATAATAAAAAAATAAATGACCGGAGTTCAAAAATTTCAAAAATTTAGCGTTTCAAAACGATAGGTTCACCTAATCCAGAATTCCCATTGGAGACATATAATCGAAAATCAATACTTAGTTGGACCTCCATGTTTAGAAATGACATCATAGAGACGATTTGGCATCGAGTCAACAAGTCTCTTGAGGTAGTTCTTATCGATTTTATTCCATTCCGTCTCGATGGCATCTTTGAGTTGGTCCACAGTATCATATTTTTTTCCTTGAGCATAAACTCGGCGAACGAGCTCCCCCATACGTTTTCCATCGGATTAAGATCAGGAGAACACGCTGGCCAATCCAAAACTTTGATTTTGTGGCTTTTGAACCAATCTTTTGATGATTGGCTGACGTGGATGGCAGCATTATCCTGTTGAAAAGTGAACTTTCTGGTCCGGAACCGCCTCAAATATGGCAAAAGATAGTCATGGAGGGTTTTTTGGTAATCTAACGAATCCATCTTGAATGAAACAAAAGCTATTTTTAACGTTCCAGCTGCAGAAAATGCGCCCCAACACATAACCCGTCCTCCTCCAAAATTTCTCTTTGGGAAGCGAAGTTGATCCTTTCTGATATCATGCCAGTATGAGTTGTAACCATCCGGACCATCAAGATTAAACTTTTTTTCGTCAGAAAAAATTATCTGAACAAGAAAACATCAATATTTGATGTTTTTAGAAAAATTACTTACCTTATCCCAATCTGTGGCCATGTTGGCTTTTGCGAAAGTAAGACGGTTGTCTTTGTGGCGAAGTGTGAGACGCGGAGCTGGCACCAATTTGGCTCGAACGATTTCTGGGGATTGGTCTATGGCTCTCCAAACTGTAGTCTTACTGATATTCAAACCCAGCTCGTTTTTGATGTCATTACACGATTTCATTGTGTTCGAAGCCAACCTAACAATCCCTCGTTTATCTCTCTCCGTGAGTTTTTTGGGAGCTCCAGTGTTTTTCATTCGCTCATAGTGATCCGGATTGTTGACAAATTGATTAATACAGTTGAGAGATCGTTTCAATTTTGACGAAATCATTCTATTGGACCATCCGGCGATTTTGAATGCTCTAATTTGAGCTTGTTCCTCTTTTGTAAGATGACTTCCCCGCGACATTGATGAATGACGTGAAAAAACGAGAACAAAAACAGAAACACGTTAAAATAATCAAATATCACTCGTATTTTCCAGAATATTCGATAAAACTCCTACCACGAAACATAACTACAGTACTACTGCGGGTGAACCTATCGTTTTGAAACGCTAAATTTTTGAAATTTTTGAACTCCGGTCATTTATTTTTTATTATTTGGTAGTTTCAGATAAAATTGAGTTTTCTTAGCTAATTTTGTGTGCTCTTTTTTATTTTTAACTCGGATTGTTATTACAACTCACACCTCGGCTGATTTCAGAAATTTTGGGGTGAACCTATCATTATGAAACGCACTGTAGAAAATTTGGAAGATTTTTGAAACAGTGAACGTTTTTTGAGAAAAAATATGTTTCTGAATTTGAAAAAAAAAAGATTTTTGAAACAGTGAAAATTTTCTCATAGAAAAAGGGTGATATTTTTGAAACAGTAAATTTATTTTTTTGAAACTCAAACTTTTTCAAATATAATTTTTAAATTTTAACCAAAGTTTCAGCATAAATTGAAACTTAAATCAACAATTATTTCAAATGAAAAAATATAGAAAAAACTTGAGAACTTGTTGAAACAGTAAGATATTTTTTGAAATAATCTGAATCGAAATTGTTTTTAAAAAAAACTTTTGAGTGAAAAAAAAAAACCAACTCTAAATTCTGCAATGCTTGATCCAACGGACTTCTCAACAACTCTTCCAAATCCGGATCTTCAGCCATTTTGAACAATTTCGCGAAATCCAGCTTCACCATCGGTGATTCTCTTTCTTCCTCTCCATCTTCAATTTCAGTTTTTTCATCATCAGTTTCAGATTCAGCTACCATTCTGCATAAAAAACAATAAATAAAGACTAACTCTGAAAAAAAACAGAGGAACAAACAAAAATCGAATCATGGGAGATTTTCAAGTGTTTGAGTAAATAACGATTGTTTCTAAAAATTGACTGGGATTTGTGGTTTGATCCATTATCACAAATTTGAAAGAAATTCAAGAAAAATTGGAGAAAGTTATCGAAATGTACAGAGAAAAGCTGCATACAAGAATAGAAAAAAAATCGATACACAATCAACGCAAAAAATTGAGAGATTTAGAGATAAATTATTTTTGATCTACCCCAAAAATTATTGAAAAATTTTAGGTCCAGCGATTTGGGATAGTAAATTACACACTGCAATTATCTGTAAAATGATGAAATATTTGGAATGTTTGGAGTACTGTAATTTTTGAATAGAACAACAATTTTGCCATGAATAAATACTTCTATTGTTTTCATTCAAATTATTTTTTGGAATTTCAAAATTCCAGAATTGTTATAATGAAACAATTAAACGCATTGTCCTTTGACAGTATAAAAGAGTTTCTGAATTTATCCAAAAATTATTCGGAAAATGAAAGTTCTCTTTATTTTAGCGTCTATATTCTGTGTTTCTCAAGCCACAGACCAATATCGAAAATACATCGAACAGTTTGTTCCATCTTTAGTGAATATCAAAAATACATCGAGAATTTCCCAGATAATTGATGATTCTGTGGATCCCTGCGACAATTTCCATCGACATGCGTGTAGCAACACAACTACCAGCACTTTAGATCACGCCTTTTCAGAGCATCTCAATCAACTTCTAGACAAGACTCATATCAAGATGAGCAATCCAACTTTGGAGAAGTTTACGGTAAGTAATATATATACCTTAATGATGGCTTATCGGAATCGAAACAGAGCTTTGAAAAACATTTTTCAGAATGTTGCAAGTTTTTATTCAAGACGGGATTTCACTTCTCAACTTGTGCGACATTTTCAAAAACAATACCTGAATAGGTAATAGAAAACTTGGACTCTGTTCGGAAATAAAGGGTTCTAGAGAAAAAAGTTCCGAACAGAGCCAGAAATAGTTTACTAAATAAATTTTGAAAATTCAGATGTAAAACTAATTCTCTCGATGATTTTCTCCAAGAAGTTCAAATCTTGTATCCACCATCATCTAATTGTATTAGTCAAATCATACAAGGTGCAGATTGTCAAGTATCATCACAAAACTTTGCTGATTGCTTCCAAAATTTCCCTATAGAACTATTTCAACAAACACTTTTCTTCTTTGTTTATGACGCAGTGCATTTAAATTGGATTGAACAATATGGAAGTGTTGCTTTGGATAACCGTATAAATTCCACTCTTCAAGATGTCAAAACCTTTGCACTTGAGTTAATAAAGGTAGGAAAATTAACAGGTAAGATCTGAAGGAATATAAAAATATCAATTATTCCAGAAAACGCCTTGGTTGCAACATTATGGTGAGACTGAATTATTTGAAGCGCTTCGCAGCCAACACAAATATAGCCGATTACAGTTCTGTCAGAAAGAAAAGTGATATAATGCCAATTTTCGAAAAACAATCGGAAGTTTACACAAATTGCTCCGCAAGGTCTTTGCTTCGGGATGCGCCAAAACATGTTTTGTGTCTTTATCAAATATTCAATCATAAAGAACTTTGGATAAATCTTCAAGATATTCGACCGGTGATTAAAATATCTGATGCTGCTGGAAATTTACATGGTGTCCTATATTTATACCTAACATATTTCTATATATCTCAATACATTAGCGATATAGCTGAATATGTATGTTAATATCTTATTGCCAAACAAATTGAACGTTTTCAGATGGCTTATACTGGTTTCACAGTTGGACATGAATTTGGTCATTCGATTATGCTCTCAAAGAAAAGTAAAACGAAATATTCGGAAATTGTAAGAAACTGTGTTCAGAATCAGTTCAACCGATCTTGCAGTTTGTATGAAGAGGTGAGAAGATAAAATACACACATTCTCAATTTTTTGCAAAACACAACTCAGGCTAACTGCACTGTCTTGGACACTCAGATAGGAGACAATGGTGCTGATTTGATTGGTTTCGAAATATCCTATGAGCTTTTCAAGCGACAAATCGGTGACAAGTTACACGAAATTGTTCCTAAATTATACCCGTAAACTAACTTATCAAAAGTTATTCTACTATGCTTATGCTGCGCAATGGTGTGCACCCTATCCTACTGAAGATGGTCTTCAACATCAAGCTAAAGTTGTACGAACCAATGCTGTTTTGATTCAACATGATGAATTCCGAAAAGCTTTTGGTTGCTCAGATCAATCAAAAATGGTGCAATCTAACAATGTGAGTTAAAACCATTTCGAAAATCAATGAAAGTTCTGATAACTTTTTTTTAAGGGGAAATGCAATATTTTTGGACCGGATGCTCCACAGACAAAAAGTCGCAATTTGATTGGTTTCTAATTCTGATTTGAACTTGGGAAAATCGGTGAATTGAATAAAATAATTGAGAAGAAGTTGTTTTGAAGTTGAGAAAAAATGAAAAAAAAAATAAGGAAAATGAAAACTCGAACCTGGACCTTCTGAACAACAGCAAAACAGTCTACCACTGAGCTACCTGTACATTTATTTTGAGAAAGTAAATGTTGGTAAAAAGGAAACAGTGATTTTTTTTCGAAGAATAAGTTACGACTTTCAAAAATCAAAAAGCACGCGAAAAATCTCGTCGGGAAGACACAAAAAAAAATGAAAGTCTCGTGTTTTGTGTGGGGTTATGACACACAGACAAAACGCGAAATATTGGGATGAGTTTGGAGAGAAACGGCCATATCTTTTTCTCGCTGTGAGCATTTCGAAGCCGAGCCGAGAGCAGCTGGCTTTTTCCCGGTCGGGAGAAGAAGGAGAGCTGAGAAGAAGAATCACAAAATAGTGTGGGAGGGTGTAAAAAATTTTGAAAAAGAAGAGGGCTAAATCGAAGAAATGGGATAATGTTTGTGGTGTTCGAGAGATATCAATTAATATTGTTTCGAACACCTTGTGGCGAGAGAATAGGAGAGCACAAGAGCAGCAGAGAAAAATCTGAAAATTTTTGATTTCAATTTTAATCGCTTTAGAAAACACATGTTTCAATTCCAGATGTGTCCAAAGTACTTCCCAATGCACTCAGGTAAACATTTTTATCAACCAAAAAACATATCATTATTATCAATTGTATTTTTTATTCGATTTATTTTAACCCCAGTTCCTACTTTTTTATTGAAAAAATTAAAAAAATTCCAAAAAAATTCCGAATAAAAAATGGCCGAGTCGGTTGCTAGGCCGCGCACACGTGTAGTTCTCTCGGAGAAAATCGTTTTTTTTTCATTTTTTTCTTTTGCCGCCACGTTTTCGAAATTTACCAAATGACCACGGTGTTTCGTATAGTTTCTTATCAAAGTTCAAATTTTTGCCAAATAAATGAATGAGAAAAGAGTGACCCGCTGTCCATCTTGTGATAAAAATAGTGTAAAAATAGAGGAGAACACTCACAAGTTGTAGTTGTATCTTCCTTCCTATTTATCAATATTTTTCTTAAACCTAAATGATTTCAACACGTTTTCTCAAAAAACTTTCATCTCCTTCTTCATCTGCTATTCGAAGTTTTATGGTTGGTTGGTTTCAATGATCTTTTCAACAACAAACATCATTGATAAAAATAATATAAAACATAAATTTTTTTGTTGTGTCTCTCTAAAATATTTTTTCTAATAACTAACTTAGCCAAAAATATTCCAGATATCCTCTCCCTCAAAAATGTCGTCTCGTTCCCCACCAGCTGAACTTCTCCAAGAGATGGTTGTCCCACCACGTCAACTTTTCGGGCCGGGACCATCAAATATGGCTGATGCGATTGCGGAGACCCAATCCAAGAATCTTTTGGGACATTTGCATCCGGAATTTGTGAAGATTATGAGTGATACTAGATTGGGTATTCAGTATGTTTTCAAAACTCAAAATGCCTATACTTTTGCAGTTAGTGGAACTGGTGAGTTTTTTTTTTTTTGAGGGGGATTTTTGATAAGAAAATTTGGGTGAACCTAGAAATACATCCTATAAAAGAGAAGGTTCTAGAAAATTTCTGTTTGCACTACTAACATAATTTCTAATCTTGAACCCAAAAGTTCAATTATTGATTTTTAGGCCACGCTGGAATGGAATGTGCGTTGGTGAATTTGTTGGAACGTGGCGATCGCTTCTTGTCAGTTGAAATCGGTTTGTGGGGTGCAAGAGCGGCGGATTTGGCGAGTCGAATGGGTTGTGAAGTGAGAAAAGTCACCGCGCCACACGGAAAAGCTGTGACTGTTGAGGAACTTGAAAAGGTTGGCGAGGGTTTTCAACAAAAAAAAAAGCTTACAAGGGAACCTTTTTTACTCAACACTTCAAATCATGATGAAATTTTGTCCAGAGACAGCTTTTGGGGTCATAAGAACACCCTAAAAATTTAAGTCTCCCAATGGACCTCTGAGTCAAGTTCTGGGCTCTCAAAAACTCAAAAAAGGCCTAAAAATGGTCATAAAAGTCATCATAGCTCCATTTCAAAAATTTTTTTTGGGAGAAATGAAGTTTCAGATATTGATCAGCATAGTCGATTCCCTAAAAGTACATCAATAAAAAACTTTATTTCGAAAAATTTTGAAGTTTTTTATTTTTGGGCTGAAAATTCATATGTGCCCCTGCTCATTGTTTTTTTCAAAGTCAACATTTTTCTGAAAATTTGATTTATTGATGCTTTTTGGGTAAATCGACCACGCTGATCATCATCTGCTACTCAGTTTTTCATAAAATTGATCGAGAATTGAGTTATGACGTGTTTTATGAGCCAATTTTGGCAATTTTTGAACTTTTGAGAGCCCAGAACTTGGCCTAGAGGTCCATTAGGTAACTAAGATTTTTAGGGTGTTCTTATGGCCCCAAAAGCTGTCTCTGGACAAAATTTCATCATGATTTGAAGTGTTGAGTAAAAAAGGTTTCCTTGTTAGAGACCCGAAAAATCATAAGAAATGTGTAGTGTAAATAGTGTTTTTTTTTTTGCAAAAAAAACGTGTCCGCCGCAAATCATATCATCATTTCTAAATTTTATTAGGTCAAAAAATTGAAACGTATTTTTTCCCAGTTTTCAAAAAGTGAGAACTTCCAGCTGGTAATGAGTGGTGTAACTGGTTAGGGGTTTGCCTACCGAGTTGAACGTCCCATGTTCGATCCCATCCGGACAAAATTGATTTTTAACCAATTCCAGGCAATCACCGAATTCAAACCACACGTCGTTTTCGTTTGCCAAGGTGAATCATCAACTGGCGTCGCTCAACCACTCGAAAAAATTGGCGATATCTGCCATCAAAATGGTGCACTCTTCTTGGTGGACACTGTTGCTTCACTTGGCGGAACACCTTTCGATTCGGATGCTTTGGGTGTTGATTGTGTTTATTCGGCGACGCAGAAGGTTTTGAATGCTCCACCGGGACTTGCGCCAATTTCATTTTCGGATAGAGCTATGTGAGATTTTTTGGGAATTTTTTTCTTTTGAAAAATGGTGGAATTTTTAGTTGAAAAAAAATATCATAAAATAAATTCCGATAAAATTTTGAAACGTATTTTTTCCGGGATTTCAAAATAGTTCCAAGAAGGAATCGAACTGGGACCTTTTGCCTGCTATTATTTATGTGGTTAGAGAGTTAAAGATCAATTTTCCTCAATTTTCAGCCAAAAAATCCGCTCGCGCTCTCAACGTGTTGCCTCATTTTATTTCGACGCCTTAGAACTTGGAAATTATTGGGGATGTGATCAGGAATTGAAAAGGTATGTTGATTTTTTTTTCTCAAAAAAAATCCCCAAATTTCTCGTCCTTCTTCCTCTAAAATGAAAATAAAAATGAAAATACGAGTGAAAACGAGAATTCCATTGAATTGAAAATAAAAAAACAAATTTTAGAGATTTTATCTGTTTTGAATTGAAATGAGTGAAAGAAACTGGATTTCAAAATATAAAAAAATAAAAAACATCAAGGTCAAAATGTCATATTTTTGCAGATACCATCACACGGCTCCTATTTCAACAGTTTATGCTTTGAGAGCCGCTTTGCAAGCGATTGCAAAAGAAGGAATTGATGAAACAATTGAAAGACATCACAAAAATATTCAATATTTGTATGAGTTATTGAAAAATAACAATTTGGAACCATTTGTGGAGGATGAGAAATTGAGATTGCCTTGTTTGACAACTATTAAGGTTCCCGAAGGTGTTGATTGGAAAGATGTTGCGAGTGATTTGATGGGACAAGGTGTTGAGGTATTGGAAGGTTTTGGGAATTAAATTTTGAAAATTTAAATGAAGAAGCGATGTGGAAGTTTACAAAGTTTCAAATTTTTCGGCCTAAAAAGAGCCACGTGGCAAAATTTCAAAAATTACAACGTAGAAAATTTCAATGAATTCAAATTTTTTGGCTCCAAAAAAGCCACTTGTCAAATTGTCAAAACTTTTTGGAGTCGAAAAATTCCACGTGGAAAATATTTGAAATTTGCCAACCTTTTTTTTTAGAAAAAAAAAAGCGAATTTTTTCCCAATTTCTGCAATTTTTTCATTCTCATCCTATTGAAAAAGTAATTTTTCGAAAAATTCTGAGGAAATTTTGAAACAGTGAATTTTTCCTGGCCATCAAATTTTCAATTATTTTCCCAGATACGTAGAAAATTTCAATGAATTCAAATTTTTTGGCTCCAAAAAAAGCCACCTGGCAAATTGTCAAAACTTTTTGGAGTCGAAAATGCCACGTGGAAAATGTATGAAATTTGCAATCTTTTTTTAAAGAAAAATTCTCCTATTTAATTTTTTTCCAAATATTTTCTCTAACTACAAATTGAGAAAATTATGAATTTTTACAATTTCTGCAATTTTTTCATTCTCATCCTATTGAAAAAGTAATTTTTCGCAAAATTTTGAAGAATATTTGAAACAGTGATTTTTCCCTGTGATCAAATTTTCACAATTTCTATTTTCCAGATTGCTGGTGGACTTGGCGCAACAGTGGGAAAGATTTGGCGCGTCGGAACTTTCGGAATCAATTCAGATCGTGCGAAAATCGAAAAAGTTATTGGACTTTTGGCTGCAGCTGTCAACAAGAGAAGGTCTAAACTTTAAGTTTTTTGCTTTTTAATTTCAGCCTCAAAATTTTCAGATAGACGTCGATATTATAATTTTGCTAATTTTCTATTTATTGCACCCTGGAAATAATCATAAAATTTAAATTTTTATTGATTTTTCAGGAAAAAACAAGTATTATTTACACGATGCGCAAAAATTCAATGAATGAAAGACAATTTTTGCTTGTATAGAAGAAAAAGGGGCACAGGAACAGGAAAAAGAAGAAAAAGAACATGAGGTGATAAAGCCGAAAAGCCTAGAAAAAACACATTTTTGGAAAAAAAAGAATCAGTGATGCCATAAATGAAAACTACACGTATTCTATACAGAAAAATCACAAAAAAATTCGAAAAATCAAGCCTTCTCAGAAGATTTGAGTTGAATTTCGGAATCTGTTGTTGGCAACGGTTTGAGTGTTGTCTTTTTCGTTGGCGGTGATGACAATAATAATCGTTCGATATTCAATGCTGGCAATTCGCTGACCATACTACAGATAATTGCAAAGACATAAGTTATGATAAGTTGGATGAAGCAATGAACGAAGAGTGGGAATTGGGAATTGTAGTAGATTGGGAAGGGAATTAGCATGTAGGTTAGAACAACTGGGATCATGTGGAAAAGATAGGCGGAAAAGCTCATATTTGCTAATGGGAGGAAGAGATTTGAGGAGAGAATGGCGTTGATTGGACCACCGATTCCGGTGTGACAAATGTAGATGAGATAGGCAATGCCGATTGAGAAAATGTCTCTGCAAATTTAATTATTGGATCAGTTTTTGAAAGTTGTAGATTTCTTGAAACAGTGAAAACCTCAGATTATGAAAAATATTCAATTTGTGAACTTTTTTCAATCCTTTGAGGAAACTTCGGAAAATGTCGATTTTCAAGTTTTTTTTCGAGATTATACTGTTAAAATCAGTAATAATTTTGAAACAGTGAAAAAATTAAATTTTTCGAAACATATATTCAGTTATTATAAAGTTGTTTAAAATAATTTGAATCTCTGAAGAATTTAAAATTGGAAATTTCACAAGTGCAATCAATGAAAGAATCTTCCGACATAAAAAATTCATAAACTTGTGAGAAATTTGAAACAGTGAAAATTTATTTTACAACTGAACATACTTTTTTATTGGTTCAAATACATCAGTGCAGCTAAAGAATTAATACATACTTTGAAACAGTGAAAAAAAAATTTTGCTCAATTTTTTTTGGGTTTTTTTGAAACAGTGAACTTTTTTTCGAAATTTTTGTCATGTATTTATTTTTCTATATTTCAGACTGAATCGAATGTCGCATTTTTTGAGTTGACTAATTTTAAAATTTGTAGATTTTTCGAAACAGTGAAAAAATAGGGTCTCACTTGAATTTCTTTTTCAATAATCAGATTTTATAAGTTCTGGAAGTCACACCCAAGATGTATCAGTGGAGAAAATTACATAATTTTTGAAAAATTTGAAATAAAATTTTGAATATTCGAAATTTTTTTTAAAAAGTTTCAAATTAGATTTTTTCATTTTAAATCGGATGAGACAGAAAATTTGAGCAATTCAAGGTTTTTTTAAACAGTGAATTTTTTTTCGAAATGAAGAAACTCTTCAAATGTTATTTTCAAAATTGATAACGTTTCTGGAACAGTGAAAAAATTCTGGAAATTTTTACATTGTCTTATCATCAAAAATTAATTTTACATTTAATTTCTCACCCTCAAAATTTCACTGTTTAAAGTCCCCATTGTAATTTAAAACGAATTTTGAAAGTGATTTGGCTGTATTCAAGAAACTTTTTAAATTTTGTAGTAAACAAACCTGTGAAAAGCTCCATAAAGAACATGATAAACTCTCCAAGCCATCGAATTCCATCCCTGAAGTGATGGATACAATCCATAAAGTCCAAATCCGATTCCAAAAATCGCAATTGACCAAAGTGTCAACACATGTTTATTCGATGGTTGAACTTTGACCGCAATTTTTTGATATCTCGCCAATTGATAACCCAACAAAATTCCAATAATATATGGGCCAATTCTATATTGTGGCTTGATATAAAGTTCCAAATGATGTTGAATGAAATTTGGATTGAACATTTCTGGTTGTTTCCAAAGGAATTGAGTGGGTGGGAAGTTGTTGCGAATAATGGATTCGACGTTGAATCCAGCAGAGATTAAAATTGTGATGATACAAAGAATCTGAATAGAACTTTTTGGTTTTTTTCGTGGAAAATCTAAAAAACTTACAAATCCAGCCTTTGGCTTCTTCCTCAAGAGCCAATAGGAAAATTGGGGAGAGAAGATAATAAATAAATTCAGTTCCAATATACCAAGTCCATGGCATACATTGATTATTGAGAAGACTGTTCACAAACAACACGTTTTGCCACCAATATTTTGGACATTGGACAGCTGGATCTGTTGGTGGCCACATTGGATGGAAATGGGTTATCTGAAAGGGGAAATATTAATATGTATCGGAGGAAATTAGGGGTCTAAAGGGGAACTTTTTATAGATCTTACATTAAAATATGGATGTCACAAAAATTAATGAAATTCACAAAACACTTGGTTTTCATATTAATTTCATGAAACGTATAATTTTGAGATTTGGTTGGGATTTCTTTCACAATTTTTAAGTCTATATTTTGTCTAAACAACGCTGTTCAAGAAGAAAGCACAAAAATTTTTTTTTTTTAGAATTTTTTATAAAAAAACTTGGCAAAAAGAGAAGCCAGAAATTCATCTCCCAATTTCTCCAAGTACGGTATTCCTCTGCGTCACTAACACCGTTTCGAGACCACACTATTGGGCAGAGAAACAAAGTCAAAGCCGCACATATGGGTCTCGCAGCGACTTAAAGAAACACCGTACTTGGGAAGAGTGTCATTTGAATTTCTGAGCTCCGTTTTTTGCCAAATTTTTTTATTCTGATAATTGCGACATGGAAATCAAAATGCACAAAACACTTGGTTTTTATATTAATTTTTCAAAACGTATATTTTCCGGTTTGTGTTTTCCCTATTTGTATCGAAGAAAACTGTTCGAAAATGGAAAACAAAATACATATTTTTTGAAACAACAAATTTATTGTTATTTTTCATTTTCAATTCTTGGGGTTCTGCACAGGAAACAAATGGGGTTGTGTTAATTTTTGAGATAAATTCGGAGTCATTTACAAAATTCCTCGAAATCAGTATGAAATTGAAATTCACAAAACCCTTTATGCGCTTTATAATAATTTTTTGAAACGTATATTTTCCGGGTCGGATTTTTGCTCAAAAACAGAACCTCGAAGCAAACATTTTTTGAAACAGTAAATTTTCCCCCAGTTTTTCAAACCCACCGAAATTCTGAGCGTGACAGCCATCAAAGTGTACAAATAAGCGGGATATAATCTCACAACTCGATGTCGATAAAACCTCAACCAATATCCCCAAGAAGTCCATGTCGGCTCTTCTTCCGTCGTATTTTTCAACCATTTTCTAAACCAACTATAACTCAAAACAGCTCCACCAAGAGTTAAGAAAACATCAACAGATAATGTGAAATTTGTGATCCATTGATTGAAAAAATTGTTAACCATTGACTCTTTGAATTCGTCAACATTTTCCATAAAAGTTTGAACGAAGATAAAGGAATGACCGATTAATGTCCAAACCATTGAACCAAATCGGAGTCCGAGGAGACAAGTTATACAACTTTGAGGGTCTTTTGGAAGGGCGACAAGTCTTTTCAAGTTGGTTTTGGCGGAGAAAGCGAGGAGGATTTGACCGGACCAGGATCTGCAAAAAAAATAGTTGGTAGGAATTTTTCACTGTTTCAAAGATTGCTGTTATTTTTTCAAGTATTCGGAAAACTATTAACTGAAAACTTTTAGAAAAATAAATTAAATTTTTTGGGAAAATATTCAGAACCTCACTGTTTCAAAATTCACATAATTTTTAAAAAAATATTTTTTTAAATTCAATAAAAATTTGAATAACTCGTGAAAAAATGTACTGTTTCAGAAAATTCACAAAAATATGTTAATATTTTCTGCTTCGAAAATTTTTTGAGAAAAAACTTTACTGTTTCAAAAATTTTACAACATTCGAGATTTTTTGTGAAAACTGTTCATCTGATTCACTTTTTTTTGGAATTTTAAACTTTTTTTCAAATCAGGATTTCATATATTATTTCAAATGTCAAGAGCAAATTTCAGTTACAAAAATATTAGTGTTCATGAAAAAATGTGCTGTTTCAAAATTCACATAGGTTCATTTTCATATTTGAAACTTTATGGCTCCAAACTATTCTCGAAAAAAATACTGTTTCAAAAAATTCACAAAAATGTATTTTTTTTCTGAAAACTGTTCACTTAGGTTTTACCGAATCGAAATAGGTTTTCAAAAGTTCAGAACACTCGATTTTCCCACCAAAACCTTCCCCAACTAACTTCACATCATCTCCTCTCATTTTATGAAAAATGGTAGCCATTGCGACCAACATCATCAAACACATATTGAATCCAAAATCCGCCACAGGAATCGGCAATTCAAACCATTGTTTTTCATGACGAGAACGCGTGCAAGCAGTAAATGTGATTTCTTCTTTGTCATTTGGATGAGTCATTTTTCGCCATTCTTTCAGCAACTGGAAAAAAGAAGAGTAAAAATGAACTTTGATTTGATTTGTAAAGAAAAGATTGCACTTTTGAAATGAGATGTGGAACGTGAAAAAACAAGTTTTTAGGAGAAAAATGACCCCGATAAATTTACGTTTCAAAATTTTTAATAAATCAAGAAATATTAGCAATAAAGGTTTCTGCTTCGAGTGTTTGGAGAATAGAAATTTTTGAGCGAAAAATTCGCCAGTCAAAATATCCACGTGTCAAAAAACCAAACCTACCATCAAATTCTCATCAGCACAAGGCGATGGAATACAAACTGAATAAGCTGGCACTTTTTTATTCTTATCATCATCATGTGTATAACAATAATGCATTGGATGTTCACTTTTCGAATAAACAGTTTCACCAGCTGACAACAAACATTCATAACCTTTATAAACCCATCGATCTTGATCTCGCGACAAAAACAAATCATTTGGTCCAGTTGCAAATGACTCGAAATAACAGATTTTTTGATCAATGAGAGTTTCGATGTCATTTAAATAATCATAAACCAAAGCGAGAGATTGTCGACATTTTGGAGAAAGATCGAGAGTTTGAGAACGGTTGATGAATTTGAGAATGAAGGGTTCGTCGTAGTCTTGAAGGCCGCAATTTATTGGAATGGTTTGAAGCAACCCAAGTAGAATTATTAGGATTATTGATAGGTTTATCGTCATCTGCAACAAAATATAGTGGGTGAGGATTTGGAATTGGAAAAATATAATTAGGAGATCTTGGAAATAAAATAAAATGAACTGAAGAGTAAGGAAGAGTTTTTCTTCAGAAAAAATGAAAATTTTTCTTGAATTTATCTCTAGTATATATGGTGTAAAAAGAAGTGACAGAGTGGGTAAAATGGGTGGTGGAGTTTTGCTTTTATATAAGAAATCTATAGATTGTAGACTCATTTTCAAGGTTAGTAAAAAAGATGCGTATGAATTATTAATTGTGGACATTGACATGGTTTCTCATCACAGTCGATTTGTTATTATATATAGATGTCCTACTTGTACATACATAAATAGTCTCAAAATGTTAAACATAATTGGCGATCATCTAATAAAAAATCAGGATATTTTTATGATTGGGGACACTAATTACCCTGACATTCAATGGTCAGATATACCATCTAGCACAACAAAAGTGGGAAAAGATCTTATTAACTTCTGCAATTCGTATGAGCTTTCACAATTCGTTCATTCACCAACACGGAAAAATAATGTTTTAGATGTTATTTTATCAAATACTAATGTTTTGGGCGTAAAAATTGGGTCTTCTGTAGGCAAATCTGATCATTATAGAATAGAATTTAATATTGAATCTCTCAAATTTCAAACTCCTGGTAAAATTTTTTTCCCAAATTACAAAAAAATTGATTGGGAAGTAGTAGCATCTCTTCTAGGTAATGTTGATTGGGATAGTATTTTTCAATCTCGTGATAACATAAGTATCATTTATCATAATTTCACCACCTATTTAAATTATTGTTTCATTAATTCAGTTCCAGTAGAAGAAAAACCCATCAACAAGTACACATTACCACCGTATCTTCAATCTATGTTTGAAATTAAAGAGATTCTATGGCAACATGTACTAAATTCCAAAAATTCTCAAAATATATCTAAATTCAAAACATTCAGTAAAAAACTAAATAAAAAAGTTGAAAAATATAATCGAAATTTTGAAAAGTGTTTAATTAAAGGTCAGAATTTCAGCAAAATTTCCCAAAAAATGAAACATGTTTTGAAGCCTAACAATATATCTATCCCATCCTTTAGTAATGAGAATGGTGAAGTGTTATTTGGTAATAGTGCCAAAGCCGAATGCCTCGCAAATTTTTTCGAAAAACAATTCGAAAAAAAATCTAACTCTCCAACCCCCAATTTAATTAATGCTAATTCTACCATGCCTTTGCCTTGGGTTCTAGAAGATGAAGTTCTCAAAGCTATAAAGAAATCCAAATCCAGTAACTCACAAACCTCAGATATTGTACCCTTCAAATTTATAAAAATCGTAGCACCTCTTATAATTTCCCCATTAACCCAAATTTTTAATTTTAGTATAATGAACAGTACAGTTCCTACACAATGGAAAAAATCATATGTGGTCCCTATTCCTAAAATAAAGAATCCTAGTAATACAAAAGATTTTAGGCCAATTAGTATTACTTCTAACATTTGTAGGATATATGAGAGATGTTTAAAAAGACAAATCTGTAATTATCTAGATTCTATTAACTTTTGGAATGAAAGTCAACATGGGTTTAGACCAAAACGTTCTACTGTAACACAAATGATTGGGGCACTAAATGATTGGACACTGGGTTTGGAAAATAGAGAACAAGTTGATATAATTTATTTCGATTACTCCAAGGCTTTCGATAAAGTTAGTCATGGATTACTTGTTCAAAAATTATATTCAGTTGGCCTCAATATCAATTTAGTTAAATGGGTTGAAGATTTTTTAAATAATCGATATTTTAAGGTGAAAATCGGAGAATGTTTTTCTACTAAAAAATTGTGTTCTAGTGGAGTACCACAAGGAGGTGTATTATCTCCTTTGCTCTTCGCTATTTTTGTTAATGATTTACCCTCTTATATCCCACAAGAAATAAAAAATTAAACAGTTTGCTGATGATGTCAAAATTTATTCTATTATTAAAAATTTACAATCTTCAGAACTTCTACAAAGGGCAATCAATCAAATTATTCTATGGAGTAGTGAAAACCAGCTAACACTTAATGAAACAAAAACTATTGTCACTACAGTAGGTAATCAAAAAATAAAATATAATTATGTGGTTAATAATAAAACAATAAAATTCGATGAAATTGTTCGGGATCTGGGTTTCTATATTTCCAAAAATTAGATTTTTTAGAGCATTGGCAAAAGGCTACAACAAAGGCAAATTTCATTACTTATCAAATATTCAAAACTTTTGAAAGTAGAGATGTAAAATTCATGATTCATTTATATAAAACATTTGTTAGACCGTTGTTGGAGTATGGTACAATTGTGAGCAACCCATATAAGAAAAACATTCTCAATCTTATAGAAAGTAGCCAAAATAATTTCACGCGTAAATTGTTTTTCAGAATTGAAGGTAAATTTTTACTTCCAAATCATGAAAAATATAAATATGCTGATAAAAGAAATGAAGAATTTGGATTGGTAAGTTTAAAAAGTCGTAGAATTGTCTTAGATAAACTATTCTTGAAAAAAGTCAACAATAAAAAAATTGACTTGAATACAGAGGATCTCTTCACCCTGATTACCGATAATGTCACTCGAAGTAACACCAGATATCACTACAAATTGCCTAAATCAAACATTAGAAAAAACTTTTTTGTTCATCGAACATGCTCTCTATAATAATTTCTGTTCTATTTCTTTCCAATGACCACATTTATTTGAAAAATCGCAGCAACAACCCCCGGGCGTCCTATCACTAGGTCCGTATTTTTACCACCGTCCACACCAATTTTTTTTTCTCCCTCAACTTATTTTTTCCACCTATTTTTCTTTTTAATTCTATTATGTGACTATTTTCTTTAATTATTTCTTGTGTACTTAATCACGTTAATAGAGTATAATAAATAAATAAATAAATAAATAGTAACTTCACTCGTAAGCGAAAATTAATCTAAAATTTTTTAATTCTAAAATTTTTGAAACAGTAAATTTTTATATGAACCCTGTAACCAAGTTATTCAAAAAAAGTTCAAGTTTTGAAACAGTAGATTTTTGGAATAATAATTTTTGTATGCTTCAATTTTGATTGAACCGAAGCTCTCTTATCGATTTGAAAATCATGAAAATATTTTGAAACAGTGAATTAATTTTAATTTTGTTCTCAATTTCAGGAAATTTGAATTTTTCTCGCATAAAATTTGCAGATTAAAAAACGGAATTCATAAATCAATAAAAAAACCAAGCTTCGAAAGATTACGGAAAAAATTCAGAAAACCAACAAAAATCTAAAAAACAATTAATTTTCCAGATTTTTCTCACTTTGAACTCACTTAGCTTAATTCACCAAGATCTCAAAAAGTATCCAATTAAAATTATTAGTATCCCTTCTTCCTTTCCTCCTCCTCCAAAAAATGAGGTCAAATTGAAAGTTGTTAATTGGCGGGAAAAGAAAAAAAGAAGAGGAGGATCTCCTTTTTGAGTAAATATTCTAGATTACTCGAGAAAAAAATTCGGAAAAAATGACGATTTTTGAGAAATGAAGGGGTGGAGTTTGAAGAAGAAGAAGAAAAAAAGAGAACATCGAGAAAAAAGGAAGAAAAGATACAAAAGAAATGAAGAACTGGTAATGCTGATTAGATCTTTGACTTCGAAGAGCGAAAAAAGAGTGGCAGGTGACACGGGAAGTTGGAAAAATGTGAATAGAAATAGGTAGAAATTTGTGAGCAAGTGGAAGAATTTTTTTAGAAAAAACTTCGGAAAAATCCACTGTTTCAAAAAATATATGTAAATCTAAAAAAATAGAGAAACTCAATGAGTCGTGAAAGCCTGTCAAAATAATTTTTTGTAGAAAAATCCACTGTTTCACAAAATTTACATAATTTTAGAATGTGTTTGAGAATTTTGTTGATTTGAAGAATCTTTTAAATTTCTATGAAAAATCGACTGTTTCAAAAACTATTGATTTAAAAATCTTTTTAAAATTTCAAAAAACAATTCACTGTTTCAAAAAATATATGAAAATCTGAAAAAAAATAGAGAAATTCGATAAGTCTATGTGGAAGTGTGTCAAAATAATTTTTTTGTAGAAAAATCCACTGTTTCAAAACTTCAATGTAATGGTATATTCAAATTTCCTGAGAAGAAAAATCAAAAATAATTCACTGTTTCAAGAAAATATTATATTTTTTCATGAATTTTAAAAATTAATTAATAAACGGGTAAAATTATTATTCCAAAAATTTACTGTTTCAAAACTTTTGAATAATTTTTGAATGGAATTTAGAAAAGATTACGTTTTCGTTCTTCAACATGCAACATGGATATAAAAATTCTCTGTTTCAAAAATTTTAGGTTTGAAAATTATAGAAGTTTCAAAAATCGCGAATAAATCAAAATCATTCTCAATTTCTCACAACAGAATCAGCTATCCAGTTTTCAAACCAGTTCAAATCACACATCAAAAAAAGTGTTCTCGCCGAGACCACCTTTGATAAAACCGAAAAAAGTTGTCCACAAAAAAGTCACATTTCTAGTATCAGACGAATTGGACGAATGATTTGGTTTTTTTCTAATTAGGGAATTGCAAAAATGCGAGAGAGGTCAAAAAAAACACCATTTTGAATATGAGAATTTCTACAACGAAAATAAAAAAGCCGCGTGGCCGAGTGGTACACACAGATGCCTTGTTTTTGCGAAACCAGGGTTCGACCCCACCCGCCGCCTAACATTTTTATTATTTTTTTTTAAACGTAATTTATAAAATTTAAAGTTCAAAACTTGTTTTGAAAGAAAAGTGTCCCGTTACAGAATTGTGACCAAACCATATCTACAAATTAGTGTAATAATGAAAAAAAAAGTCCAAAGAATCATGATTTTTGTACTTTTTTGGGGAAAGGTTGATTTTTAGCAGGAAAAAAGAAAGTAAAGAAAGATGTGATAATAACAAAGGTTACAAAAAAGATAATAATAATAATAATTGTTTTTTTTTGTCTGGGAGGCCTTTGGGAAACTGTAAAATAAATACAGGATCAAAAATCAAGAAAAAAAGTTAGGGTAAGTTAGATCATGCCAAAATTCAGTTGTTTTTATTTCGAAACTTTTTCTGAACTCTGGTGTCAATTTGATTTTATCAACAAAATTTTGTCACAATTTTTTTCAAGTCTCATGTTCCTACATAAAACCCGATTTACTACTTCTCAACGCCTAAAAAATCGAAATCCATCAAAAAAAAACGATTTCGAATCAGATAAAAGTGCAAAAATAGGGCAGATATATATATTTTTGTTGTTTTTTGTGTTACTCAAATACTCTACAGTAATCCCAAAAGCGATTGGTCATTTTATGATTCTTGAAACGGAATACAAGGAGAAAATGGATAAATAAATAAGAAGATGAAGAGAAAATAAGGGGGGATGGATTAGGTGTTCAGAAAAACAAGATTATTGGATACGGCAGGTCAACTTCTGGTTTTATTTCACGAAAAATGATGATGGAAATGAAGAAGGGGAAAAATTGAGAAGAAGGGACAAAAAATAAATCTGATGAACATTTTTTCACTGTTTCAGAAGATTTTATTTTCGAAAATTAGATGAGTCATAGTATAATAGCAGAGTCTACAAACAAAATTTCTGAAGAATTTATTTGAAACTATTTTTTCAGATTTTTATGAAAATATATTCATTGTTCTAGACTAGAAGTATATTTATTGTCAGTAAAACAACTCTTTATAGCATCACAAAAGTTTGAAACAGTGATATTTTTTTAAAATTGAATCTACAAACAATTAATTGGAATTACTTTTTCTGGAAAAATTAACTTAAATTATTTTTTTTCAGCTTTTTATGAACATTTATATAAATGATTGTTAAGAAATTATATAGAAGTTTGAATCGACCTCTGATCAACGAAAATTTCAAAAATTTTAGATAACAAAAGTTTGAAACAGCAAAAAAATGGAAAATATTTTCAAAGCATTTCGGAGAATCATAAAACTTGCTATCAAACTAGAAAAATAAAAACTAAAGCAGCAAACATGTTTAAAAAATTTACTGTTTCAAAATTTTTATATATTCTCGAAGGAATTTCAGGAATTGATCATTCAGGAATCGAAAAAAAATCTTTAAAAATCCATATTTTTCAAAAAACAAAAAACTAAACGGCAAAAAAATCATTTCCGTTTATTTTTTTTGCAATTTTGTCCTCAAAAATCGTTTTTCTTCACAATCAAAGGAAGAAAAAACAAAAAAAAAACAAAGAATTGTGTAATATTAATGATATTAATCGTCATATATTCCAAAAAAGAAAAGAATACAAGCAGATAAAAACAAGCTTTTTGTCGACTTATCTCAAGTGATAAAAAACTACAAAATAACAAACAGAAAGAAAAATAACCAACAAGTTGTTGATAGAAAAAAACTGGATTTTTTCTGAATATTTTGGATTTTTTTAGGCTTCTGGGTGGGTGCAGAGTACAAAAACATCTGAGAAAAATGTTCTAGATCTAAACTAGATAGAAAATAGTTAGTTCTACCGATTTGTTCATTTTTTAAAGAGAAAGTGACCTTCGGGAGATCCGGAAATCTTTTCAGATTTTGGAAAATGCTAGAGAAGGTCATTTTGAAGATTTATTTGAAAATTATAAATTTTCAAATGTTTGGCGCGAAAAATTAATATTTTGAAGCAGCAATAAAAAATTCTAGAACCTCAATGAAAAGCTTTGGCGCCAAAAATCAAATTTTTTAAAATTTGGCATCGAAAATTTCGAGAATGGAATTTTTCTATAAAAATTTACTTGGAACTTAAATTCCGGAGCTTTCAAGTTTTCAGCTGAAATTCTGAAAATCTTCAAAATGTACCTGAAAGCATCTAGAAACTAAAAATTCCAGTTATCAACAACATTTTCCCTATAATTCCAGCTTTTATTTCTTTTCTAGCTGATAATTTTTACGACTCTCTCCATTATTTTTCTTCAATAAACCTTGAACATCTCATTTTCTTTCTACAAACAAAAAAATATTGGTCTTTTTCCATTTTCCTGGTAAAAACTAACCAGTTTGACTAACAAGGTTACACTTTTTCTCTTTTCTTTGCTATACAAAACAAATCATATTTGTTTTTTGATACAGGAAAAAATAATATCTTACAAAATTGTAAGATCAAAAAGGGAAAATTAAAAGTTTCAGCAAAAAAACAATTCGAACTGATAAAAGAAGTGAACTTTTAAACAACAACAAACTTTTTCTTCAAAAAAAAAAAATAAATAAATAAAATGAAGACCAAAACGTAGTCAAAAAGAATGGAAGGAAGCCGAGAATTTTGTGTCGGACAAAAATCGAAAGTAACATTTTCGCCCAAAGCTTTGGCCGCGATTTTATCACTTTTCTCGTATTCTTGTAGTCGGATTTGGAAGAGAGAAAAAGAGAAGAATAAAATGAGAAAAACCGTTTAGCAAAGGGTTTTTTTTGGTCAGAAGAAAGTTTGAACGAGAAAGAGAGATGCGACAAAAAATAATTGGGTTGAATTGAAGAAAAAATTGTGGCGTGAGAAAAGGTTGCAAAAAATAATGTTTCAAAAATTTACAAAAGAAATTGATACGCCGCGTGGATTTCCTGGCGTCAAAAAAATCTGATATTAGTGTGTAAAATGCCACGTGGATGAAAATAATTTTTTCACTGTTTCAAAAACTCATCATAAAAATGTACTAATTAGAAAATTCAATTCATCTTTCTTGAATATGGAAAATTTATAAATAAAATAATGAAAAATCAGTTTTTTAGAAAAATAATTTTTTCACTGTTTCAAAAATTTAACATAAAGTTTTGGTATTTTGAAAATTCGATTTGTCTTCTTTTTGTCCTGTTGAATATTATGTGAGATTTTAATGAGTAAAATAATTTAACAAAATTCTTGAAAAATTTACTGTTTCAAAGTTTCACCAAAATAAAATTCAATACCTAATTTTTAGTAATATCTTGACAACACCTGACGAAGAAGTTCCAAAAATTTAGCGAATTATTTGCATTAAAAATAAAAATTTCTTCAATCTAAAATTTTTACTGTTTCAAAAATTTGTGAAAAATCTTTTAGATTCAAGAATGTTGCTATCTAGACTCTGCAAAATACAATAAAAATCAAAAATTCAAAACAACACAGAAAAACCCTATAAAATTCCATTCACACCGAAACACAGCAAAAAGTTTCAAGGAAAACACAAATTTCTCAATAATTATCTGATCTGATCTGACAATTCTATCCAGATCTATTATTCAATCGAATCGAATTTTTTTTCTTGGATCAATCAAAAACTGGAAATTCGCAAAGAAACAAATTATGGAATGTAATTAAGGAAACGAGATTTCTAGAAAAATTCACTGTTTCAAGATTTCAAAGAAAAATTGAGTGAGAAATCAAAATACAGTAAAAAATTCCCTGAAAAACCAGATTTTCAGTCATCTTATTATCTAAATAAATCTAACACCTTTGAATTTCTTACAAAACTTTGTTTTTGTTATGAAATTTGGATAAATAAATAAAAAAAAAATAAATAGAATAAAATAACACAGAAAAAAGTGAAGGTCAAATAAATGTTGGTTAACACAATCCGCCCGCATAAAAAAGAAAAGGCGAAAAAATCCATTCACAATTGATCCATGCAAAAATTGACCGATGGGTGGACAGTTGAACGAGAGAGAGTGTGAGAGATGTGGAGAGTGTGCGAGGAGGAGAGAGAGAAATGTCTGGCTGGTACAAGAAAAAATTAGGATAAGGAGGTTGGAGGATAAGTAAATAAATGAGTTTTTTTTTGGGCAGGTGGCAATTTTTCGCAGGGAAAATGTTGGTGTTAGAATTTTTTGATTACAGTTTTTTCAAGCAAATCAGAAATTTTGTGTCTGAAAAATTTACTGTTTCAAATTTTTTTTAAATAAATTTTATCATGGGAACAATTTCACGCAATTTTTCATTTTTTTTTTAAATTTGATCTTTTCAGAAATTTTTGGCTGTTTCAAAGTTTTCACAAGAAATTATTTTATTGGGAAAAAATTTTGATATCGCTTTCACTCTGCAAGTTTGACTTGAAATTCAGAAACTTGAGATTTTATTTGAACATAATCATCTTGAAGTTTGAAAAAAAATGAGATCTACAGCTGATATTAATCCCAAAAATCTTACTGTTTCAAAGTTTCTAGAAAATTTTTCGCACGAACAGTTTTTGCTGCTTTCAACAGAAACGCCATCCGAGATTTGGAAAACTCATGTCAGATATATTTTATTTTCATTCTTAAAATATTAGAATTTAATTTTTTCAAAAATTTCAGAGCTTAGAAGCTGTTATTTTTCCAGAAAATTTCACTGTTTCAAATTTTTGAGAAACATTGGTTTGCATTAAAGTGTTTTGATAGAATTGAAGATAAGTATAAAATGTTCAATTTTTTTTGAATTCTGGATAATTTTCACTGTTTCAAAATCGGTTGACCCAAAATGCAATGAATAAATAAATAAATAAATATCTTTATTATCTTCTTCTTATTCTTATTTTTTTCCTCAAAAAAAAGAACGAAAAAAAAATCAAGTCATGACTAAAAAGTAAAATAAAAATTTGTTATAAATTAGAAAAAAAATCTCAATAAAAATTTCGAAATCATCGAAATTGGCACTGGTTTAAAAACATTATATTTGCTACTCTTTCTACACATTTTCAGGGGTCAAAAAATCAATAATTTAAATTGAATTATTTACAAAATAAATAGGCAACTATATATAAATTTTGGGGAATTTTTTAGATTTTAATTTTAATGAAAAATAATGAAAAAGAGGAAGTGAAAAGGAGCATTTTTGTAATTTGGGGGTCCGAAGCGTTCTATTTTTTGTCATCTTTTTTATCGCCTTCTTCTTCAACTGGTCCCAAAGTGTGCCATTGTGCAATTGGACGACGAGGTGAGGCTAACATATCCATCCAGTGCCTGGAAGTTTTCAAAAATTAATTTTGAGGAAAGAAATTTCGATCCGATCCCCGAAAATATACATCATTCTTGTTTTTCCATCTCGATCAAATGTGTTTTTTATGATGTTGTTTTAGGGGTGTGAATAATGTGAAGCTTTTAGTGAAAAAAAAACAAATTTGACCAGAAATAAATTAAACCCGCGATTTTTACGTTTCGAAATAATTTTGAAATTCAGAAGAAAAAAATTTCCGCTGAACTTATTGTTAGATAGCCAAAAAATGAATATTTTGCATTTTTACTTCAAGAAAAAAAAAAGAAAATTTCACTGTTTCAAAAAATATTGAAAAAATTATACTTATTTTTCATTGAATTTCGCTGTTTTTCGAACAAAAGTTAAAAATTAAAAAATCAGAAAAATACGTTTCAAAAGCATTATAAGAATTAGGTTGAATAGAGATGTCCCTTTAAAGTTTGTAAATCGATAAATTACCTCAATTCAGCTCCAGTCGCATTACAACCCAAAAGACATCTTCCAATAGCATCATTCGATCCAAGTTTATCATAATCCATCACAGTAATCATCAATGAAACTTTCTACAAAAAAATTTATATAATTTAATATTTTTCTTCCCCGCGATCCCCCAAAAGATTCCCCCAAAAGCCAAGCAAGGTTTCAAGCTTCGTTACCTGAATTTGCTCAAATGGAACTTCAAAACTGAAAGACTCGTTGTAGTATGGATTCAATGTGCATTTTTTGATCGATGTCTTCTTCTTCTTCAGCCGTTTTCCGCCTTGCATCAAAACAATTTTGACATAAGGATCTAAAAGTTGAATTAGATTAGTTGAAGCAAAGAAGTTAGCCCGCCCTCCAGACCGCCCAGGAAATATTAATTAATTAATTAGGTGATAGGTTAGTGTTTAGTTAAGACCTTCATTCGATGAAGTTGAATTTTGTCAAGAACAAAACTCTCGTTATAATATGGATTCAATGTGTTTCGTTTAATTGTGGTTTTTCGTTTTTTGATGCGTTTTCCGGATTCGTCGAATAGTTCGAGTTTTATGTATGGATCTGGCAAGATTTGAATTTTTTCACTGTTTCAAAACTAATGTAGCTAGAAAAATGTAAACCCAGTAAATTTTTTTTTTCAATAACATTTTTCACTGTTTCAAAAATCTTCAATTTTTCTCGAAAAAAATTCTCAACCAATCACTTTATGTAATTTTAAATTTTTTACTGTTTCAAGAACATTTAATTTTGCAGAACTTCAAACTCAAAACATTGTAAGATGTTTATTTTCAGAAAATAATTACTGTTTCAAAATCTCATTGAAATTTTGGTTGAGAACCAATCTCATCAAGATTTATTTTTTCACTGTTTCGAAATTTTTTGAAAGTTCCAAGAATTTCTGAATGAAGATTAGTATACACATCAATTTTTTTTTTTGAAAAAAATTTCACTGTTTCAAAAATACAATAAGTTTTTTGTTAAGAATTTTTGAATTAATTGATGTTTGACTGTGGGTTGAAAAAAAGGATTTTTCACTGTTTCATGATTTGTTGAAGATTTATCAAGTTATTTCAAAATGATGTGGATTTTTAATTGTAATTGGGGATAATTGAAATTCAAAAATCCATAAATAAATGATGAAAAATTAAACTGAACTTTAAAAATTTTGAAGAACTTTTTTTTCACTGTTTCAAAAATTCAACGAATTCCTGACTCAATTTTTTTCGTCAATCCATATTCTAATTTCAACCCTTTCTTCTCACCTGACAATCCACCAACATCCATTTTCTTCAAATTTTTCGCCTCCAAAACAACAACAGTCAATTTTCCAGCTGTCGGTACATAACGAAGTGAGAAGCAAATATCACCAAGTGATTTTTCCTGCAAAACAAAAATAATTTCAGATATTTGTTGTCTGGAATTCAAAAACCAACAGCTTCTTTGTCATCTGGAGGTGGTGCAATATCTTCCCATTTTTCAATAACTTGTCCTAAATCGATTTTTCCGAGTGGAATGAGAACCTGCAAAAAAAATGTTTTGAGTTCCCCCAACTTGAAAAATATTGACGTAACAGTTTCAGGAAAAAAAAAGAAAAGCTGTTCAAATATTTCGGAAAAAATCAACAAACCTGTCCAATTTGATCGTGTTTACTGAATCTGTCAAAATCATAAATGGCAAATACCAAAGTTTTGGAAGTGATCTCATTGAAAGCCACCTGAAAATTTGAAAATTAAAATTATGCTGTTTCAAAATTTTCATGAAGTTTGAAGGGTTTCAGGAGAAAAGCATGCAAAAATTGAAAAAATAGGTTTTTTTTTGAAAAATTCACTGTTTCAAAGTTTTAATGAATATTTGGGAGTCAGAATAATGTTATTATGTATTGGTCATGTTCATTGAATTTTTGATAGTGTCAACTGAAAATTTTCAGAATTTTTATTATTCCCGAAAATTCACTGTTTCAAAAAATGTTGTAAATTTTGGGGTAAAAAAATTTAGTGCTATCAATTTTCAAAGATGCATGTCGTTCCAGAATAAAAAATTAAAAAAAAATTTGTTGTTAGAAAAATTTACTGTTTCAAAATCGTCATAAGCTTTAATTTGAAAGTTTTATTACAATAAATCTGAGTTACATTCCTGAACAATAATTCAAGTGAACAATAACCCAAAAATTGTGTAACACAAAATTAATTGTTTCAAAATGTTCATAAAGTTTTTTGAGTGCGAAGATTTCATGATAAGTGCTTCATATATTCGAAAACTAATCCAAAAATCAAAATTTAAAAAAAAATTGCTGGTTCGATGGTTCTTTTAAATATGTGCATTGATACTTCTTTATCAAAAAATTCTTGCCTTGAAAAAATTTACTGTTTCAAAATTTTTATAAGCTTTAACTTGAAAATTTCATTACGATATTCGCGATCATATATGAACAATTATTCAACAATTCCGAGAAAAAAAGAACATTGTGGACCACGAAATCTCTCGACTCAATTCAGAATTTAAAGATAATTTCGAAAAAAAACTTTGCTGTTTCAAAATGTTTATTCATTTGAAATGGATAACTATGAATTGCTACTTCTTGTAATCTCAACCTCTCAAAATTATTCAATTTTTTAAATTCCAAAAAAATTGTTATTTCAAAATTAACATTAGACCCTAAACCCCATCCCTCACCTTGAAGATAAAAGTCTCATTAAAAACCGGATTCAAAGTTTTGCGATGAACTTTCGTCTCAACCTTCTTCTTCTTCTCTGGCAAAAGATACAATTTAACATAGGGATCCGATGTTCCACTCATATCCATTCCAGGTAATTCTTCAGCTTGAATAACAGTTACAGTAAGTTGTCCTTGTTGAAAATCGTAGTCTAGTTTGTATTGTATTCGACCAAGTTTGACTTCTTCTTTTTCCTCAGCTTGCGCTTTTTCATTTTGTTCCATAGCATCTCCAAGTTCTTCTAAGTCTTGAGCCATCTAAAAAATATTTTTTTTCATTTTGGATTTTTCCATTTTGGTAGTAAACTAACTCCTTGCACATTTTTTCCATCAACAACATCTTGTCCTTTGCTGAAAAATCCCTTCAAACCGCCTTTTTTGTTTTTTTCGCCGTGTCGTTTTTTTCCGAATAATTTTCGAATTATGAGAAAAGCGCATGTGAGAACGAGAAGAATGAATATTAGACCGAGGAAGACGAACGCCCATTCAGGCACTGCAAAAAAATGAAAATTAAATTTTGAATGTTAACTTGAACTTGAATTTAGAAGTCTGGAAAAGAGACTTTTCAAAAAATACATTTTTTGAATATCAGAAAAATTCACTGTTCCAAAATTTTATCAAAAAAAAATTAAGAAAATATTTTTCCGATAATTTGAAGAATAAACAATTGTTTCAACTTTATTCAGAAAAAATAATAATAATTTTTCACTGTCTCAAAAATATTTCAAAATTTCAGAAAAAATTTACTGTTTCAAAATTTTATTTTTAAAAATTACAAGAAATGATTCATCGGTTAATTGGATTTGAATTTTGACAATTTTTTGAAAATGATTTGAACAAAATTCATTTGGATGGATTTTCTACTGTTTCAAAAAATTAATAAAAATTTGTAACACGGTTTCAATCCGATTTCACGTCCTTTCTCGATGGAATTATAATGTTCATCAAAAACTCACTGTTTCAGAAAAGTTTCGAAAAAATTAGAATAAAAATGTTTTTGATCATAGAATATTTAAAAAAATTCAAAAATCCACTGTTTCAAAAATTATTCGAGACAAAAATATTGAACAAGAATTTCAGTTTTGAATTAATCTGAGAACTAATTTTCCACTGTTTCAAAAAAATTAACGAATTGTAAACAAAACTTTTGTTTTTGAATCCGATACGTTTGGACAAAGCAACTAAAATTCTTAACAAAATTTAATTTTCAAATTCTCTCTCTCTGGCTATAAATCCCAAAAACTTCTAGACATTCCCCCCAAAAAAACAAAAAAAAAAGAGGAGAAAGCCGAAACACAAGCCTATCAAATTTCAGCCCATTTTTCGCACCCTCTCCAAAAAATTCTTATTATTATTATATTTTTTGGTCTCACGGATGAATGAAAAATATAAAAAGTAGAAAAAAAAACCAACTTCCAGTTTGTTGCATAACTTTTTCCTTAACCACGTCTTTCACATCAGTCATTTTGTTCACAATAACATCTTTCAGATTTTCTTTGGTCGATGTGGCGCTGAAAAAAATTGTTTTTTTATTAAAAATATTCTATTTTTTTGTATATTTCATTTTTCGCATGTATGAAAACGGCACAAAAATCGATTTTTGTTGTCTGGCGAACATTAAAATATCTTTCGCTGACAATAACAACAATAATAATAATTTTCCAATTTTCTGTTTGACTCATGGAATTTTTGCGGGAAAAATTGGGATTCGGGGAATTTAGAAGCATTGCTCATATTAAGAAAATTTGAAAGAATTGCTCAGGTTAAACAAACTCTAAAGCTTTTCAAAGAAAACTTTGCTCATATAAGATGAACCCTCAAACATTGCTCATCTTAACCCCAAACCCACATTCTCTCTGTAGTCGTCTCTTCCATCGGCGCAAAATCTGGCACCATTTCCTTGTCTCCAACATCGCTATAATCATTTTCACCCGACGAAGAGCCGCCCTTCGATGAAGTAGAAGAACCGGATATTTTCACCATTTTGCGTCACCCAAATGGTGTAATTATCGCAAAAAGCGGGGGCTGCAACAAAAAACACTGTTTGGAAGGGGAAAACATTTTTTTTAATACGGGAAGTTAACAGAAAGGCAGTAATAATGCAAATGTTGGATTCTGATTTCATAGAAGTTTTGAAACAGTGAAAATTATGAGGAAAGTCAGAAAATAAATTTTTGCGTACTCCGTGAACGACGCATCGAAAAGGTGTGAATTGAAAAACAGTTATAGAATTTTTGAAACAGTGAGATTTAAAAAAAAATTTTTTAAATGAAAATTGGAACAAATTCCAGGTTACGTGGATTGAAAAATTTGATTCAAATTTGTGTAAATTCAGAAAACATTATAGAATTTTTGAAACAGTGGAATTTTCTGTAGAAATATTCTTTTTTGAGTTCACATCTGATTTTTTTTCCGTGACATAAAAAAAGTACTAATAAATGAAAATTGAATCAAGAAACTTATCAAAATTTTGAAACAGTGAAAATTTAGGACTTTAAAAAAATTCCTCAAACTCAAAAAAAAATCTGCCTGAGCTTGAATAATGAGAGTTTATAATTCAAAATATATTTTTTTTAGAAAAACTTTCAGATGACTGTAAATTTTTGGGAATTATCACTGTTTTCTGAAAATACCAAGTAAAAATCAAAATAATTCACCTATATTTAAAATTCTAAAATTTTTGAAACAGTGAAAATCTATAAATTTCACAAAAACTGATAATTTTTAGAAATTAACTCATTTTTAATTATAAATGTTAGAATAAATCCAAGTCATCATAAAACATTAAGAAACAAATCCCTAATAACTAACAAAAATCTCATAATCTTATTTTCTGCCCGTTTCCTCCTCCTCAATCAAAACAAGTGCAAAAGCTTAGCCCACGTCACTTTCCAACGCTTTTTTTCCCAAAAAAAAAAAACAAAAAAATTTCAAACAGTAGATTTTCCTACATAGTCCCTGTGAAATTTAATTAAAAAAATTAGTGGCTCCCGTTTATTTTTGTTCTGGAGTCACTAAAAAAAGTGGAGAAAAGAAAAAAGTTATGACTTTCTTCGTTTTTTTTGTATGTATAATATCTAACTATACAGCTATAATATGGAGGGAAAAAATTCGGCGAAAATTTCAATATCTATGCAAATTTCTGAAAAATTACACAGCATTCTATTTCTATTCGATTCGATTCTTTGGGAGGACAAAAAATGGAAAGCTAGTAATTTAATTCAAGAAAGTGAAGAAAATTACAGACTTTTTCTATCGATTTTCTTTTGGAACAGAGAAAAATAAGGGATTTTTGGAAACTTCAAATACACATGGGAGAAGTGTGTTTACACAGCTTTCTGAAACCAGAAATCGACAAGATTTTGAGGATTAAATAATTTGTTGATCATTTTTCAGATTAATCTGGTAATTAATATGAAAATGATGACAGATTATTTTGAAGAAGAAGAAAAAACGTGATAATAAATATGAGCAATGTCTGGATTTTGAGTGATTTTTGTTTCTTATCGGAGAACTACGAATTACTGCTTTTAGAACTGGATCTAAAAATTATGAAATATTTTTGAAACAGTAAATTTTTCGCTTGAACTAGAGACTAAAAGTGCCAAAATTTCATAAAAGTTTTTGAAACAGTGGAATTTTTGAAAGAGATTTTTTGAAAAACGCGGAAACTGAGAAAAATATTTTGAAAATTTTTTTTTGAAACAGTGAATTTTTTTGTGAAAAAAATCTCGAAACTATTTGTAACTTGTAACAACTAAAAATATTATCGAAATTCAAGAAAAGTTTTTGAAACAATTAATATTCGAACAAAAATAACAAAACTAAATTCAAAACGACTCGAAAAATTTTCCAAAATTTTTGAAACGTATATTTTCCAATTCCCAAAAAACCGGAGATAATTGAATAATTTGGAGCTATTTACGTCACAAATTAGGTTTTTTTTAAAGCAAAATTTTATTCAAAAAATTCCAAAGAAGATTGCCACTGGCTACTCTAGAAAAATAACAAAAATCTCCACTTATACTAAATTTATCCTAATGCAAAAAACAAGCTTATCCTCTTTCGGATTTCAAAATAAAAATAGAAATAAAAATATTTAGTGAATCTTGAGGCCCGATTATGTATACGAAAAAAGAAGAAAAAAACAAGAAAAAAGTAGAAACGAAAAAAAAACGAGGAGAAGCTCAACGCCCGTCTTCTTCGCGCACCAAACATGTATGTATGTGCAAAAAAAAGAAGAAGCCTAGCACCGCTTTTTTTTCATTTTTCTTCTTTTTCTTTTTTTCCTCTATCCTCATATGGAAGGAAAAAACGAGAAAAGAAAGATCGATAGATGTGAGCAGCGGGGAAAAACGAGGGAAAAAATGGGGGGAATGGATGGAGGGAAATGACTAGCTAGGAGGGAGCTAAAAGAGAAAAAAGAAGAAGAAAACTAGGTCTTTTTGGACCATAGAATAGATAAGTGCGTGGGGATTTTTGCCTTTTTCGTGAGGTTGACGAAGGAAAAGAATAAAAGGTGAAGTTGGAGCTCATGGGAAAAATATATATGAATTTTGGATATTATATTTTCTCTGAATTTATTTTTGGTCTAGAAATAGCTACGAAACTATATTATTTTCGAAAAGTGACCGAAAACAATTCAACAAATTTTGAAACAGTGAAAAATTTGGGGAAAAAATAATAGCTAAAATTTTGAGAGTTCTGAATTCTAGAAGGAATTTTGTAAATTTCAAACAGTAAAAATTATGAATTTTTTGAAACAGTGAAAAAGTTTTTATAATTTATTTTTTTTTGAAGAAAAATTAGAGCGGCGCAAGAGAAAAATATATAAATTTCAGTTTTTTCTGGACAATGGTGCTTGCAACGAAATCATTATCAGACAGTAAAATAATTTACCAATTTTTTGAAACAGTGAAAAATTTGGGAAAAATGCAGGTTTAAAAGCACCACAAAACAAAATAACAACAGTTTTAGTTTATAAAAAAAAACAAAAAAAAACAATAATTCAAATATTCTTCAACTTATTTATTTGCGCAAACAGTAAATGCGCCAGCCTTGAGCGTGTTGGCGCATTTGGTGTGCATTTCCAACTATTTATTATATTTCAAGTTTTTGATGAATTTTGATATGTATTGCCTCTATAACAATTCTCAAATAGAAATCTAAAACAATTTGACTAGTTTTGAAACAGTGAAAAATTTTCACTAAAAAAAATCCGGAGAAATATTTCAACATAGCTAATTTTTTACTGTTGAAAAGATTTACTGAAAAAAAAAACATTCAAAAACTTTTTGAAACAGTGAAAAAAATTGTTTTTGACATTTCCAAACCAGTAATTTCCAAATTCCGTTTAAAAATGGAATATAAATGGAAAACTTTTCAGTCAAAAAAACTACGGATATTAATCAGATTTTACAAAATTTTGAAACGTATTTTTCATCGGAAAATTTTCCGGAGTATTTTTTTAAAACTAAAACCCTGCAAGAATCATTTTTGCCCAAATCCAAGAAAATCAAAAATTAAATTTGAAACAGTCAATTTTTGAGCTGAAAAATGAGTCGGTTTTTGTTTTTTGTTTTGAAATTAATTTTTGTGAAATTTCACTGTTTCAAAATTTATTAATCAATTTAGATCAGAAAATGACAAAAATGTTGAGAATGGAAATTGATGTTTTGAAAAATTCTGAGAAAATCTGAAAATTTCGAAAAAAAAAAGCTATTTTGTATTCTAGTCAACCAAAAAAAAACAAGCAAAAACATTTGAGCAATCGGAAATCTTTGGTTTCCGGAATTTTCTCACAATCTATCACATTAAACTAATATGAATAATTTCAGAAACATGGAAAATATCTGGAAAAAATGAGGAAATGTGACATTGACATGTTTGTACTTACATATGTTTGAGGAATGAATGGCTTCTCTTTTTTTATGTGTGAGAGAGCTGTGCAATGTGTATTTTCAAATGAAATATTCATCAACGTTTTTCTGCGCCTTTTAAAGCGGTTTTCAGCACACAAAAACCGAAAATAGGACACAAAACTGGCAGATTAAATTAAAAATCAACAAAAAATCACGAGAGTTTAATTAGATTTTTGCAGTTTTTGTACGTGGGATGTTTGTTTGATTTGAGAGCATTGTGACTTTTACGATGGGGTCCTTAGATTACGGTAGGTTGGACAGAAATAAACATGTTTATTGAACTTTAGGTTTAGGCAAAGAAAATTGTTGTGTGATTAGATTTTCTTGGATTTTTGCTATCTGTATGCAGCACCCCAATAACTTCATATTTTCTTTAAAAGTTTTGTGAAAAGTTTGAAACAGTGAATTTTTTTTCCAAATTATTGATAAAACTGGGAAATTCAGACTTTTCCCAAAGAATCCCAAATTTTTTGAAGACAAAAAATCACTGTTTCAAAATTCTTGGATATTTTTTAGGTTAATCAATTGTTCGATAGGCAACCGAAATCTTCTGAATAAAATACGTTTCAAAATTTGATCAAATAATTTTTGAAGGTTTATCATTTTTGTTCATTTTCAGGTAAGATTTATCAAGTTGGATGTAATTTATAATTAACTAGAAATTTCAAAATAATTTGTATTCATTTGGAAATAAAAATTCAAATCTCATAAAATTTACTGTTTCAAAAATTATTTGAATATTTTGGATAATTTTGTAGGATTACGGTAGGCTCGACAGAAATAAACATGTTTATTGAACTTTTGGTCTTTGTGTGTTTTTATTTTCTTGGATTTTTACCTATTTTTTCGGATTCACCAGTGTATGCCCCAATAACTTTAGATTTTCTTCAAAAATTTTGTGAAAAGTTTGAAACAGTGAATTTATTTGAAGAAAAATATTGAATTTTCAGATTTCTTCCGTATTTTTCAATGGCAAAAAATCACTGTTTCAAAATTTTAGGATGTTTTTGAGGTTACTTAATTATTCGATGTGCAACTGAAATCTTCTGAATAAAATACGTTTCAAAATTTTTTCAAATAATTTTGAAGGTTTATCATTTTTGTTCATTTTCAGATAAGATTTATCAAGTTGGATGTAATTTACAGTTAACTAGAAATTTCCAAATAGTTTTTATTCATTTGGTAAAAAAATTCACTGTTTCAAAAATTATTTGAGTTTTTTGGGTAATTTTGTAGGATTACGGTAGGCTCGACAGAAATAAACATGTTGCATGAACTTTTGGTCTTTGTGTGTTTAAATTTTCTTGGATTTTTGCCTATTTTTCAGATTCATCACCAGTTTATGACCCAATAACTTTAGATTTTCTTCAAAAATTTTGTGAAAAGTTTGAAACAGTGAATTTATTTGAAGAAAAATATTGAATTTTCAGATTTCTTCCGTATTTTTCAAAGGCAAAAAATCACTGTTTCAAAATTCTGGGATATTTTTGAGGTTAATCAATTGTTCGATGGGCGACCAAAATCTTCTGAATAAAATACGTTTCAAAAATTATTCAAATATTTTGAATAATTTTGTAGGATGCTTCGATATCGATTCGTTCATTTCCCAAAAATTTATGAAAAATTTATCTCAATTTTTCACTGTTTCAAAAAATTTGTATTTTTCGAAGCTCCGCGCTTCTTTTGGTTAGTGTTTGCCTAAAAAATTTCAGACTTCCAGTTTCATTTGTTGACGAAATTATTTTGTTGGAAAAAAAAATCAAATTTCATCAGGTACACAACATTTCTGATAAAACTCCAAATATTGTTGTTGATGTTTCAAAATTGTCAATGAAGTTTTGAAGTCATTGAAAATTGCTCCAGATGTCTCTAACTCAACTCAAACTTCAAAACACATTACTTCACATCACGTGCATTTTTCACACGGAACTTCTAATCAAACACCCAACATTTTTGCATAATTTTTGACCTGTCATATTATTTTATGTATACACGTTACTCGCTTATCTAAAATTTTGATATGATACTTACAAAACTATATATAAACATATCATGTGAGAAGAAGCATTCATTTTCCTAATTTTCTGAATTTTTCTTTTTTATTTTCAGACCAAAAATGTCGGCAATTCGTTTCACAGTTTTAGCCATTTTGGCTCTAGTTGCAGTAACTCTTTCAAATCCAGCTGAAAGAAGTGCACTTTCATGTAAAATGTGTGAACTTGCTGTGAATAAATATGTCAATTCTGCTGACAAGGATGTTACTGCAATTAAAAAGGTATGGAAATCTTTGCGGTTTTGATCTACCAAGTAAAATTCCAGGATTTCGACGCTGAATGTAAGACCCTCTTCCATGCGATTCCATTTGCTCCACAAGAATGTGAACACTATGTCAACAATAAAATCGATCCAATCATCAAGGAATTGGAAGGAGGAACTGCTCCAAAAGATGTTTGCACCAAATTGCATGAGTGTTAATTTTTTGTTGGATTTTTGGTTTTTATGTGCAGATGAAGATTTTTGTATAGAGAAATTGAATTTTGAATTATGATTTTGGGAAATCATCTGAGAATTAGAAATCTGTCGAAGTTCTCAAAAGGAAATCTGTATGAGAATAACTACAAACATTAATTTACTGTTTCAAAAATTTTATAATTTTAAAATTGGAAACTGAAGACCAATAAACATATTTTCAGACAAAGTCGGATTTTAGACAAAATTCAATTTTCGAAATATTGACTTTGAAAAATAATAATATAATTTCAGACTAGGGGCGGTGACCCTAGGTGAAACAGTCAGAAAATCCTCAAAAATTCTAAATTTTTAAGAAAAACCTATTTTTTGCAGCTAAGCTTACGGCTGGGAATACAAATTGTGAAGTTTAATAAGATATAGACTATAAAAGAAAAATAAATAAATTCAAAACAAAAATGAAAAATTAATCTACCTATGGAATGTTTCACAGTTTGTTTTTCAATAAAATCTGGAAGCTGATCCTATATCATCAAGTGTAATTCAAAGGTTCATCCCCCCCCCCCCAAACCTCAAAATAAACTAACTTGACTAGTCCTTTCCGTGAAAAGTTGTTTATTTCTTTGAATATCCTGTCCAAACGAAACATCTTTTTTTCGAAAGCCTGAAACATCTACATTCTTTTTCTCAAAATTTTCGCCTATTCTTAAACTTACATCAGAAAATGGCAATTGTGCATTTGATGGGATCCCTGCATTCTGTGACGATTCTCTCTGAAAAAAATAAGAAAATTGAAAAATGTACCAAATCAACCCATTAATAACACTTTCTGCGCTAAAAAAACCACTCAAAAACCAGAAAAAAAAGCAAAAAATAAAAGAAAAACAACGATACTCCGCGTGCGCGTTGTTTAGCGTGTTTATTTTGTTGTTTTTTTGCAGTGTAGACGAGAGAGTGTGGGAAATGGAGAGAGGGTTAGAGAGAGAGAGAGAGATGTGTTTTTTATTTGAAAAGAAACTATTGATTGAACGTTTTTTTTCGAACTGAATCATTTTTCTGGTTTTTTCAGCGCAGAAAGTGTTATTAATGGGGTGATTTGGTACATTTTTTAATTTTCTTATTTTTTTCAGAGATAACCGTCACAGAATGCAGGGATCCCATCAAATCGACAATTGCCATTTTCTGATGTAAGTTTGAGAATAAGCGAAGATTTTGAGAAAAAGAATGTAGATGTTTCAGGCTTTCGAAAAAGAAGATGTTTCGTTTGGACAGGACATTCAAAGATATCAACTAGTTTTCACGGAAAGGACCAGTCAAGTTAGTTTATTTTGAGGTTTTGGGGGGGGAGGAACAAAACTAACAGGTGAGATTTGAGCTTCATTGAAAAATATTGGGTAAAGTTTTTTATTCATAATTACTATTGATGTTAAAGGAAAGTTGTTTATAAAAAAACTATGTTTAAATCATAAGATGAAGCTTTGAATTACACTTGATGGTATGGGATCAGAAAATAGGAAAACTACGTGTTATTGTTGGCTCAAACTTATGTAATACGAATTTCTAACCCAATTTTCATTGTCACATAAAAATGACTTTTGAAATTTTGAATTAAAATACAATTTCAGGAGTTCAAAAATTCAGGATTCCGAGTAAAACAAGCAAATTTAGTATAAAAATAGTGAAAATATTTTCCGAGTATAAAAATATTTTCACTGTTTCAAAATGTTTTCAAATGTGAAGTTGGGAACTCGAAAGTGGTGCGGAAGCTACTGCAGAATCACAAGTTTAGGCATAATTAATTTTTCTACGCAAAAAATATTTTTCAAGTTGTATCTACAAAAATGTCATCCAAAGTTTGACGTCATTCAACAATTTCACCAAAAATCCACGTCAGAGTTATTCAAAAACATCAAGAGCATTTTTTCAAATATAGCCTGAACTAAATCATCAAAAATATTAGTATTTTTGACATTTTCCTAATTGGAATTCAAATATATATTAATGATGACAATTCACTATACGATTAGTCACATGAGTTAGCCTAATTGTTTTCGAAAATTTTCGAAAAAATGATTACAAAAATTTTGTGTATATAAGGCTCACGAGGTTGAGTATGAGCCATTTTTTTGATAAATCAATCACTTTGAGCTTCTGGAGCTCAGACTTTTTTTTTAGAATCGGACCCCCAATTCTCCCACGATTTCAGCCATGCCTCCAAGTTGCGGTGTTGGTTTCATCTCAATTGCAGCCGTGTCTGCTGCAGCCTTCAACATGTCGGACTTCGTGGCAAAAGAGTCCAAGAAGAAAACATCGGATCACAAGATCTTGAAAACATTCTTGATTCTCTTGGCAATCGCAATGAATTCCTGGTTTTCAACAATCTACCTTCCAAATGACGAATTCATCGATTCATTGGGTGATTATCCACGTCACAATGGCACGGCATATGGTAATTCTACAACACTTCCAATCAAGAATGGTAAACCTCGTCATCTGGCTCTAAGCGCTTTTGCCACCGCCATCTATTTTGCACTTCATGTGAGTCTATGTATTCAGATTCAGAATAAAAAAATAAATCAAATTCAGACTCTGAACTATGGAGCAATGCTGAACCTATCAAGCGACTTTTGTCAACATCTCGCCAACACTCGTCCCCAAATTTTTCTCAAAATCATCTCCCAAAAAGCGTTGTTTTGTATTCTGTGCTGGGCATTATTCTCGCTGATGGTTCTTGGTTATGTGGTCATTGCTCCATTACAAAAATGTCATGTTATTGTTAATTTGGCGCCGGAAACTTGGGTCAACAAATATATCGGGGAAGAGGTATGGAAATTATTACTGGGGGGGGCTACAATGTAGCTCCATGATGACGTTTTGCAAAGTATTTTTTTTCCAAGTTCACAAGTGATCACGATCACGTCATATTAACTGTTGAACATAACTGTGAACATGATTTTTTTCCTGGTTTCAACTTCTAAAATCAACTTCTAAAAAATTTTTCTTCACAACCATGAAAAATTACTGTTTCAAAATTTCAATATACTATTTTATGTATTTTTCGAAAATTAATGCTTGTCTCTCGTTGATTTCATTGACAAAATATTTTTCCAATGATATTATTAGCTCTAAATAATAATTTTGACATCACATAAGTTCGCCTAACTGTTTTGATTCGCTGAATTAATTTTATCAAGTGGGGAAGGATGTAAATAATTTATTACCCTTAACAATAAGCCTCTTATGCTAAAAGTTTAAGTCCCTTTTAAAATCTAAATCCTAATTTAAAATCTAAATCTTAAGTGTGAATCGAAAGGTTTTGTCATCAATAATATTTTTTTCAGATGCTTCTAACTTCAATCCTTCTCATTCTGTTCTATGTTCCAAATTATTACTATGATTTGAAACAGCGTCAAGATCCAGAAAGCAATTCAGAAAAATACTCATCTTATGTAACCTTTCTAACAAGAATCGGTTTGGCTTCCTCATTCTTTATTATATCCGCGGTTTCATTTGGTCAAATCAATCTTCCATTTTTCGGACAATTCTTCGTTTTTCTACCATTCCAAATAATTTTGGCGGTGGAAAGCACCGAATTTTTCCGGTTGGTTTTTTTGTGAAATTTTAATTTTAATTAAAAAAAATTTAAGATTTATGCTAAATATTTCAGAAAAGCTATCAACTGGGAAATTTTTGGTCCCAAAAGATCAACAGTCAAACCGTTTGCTTTGGATGCAATTCCTTGAACTCATTTGTATCTAGTTTGATCTCCTCTTCTTCTATCTCCTGAATGTATATATGAATTCAATAATTAGTGTGCCGAAATGGCCAAATTGTAGTGTCCCTTTGGGAATATTTAATCAATGAAAACTATCCTTTGATACTTTTCCAATTATATTTCTTTTATTGGGTTTTTTTTATTTATCAATGATATTTTATTTTGAATAAAGTCACAAATTTCAAAAAAAAAAAAAGTAAAAACGCGATTAAGCCCCGCCCCATTCGCACACAAACAGTGGCGGCGCGCACAACCCGTCGACCGTCGCTCACACAAGAAATTTATATATTCGTGTGTTCTGTGTGTTTATCGCTTTCGAGCGGTAGCGAAGCTATTGCCAAAATTTTTTGGAATGATCTGCAGATCTCTGATTTTATGATTCACAAACATCAACATGTCAAATTCCAAAAATTATTATATTTTTCCGGCTGTTTTTCAAACCAAAGTGCTTTTCAGAATCTCAATTCAAAAAGTTCAAATCGTTCAAATTTCCAGAAAAACAAGTTTTTTTCAAGTCTGAAAGAAAAATGCTCATCATACAACTTGTGTTTGATTATTAGTTACAATTTCCCAATGACGAGACTTTCAGAAAAACAAAACAACCTGCCAGTTTTTTGATCGTCTAAAAATATTTCTCTGAAAGTTCTTATTCTGACACGTTTTTCGAAGATCTTTGGAACAAAGATTAGGTTTGAAAATTGGAAAAGTTCAAAAAATTGTCTGAAAAACTGCGTGCATTCTACCGTAAAATGACTCTGGCGAGTACATTTTTCCAACATAATAAAATTAGTTCTCTGTTTTTTTTTGTTATCTCAAATTTTCACTGTTTCAAAAATTATATGATTAATTTTGTAGAAAACCCTATTCATTAAAATTTGATTATTTCACATAATGTCTATTCCAAAAAATATATCGACAAAAAACACTTCAAAATTCACCAAAACGTCACAATTTTCTCACAAGTGTCTCAATTTCACATAGACATTTCCAGCCCAAAAAAAACACTAGAAGAACTTTTTGCAAAAAAAAACCTTTTAATCACAAACCTATTCAGAAATCGGGGTTTTCTCCCAGAAAATTTTTCATTTTCAGTTTTCCTTGATTAAAAACACATATTATGTGCTCTGCTCTGCTCTGATCTCATTTTTTCCTGGGAAAAAACAACCCGTATTTTTTTTTGAAAAAAAAATATATCCAGAAGATCAAAAAACCAGGGCAATTATTATAAAAAATCCAAAATCCTCCCATAAAAACCCTATTTTTTTGAGCATCAACCACCACCAAAAAAAGGGCAATCAAATTATGTGTTTTACTTTTCTTTTCCGCTTTTCTCCAAAAAAAAAACAACAACAAAATTTGCTCATTCCAGAAAAAGAAAAACATGAGCGAACAATGCGCAAGTCAATTTCAAATTGATCTCTATTCAACACCTTTTTATTTTGTCATTACTCAGGTTAATCTAACTGTTGTTCTTCTCTCAATTATTGTTGCTTATTTGGCTGTGAGAGAACTTTATTCACAATCAATTATTAATTCAACTCCGAGGTTATTTTTGACGATTGATGTTGTTTATGCGATGATTCATCAATTTTCGTATTTTTATATCAAGGTTGGTTTTTGGGCCACAAGGTTTAAACATTTTTTGAAACAGTGAAAAATTATTTTAGACTTTTCGTGAAATTTTATTTCCTATCGCTCTAATTAACATCCCATCAAATCAAGAAATTATTTTTGTCGTAATTTGAAACAGTGAAAAATTTTTTTAAATGAAGCCATTTTTTAAATCTATAAGGGTTTTAGCCTAAGATTTATCCTCAGAAGTTCAAGTTTTTAGAATCCATTTTTTTTCCTTCAGAAATTTGTGAAATTTGGACCATATTGCCTAAGAAAACTTCTCAAGAAATCAAAAATAATTTTCACTATAATTTGAAACAGTGAGAAATTTTTTCCATGATTTCTGCAAAAAAGTTCTTATTTTTGTTTTTCCAATTTTATTGTTAGTCCAATTTAATTTAGAAAATTGTTATTTTCGCGGGCGCTTTAAATTGTGAATAAAAAATAAATATCTCGATAAAATTGTGAACATTAAATAGAAAAAATTACAAAAAAAACCGGAAATCCAAATTTTTTAATTTTTTTCAGATCGACCTAACCTACAAGATCCTGTTCAAATTGGACAAGCCATGTGAACTTCTAATCTCAGTTTATGATTGTCGATTTGTTAGTCGTGGCTTTATAATGGGAAGTTCTGGTCTAACATTAGTTCAAACAGCAATGACTTTTGATCGATTATTTGCAACTTGTTATCCAAAAATTCATAAAAAACAAAAACGAGCGATTGGATCGATTTTTACTTTTTTTATTGTAAGTTTTAGATTTTATGGGGGATGGAAAAAAATAATTAATTTTATAATATCGGAAGCTACATAAGAAAATTTTGAAACAGTGAAGTTTTTTTTTGAAACCACACATTTTAACGATTTTTTTTTGGAATTCTAGAACGAAATATTGAAAAATCAAGAAAAATTCATGAAAATTTTGAAACAGTGAATTTATAAAAATTGAAATCGTGAGATATTCCTGACCAATAAATTATTTTATGAAACCAAACTTTTCAAGGAATTTTGAAACAGTGAAGTTTTTAGATTTTATTTATTGTGAAACCACAGATTTTAATGATTTTTTTTGGAAAGTTGAAAACAATACAACAACTTTGAAACAGTGAAAAATTGAAATTTTCATCTTCAGATTTCGAACACAAATTCAGATCGAGTACACATTGCGAAATCAAAAATTCAAGAAAAATTGAAACATATTTGAAACAGTGAATTTTTAAAATAAAAGTATCGGTGTCAAAAAAATCACCAAAAAAATTGCAGAATAATTTTTCAATCACAAAATTCACTGTTTCACAATTTCCTTCAGATCCTCGCAAGTTGGTTCACTTGGGATCTTCTAACCATCAACGATCCTTTGAACGACTACATTCAAAATTGCGGATATTTCCCTCCAAAATCCCAAAACAATTTCGACACATTATTAATCGTCTCATTTTTCATAGCTGTCTTCAATTTTATAATCAACATAATTAATTTGAAAATTCAATTGTTAAAAGCAGAAAAATATCAGTGAGTTAGCCTAACTCGATTATATTTTCTATTTTCCATTTTCCACGTGTAAAATCTTGCAGTAAACAATTCAACATGTTGAAAAGATACAATGCTATGGAGAACACAAAAAATGCGCAGGCTATAACACTTTTATCAACCGGCCAAATATTTGGAATTGGGTTATGGAATGGGTCAACTTATATTTTGCGGACTTATAAGAAGTCATTGACACCTTTTCAGTATGCTCTTCTTTTAACCAGTTTTTATGTGAGTTAGCTTAACAATTCTGGAAAAAATCCAGAATTTTCCAGATTCCCCCATACGTCTGCTTATTCCTCCCACTTTTGATGATAATTATTTTGCGAAGAATTCGAGAGCATCGATCAAAAGTCATCAAATCACTGAGAAATCAGAAAGAAACTCAAGATGAATATATGGATAAAATGAGAAAAGTTTGGAGTTGAGATAACTATTTTTCTCTCTGATCTCATTGAATTTAAATTGAAGGCGAACGAAATAATAAACAAAATTCATCCCCATGTTTTAAAGTGATAGCGTAGCGCAGTGGTAGCGCTCTAGGTTTTTGTGGCGAGGGTCAGGGGATCGAAGCCGGGTGCGCGCGAATTTTTTTGAATTTTAATTTTTTTTTGTTTTGTTCTTGGCGCCAAAATTTTCACATATGAATATTCTTTTGCTACGTCATAGCTCTAACGCGATTCTCTGAACGTCTGCCAACACTTCGTTTTGGGAAGTTTGTCTGTCTGGCGTTCACGCAACAGAAAGTGCACTTTCTTACCACCTGGGCTCTTTTTTGGTATCTTGTTCTATTTTATTTATTCCTAGAAAATGACATCTTTGAAAACGGATTTCCCAAGATCGTATAGATCAGCAAAAGGAAATGATTTCAAAATTGCACCAGCCTATTCTGCATTTCTGGAATATTGTGAAGAAATTGCTGAAAATGTGAAACAACCCGCAACTTGTCGTGCATATGCAAGTCGTTTGGATGGACAGGAAAAGTTTCGAAATTGGCCGCCAGAGAGAGATGAAAAATTGAAAATGAGGTGAGCAATTTGGATTTTTACATAGGTTCTAGAAGATCCTTAGATTTCCTCTGAAGAAAATGTTTTTTGTGTTCAAAAATTAGAATTTAAAAGAATTTTTACAGATAATTTTTTTTACTGTTTCAAAATTTTCATATAAAATTTTCCTAGGGCTGTTTTTCGTTTCTGTTGTTTATTTCAACTGAAAAAATTGAATTGGAAAAGTGAACAAATTTCGCTGTTTCAAAAATTGTTTATTGGAAATTCTAAATATTTTTCGAATGATTCGTCGCTTCGCCAAAAAGTCTTTGGAAAATTTCTGGAAATTTCATTGATACAAAATTACAATGTAAAATTTTCTAAAAAATATCACTGTTTCAAAAAAAATCATAAACTGTTTTAGCTGAAAAAGTTTCAGATCTGACAAGCGACATCTACACACCTTCTCTCGACTTCAAAATCGTGAACTCGGTAAAAATTCCCACGGTCTTCGAAGTTTTTCAAGCGCAATTTTGAATTCCGAATGTCGTGAATATCGATTTGAACAATCAGTTTGGGGAACTAGCGCAGAAGAATCTTGCAGATGGGATAATCGACAAATTTTCTTTGAAGAACACGGTTCAATGGTGGAATATAACGCACAAAACGAATTTTATCAATTTGAACACCTGAGTGGTGGTCGAATTGTCGATGTTTTTTATGTTAATCCAACTGGTAGAGATTATGAGGTAGGAAACGAACAATTTTGAAGAACAGGCATAGTTTTCAGACAATTCCAGAATGTGAAAAATATGTGGCTACATTATTAGACAGTTACATTGAAGTACATAGTTTGGAAATTCCTGGAGAATGCACATACAGAGCTGCATTGCCGCTATCAAACCGACAATATAGATATGAGTGAGTAAAGAAAATCAAACAAATAAATAAAAAATTTTCAGAAAAATTGGCTGGAAAACTGTGAACGAATCGATATTTGTTTATGCAAAAGCTTATAAAGATTGCTCTCGAAAGGTGTGTTTCAGAATGATTTTTTTTCACGTAAGAGAAAACGAGAGAGTGAAAATTAGCGTGTACGTGCGGAAGAGACGCCAGACGAAAAAGGGATAGGAAAAGACTCCGCCCACTTTTTTTTTAAATTTCAGAAGCTGAAGTGTTGGAATATTTTTAATAATTTTTCTTTCGCTATGAGTGTTAGATTCTCAAATTTTCACCTTTTACAAATTCGTTTATTACAGATGAAAAAAGACACCCCAGCCGATCATTTGTTCTTGATTTTCGACGCATTTCCATTCACTTTTCGAACATGTTTCACTATTGATGAACATGTAAGCTTTTTTTCCCCACCAAAACCTATTTTTTTCTACATTTCAGGCGACACCAGATAGATCACCAATTCATACAATCAACATAAAAGATGAATTCATAGAAGTTCTCACAGTAAAAAATCAAACACTCGTTTATGGATTTCAAGATGTTCTAGAGAAGTATGCAATAGTTTCGACAGAACGAATTGATGATGACGAATCTTATGTTCAGATTTTGTTTGAAGTTGTGAAACTAGGAGAACCCCTAAGGATATCGGAAGAGAATTTTGATCTGGTAAGTAAGTACAAGAAATTCTCTTATTCAAGTTCATAAAACTTTTCTTTTCTATCATCGCAGAAACTAATGTGCTCATCAATTTTCCCGATTCTCGTCAAAACAGAAGACAAATCTATAACTATTGATGATCTCGAAAATCCCAAAATCATTCTACCGAGAATTATGGCTGCATTCAATTTTACAATCGGCGAAAACAGACACGAGGATTCTATAATATTTCCCGATCAATTTTCATCGACATTTGTACTTGTGGAAGATCGCAACTTTGTCAAGTATAATATGAGAAAATGTGGTGAAAATGGGTTGATAGTTGAGAGAGTTTGGAGAACTTCGATATTTCCAGAAGGGGAGAAACGAAGCAATGATCCACAGTTGTGGGAGTTTATGGTGAGGGTTGGAATTGAGCCAACACTTAGAAGATCTGGCCACATATTGATGAATGTTCAAGTTAGAAAACTCAATCTATTTCCAGATAATCAACGAAACCAAATTCGACAATGAAAATCTGAACATCAAAATATCGATTGATTATGCTCGCTTGAAATCAAATGGAGATTTTGATAATTATTTCCGTTGCAAAATCTATCTAATGTATATCATCGACTACACAAATGGCGAAATTTTGAGAATTATTCCGATTCACCGACATCGACATGAGGACATTCAAAACTCGATTGAAGATCGGGGTTATAAAAATCCTACAGAGTTGAATGATTCATTTTTGATTGAGGAAGATTTGTTGGTTTTTAAAAAAGATGTGGATTATTCGAGGCAATTTGAAGTTTGGGAATTGATTGAACCACAACAATATATTGATCAGAATGGAGTGAGAGAAGAGAAAATAGGAATTATGAATCGAGAACAAGTCCTGGGTAGTAATGAAATGAGATCAAACAGATATATGTAAAATTGTGGATTTTTTGTTGCATCAATGAAATTTTAATTATTCTTTTTCACAAAAAACGAATCAAAATTCCTCGTAATCAACAACAGGAAAATATTGCGGTTCACTAAAATCAGTAAAATTCAAACCAAATGTCATTCGAGCAATTTTACCAACTCGAAATTTTCCATTTCGTCAATTCTCATGAAAAAAAATTGGAAAAAAAATCAATAGATTTTTCAAATACTGTGAAGATTCTTGGAGCTAATTGTAAACAAATTATCGAAAATAACTTCTCAAAAATTTTGAATTTTTTGTGCTAGATGTTATCTAAATCATGACGAAATTGTCTCAAAAAACCGAAATTCAAGCGTGAAAAATTTAAAGTTTCTTTTTCCACGTGCAATTTGTTTTCAAAGTTTGATTGTTGCTCTATAATAAACTTTTGCGGGTTTTTTCTAACCGAATCAAAAATAGATTTTTGTTGTGAGTGAGCAAAAGTTAGGTTGTCTAAATATTTTTGAACTAGATCTTTCTAAATACCGTAACTTTGCGTGGGTCCAATTTTGATGTAACTTCTTTTTGGAAAACACAAGAATAGAATTTTTAATTAAAAAATATTTTGCTTTTGGTCTTTGGCCGTTTTATGAAATCAAAAATATGCAAACTTCAATAGACTGAAAATAATGTTTATATTTACAGATGAAATGTGTTTTGAAAAGTCTAAACTTCACAATTTTTAAAATTATGGGAAAACTTTCAGATAATTGTTGAGAAGTCCAAAAAATGTGCTAGGAAGTATTTTTTCAGTTTCGTTTACTTGGAAATTCAAAGTATTGTGATTCATCCAACCGAAGAAAGCATTATTTTTTTGTCTAAAAACAAATCTAGAGCCTTTTTCTTTAAACCTATAATCAATTTTTATTATAAAGTTTGGAGGAAGAGAAATTCAAAGTACATAATTTTTGAAAATTCAAATTTGAAAAAAAAATTCGCGTTAGAGCGCACTAGTAATTTCTTGGATTTTTTTTCAAAATGTAGTTGATAAACCAATTTCAAATCCATGTTAACGTAAGTAAGAACACGACCAGTTGTACCTTATAATTATTTGTATTCAAATGTCGTACCTTTTGATATAATATCACATATACATTTTCCACAGATCATTCTTCTCCCCAAATGTCCACAAATTGCTCACTTTTCGACACATATTCCCCTCCAATCATTCAAATATCAATGATAATCAACACAATTATCCTACTTCTCTCAATTCCAATTTGTATTTTTGGATTCTATAAACTAATCACCCAATCAATTATCCAATATTCAACTAGAATATTTTTGATAATGAGTTTAGTTTTTATCATCGATCATCAAATTGCTCTAATCACTGTTAGGATACAAACTTTTGTATTGTTGTATTCTGGAGTTTGTGAAATTCAGGTGTCTGAATGTTTATTTATGTTTCAAGGAACAATTATTGGAAATGCAGGACTGTCTCTGATCCAATTATCAATGTCTCTCGATAGAATTTTGAATTCAATATTCAAAGATATCTATTTCACATATCGCCATGTTTTCGGCCCAATTTTCTCACTTCTAACTATCTTCGCATCAATAGAAGTGTACAAATACATTCTTCTCAAAAATCCTTTAACCGAATTTATCGTAACCTGCGAAAGTCTTCCAACAGAAACTTTCGAGAGATATGATTTTATAATTACATGCACTTTATATTTATCGATTATTGATATTTTCGTAGATTTAATTGTTTTGCGATTAAGTATTATTCATGAGAGAAATATGCGGAAATTTTATTCCGTTCAAAAACGATATGAAGCTAATGCAAGTTTGAAGTGCACCCAAACAGTTATGACAATTTCATCAATTCAATTTCTCTCACAAATGTTTTATTCAGCAATGTACCTAATTATGATGTATTTTTTCGTGGATTATACATCAATAAGTTTCATTTTATTGAATCTTCTCGGTTATGTGAGTTTTATTATTATTATTTATAGTTAGTGTGATATCCAAAATTTCAGCCAGTAGTTTATACGAATACATTACATGCTTGCTTGATTATTTATTCAGTGAATCGTATCAAAAAACAGCGCAAACAGGGCATTGAAAATATGAAAAATCAAAGATTATCAATGGATGAACATATGAATAAACTGAAAACTGCGTGGGGATGAGATAATTAGAAACACATTTGGTGGGTAACTTTTGATGTTACACAGCTTGACTACAAGGAAATGAAAAATTCTACTGTTTCAAGTTTTTTTGTATTGAGAATGAACATTTGAATTTTCATTGGATTCCCGATTTTAGCAGAATCACAATACTTGGATCTACGAAATTCCTAACTAGACAAAACATTAAAAAAAAACAAGCATGTAATTTTTGATGCTAGAAATTTTATCTAGAAAAACAAACATTTTTCCTCTCATTAAAAATCTACTGTTTCAAGTTTTTTTGAATTGAGAATAAATATTTGAATTTTCAATGCGAAGAGAGAGAGATTTGGACATTTTTCTGTTGAAAAAAAAATTGAAAAATTTTTTTAGATGAAAATTTAGGTTTCAATGATCTACCAAATTCCAAACTAGAAAAATAACAAGCGTGTAATTTTTTGATGTTACAAAATGAATCTAGTTAATTTGATCATTCACAGGTGTTTATTAAATATTTTTCAGATTTTATTTTTGAATAAATTTTAAGTTAGATTTCAGCAGAAAGCTGAAACATATTTTTTGTTCCAAGCCTAAACCTAAGTTTAAGACTTTTGGGCCCTTAGGGACTTGGGCCTAAAAATACCATAAAATAATTAGGTGATGTTAAATGTTCTAGATTTCAACCTCCATAATTTCCAGTTCAAAAAATCAGAAACCTCTATTCTACCAAATTCCAAAGCCAGGTGTCCTAATCTTTCTTAATTTCCTCAAAATCCAATTTTTTTTTGCATGTTTGTTAGTGTTCGAGATCAATCAAAGCAACCAATTCCAATTTTCCTCTACCAAAAAAAAAAAAACAAACAAAACATGCCGTGTGAAAATTTCAGAATTTTTATGATTATCTCTTCTAGTTTCAGCTTTAGTTCTACTTCTATTTTCATCTCTGAAGAAATTGAATTTCCAATTGGAAACAAATGTTCAAGCAATCAGTCTGAGTAGATTTGAGATTCAATTATCCCGCCGGGCACTTTTTGCATAACTCAAATAATTTTCTCCATTTTTTTTCGTGTTTGATTTCTTATTCGTGAGAATTTCCTGTTTTCGTTTTCGATGTTTGGATCTAAATTTCAAAATTAATTTTTTTTCCAAAAAATCAAAAGATCTCTGATGACTTTTCCGAATTATAATCAAGAAAAGTTCCTTCTAAGAACGTATGTGATTATTACAAAAAAAATTAAAATTATTATTTTCAGAAATAGTCTATCCACAAAATAAGATGTGTATCTTCCTCGAAATTTATTCACCATTTGGTGTTCAATTAGCATTAATTATCAGCGCTTCAATATTATTCATATCAATTTTAATATCCCTATTCGCTATTTATAAACTTATGACTCAATCGATAATTGAGTATTCTACCAGAATATTTTTGATATTAAGTCTTCTATTTGTTATCTATCATCAGGTTTCATTTCTATCCCTTCGAGTTCTGACTTTTGTCCAAATCCACCTAGAAATCTGCACCAATGTTATTTCAAATTGTCAATTTTTTATGCAAGGAAACCTTATCGGAAATGCGGGTCTCTCATTTATTCAAGTATCAATGTCAATCGATAGAATTCTTCATTTATCATTCAAAAATACCTATCAAAAATATCGACAATTTCCTGGAATCTTCTTTGTGATTTTGACATTATTCCTTTCAATTTACACATATTGTTATGTGATTCAAGATGATGAATTAAAAGAAGAAACAAAAACTTGTGGTGAACTACCAACAAAAAGTTATGGAAATTATACAAATGTTTTGAAATTCACGTTTTATTTGGCGATTGTTGATATGTTTACCGATTTGATTGTTTTGAAATTGAGTATGATAAATGAGAAGAAACAGCGACAATTATATTCTGTTACCGAAAGATTCGAAGCTCAAGCTGCTCTAAAATCAACACAAACAATTATGACAATTTCAACAATCCAATTTCTTTCTCAAATCTTATATACAGCACTGTTCTTCATATTAACGTATTTGATTGAAAACTTCGAAGGATTCACTTTTCTAATGATCAATATTCTTGGCTACGTGAGTTAATTTGAAGCTCAATATGATATCCAACAAAATAATTTTTAGCCTGTACCGTATACAAATACATTACACGCCGTGTTGATTATCCATTCATTGAATCGAATAAAAAATCAGAGACTGGAGAATATAAAAAGTATGACAACGCAAAAACAATCATCCGATGAATACATGTCGAAATTGAAAAGTTCGTGGGCTTGAGACCAACAAGGAATTTTGGTAGATAAATTTTACGTAAATAAAGTTTTGAAATCTCATTTTTGCTCGAATTCTGAAGCTTCTCATAAAAAATCTCGTTAAGTTTAAGGAAATCTCTTTAGGGAGGTTTGAAAATGTACGAAAAATGTACCCAAAAACAGGTACATTATCTGAAGAATATATATATCGGTAACAAGATAATAAAAGAATTGTGAAGTGACATCTCTAAAATCTTATTGAATATCAAATTCATTAATTTCAAAACACACGCCATTTCTATACATCAAATTATGCAGATATTTTTTCGAAAATAATTATCTGCTCGACTGATTCATCAAGCCTAACGAACAAATTTTGAATCATTCATTAATTCATATATTTTTTATCAAAATGAGTTGTGCGATTCTCGATTATTATTCTCCAATAAGTATGCAGATTGCAACAGTTTTCAATGCTTCAATCATACTATTTTCCATATTTATATGCTTCAAAGGAATACACAAACTGATAAATCAATCAATAATTCAAGGTTCCACTCGTATTTTTCTAATTTTAAGTTTATTTTTTGTATTTTATCATCAAATTGCATTTTTATGCATTCGAATCAACACATTAATTCAAGTGCATCTTGTTATTTGTAACACAGTTGTTTCGAAATGTAAATTGATGATTCAAGGAAATCTGATTGGCAATTCTGGATTATCACTGGTTCAAGTAGCAATGTCAATCGAACGAATTATTCATATTATATTTCGCAAAAAATATGAGAAATTCAAAACAATTCCCGGAATTATTATGACAATTACAACTATTTATGGAGCAATTTCAGTATATTCATTTATAATTGGTGATAATCCGTTCACCGACACTGTCACAACTTGTACATATTTACCAATGAAAACGTATCCAAGATATACCCAGGTTCTATTTTTCACGTTTTGGTTATCAATTTCCAATCTCATTGTTGATGGTTTAATTTTAAGACAAAATCAAAAACACGAAAAACTGCAAAGGTGACTAGAACATTTATCGCAAAATTGTTTTGTTTTTCAAAAAATAATTTCAGAAATATGTATTCAGTGACAAAACGATTTGAAGCTACAACTTCTTTGAAATGTACACAAGCTATTATGGTGATTTCTTTGGTCAATGTTTTATCACAAATTCTATATTCCGTTTTGTACTTTATTATTGTTTTCTTTATTCCGGACGGTACATCGTTTATTTTCATATTTGTGAATACTTTGGGATATGTGAGTTTTGAGAATAAATCATTGAAGCAACAAAATTAGACAGCTAATTTAAAAATCAAAAATATTTTTTGAGAAACTATTTGGAAAGAACATTTAAAAAATGTGCAAACATAGCTTGAAATGAGCTAATGTAGTTGAAAGATGTCTACCAGTGGTTCCAAGTACAAAATGTCTAATTCAATCTAGAACTTATTTCCAAAGCAAATTTCCAATAATACAACTAACAACAAAATAATTTCTGACCTTAATCAAATTTGCAGCCAGTTCCTTATACTTCAACATTACATGCTTGTTTGATTATTTATTCATTGAATCGAATGAGAAACCAAAGAAGAGCAACAATTCAATCATTGACTAATCAAAAGCAAACATTTGATGATTATATTCGAAATATTAAAAGTGCCTGGGCCTAACATAACTTTTTTCCCAATTTTTGATTTACTGTTTTTTGTTTGTTTTTTCATAACAAGAAATCTCTTTGGTTTGAAAACAAAAAAAACTAATGAGATTTTTGACTTTCTTATTTTTTTTTTTGAAAAAAAAACGATATTTTTCCTTTGTTTTCTGAAAATGAAAATAAAAACATGTTTTCGGAGCGAGTGTGAAAAAAGTTCAAAAAATTTCAGCTGCGAAATTAGATTCTGAAAATGTGCGATTTACGCGTAGTAAAAAATAAATATAGCGTTCCTGATTTTTCTAATGCTACTCAGAAATAGAGAAGTAATTATCGTGGTTTTTTCAGACTTACTAATTTGCATTTTCAGGGTTATTTTTGAGCTACTACTTATTGATTTTCTAGATCAAGTTAGATTTGACTGGAAATTTATTTAAAAATTTTTAGAAACCTCAAAAATCGCTGGAAAAAATATTTAAAAGTTCAAAAAGTTTGAATATTTCATTGAAAAATTTTGAGGTCCTATTTTTCTTCTCCAAATCTTTTTATTTAATTCGTTAAACTATTTTATAATATATTTTTGAATTCTTAGATTCTTGAACTTTTGTAATTTCATTTTTGAACTTTCACAGATCAAAAACATCTGCTTTGTTTCAAAGTACAATTCCACAATGTCAAACTGCTCTTCTAGCTTCGAAACGCTCTCCCAATTATCCCTCAAAATTGCCCTAATATTCAACCTAACCCTAATAATCATCTCAATTATTCTCTGCCTAATCGCAATTTACAAACTCATAACAATCTCAATATTCCAATTTTCAACCCGCGTTTTTCTATCAATCAATTTGACCTTCGTAATTTATCATCAAAGTGCATTTGTCGCAATTCGAGTCCACACTTTATATTCTCTTTACTACGGTGTTTGTGATATTCAACTTTCCGAATGTATTCATATTATGCGAGGTGTTCTAATCGGAAGTTCAGGAATAGCCTATATTCAAGTAGCAATGACTTTGGATCGTATATTTAGTGTGGTTTTTAAGAAAAAATATAAGAAATATGGAATGTTTATGGGAACAATATTAATTGTAATATCAGTAAGAATAGAATAGCATCTGAAATCACAATCAGAAATGTATTTCAGGTAACATTAGCAATCTTCACCTATTCTTTCATTATTGGAGAAAATCCCCTAACCAAAAAAGTTGATAATTGTGGCGCTTTACCTGCTGAAAGTTTCGAAAGATACGGCAAAACAATCAGTTGGATATTCTATCTTTCAATTATTGATTTAATAATGGATATGTTTGTGTTGCGTATAAACATTAAAAACGAGAAAAAACAACGGGATATTTATAATGTGAGAAAACGCTATGCTTCTCGAATAACATTGAAAAGTATTCAAGCAATTATAACAATTTCCATTGTTCATTTTATATCCCAATTTTTATATTCTGTTATGTTTTTTATCACAATTACTTTTGTCGAAGATTTTATGTCTTATGTTTCGTATTTGATGGCAATAATTGCATATGTGAGTTTTTTTTGTTCAAAAGTGTTCTGAATCATTGATCTTCGATTTTCCAGCCAGTCTTCTACACTTCAATTCTAAATGCATCTCTAATCATCCATCTAATTAACCGATTGCGAAAACAACGAGTCGAAAATATTCGCAAACTAACATCGCAGAAGCATACATTTGATGATTATATGCAAACAATGAGAGCCGCTTGGAAATAAATAATTTTTGATCGAGCACATGTTGTTCTGTGCACATTTTCAGAAGAAAAAAAACTTCTTGACATGTAATTATTTCTCAAAGCGGATGAACATTTAAACATCGAGAACTGATTTTAGTTTGAGATTGGATCGAACTAAAAACAAAACTGAAGAAGGAAGTGGTGAAGTGAACTTTTAGAAAAAACTAATCAAGAATGTGGATACGATCTCAGAGTCAAAGTTCTCAAAGTTCTAATTTGAAAACCAAGAAACATCTTGAATTTCGGGAAAAGATCCAGAGGCAGCTGAAAACTTCAGAAAATCTCGAAAAAAAATGTGTGTATTTTGTGACCAAAATTTAGAAACATTTGAATTCTGATCACTCAAAATCGTCTGTGGATCAACAAATGTGATTCTAACAAAAACCTTGAAGACTTCTGTAGATCAAATATTTTCTGATCACGAGCTTCTTGATTTTTTTCATCTCAAATATTCTATTTTTACACAAAAGTGCACAACTTCCTCAAGCTGGAAATCAAGTATTCAAAAATAAATGTAGATCTCGCACGTTTTCAAACATCTAATTACAATGTTCAAACTATGCTATCAGACAACAGATATTTTCTGAAATATCATCAATTTGTCATTTTGAAAGAAAGTGGAATTCGACTACAATTTTCTCCAAATTTTAAAATTCTCGAACTAGAAACTATTTGATCATCCAAATCAGTTAGTTCTTTGCGCCTCAAACATCATAATTATTTCCCATGTGCTTGGCAAACAACACAACCCTTTAATTACGGTCAGAAAGACTTTGATTTTCCAAATTTTTTCAATATCAGTTTCGAGTTTCCTGTTTGAACAATGTCCAATTGCTCGGAGACTTTTTATCTTCTCGGATATCCTTCATCGATTGCAGTTATAATTGCGAATGCTACAGTAATCCTAATATCCACAATTGTTTGTTATTTCGCGTTGCACAAATTAATAACCGCTTCAATATTTCAATTTTCAACTCGAGTATTCTTATCAGTCAGTTTGGTATTTCTCATATTCCACATCTTATCGTATCTTGCCGTAAGACTTCAAACTTTATACATGCAATATTATGAGATTTGTGATGTTGATGCTATAAATTGTCTTCCAATTGCAATTGGAATTTACGCCGGAGCTGCTGGTTTGGCTTATGTTCAAGTTGCAATGTCATTAGATCGTCTACTCGGCGCATTCTTGAAAACATCTTACATTCGCTTCGAAAGAATTACAACAATTGTTTTTATACTTCTGATGTTATTCTGCACATTTTTAACATATCAATATCAAATGGAAGGTAATATGCTTGATTTCCGTGTTACGACATGTCAAAACTGGGGTGGTGGTACGAACGTAAATTCTTATGCGGTAGTAACAGATTTGATTTTATATCTCTCGGTTTTTGATTTTGCGGCAGATTTCGTAATTCTTTTAATGAACGTGAGAAATGAGCGGAAGATTCGTGACATTTATGATGTTGCAAAACGTTTCGAAGCTCGAATGTCATTAAAGAGTACACAAGCTGTGCTGACAATTTCAATGGTCCAATTTTTCGCGCAAGCCACATACTCTCTCATTTTTATAATTGCATCAAGATTCTTTATTCCCATTATGAGCAAACATGATATACAACTTTTCTTAATTTATATTTATGTGAGTAGTAATACTTCATGTTATTTATTGAATTGTTTTCATTTCAGCCAGTCTCCTATACCGCAACATTTCACGGATTAGTTATTCTTTATGCGATTCGTCGAATGCGAATTCAGCGAGCAGTTGAAATCAAGAAAATGACAGATCATAAGAATAATTTAGAAAATCATCTAGAACATATGCGAGCTTCCTGGCGATAAATTTTTGTTCCTATTTTGTAAACTTTGAAAAAATTATCAATAAATCTGTTTACCCTTTGAATCTTTGTCCTTTCCAACTGTGAGTCAAAAATTTTTTTAGAAAATTGTAGTTTACAAACATTTTCCATATTGACTAAGATGCTCTACGATGTATTCTACCAAACAAAAATATTTTTTTAATAAAAAATCATTCTTTCCTCATGCTCAAAATTGGATTTTCAATACAAGACTCCTTGTAACTCTTAAACTACAAACCAAAAATCTCAATTCCGAAAAAAGCAATCAGCGTCAAACATCATAATTATTTTCCCATGTGCTTAACAATTAACACAACCCCCGAATTACGGTCAGAGAGACTTCAATTTTCTCAGTTTCTTCAATATCAGGTTCGCATTCAGTTCTTGAACAATGTCCAATTGCTCTGCGGATTTCTATATTCTTGGCTATCCTTCGACAATCGCTGTTATACTTGCAAATTCCACAATTATCGTGATATCTATAATTGTTTGCTGTTTCGCGTTGCATAAATTAATAACCGCTTCAATATTTCAATTGTCAACTCGAGTTTTCTTATCAGTCAGTTTGATATTCATAATATTCCACATTTTATCGTATCTCGCAATGAGAATTCAAATTCTTTACATGCAATATTACACAATATGCGATCTTGCTGTTATATATTGTTATCCAATTATAATTGGAGTTTATGGCGGAGCCGCTGGTTTAGCCTATATTCAAGTTGCAATGTCAGTAGATCGTCTACTTGGCGCATGCTTAAAAACATCTTACATTCGTCACGAGAAAACAACAACCATCTGTTTCGTCTTTCTCGTTTTACTTTGCACATTTCTCACATACAGATATCAAATAGAAGACAACACTCTAGATTATCGGGTTCCAACTTGTCAAAACTGGGACGATCCACATAATAGATATATGACAATCACCTCTTTCATTTTATATCTATCAATATTCGACTTCATAGCAGATTTTGTGATCCTTTTGTTGAATATTAAAAATGAACGAAAGATTCGAGACATTTATGATGTTGCAAAACGCTTCGAAGCTCGAATGTCATTGAAAAGTACACAGGCAGTATTGACAATTTCAATGGTTCAATTTTTCGCGCAAGCAACCTATTCTCTCATATTTTTGATTTTTCAAACTTTCTTCACTGGTAAATTGAGTCCTCACGCGTCAACACTTCTTGTTATTTATATTTACGTGAGTAGTACAGTTTTTTTCAAAACTAGAATTAGTTTCATTTCAGCCAGTCTCCTATACCGCAACTTTTCATGGATTAGTTATTCTTTATGCAATTCGTCGAATGCGAATTCAGCGAGCAATTGAAATCAAGAAAATGACAGATCATAAGAATAATTTAGAAAATCATCTTCAACAAATGCGAGCCTCCTGGCGATAAATTTTTGTTCCCATTTTGTAAACCTTAAAAAAGTTATCAATAAATCTTTTCACTAGAAAAATCAGAAAATCATTCATAAAAAGAATTTTGCAAGCTGTCTCGAGAGATTTGAAATCAACCTCCACACTTCAAGGAAAAACATTCTTCTCACTTCCGTTTTCAAGCTTGCGAACACATTTGTGTCGACTAATCTACACCTATTCAAATTTGATTACAAATTGCAAATATACTCCGTGACTCAGATATTTTTAATCATTTTTTTTCTCAAAATGTCGGTTTGTATTTCCTCCGATGAATTCGCACTTCTAAGTTCTCCAATTTATATTTCATGCGTATTACTTAACACAACTTGTGCAATTTTATCAGTGTTCCTAACATTTTTCGCAATTTTCAAACTTTTGAAACAATCAATAATCCAGTCATCAACCAGATATTTATTAATAATCAGTTTATTTTTTAATTTATCTCATCAAATCGGTTATTTATGTGTTAAGGTAAGTTACTATACTAGTAAAATATATAGATTATGTTTCTAGTTCATCACAATTTATCAAATATTTTTCAAACTTGATAAACCTTGCGAGATCTATACTAAATTCACAGAATGTGTTATTTATTCTCGTGGACTATTGTTCGGCATTTCTGGTCTGACAACAATTCAAACATCAATGACTTTAGATCGAATTCTATCTTTGATATTCTCAAAACTATATCGAAAATATCAATTACCTTCAGCTATACTTTTCTCATTAATCGCTAGTTTTCAAGCGTATTTCCTATTTGATATTTTGACAGCTGGGGATAAATTCGAAGATTATGTCTTCAATTGCGCATATTACCCTCCAAAAAGTGTTCAGAATTTCAAAATATTCCTCTCGGTTATATTTTACATGTCAGTTGCTCATATTATAATCGATTTTTCGATTCTGGGAGCCTCGATGAGAAAAAGAGAAAAATAAACGGTAAATAAATAATGGCTCAAGATTTTTTAAATTTGGGCCTTCCTTTTAGATCTCTCTACAACATTCAAGAAAAATTCGAATCGCGCGAAGAAATGAAATGCGCCCAATCAGTTGTGCTCATCTCAACAATCCAATTCACAACTCAAATCGTATTCTCATTTACATCAACCGCATTTTCAGCAGGATTTATGACATCATTGAATGTGGCAATCATTTCAGTTCTAACTTATGTGAGTTTTCGGAATTCAAATAATTCTAGTAAAATATTTTTCAGTCAGTTCCCTGGTTTTGTTTGGCTCATCCAATTCTAATAATTCTAATGATTCGTAGGACTAGAATCGAGCGCCTTAAAAGCATTGAAAAACTGCGAAACCATAAAGAATCTCAACAGGATCATATGAGCAAGCTACAAAAATCATGGTCATAAGCTCTTCTTGGAGATGACATAAATAATTGTCATAAGCACTTCCTTGATTCAAATTCTGTACTAAAAGTTCAACTTCAAGTGGATTCCTCAATTTTAATTTTGTTAAAAAAACATTTTTTTTTCTGATTTTTTTTTGCTTTTGCAAATAAACCCTAAAGATTTCAAATTATTTTCATTAATTGTAGTTATTCCTCTTTAAACCAAAAATCCAAAAATCCAAACACTTACTCATCGCCTCAAGAGACATCTCATCCACCTCCACATTTCATCACTTCCAAGAAAAATCCAAAATAGATTTGATAAGTCAGACAAAAAACACATTTCTTTGCTCAAAGCATAAATTGTGTGCACTAATCTAAACCTATTCAAAATTTGATTACAAATTGCATGAGCACTTTGTTAGTCTGATTTTTTGAATCATTCGTTATGTCGGTGTGTATTTCGTCTGACGAATTGGCTCTTCTAAATTCACCAATCTACATTTCATGTGTTCTAATAAACATTGTCGCCGCAATTTTATCAATCTTCCTCATATTTTTCGCAATTTTCAAACTTTTGAAACAATCAATAATCCAGTCATCAACCAGATATCTTTTGATAATTAGTTTATTTTTCAATTTATCCCATCAGATCGGTTATTTATCAATTAAGGTAAGTTGCCATACTAGTAAAATGTATTAATTCTGTTTCAGTTGATCACAATTTATCAAATATTTTTCAAACTTGACGAACCTTGTGAAATCTATACTAAATTTACGGATTGTTTGATTTATTCTCGTTCAAAAATGTTCGGCATCGCAGGCCTTGCATTAATCCAAACATCAATGACTATCGATCGATGTTTATCGCTGATATTCTCAAAAATATATCGAAAATATCAAGAGATCTCAGCAATAATTCTATCCATCATTGCTGTTCTCATGTCTCATTTTTTATATGATATTCTAACTATCAACGATAATTTTCAAGATTATGTCTTCAATTGCTCATATTTTCCAACGAAGAGTAATCAAAACTTCGAAATATTTCTCTCGGTTATATTTTACATGTCAATTGCTCATATTATAGTCGATTTTTCGATAATGGGTTTTTCCATAAGAAAAGAGAAAAATAAACGGTGAGTTTGTTTTTCTGGAAAAAAAAGTTAGCATAAATACTTGTAGAGGAAACTACAACATGAAGGAAAAATTCGAATCACGCGAAGAAATGAAATGTGCTCAATCCGTGTTCCTTATCTCAACAATCCAATTCATAACTCAAATTATATTCTCGCTAACAACAAGTGCATTTCCAGCAGGATTTATGACATCATTGAATGTGGCAATCATTTCAGTTATGACTTATGTGAGTTTTCAGAAAAAAATAGATCTAATAAAATATTTTTCAGTCAGTTCCCTGGTTTTGTTTGGCTCATCCAATTCTTATAATTCTAATGATTCATCGAATTCGAGTTCAGCGAATCCAAAGCATACATAAAATGAGAAACCATAGGGAATCTCAAAAGGATCATATGAGTAAGCTACAAAAATCATGGTCATGATTCAGAATCTCTGGAGAATTACACATCACTTCCTCATTTTATTTTCATCCATAAATTATTTCTTGTTAAATAGTGATTTCTGATATGTTTTGTGCAAGTAATGCAGAAATTGAAACAATCGGTGCTCATTTATATCTCCATGTTATAATTTTCAATGTGATTCTTGCTATTCTCTCAATTTTTCTGATTTTTCTCGCAACTTATCAACTCTTGAAACAATCAATAATTCAATCAACAACTAGAGTTTTACTAATTTCAAGTCTATTTTTCGATCTTATACATTAAACTGTATATTTAGCTGCGAAGTTCTCAATGATAGATATAATTTAAAACAAACTTGATAAACCTTGCGAAATTTATGTGAAAATAAAAGATTGTCAATTTGTCAGCCATGGTTTCTTAATGAGTATAACTGGCTTATTTCTAGTTCAATTTTCAATGACAACCGATCGATTATTTGTTCTAATATTTCCAAGATCTCACAAGAGATCTGAACATGTTCTATGTTGTTTTTTTCCAAGTTTCTGTGTAATATTCAGTTTTCTCCAATACAATATTTTAACCTACAAAGATCCATTAGAAGACTATGTTTTTAATTGCACATATTACCCGCCAAAATCCACAGTAACTTTTGCTTTATTTTTCCAAATAACATTCTATTCCGCTTAATCTCATATTTTTATTGATTTTTCAATATTTTGGAAAGTTCTGCAAAACGAGAAGAAAAAACGGGGATCTTATAGTTTGACTGAAAAATATCGGGCCAAAGAGGAATTGAAATGTACACAACAAGTTGTGATAATTTCGACAATTCAATTTATTACCCAAATGTTATATTCGTTGAAATCGGCTACAATGCTGACAACTGGATATTTATCATCACTTTCGTCAGCCATTTTATCATCTCTAACATATGTGAGTCAGAACTTCCGTTATCTATCCAATACCTGGCCATTAAGCTCACAAGCCTAAAAACTCATTGCAGAGTCTCCCTTGGTTCTGCCTAATCCATCCAATTTTCATAATGTTAATGCTTCGAAATATCCGAATCGAAAGGTTCAAAAGTATACAAAGTCTCCGAAATCAAAAAGAAAGTCATGATGAATATATCAAAAAATTAAAAAGTATGTGGTCGTAATGTAATCTTCTGAAAATACTCGACTACACGAAGCAAAATAAATTGAAAACACCTGCTGCTCTCCCTCGACTCTAGAAACCACATTCTTGTCTATTCGGCTTAAGAATGAATTGTGCTTCTCAAGAATTCATTGATATTTTGAGTCTACCATCTTATGAATACGCAACAATTCTGAATATATTTATCGCAAGTTTCTCAATAATTTCAATATTTCCTGCATTATACAAACTCCTGACACAATCAATAATCCAATCTGCCACTCGAATATTTCTAATCACCAGTTTATTATTCAATTTCATTCATCAGATAACATATCTCTACTTGAAATCAATAACTATTTATCAAATTCATTTCAAACTTGATAAACCATGTGAATTATACACCGCAACTATTGATTGTGTTTTAATTGGTCGTGGATTATTAATTGGGATAACTGGTCTAACTCTTATTCAAAGTTCAATGAGTGTTGATCGAGTATTAACTCTGATCTTTCCTAAATCCTACAGTAAACAGAAATCTATAAAAACCTCAATATTTCTCTCAACAATCTGTATCATCTACAGTTATTTCAATGTCGACATCCTCACTTTCAATGATCCATTCGACGATTTCGTGCCAAACTGCGCTTATTATCCCCCAAAAAGTCTAGACAATTTCAAAATATTTCTCACAATCACATTTTATCTCTCAATCTTCCATATTTTCCTGGATTTCATAATTTTGCGATTCGTAGTGTTGAACGAAAAGCGCAAAAGATTTCTATACAGTATGATCAAAAAATATCGAGCGCAAGAAGAATTGAAATGCACTCAATCGGTTGTATTCATCTCAACGATTCAGTTTATCACACAAATTGTATTCTCATTTACTTCTTCGGATACTGTGAGAATCGGCGGATTTTTATCATCCTCTTCGAATGCTATCATGAAAATTCTAACCTATGTGAGTTTAGGAAAAGCTGTGTAATTCCGAAACTTTTCTATTCCAGTCAGTCCTTTGGTTCTGCTTCGCCCACCCACTTTTCATAATCTTCATGTTGAAAAGAATCCGATCAACAAGATGCAAAAAAATCGAATCACTACGAAAACAGACAGAAACTCAAGAAGAATATATGATGAAACTACGAATTATGTGGTCTTGATAATCAAGATGATAAAGCTCAAATACTAATTTCAAGTCATTTTTAGTCTGGACTTTTCTATGTATTTTATTCTTTGTAGGAAAACAAAACTTTTTTCACCTGTTATTTTTGAAAACTTTAGTCTAGAAATGAAAAAAAAACCCTTCAAAAATAAACTAACTTCAAAAATTGTTGAATTTGAACTTCCCATCTGAACCAGCAAAAATCCACATCCATAAATTGTCATTACTATTGAAACCACATTGATCTGAAAAAATATTCATATGAATAAATGCCACGTGGCAAAATTTTTGCATTGGAGCGCGTTTGGTTTATTTTTTAGACCCAGGAATTTACCCAAAGCTAAGGGAATTGTGACTGGATCCTAAAAATTGAATCAGCTTTTTCGAATTAGCATTTCCCTCTCAAAATTTGTCCAGAACCCCATCCTTAAAGTCCTAATAGCCCAATCCTGCTCAAAATATTCATCCCAAGGTCCATACTTTCACGTTTTTTTCCCCAAATTATATTTTTCTCTGATTTGATCGTTTCGGCGAGATAATCTGATTTATCAACTCAAGTCTACACTTTAATTTTTGCAATTATTATGTCCATATATTTTTTGTTAGACTTTCTGAGTAACTTCAGAAAAACAATCATCATTTTCAAAGCAATCCGGACATCAAATTTCAGTTTTTTAAAAAACAATATGACTGATCTTTGAGTCGTAAATCTAGCATGATCAAACATCATAGTAAAATTCCTACCTACCCAAAAATAATAACATGTGTACTCCGAAAAAAGTATTTTCATTTATCTTCATTTTCTATTTCCAGAAGCTAATCATAATTTCCCATAGGCTTCAGGGATCAAAGCTTAGCTCATGATAAAAATCACAATATTTTTATCACGTGGGTTGAAGAATCATAATCATCAGAAATTATAATCCACATTTACTCATTGCACATTTTTCAACTATGAATTCCTGTGTAACTTTGGAGCAAAAAGAAGTGCTCCAGTCAATTTCATATGAACTTGTTGTTGGTTTCAACTTCTCTCTAACCGCAATTTCATTTCTCTTCACAACAATCGCAATAATCAAACTATTATCTCAATCAATCATCCAATCTTCCACCAAAATCTTCTTGCTTTCAAGTTTATTCTATGTCTTCGTTCAAAACATTGCCTACGGAAAATTAAAAATCAACATGATTTGGGATCTATTATTCAAAATGAATGACTCATGTTATCCTTATTATAAAATCACGGATTGTTTGTTTATTTTAAAAGGTTTGATGATGGCCTCATGTGGACTTATGGTAAATCAATCATTTATGAGTTTGGATCGAATATTTCACCTAATTTCTCCTGGGTTTTACAAAGATTTGAGAACTATTCCAGCGTGGATAGCTGTAATAGTAACATTTTTTGTGAGTTTTTTCACATTCGAAATTCTCACAATTGGTGATCCTTTGGAAGGACAAGTTCTAACATGCGCTTATTTCCCGCGAAAATCTGCGAAACATTACGAACTATTTCTATCAACAATTTTCTATTTATCAATTGCCCATTTTATTATTGATACTATAATTTTCAAGTTGGTTCTGATGAGAAAACAAAAAGTGAAGTGAGTTGAAACTACAATTTCAAAAATTCCCAATTAATTTCCTCCTCACAATTAGCAGTTCCTTCAACATGCTCGAAAAATATCACGCGAAGGAGTCCTTAAAATCAATTCAATACGTCGTCTTGATCTCATCGGTCCAATTTCTTGCTCAAGTTTTATCATCGTGGTGTGTCAGTGTATTCTTGAATGTTGGTACATTTTTGTCATCTTCGTACTATGCAATAACTTCTTCTCTCACCTACGTACGTTTATTTTTTAATTTAATTTTGTGCAATTATATTGCTTTCAGTCACTACCATATTTCTGTGTGATTCATCCAATTTTAATAATTTGGATGTTGAGAAGAACTCGAATCGAGAGACAACAAAGCATTCAAAAAATGCGATCACAAAGGGAAACACAAGATGAACACATGTCAAGAATGACCGATGCTTGGGCTTGAAATATTTCAGCATGATTTTTCGAATAAATATTTTTTTCTAAATTTTGCAGATTTGTATTTGTACTTTCCCAATTTCAAATTGTCTCTAGTGAAGTTTTCACTGTTTCAAATTTTCTTTGAATAAATTTAATAAATCAGTTTGTTAATTTTCCTGATTTTGAACTGAAACTGCAAAAAAAAAACTTTTTCAATTCTTATTCATTTTTCTTGCTTCAATTTGATTCCGAAATCAATTATTGAATGCAAAAATTTACTGTTTCTAAACTCATTTACATACAATTTGGTTAAGAACCTTTCAATTTCCTTTTGGGTATTGTAAATCCGAAAATATAAGAGCATTCGAAGAGAAAACCAAAACACAGTAATAAATTTTTTTCTTAATTTCAGCCCCACTGCTGAAAACTTCTAGAGTGAAGATTACACTATGTATCTCTAAATTATATCATTTGCCCTTTCCTTTTAGTAGTTGTTAGAATTCTAAACATTTCGAACACCTCTGCCGCTTGAAAGAATATTTTGAAAATAATTCAATTATAATTGCAAGACCAAACTTCAAACATAAACCCCACAATATTATATTTGTGACGAGTTTCGTCTATAAAAAAACAAAAACAACCAGATGTGAGCTACCAAAAAGCCCTTGTTATCAAACTAATTACATGTTCAGACACAAAACTTCTTACATCTATAATTTTTGAAGAAAATGTCCTAAAGTTCCGTTCGAGTTTACTTCAATTTTTTTTGTTCTCAAACCCACTCTCAATCTAAAAAAATATATTTTCAGAATTCAATGCCCTGAGGATAATCATCAATTCAGCTAACTAAAAATAATTTCCAGTCATTATTTCTTTAAAAATGAATCTAACATGTGTGAGTTCTCAACAAGTTGAAATCTTCAATTCAACACCCTACGAACTCGCAGTCATTTTCAACCTAACAATAACTTTTCTATCAATAATTTGCACAGTCTTCGCTATTTACAAACTCTTATCTCAATCAATAATCCACTCTTCCACAAAAATATTCCTCCTTTCGAGTTTATATTGTGTTCTTTCCCAAGATTTCGCATACTTCAAATTGAAATTCAACATGTTGCGAGATATATTTCTATACTTTGGTAAACCATGTTTCCCTTATTATGAAATCTCGGATTGTGAACTTATTCAACGTGGAATGTTGATTGCTACAAGTGGACTTCTTCTAATTCAATCATTCATGAGTTTGGATCGAATTCTTCACCTAATCCTTCCAAGTTTCTACGCAAGTCTCGAAGCTTTTCCCTCTTTATTTTTTGCAAGTATCGCAATTCTCGTCAGCTTTTTTGTCTATGAATTTCTCACAATTGGAGATCCTTTAGAAGGTGAAATATTGAATTGTGTATATTTTTCACCAAAATCTACTGGCAATTATCAAATTTACAATTCTATTGTATTCTATTTTTCAATCGGACATATGATTCTAGATTTACTGATCTATAGATTAGTGTTGAACAGGAATAATCAAATGATGTAAGTTCAACTACAAATATCTGAAAATCATCTTTGATTTCAGTAAAACATTCAATTTGGCTGAAAAATATCAAGCTCAAGAATCCCTAAAATCCACACAATATATCGTAACTCTCTCCACAATCCAGCTCACAGCTCAAGTCACAAGTTCATTATCATCTCAATTTCTCGCAGCTGTTGGAACTTATCTCAACTCCTATTTAAATGCAATGGCAGCAGCGTTATTATATGTGAGTCATAGAGTTTTGAGTTCAAAAAAAAATATATATTTTCAGTCAATGCCATATTTCTGTTTGGCTCATCCACTATTAATAATGTGGATTTTGAGAAGAACTCGGATTGAGCGACAAAAAAGTATTCAAGAATTGAGATCACATCGAGATACACAAGAAGATCATATGAAGCGAATCAAAACTGCTTGGGCCTAATTTTTTTCTAGATAAATTATGGATTTTTGCACAAATTTTCAATAAATTCTAATTTTTCAATGATCTCATGTAGTAATTACTCTGTTCGAAGAAAAAACTTGCTTGAAGAAAATTACCAGTTTATCAATAATTTGACATTTCAATTAATTTTGTTAAATCGCATAAAGCAAGTTCAGATTTCAAAACGTGTCTAGTCTTCTCCGGTTTCCGACCAAAGAAACAAAACTAGCCATGATAAATAATTATATGTTTAAGTGCTGGAAGTAGGAGTTAGTCAAACTCAAAAAAAATCTGCCTCGTGTCAGTTTTATTCAACAAAGATCATGAATATAACATGTGTTAGCTCTCAACAAAAAGAAATCTTCAATTCCATTCCTTATAAACTTGCACTATCTTTCAATCTACTAATAACCCTTCTATCTTTTATTTGTACTCTCCTTGCAATCTTCAAACTCCTAACTCAATCAATAATCCATTCCTCCACCAAAATATTCCTACTCTCTAGTTTATATTTTGTTCTCTCGCAAGATTTTGCATATTTCAAGTTTAAATTTGATATGCTTCGAGATATTATTTTGAAATTCGATGATCCTTGTATTCCCTATTATAAAATAACTGATTGTGATTTTATAACACGTGGAATGTTAATTGCATCAAGTGGACTTATGTTAACTCAAATATCAATGAGTTTGGATCGAATATTTCACCTATTTTTCTCTAAATTCTACACAAAATGCAAAATGTGGCCACCTATGATTTTTGCAAGTTTTTCTATTATTTCTAGCTTTTTCGTTTATGATCTTTTGACAATTGGAGATCCATTAGAAGGTCAAGTACTAAGTTGTGTATATTTTTCACCAAAATCTGCTGGGAATTATATAACCTACAATGGATTCTTATTCTATTTTTCAATTGGGCATATGATTGTGGACTTGCTCATTTTAAGAATAGCTATGAAGCGAAAAAGAAAGACTTTGTGAGTTCAGAATATTTTTCCCTACAATCAGGCCAATTCAGAAATACTTTCAACATGGTTGAAAAATATCGATCAAAAGAATCTCTGAGATCAATTCAACACATCGTTGCTCTCTCAATAATTCAATTCACAGCCCAAGTTACAAGCTCATTATCCACTAAATTTCTTGTAAATGTTGCGAGTTATCTCAACTCTTATTTGAATGCAATCGCCGCATCTTTATTTTATGTAAGTAGATTATTTTGATTTTTATTTGAAAAAAAAAACTAATTTCAGACAATGCCATATTTCTGTTTGGCTCATCCAATTCTAATAATTTGGATGTTGAGAAGAACAAGGATTCAGCGACAAAAAAGCATCGAAAAAATGCGAACACATAAAGAAACCCAAGAAGATCATATGAGAAGAATTAGAAATGCTTGGGCTTGAGATTTTTTGCAAAATTTCTTTTTTCGGCGGAGGATATCGAAAGTTCACTTCTTAATTTAATCTAAGAATCACCTGTTCATTTCTTCAAACTTGAATTGAAAAATTCTAAAAATATGTTTTTCAGATTGTTGATTTTCATAAACATTCTTCTCTATAATTATTTTCTATGTTACTAAAATTAGGAGACATTTTCTTAATTGATTTTGGGCAAAAACCAAATCAGCCCTTTTCCATTTCCAATTCCAAAATCATCTAAATTTCTCCAATTTCCTAGCTAGTCATTCAAAATGAACTCTTCTTGTGTGAGTTCTCAACAAATTGAAATATTCAACTCTATTCCCTATGAAATCGCAGTCATTTTCAATATATCTATAACTTTTTTCTCGTATTTCTTCACAGTTCTAGCCATAATCAAACTCCTATCGCAATCAATAATTCAATATTCAACTAAAATATTCCTACTTTCAAGTTTTTATTTTATTCTACTCCAAGATTCTGCGTATTTCAAATTGAAATTCAATATGATTTATGACATTATTTCTGAAATTGATAAACCATGTTTCACCTATTATAAAATATCTTCCTGTGAATTTATAACACGTGGAATGTTATCTGCATCAAGTGGACTTATGTTAATTCAATTATCAATGAGTTTAGATCGAATATTTCAATTGATTTCTCCAAAATTCTATCCTAATCTAGAATCGTCGTCATCTTTATTTTTCGCATCATTTTCTATTTTTACAAGCTTCTTTATGTATGATTTTCTAACAATTGGAGATCCTCTGGAGGGTGAAATTCTAAATTGCGCATATTTTTCTCCAAAATCTTCCAACAACTTTCAAACGTATAATAAAGTTCTACTATATCTCTCAATTCTCCACTTAATTATTGATTTATTAATTTTAAAAATAGTTATCAGAAAGAAAACAAAAACAATGTCAACTTTCAATATGATTCAAAAATACCGCGCCAAAGAATCTCTAAAATCCACCCAATATATAGTTGCATTATCAAGTGTTCAATTAATTGCTCAAGTTTTGAGCTCATTATCAACTAATATTTTATTAACTGTTGGAACTTATCTCAACTCATATTTCAATGCAATGGCAGCTTCTTTACTTTATGTGAGTTAGAGTTATTATTATGAGAGAGAAATTATGAAGATTATTTCAGTCAATGCCATATTTTTGTTTGGCTCATCCAATTTTCATAATCTGGATGTTGCGAAGAACGAGAATTGAAAGACAAAAGAGTATTGAGAAAATGCGTTCACAAAAAGAAACACAGGAAGATCATATAATGAGGATGAATAGTGTTTGGGCTTAAGTAATTCAAGTTTTTTCGATTTTATGAAGTTTTCTATTTGTTATTCATATTTTGGAAGCACAATATTTCACATTTTTACCCACATTTGCAAAAAACCCCCAAAAAACTCACGCAAAATTGATCCTGTTGAAATTGTGATTGATATCAGCCATGTTTCCCTTCGACCTGCAAAAAAACACAATTCTAACATTAGCAGGGAAGTTTTGTCCAAGAGAAATACACGAAACCTACTTTGAAAATGAAAAGAACAAGTTATTTTTGAATGTTAGGAAAAACTGAAATGAGCAATTTCTCCACGTATCTATTTCAAAATTCAAAATAAGGTCACGTGAAAAATACTTTCGGGTTTTTCTCAAAAATAAACAAATTTACGATTCAAAATCATCATTTACTGTCAGAAACAAGAAAAAACACGAAAAAACGCGCGCGAAACAAAAAAACAAAAAGAAAACAACGACATTCCGCTTCCCCGATGTTTAGCGCAAAGGTGGCAATTTGATTTTTAGTTTTTTTTTACAGAAAAAAGTTTTTTCTTGAATTTCTTTTGTTTTCGCAATTCCCGTTGCACTTCCCAATCACCAAAAAACTATTGTCTAGGCAAAAAATAACATTTTCCAACCAATAATTATTTATCATGCTCAATATATATATTTCCCAAACGTGCATTCTGATAACTAACTCATAATTATAATTGAATATATCTAACTCATGATTTTTCCCTAAAGAGATTTTGCTTTTGTCATTATTATTTTATTTTATACACAACTCGCGGTCTGCAATTATGAATACTACAACTTGTGTAAGCCCCCAGCAAATTGAAATTTTCACCTCTTCTCCCTACAAAATTGCAATATTTTTTAATATTCTTCTAACTTCCCTAGCAATTTTATTAACAATTATTGCATTTTTCAAACTCTTATTTCGATCAATAATTCATTCTGCAACCCGGATATTTTTGTTCACAAGTCTCTATTTTTCAATGATCCAAGATGTCTCATATTTGAAATTGAAAATCAATATGTTTTGGGATATTCTTCGATATTTCGAAATATCTTGTACTCCTTATTATAAAGTGAGCTATTGTACTTCGATTTTACGTGGAATGCTGATTGCATCAAGTGGACTTATGATAATTCAATCATCAATGAGTTTCGATAGAATATTCGATTTATTTTTTCAAAGATATTATGGAAGATTTAGAGCTCTGATGGCAATTATTTTCTCTGGTTTTGCAGTTATTATAAGTTATTTTGTCTTTGAGTTTTTGACAATTGGAGATCCTTTGGAGGGAGAAGTTTTGAATTGCGCATATTTTTCGCCGAAATCTGCGGGGAATTTTCAATTTTATATCAATCTTCAGTTGTATATTTCGATTTTTCATATTGTTTTGGATTTATTCATTTTGGAGGTTGTGATTCGGAGGAAAACTAAGAGTTTGTGAGTTTTAAAAATTTTCAACTCACAAAAATCTCACTGTTTCATAAGAAATTCAGTAAAGAGGGAACATTTTTCAAAATTACTACATTTCGCAAAAATTTGTGACTCGAAAATTTACGTTTCAAAAATTTGAGAAATAAAAATTTGGAAAAAATGATTTGATCGAGCAGTGCGTTTTTTTTCCTTCAAAAGTATTTTTAGTGCTTCAAGTAAACTTAGAGAATTTTGTTTGAAAACTTAAATTTTCAAAAAATTTAGGTTGGCTTTCGTGAAAGTTTGAAATCAACTTGAAAAATGAAAGAACTGTTCACAATCTCAGTCTCAATTAAAAAAAATCAATACCATTCTTTTCCCAGATTCTCATTCAACGTGATGAAAAGATTCCACGCCAAAGAATCTCTAAAATCCACCCAATATATGGTAGCCTTATCCACAATTCAATTCACAGCCCAAGTTTTGAGCTCAATCTCAACTATTTTTCTGCTAACAGTTTCAGCTTATCTCAATTCTTTGTCAAATGCAATTGCAGTTTCTCTTCTCTATGTGAGTCTAGGGAAGGGTTGGAAAATTGTAAGAAGATTATTCCAAAAATTTTACTGTTTCAACAATTTTGTGAATACAACAATTCAAAAAAACCAATTTTCGAAATTTCCCACAATTTTCCACTGTTTCAGTCAATGCCATATTTCTGTGTGGCGCATCCAATTTTCATAATCTGGATGCTCCGCAAAACTCGAATCGAAAGATGGAAAAGTATTCGAATTCTTCAACGACAAAAAGAGACACAAGATGATCATATGAAACGAATACGAAAAGCGTGGGCCTAACTTTTTATCATAATCAAAACACAACATTTGAATGTGGTATAGTTGAAACTACATTCGAATTTGAGCAAAAAATAATGACTTGTCGATATGGTTTATGTATAAATAATAGCAAAATTGATGAGCTGAATCCATAATTTGCGGTGATAAAAATAAATAAATTATTTAGAATTTGATTGTGATAATTCATCAGAAATCCATAAGCGATGTGACAAATTGGGAAAAGTATTAGAAATATTGGCACGGTTATCTGAATTTCTGCAATTTTTAAAGGACCTTAGCTCTAACCTCAAAATTACCTGAATCGAAACAGCGACGAAAAATTTCCGTTGAAGTAATCGAGTATTTTTTGATATTCGATAGTTTTCTTTACGAAGATATTGAGAAATTCGAAAAGCGAAATATAAAATCTCGAATTCGATGATTAGACTTGTTATGATTATTAGAGAATGTGCAGGGACGAGTTGAATTGCGAAAACATAAAGAGGTTCGTAGTAGGAGAATTCATGGGTTGGAAGGGACTGAAATTATGAACATTGTGAAACTGGGAATTATTTTGAGAAAACGTTTGATTACCAATATTTTCAAATTGAAAATTGTAGGTATGAAAAACTTTTGAAACAGTGAAATTTTCGGGAATAGTTATTTACAAATTAATTTTCTGTCTCTAATTTTCGAAGATTTTTCACTCAAGGATTGTGAGCAAATGGATTGTTGAAAAATATATTTCTAGAATATTTTTGTTATTTTTGAAACAGTAGATTATTTTTTGAAAAAAATTCGGAATTTTCATACGCCTAATTGAACAATCAACATATTTTTTTTTTAAATTAAAAATTGTTTTAAAAAAGTTTGAAACAGTTGTTTTTGTAGAAAATTTTTTGTTATTTTCGAAACAGTAATTCTTTCGGGAAAATTCTGTTGATACTAATTTTCAAAAAAAAATTTTACGTGTGAAAAACTTTTGAAACAGTGATATTTTTTGAAAAATTTTTACTCCAGAAAGTAAAATATGTATTGAAAAACATTTTTTGGTAGAATATTTTAGTGATTTTTGAAACAGTGATTTTTTCCGGGAACGTTTTCCAAATGTTATTGAATTAAAAATTTTGCTTAATTTTTACATAAACTTTTGAAACAGTGAATTTTCCAACAACAAAAATATTTTCCAAACCCACCTTTAAAACAATTTCAACCGCATTTTCCTGTTCCGGCAAAACAATCAAAGATGGAATGAAAAAAGTGATGGCCATTGAAAAATTGATAAAATACAAAATGAATCGTGTTGATTTTTTCAAACTTTCTGAATCCAATAATATTCGATCATATCGATTTTCGAAAACTCCCAGAATCGAAATTCCAACGACTGAAAGTATGTAGTTTGATTTTTCGAATTCCTGTAGACTGTGCAATTATGGACTATGTTTAAAATTGGGCTTCCTTGGCATTTTTCTATTGAGTTTTTAAAAGCCTATAATTAATTTCAGGATATTTTTTCCTCAAACTTCTTTGTCCCCGAAAATAAATAACATTCTTTGATCTCAACTTGAAACTTAATTCACTTTCCCAAAAGTTTTTATTTGCATTTTAGTTTAATAAAACCTATAATTAAATTCAGGTTATTTTTGCCGTTATTTCCGAATTTCTCAGAATTAATGCAAAGTTTATCTTAATTTTTGATGTGTGGGGGAAAATTCTGTGCCATGAGGTGGAAAGTGCAAATTGTTATTGTTCTCGATGTGGTGACTAAAAATTAGCTAATTTTTCATTCTGACGTGGGTTAACAGTATTTTGTGGTTTTAAAACTACACTCTCTTTTGACACTAAAAAGGTAGATTAGTTTATCAGAGATTATCTCCTTAATTTTATTTCAGAAATTTTTGAAACGTAAATTTTCGTGTGACAAATTTTTATTCATCAGGAATCGTGAAGAGAATTTCAAAAAATCTATATTTTTGTATCAAACTATTTATGAAACAGTGATATTTTTATCAAAGAAATTTTGGCTTTTGAATTAATTTTTGAGAATTCTGGTATTGAATGCATACACGCAACTTCGAAAAATGCTTTCTTTTTTTCTCAAACTTGACATGAAACAGTGAATTTTTTAGTTGAAGAAAAATTAAAAATTATGACTCAAAAATTAGTTTTGAGATATTCAGCAGTTTCTTCCCGAAAAATTCAGAGATTTGAGTCAACAATCAAAATTTGTGTTTCAAAAACTATATGGTTTTATATCTTTGCTCTAGAAAATTTTGTTGAGTTTGGAAAAATGTTTCGTTTTTAATCGAGCTTTTCATAAAACAGTAAAATTTTTCGCAAAAAAAGTTTTTTTTAATTCAAAATTCTGTCTTTTGAAATAATTTTCGAGAATTTTGGTATTGAATGCATACACGCAACTTCGAAAAATATTTTCTTCTTTCTCAAACTTCCCATGAAACAGTAAATTTTTCTCAAACTCAAAAAAACTCACAAGCCGCAATAGTCAACACAAAATACATCTGAATCGGAACTCCAAACCCCAAAAACCTTCCAAAAACTCCAATCGGAAATCCCGCAAATTTGGGCAAAACCATAAAAGGTGCAGTCAAAACCGTCAAATTGAAATCAAAAATCGAGCTCGAAAAATGCAACCAGAATAAATTCCACTTAACACTCGTCATTTTCTTCGGGGTCTTGACAAGAATACAGTAACCCGCGAAAACTGTGACGGGTAGTTGAAAAATTGCCAAAACCAAAAGACTGTTTTGGAAAAATTCTCGCGTCTCAAAATAACTCATTTCATTTCCAAAAATGTGCAAAAAACATGTTGTTTTTCGAAAAAAAAAGAAATAATGATGTAAAAAATGATAATAATAATAGGAATTCTGAGAAAACTTAAAGCAATAAATAAGTGTCTATGAAAAAGATTATTATAATTGTTGATATTAATATTTTGAACTGAACTTAGCTGAACTGAAAGTGGGCGGAGCTTTCTACTTTTTCCCGCTGAAACCAAATTTTGAAAGCCATTTTGTCTTCTTTTTACCACTTTGTGATCCGATTGTTCCAGATTTTATGGAAGATGTGCTGAAAATTTGAAATCTCGTTTTTTTTGCTACGTAAAAAAATAATTTTCAGCCAAAAAATCTCAAAATAATGCTCATGAAAAAACTTTTCAGAAAAAAAACTCTCAACTCACTCCGCTCCACTTTCCATCGATTCCTGACTTCCTCGATTTTGTGAATTTCCGAGAAGCGTAGTTCGAGACTCGGAATTTGTCGGTGAGTCGAGTGATTTGTCTGTAGTTCCACGAAGTCGGGGAGCCATTTCTCGTGGGATACTATTTTCGCCGTTTGTGATTTTGCGATGGGCAAAGACTGGAGCGAGACGGCTGGCCTGAAAATATTTAAAGTATTTATTTGATTCGGGCATTTTCAAAAACTTTCTTGTAAGAAAAAAGTTTGTGTTTTGTAAATCCCAATAAGTATCTTCGGATCAAAAACTCTAATTTATTCTAAAAAATTGATTGAACTTCTGAAACAGTCAATTTTTTTCATTTTTTTTTTTTGATAAAAATACTATTGAAAAGCTTTAAATTTTCTCAAAAAATAGGATTTTTGTGTATAAAATCCAACAAAAATACAAGCTTCACATTATTATTTCCAAAATTGGAAAGAACAAATTCAAGAAAAAAAGGTAAAAATTGATAAATATTTTGAAACAGTGAAATTTTGAGCCAAATTTGAAAAATCTATCATTTTCCACAAATTTAAATATCGTTGGTTAAAAAATTAAAACAAATTATGAAGCTTTAGATTTGGCAATTTTTGAAAAAATAAGAAAAAAAACAATTGAAAAATAATTTATTCTAAAAAATTAATTGAATTTCTGAAACAGTCAATTTTTTTCATTTTTATTTGATAAAACTATTATTGAAAAAAAAACTTTGAATTTTTTCAAAAACAGGATTTTGTGCTGACATTTCCGAAATTAGAGAATAAACTCAAGAACGAAAAAAACAACCTAAATAAAAATTGATAAATATTTTGAAACAGTGAAATTTTGAGCCAAATTTGAAAAATAATTTTGCTTTTTCCACAAATTTAAATATCTTTGGTTAAAAAAAAGAAATAAAAATCATTAAGAATTGAATTTGGTAAATTTTGAAAAAAAAAGAATTGAAAAATAATTTATTCTAAAAAAATTGATTGAACTTCTGAAACAGTTAATTTTTTTTTATTTTTATTTGAATTTTCTCAAAAAAATAGGATTTTGTGCTGAAAATCCGACAAAAATTCAAGTTTCACATTATTATTTCCAAAAGGCAAAGAACAAATTCAAGAAAAAAAAAATAAAAATTGATAAATGTTTTGAAACAGTGAAATTTTGAGCCACTGTGAAGCTTTAGATGAAAAATCCCAAACCTGCAAAAAATGCGAAGACGATCGAATCAATTGCGATCCTTCTCTCGAACACATTTGCACATCAACCAACAACGACGAGAGCTCACAATCCTCACTATATTGATTTTTCAGCGGCACACTTCGAAATCCACATCGAATTGAATCAATCGGAAAAACAGCCTGTCCAATGAAAGGATCAGTCTTGGGCCCAACAAAATCTCCATCTTCCACATGAAATCGAATCAGGGCAACTTCCGGACATTGAATTTCAAAGGTAAAAGTCTGATTCCAAATGGGATTGAGACCATTTGAGGCAATTGTTTTCGTTTGATAAACTCTCGCATCACACGGCATTCCAACAACTTCAATCTCAACAAATGGCGAGCAAATTCCCTTATTTTTATCCCTTCTTGATAAATGTCGACCAGCTATAATTTGCACATTCAATCGAATCGGATAGGAATTTGTAATCCTATCTGTATTTTGTGGATCAAAATCATCAGTTAGCATATAATCCGGCTTCAAAACATATCCACATTTTCCATTGGCCAAGAATTTTCCCTGATTTAATTGCATCGGTTTATCACCAGTTTGATAATTCAATGCGACCATATGACAACCAGCATTCCACATTGGAACAGGGCTATAATTATTCGATGTGATTCGCGAACCATTCGGATAAACTCTTGATAATTTCCTCGAATTGAATGGTAACAGGCCTTTTTCAACAAGTTTATCCAATTTTCCTTCAACAAATGAGCACATTTCATAAAATGCGTCATTGTAAATATGTGCTGGATCGAATGGAACTGCTTGACAATAAACAACGAGATTCGACAGTTCCGCTGCAATTCGTTTCTCTTTTTCTTTGATTCGAAGAATTGACATTTTTGTATTCACACTTCTTGTTAATTCAAACAAATTGTTTCGCCATTCAGCAGCTTCTTCCGGGGCTGAAAAATTTAGATTTTTCTATTTTCTATAGAAGCGAGAGGAAAAACTCACAATTAGCTGATAAATAATAACTATGTTTATTCATCCAATGTTGATTACTTTGTGAAATTTTAATAACATAAGGTCTATCAGAATCATTGACTTGTTCGATAAGAGTTCCAGCAAGTTCGATCGTGTTGTAGTTACTAGCTTCTGAAAAATATGGATTTTGTTGAATTTCTTTGGGGATACAATTTTAGTGTTTAACTTTATAGGGTAAAATCTTCAAAATTTCAATTTATCGGAAACTCCATAAATAAATAAAACTGTACAAACCCAATGTTACAGTAATTTTAAAACCCAATGTCAAAAATATAATAATATACCTGAAACAGTGAATTTTTTGAAAAACTTCAAAATTTATGTGAGCTTTATTTTTCACGTAGTTCTGTGGGAATTTAAATATTATCAAAAAAAAAATAATTTTTTGAAACATTAATTTTAATTTTTATTTTTTTGAATACAAATCGTCAAATTAAATGGTGCAAAACACAAACATTAATAATAACACGTTTTTGAAACATAATAATACGTTTTAAACAGTGAAATTTTCTGAGAATTTCAGAATTGATGTAAGCTTTATTTTTCATGTAATTCTGTGGGAATTCAAATATTATCAAAAAAAAATAAATTTGAAACAGTAATTTTTCTTTTAATTATTTCTTTGAACACAACTCGTCAGATTAGAATGTGCAAAACTCATTGAAACATAATAATACGTTTGAAACAGTGAAATTTTCTGAGAATTTTAGAATTAATGTAAGCTTTATTTTTGAATCTAGCTCATGCAACTTTTTCGGGGACTTCATAAATCCATTTTTTTTCGATCCATTCAAAATTTTTTTATTCATTTTATAATTTTCTTTCACAAGATCAAGAAAAATGAACAACGAAAACAATATGTAACCAAATCTGTTATACAATTTTTGAAACAGTAGATTTTTATAAAGAATCTTGGAGGAGTGGAACTGAAATTTTTGGAAAAAATATTATTACATTATATATTTTTGAAACAGTGGGGTTTTCTGATTTTTTTTTTGTTTCCTAGTGAATGAATATACTACATAGTAAATATTATCTAAACTCAGTAAGACATAATAACAAGCTTGAAACAGTGAATTTTTTGAAAAAAAAAACTTCAAAATTTATGTGAGCTTTATTTTTCACGTAGTTCTGTGAGAATTCAAATATTATCCGATGAAAAGATTTCTACAGCAAAATTAAAATTCAAGGAAACAATAATTGATTTTTTGAAACAGTAATTTTTCTTTTAATTATTTCTTTGAACACAAATCGTCTGATTAGATTGTTCGAAACTCATTGAAACATAATAAGAACACGTTTGAAACAGTGAAATTTTCTGAGAATTTTAAAATTTATGTAAACTTGATTTTTGAATCTAGATAATGCAATTTTTTCGGGGACTTCATAAATCCATTTTTTTTCGATCCATTCAAAATTTTGTTATTCATTTTATAATTTTTTTTCACAAGAGCAAGAAAAGTGAACAACGAAAACTATTTTTAACTCAAAACTATTGTACAGTTTTTGAAACAGTAGATTTTTATGAAGAACCTTGGAGGATTGGAATTGAAATTTTTGGAAAAAATATTATTATATTATATATTTTTGAAACAGTGGGGTTTTCTATGTAGTAAATAATATCTAAACTCAGTAAGACATAATAACACGCTTGAAACAGTGAATTTTTTTGAGAATTTTTAAATTTATGCGATTTTTGTTTGAGAATCGTAGACCAGCAAGTATTCAGTTTCACAAATTATTTTTGAAACAGTATATTTTCTCCCTGTCCCAAACAAAATAAAAAACTCACCAGAATTATTAATCTTCTCCGGTAAAATCTCCTGAACATGCGCCGATGGAAACCATCCAGTATCCGATCCATATCTCCCCCTCCATAACCCTTCTTCTTTCCTCAAAACTGTAATAATGGCATTTGCCGGAAATGATAATTCATCATCAGCAGTTCCTCGATACGGTCTCAATGCTCTCGCCTGAACTTCTTTATCCAAATCTTTTAATTCCATATAACATCCGGGTGTTCGAGCTTCGGCTAATTCGGCTGTCAAATGATTGATATTTCGTTCGTTGACTGGAAACCGAAGACTAATTCCTCGCACAAATTCACGTTTATCGTAATATTCGACGATTTGATTGAGATTTTCGAAAACTTTTTGATTTACAACAAAAATTCGGCCATCTCGTTTGAGGCGGTAATGCCAAAATTCACCATCGACTCTGGAAAAATGGGATTTTTCGGAGAATTCTCCCCAAAAATAATAAACGAAAAACTCACTTCAACGACAAAACAAAAACATTTTTATCGGTCGACGAAGTTCGTATCAAAAATGCACCATCTTCCGGCACCAAACTCAACAATTCTTCAGCTTTCTCTTTATCCGCAGTCGCCGAAAACCATGGTTCATTCAAATGTGGTTGAGGTTGAGGGCATGGAATTGTGAGAACCATTTTGAAAGACGGTGTAGTTAGATAATGTCGAGTATAATATGAGACAAGTTCGTAGAGTGTGTCGCACACTTTATTATCCATAAAGTAGTACTTTTTCTCTTCTGGAAAAATGTTTTTTTTTTTTGAAAAAAAATTACTGTTTCAAAATAAAAATATTTAAAATTTTATTGAATTTTTTCGTTTTTTCTTTTGTGTCAAAAGTAATTTTTAGGAAAATTATAATATTTCAAAAAATTAATTGAAAACTGGTTTTGATAAAATTTTTACTGTTTCAAAATTTCTTCGAAAATATTCAGAATATTTCGAAAAGTTTCGATTTGAAAACTAAGTATCTGAAAATTCATAGAAATTTTACTGTTTCAAAATTTGTTCGAAAGTCTGATTATGAATAAAACTCCGTTCCCGCGTCTTCTATTCATTTTGAAAAATTAATGTCTCTCATAAATTTCATATATTTTCCAATCTTTTTCCAATAAAAAACTTACTATCAATAATCTTTGATCGAATCCGAACATGATGAACCTTATCATCGTGCAAAATCGACAGCGAAAAATCTCCAATAAACAAATTCGAATCGCGAATCATGAATAAACCATTCCCCTTGTCCTTATGTTCCAGAATTCGTTTTTTCGCCTCCTGAAAATTGATTTTTTTGTAATTTTGTATAAAAATAGTCTTATTTGCTCACATCTCTTTCACATCTTCCATGAAACCATTCTTCAGTAACATGCATTTCTTCCGGCCTCACTCCAAAACCCGATGGATCATCTTCCGATTCCTGATCTCCACTTATACTTATCGAATCTTCTTTCAATTCATCTTCTGCCGGATCGAGAAGATAGCAAAGTCGATCGGGAAATAGGATGAAAACATGTGATGACCATTCCTGAAAAATTTAGTTTGTTTTCTTTTTTTCCAAATTTTCTCCAAAACTTACGTGACTCGTATTGTTCTTGAATCCCAAAATATCCTTTTTGACGCATTCTCTGGCAATTATATCCGTGTCTTGGACTGCAAATTTCGAAAATTTGATAGGATTTTCATAGGGAAAATGGAAAAATTCGATTCAGGCTGCACAAAAAAATAAAAATAATTGTCGTCAACGTGTGTGGTGTTTGCAGACTTGCTGCACACAAACGATCCTACCGTAGTATTTTGATGTTTTTTAATGGAAAAACGAAAAACTCACACTCATCATTTTTAACAATAGTGGCCAAATCTTCACTCTCAACCGGTAATTTCTTATGTTTCACAATAATCTTCTTCTTCAACGCGGCCGGCGATGGCAACTGAGTTTCTTCTCGATTCGCCGGTTGTGTCAACAAATAATCGCCCAAAACCTCTTTCAATTCCTGTGCCAATAGCCGTTGTGCTGGAACACTACAATTATCCTCAATCGATAAAATGACCGGATATTCGCTGGTGACAAATGCATAATGTTTGATGACTTGTAGAACATCTCGAAGTAATATTTTCGATGTCATTGTATACCCGTGATAAATGACAATATCATGAAATTCATTCGAACCCGTTTTCTTTTGTCCATCCCAACAATCCAATTCAATACATCTACAACCCAATAATAATGCTTGTGCATAACAATCTAATGATGATTCGGATCTCAATTGATCACCAGTCAAATATGTATTATGACTACTTGCAATCCAATAATGTGATAAAGGTCTGCTCATATCATGTGTCACTTTTTCATTCGTGGGATCCCATAGAGAATTTTCACGAGAAAATAAAAAATCGCAAAACTCCAAAACTGTCATACTCGGATCATTTCGTTCTTGTTGCGAATATCGATTGATGAAATCTAGAGCTCGCGTTCGATTTGAGGCGAGTTCATCGAATTGTTTGTTGTCGAGGAAACGCAAAAAGTTTTGGAATGTGATGATTTGACCACGATGACTGTCATTTTCAGCAAGATCCGAGAAACGGGAATTGAAGAGCTGGAAAAAATCAGGGAATTATTCCGGAGAGAGAAAATCGGATGATGAGTTCTGTGAAAAATCAAGGAAAAATATCAAATGTTTTTGAAACAGTGAACAATTTTAATATAACAAATTCTACTGTTTCAAGAAAATGTTTTGAATTTTGTTTGCATCTGGAATTTTGATAGTTAAAAAAACATTCTTTTAACTTTTCTTTATTTTCAGAGTTCCTGAAAAATTAATTTTCCAGCTTTTTCGAATTCTAAGTTTTCAAGGCTGGAAATAATTTTTTCGGAGGTTCCATTTGTTACCGAACATTTTGACAAACTAGAAAAATTACAAAAAATTCTGAAACAGTGAAAAAATTTACTGTTTCAAAAATGTTCTTATCAATATGAATTTTAAACCTGAAAATAAGTCTGTGAATTATTTGGCTGTTCAGAAATAAAAGCAGATTTAACAACAGAAAAAATCATGGAAAAATATCAAATATTATTGAAACAGTGAAAAAAATTGTTTCTGGAAATTTGAATTTTAAATTTCGAATAGTTTTTTTAGAGTTCCCGAATAAATTTTTGAGATTTTTCAAAATTGTAACTGAAAATTTTGACAAACTAAAAAAATTACAAAAAATTCTGAAACAGTGAAAAAATTTACTGTTTCAAAATTTTAATTTCTAAAAAAGTCGTATCATATTTTTCTCAAAATTGAAATTTTCAGAATTTTTCTTGAAAAAAACCACCAAAACAGCACAAGAAAAAATTATTTAACTTTTTAAAAAAAGGTTGAAACAGTCAAAAAATTTACTGTTTCAAACATTTGATTTCCTAAAATCCTAAACTTTTGAAATGTTTCTTTTTTACAAGTTTTTCCAACCAACCAACCTCTGGAACATGAATCAATTGCCTTGTCGCATAACTAAACTTCTCAAAATCCATCAAATCTTCGGTGACTTCTTGAAGTTGCAATGATTGAACTTTGAATTGCAGCGATGTTTGAACAAATGGTTTCATATGTTTTCGAGCAACTGAATCTGTTGCCGGTGACATCAAACTCAGAAAATGTTTGTGAAGAAATCGCTCGATTCGAAGTGGATGTGGGGAAGAATCTCGATCTCTTGTTTCCATCATTAGATTGTTCAAACCATTTGACCATAATTTACATGCATCTACAGTTTCGACTGAAATCACAAAATTTGTGGAATTTTTCTATTGGGAATAGTTCTTTGAAAAATTCCAGACATTAATATTTTGAAACGTATTTTTTGTTTGAAAAAATTCACTGTTTCAAAAATTCCATATTTCTTAAGAATTTCTTCATAAATGATAACCATATCAGTTTCTCGGGAAAAAAACTCACACAATAGAATCCAATAAGATAATGTGAAGCTAACACCATTTGAAATGATCAAAATCTTGGCCGGATCGAAATTCATGATTTCGCGATCTTTTTTCCATTTATCAGTCACTCGAATTGTATTCAATTTGTATTGCAAAGTTTGAACTTCTCGAATGTGACGAATATCCAAAATTGTTGGTTTATTTCTGAAAAAAATTATTATCTGGAAATGTATGGATTAATTGGTGAAAGAAATAGGTTTAATATTTTCACAGATTTTTGAAGCAGTGAATTTTCTTGGAATTTTTGGTTTGTTCAGAACAGTTTTAGATTTTCGAACGTTTGGAGTCGACAAATTATTTTATTTTAGAGAAAATTGTTTCAATAACTTCAACATTTTTTGAAACAGTGAAATTTTTACCAGACGAAATAAATGGAATGCTTGAAAAAGCTCTTAATCAATTTTAGCAAATTTTTGAAACAGCAAAAAATTTCAGAAGTTTTTTTTTTAATTTTTTGCGGTGGAACTACGTACATAAAAAGTACATAAACGGATAAAGTTGTATTTTTTGTTCAAACATTTTTTCTGAAACAGCCTAATTTTAAAGAAGTAATGAATTTGAGAAATTGGAAAAACTTTTTTGAAATGAAATAAAAAATTGGAAAATGGAATTTTTTGTTGAAATTTTTTCTGATCATTTTTTTAGTTGTTACTTGTACTGTATGTAGTATTGTTGAAAATTTATATAAAAAATAACAGAAATTTTTGAAACAGTAAAAATTTGCAGAAGAAAATTTAATGTATTAGTGAAGTAGTTTTTGAATAATATTTCAGTTTTTTTTGAAACAGTGAAAGTTTTAAGCAACAAATCTTGGAAAATTTGATTTTTTTTCTCGCCAAATTGGTGAGTGAATATAATCAAGAGCGAGTGAATGTTGAAAAAAGTTCTATTCTATTTTCAGAACTTTTTGAAATAGTGAAAAAATCTGTTTACCTTCGAATAAGTGAAGTGAGAATGTTTTTTTCTAAATATATTTTGTTATTGAAAAAATTGAAACAGTGAAAATTTGAGGAAAAAAAAATTTTTTTCGAATTTATTAATATCACTTTTTATCACAATCGTTGAAAAAATCTCTATCTCAATTTCCCAATTTTTTGAAACAGTGAAAAAAATGCTCACCTCACCGCAGCCTGCTCAATTTTGGTCAAAAAAATCTGTCTCGAATTTCGATCCAAAGTCAACGATTTATAAGCTGGATCCCATTTTTTTAAAACCGCCAATTTACAAACTTTATGCCCTTTTTCCATTGCCATAAACATTTTTCCGAAATCCATTTCATTGTGTCTTGTCAAAAGTGGAGCTCGTGAAGAAGAAGTTGAGAATGAAGATGTTCCATTTCGACTAGAATTCATCGAATTATGATGAAGATGAATTGAACCAGCTGATGACGTCGTTTTTCTTTGCATTGATGATGTTGATGCAGTTGAGGATGAATGGTGCATCGCTGGAAAAAATAGGGTTTTTTATCAGGAAAAAAACTTTGGGGTGGAATAAAGTTATCAAGTAAAGAATTTGAAACAGTGAAAAATTATGCTTTCTGAATGTACCTTAAAATTCCTCATAAAAACAATTATTCAATTTTGAAATAGTGGATTTTTCAACAAAAAATTAGTAACAATTTTCACAGATGAATTAATTTAAATTTAATTTTCAGTTTATGTTTAAAAAAATTAGAAACAGTGAAAATTTCTAGATTCAATCAAAATTAAATTATTTGGAAATTAGTTTCCCGCCGAAAATCGAGAAAAAAAAATTTCCAAATTTTCTAGAGACCCCAAAATTCCACGTCATAATTACAACTGGCACCAAAAAAATCGTGTTATTTTTGTCTAACAAATTCCATAATTCAATTTTATTGATGTGAAAATTTTGAAACAGTGGAAAATTTTACAAACTCACTTTTGACATTTTTTTTTAAATGGAGAAGCTTGGATTTTTGAAAAATTCAGAAATGATGCAATTCTATAATTCAATAATTTTTGTTAACGAGAAAAACTCTCAAAAATTCTAATAAATCAAAAATTTGAAACAGTAAAAATTTTCGATTGACAAATTGATAGAAGGCTACAATTTTCCCAGAAAAAAAAATTAATTAAATATTTTTCATCAAAAAATTTGGCTTTTAAACCATATTTTCTATGTGATAACATCCACCCACGACAAATTTTTATCTCAAAATCAAATCACGCTACTTTTTCGTATTGTAATTGTACAAAACACACACAAAAATCGATAATTAGAGGAAAAAAGTACACGAAAAATTAAAATTTATGTGTGAAAAAGGTGAAAGTTATCAGTAGGGGCAAAAAGGGGCATAGAAGAAAATTGATAACAAAAAAAAAGAGTTTTGATGTGTGTGTTGTGTTATACATCAAAATGTATTGTATTGTAGAAGAAAATTCTAGAAAAAATATTTTTTCGAAAGAGACAAAAAATTTAATATTACAGCCTTCGGGGCTCAAATAAAAAGGACAGAAAGCGAAAGCGAAAGAGACAAAAAATTGGGAAATGAAAAAATTTGGGAGGAGGAAAATGGAAGATTTAATTGAGTTGGTTGCGGTTTTTTCATTTTTCATTTTTGCAAAGAGGGATCAGAAATCGAAAAATTTTCGTTGAAAAAATAAGGCTACCAAAAGCTTCAGATATTATCCAGAATAAAGATCAAAGATCGAAAAACTAAAGTAAATTTTAGGAAACATAAATAAATTGAAACAGTTAAATTTTTGGGAAAAAAAATATATCAAAAATAACATCAATAAAATTAATTTAAAATTTTTATGAAACGTAATTTTTTCGGGACGGAAATGTATTTCCTAATAAATTTTGTTATGGAAAATGAGGCTTACAGAATGTCAAGACTAGAAAAAATTGAATTTTGCATCGAACAATAAAATTTATAAATTAAAAGAAATGAAAAACTTGAAACAGTGAAATTTTTGAAGAAAACTTGGACCACATCGATCAAAAATAACATTAATTCAAAATTTTCATGAAACGTATTTTTCCAAGCTTCGAAAACTTCAAAATGCAAAATTTCTTTTCAAAAATCATTCAAAAAAAAATCAATAAACAATTTTGAAACAAGAAAATTTCGGAAATTCGAAGAACAATCGAAAAAATTTGTAAACACGAAACAAAAATGAAATGAAAACAATATATAGCCTCTGTTTGATCTTTTTTCTCAGTTTGGTCACTTTTTAAAATGACTCATTTTTGGACTTTTGATCTAATTTATAATTTATGTTCATATTTTATACAAAAAATTAGAAACTCTGAAAAAATAAAGAAAATCAGAGAAATTTAAACAAAAAAAAATATATAAATTTTTTGAAACAGTGAAAATTTTTAAAATTCAAAGTTGCTCATTGAAAAAAAAAGAAAATCGTGTAATTTTTGCAAAAAATTCAGAAATACAAGAAAAAAAACTTGCGAGAAAAAAAATGAGAGACGCAGAGAAAAAGGGGGAAAACAAAATGGAAAAGGCCAACAAACCGGTCTTTGCATTGTATAATTCTCTCGTTTTTGTGTGTTCTCTCGATTTTGACACAATCAAAATATATTTGAACTTTTTTAAATACTCGCAGAATGAATGAATGAATGGAACAGAACAGAACATAAACGGACAAAAAAAGAAGAAAATGAGTGAATTGTGAACATTGGAAATTCGCAACTTTTTTTTTGAAGGTAGAGATGTTCACATCAATTAGAAAAAAATATGAAAAATTTTATTGAAATATTGAAACAGTGAAAACTTTCAGGGATTATCTTTAAACTTTTTTAATGTTCAATCACTAGAAAAATCTGACTAATTCATTCAATTTTTTCTGAAACAGTGAAATAATTTTTATATATAATTTTTTGGATAATTTTTTGAATGTTCAGCCACACCAACTACTCAAAAATTGCCAAAAATTGTATAATTTTCTTCTGAAACAGTAACATTTTAAAATTATTTTTTTAGAGAAGAACAACGCTCTTATTGCATAAAGAGTTCGAAGGATTTGATGAGTTTAATTTGAAACAGTGAGATTTTCAAAATCAAGTTTTGATTTCCAGAGCTAAATTTTTCCAAAGAACAATGTACATACACTGCCAGGTGATTCTTATGTCCTTTCTGAAAAAGTATAAATATCACATTTTTCCAGTTCCGTTATTCATTTCCACTTTTCAAAATGAACCTCACGGCACTTGAAACAATGTTGGTTCATTCCGCATTCCTGTATACGATGCTTCTAAAATTAATCTATCTCCAAACTTTTTTCGTTATTTTCCCATTATATATTCATTGCACAAAAATCAATCGCAAAAAAGATGCAGAATCTCCAATTTTTGCAATTACAAATCATCTATACATAATCACAGTCGTCTCACAGGTTTTTACATTCATCAATCTAATTTTGATCATTGTTTCATTTTTTTATCCTTGGAAGAATCCATCAACTCCTTTGATTCTCAAATATATATATGCGTGGGGAACGAATATAAATATCAAATTCAATAGTTTAGTTGTGCCAATTCAAAATCTTTTAATATTTATGTTGGCTTTTCAAAGGTTTCTCCTTTATTTCTATCCAACTTCTGAAAAATATATAAATCCAAGTGAAACAACTTTCAAATGTTTCATTGTATTTTCATATTTCTTATCGATTTTATCGATTCTTCTGCAGTACATTGATTATAACTGCGTAATGAATGATTTTCTCGATTGCCAGGCGATTTTTGTTATGTTAAGATTTATGGTTCAATTAAGCTCCGATTTTCTTGTGATCATCTCTTCGGTTTTCTATATTTGTATATTTATAAGTGTTCGGAAGTTTATCAATCTTCCATCAACAGTTTTCAAAACTCGCCCGGAAAAAGTGATACTTTATCAAACTTTGCTCCTTATAGCTGTAAAATTATTAAGCGCGCCTACAGTTTTTCTTGAAGTCATATACAACGACTATGACAATGACCCACTAGTGTTTTTCATCGGAAAGGTTCAAAGTTTTCTTAGAATTTGTCCTCCACGAATCGCACCTTTTTCAGATTTATGATCGAGTATTTGAAATTGATTCGGTAACAACACCCGTCATTTCTCAACTCGCTTATATTTTCTGCAACAAAACGCATCTGGAATATGTGATGAAAATGAATTTCGGAAAATTGCGAACTTGGTTGATTGTTTGTTGTGGAGCGTCTTCGAATAGTGTGAATTATGAGCAAGAAGTTGAGAATTTGGGAGTTGCGTCAGGAACAACTCAACGTCAATCGCAAATTTGAAGATGTCATTGTTTCGCAATAATTTTTGTGAATTAATGCAATTTTTCTTCTCGCAAAAAAATTTTTAAAAAATCACTGTTTCAAAATAAACCCGTTTAGCTCTTGGCAATTGTTGAGCAGTACCAAAATATAGTCAGAATCGAACAGAAACTACTTAAAATTGCCAAAAATCAAATTACATAGTTTTGAAACAGTGAAGACTTATGTATCTACTAAAATAATTTTTCATTTCAAAAACGTTTAGGAAATTTTTTGAAACAGTGAAAAAATTACATAAAAAATTTTATTGAAAATTAACACTTTTTCCCATTTCAAAAAAATCCACTGTTTCAAAAATTTTTGAAAATTTCAGATAAAATCAATTTGATCATTGATTATTTTCATGGTGTGTCTGAATCCAAAATGTCTTTTGGTCCTTTTCCTTCTGAAAAATCCTCATTTTTTTCTCAAAGCTCAACGTCAATCTCAAATTTGAAGATGTCACTGTTTCGAAATAATTTTTGTGAATTAATGCAATTTTTCTTCTCTCAAAAAAAATTTAAAAAAATCACTGTTTCAAAATAAACCCGTTTAATTTTTGGCAATTCTTGAGCATTACCACCGTGTCTCTTTTTTTAGAACAGATAAACTTGCAAATAAGTTTTTTTTAATGTATACACGATCTTTTAGTGCTCAAAGCTCTTCGAAACGCTATGAAAAATTGAAACAGTAAAAATTTTTCTAGGGGATTTCTGAGTTGATAAGGTAAGCATTATATCATAATCAAACAGTAACTACCTAAAATTGCCTGAAATCAAATTTCATAGTTTTGAAACAGTGAAATTTTATCTACTAAAATAATTTTTGGAGCTCTGAACATTTGCGCAATATTAACGCTTTATGTACAAAAAACAGTTTAAAAAAATTTTGAAACAGCGAAAAAATTACATGAAAAATTGATTCACAACAAAGAAAAACACATTTTCCCAATTCAAAAAAAATTCACTGTTTCAAAAATGTTTGAAATTTTCAGAAAAAATTATCAATTCATTAATAGATGTGATTTACAAACCCGAAATGCATTTTTTGGTCCTTTTTCTTCTCAAAATTCCTCATTTCTCTTTTTTCTCAAAGCAAAAACCATATCATATCAATGACAAAAAATTGTTTTTTTTTTCAAAATCCAATCTCTGAAAATTCAATTTTCATTCCCTTGTTGTAATCTTGTTTTGGTGTCCGTGTCAGGCACCAAAAAAAATGTTGCCCTTTATCCTCTGATAACATTTTATTTTTCAATCAAAAATGTGTTCATAACATGAAAAATATTGCTCATTTCATTGCGATTTTTATTGGATTTCCGGTCAAAAAAATCATATGAATCATGGAAAAATATTTTGTTTTTGTTGCGGAAATGAAGAAGAAGAAGAAGAAGAAGAGGAGATGGAAAAAATCAACAAAAAATGAAATATAGTGTACATATAATTTGTACATACATACACTTCTCACAATTTTTCCTTTTCAAATAATTTTTATGGGATGGGAAAAAACAGTTTTTGAACCTTTTTTTATTGGACGAAATGAGCTTTTTTGATGGGAAAATTGGGTCATTTTGGACTACTGTATTAGGGAAATAATTTACTGTTTCAAAAATTATTTTTTGATTTTTGAAAGCAGAAATTTTGATGAACTTCTCTGGTTCTAAAATTTTATCATTTCGAAAAATCCAGAAATTATTTGAAAATTAAATCACTTTTTCAAAATTTAAAACGAAGAAAGGCTCATTTCTCATAATAATAATTTTAAAAAAATTCACTGTTTCAAAATTTCTTTATCACATTTTTCTTATGATTTCCTGTGCTAACTGTGTCTTATGTTGGTTAATAATGATAATTTAATAATAAAGTTACAATAAATCCAAATTTTTCTCAATAAAGTCCCGTAGCTCAAAAAGTTTCCTAAAGCTTTTCAAATTTTCAAAATAAAAATTTTTCTGGAATTTCCCTGATAATGAAATTTATGTTAGCAAAAATCCACTGTTTCAAAAAATAGACAAATAAATTCGATGTTATTCACTTCGTTAATGCAAATAAATAACTAGATACCTAAAAATTTCGCTAGTTTCCACCTAAAAATTTTACGATTTCAAACTCAGTCCTGAATTTATGAAATTTTCCAGAGAAAAAAACCACTGTTTCAAAAAATACACAATAAATTTTGAGTATTTTTTGAAACCTTGTTTACTGTGAACTTGTAGGTTTCCAAAATATTTCAGAAAAATCTACTGTTTCAAAAATTCTAGATAATTCTGAATTTTCTATAAAAACAGGTGCCCCTAGGTGAAACAGTCAGAAAATCCTCAAAAATTCTAAATTTTGAAGAAAAACCTCTTTTAAAAAAGTTACGCCTGGAAATACAAATTGTGAAGTTTAATGAGACTATGAAAGAAAAATAAATAAATTCAAAACAAAAATGAAAATCGCGTGCATAAAACTATGAAAAAATTAATCTAGTAATTATGAACATAAAACTTTACCCAATATTTTTCAATGAAGTTCAAATCTCACCTGTTAGTTTTACTCCCCCCCCCCAAACCTCAAAATAAACTAACTTGACTGGTCCTTCCCGTGAAAAGTTGTTGATTTCTTTGAATATCCTGTCCAAACGATACATCTTCTTGTTCGGAAGCCTGAAACATCTACATTCTTTTTCTCAAAATCTTCGCCTATTCTTAAACTTACATCAGAAAATGGCAATTGAGAATTATGTGGGATCCCTGCATTCTGTCACAGTTGTCTGTCTCTAAAAAAATAAGAAAATGGAAAAATAACACTTTCTGCGCTGAAAAAAACCACTCAAAAACCAGAAAAAAAATGTCGTGAAAAAAAAATAAACGCGAAACAACGATACTCCGCGTGCGCGTTGTTTAGCGTGTTTATTTGCAGGGTAGATGAGAGAGTGTGGGAAATGGAGAGAGGGTTAGAGAGAGAGAGAGAATTCTGTTTTTTATTTGTAATTTTGATTTTTTACACCTTATTCCAACTTTTAATATTTTCGTTTTGATAAGTTTTGAAAAAATTCCTCATGCTTCCTCGAAAAACGCCGAAAGAATTCGAAAAATCTTCTTCTCCGCTCTCCGTTTTCTTCAAATAATCTGGGCGGAGTTCATATTTTCTCTGGTGTTCGTTTACAGAACCAAAAACGCAGGCGGCGAAAAAAGTGGGCGGAGTCTCAAGGAAAACGAGGGCGAGCCACACTTTCCCCCTTCACATTTTCTTTGCTTTGATTTCTTTTTTGCTAACATAAGAATTTGATTTTTTTTTTAGAAATGGTATTCCATCCTCTGGTGATAATTTTTTCAATTTTTCTATTGAAATCCATCAGTTGCGCCGCCACAAATTATGTCGAAATTCCTGAACAAACCGAATTATCCTCCACAAATTATTCGATTTCCGCGTTTTCCGCGAAAACTTTTGTGAAGAGTGCCGAATTGGAGTTGAATGCCACACAATGTGTTCAATTTTCATTCAGATTGCTGGAAAAACGAGTCAGGTTAGTTTGTTTTAGGGGGGTTAATCTACAAAATTTAATTGCCACGTGTTTTTTTTTGGCATAATTTTTTGATCTACAACATTTCTTTAGTGATATAGGATTAGAGAATTTTTCAATCTCATGAAAATTATGAAATTTTTGAAACAGTAAATTTTTTCCCGAAACAAAACGTAATACTTTTTGTTGACTTTGATGGTTTTTTTTGCAAACAATTTTTTTCCTTGCGCATTTTACAACAATTGGAAGTTTCTAGAACAAATAGAAAAATTGATAATTTTTGTGTTTTTCCAGGGAATTAGATGAATCACTGGCGCCAAAAAAACATTTTTTTCGATTTCGAAATTGCACTTTTTTCCAAAAAAATTGTTATCTCATAAAAGTTTTTCAAAAAAATCAGAAAAAAAATTAAATTTCAAAGGGTTTTGCCACGTTATAACTTGTAGATCAAATTTTCCACAATTTTTATGAATTACCAAATTGCCACGTCATAACTTCCCCATATTTTTTAAATTTAAAATCAATATTTTTTCCCAATCCTCGAAATGTTGCCATTTCCAAAAAAAATTTTTTTCTGTTTTATCAGCAAAATGTTCCAAACAAGAAGATTGACACTTTTATGTGCAAATATTTTTTTTCACAATTTTTTTTTCTCGATAACACAAAAACCCTTTAGTTAGAACCCTATAGGGTTTGGTTAACAAACACAAAAAAAAATTCGATAAGTCAATTTTTTCTGGGGAAAAATTTCAGGAAAACAAAAATATGGTTGTAAACCGCCTGACCTTCTGTTATCAAAAATTGACAAATTGCTTTTATTTTTTTTTGGGGGGGGGAACTAAAAAATAAAAAATTTAATAAATCAAACAAGTTTTAGTTAGCCGAAACCAAGTGCCAATTGCAACAAAAACAAACAAAAAGAAAAGAACGTATAATATATGTCTCATTGTTTCAAATTTCATAACTCAGTGCAAACAAAAACATGAGCAATACATGCAAAAAGCAAATATAAGCGCTTTAGTTTATTTTAGTATAGATATCATTGCAAAAACATAAGGAAAAGCTGCAAAAAACACAGAGAAATAGCGCGCTTATCTTGACAATTTTCCCCTAGCTTTCCTGTGCGCGTTCGTGGTGTAATGGTCAGCATGGATATTTTAGTATAGATATCATTGCAAAAACATAAGGAAAAGCTGCAAAAAACACAGAGAAATAGCGCGCTTATCTTGACAATTTTCCCCTAGCTTTCCTGTGCGCGTTCGTGGTGTAATGGTCAGCATGGATGCCTTCCAAGCATTCGACGGGGGTTCGATTCCCCCCGAACGCAGACTTCTTTATTTTTTTTTTTCGTTTTTCCTATAACAGTAAAACACTTCAAAATAAGATCATTTATGTCTAGTATTCACAAAAATAATCGAATTCGATACCAGCTCAATCTCCCTTTCATTTTTCGACTCTTCGAGCCCATTAGCAGTTTCTGGCTCCTCCTCTTTGATCAATTGCAAATACCAATCGGGATAGCATTTGATCTCAAGATTCGGGCGAATTTGTCGAACAAAGAAATAGTTTGGGCAAGACGGGTGGCTGATAATTGCGTTGAATAATTCGTCAATTGAACATTTGTTGTTGGCGAGGCCGATGATTTGACGTTTTCCATCGGGGAAGCGGCAAAGAACTTTGACCGGGCCATCGAAATGTGCTCCTAAAAAAATCAGGGACTTCAGGGAGTTTGAAACAAAAAGATAAAAATAAAAAAAAATCTGCGTTCGGGGGGAATCGAACCCCCGTCGAATGCTTGGAAGGCATCCATGCTGACCATTACACCACGAACGCGCACAGAGAAACCCAGCGAAAATTGTCAACATATATTTCTCACTCACCCTTGATTCTCTCGCGATATTCCTGTATCTTTTTCAATCTTTCCGCTTTCCGCGCTTCCGCTTCTCTCGCCTTTTCGCGTTCCGCTTTCTTTATCAAATCTTTCGCCAAACTCTCCTCATATTCCTTGTTTTGCGAGTTCCGAATTGTTCGATCCTCTTGAATTCGCTTCTTTTCGAATTCTTTCTCCTTTTTTAGTTCTTCTTCAAACTGTTTTTGATCTGATTTATTAGTTTCAGACATTTTCGAGTTAGTGGGTTAGTAGAAATCCAAAATGATGGGATTTTTGGGAGGTTTTTGTTTTTTTTTTTCATGGTAAAATCGGGTCACGCGAATATTTTTTTTTTTGAAAAAAGCAAACACGCTCCATTGATAATTAGCTCACGCAAAAAAAATTTTCAAAAAAAAAACAATATTTTTTGCAGACTCCACGCTTACACGTGTCAATTATCGGAAGGCGGATTCTGTACACTGGACAAGTTTTATTTTCCGCGCGATAAACAAGGATGCACCTACTTACGACCGTGGACACATAAAGATGATACGTTAGTCAACTTTTTCACGGGATTTTATATTAGAGATTCACAGAGAGAGAGGGATAATTATAGGGTAGATGAAAAAGCTTGAAGTTTTTTTTTCAAAGAATTTGAATTTAGATGAGATTGGGAACGGAACTTGTTCAAAGTTCCTGGGGATAATTTTTGAAAGAAAATCAAAAAATAATTTTTTGAAAATTTTATTTTCGAAAAACTAAATTTTGCGATTTTGCATTGATTTCGAACCACACGAATTGATTCCCAAAAAATATTTCACACTTTTCTGAATTTTTTGAAACAGTGAAATTTTTTTGGGAAAAAATGTGAGATTAATTTTTGAGAACTCCCGCCGATTTGTTAAATTGTTGAAACAGTAAATTTTTTACAAATTAATTTTGACAGTATACCAGACCTATAATTAATTCTGAAAATTTGGATAATTTTTGAAACAGTAAATTTTGAGATAATAAATCCTCCCTTTGTTTCCAGTTTCCAAAATTTGCTGACAAAATTTCTGAATTTTTTGAAACAGTGAATTTTTTTTCGGGAAAAAATGTGAGATTAATTTTTGAGAACTCCCGCCGATTTGTTAAATTGTTGAAACAGTAAATTTTTTACAAATTAATTTTGACAGTATACCAGACCTATAATTAATTCTGAAAATTTGGATAATTTTTGAAACAGTAAATTTTGAGATAATAAATCCTCCCTTTGTTTCCAGTTTCCAAAATTTGCTGACAAAATTTCTGAATTTTTTGAAACAGTGAATTTTTTTTCGGGAAAAAATGTGAGATTAATTTTTGAGAACTCCCGCCGATTTGTTAAATTGTTGAAACAGTAAATTTTTTACAAATTAATTTTGACAGTATACCAGACCTATAATTAATTCTGAAAATTTGGATAATTTTTGAAACAGTAAATTTTGAGATAATAAATCCTCCCTTTGTTTCCAGTTTCCAAAATTTGCTGACAAAATTTCTGAATTTTTTGAAACAGTGAATTTTTTTTCGGGAAAAAATGTGAGATTAATTTTTGAGAACTCGCACCAATTTGTTAAATTTTTGAAACAGTGAAAATTTTTTTGGATCAAAATTAGACCAAACTGAAAACTATGTTATTATTCAATTGAAAATTTCTACTTTTTAAAAACTTATCTGGAAATTTTGAAACAGTGAATTTTTTCCAAGTTAAGATTTTTTGAAGAAAAAATTTGTCTATAAATGTTTGCCAAATTTTTTTCATGGTAAATTTTTCACTATATTAACAAAATAATATAACTTTTCTAGTCATTGTATTTTTGAAACAGTAAATTTCCGAAAAATCAAACTAATTTTCAGCTGGTCTTTCTATTTTGTTCTCGAAAAACGTGCTCGAGTCTATGGTCGTCAACATCAATTGAGAAATAAAAAAATCCGAAGAAACATCAAAAAATCACAATCAGCAGAACCAGTTGGAATTCTTCAATTATATGGAGTTGTTCCATGTTCGGAAGCGTGTAAAAGCAAAGAAACATTGGAAAATGGAAAGAGTTTGGGATCACAATCTGATGGAACTTTTTATCGGGGAAGAGATAATCGCATTTTTTATTGAGGTTAGTTTTTTTCCTGCTTTAGAATGTAAAAATTTCATGAAACAGTGAAAAATTCTGATTAATTTTCCGAACAGGGGATTTTTTGAGAAGAAATAAACCAAATAATTTCAAAAAACTAATGAAACAGTAATTTTTTCTCTTGAAATTTTGTTCAGAAATCTTTCGAGTTCAGTTCTAAAGCATTGTGTATTCATCGAAAATTAAAAAAAACAGAATCCAATTCAAAATTTTCTTGAAACAGTGAATATTTATTTGGCAGAAGAAAAAGTTCTAAATTTGATAATTTTTATGCACGTCTCATAATGAAATCACAAACTGAAATAAAAGTATTTAGAAATTTTGAAACAGTGAATTTTTGAGGTATTAAGGAATTTTGAAGAGGTTTCTGAAAACTGATTTGAGAACAAGTATTTTATTGTCTTTATTGATAATAAAAATAGTATTAGAAAATTGGTTCAGGTTTTCAAAATATTTTGAAATAGTGAATTTTTGAGTACATGAAAATCTTGAACTTTTTCTCTGATTGTTATTGTTAGAAAAAAATTCTAGTAATAACGTTAAAAATCATCTTCCAGAATTTCACATTTTTCTGAAACAGTGAAAAATTGTTTTGGTTGAAAATTTTCACAAATTCTGGAATTTAAAAATTGGGTATTTTCTTGAAACAGTGGATTTTTCAAAAGTAACAACATAGATTCAGAAATAAAAATATTTTTAAAAATATTTGAAACAGTGAATTTTTTCAGATGCTCCAAACCTTCCACAACCATTTTTTTTGTCAACTCATCGACACTTTTTTGTATGTATCAATAATTCGTCCGGCTAGATTTTCCCTACAGTAACCCGAAACCCATTTTTCTTTCTTTCTTTTTTGTCTCTCAGTTTTTCAGTTGTCCCCGGTACAAGTATAGGTATATCATCACTTTTTTGTCAGTTTTCAGTTTTTTTTCCAAATTTGCATATTTTTCCCGGTATTTTCCACAACACATACTTTAAGACATTTTTCAGGAAAAAAAACGAATTTTCTTGCCAAAAACGCCCAAAAAATTATTTTTTTTGCTATATTTTTTTTGTACGAGAATAGAAGAGGAGTTCCATTGTTCTCATTCGACCATAATTATTTTTTTTGTTGTCTGAAAAAAAAATGAAAAGAGAATAAAAATTGAAAAAAGTAAAGTGTTCGTTTTTTTTTGAGGAGAAGAAGACGAAGAAGATTGGAGGGATTTTGAGATTTTGAGACTTGGGAAAATTTTGAAACAGTGAAGTTTTATCAGGTTAAAAAAACTGAGTCACTGAATATTTTGAAACAGTGAAATTATGATTTTCAAAAAATTATGAAAATTTAAAAATTTATCACGCTTTATCGAAACATTATATCACAATCCCCAACATAAAAATTTTGCAACAGTGAAATTTAGAACTTAAAAATGTTCTTTGCAATAAATTTTATATTGTCCGTTTGGAAATCAGATTCACCCCGCGAAAAAATAAATTTGAATTTGAGAAAATTTCTAATTTCCCCCTACCCCCGCGATGCGTGTGCGTTGCGGTCGCTTTCCCATACAAAATCCCCGTTGGCTGTTTGCCAGCGCATCTCTCGCTGTCTGCGTCTCCTGCAGCAAATTCAAATGTATTTTTTCGCGGGGTGAATCTCGTTTTCAAACGGACAATACAATACTTGGATCTTCATGGTTTTTTTATAGTGAACAAAAATTTTCTGCAAAGTTTTTTTCCAGATTTTTTGAAACAGTGAATTTTTCAAACTCAGAATTCTCGATGAAAATTTGTTTTTTTTTGCAAATTTCAATACACATTCAAAATTAAATTTCTTGAAAAATTAATTAAAAAATGAAAAATTGATTTCACAATTTTTTTGAAACAGTGAATTTTTTTTCTTCAAATCTCAAAATTTCTCACATTCCCAATCATTTTGGTCAACAAAAACCAAACTTTAATACAAAACAAACAAATTGTATTGTATTGTCTTTTCTTTTCTTGTATTCACATCACAAATAAATAAACTTTACTTTTGAAATTACCTATAATCTCATACTTATCACAACTCAAGTTCAAAATATTTATTTATTTGATCAATCCATCTAGATAATTCCTAAAATTCCTCAATTTTTCCCATGCAAAATCGCGAGAGATAGGGAAGAAAAATATGAGAAATCGAAAACAAACACACATTTTTGTGAGCTGAGCATGACTGAGTTATTATAATTAGAAGAAAATAAATATTATGGAAATTTGGAAAAAATTTGGGATTTTTTATGGGGAACCTTCCAAAAATGACTTTATCGGAAAATTTAAAAATTTGAAAAAAATATGTGAAAGTTTTGAAACAGTGAATTTTTTAGAAAACTTGAAAATGTTTGGTATTATTTTCTGCAAGGTGTACTATAACTCGAACTGCAAGACTGCAAAAGTATTCCGGGCTACAAGAATTACTGTAGCCTAGAAGTTATCTAGAACTGAAAGGATCATGGTTACTGTACCTCAAACTCCAAGGATATAAAAAAGTTTCTACAGTAGTGGCGTCAATTTTTCTACAGTATCCAGGATCATTTTTGGCGCCAAAAGTCAAATTTTAAATTTATTTAGTTAATTGTTAAAAAATTAAAAAAAATTTGTGAAAGTGTTGAAACAGTGAATTTTATAGGTTACTGTCAAACTTGAAAATGTTTTGTATTATTTCCAGACTGCAAGGTGTACTGTAACTCGAACTGCAAAAAATTACCTCCAAACTGCAAAAGTATCCAGGCCCCGATTTTGAGCTTTTCAGGGCTCCAAATCATAATTTTCAAAAAATTTCAATGTGAAATTAATTTTCACGTGACACATAAAAAATCGCCACGTCATCAATTCGAAAAAAAAAATGACGTGTGATTTTCTTTCAGTTCTATTTTTCTAGAGGCGACAAAATGAGTGAGTTTTCTTCCTTCTGGCAGCTGAGGGAAATTTTTTGATTTTTTTTTAGGAATTCCTCAAATCGCACTTGTCATTTTCACAATTCTCGCAATTGCACAATCTGCCAGGTCTGGAAAACCGATCAAGAATGGCAATGGGAATAATTCAACTTCAGCTCCAAAGCAATTTCCAAATCCAGGACCAGGGCCAGGACCAGAAGCAACACAGACTTCCAAACCAACTACACCTATCAAAACATCATCAACAAAAACCAAGCCAACCACGAAAACACCATCAACAACTGCAGCTCCCGCTCCGACATCTGTAACTCCAACAAAATCCACCGATGCTCCAACATCAACATCTGTAGAAACATCAACAACAATTGAAGAAATCATCACTGAAGATGACTTAAATGCCACCACATCTTCACAGTCTACAAATGCCACCACAGCTTCTACCACCGTCGTCCTCACTTCTCCGCCAACAACTGCTCCACCAATACCAGCCACTACCCCAAAACCGGTGCAAAATGGAGATTTATTCGTTTGCTCTGATGATCCGAGTGAGCAAAAATGTGAGAAGTTTTGCGAAAAACGAAATATGGAACCAGGCGTCACCAAAGATGACAACTATGAGTGAGTTTATTGAATTCTTCCTATTGAATTCTTCCTATTTTTTTCAGAACACCAACATACTTCTGGATTTGCTTGATTTTTTTGGTTCTCTTCTTTATCGCCACCATCGTCGCCATCTACTTCTATTCCCGATATAAACGTGAGTCTGAAGACTTTAATTTCATTTTTTGTTTCGGAAAAACTATCGAAAACTCACCGCAAACACGTGTACACGTTTTTCGGGGGAAAAAAGAAAAAAAAGAAAAGAAAAAAAGTTGTTGGCTGGCCTAGGAACCGACTCGGCCATTATTGAATTTTTTTTTTTTTGAATTCAATCAATAATTATTTTATTTTTTCAGGCCAACTGAATTTGATTCGTGGTAAGAAGCCAGTAAATGAGATTCTTCTTCAACAACAACAACAAGGATTTGCACCAAAAGAACAAGATGCAAAAGAATTGTTTGATGAAAAAGATGAGAAAAAGAGTGGAGGAAAAGCCAAAAAGTTCGACAAAAATGATCCGGCAACACGCGAACGTCATCGCCGCTACATTCAACAATGCAAACAGCAAGAATTGGAGGATGGGGATTTGAGAAATTTTGCCAAGTCTGGCACAATTTTCATTCCTCACGCTGTCAATGATGCGGCATTTACGAAAAAATGCGAGGCTCCAGATAATATTCAGCTGGAGAGAGTGTTCTACGATCCAAGCGGGAATGAGGTTTTCGACATTGGCAGCGATGTCGATAACATTGAATTGAATCCGAGTACGGTTGGCACATCGGAGAATGATACATCGAAATTGTCGGCTGAGACGAAATCATCAGCAAGTAGATCGAAGATCAAGACAACAAAATCGAAAGCCAAAGACAAGTCACTGAAATCTGGATGAAATTGGCATTTTTTTGATTGGTTATTCGGTGTTTCTTGGTACAATTCGTGTTTTTTCGGTGCAGTTTTTTTATTTGTATTTTTTCCGTGTAGTCTCGTAAAATATTTTCAATTTTTATGCACGGAAATAAATTTTTTGTATTCGAAAATCTTCTTTGAAACTTTTATTGTTATTGTCAAAAATGTTTTTCGAAAAAACTAATTAATCAGAAATTTTTTTTTAATTAATCAGAAAAAAAAAGTGAAAATATGCGAAACTTTTGAAACAGTACATTTTTTTGACAAACATAAATTACATGAATTTTTTTTTAGAAATTTTCTACGGCATATAATCGGGGAAATATTAAATTAGAAAATTTATGTGAAATTTTTGAAACAGTGAATTTTTTATTCACAATTTTGGCGGAATTTTCTATGAAAATCTGGAAAAAATATCAAAAAAATTACAATTGAAAATTATTTGTGAAATTTTTGAAACAGTATATTTTTAGAATGTTTTCTCTGAACTCCAAAAATATTTGCCACGTCATAAAAAAAACGGGGTTTTTTTAAATAAAATTTATTGAATGCCCCCGAAATTCTAACAATCCCTTGATTCCGAGAAAATCATATATTTTCGAGTTGTTTCATTTTTGATAGCTGTAAATTCAATGGAATGAGATGCGAAATATGTTTCCCATTTGGTTGAAAATTTCAAAACTTTCCGATCTTCTGCTTCAAAATTTGCTGAAACAACTTTCGATTGCCATCCAATGAAAAACACATTCACCAAATCTTTCAATTCGTAACTATCCGGTTCACCACAATTATCGATTTTATATGGAATATTCAAAATTTCAGAAAAATCTTTTTTCTTCAGTGTTTTGAGAAACATTGAATGGATCATTTGTGAAGTATCCAAAGCCGAACATTCCAATTCAATCCTCTCAATTTTATATTTCCCAGTATTTTTTTGAATTTCAGATTTAAAAATATATGTTCTAGATGTCTCAATTCTATGAACTAAAGTAGATCCTTCAAAATAAGAACTAGCATCATTTTTTCCATCCATAAATATTCCAACATAAAAAAAGTTTCCAAAATTCAATTCAAAGTTCTCAATTCTTCCGGAACAATCAGAAACTTGGATTGGATCAGCGAAAACTTCTCTGATTTTGTTTTCCAATTCAGAAATAGCAATTTTTTGGAGTTCTGATGGTGATTTTTCAGTTTGGCTTAGGCCAAAATAAATTGAGAGAATTGGAAAAACACAGTAAAAATAACACATCGTCGACAAAAAAGTGAAAAACATTGGCCGCTTGTCTCAAAACATTTTGATGTGTGGGAAAATGTTTATGAGTTCTCAATATTCAAAAAAAAGGAATCAAAACATTTGTAAATTGAAAAAATATGAGAAAATTTTGAAACAGTAGATTTTTTTTTTCGAATAATTTTTTTTTTGACAAAAATTGATCACGTGGAATTTCTTCCAATATCGAGTCAAAAGAATCAAAAAAAATTATACATTGAAAAATATGTGAAAATTTTGAAACAGTGAATTTTTTCCAAAGGTTATTCTCTTCACGGTAAGTTTCTGGTTCATAGAAAATTAAAATTTTGACAAAAAAAAATTTTTCATGGTTTTTTTGAAAATAATTTGCTTTGATCGGAAAAAATTGAAAAAAAATTATTTATATGCATATTTTGAAACGTATTTTTCCATTTGAAAATCGAAATATTTCGAAAGCTTTTAATAAAAAATACAGTAACCCATGCAGTTCTCCCAATATAAATCAATTCATAGCAAATTAAAAAAAATGAAAGAGATCAAAAAATTTCTGGTGGCAATTTAGACAATTATGAGCAATGTTTTGTACTTTTTATACATTATTTTCTTGAGATTCTTGAACCTCAATTTCTTCTTCTTGTTCTTCAGAACCTCTTGGAAGACAAAAAACAATTGAACTATCGCCATTTCCGATTGCAAGAGTTCGCGAGGATGGCCTTAAAATTTCAGAATAACAAAAAATTTAATTTTTTGAATCTAAAAAAACTTTGGGGTTTTCAAAGTTCAGAAAATTGAATTTGAATCAGAAAAAAAATTAAAATCCAATTTTCGGCATCCGCGTGTCACAAAAATTTCAATTTTCAGAAAAATGCTAAATTTCAGCACCAAAAATCCACGTGTCACTTGAATAAAACAAAAATTTGGCTTTCAGACCACGTGGAATTTCTCCCATTACTTCACATTTTCTTTCGAAATTTCAACAAAAAATTAAACAAATGTTCATATTTAACCAAATGGAAACGTTTTGAAAAAAATATATAAAAATTTTGAAACGTATTTTTTTCTATAAATTTAAATGTATTTTTTTAATTTCAATTATTCGCCCTAAACCCCTTCTTGAAATTCGAATTCCCCCAAAAACTCACAAATAATCAAACTTTGCAGGTTCTGTCGCAAGTTCACTGGATTCACAAATCGGCGAGCTTCGAATTCCCGGAGTGTGCACTGAAAATTTGAATCCTCGATTCTGTTTCGCCATAACCAAATGCGCTCCACGGTAAATTATAACTTGACGTGTAAATATGCCAACTTTATATGTGTTGAGAATTGAGAGTTTCTGGGCGCTGAAAATCGACACATTTCCATCAGAAGTTGCGGTTAAAAGTTGATTATTGTGGATTGAAAGATAGGATTTGTAGGCATTTGGGCAGTAATTCTGCAAAAAACCAATTATGGAATTTTTTTGAAACAGTGAAAATTTGAGGAAACATTTTAAAAATCGAAAAAATACTTATGATTTTAAAAAATTATGAGATGTTTTACACTGAAAGTTACAGTTTAGAAAATTTGATAATATAATTTTGAAACAGTGGATTTTTATAGAGCAAAAAGATCATCCAACAAGGCCAAATTATCAATTTTCTTTGTAAAGTTTGTTTGAAACAGTGATTTTTCTCAAAAATTCGGCAAATTTAAAAATACACAAACTTTTCTCTATAAGATTTTGATACTTGAAGAATTTCTTGTTTTTAAAAACAAAAACTTCGAATAAAGTGAATTTTCTGGAAATTTTTCCGTTATAAAGGACAGCATTAATTTTGATATTACGAATTTCATGATAAAATTAATTTTGAAACAGTGAATTTTTCCACCCTTCCTCATCCAATTTTTTTTTAAATAGCGAAATCAATTTTTTGTGAAACAGTGAGAATATACTAATTGTAAGCGAATTTCAGACTTTCTCGAATTTTCAAAAAAATATTGAAACAGAAAAAATTCCAATCTTAAAATTACAATTTTTCTTTAATTTGTGAAATTTTCAGAACTTTTCTCTTATTCCATCTTCCAGTTAGGCATTCAGGAATTTGATAATATAATTTTGAAACAGTGGATTTTTCTACAGCAAAAAGATCTTCGAACATGGCTAACTTATACATTTTCATTATCAAATTTGTTTGAAACAGTGATTTTTCTCAATAATTAGGCAAATTTAAAAATTCACAAACTTTTCTAAAAGATTTTGATACTTAAAGAATTTCTTGTTTTTAAAAACGAAAACTTCATATAAATTGAATTTCTTGTTCAGGTGAACATTAATTTTTGAATTTACGAATTTCATGAAAAAAAAAACAAAAACTTAATTCTGAATGTTGGTGTCATACCTATTAACATGGTGAAATTATGAATTTTCATTATCAAATTTGTTTGAAACAGTGAGTTTTTCTAGTCTCAAAATTCTGCAAAAAATCCAATGTCTAAAAAATTCAAAATTACATTGTTAAAATTAGATTTTTTCAAAGTTTGTGAAATGTTTGGAATGTTTCGGAAATATAACATCAACATTGTGAATTTACGAATTTCATGATAAAATTAATTTTGAAACAGTGAATTTTTCCACCTCCCCCTTCCCAAAAATCCCCCACTAACCAACAAAATAGGTTTGCTCATATTCCTTCGATCCACCATAACCAACAATCGATCTTCTCCACTCGTATAAATAATATTTCCCTGTACAGCCAACGCAATAACCGCTCTTTTATGCACATTATATTCTCCCGATATCGCAAAACTCCTTTTATCAATTACAGCAACTCGTTTGGCAAATGTTGTGCAAACAATCTCATTAGTTTCGGGGAGACAAGAAACACATTGAGCTGCTGAACCAACTCGAACATTTTGTTTTTCTCGAATCGTTGATTCTGTGATTTCCCATGATTTGACTGTTGAATCCCAAGATGTTGTATAGAAAACATCATCATTTTCACGGTCTTTTGCAATATTCCAAATCCATCCTTGATGTGCATTATCATTTATTCCAATTGTCCATCGATTTCCATCAATATCTTCATTTCTTTCGATATTTTCAATATCCCATAATCGAATACTTCGATCACGACTTCCAGAAAGACAAAATCGTTTGGAATTTTTATTGAATAATACAACACTGTCTACAGTAGCGGAATGACCGAATGCTGTTTTTCTGAAGGAAAACATTGGATTTATGACGGAATTTACATCGAAAAAACCTACAAAGTCTGATTTTCCCAATTATTCCATCGTTCTTTTTGCTCATAGATTGCTACATACGATTTTCTTGCATCGAAATCTGAATGTTTCAATTCGCAATCAGCCAAATGTACATTTTGTCGACTTTTCTGGAAAAAAAATTGGCGTGTGAAAATTTTGCTCGGAAAATTGATGATTTGAAAAAGCTAGAAATTTTCACTGTTTCAATAAATGTGTTAATTTTCATCAATACTTTATTGGCTTGTTTAAATCAAAATTTTCGGAAAATACATTATACCAATTATCATTGATTATTGATTCAAAAAAAAACTTCACTGTTTCAAGAAACGTATTTAGACCTGGTTTTTTATGAATGGAAATGAAGTATGTTTTTTCTTAAGTTAGGAAATGTATACAATCAAAAAATGTGTGATAAGTTCACAAAAATCGATCAAAAATTGTTCACTGTTTCAGAATTGGTTAATTTTTATTGATAATTTGGAATTTCGATTGTGTTTTGAAAAGGTACGGCTTATCAAAAATTCTCTTGTCAGTTTCAAAAAAAAATATTTAATTTTTTAAATTCATTTAAAAATCTCACTGTTTCAAGGAAAACATAATTTTTATCATGTTTTATTTTTAACAATAGTTTTTTCAATTGTTTTAAAAAAATCAGTTTTTTAAAATTAAAATTCATCAATGGGTAATCATGAAACAGCAAAAATGTTTTCTGATTCAATTAAAATTTTCTTGTCGAAATTTTTTGTTAAAGTAAAATTTTATTTCCCTAAAAACCTCACTGTTTCAAAAAATTATTTTCATCTTGATTTTATCATTGTTATTGATTCTCGTCTTGTTTCATACTCTCCCCGTTCCCAAAAAAAAAACTCACAATTTTGCCCTTCCAATATTCTCGATTCTCCAAAAGTTTGTTGAATTTGTGACAAACCAGTGTCACTTTCGAGACGAGTTCTTTGGGTGGAATAAATGAGAAAATATACAAAATGATTTCATTTGGAAGAAGCCTTTCGATTTCACTAGTAGTCGCCTCTTCTGAATCGATCATTAGGGAGTCTGAAATACATAATTATAGATTTAATTTTCGAGTTAACTTCAAGAAACGGTATGAAAAATGGTTGAAAACCACTGAAAAATTGAGAAAAAACACTTTTCAATACATTTTTTAATCAAAACAAAAAAACAAAACAAGACAAATTATCTAATCTAGAATTAATTTCATAAAGTCTCCAAAATCCAACTACCACATGGCTCTTTGAACTCCACTCAACGACGAATGATCGGCCATTTTTCGGAACAAATGTCGACTCAAACGATACGGTTTTATTTTACCGCGTTGTCTTCCGGTGAATTGGCACATGTTCAAGATGAGACGCGGATGATCGTAGCGACGAGCGGTGAAGAGTTTGTCGGCGGCTTCGTCGCGGATCGCTTGCGGAAGGATTGTGTTGAATTTGATGGCTTTTAGACGCATTCGATCGGCACCGACTTCCTGTGAAAAATAATTGAAAAATTGTTTTGTGAATTTTTACTGTTTCAAAAATTCAATACAATCAAAGAGTAACTTGGCATTACGTTGAATTTCATTTGTAAAAAAAAATTCAAAAATTGAACTAATATATTTAAAAAAAATTAACTGTTTCAAAGATTTTATATCACCAAAGTTTCAAATTGTTCAGTGATAGTACCGAGTTCGTGTTGAAAAAAAAGATGAATAAAAATTATTAATATAAATAAATAAGTCATAAATATATTATCTTTCCATTTTTAACTTTTGAATTTCCTCGATTCTCAGATTATTTTATTATCGAAAATGATTTGCAAAATTCAATGAAAAAAATTCACTGTTTCAAAAAATCCATGAAAAATTAGAAAATAATTTTCGGAGATGCGTGATATGGCGGTATTCGTTTCAATCAAGTTTTCAACAAAATAATCACATTAAACCTAGTAATTTTGGCAAACGGAGAAAATTCATCTCAAACTTGATACCAGGTCAAGTTTCAAAACAATCTAATGGAAGCACATTTTTCGAAAAAAAAATCTCACTGTTTCAAAGATTTTCTATTATAAACATTTTACATTTAAAAATGCTTATTTATAATTTAAAAAAAAATTATTTTCGACATACTTTTTAAAATTTGTCAACGTTCAAGTAAAAATAGAAAACATAAGATAAATCAAAAATATAGTTTTTAAATTGCCACGTCATAGTTCAAGAAAAAATATTATTTTTTCCAAAAAAAAACTTCTTCATCCTTCATCCTTCAAACAATCTACGAAGATTGATGACCAACAAAAAAAGGAACTCTCCTTTTCCTAGTCTAATTGCAAAACGCCCCAAAAGAAAACTCACTTGAACTTGTTGTCTTCTTTTAACATCTCTCAATTGTCGCCAAGTCGCCCAAAATGTCATTCTTTTTCCAGTTTTCCACCATTCTCGTTCAACATATCTGAAATGGAATTTTGAGATTTGAAGAGAAATTCGGGAAATGTGAACTTACAATGAATATTGATCCAATTTCAGTTTTTGAATGGCTTGTGAAGAATATTTTTGAGTCAATCGAGCTTCCTGAAAATATAACAAATTGACAAAAAAATCCACTGTTTCAAATTATTCATAAAAAATATGAATAATGATGAAGTTTGATTCGTTTTTATGTTCCATTTGAAAAATAGAAAGGTGAAATTGAATTTTATTGAAATTGATAAAAATCCCAACAGACTTGAAATTTATTCTTTGAATCAAATGATTCCTAACAACTTTGAAATTCAACTTTTTCACTAGTAGAGACAAAATGTAAAGAATTTAAAAAAAATCCACTGTTTCAGATTTTCTAAATTAAATGTTGAGCTGCAAATCGTTGATGACTGATTTTTTTTATTTCGGAAAAACTGACAAGAGAGAATTAATAAAATTGCTCAAAATGCCATAGTTAGGGAACCAAATTTCAAAAAAATAGAAAAATCAATTTTTCAACTGTTTCAAAAATTATAAAATTCAAATTTTCTCACGAATTCATGATTTTTACTTGTAAAAATTTAACTGTTTCAGATTTTTCTAATTAAATTTTTGAGCTTTTTTGATCGATACCACGTCAATTTTCACACGGTGTGGAGATATTTGAGACTATGAAAATTTTAAAAAAGACTAGGGGCTGTTAGCCCCCAGGCGTAACAGTCTTCTCATTTATTTCAGTTTCACTTTTTTTCTGTAATTATTGTCCACAGAACAAAAAATGACTTGTGGCAAAATCAAGAAATCTTCCTAATTTTGCCATTGATGACGTCATCTATCAATTTTTTGAAAAAAAAATTTATTTAATTATTTTTTTGAATTAAATGTACTCGAAAGATGTTAAGAACAAGAATTACAATTGAATTCATCAAAAATTACAAGTTTTTTTATCAAAAAATGACTCGTGGCAAAATCAGGAATCAGGAAGGCTTCCTAATTTTGCCATGGAAAATCATTTTTCTGTATTAAACCTCATTGAAAAATCCTACTTCCATCGAGACATCACCCAACCGGGATTTTATTAAAAAGGTAGACCTGAGTAAGAAGTTACAGATTTGGATTAATCCAAAAATGTAAAAATGAAGTCGATGAGTTTTTTTTTGAAAAAATCTCGGTCCGATTTTTTTTTCAAAAATCTCGGCCCGATTTTTTTTTCAAAAATCTCGGTCCGATTTTTTTTCAAAAATCTCGGTCCGATTTTTTTTTTCAAAAATCTCGGCCCGATTTTTTTCAAAAATCTCGGTCCGATTTTTTTTTTCAAAAATCTCGGCCCGATTTTTTTTTCAAAAATCTCGGCCCGATTTTTTTTTTCAAAAATCTCGGTCCGATTTTTTTTCAAAAATCTCGGTCCGATTTTTTTCAAAAATCTCGGTCCGATTTTTTTTCAAAAATCTCGGTCCGATTTTTTTTTCAAAAATCTCGGCCCGATTTTTTTTTCAAAAATCTCGGTCCGATTTTTTTTTCAAAAATCTCGGCCCGATTTTTTTTCAAAAGTCTCGGCCCGATTTTTTTTTTCAAAAGTCTCGGGCCGATTTTTTTTGAAAAAATCTCGGTCCGATTTTTTTTTTCAAAAGTCTCGGGCCGATTTTTTTTGAAAAAATCTCGGTCCGATTTTTTTTCAAAAATCTCGGCCCGATTTTTTCAAAAGTCTCGGCCCGATTTTTTTTCAAAAATCTCGGCCCGATTTTTTTTCCAAAAATCTCGGGCCGATTTTTTTTCCAAAAGTCTCGGGCCGATTTTTTTTTCCAAAAGTCTCGGGCCGATTTTTTTTGAAAAAATCTCGGTCCGATTTTTTTTTCAAAAATCTCGGGCCGATTTTTTTTTTCCAAAAATCTCGGCCCGATTTTTTTTTCAAAAATCTCGGGCCGATTTTTTTTCCAAAAATCTCGGTCCGATTTTTTTTTTTCAAAAATCTCGGCCCGATTTTTTTTCAAAAGTCTCGGCCCGATTTTTTTTTTCAAAAGTCTCGGGCCGATTTTTTTTTGAAAAATCTCGGTCCGATTTTTTTTCAAAAGTCTCGGGCCGATTTTTTTTGAAAAAATCTCGGTCCGATTTTTTTTTTCAAAAGTCTCGGGCCGATTTTTTTTGAAAAAATCTCGGTCCGATTTTTTTTTCAAAAATCTCGGCCCGATTTTTTTTCAAAAGTCTCGGCCCGATTTTTTTTCAAAAATCTCGGCCCGATTTTTTTTCCAAAAATCTCGGGCCGATTTTTTTTCCAAAAGTCTCGGGCCGATTTTTTTTGAAAAAATCTCGGTCCGATTTTTTTTTCAAAAATCTCGGGCCGATTTTTTTTCCAAAAATCTCGGCCCGATTTTTTTTCAAAAGTCTCGGGCCGATTTTTTTCAAAAATCTCGGCCCGATTTTTTTCAAAAGTCTCGGCCCGATTTTTTTTCAAAAATCTCGGCCCGATTTTTTTTTCAAAAATCTCGGCCCGATTTTTTTTTTCCAAAAGTCTCGGGCCGATTTTTTTTGAGACCTAAATAAGAAGTTACAGATTTGGATTAATCCAAAAATGTAAAAATGGAGTCGATGAGTTTTTTTCAAAAATCTCGGCCCGATTTTTTTCCAAAAATCTCGGCCCGATTTTTTTCCAAAAATCTCGGCCCGATTTTTTTTTCCAAAAGTCTCGGGCCGATTTTTTTTGAGACCTAAATAAGAAGTTACAGATTTGGATTAATCCAAAAATGTAAAAATGGAGTCGATGAGTTTTTTCAAAAATCTCGGCCCGATTTTTTTCCAAAAATCTCGGCCCGATTTTTTTTTTCAAAAATCTCGGCCCGATTTTTTTTCAAAAATCTCGGCCCGATTTTTTTTCCAAAAATCTCGGGCCGATTTTTTTTTCAAAAATCTCGGGCCGATTTTTTTTCCAAAAATCTCGGCCCGATTTTTTTCCAAAAGTCTCGGGCCGATTTTTTTTTCAAAAATCTCGGGCCGATTTTTTTCCAAAAGTCTCGGGCCGATTTTTTTTCAAAACTCTCGGGCCGATTTTTTTGAAAAAACTCGGGCCGATTTTTTTCAAAAGTCTCGGGCCGATTTTTTTTTCAAAAATCTCGGGCCGATTTTTTTTGAAAAATCTCGGGCCGATTTTTTTTGAAAAAATCTCGGTCCGATTTTTTTTTTCAAAAGTCTCGGGCCGATTTTTTTTTTTCAAAAATCTCGGTCCGATTTTTTTTTTCAAAAATCTCGGCCCGATTTTTTTTTCAAAAATCTCGGCCCGATTTTTTTTCCAAAAATCTCGGGCCGATTTTTTTTTCCAAAAGTCTCGGGCCGATTTTTTTTCAAAAATCTCGGCCCGATTTTTTTTCCAAAAATCTCGGGCCGATTTTTTTTCCAAAAATCTCGGGCCGATTTTTTTTTTTGAAAAAACTCGGGCCGATTTTTTTGAAAAATCTCGGTCCGATTTTTTTTCAAAAATCTCGGCCCGATTTTTTTTCAAAAATCTCGGCCCGATTTTTTTTCCAAAAATCTCGGGCCGATTTTTTTTCTAAAAGTCTCGGGCCGATTTTTTTTCAAAAATCTCGGCCCGATTTTTTTCCAAAAATCTCGGGCCGATTTTTTTTCAAAAATCTCGGCCCGATTTTTTTTCCAAAAATCTCGGGCCGATTTTTTTTTCAAAAGTCTCGGCCCGATTTTTTTTCAAAAATCTCGGCCCGATTTTTTTTCCAAAAATCTCGGGCCGATTTTTTTTTCAAAAATCTCGGTCCGATTTTTTTTCAAAAATCTCGGCCCGATTTTTTTTCCAAAAATCTCGGGCCGATTTTTTTTTCCAAAAGTCTCGGGCCGATTTTTTTTCAAAAATCTCGGCCCGATTTTTTTTCCAAAAATCTCGGGCCGATTTTTTTCCAAAAATCTCGGGCCGATTTTTTTTTTGAAAAAACTCGGGCCGATTTTTTGAAAAATCTCGGTCCGATTTTTTTTCAAAAATCTCGGCCCGATTTTTTTTCAAAAATCTCGGCCCGATTTTTTTCCAAAAATCTCGGGCCGATTTTTTTTTCCAAAAGTCTCGGGCCGATTTTTTTTCAAAAATCTCGGCCCGATTTTTTTCCAAAAATCTCGGGCCGATTTTTTCAAAAATCTCGGCCCGATTTTTTTCCAAAAATCTCGGGCCGATTTTTTTTTTCAAAAGTCTCGGCCCGATTTTTTTTCAAAAATCTCGGCCCGATTTTTTTTCCAAAAATCTCGGGCCGATTTTTTTTCCAAAAATCTCGGGCCGATTTTTTTTTCCAAAAGTCTCGGGCCGATTTTTTTTCAAAAATCTCGGCCCGATTTTTTTTCCAAAAATCTCGGGCCGATTTTTTTTTCAAAAATCTCGGTCCGATTTTTTTTCCAAAAATCTCGGCCCGATTTTTTTTCAAAAATCTCGGCCCGATTTTTTTTCCAAAAATCTCGGGCCGATTTTTTTTTTTCAAAAATCTCGGTCCGATTTTTTTTCCAAAAATCTCGGCCCGATTTTTTTTCAAAAATCTCGGCCCGATTTTTTTTCCAAAAATCGGGCCGATTTTTTTTTCAAAAATCTCGGGCCGATTTTTTTCCAAAAGTCTCGGGCCGATTTTTTTTTCAAAAATCTTACAAATGAATTACAATTGTTTTCATCAAAAAATTCAAGTTTTTTGATTGAAAAATGACTCGTTGCAAAATTAGGAATCAGGAAGGCTTCCTAATTTTGCCATGGAAAATCATTTTTCTGTTTTAAAGTACTCGATAGGGGCTGTTAGGCCCCAGGCGGGGCAATATTTGATAAAAAAATAGAATGTTCTTTAGACAGTACTCTATAAATGCTCACTAAAATTTTTTCTGACAATAATTTTTTTTCTGAAAAAAAGGTAGATTATTTTTCTCACGTCAAAAATTTTTCTTCGAGCATTTCTAAGCGAATTAATGGTCATTTCTTGTGTCAGAAATGGTTAAGTGGTTAGATCACGTGTTTTTTGTTCAGAAGGTCCAGGATCGGATCCTTTTGGACGTTCGCGAAGGTATGATTTTCGGAAAAAATGGGAAATGTCCAAAATTGCGACATCTAAAAAAAGAGAACAGGGGGGACCCCATTGAAAAATGCTTCTTCCATCGAGACACCACCCAATCGGGATTTTATTAAAAAGGTAGAAATAATTTTTACGGTTTCAAAACGAGCAATTTTGAAAACTGCTAAAACTCTTAATTTTCTCCCTAGCAAGTAAGTCAAGCGTAAAAACCACAAAATACATATTTTCTCACCTTCATTGGTTCTCCAGCTGTTTCTTCCGGTGTTTCTTCCGATTCCTCTTTTTTGATGGCTGGCTCTTCGCTTGGCGCAGCTGTCGACAACATCCTTCTACTCAAAATCTGCTCATTTTTGGCGATACCGCCAAAAATCGAGCTCGCAGCTCCGCGAAGAGCTCGGAGCATTTTCTAGAAAAAATCGGGTATTTGCTAGAAAAAATCAAATGTTCAAAGATATTTTCAAAAAGTTGTGCTAACTTTCTGGGTTTTGAATTCAACTTGAAAAATAAAAAGAAAAAAATTAATTATGAAACAAAAAGTGAAAAAAGGTAAAATGACAAATACAAATACAAAAATACACGTAAAAATAAATAAAAATTAACCGGTTTCAAAAATTATCGTCCTGAGATTGGTGTTGTTTCGAAGATGGATTTTTTCTGGAAAAATGCACAAAAGTTATCATAACTCAATTCCCAAATTCGCCCATTCTCAAAAAACTCACTTCTGATGAATTTCACAAATCGTTTGAAGCATTCGATGATCCGAAATAATCATTGCTGATGATTCTGGAGCTCCTTTTGCTTTTTCTTCCATGAGCTGTCTGAAATAAGAGCAAAATGTATGTGTTTAGGAAAAAAAAATAAGAAATTCATTGAATAACTAAATATTTGTGTTGGAGAAGTGCAACAGATGGCTTTTTTGTTGGAAATTTTTTACTGTTTCAAAATAATCTTATATTACGGAATTCTTTTCAATGATTGATTCTAATTCCCTCTCTAACAAACAACATTTTTTACTGTTTCAAAAATTCATAAATCATGAAAAAGTATCATTTTCTTGATCCATTCAAGGATGATTTATAAATTTTACATTAAGGGGTAGGAAAATTTTACTGTTTCAAAATTTTCTGATAATTTTGGATAAGGTGGATTTTTGATCAACCTCCTTTTTTGTTTTTGAAATTTGTTGGAAAATTACAATGTTCTAAAATTAGTCCTAGAAAAACAAAAATTAGATTTTTTTTACTGTTTCAAGATTTCCTGATATTTTCGGATGAGGGTTGATTTTTGATCGTTTAATTCTTTTTTTTTTCAAAATTTGATATTATTGGAAAACTACAAAGAATTTCAAAAATGAAAATTATGTGAAAATTAATTTTTGCAAATTCTCACTGTTTCAAAAATACTAATATTGAGATTTTGGAAAATAGCAATATTTGTATAATACATCGAAATGAACCAATAAAGAGCAACGGGAGCAATTTTTCACTTGAAAATTGAGATTTCCCAGATTTTTATCCCCTCCCTTCCTTAAAAAAAAAACTTACAAAACATCCTCTAAGACCGTATCCGTCGGTTGTACCTCAATTCGATCAATATGCAAATTCCTTGCCCATCCAACAAATCCATTCGCTCTAACATGTAAACCAATCAATTCTTTTCGATTTCCCTCAATTTTCGCCGCAATTTTCTGGGCAAGTCTCCAAAAAGTGGATTCATTCATTATTACAGCTTCTGCTTCAAATTGTTTCAAAAGTGATCGAATTGATCCGAATTCCTGATTTTTCATGTAAATTTTGAGCGCTCCATACATTCGGACCATTGAAATTATTTGAAGATTTACTTCAACTTCGGGGTCTGCAAAAAAGGTTTTTTGAAGAAAAGAGATACAGAAACCAAAACAAATTATATCTGAAAATAAATTCAAATAATTTTGAAACCTATTTTTCCTTTGTTTTTGTTCCCAAGAAAAGAAATCGTTATGAATTTTAATTGAAAATATATTTTTCTGGAAAAATCTATGGTTTTTAAGGAATTTTGCTGTTGATTAAAAATTCTCGAAGTATTTTTTGGAAATTAAATTTTTAATCATAAATTTCAGACAATTCTAGAGAACATCAAAAATGTTTTTCTGTGAAAAAATGAAAGATTTTTATGTTAACGAAATTCGAATGCCAAACAAAAAATAATATCCAAAAAAAAATTCTAATAATTTTGAAACCTATTTTTTTGGGTTATTTTTGAAAAATGTTTTTTATTGGATAAAGTCTGGGTTTTTTGAGGACATTTTCCTAAGAATGTGAATTTGAAATTTTTAATTTGAAAAAAAATTCCCCCAAACTATTCCCTTACCAAATCGACATCTTCTCATCTCATAAAATCTCTCCTTCACCGCATTCAAATTCTTCTGCAGTTCAATTTTTTTGGCCGTCGAACTCGTCATATCATCCACATATTTTCTCGAATATCGAATTTCCGAGCGGAATTTCTTGAGAGCTTGTTGAAGGACTTTTTTATATGTTTCCAGGTGAAGTGTTTTTCGCTCTTTCGTTTCAGTCAATTCATTCAACAATTGATCCATTATCAATTTTCCATCTATTATTTCATTTTCTTTTGATAAATCCAATGTATTTATGAAATTGATTGAGTTCTGACATATTGTTCCAATTTCTATCTTCTCATTTTCTCCAGTTCCGACTGTAAAAATATAATTTTTGGAAAATGAACTTTTTTCATTCCAGATTCTCATGATGACTCAAAAAATGTTTCTTTTTCAAAACCGGGGAAATTAGCCTCACGTATTATCAAAAATAGGTATAAAATAATTTTAAAATATTTTAAAACAGTGAAATTTTCGAAATTTCCCAGTGCAAAATTGTGACCACTTAATATAAAAATTGCTAGAAATTTTTATTAAATCACTAGAAATATACTAATAATTTTACAGATAAAGGCTGTTTAACTTTTTCTTTGAAAAATGTTGATACTTTGTTTTTTTAACTATGAACCCATGTATCAATTATAGAAATTGCCCAAAATTAATCTCATAATATTTTGAAACAGTGAAAACTTACGCATAGTGAACTTCAAAATCGCTTCAAAACATCGACAAACAACACTTGGTTTCGGCAAAACCGAAATCATTGAAAATTGCTCTCTTTTCTCGCGTAGTTCCATTGTGTCTCTCAATTTGAAAATGGCTGTTTTGATGAGTTCAATATTTTGCATATCGATTTGGTCGAGAGGAACTTCGAGAATTTGGGGTGCCAGAATTGTCAAACATAATTCACGTTGTGTTGAGGAGGTCATCTGCGAAAAAAACCAAGGGATTTTTAAGGGGAAGTAAACTTGATCTGATCAATATGTGTTTCTATGCTTCTAGAAATATTACAAGCACATCAATATCATTCATTGAAAAATTTATAATTTTTAAAAACAATTTTTGAAACAGTGAATTTTTTTTATAATTTTTTTTGACGCAAAAACCCATTTTTTGAAAATATCAGTAGCTTCATCCCCAAAAATTCTCAGAACCTTTTCCAAATTCCAATTTTCTTCCGAAGCCGAAAATATCAAAAAATAATCTTTTCTGAAGCCAAAAAATCCACGAGGAATTTTTTCTCTCAAAAAATAACCAATGAAGCGTCATCATTATTATTTATTGAAAACTTTCAAATTCTTAAAAACAATTTTTGAAACAGTGAATTTTTTTCTAATTTTTTTTGACGCGAAAAAATTTTTCTTGAAAATATCAGTAGCTTCTTTTTTCTCCCCAAACATTCCCCAAAAACTCACATTCAATCTCAACAAAACAGCAAAAAGATGAATTTGAATATCAGCCAATGAAACATTGGGTCCAATTTGACTCGATCCTTGAGTCCACAATGGCGAAAACTCTTGCAAAATCTTATGAACAGTTTTCACAATCTGTCTATTCATTCGTTTCTCATCGTCTTCGTCCAAATATAATGAGGTGAGAACTCGTCGCTGTTTACAATTTTCGATTTCCAATTTGATTGCTGCCATTTTTTGTTTTGCAATTCGATACCATTCGAGGTACTGGAAAATGAATAATTAGATAGGGTTTGAGATAAAAATTTGAATTGACTATTTTTTTGGCAGTTAGAAGTGATTTAAAAATTTGAAATGTATTTTCAAAATTTCACTGTTTCAAAAACGTTTTAGAATAAAAATTTTGAAATCTGAATTCAAAAAAATTTCACTGTTTCATAGAAAACATTTGAGCTGGGATAATTTTAGAAATGTATTAAGATTCACGACAATGATGTTGGAAATTAAGTTTCGAAATTCAGAAAAATTTTTCAATTCAAAATTCTCCAAAATCTGCGTTCGGGGGGAATCGAACCCCCGTCGAATGCTTGGACACAGCGAAATTCTGGTAGATCTGCCGCAGTCCTGCCGAACTCCTGCCGAGGTCGAATCTGCGGTAGTACTGTGAGGTACATGCCGGCAGGACCTGCCGGCAGAAGTGCGGCAGGCATGTCGCAGCTTTTAATCAAATTTTCCGCTCTGCTTAGTATTTTTCATCGCAATTAGTTAAACTATCTTGATTTCACTAACAATATTTATTAAACATATAAAAATGTAATAATTAGAAGATCCTCGGGTATGTAGGTGATGCGGGTGACTGATTATTGTTTGATTGATAGGTGAAGTCGTTTCTCTGAAAACAAAAATAGAGTGACATTAATTTTGGCTTTTTGAGCAGCAGAATTTTTTTTTGAAGCCTGGGGCAAATTTCTAAATGGTCTTATAATAGCTTGAGAAGTCTCTGAATTTTTCTGAAGCGCGGGTGAACTTCTAGATGGTCATAAAGACCAGGTCTTAGACCTGAATTTCGATATGGCAAAATTGTAAAAGCTCGATTATCCCAAACAAAAATTTGAATTTCCAAATGTTAAAAAAAATAACGGGCTGTTATTTTTCCGAGATAATGGGTGATGGGTGAGCCTCTTGTAAAAGAAAATTCGGAAAGTTTGGGGCCAAAAATCAGGAAATCTTGAAAAATCAAACCTGATTTTTGATTTTTAGGTCATTTTTTGTTGAACATTCAAGACTTCTGTGCTTTCAAAATTCAAAATTCGAAAATTAAAGTTTTTGCGCGAAAATTTTCAAAAAATAACAAAAAATTACCCGCAATTGATATCCTCCTCGAATTCGCCCAAGTTGCTGAATCCTGTGTGAAGTTTCTGTAAAAACGTTGATGAAAAAACTACGGTTTTTGTAATTACGGAAAAATACATAAGTAAACTGACCTAAAAAAGATGAAGAATGAGAAGAAATGGGCGGAAGGTTATGGAAGTCTGAAAATATTTTTAATGATTTACTTCTTTATTTCTATTTTTAGCAGACAGAGCTCGGGAAAATTTTCTAAAAGCCTTAGAGGGGCCCGGGAACTCACTGAATTTTTTTTAAGCCTGGGGAAAATTTCTAAAGGCCTTAGAGTGGCCCGGGAACTGACTGAATTTTTTTAAGCCTGGGGAAAATTTCTAAAGGCCTTAGAGTGGCCCGGGAACTCACTGAATTTTTTAAGCCTGGGGAAAATTTCTAAAGGCCTTAGAGTGGCCCGGGAACTGACTGAATTTTTTTAGCCTGGGGAAAATTTCTAAAGGCCTTAGAGTGGCCCGGGAACTCACTGAATTTTTTTAAGCCTGGGGAAAATTTCTAAAGGCCTTAGAGTGGCCCGGGAACTGACTGAATTTTTTAAGCCTGGGGAAAATTTCTAAAGGCCTTAGAGGGGCCCGGGAACTGACTGAATTTTTTAAGCCTGGGGAAAATTTCTAAAGGCCTTAGAGTGGCCCGGGAACTCACTGAATTTTTTAAGCCTGGGGAAAATTTCTAAAGGCCTTAGAGTGGCCCGGGAACTGACTGAATTTTTTTAAGCCTGGGGAAAATTTCTAAAGGCCTTAGAGGGGCCCGGGAACTGACTGAATTTTTTTTAAGCCTGGGGAAAATTTCTAAAGGCCTTAGAGTGGCCCGGGAACTCACTGAATTTTTTTAAGCCTGGGGAAAATTTCTAAAGGCCTTAGAGTGGCCCGGGAACTGACTGAATTTTTTTAAGCCTGGGGAAAATTTCTAAAGGCCTTAGAGTGGCCCGGGAACTGACTGAATTTTTTAAGCCTGGGGAAAATTTCTAAAGGCCTTAGAGTGGCCCGGGAACTGACTGAATTTTTTTAAGCCTGGGGAAAATTTCTAAAGGCCTTAGAGTGGCCCGGGAACTGACTGAATTTTTTTAAGCCTGGGGAAAATTTCTAAAGGCCTTAGAGGGGCCCGGGAACTGACTGAATTTTTTTTAAGCCTGGGGAAAATTTCTAAAGGCCTTAGAGTGGCCCGGGAACTCACTGAATTTTTTAAGCCTGGGGAAAATTTCTAAAGGCCTTAGAGTGGCCCGGGAACTGACTGAATTTTTTTAAGCCTGGGGAAAATTTCTAAAGGCCTTAGAGTGGCCCGGGAACTGACTGAATTTTTTAAGCCTGGGGAAAATTTCTAAAGGCCTTAGAGTGGCCCGGGAACTCACTGAATTTTTTTAAGCCTGGGGAAAATTTCTAAAGGCCTTAGAGTGGCCCGGGAACTGACTGAATTTTTTTTAAGCCTGGGGAAAATTTCTAAAGGCCTTAGAGGGGCCCGGGAACTGACTGAATTTTTTTTTAAGCCTGGGGAAAATTTCTAAAGGCCTTAGAGTGGCCCGGGAACTCACTGAATTTTTTTAAGCCTGGGGAAAATTTCTAAAGGCCTTAGAGTGGCCCGGGAACTGACTGAATTTTTTTAAGCCTGGGGAAAATTTCTAAAGGCCTTAGAGTGGCCCGGGAACTCACTGAATTTTTTTAAGCCTGGGGAAAATTTCTAAAGGCCTTAGAGGGGCCCGGGAACTGACTGAATTTTTTTTAAGCCTGGGGAAAATTTCTAAAGGCCTTAGAGTGGCCCGGGAACTCACTGAATTTTTTTTAAGCCTGGGGAAAATTTCTAAAGGCCTTAGAGTGGCCCGGGAACTGACTGAATTTTTTTAAGCCTGGGGAAAATTTCTAAAGGCCTTAGAGTGGCCCGGGAACTGACTGAATTTTTTTTAAGCCTGGGGAAAATTTCTAAAGGCCTTAGAGTGGCCCGGGAACTCACTGAATTTTTTTTAAGCCTGGGGAAAATTTCTAAAGGCCTTAGAGTGGCCCGGGAACTGACTGAATTTTTTTTTAGCCTGGGGAAAATTTCTAAAGGCCTTAGAGTGGCCCGGGAACTCACTGAATTTTTTTAAGCCTGGGGAAAATTTCTAAAGGCCTTAGAGTGGCCCGGGAACTCACTGAATTTTTTTTGAGATCGTGAAAAATTTCTAAAGGCCTATAAGTTAGCGTACAATTGTTTATTTCGGAAACCACGATTTTGGCCGAGCTGTGCTTTCAGAAACTGAAATTTCATTATTTTTTCAGTATCCTAGCCTAAAACGGATTGGCTGGGGTTTGTTATGTTAAGAATTTCTCTAGAAAAATAAACGACAACGAAGATGAACAAATTGCTGCTAAACTGACTGTCAGTGTTTGTCCGAAAAGTAAAACATTTGGCTAATTAGCTTAGGTATTATGCTCTTCAGACAAACACTGACAAAAGGGCTCAGAGTGAAACTGTATATTTACGAAGGTACATTTCTTATTGAAAATCTCCCGGGACACCTAAAACACTGGTGAGCAAATATAGACGCCAGAAATGTCAAAATATTCTGAAATTTTGAGTGAATAACCAAACTTTTACATTCAAGTGAATAATCAAACTTTACGGATAGAGGATTCAAAATTTCTCAAATTTTAAAATCACAAAAAAAGACGTACCATGATTTTTCCCGCTTTCCGCAAATCCTGAGATTGTTGATTGTAACTCCTGAAAGAATATATTGACAGAACACTAAGAGAAGAACAATTTGCATAGAAAATAAATGAAAATATGAAAGAAAGTTCATTATTTTTGACCTCGAAGTTATTTGTAACTATATTCATTCTAAAGGACATAACAATTTAGCTGAAGAGTGGCTCCAAAAGTCTACTTACAACAAATTTCGACACTGAATAGGCAACTTAAACCTATTTTCATAAATACCATTTCTCACCAAAGAACGATAAAAGTTCTCTCGAGGGAAATGTGGAAACATTTCAAAGACGAATTAGACATTTATTGTAATAGAATTTAAGAATCCGAACAAGCTTTCAACTGGTTTACAGGTTACCTCAAGAAAGGGAATGGCTGTCCTAATTGTCCTATCAGCTGAAGAAAAACTGAAATGCCTGTTTTTCTATTTTGCTCATTTCTGCGCTTTTTCAGTTTTTCTACTTCTTCTCCGGTGTCAGGCATCAAATTATAGATTTTTGAGGGTGATTCAGGTTCAATGAACTAATTAAACTGTCGTTAAACAACATCGGGTAGGACTGGTATGACAGCAATTCCGTCCTCTTGTCAATTATCAAGTTCAGATGAATAAATCGAATTAGTCGGTTATCTGATGAGCTCTATGAAATTTTATAGACCTAATATTGTTAAACTAACTTGAAAGGCTGATTAGAAATCTAACATTTCGTAATTTACCTCTACATTTTCATTAATAAACACATAAAAACAAAACAACAGCAGAAAGCAAAAAAAAAAGAAAAAAATTTTGTAAATTGTCCGGGAGAAGTACACACAAGCGCGTTTCCGTGTGGGACCTTTCTGAATTATTGTGTGCGCCTTTGTTTCGGTTTTATTTACGTGAACAGAACACGTTAGTTTTCGCAAAAAGTTATCTAAACTATGCGACGCAAAATCTCGTTCTGAACAAAATGGTTATGAATTGACACCTAAAAATAATATTGCTAGGCTCGCAAAATACAAGAATTTGGTTGCAAGAAGTATTCACGACTCCATTTACTCCGAAAATTGTTTATTACATCTGAATGGACTTTTCTGAAGCCGAAATCATGAGAAAACTATTCTGATGCTTATTTTGCAAATTTCTAAGATAGAGTATTTATCACGAAAAAAGTACTTCGATTTTCAGCAGATTTTTTGCTGAAAAATTTCAAAATATTCAAAATTTAACACAGCACAGATTTTTCAAGCAAAAATTTACACTGTGAAGAACCTTTTTTTCAAAATTAACCTGTTAATAAAAAATTTAGTGACTTCTCGAGCCATTTTATTACTATTATGGGGTGAGTCAATTTTATTTTTTGACGCGAGTTTTTTTTTGTGCGATTTTTTCACGTTTTTGTTGATTAATTCCATCTTTTTTTGCAATTAATTGCATTCAAAAATGAGGAATTGCGATACGAAATAGAATTTATTTGACCTCTTTTTTGAAACGTTTTCCAAATTCACTGCTTATTTTTTAAAATTCATTTCGAAATGAGAGAAAAATGAGAGAAGAAATTTTTTTGTTGATAAATCCAACTAATATAGGCCACGTTTTAAAATATAGGTCAAATAAATTCTATTTTTTATGCAATTAATCGCATTTTTTGCCAAGAAACGTCGATTAATTCGATTGACTCACCCCATTAGAAATTTTCCCCAGGCTTAAAAAAAATTCAGTGAGTTCCCGGGCCACTCTAAGGCCTTTAGAAATTTTCCCCAGGCTTAAAAAAAATTCAGTGAGTTCCCGGGCCACTCTAAGGCCTTTAGAAATTTTCCCCAGGCTTAAAAAAATTCAGTGAGTTCCCGGGCCACTCTAAGGCCTTTAGAAATTTTCCCCAGGCTTAAAAAAATTCAGTGAGTTCCCGGGCCACTCTAAGGCCTTTAGAAATTTTCCCCAGGCTTAAAAAAATTCAGTGAGTTCCCGGGCCACTCTAAGGCCTTTAGAAATTTTCCCCAGGCTAAAAAAAAATTCAGTCAGTTCCCGGGCCACTCTAAGGCCTTTAGAAATTTTCCCCAGGCTTAAAAAAAATTCAGTGAGTTCCCGGGCCACTCTAAGGCCTTTAGAAATTTTCCCCAGGCTTAAAAAATTCAGTGAGTTCCCGGGCCACTCTAAGGCCTTTAGAAATTTTCCCCAGGCTTAAAAAAAATTCAGTCAGTTCCCGGGCCACTCTAAGGCCTTTAGAAATTTTTCACGATCTCAAAAAAAATCAGTCAGTTCCCGGGCCACTCTAAGGCCTTTAGAAATTTTCCCCAGGCTTAAAAAAATTCAGTGAGTTCCCGGGCCACTCTAAGGCCTTTAGAAATTTTTCACGATCTCAAAAAAAATTCAGTGAGTTCCCGGGCCACTCTAAGGCCTTTAGAAATTTTCCCCAGGCTTAAAAAAATTCAGTGAGTTCCCGGGCCACTCTAAGGCCTTTAGAAATTTTCCCCAGGCTAAAAAAAAATTCAGTCAGTTCCCGGGCCACTCTAAGGCCTTTAGAAATTTTCCCCAGGCTTAAAAAATTCAGTGAGTTCCCGGGCCACTCTAAGGCCTTTAGAAATTTTCCCCAGGCTTAAAAAAATTCAGTGAGTTCCCGGGCCACTCTAAGGCCTTTAGAAATTTTTCACGATCTCAAAAAAAATTCAGTGAGTTCCCGGGCCACTCTAAGGCCTTTAGAAAATTTCCCCTGGCTTAAAAAAAATTCAGTGAGTTCCCGGGACATTTTAAGACTATTAGAAAATTGTCTTGGAGTTTTCAAAAAATTGAGAACCGTATTAGGCCAATATAAGAGCCCTTCGAATATCTAGATATTTTTTTGGAAAAACGTTGCAATTATTTTATCGTCCTGTCTTCTGATTAATTTCAAAACAATAAAATTCAAATATTCTCTTCATTGTGTCGACTTGTGTCGAAGTTGGAAATAATCCGAAACTATGTAGTGAGGTAATTTTGCGACTTCTAATGAAAATTGCATGTTACATTTGAAAAATCCTACGAGCCATAAATTTTTCTCCATATTAGGTCAACTTATGTATCTATTTTATACAAATAATCAATTAAAATTCCACCATACTCTCAACTTATGGGCATTCTTTTCATTATAATACAAAAAAGTGAAAAATATCTTGGCAGACCTGCGGCAGATCTGCCAAAATTCCACAACTTCTGCCGCACTCCTGCGGAAGTCATGCCAACCTCGGGATATCTGCCGCACACCTGCCGCACATATACCAGAATTTCGCTGTGGAAGGCATCCATGCTGACCATTACACCACGAACGCGATATGAAAATTATTGCAGAAATTTCGGAGATATCAAAACTACATTGGATATCGGATTTTCTCGCAAAAACCGGTTATTTTCACGATTTCCAAATACACAGTTTTGATATCTCCGAAATTTCTTCAATAATTTTCATATCGCGTTCGTGGTGTAATGGTCAGCATGGATGCCTTCCAAGCATTCGACGGGGGTTCGATTCCCCCCGAACGCAGATTCTTTATTTAATAGAAATTTTGAAAATGCGCCTACCTTTTTGACAGCAAAAAGTGGCAAAACTTTTCCAATAATCGGATTTTCTTGAATAATACTTCCATACGGTGTCAAAACCTCATTCAACATAATTTTCAACTCTTTCGGCTGCAACTTCCAAATCTCATTTTCTCGATTTCTTTCCATATTCGATGATTTCGTCAAAATCGAGGCAATCAATAATTTCATCACTTTTTCTTGTGGAATTTTTCGGGCTCGATTTACGATGAATTCATATCTCACCAAATAATCAATGATATTTGTGGCCAATTTTCGACAGAAATTTTCAGTGTATGTGGGAATTCGATCGAAATTGAATTGATTTTCAGGATCCGCGTCTCGCCAAGATTCGAACAATTCTTCGCTGGTACACCAATAATTTGTCTGAAAATTTGGAAAATTCAAAAAATTCTACTGTTTCAAAAAAAAATTAGAGAACTAAAAATGAACTGGTTTTAATTTCTCTTTTGAAATTCTTCGACGAAAAAAAATATTTGTAAAGTTTTTTTCTAAAAAATCTACTGTTTCAACTAAAATATTTGTATTTTCAAAAATATCATCTTTTTGATATTTCTTTTTATAGATTTAAATATCCTAATAATTTGAGTTACATCGAAAAAACTCACCGAAACCGAGAATTTCGATCCGAGAAGTTCGAGAAGCGGCTGAACAAAATCAAATTCTGTTTCATCAGGTGGATGATAATAAATTCGGAGTTCTTCACTTTCGACTGGCGGGCTGAGCTGAAAAAATGAATTATTTTTGGAAAAAATTTGATTTAGAGACAATTTTCCCGAATTTTTTGTTCGAAATTCTAGGTTTTTTAATAGAAAATCAGGTTTTGTGCTTAAATTTTGACTTTTCCGCAAATTCCTTTAATTATTTCCCAAATAAAAGAAAAACCGACCTCAACATAACCCAATTCGTCTTGATATTCTGCTGCATAAATTTCAACCGGATTCCTTTTACATCTGGCCTCAAAATTCGCCATATTCCTCTCGAAATTCACCCAATTTTCAGCCCAACTTCGATCATTTCTTCTCAACTGATTATCAATCTCATTTTTCATTCCATACAAATCAATATCATATTGTTCAAATTCCATTTTTTCGATATCATTTTCTGACAATTGTTTGGCTCTTTCCAATTCTCGAATCGCTCCTCTCGCATCTTTATCTCCAATTCTCGGCAATTTCGTCTTCCAAAATGTCTTGATCAAATTCATTCGTTCTCGATGTGTTTTCAATCCAATTTCATTCAAACCATATCCGAAATTAATTTCAAAAGTTGCTTGAATATTTGCAATTGCATGAGAAACACAACCACAATTCATGAGCCATTTTAAATATCGAATATATACAAAAAGTTGATATTTTCTTATATATAAATGGTCGGTTATTAAAGGAACATGAGATTGAAGAGTTCCATCAACTAAACCACGCAGTTTTTCCAAACAATTGTCGAATATGCTTTCCTGAAAATAAGAAGATTTAGAAAAATATCGGGAAAACTTAAACTTTATGTGAAATCATTGAAAAAATGAATAAGTTTAAAATGTATTCTAAATTTTTGAAACAGTGAATTTTTAAAATATTTTGATGTCAAATTTTTGGAGAGCTTTCATGTGGCAAAAAATAAGGTCAAGGAAATTAACTGGAGAATTGAAAATGAATATTTATTAAAAAGGTAGATTTGAAACAGTGAATTTTGGAAATAGAAATTTTTGGATTTCTGATAGCAAAATTTCACGTGGCAAATATTCCATTTTTAGCTGAATTTAAATTTCATGTGCAAAGTTTTAGGGAATTTTTCGAAATTTTCGAAGCGCAAAAAGTATGGGCAAGATGTCAGGTTTGTCATGTCAGAGTAGAATTTTCTAGCGAAAAAAGCTATGACGTGGCAAAATTTCTTTTCAAAAAATGTAGAATTGATTCGAGATAAATTTTTAAGAAACAATTTAGGTCAAGTATATCAACTGGAACATTGATAATATGAATCAGTTCAAAATTTATCTGATTTTTTTGAAACAGTGAATTTTTGAAATATTTATGTGGAAAAATTTTGCAAAGCTTCCACGTGGAAAATGTTCATTTTTTTTGAGCAAAATTTAAATTTCATGTGCAAAGTTTTAGGGAATTTTTCTGAATTTTCGAAGCGCAAAAAGTATGGGCAAAAATTCAGGTGTGTCATGTCAGAACAGAATTTTCTAGCGAAAAAAGCTATGACGTGGCAACATTTTTTTTTTCAAAAAATCTAGAATTGATTCGAGATAAATTTTCAAGAAACAATTTAGGTCAAGAAAATGGCATGGATCATTAAAAAAAAGAATTAGTTCAAAATTTATCTGAATTTTTTGAAACAGTGAATTTTTTAAATGTTTCAATGGCAAAATTTTGGAAAAAATCCACGTGGCAAGAAATTTCCAGGAATCTATTTATCGGTAGTTTTTGCCGGATAATATCTTTAAAATTTCTAGGAATTTTTTTTCTGATTTGTTCGGACTTGTCAAGTAATACTAATAATTTTCAATTCAACATTTATTTAAAATTTTTGAAACAGTGGATTTTTTCTAATGAAAAAATGAAAAATAGCAAAATTCAACGTGACAAAAGTTTTTAGGGACAGAAATTTCAGCTTTAAAAGTGAGAAAAAAAAACATTTCTCCCCAAAAATCTCACCATTTTCGAAAATGTATACACATTACTATCAAATTGAACATAATCCAAAAACTTATTCCAAGCCAATGGAATATGCGGGAAATTATGTGTAACTCTTTTGAATTCCACCAAAACAGTTTCGGAACTTTGTTGCATTTCAATCAATAAATCAATCTTCATCAATTGCAATTGCACATTTGCTCGATTCCTTTCAATTGCTCTCGCCAAAATTTCATATTTTCTCTCCAAAAATGACTTTCTCGAATCGCAAATAGCATGGATCTTTTTCGCCTCATAAATCTTATCTTGAAGATCAATAAAATCAATCCATAAATTAACATTTTGTGGTTCTTGAGATAATTGCATATTGATTGCTTTTCCACGAGTTTCCAGGTCAGTTATTGATTTTATGAGTGAATCATCATAATCATAAACTCTTTTTGCTCTGAACTCGTCTTCGATTTCAGATCTCATTTTCAGTTTTGCAGATTGTTCAGACTGCAAAAAATGTAAATATATATCAAATTCTTTTCAGATCTTCTTACCTGATATTCAAATGCCTCCAATGGTTCCTGGGAAAGCGGAACAAATCCAAATTCACTATCAGTACTCCAAAATTTTTTCCTGAATTTCGTTTCTTGTGGAACATGTTTTGCCAAACTCAATAATTGCGCATAAAATGGTTTTTCCTTTTCCTTTTTCATGATCTCTTTTGCTTTTTCGGGAAACTCTTCAGAGAAGTATTTCTGGAATGAAATTATGTTTTGAAATGAAGAATCGACAACGACAAAAATTGTCAGAAACTTCTGTGAGCACATAGATTTCTGAAACTCCAAATTATAAAAGTCTTACATAAAATTTATTCCTATCATCTGATTTCGTTTCGAGTCCCTCAATAAACCTAAAATTATTCCGATATTTGGGCATTTCTCGTTTCGGCATTCCTAATTGAACATTATCAAAGTCTTGTTGTCGACTTGTTTGAATCCAAGATCCAAAATATGTAAGATGCAAATGCCGAAATTCTTCATCAGAAATAAAAGACCATTTTTGTTTTGGGGCAGCTTTCACTTGAGGAGTTGGAGAAGATTTTCGATAGGATTTTGAGCGAGATCGGGAAGATCCAGAAGATGAAGAATCAGAAGATGATGAATAATGATATCGCCTCTTATGCTTTTTCTTTTGCTTCTTCTTATCTGGAAAAGATTCCCGTTCTCTTGATCTTGATCGGTTTCTTTTTTTATTTTTGCTCCAGATATCAGGTTTCCTGCAAAAACATTTATTTATTTATAAAAATTACCAAAAAAAAATCAAAATCCCTAAAACTTACTCTTCATCACTTGATCTTTTTGAACTTCCACTTGGAAATGAGCCATAACTTGAGCCAACTTCTGGTTTCACTTCTGAATTTCTCATTTGTTCCATTCTTTTTTGTTTCCAGCTTTTATTCTGTGGCATAACTGATTGCACTTCTTTTCGTGTATATCTTGCTGGAAGTTTGATTGCTGGCATTTCAAGCTCTTCAGAATCGTCTGAATATGAATCTGGAGCACATGGTCGATATTCTAAAGATTCTTTGATTTCCGATTTTCTTCTATCTTCATCTTTCAAGTTCTGCAAACTCCGTTGTTGATTCATGATTCTTTTCTGCTCATACTCTTCTTCATTTACAATTTCACCATCTTCATCCATAATTTTTGCCTCGTCATCTTTCTTTTTTCGACGATCCGGCAAATAACCCGCAAACATTTTTGGATTAGAATAATTTCCTGAAAAACCTCACTATTTTGCAAATAAGAGTATTTCAAAATATGGAAAAACAGCAGGACTTCTCAATAAAACCGGTTTAAAACTGAGAAAAACAAGGTGTTATCTACGAAACTTTGAAAAACAAAGAGAAACTTTGAAAAGAAAAGAAAATTAAATAGAAATGCTGGCGCATTTTGCGTGCACTACAAAACGCGTCAATGTCGTGCGACTGACCCCAGAATTTTAGTTGCGCAAAAAATTTTGAAAAAGTTTTTTGTTTTTGAAGTTTCTGGAACTCATACTGTTTTTTTCGCGCTCCCCAAAGTTTAGAAAAATAGCTCAACCTCTGATTTTTTGATTTCCAATATAATTTCAAGAAGTTTTAATGTGAATTTTTTTGTCATTGTGAAAAATAAAATACCCAAAATTTTCCGGAAAAATTTGAATATTTCTTTCTCAATTTTAAGGTGCTAAGATCATTTGAACAATTATTGAAAAGCATAAAATTTTTTTAAAATCTTTAATTTACAGAATTTCCCCCTCGAAACTTAATATTTTTGAAAATTGCATCATTGCATCATTTTTTAATCAGTTTTTTTCTAGAATGTCGTGGTTATTCGGAGTAAAATCAAACGCCACTCCCCAAATTCCCGACGATTTCCAAGCGGGTCCACCAGGTGCACATGGCGGCCAACCACAACAACCAGGAGGTGCTCCACAACAAGAAGCAGTCGGAAATAAGATGGCATATTCTTTTGATTCAACTGCTTTGGAACGAGCTGCCAAAGCGGCTCGAGATCTCGAAAGATTTCCAAATGCAAAAGAAGCTCTTGAATTGTCAAGAATGCAAGAAGTGACTAGACAGAAGGAAGTTGAAATGGACACAAAGAAATTGGAAGCTCAATTGGCTAATATGAAATCTGAACATATTCGAGTAGCTGAAGAGGAGCGGAGAAAAACACTTGGAGAAGAATCGAGACATGCTAAATCACGGGCGGATTATCAAGATCAGTTAGCCAGAAAAAGACAAGAGGATGAACTTGCATTGAAAGCAAGAATGCAAGAAGAAAGTTTGAGAAAACAAGAAGAATCTATCAAAAAGCAAGAACAACTCAGAAAACGTATGTGAAAATGGGGAAATTTTGATGAAATATAGTGAAAGACCACGCTGATCACGATTCTGAAATCAAACATTGCCAGAAACTCTTGTGACCATAATTCTGAAGCTCTTGTTTTCGCACGATTTCACTCAAATCCAATTTTGGAGCTTCATGTGCTCACAGGGGTTTTTGGGAATTTTTGACTTTTGATCGTGGTCAGTGTGGTCGATATTTCACTGTGTTTTATCAAAAACTCATCCCGAAATCCTACGCATTTCCATCCGGATAAATCGATTTTTTCAGAAACCATCGAGCACGAATTGGCTCTCAAACACAAATATGAGTTAGAGAAAATCGATGCTGAAACAAAAGCAAGAGCAAAAGCAGCCAGAGAAAATCGCGATGTCAATTTAGAGCAAATGAAACTTCACGAAGAGGAAAACCGAAAAACTGTCATCGAAAAAATCAAGTAATTTTTTTTGAAAGTAGATTTTTTTTTCATAAACACAAAAAATTTTTTAGGACAAGTGGAGAGCTGATTGGAACAGGTCTCAATCAATTCCTCAACGATAAAACGAAAATCGCCTCAGCTGTTGGTGGTTTAACCGCTTTGGCTATTGGATGGTATACAGCTAAAAGAGGAACTGGAGTTGCTGCAAGATATATTGAAGCGAGACTTGGAAAACCGTCGTTGGTTAGAGAGACTTCAAGATTAACACCTTTGGAGATTGCGAAACATCCGATTAGAACTGTTCAATTGTTGACTCGCAAGACTAAAGATCCACTTCAAGGTGTTGTTTTGGCGGTAAGTTTAACAAGTTTGTGAGAGAGACATAGGAATTTGAATTCGGAGAAAGATCCAGAATTTTCCAGACATAATTTTATAAAAAATATCCTGTTTTCAGTTTTTGAAATGTCAAAAATTCACTAAATAAACTTCTTCTGTAACTTTGGCAGTTATACATACACCTCAAGACATAATTATTCCAAAAATCCTACTCGCCCAAATTATAGTTATGACGTGGCAAAGTTGACACATGTAATTAGTTTCAAAGGCAAGGTTTTTGAATTCTGATGATCCTGAAATCAGAATTCCAAAGTCTTGCTTCTGGAACTAATTACAAGTCAATTTTGCCACGTCATAACTATTCTTTGGGCGATTTGTACATCCTGGGATTTTTGGAATAATTATTTCTTAAGGTGTACTTTTGGCAGCCAAAGTTTCAGAAGAAGTTTATTCGGTGAATCTTCCTTTGTGAAGGTTTTTAGCAAAAACTGGAACCGGAATATTTTGCAACGTATGGAAAATTCTGAATTCCCAAAAGTATTTTTTGTCAAAACTTTTCCATTTTCCAGCCTGCTCTTGAGAAACGACTTCGTGATATCGCAATTACTACCTCAAACACTAGAAGAAACAATGGACTCTTCCGTAATGTAATGTTCTACGGACCCCCAGGAACCGGAAAAACACTCTTCGCCAAAAGTTTAGCTCAACACAGTGGTTTGGATTACGCGATTCTCACTGGAGGAGATATTGCTCCACTTGGAAGAGACGGTGTTTCTGCAATTCATAAAGTTTTCGATTGGGCTTCCAAAAGTCGCAAAGGATTGATTGTTTTCATTGATGAAGCTGATGCTTTCCTTCAAAAAAGATCGAAAGAAGGAATGTCGGAGGATACGAGAGCTGCATTGAATGCGTTTTTGTTTAGAACTGGAGAACAGTCGAGGAAATTTATGTTGGTTGTTGCTTCGAATCAGCCGGAACAATTTGATTGGGCTGTTAATGATCGGTGAGATATTTTTTGAAGGAAATTTACATTTTTCAATCAGAACTCTGAATGAAAATATTCGAAATTCATCAAAAAAATCTATTTTCCACTCCAAAAAATCAATATTTTTTTTTTTCAGTCTTGATCAACTTGTCGAATTCGCACTTCCTGGCGTCGAAGAACGTGAACGTATTCTCCTGCAATACTTCAATGAACATATCGTAACTCCAGCGCTCAGCAAATCTCGAACTCAACGTCTGAAATTGGCCGATTTCGATTGGACCGGAAAAATGACGAAAATCGCCAAAACTACAAAAGGAATGAGTGGAAGAGAATTGAGCAAATTGGTTATTGGATGGCAGGTGAGTGGAAATCAAAGATCTGCCAATGAAAATAGTTATGACGTGGCAAAAATTGATTTACAATTTTTTTTTTGAAAATAAAATTTGATGTTGAATTTTCAAAGATAGAAAATCGAAATTTGAAAATTATTCTGAAATTTCTAGAAAACACGGATATTTTCGGATGAAACACAATGAAGAAACATCTTGAGAAAACATGGAAACTGATACATAAATTTTGAAACAGCGAATTTTTTTTTTTGAGTCAAAAAAATTTTTCTTTGAATTTCAGGCATCAGCTTATGCATCAGAAACGGGTATTTTGACTGAAGAAATAATCGATAGAAATACAGCTGATGCAATGGTTCAACATGAGCATAAAATGGAATGGTTGGAAAGAGAACAATTGATGGCTAGAAATCAAGAGGTTGGTGTTTTGAAGTGAAGTGAAATTCTGATTGGAATTTCATATTTTCGAGGGGAATTTGAGACTGATCTTTTCAGATTTGACTGGATAATTCTAGACTAAAAAATGTATTTCATAATTTCAGACCAGCAACTTTTTAAATTGAAATTTCAGGCTCGATCTTTCACCTGAAAATTCGAGATAAAAGTATATAAAAACAAGAGAAATTGTCTATTTTGAAGAGAAATTTAAGACTAAAATTTTCATTTCTATCTGAAAATTTTGCTGAAATTAGTTTTCTCTCCCACCACTCATCTCATTTTTTCAGACTAAATTCGGTACTGGTTTGAAGCGCGAAACGGCTGTTTAGAACTCATATCCATCAGAAAATAGCTCAAAAAAGTAATTAATTAATATTCCACTTTTCTTTTGAATGATACTCTTTTTTTGTTGATTTTTGTAGATTTTAGGAATTTTTTTTAGGAAGTTTTGTTATTTTTCTTTGTTTTTTCTCAACAAATAAATGTACTTTTTATTTATTTATTTTTTTTTTGTGAAAATTGTCTTCTAATCTAACACTTGTTGTATTTTTATCAATTTTCCCATATGATAACGATTTTTCCCCAAGTTTTTTTACTAATTTTTTTGGAAATTTTCAGAGAAGAGTTTTGTTAGGAAATTGCTGAATAATGAACTGAAAATTCTGGAGAAGATGGAAGGAATTTTAGAAGAAGAGGTTAGAGATGGAAAACCATTGAGAGAAGCACAGGAGGTTTTTATTCGAATGCATAGGTTGGTTTTTTTCAAAATTTAAATTTAGGCTAACTTATTTTTATTTTTTGTGGAAAAATTGTGAATTTTTGATATACAATAAGTTATTTTTCGTTTTTTTTGAGCCCAAAAATTAATTTTTTTCAAACTGAATTCAAATTCCCACGTGATCCAATTTTTCATCAAACAAAAATCTTGAATTCATTTTCAACGTGACCTAGTTTTTTCCCTCGTGGTCTCAATTTTTTTCAAAATCTAGTCACTCCTCATTTCTGAATGTTCATTTTTTAGAAACTACCGAGCTTCTCGAAATATACGAGCACATTGGCTTTTTCATCATTTGGATAAGACGATTCGAATTGAGGCCGATGATTTGGATGTGAGTTTGATTGTGAGAAACATATTTTGAAGGGAACATTTGAGTTATGACGTGGCAAATGGCCGTGTTGAAAATTTACAATTTTGAGATATAATTCAATATGAAAGGGGTTTCTGAATAAACAAAAAGACGATTTTTTTCCTTTTTAATCAAGTTTGTCATTAAAAATTAATATCAGAATTTTTTGAAACAATATTTTTGAAACAGTTAATTTTTTTAGATATAAAAAAATTTCCAAAATTCAAATTCTCAAAAGATGTATCATTTTTCTGTAAAAAATTACATAATTTCTATTTCAGTCATCAATTTGACTGAATTTCGGACCAAAATCTGGGGTTTTCAGAAAAAAAAGAGTTATGACGTGCCAAACACAATTTTGCAAAGTGAAAAACTTGTTCAGAAATTCGCTTAAATTTTAGTCGCAAAAGTGAAAGTTCCGCTATCATTAAATGAAAATATAGTTAATTTTTAAAACAATATTTTGAAACAGTTAATTTTTTAGCTATACAAAATTTCTCATATTTTCAAAAGTTTTTAAATTTTCTTCTGAAATTAGATAATTTCTATTTTCAGTCATCAATTTGACTGAATTTCGGACCGAAATCAGGGTTTTCCAGAAAAATTGAGTTATGACGTGGAAACAGACCAAATGAAAAGAAAATGTTTGAAAAACGGCGATTTTTTTAATCAAAATTTAACAAGATCAACTGTTGTATTATCAAATAATCAAAAAATAATTTCAGAAATTTTTAAAACAACATTTTTGAAACAGTAAATTTTTTAGCTATAAAACATTTCTGAAAAATTTAAAATTCTCAAATTGTTTTCCCAATTCTTGACCTAAATATAGAGCTTTTGCAAAAAACATGAATTTTTCAAACCTATCAAGTATGTTTTTTCTGCCACGTCATAACCCAACTTCAGATCAGCTGGTTTTCACTTCAAAATTCTAATAAACAAGTCCAAAACATTTTCAATAAACCATATTTTTTTCCAGAAAGACGATGAATATTCGAAAGAAATGAAAGTAATTGGAATAATTCCAAAAGGCGGTGATGGCTCTGAAATTGTTCTCGACGAACATTTTCTTGTCACAGTCGACACAAAAGTAACATATATATCAAGATATTATCGACATGTATTTGTATTAGATTTGAGTCCATCAACAATTGTTGCAGACGATGATTCAGATTGTTGTCTCTCATCTCGACTTATTCCAACTCTTCGAAACACTGTCAAATCAGCCACAAAGAAATTTCGTGTTCCAGGAACCCAGAAAATCCTACAACCGCAGGTTTATATGACTGTTTGCGTATTTGTGCCATTTTTGACGTTTGAACACGAGTTGACATTGATTCAAGGCGTATTTTTGACCGAAACAAATGTTGATGCGGTTTTGGATATTGTTGAGGAGAAATTCAATAAATTGTTCAAGGCATTGTATGAATTTTCGAGAAAACCATTGGCTGAATGGGGACAGCAGAAGAGAAGATATAGAAATACGAAATTTGAATCGATTTGTGAGAATACAAATGATGATGGACATGAAAATAGTAATTCATCTTTGAGACATCATATTTCAGGTATTTTTCTAGTTTTTTATAATTTATTGGGGCCAGGAAATGACGAAGACAATTCATTTCAAGCGAAAAATACGTTTCTGAAATTTTTTTTATAATTTTTGAAACTGATAATATTCTGATCATCGAATTTAGTCTCTAAAAGTCTACCCATAAAATAATTAAATTATAAAAAAATGTAGTCAAATTTGGCCTAAATACTTTTTTTCAAAAAATAGTTTTTGCCACGTCATAACTTTTGTTATTCCAGAAAAATTCCTCATCCCAAAACGAGATACTCGAAAATTGACTAGAACCGGCTCGACACTTCAAAGACATCGAAATCCCCAATTTTTGATGCAATATCCGAGAAAAGTTTGGTAAGGCTTATCAATTTTCCAACTTTTTCCATCACCAATTTTGTTTTCTCTAGGAAAGTTCAATCGGAAGTTGTCGATCCGTCAACAATTCCTCGAAAATTCCAAAAAGATTATATTCATCCAGAATGGTCGCTGATTTTTATGTTGAGAATTGGACTGATTGCCACACAAATGCTACCGGAAAATACACAATCTAGTGAGTTTTTTTAGAAGATGGTTCACAAATATATCGAAAAAGGGTATTTTAAGAATATTCTTGAAGTGATATTGAAATAGTGAATTTTTGAAATATTTTTCTGTGAAATTTACGATTTTTGACCAAAAAAAAAAAGTTTGATTCCATAGAGCTTTGTTTTTTGGAACCTAACTAGGATCGAATATTAAACGTGAATATTTTCAAAAAATTTTCTGAAAATTTTGAAACAGTGCATTTTTTTCGATCTAAAAAGGTGAAATTTATAAAAAATTTCAAATTTGAAAGATCTCAAATTATTTGATTAGCCCCATTATTTCCCTTAACCTTTTTAGCGTGCCCAGAGTGTTCTATGATTTTTTTTGCTTCAGTTACTAGAAAAATCATTTCCGAACTGTTCTCACAATTTTTTTGAAACAGTGAAGTTTTTAAATATCTGAATTTTGCTAAAATAGGATGTTTTATTTGAAAAAATGACAAAAATTCATTGAAAAATCTGGAAATCCTTCATTTTTTAAGCAACACATTTTTCTACGTAAGTACTGTAACTTTCAAATTTCAATGTGGAAAAAATCCACTGTTTCAACATTTTTTGAAAACATTTTTTGAAATTATTTTTTGCAGTGGTCAATTGATATTTTTTCGAAACAGTAGATTTTTTGACAATTGCAAAATTTAAATTTTTTGTAAAATGTTGCATCAACAAAAAATTATTTCGGAACTATTCTTACAATGTTTTTGAAACAGTGAATTTTCCAAACGTCTGATATTTTTCTAAAATTGGATGTTTTATTTGAATAAAATTGACAAAAATTCATTAAAAATTTGGAAATCCTTCATTTTTGACGCAACACATTTTTCTACATAAGTGCTGTATTTCACTTTCAAATTTCAGTGTTGAAAAAATCCACTGTTTCAAAATTTTTTCAAAACATTTTTGAAAATATTAGTTCAGTTCATTGGTTCAAAATATTCTTACAATATTTTTGAAACAGTAGATTTTTCCGAATTTTTTTACAAAAAAATATTCTCCTAAATTTCTCGAAATAATGGATTCATTTTTTTCTCTGAAAACACAATTTCCAGAGAAAATTTTGATTTGAAAAAACCACAAAACAATCAATAATTTTTTTCTCAATATTTTTCTTTGCAAAATTTTTGAAACAGTAGATTTTTCGACAATTGCAATATTTTCAGACCTAATCGTAATAACTGATTCCGTGTGTGGTATGCCCGATTCCAACGCTCTTCAACAAGTTCTAACACAACTTCGAAGCTACACAATCGCCTGTTCCTTCATTCAACTCCAACGAAAAACGTGTAGTGAACCGGTTTTTGGACACGTTGGATCTTGCGAACTTTTTCATTTTTTAACAATGGCAACTTTTGGAACTTATTTGCCGAAACATCGAAGTCATGCGTGTTGTGCGAATTTAGAGGAACTTCATGAACACAAATCATTTGATGAGGCAACTGAAGAGAGTTCTGGTGAGTAATTTTTTCCTAGAGAAAGAAATATTTTTTTTTTCATCCAGAAAATCTGAACACGTATCATCGAGCTCTTGTTTGTTGGTCATTTCAAAAAGCACTGGGAGATCACGCTTTCATGGAAAATGCGTTCACTTCTATCAATCCGGAATTTGTTGCACTTCAAAGACGTGGAATTGAACGGCATCGTCGATTTATGACAACTTATTATGCGACTTTGAATCAGTTGATGTATGTTAGATTGAGAGAGGGATTCACGTTGAAGTCGAGTGAGTTTTTTTTGGAAATGAAAATGGGAATGGGGAAAACTTCATAGTCGTATTCAAAATTAAATTTATTTTCAAAAAAAATTCACTGTTTCATGAAACACTTATGGTTTGAAATAGTTTTGGAAATTTATTGTGACCAATCAAAATTTTCTATAAAAAAAATGAATCTGCGTTCGGGGGGAATCGAACCCCCGTCGAATGCTTGGAAGGCATCCATGCTGACCATTACACCACGAACGCGATATGAAAATTATTGCAGAAATTTCGGAGATATCAAAACTTATTTGGATATGGGATTTTCTCGCCAAAACCGGTTATTTTCACGATATCCAAATATGTAGTTTTGATATCTCCGAAATTTCTTCAATAATTTTCATATCGCGTTCGTGGTGTAATGGTCAGCATGGATGCCTTCCAAGCATTCGACGGGGGTTCGATTCCCCCCGAACGCAGAATTTTTTGATTTTTTTTCTTTAAATCGTTTGCGTGTGTTTTATCGTATTTAGATATTACTTACACATTCTCCATGAAACAGTGAAAAAATTTTCTAAAAATATTCGAACCCGTATCAAAATGTTATCAATACAAATCCAAAATTATCCTATCCTATAAGTTTTCTGTGAAACAGTAAAATTTTTTTGCCAGTTTTGAAAATAAAAAAAAAACATTTCAACTTGATTTCTGGTGCAACTTTCTTGCAATTTTCAAATTTTGAGTATTCTAGAAGGATTTATCCAATAAAAAGTGAAATCAATTTTTTTCCAGCCGCTCTTCGAGATGATCGAACTGTTCTCGTAATAACTCTCTGCCTCGCATTTCGACCTCTTGTTTTCATCGAATATATCATCAGATGTCCATGGCCAATTGAAAAAGATCAACGACAAAATATTCAAGTTGAACTAATCATCGAAGCTCCTTACAACGAATTAAAAGATCTTCTAACAGAAGGACAATATTTGGATCCGGAAAGATTGAACCTGACAAAATCTGCAATTGATGGAATTATTGAAGCCGATCGACTTTTGATTCATATTCATTCATTCGACACGCAAAGGTATTATTATACAATTCCTTCTGGTGTCACAATTGATTATGCATTATTTGGAAGTTATGATAAGAATGCGAGAAGATTGCCGCCAATTTGTATGGGAAGACATGATGAAAATTCGACACGTAGTTTTATTGGATTCTGGAGGGTTTTGCTGGAATTGAACGATAATACGTGGCAAAAATGGGTGCATACACATTGTGAACGGGTTTTGTTGACAGTGCCAGATTTACCATTTTCGGTTTTCAATACGAAACATTGTTTGGAATTTGATTGCTCAAAAGCTCTACATAAATTGCATGCGTTGATCAAAACACAAAGCACATTTTGTTTGGTAAATGGGCATACTTATGTTACTTTGGTTTATGGAGATCGAAATGAGAATCAAGAAGAAATTGAGAATGAAGAATCATCGAAACCGCCCGATTTTTTCTATATGAAACGGATTTGTGACGAGGCGCCGGTTGTTGTTATTAAGACGGCGTTTTTGGGAGGAATTAGTTCGTCGGTTAGAAGAGAGGTTGGTTGCGATTTTTGAGGAAATGTATTTAAAGCTAGGCTTTTCCTTTCACTTTTGTTCAAAATTCCAAGGTTTCACAATTTTTCATTTTCATCGATCATGAGAATCTGTCTCAAAATTCATAGATTTTTTGAAACAGCAATTTTTTATTTGATTTCCCATGGATTTTGAATTATTCCTTTTTTTGTTTGTATTGTTGCCTGAATCTACCACGAAAAACTATAGAATATTTGAAACAGCAGATTTTTTTCATTTCAAAATAATTTTTTCTTCATATTTTCGCATTGAACAATGCTTCTAGAAGTTTTGAAGAAATGTTGCTGGAATTCTTTTAATTTTTTTCAATGTTTCAAAAATTTGTTCAGCCAGTTTTATTATCTCTTATGCCTCTGTTGTTGTGATTAAATTGAGAACCGACCGCAAAATCTATAGAAATTTCGAAACAGCAAATTTTTTTCACCCAAAAAATTGGATTTTAAAATTGTTATCCGAATCCGAACTTTTGGAAAATCAAAAAAAAAAACATTTTAGAATGAAGTAGCTGATACGTAACTACAAAAATACCTTTACCTTCAAGTCTATAGAAATTTTGAAACAGCAAATTTTTAATGTCAAAAAATTTATTTGAATTTTTAAGAATTTTTGAACTTTACAAAATTCATTTGTTTTTCTCCAAAATTCTACGTACGACAAAAATCACTATGAAAAATTCGCCAAAAAAAAAATAAAAATTTTGAAACAGCAAATTTTTTTTACCCAAAAAATTTATTTTGACTTTTTATGATCTGAGCACTATCACTTCAAAAATCCACTGAAAAAATCATAGAAATTTTGAAACAGCAAATTTTTTTTAACCAAAAAATTTATTTTGACTTTTTATGATCTGAGCACTATCACTTCAAAAATCCACTGAAAAAATCATAGAAATTTTGAAACAGCAAATTTTTTTTAACCAAAAAATTTATTTTGACTTTTTATGATCTGAGCACTATCACTTCAAAAATCCACTGAAGAAATCATAGAAGTTTTGAAACAGTAAATTTTTTCCACCCGAAAAATTCGATTTTAAAATTGTTTTCTGAACTTTTGGAAAGTCAATAAAAACATTTTTAAATTTTTAAATGAAGTAGCTGATAACTACAAAAATACCTTTACCTTTAAGTCTATAGAAATTTCGAAACAGCAAATTTTTTGCAGATCGTTGAAGAACATCGAAACCGCCTCCGAAAACTTCGATTTGACACAACTCCCAGTGAATTAAAACTGCAAACCGAAGTAAAATCCGACGCAAATCGACCTCGTTTAGACACTGACAAAGAAAATGTATTGAGTGTAATTCGCAGGCCCCTTGAAAGAATGCTTGTTCGATACACGGAAATACCATTAGATCTACAATTTATTGTAAGAGCTGATGAAAAAACCAATGATGAAGAAGAGATTAAATTAATCACTTTGCACAATGCGATTTCAAAGTTTTTATCGTGTCGAAGATCGATTATTTTGATATCACCGAATCAAAAAGAAGGCGGAGCTTATCTTGTTCGAAATTTGGCGGATTTTATCATGAATGTTATAATGCAAAAAAGATTGCATACGGAAAAATTCAAAGCCGCTTGGACGAACAATAATATTATTTCGGTTTGCAGACAAGTTTGTAATTCGGGTGGAACAAGTTTGGAACAATTTATCATGTTTCCGGCAACAACTTTGGCTATCACTGATCATAAATTGAATTTGAAACGACCGCCAACTTTGGTGAAAAAACGAAGAAAAATGGCGAATGTGATGCCGGATAAAAAGTGGAATCGACCATTGGCTGTGATTTCGGAATTTTGGTATGAAGCGGAGACTTTGGAATTGATTGATTCACCAAATCGAGGAGCACTCAATAATAAAAGTATTGAAGATCGACAGAAAGAGGATTTGCACATCACTTCGATGCTTTTCACTTTGGATAGGGTTTTGAAACTGTGTGGAAGTTGTTTGGATCCAATGAGTGTGCAAAGTCCGTTCAGAGAATGGAATAGTGAATTGGAAGAAGAGGATTTTGATAGGGATAGTGGAAGTGGATATAGCTATGGGTATTATGGACAACGAGAGGCTTGTCGGAATTTGAAGGAGGTTGATTTGACGTCGGCGAGAAATTCGGAGAAAATTGGGATTGTTGAGAATCATGTTTCCCCATTTGTCACGGTTTATTCGAATTTGTTTGATTTGTATAAATTGGTACAACATGCCAAAAGAAGGTTGACTTCGATTAAACCATTTGTGAAGAGTGAGTTTTTTTTATAAAAAAATTATAATTGTGCTTTTTTTTGGGAAATCCATACTAGTTTCAACATTTTTGTTTTTCCCGAGAAAATTCCCTTCGGTTTCTAATTAATAGATCAAGCAAAATAAAATGATGAAAGAAAAAACAGATGATTTTCCACTGTTTCAAAAATTTGTTATCAGTTTTTCATATAATTTTTTGTTCAGTTTTTAGTTTCCAAGTTAGACCTCATGAAAACAATGGAGTTATCTCAAGTCTCCTAGAAATTATCTGGTTCAAGAAGGATTTATCGATTCTCAATCCTTAATTTTAAAATTTTAATCTCAAATTCGGTTTTCCCAAGAAAATTTCTCTACGAATTGCTTGAGCAAAAAAAATTAATGAAAAAACAGATTATAGACTTTTGAAACAGTAATTTTTGACTGTTTCAAAAATTTGTTATCAGTTTTTTTATATAAATTTTTGTGTTGTATGCTCTGCAAATGGAAAATTAGGAGTTATCTCAAATCTCCTAGAAATTATCTAAAACCTAGTTTTCACCTTTAATCAATATTGAAACAATTCAAACCAACGAAGAAACGATTCATAAAAAAATATGAGAAAATTTTGAAACAGTAGATTTTTACACGTTTTCTTCTTTCAGATGAAATTCAATTTTCACAATGCAACACATTCATTCTTTTATCTGCCCATCAACAATTGACAAATATTTGCGATGCCACGTGGATTGTTAGCTCCGAAGAGAATTCGAAGATTTGCAAAGAAATCTATAAGGATTCGAATTATCACGATTTGCAATTGAGAGTTTATGCGAAAGGAATTACGCCGTGGATGATTGGATTGATTTTTGTGCCGATTGTTGAATCGACTTTTGATGAAAATGATGCGGGTGAGTATTTTTGGGCTGGGGAGATTTTTTGGGGATTCAAATAGAAAATAGTAATTATTCTGGTTATTTAATTTTTTTTTTATTGATTCATTTTTAAACAGTGAAAATAGGTTTTACGATTATTAGAAATCGTTAGAAAGAAAAAAAATGAAAACATTCTAATTTCTCACATAGTTTTTATGAATGTTCTGTGAAACAGTAACTTTTTTGAAAATTACACCTCTGAATTTTTATTAGAAGTTTGAGTTCATGATCTTTTCTAGCCCAAAACATTATAATCTTTCAAAGAGAAAACATTTTTTTGATAACAGGCTCTGTTCGGAATTATTCACGTTTTCTACAGATTTTCAATGAATTTTCTCTGAAACGTATTTTTTCTAGCCCGATAAATTTCAGGAATTTTTTAAAACAAAACAATCAGAAAATGTAACATGAATTTTCTGAATAATTTTTAATTCAAAAAGTATTGAAACAGTAATGTTTGAAAATAGTTTCCATTCACAAGTATTTGCATTATTTTTATTCCTCACATATTTTTCATGAATTTTCTTTGAAACAGTATTTTTTTTTGAAAAAAAATATGACTTGTATTTTTTCAAAAGGTCATATTACCGCAATTTTATGAAAACAATACAGTATGAAATTATACTGGTTCTCTATATTCTTTCAATGAATTTTTTTTGAAACAGTAAATATTTTACGGCTTCATTTTTAAAGGTAGAACATTTTTTTTAGCAAAGGGATAAACTAAATAATCGTCATTATTCTGATTCCCCACATATTTTTCATGAATTTTCTTTGAAACAGTAAATTTTTTTCTAAAATTACAATTCCAAGAATTTTAATTTTCGAACAAAAAATTCGAAATTTTTCTAAAACCTAGTTTTTCATTAGTAGTGTGTCATTTTTCTAGCCCATAAAAATTTCCGGAATTTTTTATCACAACTTTAGTTTCAAAATAACATGAATTTTTCAAATAATTTTTAATTCAAAAAGTATTGAAACAGTAATTTTTTGAAAATAGTTTCCATTCATAAGTATTTGCATTATTTTTATTCCGCACATATTTTTCATGAATTTTCTTTGAAACAGTAATTTTTTTTGAAAAAAAATATGACTTGTATTTTTTCGGAAAAAATAATTAGAATTTGCCTAACGCCTATTTTCTCATTAGTAAATTCAGTGTGCAATTTTTCTAGCCTCAAAAAAGTCAGGAAAATTTTGTTCAGAATTAGTTGAACCTTCTATCAAGTAGATTTTAAAAGAAAATGAATTTTGGTATAATTTTAATTGAAGAGGTCTTGATACCGTAATTTTATGAATATAGAAAAATATGAAATTATTCTGGTTCTCTATATTTTTTCAATGAATTTTTTTTGAAACAGTGAATATTTTAGGTCTTCCTTTTGAACAGTAAAAATAGTGTTTTCTGTCCCAGTAATGAAAACGAGAGCATTTTGATTCCCCACATATTTTTTCATGAATTTTCTTTGAAACAGTACATTTTTCGAAAATTATAAATTCCATAAATAATTCTTTTCGAACGAAACAATCGGAATATTCCTAAAACTTTATTCGGATTGAGTTGAACTATATTATTTTAGTTCCTCGCCTTTTTTTTCATAAATTTTCCATGAAACGGTAATTTGGAAAATATCGAATTCAATGAATATGAATAATTTGAATTCAGAAAATATTGAAACAGTAAATTTTTGTCGAAATCTAGGATGCTTCCCACAAATATCTTTTTGTTGTTTCAGATGGAGTTCCACTTGTAATAATGACTTGCAATGAAGCTCAACTTTCATATTGTGTAGCAACTCAAAACTTGGATGAAGAAGGAATTGTAAATGTCCCAATAAAAGCAATCCCCAATGATTGGTTTTCAAATGTCCGACTCGGCTGGCGACCGAATAATAATATTCAACTTCCCGAAAACACCAACACATTCTTCGGATTCACTGAATACATTTCAAATGAGATTGTGGTTGCTACCAAAATTGGAGCAATTTATGAAGCGGCAAAAATGGGCGTGGAAATTGATGAAGAATTGATTGGAGAAATGGATGATGATTGTTTCTTTGAATTTGAAACTGAACTGCAATCTGTGCCGCCGACTTTGAAATTTTTGTGTGAACATTTTAAAGGAGCAAAGGTTTCGCAGGAAAATGTTTGTAGTAAACAATCGAATATTGAAGCAATGTTCAAGAAGGTTTTGGATAGAACTTTTGCGCCAGTTTTGGGAGCAAAGTGTTTATATTATTTGAAACCTGTGAAATCCAAGAGTTCCAAGAAAAAACATCAAGAAAATGAGCTGAAAATGAATTTGAAAAAATTGAAAGATAATACGATTCCTTTATTCATCCAATTTAATTGCTCAATCACATTTCCTAATACAATGATCTCATTTGTTGTGGATTTTTTGCCTTCGTGTATTTATCAAGTTTTGGAAAAATGCAAAGATTTCGCAGATTATCCGAAAGAACCATTTGATGTGAAAGATTTGGAAGTGCATGTTGAATTAATTGTCAAAACGAGCCAGATTCAAAAAGATCACCAGAATGCTGAGATTGTTGAGAGAAATGAGATAAGTGAAAAAGGTTATCGAAATCCGCTGGATTATATGCAACAATCGAGACAGGTTCGATTCCGCGCGCAAAAACGGCAGGAAAATGAGGAAAGTGCGCCGAATATGAATCATTTGCCGAAACGAGAAAGGAAAGCGATTCAGGATTTTATAACAAATATTGATATTATGCTGGATGTTGAAAAGTTTTTGGTGAAAACGAGATGTGAAAATGCGATGACTGTTGATACGTTGAATGATATTAAGAATTATATTGACAAAGCGGTAGGGTGTTTTTTGGAAGGGGGATTTTCGAAAAAAAAACTCTAAAAGTTGATGAATTCAGCTTCTCTAATGCCAATTTTTCACATTTTTTGCTGAAAATTGAAATTTCAACGTTAATTTTACCATCAAAATCAAAGAATTTCCACAACAATAAAATCTACTGTTTCAAAAATTCTGGATAATAAAATAAATGACAATAATCTTCAATACTTTCAAATAATGTTGGAGTTATCCTATGTAGATCCCGATATTGCAATCAAGTTTTCTTCACAATCAGAAAATTATAATTTTTGAAAAGTATCTAATGGGCCTATGCAGAATAATATTTTGTAATAAAAAAACATTTTTTTTTCCTATGCAGAAAAACGTCGAAAAAACAGAATATACAGTTTATTATTTTGAGTAGAGACAACTTGAAATTGAGAGAGTGCAGACAAAAAACCCATTTCATGTCTGCGCTCTCTCAATTTCACGTTGTCTTTATTTTATTTTTTCGACGTTTTTCTGCATAGGAAAAAATGTTTTTTAATGTTTTTTTATTACAAAATATTATTCTGCATAGGCCCATAAAAAAATGGAGAAAAAATACTCCAGAAATTTAAATTTTTTCAAAACCTTCTAGTTTTGAAATTTTAAAAATTCTAGCTGGAAATGGGCTATTCAAAAATTTTGGATCAATTTTAATTTCACTATAACTCACACTTTCAAGCTCACAAAAAATGACCGTTCAAAATTTTCAAAAAAATCTACTGTTTCAAATTGTTTTGATAATAAAATTAATGGTCATAATTTTCAATACGAAATTTTTAGAGTTTTTCTGAAATTTAAAAAAAGCTGTAAATTCCGAAGTTTTGATGGAATTTCCTTTAAATTCATCTGGTCTCATTATTTTGAGAGCAAAAAAATTCATCCTAGATTTGTCCGAAATTTCCACAAAAAAAACTACTGTTTCAAATATTCTGGATAATAAAATGAATAATATGTAAGCTTTAAGGCGATTTGTGTAGTTTTCAAAATTTTTAATTTTAAAATAATGTTTTAAACTATGAAAAAACAGTAGACAAAAAATACAAACATTTTCCAGAAGTTTTGATTTTAAATTCGCTTCCAAAAAAAATCTACTGTTTCGAAAATTCTTGATAATCAAATGAATGATTATAATATTTAATCCAATGTGACCAATTTGTTCATAATTTTGAGCTCAAAGAACGATTGAGAAAACAGTTCTATTTTTCCACAACAAATCCAACTTTCCCCATTTTTCGGTAATCTCTGAATGGGGCCCCTGAATGGGGCCATTTTCTGAGAAAATGGGGCCACCTGAATGGGGCCACTTGTGTGGCAAATTCCCTCAATGGGGCCAGCAAGAAAAAAAAAAGATTTTCTCACTTTTTCCTTAATGGGGCCACCTAAAAAGACAAAACACACAATTTTGGTATATTTCCTCAATGGGGCCAGGTATTTTTTGTGCATTTCCTGAATGGGGCCCATCTTTTAATTGTTTACATCTTGTGACGTCATATTGATAGTGAATTGAAATTTCATAAAAGTTTTCAAATTTTTTAATAGCGTATGTGAGTTATAACTCATATGTTTACCACGTATGCAAATTTTGGGTTCTCAAGGCATGGAGCCTCTCTTACATGAAAATTCCCAAGTTTCAACAATTTTTGAAACAGTAAATTTAAATGAAATATTTCTTTCTGGAATTCAAGTCTTGTTTTTTTCAAACACTCGAAAAGTATCAAAAATCACAGAGAAAATTCAGAATTTTCACAAATTGGAGAAAAAAATATCAAATGTTTTTCGCAAATTTTCGGGTCATGACTCATGAGAAACTTATACTACGCACTAAACAATTCGAAAAATTTTCCCGGAAGCATGTTTTGAAAATTGAACGAAAATCTGGAAGTAGTTCTTTAGATAATTCTCACAGAAATTCTATATAGAATTTGATATCTATTGAAGAACATGTCATATAAGTTTTCACACCTTGATATTTTGGCACCTTGCCCATAAACAAGACACGGACATCGCGCAAAAAAGTGCGTTTTTTTGGAGACCCAGATGAGTTTTTTGGGAAGTTATCCAAAAAACTTGTTGTCAACTAGCTAAGAATACGATAATAACCAAAACTTAATGAAACGAACAACTTATTTTAGAAGAAAACATCAATTTGATTAGAGAAAATAATTGGGCAAGAAATGTAAAAGTTTACCCAGAAAAATTATTCGAGGAAAATTTCAATATTTTCATCGTCAGAGCCTGAAAATTTGAAAAAAAAGTTCCATTCGAAATTTTTTTTCAATACTGAGAATAAAAACCACATCATAATAACGTTATTAAAAATTTGAAAACTTTCATGAAATTTCAATTCACGATCACTATGACGTCACAAGATGTATAAAAATTAAAAGATGGGTCCCATTCAGGAAATGCACAAAAAATACCTGGCCCCATTGAGGAAATATACCAAAATTGTGTGTTTTGTCTTTTTAGGTGGCCCCATTAAGGAAAAAGTGAGAAATTCTTACTTTTTTCTTGCTGGCCCCATTGAGAGAATTTGCCACACAAGTGGCCCCATTCAGGTGGCCCCATTTTCTCAGAAAATGGCCCCATTCAGGGGCCCCATTCAGAGATTGCCCATTTTTCCAGTGCAACGCAATTACACCAGTTGGTTTCAATGAAAAACGCGAAAAAGCCATTCTCTACGCCATCAAAAATGAGGATAATCGAGAAAAATATTTGAAATCCCTCGAAAATATGGATCTTGGCTATGCAACTCTTCGCCGACTTCCAAATACCGATTATTATTTTTGCTGCAAAGTTGAAAATATTGAAGAATTCCGAAAAACTCGAGAAGATCCCAATGAAATTATTGGAAAAGATTTGCTTTTTGATTTTTGGCTGATTATTACAATTGAACCAATTCATCCGGAGTGAGTTTAAAAATTTAATATTTTTTCGTTTTTGGAAAAAAATCTGGTTTTTTAGAAACTCTTGTGACGAAAAAGTGAATATTTCGTTTTGTCAAAGATATGAAAATGTGCACTCGAAATTATTGGAATGCTGTGCAGATACTGTTCGAAGAAAATTGAGAACTTTGAATCAACAAATGTTGTTGGAAAGAATGATGGAAACGAGAGAATGTGATGCACTTTTGATTGGATGTGGAGAGATTTTGAATTCCAATGATACCATGGATACGGCTGATAATTTGTGAGTTTTTTTGGGACCTCAAAATTTTCTCTAAATCTCTTCACCCTCCAAGATTACTAAGAAAAAATCCCGGAAAAAATTAAGGGTTGAAAATTACTGTTGTGAAATTACTACCCTAATTTTTTTCATGAAAGATAAAATCCAAGATTCAACACAAAAGTGAGAGATTCAGAGAAATTGGTACATTTTTGAAACAGCAGATTTTTGGCGGTTTCAAAAATTTGTTATTAATTTTGTGTCAAAAAATCCCTTTGTTTATATTTGAAAAATTGGTCAAAAAAATTGAATTTTGAAAATTTAAATTGTTTAACAACAAAGTGCAGGCTGGTTACTGGTAAGTCAAACTGAAAATTTCAGAATTCTTCTTGTTCAAAAAATTGAAATTTCAAAAGATTAAAACGTTTGTGAGACGAAAGTTTACTGTAAATTTTTTGAAACAGTGAAATTTTTTTTTGGATTTTTCGATAAAAAACATTTTACTAAAATTTCAGTAGCTTGTTCCAGAACACTGGGGTCTTTAGGCGCTGATCCTTGACAAGTTAATTTTCTAGGTGTGGTTACTTGAGAGCTATAATTTCTTGGATCGGTTACTTGACATCCAATCTCTTTTTTCTTTGAATTTTAGAATTAAATCAAACAATTTTACTTTTGAAAACCAAAACCTTTGCTTAGAATTAGATGCCTCCAGAACCTTCAAAATCCAAATTTTGCAGAGACCGATCTCGCGATGTTTCATCAATGTCTCCTCGTTTCGATGATTCTTCATTCTCTCAACCACCAATCGATAAACGAATATTCAAAAGAGATTTTCATGTCAAAGAATTGCCAAAAGATGATATTTTGGGTGGAAATAATGATGAATCATCGTTCCCAAATCTTCCTGGCTATTTCGCTTGTCCACTTCAACGTCAATTCTTTTTCCATGTTCACAGAAGACTTCGAGAATTGATTGGAAAAGCACCGCTTCTTTATGTTTTCAATAAATTGCGAACATTTTTGCAAGAATACGGAGTTCGAAATCGACCGAATACATATGTTTTGAGAGATGATCGAAAAGGGATTTTGATGTATATTCAACTTCATATGACAAGTGATTCGTATTTGAAATCGATTCGGAATGAGAGAAGAGATAAGAAGTAAGAATTTTTGATATAGGGGAAGGGGTTATGACGTGGCAATATTTGGAAAATAATCTGAAAATCCGAAAATTTCAGTCAAAAAATCGATTTTCTGAGAATTTTTTCTAACATGAGCAATGCTTCTGAAAATTGAAAAAAATTATTTTCTGAATTTTAAATGTACAAAATTTTAGACAAAAATTCGAGCAATGCTTTAGAGATGTGGAAATCAGTAATTTTGATTTTATTTTTACAAAAAAGTTTTTTGAAACAGTTAAAATTTTTTAAATTTTAGGTCTGTCAAGAACGTTTTTTTTCCAAAATGAAATAAAATTTACATCAATTTCCATGAAATTCTATAAAGAAAATATAATATTTGAAAATTCCTGTTTCCAATTTTGCCACGTCATAACTCAAAACCCCCGGAAACTTCTAACTTCATCTATTTTTCCAGACATAAAGAATATCAATCAGACACTGATATTGCAATGACTGTTTTCGCTCTCGAAGAACCGGATCCCGAATTTTTGGAAAGTTTTGTCGAAACTCGCCGACAGAAAATCGATGGTCTTTTGGTTGATGAACTTCTTCGAACTTTTTCCAAAAATCGAGAAGCAGCAATTCTCGAATCGGAAGTCGAATTTCTCCAACCACCCGATTCGCCGCCAATTTCTCGATCATTTTTCTCGATTCCAAACTTCTTTGTCGATCATCTCGCTGCTCTTTTCTATTATACAAATCAACATTTAGAAGCGTTGGCTCAATTTCCGATAACTCGAATCAAACATTTATTGACGAAAGGAGATTCAAGAAATCCATCAGTTGCCTCACTTTCTTCTTCTGAAAATCCGAATTCATCTGCGATCAAATTTAAACCGTATAAACCGATAAATGGAAGTCTCCCAGAGAAATTTGATATGTCAACATTTCATTTTTATTTGAAACTTCCATCGGTTGGTGTGACAAGTGTTGGAATTGGTGTGATGGAAATGAGATTGGTTAAACCGAATGGTGAAGTATTTGAAATATTGGGACAACCTAAAATGAATGAGCAAAGTCATAATATGTTTGTACCAAAAACACCGGGAGATAATTCGCTTTTTCATCGAGATATCACTAAAACACAACGTTTTGATGAGCCAAGAAATCATGAAAAATCAATTTGTGGATATTTGGAAATGAATTTATGGAAAAGAGGGGAAATTGAAGAGAGAAACTGTTTGGATTCAATTATACAAGAAATGATGGAAAAAAGTATGTTTGATGTTATTACTGAATTCGGATATTTGAATACGAATTTGTTGCAATCAACGGCGATTTTCACGAAACATATTGAACAACCTGTTGAATTTCATGTGCTACAAGAGCCCAATCCGTTTTATATCCCGGGAGAAAGATCAGATGTTAGAAGAAGTTTGGTAAGTGTTTTTCATGTTTGGGAGAAAAAAAAAACTTCTGAGCTCTCAAAAATGCACATTGGCTCATAAAAGTTACTCAAATCACCATGAATTTTGCGAAAAATGGAGTATTGTAAAATTAATTTTCAGCTGACAAAGAAAGAAACATTAAACATTTTCAAATGTTTTCGAGAAATTATTAAGATTTTTTGAAACAGTTGAATTTTGAAAAAAATCGATTTTTCAAATACTTTTTTGGATTTACAAATTTTTTGAAACAGTTAAATTTTATTGTTGTTTTTCAATTGAAAAATCGAAAATTCAGGAAAATATGTTTTATTCGGATCTAGTGCCAAATGTAATCAAGTTTTTGTGAATTTCTATGTTTATTCAAAAATTTTTGAAACGGTAAAGTTTTGATAAAATATTTAGATGTGTATAAGGAAACTATAAGTGAAAAAATTTTCTGTTTTTGAAAAATTATGTAAGAAACATTTCTATAAGTTTTTCGAAACAGTCAATTTTCGCAAACTCATTCAACCCGAAATCCATTATTGTTTTTCAAAAATAGAAAGCATTCAGAAAATCTTGAAGCAGTGAAATTTTCAAAAAAAATTTTTTTGGCAAAAATTCGTCTTTTTTATCAACTTAGCAATTTTTGAAATGATTTTTCGATTCCAAAATTCATTGAAACAGCGAAAAATTGATCGCATGAAAAATTCTTTTTTTTCAGGGCGGAAGTGTTGATTACGGTGCTCCAAAAACAACTCTATCAAAACTCAACTCAATATCCAAGGAATTCGATCATTGCCTGAAAGAAGAAATTCTCCACAGAACTCCTGATTTCATTGATCCAAGAACAGCTTATGACATTATCAATTGGTTCAAATTTGTGGCGTCGAGACATGGAGAAACGAATTCGGTTGTGATTGATTCGGTTAGATTTGAATGTCAACATGCACTTCTAACTGTGAGTTTATAAAATGTAGAAGATGGGAGATGAAAAATTAAAGGAAACAAATCTCAAAATTTGAATTGGTTAGGAGAAACTTTTCCTAGGCTTTCCATAATTTTTTTTGAAACAGTATATTTTTCTAAAAGTTGAAAGTTATGCAGAAAAGAACACACAGTTTTCAACAAAATTTCCATTTTCAGCCCCTTTTCGAAATCCGAAATCGAATTGAAATCGAACTTGGTGGACCTTCTTCTGGAATGCATGAAAATGTTTTTCTCTGTGGTCTCAAAAAATCGGAAAAAACACACGAATCCGAAAGAGCAAGAGAATCAAATTTCCGCGGATCAAATGTTTCGATCACCAAAAAGAAGCCCGATTGGGTGTTTGAAATTCTAACAACCGATCCATTTGTTGGAATGACGGCTGATGTTGGTGTTGATGAGACTCGAGAAAATCGAAAATATTTGATTGCCAGCTACATGAAGCATATATTTGGAGGAGAGGATGTTGTGAATTTGGATGATCGGAAAGTTATGGAACGGCAAATGTTGTTTAGGAATCATTTACGTGGGTTTTTGTAGGGTTGGGGTAGGGGGAGAGTTCTGAAATTCAAAAAATCAAAAATGCAAGACAAAATCGAGTGTCACAAAACAAATCAGAAAGGAAAACCGTGAAAAAATACGTTTCAAGAATTTTATTAAACATTTTTTTTCTGGGGGGTTTTTATTGGTTTTCTGGTTCATTGAAAACTTGAAAATTTTTGGAATTTTCCATGAATATTCAGTAAATTCAATACGGTAATTATTATCTATTTTTTCGACAAAAATTTGATGATTTTTGTTTTTGAAAGTTATTTTTTATCTTCAACGCGATGAATTTTTGAAACAGTGAATTTTCAAAATTTCTGATCGTATATCGACTTTCAGATCAATTTGATGAACAATAATAACAATTCATGACATTTTTGAAACAGTAAAAAATTGAAAGTTCATATTCGTTGTTTTCCAGACGCAAAATACGAGCCAAAAATCCGAAACAATCAATTCATCTCCCGCCAACGTGTCATGTTTGCATTAATGCGTGGCGATATCATGGACGTGTATTTCTACAATTTCCATCCGAATATTCTCAAAGAAGTTCGCACGAAAATCCACAAAGTTGCCGGTTGGCACAATTCCAAGACTCGACTTCTCCGCGAAATTGGATTGCACAAAATGGGAATCACACATTTCTCGAATTTCAATCCTGTCGACACAACCGATGAATTCAATTATGAGCAATTGATTTGGTCGGATCCGACACAATTGATTGCCAAAGAATATCCGCCAGAATTTATGGGAAATCATAAACCGATTGTTGAATATCCCGAATATTCGAATATTTTCTTCAGAATGTATCGACAGCCGAATTTGCAAGTTACTATGGGAAGATGTGAGTTTTTTTGTGGTTAAAAAATATACTGTTTCAAAAATTTGTGAAGGGTTTTCGCAAAATTTGTTTTAGCGATTCGCAAATAGTAACTTTCACGAAGAAAAATTACAGATTTTAGAAGTTCACTTTTTTTTTTGAAAAATTAACATTTTTCTGTTTAAAAATTTTGCTGTTTCAAAAGATTTTCTCATACTTGGTTTAAGTTCGAAAAATCGTTATAATCAACTTGCAAAAAATTTTACTGTTTCAAAATTTTCATTTTTTCGAAAAAAAGATTATTGAAATATTAGTGTAACTGGTATTTTTTTCGATTAAAATTTCACAATATTTTTCAAATCTTCAAAAATTCACCAAAAAATAAACGATTCCTAGATTTTCGTTTTTTTTTTCGAAAGATGAGAAATGTTTTGAAATACCCACGTAATCTGAAAATTTTCATGAGCCTAAAATTCAGTTTTTCCCGAAATTTTAATAATAAATTCAGAATTCCCAACAAAAATTCCAATATTTTCAGCCCGTTTCGTGTTCAAATCCGATTGCATTCCAACAAATCACTACGAACAACTTCTTCGTTGGCGAGATGGTTTGAATGTAAAAGTGAAAACAATTCGAAAACTCACCGAAACACACGATGAATTCTTGAAAGGCAAACGAGAAATGCGCGAAGAGTATTTGCACGAATTCCTTCGACCACCAAAACTTCCAACAACAACATCGCTCAAAAATCCGGATTCGACACAAAAACCACCAAGACCACAAGATGAAGAGGAAACAATGTCAATGACGGAGAAAACGAGCAAAAGAGCATCGGTTTTTGGGGAGAATTCGATTAAGAGTTTGATCAATCAGGCGGATTCCGATATTTTTAAGTGGGTTTTTTTGGTAGATTTTTGAGAAATAATGTATTTTGACTTGAAATACACAATTTTTGACTCTAATATGAGCAATCTTTTCCGATAAAAATTAATGATTTCAATTAATCTGAGCAATGCCAGAAAACAATACAATTTGAGCCAAAAATCTATAAGAATTTGAATTCTCAGGCTAATATGAGCAATGCCAAAAAAAATTCAAATAAAATTGGAAAACGTCAATTTTAGCCTAACATGAGCAATGCCTGGAGTTTTAAAAAAAATTTGAAATTTTCTGAAAAAAATTAAATTTTGTCACGTCATAACTACTGAATAATTATGTATATTTCCTATTCGAATCCTCAAAATCTATTAATTATTTTTTCCAGAAAACGCGGAACATTTTTGAAAAAAATCGAACTGAAACCCGAACCGGCAGCTGTTTTAGTCAAAGAATTACGAGCTCCCCTTATGATTCTCGATAAATGGAGACAAGAATATCGAAATAATTTGGCTGAAAAAGAAATTGAAGAAATCAATAAAAAAGAGCAAGCGGCTGAAGAAGAGGAAAAAGAGAAAATCGATCGAAAACACTCAAAATCGATTGAAAAAGTTAGTCTGAAATCGGGATCGAGTGGAGGAGGAGAAGAAAATGGAGGAGAGAGGGAAAATGACAAGGAAGAAGTGAAAGAAGTGGAGGAAGTTGTGGAGAAAAAGAAAACATTGGTGAGGATTTTTTTTGGGCGGTTAGGAAAATCTGGAAAAAATACGTTTCAAAAATTTAATTAGAATTTTGTGAAGATCGCGAAACTTTAAAAAAAATAGGTTCCTCCTCAAAAAATATAATTATTTTTAAATGGATTGTTTACGTTTCAAAAAAACGTTTAAATGTTGTTCTCTCAAAATGTATATTAATCTGTAATTTTTCGTTTTTGCAGTTTGGCACATTGATTCAAAGAATCCGAAATTCTCCAAAACCCGAACCTTCTCAACCATCAACATCTGCCCCATCATCTTCTTCTACACCACAAATCCCATCAACATCTCCACCAACTCAAGCTGATATTCCTGCTTTTGTCACAATTCCACAACAACAACAAGTTCAACGAACTCAACAAGGTGCATTTTCGCGAGCCAGAACGATTACGTTGAATGCGGCAAGTCGATTGGTTAGACCGTTCAGGAGAAATTCGCATCGAGAAACGAGGGAAATGTGAGTTTTTGGGGGAGATTTCGCTGAACATGTGAATGATTTTCACTGTTTCAAAAAATTATGAAAAAAAAATGATTACCATATTATTATTGATAACATTTTATTATATTGATAACCAAAGTTTCTCCAGAAAAACAAAACAAAAACATTAGAAAATTTTAATTTTTCACTGTTTCAACAAAATTTTGAGTCGAGAAATCGGATGAATTTTGGATTGCATTGTTCTGTGAAGAAAATTTTTCAATCAAATTTACTTTTAAAAAATGAATGACCTTTTTTTATTCTTTGAAACATTAATTTTTCGTTTCAGTCTTGTTCAAATTTTGTCCAGAAAAAAAAACTACAATTTTTTCACTGTTTCAAAAAATTTCAATTAAAATTGTCAGAATTGAAAAAACGAATCCATCGCACATCTCAAAATTAATTTATGATACAGATTTTCAGAAACAGTGAAAAAATTCTGGTTTATTTTTTTTTCAATTTTCTCAACAAAAAAAACTAAATAACAGCATTTACAAATTTTTATATTTTCACTGTTTCAACAAAGTTATGACTTGAGAAATCTGATGAATTTTGGCTAATATTGTGAAGAATTTAATTTTTTTTAAATTTTTTGGTATTCGAAATCGATACCCTATTTTTATTCATCACATTTTCCAGTTTTGTCCAAAATTTCTCCAGAAAAAAAAAATTTCAAAAATTTCAAATTTCATTTTTTTCACTGTTTCAAAAATATTCTGAATCAAACTTTTGATTTTCACAAGGTATTGCCATTCATTTCTTCAAATTCATCGGATTTCTCAAAAAAAATTTTCACTGTTTCAAAAAATAAAATTAATCAAAAGCTATAATTACTTCAATTTCTAAAAAATAGAGTTCCCAAAGTTTCTGAGATAATTATCCCTTAATTATCCCTTAATTTTCTGATCTCCGAAAATTTAAACAATTTTTTAATATGATTCAAAATTAAAGTCTTTTAGTACTTTCTGAAGCTCCAATCCAAAAATTTCAATTTTTGTAACATTGCCCAAAGTTTCTCAATAAAAATTTAATTGTTTTCGTGGAATTTTGACCAATTCAAGTTTTTCCCAAAAATCCAAAAAAAATTTTCACTGTTTCAAAGTGCCCAAAGCTTCCAAAAAAAAATAATAAATTGTTCTGTGGAATTTTGACCAACTTAAAATTTTTGAATTCAAGTTTTTCCCAAAAATCCAAAAAAATTCACTGTTTCAAAAATATTTTAATTCAAAATGCAAAATTAACCCCTTCATTAGTAAAGCAAAGTTTTTCAAAAATTTTATTTTTTCAGCGTTCTGAACAATGATGTTGAACCAATTGAAACTGGAGAAAATGCTCTGGAAATAATGGAAAACGAGATGATCGAAGAGTTGAAAAAAGAAGAGGAAAAAGTGATTTACACAGATCCGCCAGTTCTTCCAATTTTATATTTTCATGCAAATGAATTTGTAAAATATATGAAAGAAACTCATGGATTCACAAAACTTGGGGTGAATATAATGTGTCGAAGATCAATGCGATTAAATCGATATTCAACAAATTATAATGAGAAATATAAAGAGAATCCATATATTATTATGGTGAAAGTTTACGAAGGTGGAATCATTTTCTGCGAATTAATATATAAAATCCCAGTTTTCATCGTGAAATTATATATTTATGAAAGAGCAACACATTCAACAGCTGATTATTATATGATTGATAAAATGATGAAATTATATGCAAAAGAAACTGTGAAATTGAATAATGAAGTGCAATTATTGGCAAAGAATTTGGACCTGAATTTATTCAATTATGATTTTAATCTAAGAGTGATTGCCAAGCATTTGATTGATTTGAAAACGAAATCTTCAAGTATTTTCGGCGAATTTTACAATATCTCTAACCTTCTTGACTCGCTCTTCAAATATCATAATCGAAAGGCAAAATTATCGAAGAAATGTAGTATTGAAAAGGATTTCTACGAATGCACAAGAATTAAAAACGACGATTTTTGGCAACAATTTGTTACCAGCGAAAATGATCATTATTTGATGCTGAAAATGAGAGGAGAAAATGGAGTGGAATATATGTTGGCTGATTTTGAGGAAGAGCAAGAAGATGTTTCTAGTGAGATGATGAGAATGAAACGGGTCTTTCAGTTGGTCTCGTTTTTGCCGAGATATTTGAATTTTGATAGTCAGTTTTTGCCGTATTATACGATTATTGTGGAGGAAAATGAGGAGGAAAAAGGTTGGCATTTTTCGGGGCAAAAAATTTGAGAAAATTTGAAAATTTAAGAAATTTTCATCCAAAACATTAGCTTTTCTAGCTAAAAATCCTGAAACTTTGAAATTTTTTGAATGTAAATTTTTCATAGGCAAAAAATCCCTAATTTTTAAAGTTTTCACAAAGAATCGAAGCTTTCCTCGATTTTTCCTAGAAAGTATCAGATTTTTTTAAACATTAGAAATATTTTACCAAAATTCTCAGCTAAAAAATTTCACTGTTTCGTAGTGTTTTTATATTTTTTTGATACAAACAGTCATTTGATAAAATAATGAAAAAAAAAATCCGAAAAAAAATCTGCGTTCGGGGGGAATCGAACCCCCGTCGAATGCTTGGAAGGCATCCATGCTGACCATTACACCACGAACGCGATATGAAAATTATTGGAAAAATTTCGGAGATATCAAAACCTAATTTGGATATGGGATTTTCTCGCCAAAACCGGTTATTTTCACGATATCCAAATATGTCGTTTTGATATCTCCGAAATTTCTTCAATAATTTTCATATCGCGTTCGTGGTGTAATGGTCAGCATGGATGCCTTCCAAGCATTCGACGGGGGTTCGATTCCCCCCGAACGCAGATTTCACTTTTTTTTTGGATGGAGAATTATTAGTAGCTCGAACACATACATTTTCTATGAAACAGTAAAATTTTTCAGTTGCAAAAACACCACTTGTGACCAAAAGATCAATCGAAGAACGACAAATTTCGGTCTCGCCGCGACCTTCAACTTCAATCGAAAAAGATTCGACAGATTTGACACAAGAAGAATTGGAAACTGATGAAAATGATCCGAATTATATGAATTTGCCTGAAAAACGGAAGGGAAAATGGTGGAAACGGAAATTTAGTCGATGGAGTTCGAAACAAAATCAGGAGAAGAAAAATCGGATAAAATGGATGGATAAAGAAACAATCAAGAAATCGAAGAAGTTGAAAAGTATGGAAAGAAAAAATGAAAGAGAAAAGATTGGAACTGGAACAACACCTGAAAATAGTGAAGAAGAGGAAGAAAATGAATCTGAACAAGAAGTAGAGACTTCGGATAACTTGACCATCTCAAAATCACAAAGTGAACCGAATATTTGTGATGTTTCATCGGAAGAATTGGTTCAAATATTCTCAAATTTGCCCAAATCTGATGATGAAGATGTGGAGAAAATTGAAAAACGCAAAAAATTGATGAAAAATCGGAAGGATTTGGAGAAACGGGGGGAGAATGAGGTGAGTTTTGAATGGCTTTTTTTTTTGGTTGTTTTTTTTTCGTTGAAATCTGAAAAAAAAAGAATTAATCAGATAAATTGAACCAAAATTTTATTAGAATTTTTGAAACAGTAGATTTTTTTATTTCCAAAAAATATTAGAAACAGTAATTTTTCGAAAGTGAATTTTGAACAATTGTTTTTACTGTTATAGAAGCACTAAAATATCATATTTTGAAATCAGATTGGATTTTATGGGAAATTTTTGAAACGTAATTTTTTGGGGTTTTTGTTTGGATCAGCAGAACCCACACAAAATTATGAATAATTTTGAAACAGAATTCTCATATTATCAAAAATGCTGAAAAAAAATTTGCTTGATTTTTCGTTTGAAACAGTAATTTTTCGAAAGTGAATTTTGAATTCGTGTTTTTTTTGTTTGAGGAGTATTTGATAAAAATATCAAATTTTGAAATCAGATTGACTTTTATGGGAAATTTTTGAAACGTAATTTTTTGGGGTTTTGTTCTGTCAGCAGAAATTTCAACCCACACAAAATTATGAACAATTTTGAAACAGATTTCTCATATTATCAAAATGCTGAAAAAAAATTTGTTTGATTTTTTGTTTGAAACAGTAATTTTTCGAAAGTGAATTTTGAATTCGTGTTTTTTTTTTTGTTCCAAAAATTCAGTAAAAAAATCAAATTTTGAAATGAGATTGGATTTTATGAGAAATTTTTGAAACGTAATTTTTTGGGGACTTTTTTTCTTATTGCATTGTTAGAATTTCTAGCCACAAAAAGGTATGAATATTTTTGAAACAGTAGAATTCTCAAATGATCAAAAATGCTGAAAAAATGTTTTGTTTGAAACAGTAATTTTTCGAAAGTGAATTTTGAAAAATTGTTTTTTTTGTTCCAAAAAATACCGTTGAAAATTAAATTTTGAAATCAGATTAATTTTTTCGGAAATTTTTGAAACGTAATTTTTGGGGGATTTTTTCTTATTGCATTATTAGAATTTTTAGCCCACAAATAATTATAAACAGTTCCGAATCAGTAGAATTTTTTAATTTGTAGAGAAACTTGTTTTTTTGAAACAGTAAAAATCTCACATTATCAAAATTTCTGAAAAGAAAATTCGTTTCATTCACGGTGAGATTTTCTTGACGTCCCGACCCGTCGAGAAAAATTTATTCAGAATGCAAAAAAAAATGAAACTCCGTATCCATAAAGCACACAAATGTGTCGCCGCTCTGTGCAACAGAGCGAACATTCTGCACTACAAATTAAATTTCGCGACGGTTTTTTTGTGTGGACGGCGTGAAGAAAATCTCACCGTGCATTTGAAACAGTAATTTTCAGAAGTAAATTTGTTTGCTCAAAAAAATACCGTTAAAAATTAAATTTTGAAATCAGATTGATTTTTTCGGAAATTTTTGAAACGTAATTTTTTTTTGAATTTTCTAGGAAATTTTTTTGAACAGTAAAATCAACTTGTAAAAATTTCAAAAGTTTACAAAAATCCATTTTTCAAGTAAAAAACTCCTCCCATTGTCACACTTTCCCTAACTCCCATTATACTTAGTTCCTCCTGATTTTCCTGTGTTTTTTTTCGCGTTCCTATTTTTGTTTCTAGTTTAGTTTAGTCTAACCCCATTCACAGGATTTTTTGATGCACTTCTTCACGGACCCAAATTCACCAGCACCACAAAAAGTATTTGGAGAAATAAGTCCCGCTTTGCTTTGAATGTGAAAATAATTCGTCTTTTCATTACAGTCTTCAGAAGTCGCAGATCAACAACAACAATAATCAATCAATAAATCAATTATTATCAAATATCAATATTAATGTTCAAAATATAATTAATAATAGTAATAATAATGAAACTGAAAATGAAGGTGAAAGTGTTATGGAAATGGTGATTGGATTGGGAAAGAAATTGCGATGGGTTGGAAGAATGAGAGAAGCAGAGAGGAAGAGGAGAAAAGAGAGAAGCAGACGACGAGAGGAGGTTAGTGAAGAGAGAGGGAGGGAGGGCATTTTGAATATTTGAAAAATCTGACTGAGGAGCTTTTAATTATGAAAATTTGAAAATAATCATTGCTCATGTTAGAATTTTCAAATTTTTGACACGTGGAGTTTTGGCGCGAAAATTCAAATTTAAATTTTTTGTTGAAATTTCGCTCTCAAACTTTCAAGAAAAACAATTTCTATAGATTTTCCTCATTTTTTTCATTTTCAGATGGAATTTCAAGATTCGGACGATGAAGTTATTCAAGCGTTGAAAGTTGAGAGAATGGTCAGTTTTTGAAATTTTTTCCATCCTCATTTTTTCTTTTTCAGAAAATCCCAAATTCTCCTGAAACCCTGGAAAATTCTTCTCCAAAATCTTGGAATAAAACCAGCTTCTTAGAAAGTTATCGGAACTTTATTAAAGAACCCGCTGGAAATGAGAGTTTTGATGAAGAGATTTTGATGGATAAGAGGAGTATTCAGAAGCTGCTAGAAGAGGAAATTAGGGAAACGGTTGGTGAACATTTTTTTGCTGGAAATTTGAAAAAGGGCCGAAATTTTTCACTGTTTCATAGAAAATGTATAAACTGAACATGTGTTCAAACTATGATGGGTTGGTGGAAGTATCCGAAAAATGAAAAAAATCTGCGTTCGGGGGGAATCGAACCCCCGTCGAATGCTTGGAAGGCATCCATGCTGACCATTACACCACGAACGCGATATGAAAATTATTGAAGAAATTTCGGAGATATCAAAACTTCATTGGATATGGGATTTTCTCGCAGAAACCGGTTATTTTCACGATATCCAAATACACAGTTTTGATATCTCCGAAATTTCTTCAATAATTTTCATATCGCGTTCGTGGTGTAATGGTCAGCATGGATGCCTTCCAAGCATTCGACGGGGGTTCGATTCCCCCCGAACGCAGACTTTTTTCGTTTTTTTTTAGTTCGATAAATTTCATGCATTTTCTGTGAAACAGTGAAACAATTTTCAGCTGAACCTAATATTTTTAGAACTTTGAGGAACACTTTTTGAAGAAGTCGAAATATTAAGAACGAACTTTTTTTTTTAAGTTTTAGGCTTAAGATTTCCTACGAAACAGTGAAATTTTGTGATAATCTAAAATAATTTTGAAAAGTTTCCAGAAATTTTTTTTATGAAAATTCCAGGCGCTCCAAAAAATCCACCAAAATCATCGTCTCCGCTTCCGAATAATCATGGAAACCAAAATGCGCGAACATCGTCTCAAAAAACATCACACGAAATTCAGAGCCGCTAGAAATGTAGGGGTTTTTCTTTTTAAAAAATATTTTTGGTTTTTCCTTTCAGAGAGAAGTTAGAAATGTTCATTTGTTTCGATGTTTGCGAAAACAGGAAAAATTAGTGAGTTCAGATTCTGAATCTGAACCTGAATCTGATGAAAATTCCGATGAAGATTATGATGTTTTTGAAGAGGAAATTGAAGTCGATTTGGATTTTTGTGAGAAAAAAGAGAAAGAAATTGATTGCGAAGAGATGAAAATTAGAAGAATACAAATGAAAAAATATCAAAGATGGGTGAAAAAAGAAATGGAATTTCTATCTCCTGAACCTGAAGATTATTGTGCACCTCTGCCATTTCCTGATCCAATTCCAATTTCAAGTTCAAGTTCACCAACACCTCCTCCTACCAGAAAAGTCCATTTTTGCCCAACAAAAAATTATAAGCAAACTTTCTTGATACCAAATAAACCGGAAAATGAGAAGATTGATATTTGGAAGCCGTCTAGATTAGTTCAAGGAAAATCGATAAGAAGAGTTAAGAAGTTTTTGAGGAATTGTCATCGAATTGAATTGGTTCGACTTGAGCCGATGTGAGTTGTTTTTTGGTTTGTTCTGGGAGAAGTTGAAATTTTGAAACGTAAAAATTGAGCGTTTTTTTGAAATTGTTCCTCGAAAAATAATTCGCGTTCTGAATAAGTTTAAAACTCAAAATTAGAAAATTAAAAAAAAAAAAAAAAAAAAAAAATTATGAGATTTTTCACTGTTTCAAAATTCAAAAAAAAAGTAATTCAAAACTTTCGAAAATATTCAATGAGCTGCTGCTATAAAATAATTTTTTTAATATATTGGATATTTCAGAGGTCCACAAATAGAACATTTACAGTTTTAACACAAAAAAAGTTAACGTTTAGTTTTGAATTTTGGGAACCACAATTTTCGCCGAGATGTTTTTTTGTCCAAAATGTATGGTACCAACCAAATCCAAAAAAAAATGCAAAAATTCACGCGATTCTGATTCAATTTTTTTCATTCGTTCCCAAGTTATTGAATTTTTTGTTTTTTTTTTCGAAATTTTATTCTCATGTATATATCGTCTTCTAAAAATCCAGATTATTTATCAGAAAAATATTGAAACAGTAATTTTTTATGGAAAATTAACTTGACATCATAGTAAGTCGATTATTTGAATGAAACAGAATTCTTGAAACAGTAGAAAATTGCGAAAAATTCAAGAAAGAAGTTTTTTCACATACATATGAGACAATAACAATAACTTATCCATCTTCAAAATTAAACACAATTTTTGAAACAGTAAAAAATATGTTTCAAAAAATCTGGAATAATTGTGAAAACAAAACTGAAACATTCACTTTTCGAATAGATGTCAACAAAAGTTTTCCCTGGAATTTATACGTTTCGGAAATTTGAGATATTTTTAGGAAAAATTGGGAAGATCAGTAAGTTCTCAATTTTCCTCCTAATTTTTATTAAAAAATATCTGAAATCTCTGAAATTAGTTCAAGTTTCTCAAAGTTGAGTAAACCTTTGACAGGTCGAAATTTTATAGAAAATTGTATTGTCAACATAAAAAATAACCCGCATTCCGATAAAAATCTTCTGAAACAGTAAATTATTTTTCCAGTGTTAAACTACTAACTCGAAATGTGAACAGTGCTCGATTATGTCATTATATGTTGATTCGATTTGGTTTGAATCAATGCACTTTTCATGAACATGTTCCTACTAACCAAAGAGTTTGTTTTTTCTCTGAAATTTTTGTTGCTGAAAAAAATCTGAAAATTTGCAGATAATGCTAGTCAAAGACCCGAAGAATATGCATATTTTATTTGCCATCGATTGTACATTTTTCGATCATCCTAAAATTCATCTTGTGAATATTGAAACCGAGAAATATCCTGAAACGTGAGTTTTTTTTCCAATTTCGATAAACATTAATGAAAATTTGAAAATGCAAATATTTTTCAAGAATTTTTGAAACTGTGAAAAAATTGTTCTCGATAAAAAAATTCCAGAAAAAAAACAAAATTGATTTCACGTGGCACTTTTATTCTGAAAATGTCAAAGGTGAATTTTATTTTCAAAAATTGCCACGTGGCATTATTTTTGGATTTTAGATTTTTTTTCTTAATTGTAGAAACTTCAATTGAAATTTAAAAAAAACGAATTCAGCAATATTTTATTAGATTTTCAAAATTTAACAGTTTGTTTCGTGAATTTTTGAAACAGTGGATTTTTTGTTCAAAAAAATCATTCGTTTCTGTTGTCTTATTGAAAGGATGGAATGTTATGAAATTGAAAGAATTTTCTATGATAATTTTTTGAAACAGTAAATTTTCTTATAATCAAAATTTCACAAACCCAAATGTTCCTCATGAATTTCTTGAAACAGTAGATTTCCGGGAAAATTGACACTGGAAGAAGTTGAATCTCATAAGTTTTTACTGAAATCTATTAGACATATTCAGAAAATATAAGTTAGGACTTTTTATGGTGAATTACTTAGTAATTCTATGTTATTTAGCACTTTAAAAATAGCATTTGAAACTATTAATTTTTTGAAACAGTGATTTTTTTCACATTAATTTTCTCAAAATTTCCGATGTTCTTTTGAAACAATGAATTTTTATGTAAACACGGAATTAGCGAAATCAATATTTCAAAAATTCGAATTTTTATTATAAATTTTTGAAACAGTGATTTTTATTCCATTAAATATTTGCAGCTACACTCCTCTTCCCCACTGTATTCGTTCATTTGTGCTAACTCTTGCCGCCTTCGTTTGGATCGATACAATTTTTCGACCAATCAAATCAAATCGAAAATCCTGGATCAAACCGCAATCTTTAGAACATTTAATGTCAATTTTTGCGAAAAACCATGATCGAATTATTCAAAAACTACTTGTAACTTGGAGAAAAACCAGAAAATTATAGAAACACGGGCTGTTATTTTTATATATTTATTTTTTGTATCATTTTATTTATTTTTCTTCAGTTTTCTTTATTCAAACATTGATAAAATTAGTTGTTTGAAATTGGTGTTTCCTGGAGATTTCCGGGAAATTTCCTGGAGCCAAGTGACTTGGCTAAAAAAACAAAAAAAAACGGTTCAAAAGTTTCTCCATAAATTTTATCACGACACATTGTAAATGATAAATTTTGAGCTCAAATTTCGACCGCAAGCTGAAAAGGTTCCTTTGTTCGATATTTCTATAGAAAACTATAGTTTGGGGCAGAACTGCGCTTGAAATGCAACATTGCGAAAAAAAATGAGCATATATGCTTTTTGTTTTTTTTTAAATTTTGCTACGGTATCTGCAAACACCGCGACATGAAAATGCACACAGTTTTTTTTCGCGCGCGCAAAAAATTTTGCAGACTTTCAAATCTTCACTTTTTTGTATTTTGACCCACCGCGAAAGTTTAAATATAAACTAAATTCAATCGATCGCGATTCCCAACAAGAAAATTCATTTCATCAGTTTCGGAAGACGCTCAAAATGAAAGAAAATCGACCACTTGCCGAACAAATGGCGCAATTGAATGCACCTGATACGACAACTGAAAATTCATATATGGATGGATCTTCTTTGAGAAACGAAACGTGTCCAGCCGCATTGCTTCGTTCAATCGATGAAAGTCTTGAAAAACTCTCGCAGGTAAGCATTTTTCTCAAAAATTTCAAAATTATATCTATATATAGACTTTTTCACAGAAGAAACGCGAAAAGCCAGCCGTACCAGCGCCGTGTCGCAAAGAAATGTCAGCAACCTACAAAATCTCGTTGTGCGATGTGTTCAGTCGCGAAGGAAAATGTCCGTACGGCTCGAGTTGTCGGTTTGCACACGGCAAGAACGAGTTGCGAATGCCGCGAACAACGAGAACTGTGAAATTCGGCGGGACTTTTTATGCGGCGCCCGCGAAACCAGCGAGAGGCAGATGTCGCAATTTTATGGCTGGAAATTGTCGATTTGGAGAAAAGTGAGAAATGGGAGTAGGAGGGGAGGCTGAAAATAAGTTGCTTTTTCAGATGTCACTATTTACATCTGGTTGATAGCAGTGAAATGCCAAAACTGATGAACACGACAATTCAGCCATACATCAATCAATCGTTTTCGGAAATGCCGAGACAGTTGGAAACGCCACCACAGGCTATGATGTATCCACAACAACAACTTCAACCGGATTTCAATCAGACGTATGTATATTTCGAAAGATCTTTTTTTTTTTGAAAAATAACTGACATCAGGTCTGTGCCGGAAATTTTCCGAATTTTCCGAATTTCCGGATTTTCCGGTTTTCAGGAAAATGATCTTTAGTAGTAATACTTACAATTTTGCCGAAATTTTGGGAAATTTTCTCAGTTTATGATAGAAAAAATGAAATTTTTGCAATTTTTTTTTCAATTTTTCAAATTTTACGATTTTTTGAACGTAAAACGTCTCAAATAGTTACTAAATTAGCCGTGAATAAAAGAATTGTAGATAAAAATATATTTTAGTGCCAACTAAAGGCTGAAAATCGAAATTTCTGACTTTGAAAAATTTTCCGGACTTTCCGGTTCAAAAAATCCGGAAATAATCCTTTTTAAAAATAATAATTTTTTTGAAATCAAATATAAGGTCACGTCTGGAAATCGAACCAAAAAAAAATTAATTTTTTTGTCAAATAATTTCTTAATCGCCACGTCATAGTTCACGGCAAAGTTTGTGGAAATTTCGTTATTTTACAAGATGTTTTTTTCTTTCAGACTACCAGCACAAGGAACAACATATTACTATCAGCAAATTCAACAAACTCCTCAACAATTTGCTCAATTTCAACAACAATATCCATATTATATGATGAATAATCCGTCATCTTTTCTTCCTCCATTTCCACCACCTCAACAATTGCCATATTATCAAATGTATCCACCTTTTCCACAACCAATGATACAACAAAATGTCCAATATTATCAATGAGGTTTCATTTTTTGCTCTTCAATGTGAATATGTATTTTTTGATTGCTTTTGAAGCATGCTTTATTTCAAACGACACTTTTTCGATGTTGTAAATAAACTATTTTTGGGAAGAGGTACTGTAGATGATGATTCTGTGTGCAAACACCAAACGTGAGTTTTTTTTTTTGCAAGATGCCTTCTGAATTTTTGAAACAACGTCCCATGAAATATTTATTACCATCCAAAAAAAATCAATAATTATATATTCAATTTCTTCTCGAAGTTCTTCTTCTGATTGATTTCTTGTTTTCCGAAGGTTTGGTTGGAATACGACCCAAAGTCCAATCATCAACTCCAATATGAATCATTTTGATTTTTTCTTGTTTGAATACTGGGCTCTTCTCAACTTTATACCATTTCAATTTTCTTAGGAATTTGAAAAATTTGAGGAATTTCACCGAAAAAAATCATGAGAAAATTGAAATTGTATAAAAGTTGATAGGATGATCAAAAATCTAAACTGAAAAATCAAATTCAAAATGCTCCACGCTCCAATGCCATTTTTAACTCTAACCAATCCATCGGAAAACGAAAAATCAATCAAAAGAATAACTTCGAGAAGACTTTGAATAATTATTGATTTTTGAGATGGGAATAAATATTTCATATAAATTTTTTGATGATTCCTAACATGCACACTCGCGGAAAATAAAGAGGCATGTGTTTTTATACCAAAATTTTGAAACAGTGAAATTATTTTTCTGAAAACCCCTTCATTTTCTGAAAACCCCTTCATTTTCTGAAAAACCCCTCATTTTCTGAAAAACCCTTTATTTTCTCAATAACACTTCATTTTCTCAACAACCCTTATTTCCGATCAGAGCCTCCTATTCTTCGTTATTTCGCGGCATAACAAAATCCGCATATTCAGCTTCGAGTGTTTTTAAATCTCGTTTTCTTTGAGTTAATAAACTGTAATAATATAGATTTATATTTTTCTCAGAAAAAGTTGAAACTCACCGGATAAAATCAATGACTGCCAACGAATCTTTATATTTGAATATGAAGATAGCGGCATCTCTTTTGGAAATATGTTTTTGCATTAAAATCGAGATTTCGTCGCAACAAGGGATCTGATCCAATTCCTGAAAAGACACAATATTTAGCCAAAAAATCAGAAATCAAAAAAAAAATTAAACTGACGATATCGATTCGATCAATAGAAAGTGTTCCATTTTTTATAGTTTCTAACAACTCCATAACACTAATTGGATTGGAATTAAATGTGTCCTGAAGGTTGCCAACTGTTTCATTAGATATATTGAAAATAGTTGAATTCGCAAAAAGGAATTCTCCAAGGACAGGGTGACTGCAAGTTTGAAGAAATTGTTTTGAAAACACCTAAAAAAAACCATTATGATGATAACAGAACAGTTTGAAACATACTAATTGTGTCTTGCTATCAAGTCGCTTGAATATTTTCGTTGAAATTTTCACAGCGCTCAAATCACGAAAAGATATAATTGTCAAGTTGAGTAATGGCAAAAGAGCTATTAAAGCTTTTACCTGAAAAGTTGATTAAGTTTCAAAAAATCAATGCACATATCCACACCACGCCCATTTTGCACGGCTGCAATTTTGGAACTCGCAAAATCACATTTTTATTTTTTAATTGAAAACAAGCAATTCTCTGATTATAATAGGCCAATTTCAAAAAAAAATAATTTTCACAAAGCTGGGCGTGATATGCATATAACTCACTTTATCTTGGAATGATGACTCAATGCAAATCTGTATCAATCTTTTATATTCCATAACTTGATCATGTTGAGCTTGTTCTCTAGTATATATTCGAGGTCATATTTTGTTCTGCAAAAAAATTGGCATAAATTTAAAAAATTCAAAAAAAAACTCACTCAAATTGCAATCGTTGAACACTCATTATTGATTTTTAATTCAAAAACCAGATTGCGATACCAAAATCTGTAGAAATGACCAGCAAAATCACGTTTTTCCTCATTTTTTCCACAAAATTAGGGCAACACGTTTTAAAAAATATTACTATATTTTACATTTTTTTACATAATTATACATATAAGAGAGAGCGAGTTTAAAAATCAGAGACAAGTCGTTTTGAGAAGCGATTTTTTCGAACATTATGCCAAAATCTGTACATGTACGTTTTTCATCAAAGGTTCGTATTTTTCTGAAAAATATTTGTATTATTTTCTCGATTCATTTTATCATTGTTTTTTTATCCATTATACATAACCTGAACAATTTTATCATTCAAAAAATACTATAGAAAACAAGTGCGGCCCTATTGGTCCGCGCTCGTTCTTCGCCTAGTGTTTCTAGTTTGTTTTTGTTACTTTCCCTTACGGTACCGGGTGAAGTCTCCCCAGAATTCCGCAGGTCTTATAAAGATATGAAAACACAGATAGAGTCAACTACTAATTTATGTTAAAATAAATAATTATAAGAAACGGGACAATGGGGGAAAAGGGGGAAAATAAAAATAACAAAATTGAATCAAAGACGGGAGCCATGCTCCCTCCGACCTAGATGCTTCGCACCGTCGACTTTTGTAGCTTCTGAGTTGGGCGTGTCTCGCATCATTGGTTTTCTCCGGAAGCATGATCCTATCCCGGCTGATAAAGTTTAATAGTTCTCGAAAACATGGGAGTGTGTGCTCTTCGGGGAAACGCAGAGTTTTCAATTATAACGATATTGCATTGTTTCTGTTTTGTCCATGACAAAATGATCAAATGATCTTGGCTAGAGAATATAGTCCACATAATAAACAAGAAGTAGGAATACTCAAAGGTGTCTGGCAAGATACCTTTACACTATTTATTTGATGTTAAAGAAAAGTAACAAAAAATCGAAAAATACATTTTTATTGATTTTTTATTTTTTGGGAAGAGATACTGTAGACGATGATTTTGTGTGCAAACACCAAACGTGAGTTTTTTTTTTGCAAGATGCCTTCTGAATTTTTGAAACAACCTCCCATGAAATATTTATTCCCATCGCAAAAAAAATCAATAATTACATAGATATTCAAATTCTTCTCGAAGTTCTTCTTTTGATTAATTTCTTGTTTTCCGATGGTTTTGTTGGAATACGACCCAAAGTCCAATCATCTACTCCAATATGAATCATTTTGATTTTTTCTTGTTTGAAAACTGGGCTCTTCTTAACTTTATACAATTTCAATTTTCTCAGGAATTTGAAAAATTTGAGGAATTTTACCGAAAAAAATCATGAGAAACTTGAAATTGTATAAAAGTTGATAGGATGATCAAAAATCTAAACTGAAAAATTAAATTCAAAATGCTCCACGTTCCAATGCCATTTTTAACTCTAACCAAACCATCGGAAAACGAAAAATCAATAAAAAGAATAACTTCGAGAAGACTTTGAATAATTATTGATTTTATTCCTTTGGGTTAGGAATAAATCATATTTCATGGGAATTTGTTATTTTTGATTTTCCAAAACTTCCTTCTCACAATAAGTTTCTAAAGTTCCGAGTTCGCGTAAATCAAATCATAGCTCAAAAAACGTTTTATAAAAAAAACACATGTACTTGTTCTAACTCCAACACTCTACTATTTATTTCTCCCACTTTTTTTGGCTGTTAAAATTTTCAGCTGTTCTCGAGACTTTGTTCCCAAATTTTTTCCGTTAAAAATTACGAATGATTGTTTTCGTGAAATCGACAAATGAAACTTTTTGGTTTCCAATTTTCCGATTGAATGATTTGAAATCGAGCGATTTTCCATTATTTGGAACACTCGAAATTATATTTTTAATAATTTCTGGAATTTTTGCATTTCGAACTTCATGGATAATTTTGAAAATTCGAGTATTCCACGAGAATATGTCAATTATGCTAACTTGTTTGTGGATTTTATGGATCGAAGCATTTTTCGCGAAAATCATAATTCTTCCCTTTCAATTCAATTTGATTTCTTTATCTGGAAAATCAGAGATTGTATCGTGGTGGACTTCGAATTATGAAAAAATGCTGAAAATTGAGGAATTCTCTGAAATTCGCTGGTTATTTGTTGCAAGTTTTATATTGTGGCATTATATTTATTCAATGTTTTTGACAGTTTTTGCGATGGCAATGGAGAGGATTTTTGCGACGATTTATATTGAGTTAGTTTAGATTTTGGTCAGGAAATTATTTTTTAGAACTTTTTAGAAGCTTTTCAAATGCAAATTTAATATTATTGAGCTTGATCTTTAGGAAATGACAACATTTTTGAAAGTTATCGAATTACGCGGAGAAACTAGAAACAATATATTCCAAAATTTCCGGAAAAATTGATCTTGAACTTTAGAAAATCAATAATTTTTAAATATTTATCACTGCTGAAAATTCTAGCCAACCAAAATTACGTGAAGTAGAATACCAGGAGCTCCTAACAAAAATTTGCATGCCAAAAATCTGACTTTTTATCAAATTTCACTTGAAAACTCGGATTTGAAATGTAAAAAACGCGATTTCTCAATTAAGCCCCGCCCCCTTTGCACACAAACGATGGCGACACGCACAACCCGTCGACCGTCGCTCACACCAGAAATTGATATATTCGTGTGTCTTGTGTGTTTATCGCTTTCGGGCGGTAGCGAAGCTATCGTCAAAAATTTTTTTTTAATGGGGAATGTTTCATAATTTTCTGAAGTTTTGGGATTTTTGTGAAAGTTTCAGAATCGAAATAATCTACTTTACATAGAAAACTAAAAATTCAGGGACTACGAAAACACATCTCGCAAGCATATTCCAATTTGCCTAATTCTGCTAACTCACTTTTTCACAATTCCCCTGGCTTTCCTTATAACTTATAATAAACTACCATTTAGTATCAGCTACGGTTTAATTATCTTATTTTCAATTTCAGTACTTTTGGTAACTCAATCAAAATCTGATTTTCAAAAAGAAACCCCGAGAATATTTTTCAGATGTTCTATCTGATTTGGCACTATAATTTCACAATGAAAAAAACAATAGATCTCCCAAATATGTATACTCTTCACAAAAAATTTCAGATAAATGAAAATTATCGAGCATTGCTCATGGCAAGACGAATTGTAATCGGCGGAACAATTTATGCCTCAATTTTTGGAATTCTCTTCTTTTTTTCTGAATTTTGAATACTTTTCGAGCAATTTTCCGGCGCTTAGTCATGTGCTGGAAAATTCGATTTGGTTGTGAGTTGAAAATGTGATTTTTTTTTCCCAAAAAGTTTTCTAGAAATCCTATGTTCATCTGTCCAATTTTGATCTCTTGCTCTCCGATTTGGCATCGAAAATTTTGGTTTTTGCAAAAATCGGATGATGCTTTGAACTCGAAGACTCAACAATTTGAAACCGAAATTTATTTTAATCAATTGAAAAATGCTTGGTTATAGGTTTTTATTGAATTTTTTTCAAATTTCAAAAGCTTATTGCAAAGTTCAGGACACATTTGAACTAATCTGTAAAATTTCTAGTTTTCTCTGTGTTGGGATGAACAGACACAAAACAATCCCGTAAATAAGAATCGTTTAAAGGAACATGGACTGTCGCTTCAGGACCCAACAGTTGGCTGGCTGCCAGCCTTACGAAATTGCGCGGTATTTTCTTTCGCTGTCTGCACGCTCTCTCTTTCTCTCTCTCTCTTACAGTTCGCCCTGAATTAAACAAAATGTTCAATTAAACGTGTCCCCGTGGAAAAAATGACATTTCTAGTCATTTTTAACAAAAATAAAAATGAAAATGGTCTACATATTTATTCTTCTTCAAATTACTGCTATAATTAGTGAGTTTGAAAAAAAACGAATATTTTTATTTTAAAGACACAAGAAACACTGGAAAAAACAGATTTCCCGCATTTATTTTCAAACGACAAAACCAGCATGTGCGCTCTAGCGACACACTGTGTGCACACACTTTCGAAATTTCCGTCGGCTGAGCGATTTCAAAAACAATTATTTTATTTTTTCACTTTTGCTAGTCTCAAAATTTTTTCTTGATTTTCATGAATTTCGATTACTTGAAAGGTGTTGAGAATGAATAACAAACTCATTTTCTGCTGATTTCTAGGTGCTCTTGTGTCTTTAAATTTCAATTTTCAGCTGCGCCAAATGAGCAAAATTGCACAGATACTGGAATTATATCGAAAATCAAAACTCTTCCCGATCAAGAAATTGACGAATATTTCAATCTGATTTATCCTATGAAGTTTTACTGTCGTAAGTTTTCAAAGGATTTCGTTCCAAAAAAAACAACAACTTTTCAGCCAAACCCATCGGATTTCACTGTTTTGATTTTATCAAGAAACAAAAACCAGAGACAATCCCCCGTTTTTGTCTACCTAGGACGATTTTTGACAATCGTTTCAAAATATGTAAGAAAAATGCGGATTGTGGAGATAGAGGATTTTGCCAAAAATTTATAAGCTACGATATTGATCCGAAGAATAAATCAAAATTTGCGTTGAAAATTCAGAATACGAGTTTTTGTTATCAACGTTAGTTTCAAGAATTTTTTTTTGATAGACCTGCTGATCATTTTTTGATTTTTTGCAGAACCATTTGTCACAAATGAAACAAAAACGAGATTATTGATTGATAAAAAAAAACTTGGATTCTCGATTTGCAACAAAACTTCCGATTGTAAACCAACAAAATTTGGATCAATTTGTGATAAAAACCCAAAATATGCGGAAGAATTCGGAAAACTATTATTTGATGGATTTTGTGTTGAGAAGATTTGCGGTGGAAAACATGAATTTAATGAAACTTATGAAGCTTTAAATGGTTATGAAACATGTAAGGCTGGAATCAAATATAATATTACGCATTTTGATAAAATTCATTATCGGTGAGCATTTTTGGGTCTGAAATATTGATTTGTAATGGCTGCACTCTCTCTAATCAAAAACATTTTCAGTCCAAAATGCATCGAAGGAATTCTTTGCTATCGAAAAGTCGAATGCACACGTGGAACAGTGTTCAATGAAGAACAACAATGTGGTCCGAATTCCAAACCAAATCCATTATTATTTTGTAATAATGGCAAGAAAAAAGGTCCGAATTGGTGTGATTTTGAGACGAATCAATGTTGTGAAGACGAAATTATTGGACATTGTCCATATGGAATTGTTGAGAATAGATCTTTTCGATATTTTCAACCAAAATGTAAAAGTGATAGGGATTGTAAAAATGGATTTTTCTGCGCCAGTGAAGGATATTGTTGTGAGAATAGTGGGTTTTTCTTTTTACATTTGGAGTGAACCGCAAGCTTCCTGGAAGCAGCGAAGTTACCCTAACCTTTTTGGCAAATCTAGAAAGTTAGGGTAACTTTTCCGCTGCGCGGAAGCTGGCGGTCTCCCTTCGCTCGAAGGGCCTTTGAAAATCTTTCTTTCCAGTTCAATACCCGGAAGCCGAAGGCCCACCAATATCATTCTATCTGGTCCCAGCTATTATGATTGCTTTTATTGTTGGCGGATTGGCGTTTTTGATTTTCTACAAGTTCGAGGAAGTTGAAGATTTATAGGTACTTTTTGTTAATAAATAATGATTCAAACTGGGTTTTTGGATCCGAAAAAAATGAAAAATCTTGTCCGGGAGAAGTACACGGACGTGGAAAACTCGTCCCCCAGCCACCTTCTTTTTTTTTGCTCGTTTCTTTTTGTTTTTTTTTTGTGTTTACAGCATTTTTTCTTATTAATTAATCATCTAATTAATTAATTTAACAGAAAAACTAGTCATTTTTAAAGTGAAACTCAAATTCGATTTGTTTTTCCGTCATCGCGAGTAAATTGAATTTTCTCGGGGTTTCTACGTGTTTTTTTTTGAGTTCTGCACCTTAAAAATCAAGCGTTTCTTTTTTCTAGCCAAGATTTTCATCTGTTTTTTTTCTATTTGCAGCCACCCAACATAACCATGACTATATTAATTATCCTTCAAATAAATTCAATATTTTTCGGAATTCTTGGAATTCTCGGTCATGCTCTTTGTATTTTTCTAGTCATTATCAACAACAATTCAGAAATTGAAAAAACCATGAAAGGATTGCTCATATTATATTCATCAAGTGATATACTATACTCTAGTTTGCATATGATTTCGAAACCTTCATTCATTTTGCTAGACAATATTTATTCATATTTTTCATTTGGAAACTTTGAAAATGGCAAAATTCTATTATTTTTGTATGCATTTTCATTTATTCAAACAATTACAATTTTAACAATTCTATTTATTGCCAGAGTTTTGGTTATTTTACCATTTGGAAATAAATTGAGAATTTTGACTGTTTCAAGAATATTTCTCATTATACTTTTGGTCCCATATTTATACTGTTTTCCCCCGATTTTTCTAATTTGGAATAGTCCTGGAATTATGCCAAATGATGTGAATTTACTCAAAAATTATATATTTTCTAAAGAAGACAACTGGAATTTCGCGCACTTCAGCCTAAAACTTGGAAGTCCCAAAACATTTCAACTTTTATTATCATTTTCAAGTGCCTTTATTATTTTATCAATCGAAATTTTAATTATAATAATTAGCTCAATTTTTGTTATCAAAACAGTTGGAAATATTGATATGAGTCAAAAAACTCGAAAAATTCAAAAACAATTATTTTTCTATCTACTTTCTCAATCAATTGTTTGTTTTTTGTCAAGCGGAGCACAAGTTTCATTTTTTGTTTTTTCAACGGTTTTTGAATTAATAATCAGCCCGGAAATTGGTATATTATCAACTGGATTATTAGCATGGTTTCCAATTTTTGACTCAGTTTTTATGTTGAGTTTTGTTTCGACTTATCGCAAAACATTGCTCAGATTATTGAGGATTAATAGAAAATTGGATGTAAGACCTTCAACTGTAAATTTTCCAAGTGCGTTGTGATTTTTTAACAAAAAATGTTTTTTCTGAAAAATAGAAATAAAAAAATTTTCTCATAAGCATTGTCCGTGTGAACTTCGAGAAAAAATGGTTGATTCTTTAGAAAATTCTTCTCAAAAACAGAAGAAGAACAAGAAACATCTGATTTTTCTGATATTTTTAGTGATCTGGATAATGTCAATATTTTTATTCCTATTCATTTTCATATTTTCTGGAGGAGAAGCTGAGAATTCCAAAATCACTGGATTATTTCGAAAAAATAATTATGAAGGACATATTTTTACATCTTTGTTTAAGCTTGAAGAAGATCAGGAAATTTCAGAGAAGGAAAATTTATTGAATCGAGACAGGGGTCTGAAACTTCAGAATTTCAATGTTGCAGTGAAAAGTAATCAACAAGATGTTTTGAAAACATTGGAAACTTCAAAAATTTCTCAGAAAACTGTGAAATCTGGAATTCCTACTTCTTGTGAGTTCATGTTTCTTCCGCGAAAAAATACGTTTCAAGAAATTTTTGAAGCGGATTTTGAGATTTGGAAAATGTTCCACAAGCCATCAGCCAAATATCAGCTAATCATTTTAGAATTTCGAAAAACAAAAAATAGAAATTATTTCAGAGATTTTTCGAAACAGTAAATACTTTTGGGAACGAATGTAAAAATTGAAACTGAATATTTTTGACAAATTTTTGAAACAGCAGTTTTTTTGAGATAAAAATTGGTGAACTTCATTTCTGTTTTTTTCTACGCGTTTTTATTAAATCTGGAAGTTTTCAAATATAATTTTTTTTGAAAAATTGTCAATTTCATTGTTTTTAGCTCGAGAAAATATTCTGATTCGAGATAAAGGTCTCGAATTTGAGAAATTGAATTTTGGAGAGAAGCCTGAAAGACAAGAAGCTGCTAAAAAATTGGAAGCTTCAAAAACTCTTCATAAAACTTTGAAGACTTCAGAAGTTAAAAAAATTCACGCCGAACCTCCCAAGAAAAGATTGTATTCTGATGTTGTGAAATCTGGAATTCCTATTTATTGTGAGTTCATGTTTCTTCCGCGAAAAAATACGTTTCAAGAAATTTTTGAAGCGGATTTTGAGATTTGGAAAATGTTTGTACTCCTGTGCCATAAGCAGAATTTGAAATTAAACAGCATTTTTCCAATAAGAATGAAAGTGAGATTGAATTTTCATTTCACAAAATTTATTTCAAAATATTTTTGAGACAGTGAATTTTTCTAGCAAGATTTTCTTTCAGCCACCACAAATCGAACTGAAATCAAATACAAACATGCCACGTATCATCCAATTCTCCAAGCTTCACCAACTCTTCCACCATCCACCAAAAAATTTGAAATTCTCGAAAAATCCAAATTCCACCCATACACAATTTCATTTTTCGAAGACCTCAAATTATTCATCCGCAAAAATCTACGCGGTCTTCTTCTGGCCAAATTCGATCAAGGATTTCTCGCCGAACTTTGTGCCGATATCATTTTTGATCGTCAAAAATTCGTGGATCAAATTTTGATGTCCAAAAAAATCGCGGAAAATTCGTGGGTTTTGAAGAGTGAGAAGAAGAAAATCAATGGAGACAAATTGAGATTTGTTGTGGAATTCTCTGAAATTGAGAAGAATAAGAAGAAAAGAGAAATTGAATTTGAGGCAAAACAAGGAACTGCGAAACAGTGGATTATTTATTTTGCAAAATATTTGAAACCGATTTGTTGAGGAGAAAATGAAGATTTTCAGCGTTTACAGCATGAAATTTGAGAGTGGAAAACATTTCTTGAACTTTAGGGACCAGGAAAATTCTAGAAATTTTTTTCAAATGACAAATGCAGCATGTATGCTCTATCGCACTTTCCTTTTTCTTTTGTGTGCAAACACTTTCATTTCCCGCTGGTTGAACAAATTCAAATTTTTTTTTTCATTTTTCGATTATTTGAAAGGTGTTATTTGCTTTTTCAACAATTCCCATGAAAAAACCGAAAAAGTTCAAATAATCTAAAATTATCTTTAAATGTCCTTTAAGGAAATTACACGATTTCCTGTAATCCAAAATAAATTTACTATATAAAATCTCATTCATCCTATCTAAATACATATATTTCAAAAAAAAAATGATTTGGAAGCAGGTTCTTGGTCAAGTTCAAGAAATATCCGCATCAATTTCAATAATTCTCAATTTATTGCTGATCCTTTTAATTGTCACAAAATCACCAAAACAACTCGGAACATATAAATATTTGATGATTTACATCTCAATTTTCGAAATATTATTCTCATTAATTGATGCGATTGTTCGACCGCTCATATTTTCACACGGCTCAATTTTCATCTGTATTTCAACAAATTTCTCGATTCCCAAACAGTTTTGTGTTTATTTGATCTCGGTTTGGGGTGGATTTTTTGGAAGTTTTATGGGATTATTTGCCCTCCAATTTATTTATCGTTATCTTGTTGTTCGCCGATCAAAAACACTCGAAACTTTTAAAGATTCAAGAATTGTTCTTTGGATGATGATTCCACCAAGTTTTGGACTTCTTTGGGGTTCAGCCGCCCATTTTCTTCTTGCCCCAAATCCAACAATTGATCGTGATATTAAATCAATAGTTCTAGAGGAATTCAACTGGGAAATTCAAAATGTGGCATACGTTGGACCATACGTATATCCATTAGCCGAAAATGGTGAAATTGTTATTAATGAGAAAAGTTTGATTGCAATTATAATTGTCTGGACACTTGTCAACACTTCTATTTTTACTGTCGCATTTTTTGCGATCAAATGTTATTTGGAATTGAATTCTGATATAAATGCAAGTAAATCTGGAAGACTGAATCATCTTCAACATCAATTATTCTACGCATTAGTCACACAGACTTTAATCCCTTTGATTCTTATGCATCTTCCTGTCAGTGTTTTATTTCTTTTCACAATGTTCAATCTCGATCTTGGACATGCTAGTGCACTCGTAGCTATGTCTGTTGCAGTTTTTCCGGCATTGGATCCAATTCCAGTTATATTAATCATTAAAAATTATCGGAATGCTATTGCGAATGTTGTTACAATTCGAGTGAGCATGTTTTCTAGAAGAGAGCACACTCCAGTGATTAGAAATACGTGTGAAACCAGAATTTGAAGTATTTATTTTTTATCAATAAAAGTTTGTCATTAATGTGTATTTATTTTGAAGAATTGAGGCTAGAATGCTTAAAATTTATTCGAAATCAATTCGCACCCCGTTTACAATCTAAAACCTGGACCAAGTAACTGAGAAATCCAAAATCCTCCGAATAAATCCAATGATATTCCATAGGATAAACATAGTCCTCAGCATGCGAAGAATTTCCAATTGTTTCGTGTTGCCTAAAATCAACTTCTCCGATTATAAAATTCTCCAAAATTCTTCCATTTTTCACAATTCGATGTCGAGGGTTCGCATTCTCAAGAGATCCATCGATCGCATTTTCTCGATCTTGAATTACATTTGCACACGCGTGATATGTGAAATTCTCATGCATCGAAGTTTCCATTACTGTCCGATTTTTAGTCTTGAAAATCAATTCTTGACGATCCATCAGTTTTTGCGCGATTTCTGTGGGATTTTGGATTTTTGAAAAATCACCATCAATTGAATTCAGATCATTTTCAAGGTTTTGAAGCAAGAAGTTTTCGAGTGGACTCAAGCTTTGAAGTTGAAGTTGACAAGACGAAAATATTTTTAGTCCAGAATCCCTGGAGTTCCCTCTAAAAACAACACAAAATTGAAACAAGTTCATTTCAATCTTCAAAAAGTTTCAATATTTTCAACAAGTGATAGTATAGTCATATAAATCTTGTTTTTCTTCCGAATTATCCGATACCTCCTTCTTCGAAGCATTTTTTCGATCGCTAATTATCTTGTCCAATTTATCGTAGACGACAAACACTTGGAACTTCCAAATCTTCAACCCGTGCAAGCCAAGAACTGATAGTATATTGGACATATGCGTCTTCCTTCTCTTCCGAATTTTCGTTCTTAAAAACGATTATTGATGGGGCTTGTTCTTCGACACACCATCCTTCTCGATCTTCGATAAATCCTTGGATTTGTCAAATAGTCATCCTTGGGATGTTTGCTTCTGGCTTCAGCTTCCAATTCAACACGTCATCAATGTCGTCACCAACCAGCAGCAGATCTGTCGAACCACACCAGATTCAACTTTGAGTTGTTGGTGAATCTGAAATAAACAATTCTGTTGCATTTGGAGATCAACAAAAAATCTCACATTTTCGACAGATCTGCTTCTTTTTGGAATAAGACGCGCCATTTTCGTCCAAGCTTCCATATTTTTCGGGCTTGACTGGAACTGCAATCGGCATCAGCAGTGTTGTCGTCATCCGATTTCTGTCGTGCTTTTTTCTCGCGCATCGAATTCCTCGTGACACTCTGAAGTCGCCAACAATCGGAGCTTTTTCTTTGCTCGACGATTTTTCTGCGCAGATGACGATCCTAACAGTTAATAGTCATTCATTCGAGTCGAAAACCTGCAAAATTACTAAATTTAGACCACCCGTATGAGTATTTCCACTTACCTTCATTTTGTTCCAGTTTTGAGCGATATGAATGAGCAAAAACAGACTGCTCATTCATTAAATACACGATTTTTGGGACACGTGTTGCGCAGAAAAAATTGGGACACGTTTTATTTTTTCGAATGAAATTTGTTTTTTTTTCTCTTTGAAAATCAAACGATTTTCTTTTTAGATAAAAACGTGACCCAAATTCGCTGGCAAAAAAAAGAAAAAATAAAACTCCGAACCTAAAAACCAACTATTTCTAGACACTTATCGTTTACCAATCAAACGAACCAAAACTTCTGCTAAAACAAAACAAATCTCAAAAAAATGATGTTTGGCGATAGTATTAGTTCAGCAAAAAACATTATACTCATTGGTTATCAAATGGTATTCGTGTCAATAATGCTTATAATTTGCAAAGGATCGAAAAAAAGCCAAACTTCGACGACGAGTTGCTCTTCCACGTCATTGAATTTGGCGCAAGGCCAACAACCGCAGCAACCGCAGCAACAACAACAGGTTTTGGCGCCAAAATCGAGCTTCATTTTGGAGACCGAGAAAGAGACGGAGGCGGATAAGAAGAAAAAGGAGGAAAAGGAGAAAGAGAAGAAGAAAAAAGAGGAGGATGAAAAGGGAGGAAAAGGAAGCATCAGGAATGATAGTAGAAGAGATGAGAAAGGTGGAGAAGGGGGTAAGTTCGCTATAATGAGTATTTTGGTGGGCTCAAGGCTTTTTAAGGCGTATTTTCTAACCTAAGTCCGAAATTGATATTCCAGGGGAATTTTGAATTTTCAAATTTTAAGCAACATTTAAACCAACCTTCCACCTTACTAGAAATCAATTGCCACGTGGATTTTTGCTTAGAAAATCAGTATTTTTCCTGACAGCGCAAAATTCGAAAAAAAGAAAAATGACCGTGGCCTAGAAAACTAGCGAAAACCTCGGCCGCCTGCATAAATTTTTAAATTTTCTCCGAAAAAACCTAGATTTTCAGCCTCAAAACCACGTTTTTTCAGATGATGACAAATACGACGAATACGGAAACATCTTGCCGAAACACGAAAAAACGGTTCGAATCGAGCTCAGCGATGACCCCTCAAAAACGCATTCAACACGAACATTGGAAGCACCAAAAGTCAAAGATCGACTATCAGATATCGGACTTTTTGAAATGAAAGATGTGTCAGAAACGGAGAAAAAGAAGGACAAAGATGAGCCGAAATTGCAACCGCAGAAAAAGGCGCGAACAATGAGCCCGACAGCGAGAAAATCCGAAGATGATAAATTGGATGTGACTCAAGATTGTTGCGCAGAGGTTGAGTAGTTTTTGAAATAAAGTTTTATTTGAAATTTTTTTCGATTAGAAAACTGCTTTCTGGGCTCAATTCTCACAAGTTATCAAGATTTTTTTGAAAGTCCACAGAAATTTTCCGCTTTTCAATCTCTTTGCTTTATGAATATATGGAATTGTCAAATTGTGTTTTACTATTGGACAAAATTTTCTTTGTTCAATATAATACACAAGATTTTTCCCATCAAAAGTTCCATTTATAAAATGTGCGGTCCAAGATGAGATTTCAGTTGGCATATTTTGGATATTCTCAGATTTATTGTGGATTGTTCCACAATAATCGAAAATCATATCTTCTGCTAACAAATTTCCAAAACCTATTTTGTTTTGAGTTAGATAAAATTCCTCAGCTTGATTCAGAAGATTCCAAGCGATATGCCTGATTTGATCTTGATTTAAATTTTTCGAAGAATAAAATAGATTTGTGATCAGAGTTATCACAAGTGGAACAGACAACATTTTTTTTTCTGAAGAAGGATTCGAAGATTGGAAGATTATTTATGTTTATTGTGTCTGTGTGAATTTTTCAAATGGTTATGCATCAAACATTGAGAAACAATTGGTTTTGAAATTAAAATCACATTATTTTTATACGAATAAAAATAATTTTGAAACAGTAGAATTTTCTTGGGAAAAAATATTCAGATCGATTTTTTGTTTAAATTGTCCAATTAATAAAAACTCAGTTTTTATTGAAAATTAATCAGAAATTTGAAACAGTTGAATTTTTTGAGAGAAAAAAAGATTTTTAATGAACTTTCTGAAAAAGGATTCGCCTCAATGAAAACTTCATTTTTGTTCAAAATTTATCAAAAACTTTTGAAACAGTGGATTTTTATGTTTTGAAAAATTTTGTATTTCCGGATTTTTCTATTTATTAAATTTTTGAAACGGTGAATTTTTCAAGAATGAAAAAAAAACAATATTTTTTGAAAATAATTTCTGCCACGTCATAACTTTTTTATATTCAAGCGAATCGATAGCATTGCTCCATATTTCATTTTTCAAAATTCATAAAAATTTTGAAACAGTGGATTTTAATGTTTTAAAAAAATTTGGATTACCGGATTTTTCTATTTAAATAGCTATTTATGAATGTTTAGAAACAGTGAATTTTTCAAGAATGAAAAAAATATATTTTTTGAAAATAATTTCTGCCACGTCATAACTTTTTTAAATTTTCAAACAAATTGAGAATAGCATATTTCATTCTTCAAAATTCATAAAAATTTTGAAACAGTAAATTTTTTTGCAATATTTTTCCCTTTTTCTCTCTAAAACGTGACCTCTCACTAAAAATCCTCCCATTTCAAAAATTTTTGCTTTTTTTCGTGCCAAAAAACTGACCACCTGTCTTCTTCTACTTTTTTGTCTGTCTCATATTTCAAATTGAACTGAACTTGACTAAACTCACATTTTCTAACAACTTCCTATGAATTTTTCGATATATTTTCTGATTTTTCTCAATTTTTTGGCTGTTTCAAGTTCAAATTCCACCTCAAATCCTCTTGAAGCCGCGAAAAAACTGCTGAAATCAATCGAGAATTCGATCAAGCTCAAAGATCGGAATGGATTAATATCGATTTTTTCGACGACTTCGAGAATTGATGAATGTTGTCCAATTATGTTCAATCAAACAAAAATTGTGGATAAATTACTGGAAAAATCTTTCAATGAAAAAGATCACAAAATCTATCATTCAAGATTCCTGGAGAAGGAAATTATTCTATTTTTTATGGTGAATTCAACTAATCGAAATTCGGGAGAAATTGTGAGTCGAGGAGTGTTGGCTTATAAGAAAAATACGAATTTGGGATATGGAATAAGTTATAGTTATCGATTTGGATGTGAGAGGAAATGGAATAGTCTTTTTGAATGTTTGAATTGAATTTTGAATGAATTATTGTTTTTGAAACAGTGAAAAATTTTACATTTCAACCTTTCTCATCAAAAAGTTTCAGATGCAAAAAATTTTATGAAATTTTTGAAACAGTGAACAATTATTTTTTTATGTTCAAACATCTATACGTATCAAATTATTCCAAGTGAAAAAAATTATATGAAATTTTTGAAACAGTTATTTTTTTTTCTTAAAAATTTTAATTATCTACCGGAGTTTCAAAAATATTCGATGAATCAAATATTTGCTGAAGGAAAAATAATTATGGGATTTTTGAAACGTAAAATTTTCGAGACAAATTTTTATGAGTTTCCATGAATTTTTTGAAACAGTGAAAAATTCTACAGTTTTTTTTGAAAACTTAAAATTTCTAGTTTTTTATTTTGCATTGTAAATTGGGAATCGAAAATTCACAAATTTTTCACTGTTTCAAAAAAATTTCCAATTGATTTTGATTTTCTGAATTTTCCACCTTTTCCCACACATCTGTTCATCATTTTTTCTTCCTCAAAATTTATTTAATAAAAATCTAATTCTCATTTGTCTCCTCTCATTAAAATGTCTTTTCTATTTCTAATATTTCCCATATTTTCCCATCAAACCTCAATTTCTCCTTCACAAATCCAACCTTTGGCTCAAAATGCCAGCCAAACCCTGATAAGTATTCTGGATGGTTGCACTTCGAATCGAAATTTCACATGTTTGGATCTCATTTTTCATCCGGATTTTAAAATTGGGGGCTCAAGCCCGAATTCAAATCTCGATTTAAAATATCACCGTCTATTTTGGATCAATCGATTGATGTTTGACTCACTTTATTATGAATATCGATTGATTTTTGGGGAAATAAATGAAGCGGGAGATTTGGAAATGTTGATTTGTCAAAAATCGGATCACCAAGTCAAATATATTTTCTATAAGGCTAAGCAGATGATTCCGTGGGGTAAAAGTATTCGTATTTTGAGTGCCAGATTTGTTGAATGAATATTTTTTGATTGATTTTTTTTTGGAAAGATATAAATAATGTAATTGATGAATCAACGGATGTTTCAAAAATTGATGATAAATTTTTTTTGAAACAGTGAAAAATTTTAATTGTTTTTCTTTTTTTTTATTATTAATTCTTTGAAGAAAATAATCAGTATTGAACTGATGTGAAAATAGTTTGAAAATTTGTTGAAACAGTGAATTTTTAATTATATTTTAGGAGAAATTTTCACAATTTAAGAATTGAAAATAGTTTTGAAAATTATAATTTGTATCAAGGAGTTAAAATCAAATTAAAATATTGTTCAATAAAAAATACATGGAAGTTTTTTGAAACAGTGAATTTTTTTTTGAAGAATAGAGCGATAAGGACTCATCGAAAGGAGCTTCAAAAATTACCAATTAAACAATTTTTGAAACAGCGAAAATTTTGAAATTCTGCTTTGTTGAAAAAATCTGAATCTGAATCACGTGGAATAATTTTTTGTTGAACTTTTTTCTACAAAAAATCTAAAACTTCCAGAAAATATCGAATTTCAAAAATTCTAGACAGAAAAATTGAGAGAGAAACGGTGAGGTTATTCTCTGAAGAAGAAATTTCAAAATTCCAAACAAAAAATTTATTTTTAAATAAATTTTTTTTTCAGAATCAATCAAAAGATCCTCCGCAATTCGCTCTGAAAAATTCACTGTTTCAAAAATTTGTGAAATATTTCAAATGCTAAAAATGTTTATCACCACCCAAGCAAAAAATCTTTAAGTTTTAAGAGCACTGTAAAGCTTTTCCACTTTCAGCCACATAATTATGAGAATTAGTTGAAATATCAAAAATGCGAACAATTCCAAAATTCAATTTTTCAACAAATCGACATTTTTCCGATTGAATATCAACATCAAAATAAATTCGTTGACTTCTTGATTCATTTCGAATATTTCCGAAAACAAAATTGAATTTTGAATCAATCAAAATATGCTCCAAAATTTGCTCCCTTTCTAAAACCTGTCCGCAATCATTGAATTTGAAATCATCGCGGAACAATTTCTGCAACTCGTTTTTATTCGTTTCGGCAGCGGTTTGTAGGGTTTTGAGGAATTTTGTGGAGCGCTCGAATTGATCGCCTTCGTGGTTTTTGCGACAGAAAATTGTTTGGAGAAAGACGATTAGAAAAATGGAGAGAAATTTCATTTTTGAAATGAAAAAATATTTTTTTTTGTTGAAAAAAGAAAAAAGAAAAGGATTTTAATGAGGGCTAGACTTTGGAGAATTTTTTTTGTGAGAAAAAAGTTTTGGAGACTAAAAAAATATTTTGATCTTATGATTTTACTGTTTCAAAATTTTTAGGAATATTTGAAAGTTCTAGAAGTTTTCATAACTCAATGAGAAATCGCGAAAACTATTGCGAAAAATTCACTGTTTCAAATATTTCATAAAGTCTTGGAGATTCAAACACTATTGCTGTGTGACCCACTTAAGGATACATAATTCTGAGAAATTTGGCTGTTTCAAAATTATTGCAAATTTTTGAAAGCTTTAGAATTTCCGATTTATCCTCATTTTTGAATGCCTTTTTTGATTTTTCACCCATCAAACTATTGAAACATTTCTAACATTAAAAAAATCATAGAAATCTAGAAACAGCAAATTTTTGAAAGGTAACATGTTCGAAATTTTCATCAAATTGATTCGTCTTTTAAAAAATTCAATTTTTTTCACTAGAAAAATTTCACTGTTTCAAAATTTCTATGAATTTTTGATATTTCCAATTAAATTTGTTCTGCTCATGGTTAGTGTTCGAAATCTGTCAATGCAGAATTTCAAGAAAAAATGAACTGTTTCAAAATTTGGATGAATTTTCGAAACTTTGATAACCAATAATGAAACGATCAAGTTCTCAAAAATCTGTCAGAAAAATGTTACTGTTTCAAAAATATCACAAATTTTCGATACGTTATTCAATTTCTGATAAGGCTGCTACATTGTCTGTTTCAAAAAAGCTGTTATTATTTCTGACAGCTGCCATAAATTTATCAACAAAAAAAAAATGAAAAATTTCACTGTTTCAAAAATGTTATGAATTTTTGAAATTTTCGAGTTAATTTGATGAGTTCATGGTTAGTATTCCAAATCTGTCAATTCAAAATTTCAAGAAAAATTTAATGTTTCAAAATTTCTATGAATTTCTGATTTTGAGATTATATTAGCAAATTTAATAAAACTTTATCAAAAATATTCAAAAAATTCACTGTTTCAAAACTCTCACAAATTGTTGTTACATTATGTTATCTCTAATGCATCTTTTGAATTTACTTGAAATTTACGCTGTCTCAAAAATTTTATAAATTTGTCAAATTATCACAAAATCAACAATAAACCCGTAAAAATCTTCCCAAAACCCGAAAAAAGAAAAAAATGAAACAAAACTTTTGAGAATTTTTTTTGGTGTGAAAAAACTTATGGGGTGAGTCAATCGAATTAATCGACGTGTTTTTTGCGATTAATTGACAAAAAAAGTGAGTCTTTTAGGGCGATTAATTTCACGTTTTTGTCAATTCATCGCTTTCATTTCTTGGCAAAAAATGCAATTAATTGCATAAAAAATTGAATTTATTTGACCTATATTTTAAAACGTGACCTATATGAGTTGGAATTATCAACAAAAAAATCATCTTCCTTCAATTTTCTTTCATTTCGAAATGAATCCAAAAAATAAGCAGGGAATTTGGGACACGTTTCGAAAAAGAGGTCAAATAAATTCTATTTCATATTGAAATTCCTCATTTTTGAATGCAATTAATTGCAAAAAAATATGGAATTAATCGACAAAAACGTGAAAAAATCGCACAAAAAAAGACTCACTTTTTCTGTCAATTAATTGACAAAAAATAAAATTGACTCATCCCATTACAGAAAAATTCGCTGTTTCAAGATTTTCATAAAGTTTTGGAGACAAAAAATACTTTGATCCTTGGTTGTGATTATCTCGAAATTTTTAGGAATTTTTGAAAGTTCTAGAAGTTTTAAAATAAAAACTATCGCAAAAAATTCACTGTTTCAAATTATTCATAAAATCTTGGAGATTTGAAAACTATTGCTGTGTGACCCACTTAAGGATACATAATTCTGAAAATTTTGGCTGTTTCAAAATTATTGCAAATTTTTGGAAGTTTTAGAATTTCCAATTCATCCTCATTTTTGAACGGTTTTTTCGATTTTTGACTTTTTTATGTATTGAAAAAATTTTTAAATTTGAAAATTCATATTGGGAGATTTTTGAAACAGTGAATTTTTTGAATATTGATTTTCAAGAATATTTCAGTTTTGGAATATCTTGATAATTTTTATTGAACTACATATGTATAATAGAAGCGTTACATAATTCTGAGAAATTTTGCTGTTTCAAAATTATTGCAAATTTTTGAAAGCTTTAGAATTTCCGATTTATCCTCATTTTGAATGTTTGTTTTTTGATTCTCCACCGATAAACGTATTGAAAAATTTCTAACATTCAAAAATTCATAGAAATCTAGAAACAGCAAATTTTTGAAAGGTAACATGTTCGAAATTTTCATCAAATTGATTCGTCTTTTAAAAAATTCAATTTTTTTCACTAAAAAAATTTCACTGTTTCAAAATTTCAAAAATGAATTTTCAGATGTTTTGAATTTATCAGTAATTTAATTCGAAAAATTTATCCAAATTCACTTTGAAAAATTCCAACAAAAAAAAATGAAAATTTTCACTGTTTCAAAAATCTCATGAATTTTTGAGATTTCCAATTTAATTTGATTGTAAGATACCAATTAGTATATAGTAGATTGATGGTCATGGTATTCGAAATCTGTCAATGCAGAATTTCAAGAAAAAATTTACTGTTTCAAAATTTCTATTAATTTTCGAAACTTTGATAACCAATAATAACTCATAGGCCAAGAGCTCAAAAATCTGTCAGAAAAAATTTACAGTTTCAAAAATATCACAAATTTTCGATACGTTATTCAATTTCTTATTAAGCTGCTACATTGTCCACAAAAAATTTTACTGTTTCAAAAAAAGCTGTAATAATTTCTAACAGCTTTTTAACAGTGCCATAAAATTATCAACAGAAAAATAAAAAATTTCACTGTTTCAAAAATGTTATGAATTTTTGAAATTTTCAAGTTAATTTGATGAGTCCATGGTTAGTATTCCAAACCTGTCAATTCAAAATTTCAAGAAAAATTTACTGTTTCAAAATTTGAATGTTTTTATTACACATAAGCAAATTCAATAAAACATTATCAAGAATTTGAAATATTCTTGAAAATCAATATTCAAAAAATTCACTGTTTCAAAAATCTCACAAATTTTTGTTACATTATTTTATCTCTAATGCATCTTTTGATTAACGTTGTCTCAAAAATTTTATAAATTTGTCAAATTATCACAAAATCAACAATGAACCCGTAAAAAATCACCCAAAACCCGCAAAAAACCCCCCTAAACAATAAACTTATCACCAATCGAATTCTGACAATTTCCACCAATTTGATGCCAAGCCGCCGGATTTCCATAGTTTTTTTCCGGCCATTTTTCAGGCGCATTTTGCAATTTATCACACAATCGACAAAATCCCGAAAATCCTTCGCCAATCACAATTCGCCACGTTTTTCGCCATTCGTGGTATTTTAAATAGAGTTCTTTGTTCTCTGATAATTCTTTAATATGAGCAACGAGTTCGGAAATATTCGAAAAATCATCAACGGAAATATAGGCTGAATCTGGGACCTGGAAAGGAAAGATCGGATTTTTTGATAAGAGTAGGCCTAGAAAAAAGTGGGCGTGGCCTAATTTATAAGCTGAAAATTCCAAGAATTTTGATATCGAACAAGCTTATTTGGTGTCAAAAAGCTCCAAATTTTAAGCCCCGCCCATTTTTGCAAGTCTCGCACAGTTTTCTTCTCTCACTCACCCCCAAATCTCGATAATATTTCCTTGTCAAAACAATCGGCACAACCATTCTTTCACCCAAAGATTGCCAAAATTTTTCCGTCACATAATCTTTGCAATTCGAATTTTCGATGGAAATGTAGAATAGATAGGGTCTGCAAAATTTTTTGAATTTTAAATTTTAGCGCGGAAATTTAGGCCACGCCCCTTTTCTGCAGTTTTGCGGCATGGTTTTTTCTTACCTGATTAATTCAACAACACAATTATCACCTTGTTTATTGACACCATTGCATTTTGGCGGTGGTGAACCACATGAACCCCAAATATCGATCTGGAAAACTAAGGTACTGTAGGTTTTGGCGGGAGAAATTATTTTGAATTATTTTGATTGTGAAACATTTGGGAAAATTTTGAAGCAGTGAATTTTTTCAGTGCAAAAATTGATTTTTTCTGAAAAAAAACTGCATTTTTTTAAAGAGTTTTCAATATTTTTTTGACTGCTTTAAAATTTATAGAAGTTTTTGAGGTTCAACAATTCGGTTATAAAATATTGTTACCTATGACTATGTAAAATAATTTGTGAAAATTTTGAAACAGTTAATTTTTTCAGTGGAAAAATTGATTTTTTCTGAAGAAAAACTGAATTTGCTAGGGTTTTCAATATTTTTTCTTGGAAAAGTTGACTGTTTCAAAATTTATAGAAGTTTTTGAGGTTCAAAAATTCGATGCTAAAACATCGCAGTGAATTTGTTTCAAAGTTTTTATGTAAAAGTTTTGAAATTTTCGCAATACGTTTTCATAATGGGGCTATTCATGTTATTTTTCAACGCTGAGAAAACGGGAGAAAAGCGGAGAAAACCTATTCAGGTAGGCTGAGAAAATACGAAAAAAGCGGAGAAAATGTATTTCCTCCGCATTTCTCCTGTTTGCTCAACATGCTGAGAAAATACATGAATAGCCCCATAACGGAAAATAAATAAAATATTTTCTCGTAAAAAATTATGTGAAAATTTTGAAACAGTTAATTTTTTCAGTGGAAAATTTGATTTTTTCTAATTTTTCCGAAAAAAAACTGCATTTTTTTTTAGAGTTTTCAATATTTTTTCTCAAAAAAAATTGACTGTTTCAAAATTTATAGAAGTTTTTGAGATTCAAAAATTTGATCCTGAATCATTTTCACCTATATGTAAAATAATTTGTGAAAATTTTGAAACAGTGAATTTTTGTTTCAAAGTTTTTTTGTAGAAGTTTTGAAATTTTTTGCAATACGTATTCAGATAACGGAAAATTAACAAAATTCCGTTTCTCGAAAAAAATTATGTGAAAATTTTGAAACAGTAATTTTTTTCAGAGAAAAGTTTTCATTTTCTCTCCGAAAACTAGATTTTTTGCTGAAAACATTTTTTTTTTCGAAAAAAAATTCACTGTTTCAAAATTTTGAGAAGTGTTGGTGAAATCTCGGATAATTGTTTGTAGACAATTCTTAAAGCGGTGAATTTCTTAACGAGAAAAAATTGAACTTTTCTGCAGAAAATCTGAATTTTCTAGGTTTTTTTTTTAAATATTATTCTTTCAAAAAAATTTGACTGTTTCAAAATTTTTAGAAGTTTTTGAGGTTTAAAAATTCGACGTTAAAATATACCTATGACTATGTAAAATAAATTGTGAAAATTTTGAAACAGTTAATTTTTTCAGTGGAAAAATTGATTTTTTCTAATTTTCCGAAAAAAACAGCATTTTTTTCTAGAGTTTTCAATATTTTTTCTCAAAAAAAATTCACTGTTTCAAAATTTTGAGAAGTTTTGGTGAAATCTCGAATAATTGTTTGTAAAAATTTTTTGAAGCAGTGAATTTCTTAAAGAGAACAAATTTAACTTTTCTGAAGAAAATCTGAATTTTCTAGATTTTTTTAAAATATAATTTTTCTCAAAAAACTCATTCAAAATTTTAATTGAAAATTTCCATCAAAATTTTCAGTTCGAAATTATTCAAGTTCACATTTTTTCAAAACAAAAAATTCACTGTTTCAAAATTTTTATGAATTTTTTCGGATTTGGATATTATTTAATAAGTTTTTGTCTGTACTTCAAAAATTTCTCAAAATGCCACGTCATAACTCACCTCCATTCCATTATTTTTCATATTTTTCACAATTTCCATCCGTCGATTTCTCGCAAAACAATTCGAAACCAAAAATGTTGTTTTTTTCAAAGTTTTCGAGCTCCAAATTGCTTCCAGATCCATTTCTAAAGAAAAAAAAATATTATAAATTTTTTTCCGCAAAAAAATTTCAGTCAACCTTTTTTCAGTAGAAGAATCCGATTTTTTCTCAATGTGTCCATAGGGAGCCCAAATATCAGCATCAGTTCTATAAGTCATTGTCCAATTTATAATGTCTGAAAAAATCTGGAATTTTTTGAAATTTTTTTTCAAATTTCCCACCTTTCCCGGGTCGAAAAACATCATTGCTCGGTGATTCCAAGGACCATAAAACATACGGTATTTTTGGGTTACGGTGGCTCAAAACATTGATCTGCGCCTATAAAAATCTGGGTTACTATAGCCAAATCCATGCCGCAAATTGCAAAAAAAGGGCGTGGCCTAAATTCTTCCCAAAATTTCTTGATTTTTGATACCAAACAAGCCTAGATTTCCAAGAAACTTGAAGCCACGCCCCTTTCTGCAAGCCTGGCACGGTTTTTTTTTCATTTCATTCAGGAAACCTAGGCTTGTTTGGTGTCAAAATGCATCAAATTTCAAAACCTGAAATTTTAGGCCACGCCCATTTCTGCAAGCCCGGCACAGTTTTTCTCACCTCCTGATTATAGTCAGCGTTATGAAAAACGACCGCATCGGCTTTCGAAAAATGCTGGAAATCCTCCGAAATCCGACAAAATTCCCGTTTTTCCGGGCAATGCGCCAAAAATCGTTGAGAAGTTATTGGTTCTGTGAAGAATTTGGTGGCCGCGTAGATCAACACTTTTTTCTGGTCTTGGGAGTACGGTAGCAGGACGTTGGATTTCGTGTCGGGACCTGAAAATGCGCATTTTTAGACACCAAACACGAAAAAAACTGTGCCAGGCTTGCAAAAAGGGGCGTGGCTTCAAGATTGCGGCATGGTTTTTTTCAACCTATAATTTTTTGATATCAAAAATCTTGAAATTTCAAGATCTACAGGATTCTATGGATTTTGTGACGTGGAAAATTAAGCCACGCCCACTTTTGCAAGTTGCGGCACACTTTTTTGAGCCTAGCCTTGTTTGGTATCAAAATTCATCAAATTGCAAGCCTAGAAAAATAGACTTACCATAACTCAGACTACTGTACCCGTTCTTGAAATACAGTACCAAACAGGCAATAATGAATAAATATACGAGAAGGTTTAACCAGCGAGATGTCGGCCGCATTTTTCGGGTCCCTGAAATTTTTTTTTTTTTTTTTTTTTGAAAAATGTTCAACACAAACTTATACAGAAAAAAAATACATAATTTTTTTTTCGTTGAAAAAATAAGAATAAAAATCATAAAAAGTTTACGAGAGACGATTTTTGGTTGAAAAAAACACATTTTTTTGGCGGGGAAAAATATATAAAATTGGAATGGAAAAATAAATATTCGTGGCAAGCAAAAAGTTGTCATAGAAACCAGTTTTGGGAAAAAAAAATATATTTTGAGCGGGAATTTTTGGCCCCAAAACTTGGTTTGGAAATGAAGTTTGGATTTCACATTTTTTCACTGTTTCAGAAATTATTTTATTAGTTTTTGAAAAAAAAATTGGAAAATTGATGAGCATTTTCTAATTTATTTTCTCAGACCAATACATACGAATGAAAAAAAATACGAATTCAATTAAAAATGTACCCACAAGGAAAAATAATAGTTTTCAAGATCAGAAGTCAAATTTTCAGCCTCAAAATTCCCATGAAAAATTTAATTTCCAACAAAAAAATTAATAATTCACAAAAAGTATCATCCACAATGTTTATTTGTTCAGCGGCTATTGTATAATCGTCCGCGATTTTTAATTTAAAATCAAACACATTTGAATATAATCGAAAAAAAAAATTGGGTCAATAAAAAGTTTCAATTCAATTCAATTGCAATTCTGGGGCACAGATTTGTGGGCGGAGCCTAATTATTAATTTTAACAAAGTAAAAGTGAAGGAAAAGATGATAACAACAACTGTTCTTCCATCATTTTTCAAAAGTTATTACTTATTATTTATTACTGAATACTTTTTGAGCAACAAAATATAGTTTTTAAAACAAAAAAAAATTAAAAAATCACTGACGCCGGCGAAAAAAGCAATATTTTCAAGCGGAGTGTCGTTGCGCTAAACAACGCGCAACGAAATAATAAACAGCGAAATAATATTTGACATTTCACACCCGCCTTTTATTACCAGCGCGGCCTAGTGGTTAGCGCGCTTGTTTTTCCACCCAAAAGGTCATGGGTTCAAGTCCCGACGCGCGCAAATATTTTTATTTTTCTTTTTCACCGATTCCTATGAACTCAAAAGTTCAAAGATCAAAACGTATCTATTGTTCTTAAAGTAATTGACGTCATTTCTAAGGTCACATCGAAACAACTTTCCATTTTTTCTTGCCTCTTGTCAACTTTTATTTGAACCTAACGAAAGTTTAACACTCAGACTTAAAAATTTACGACTTGATAGCGTTCCGCTATAAAAGAACACGAAAATTTTTCCAACAAATAAAAAAAAATTTCTGACCCCGCGAAAATCCAGTTTTTCTTTTTTCAATTCTCAATTATTTTTGTCGATATTTTTTATTTCGATTTTTAGAGAGCGAAGAAAAATGCTGGGATTTCTGGTGGTGGTTTTGACCGTGCCAATGATGATTTTCGGGTGTCGGGATGGAAAACACAACGTTTTGACGATTGATTCGTATGGAAATAGTGAGTTTTGGGGGGAAATTGCTTAAAAAAAATCAGAAAAACTTGACATTTTTGAAGAAAGTTTGCCGATTCAAGTGAAAAATGTGAAATTGCTGGTTTATGATCATGAAATGAAGCCGAGTTGTTATAAGAATAAGGTGAATATTGTGCTGCCTGGTTATTTTGTGCTTGTTGGAGGTTGGTTTTTTTATTTGAGAAAAAATTACTGTTTCAAAAATTTTGTAATGGTTTTTAAAACAATACAATGTTGATTTCAGTAATAATTTTATAGGAAAAAAATTTCTCAATTTTTTTCACTGTTAATTTTTTGATACTTTTTGGGAACTTTTTTGTTTTACTTTAATTCTCAATTCCAAAATTTTGTGGAAGAAAAATTGAAAAAATTCACTGTTTCAAAAAGTTAATTTTGTTTTTGTAAATTTTTGGAATTTTGATTATTCAGCTTATTTGCGTTTGAATTAATTTATTTTTCAGTTTCAAAATTTAGTGAAAAATATTTTGAACTAGGTTTCGAAAGTGTATGAATTTTTTCTATCCTAAATTTCAGACAAAAACTTTATGTAATACTGAATTTTTCAAAGAGTGAATATTATTTTTGTAAATTTTCATATTCAAAATTTTATAATAATTTTTGAGCACTTGAAAATTATACTTTCCGGTCTTTAATCTTAAAATGTTTCAATAAAATTGCCGACCCCACCCTCCAATATTTTTTCAGGCGAAATCGAAACCTCTCGAAATTTCGATGTCATCAAGTCCGGTCCAACTTCTTTATCAGTTTCCTTGGACGGCGATAATATTTGTCTTGAAGGCAAATCCGATATGTTTATAGTTCCAAATTCTTTATGTCATTTTGAGTTGGCCAGTTTTGTTCCCGTCGAAATTTGCAAAATTATTCAGAAAAAAGGAACTCATACAATCAAGGAAATTGAGGAATTTGCGAATTTCAATTCGACGATTGAATTGCCACCTTCTCCAAGTTTTTTGGGGATTTCTCTATTAGAAGTCTTAAAGGTGAGAAATCAGCTTTTTCCCCCATCAAAAATCAATAATTTGAGGGTGATTACCGTATAAAAGTGTCAATTGCATCAGAAGGCGAGAAAATCGTCGAATTTTCAGTACCCACAGGCTACGTGAATCTGAAAATGGGAATGAGTGAAGGAGACGATGAGGATTGATGCAAAATGTGCCAAATATTTGTAACATATCAGGGTTTTCTGTGAATTTTGCGAAAAATAAAATTTTTCTTTCTTTGAAAAAAAAAATTTTGAATTACTACGGTTTAAAGGCGCACACGCGCGTGGTCTCGCAGCGACTGAATTTTTTTCATTTCTTGTTTTTTTTTCCTGTTTTTTTTTCGTTTTTTCGCCCTGTTGAAACGCTGAACAAAATGTCAGGAGATAGTAGTTACACTACGCCGAATTTTTGTTTATCCGAAGAAGATTTGAGAGGCGCGCAAGCATCGGATCGTAAGTTTTTCGACGAAATTCCCGAATTCTTCAAAAATATTGATTTTTCAGGTTATTTAAAAGCTATTGGAGATGTTCAAAAAGAACTCGCTACGCAACGTGAACAAGTCGATAAATTAGTAGAAAGCGTGGAGGAAATGAAGAATGGAATCAAAGGATTTGAGAATAAGTTGAAGGATTCGAAGAAAGCAACATTGAAAGGATTTGAAGAGCTCAAGAAGTTATTTCTACAGAGCCAAAGAAATGTTTCCACACCTGTTTTATCGATAACTGAAGCATCGACAACATCAGTGGAACCTAGAATTTTGATTGTTGAAGAGGAAGATATTGAAGAATATGATGTTTTTGAACTTTCACCGGTAACTCCGCCAAAATTGAAGAAAAAGCAAGAAGATGTTGTTGAAACTTCACCGGGAACTCCGCGAGAATTAGAGAAAAGCTCTGATGAGCAAGAAGATCTTTTTGAAGCTTCACCAGAAATTCCGCAAGAATTAGAGAAAAGCTCTGATAATCGAGAAAAAGAAAAAGAAGATCTTTTTGAACTTTCACCGGGAACTCCGCGAAAATTGGTGAAAATTTCTGATAAACAAGATGTTGTTGAAGCTTCAACGGAAAGTCCGCAAACATTGGAGAAAAGTTCTGTTAGGCAAGAAGATCTTTTTGAAGCTTCACCGGAAATTCCGCGAAAATTAGAGAAAAGCTCTGATAAGCAAGACGATGTTTTTGAACTTTTACCGGTAACTCCGCCAAAATTGAAGAAAAAGCAAGAAGATCTTGTTGAAGCTTCACCGGAAACTCCGCAAGAATTAGAGAAAAACTCTGATAAGCAAGACGATGTTATTGAAACTTCACCGGAAACTCCGCGAAAATTGGAGAACATCTCTGTTCCGCGTGCAATTGTAACTGGTAGCGATGATGAAGAAGACAAGGAAAAAGAGGAATCCAGCAGAAAATCAAGTGTTTCATCTAATTCAAGTGTTTTCCGTCGCCCATTGACGAGTTCAAAATTGAAATCGAGAAAAAGAAGAGCATCAGCAGATGAAGGAAAAGAAGAAGAGGATAAACTGTGAGTTTTTATTGAGTTTATATTTTTCTCAGGATTTTTTTTGTACCCGTTCAGCATGTTTTGTGCATTTGTACGCGTTCAGTCCTATTGGGTACGCTTTCAAACTGATGCGTGTCCACGTTCAGTCTTTTTTAGCTGTCTTATATCAGGAACTGAACGCGTACGAATGCAAAAAAGGTGCTGAACGGGTACAAAAAAATTCCTGAGTTGTTCATAGCTTGAAAACGAATTATAATAATTAATTATTTCAGCGAAAAAAGCGATGATGATCTATTCGTTTTTGGACCAGGTAAAGTCGTAATAGCCGCCTTGCAAAAAACTGGAGCATGGTTGTGCAACGTCTGCCCAAAGACTGGAAAAACAAAAGAAGAAATTGGCGAACATCATAAAATGGTTCATACTGGAGTGAGTTTGACTTTTTTTTCGCAAATAAATAAAAATATTCAATTTATGTTTTGTAGGAATATACCACGATAACAAACCGCAGAGACAGGGCGAAGAGGATGTCATCAAATCACAATCTCTGTGAATAAATTAATAATTTTTGATTTGATCTTTTAATGAATCCAATTTTTGTTTTGACTGTTGTTTCCAGTTTTTTTGATTTGAAACTGTCGCTTGCCAGTAATATTTTAAATAAATTATCATTTTCAGCAAAATTCTCGAGGATTTCGAAAGTGAGTTTGCGTTTTTAAAATAAAAGTCGAGTCAAACGTGGAAAAGTGTCATTTCTTTTGAATTTCGCCCCGAAAATATCGATCAGAAATTTTTTAAGGAAGTGCACTTTTCAAAAAGTAAACAATTTTTTTCCAAATTCAAAAACAAAAAAATTATCTTTTTTTTTCTCGAACGTTCGCGATAAAAATTAAAAGAAACACTCCAATTTGTCAATACTCTCTAATTGTTGTGTTCTGTTTCTTTTTCCAAACTTCTCGAAGCCTCTAGACCTCCCAGCTTTTATTGGTATAAAAATTAGTGGATTTTTGAATAAGAAAATGGCGGGGATTATCAAAATTCAACCATTTTTCGATGATTTTTCGGATGTCGAAAGGCAACTTTTGAAATCGATTTTTGAAGAACGAGCTATTTTGGATCAAAAAGTTGGTTTTTTTATGCACCGTGCAAAGTGAAAAAAAATGCGAAAAATCAAAAAAAAAACGTGCAAACAGACGCATTTTTTTTCGCAGAAATCGCATTTTTTCGAGCATTTTTTTCGCGTTTTCTGGTGTTTTTCGAGTCAAAATGGACAGAAATTGAAAGAATTTGTCTGAAATGGTGTTTTTATTGATACTGGGGGAAAAATCAATGGTGAAACAAGAAAAAAAACGATTTTGAAAATTTCAAATTTTTTCGACCTTTTCGACATTTTTTCGACAAACTCATTTTTCTTGTTTCACCATTGATTTTTCCTCCAGTATCACATCATTATTCAAAACATATATTCGACCATTACTGGAATATGGAACAACAATAACATCTCCAGCAGAAAAATGTGGTATAGAAAGTATCGAAAAGGTTCAAAATTTATTCTCAAGAAAAGTATTTATGCGTAAATTTGGATTCGATTGTTATCAGAATATGGGTAGGGTAAGTCCCGAGACGAGAAATATCAACCTCGAACTCCAATCCCTAAAAAACCGCCGCGAAATTTTTGACTTTAAAATGTTCCAAAAAATGGCAGCCGGAAAAGTTGATCTAAATTTTTACAGATTCTTCCAAGTTATTCAGAAATCCAAAAGACACAAACCAAGGCTGTCCACCTCGAGAAACCAAAAATCAAAGATCCGATCCAACGCATTTTCCGGGAGAATCACTAAGCAAATCAACAAGCTCAACCTCGATTTATCAAAACTTCTACAATGATCCATGATCAAACACTAATACCGCTCACCATCTACCCTTTCCTTCTTCTTCAAAACACTGCCGATGATTAATTTTCTCCCTCCACACCCCAAATTGAATGAAACACCCGGTTGTATGATGTCATTATTGCAAAAAACACCGATTATGGTATGCTGATCCATCTATTGCCAAGGGTGTGTTCACTACTCGGCTCCTCCACGAAGAGGAGATGCCATAAACCAACAGACAAATCTCGGCCTTCTTCGTGGAGGCGTCGAGACCATTGGGCATTCCTAAATGGTAATGATCATGCGTGCTCTAATCGCGTGAAAATCTCCCTTTTTAAAAATTCAAACCCAACTCATTCTTAATTTTTATATTCCATGTTTTATATATTCCTTTGTTTTTGCTGCGAACACCTTCAGTGTCGTCATAAATTATTATTATTATTATTAAAAACACAATTTCAGACAAATTCTTTCAATTTCTGTCCATTTTGGCTCGAAAAACACCAGAAAACGCGAAAAAAATGCTCGAAAAAATGCGATTTCTGCGAAAAAAAATGCGTCTGTTTGCACGTTATTTTTTTGATTTTTCGCATTTTTTTTTCACTTTGCACGATGCATAATAACTTGATTTTACCCTCCCTCAAAATAAGTAATAAATATTTTTCAGAATCTTCAATCTTCCAACAATTCCACTGACATTTCAATAAATGTGTCACAATTCAAAGCAGAAGAAATCAAGGTGAAATTCATGGAAAATCAGTTGATTATTGAGGCAAAACACGAAGAAAGATCGGATAAATTCGGGAAAATTCAACGACATTTTATTCGAAAATTCAATCTTCCCAAAGATATTCGAGCTGAGAATGTGAAAAGTGAATTGAATTCAGAGGGAATTTTATCGATTAAATTTGAAAAATTGGAAGAAACTATGGAGAAGCAGGTTCCGATTGGTTTTGGAGAGAAAAAGTGATTTTAAAATTCAAATTTTTTTTGCTTTTCCACATAAAACATATACCCTTCCAAATGCTGAGGTCATCCCAAAAAACAAATTTATTTCAAAATAAAACTCATGTTTTGTTTTCCTATAAATTTTCAACTCAAAAAAAATAGTCTACTGCATAAACTGTAGATAACAATTTGAAAATTAAATGTTCTATTTTTGAAACAGTGAATTTTCCAGACACAATATTTTTGATGGGCAAAATACGTTTCAAAATTACATTTTTATAATTATTTGAAACAAATCCCCAATTATTAAATATTCAATAATAAATCATAAATTTCTGTCCATCATAAATGAAAAAGCACTCTTTCGAAGCTCTCGAAGCGATCGAAAATTGTCCAATCACAACATTCCATTTATAATCTGGGCTTATCCCTTCAAGACTTGATTGAATTTGGCCAACTGCGTATTTAAGGCTGGAGAAAAGAAGATTTCTAAAAATTTTCCCCCAGAATTTTCCAGCTTCAACTAACTTTCCTCTATTCGAAATATACGAATTCACCGCCCGTGAAACTATTGTTATAATATCAGCTTGTTCCAGATTTCGAGTTTGAAGGTCTGAAATTCCCGATGGAAGTTGAGCGAGGGAAATTGGCTGAAAACAGGAACTTTTCTGAAAATGGAGAAGTGGCTTACCACAAGGAGAAGAGCTAGGAAAATTGGAAAAATCATGTAGAAATTTGTGATTTTTTTTTGGGGAAAATTTGATTTTTATAAAGGAAAGTGATTCGATTATTGGAATTTTGGAGAAAATTTTTTTCAAACATCTAGCACAATCTTGCAAAAGATAAGCTTGGATTAAAACTAATTGGAAACTTTTTTGCATGCGTCATTGAGATCAAAAAATCAAATGTCTTTATTTTTCCAGACTCGTTGAATTGCCATAATTAAAAGTTTTCAGATTTTTTTTTTCAAATCTCTAATTTTTCTTATCAAACTACAAAATTTGATCTTGGGCTCAAAATGCTCTGAAAAATCATAATCTTTTGATAAAACCCCAAACATTTTTCATGTTTTTTTTTTCATTTTGTTAATGGATAAAAAACGAAAAACTATTGATTCTTCTGAAAGGTTTCCAATTCGAATTCAATCTTCAAATCAGCTCGATCAAATTATTTGGAACTTATCCTATCTCGATTCTAGAATTCTAAAACTTCGAAATTCCACCTATAATCCTATAGATTTTCCAAATTTTGAGCAAATTCTAGATGCTCCAAGTATTCTAAACCTAGCTGAAAAATATGAGGTAAGTTTTTTCTCTCAAGAAAAATCTGAAATTCTGAAATTCCAGCCAATGTCTGGTTGGCCATTAACATTGGAAGAATTTGGAGAGAAACAACGGAAACTGAATGAATTTGATTTACAATTTTCAGATAAAAAATTCATAGATCAATCAATAAATACGTGAGTTATTGCAAGTTTCAAATTAAATGTAAGACAAGAATTTTTCTAGGAAAAACTGGTTACGATTCGATACAATGTTATCCATTGAATATCTGAAATCTCTTGATTTTTTCAAATTTTTGAAATTTGAAGATCGAAGTGTTTTGGCTAAACATGTTACAGTAACAATTCAAACTATGATATTTGCATATTCATCTTTTCAAAATAAACCAGATTGTTTCAAAACACCAGATGGATGTTGTGTTGATTCAGAAACTATGTGAGTTTTTCAAAATTTACATACTAAAATAATATAATGTTTCAGATCAGTAATATTACACTCATACATGGCTCGAAAAATGTGTAAACATGCAACATTTATTGAAGTTCATCTGAAGTCTATTCAAAAAGTTATGGGATTTTTGATTCAAGAAAAATTGACTGAAATTGAATATATGTTATTGAAATCAATTGCAATTTGTGATCCAATATTTGAATTGTCAGAAGAAGCTAGAAATATTATTTGGAAAAATCGTCAGAAGTTCTCAAAAATATTACTAGAATATTGTGAAATAACCTATGGAAAAAGAAATGGACCATCGAGATTTGTCAAACTTTTGAGTTATCTTAACTTGATTATCTCTCATGAGAAACATATGAGGATTTTTATCATTTTTTTGGGATTATCTTCGAAGATGAGATCATTGGAAAATGTTATTTTTAATGTTTCAAGTTAACTTTTTACTTTGTTATATTTGTTTTTCGATAAAAAATGTTGAAATAAATGTTTGAAGTATGTATTCACCAAAAAATACAAAAAATAGCTGATGAGAGTGGGATTCGAACCCACGCCCCCGAAGGGACTGGTGCCTTAAACCAGCGCCTTAGACCGCTCGGCCATCTCACCACATATTTCTATCTCTCAAAAATGTCATGAGAAGATAGGTGGAAATAAATATTTACTCACATGATTTAAAAAATTTTTTTAGAAAAAAAAAATTTTTTTTTGATCTACCCCGCTAATATTCTTCTATTTTTCGCGAACTAAAAAACGCTCATCGATTTTCTGCCATTTTCATTATTTTGTGTATTTCTGGCCGTGCGAGGATGTGAAAGATAAGTTTTTCAGGGTTTTTTTTTAATGATTTCAAATAGGCTTTGATAAATTTCAAAAGTATGTCCCACTCGGATCCTCAAAAACTAGAGAAAGTCTGCGCGCTCTCCCTGAGTTAGTACCGCCTACCAGCTTCTGAAACCCAAAGCCATTCATTTCACAGATGAGTGAGGATTCTTCATTGAATCCCTTTGCTGCGGCCGGAAAACAGTGACGGGAGTTGCATGGGGTTTTGCGCATCGTTTATGATGTTTTTTTGGTGAAGAGTGGGGGAAAAATGGGAAATGAATGAGAAATGCTTTGAAAATGACAATTTTTCTATTTTCAATTTCGTTTTTTTTCTCGCAGGCGATTCAAATATGGCTGGATGCATGGATTTGGTGTGAGATCGACGCGACAATTCATTGAAGTTAGTGAACTAAGGTATTTATTTAGGAGATTATCTCAAAACGTTATGGATTTTCGTTTTCCTACTCGGTCAGAAAACGGCGGGGTCGCTACCGATCCACAGGCAAATCCAGTAGGATACTTAAAGTATGAAGCGCGTAAAATGATCCTAAAAGTTTGTCTAAAATGATACTTTAAGTGCGTTTCATCATTAAATGATGCGTGTGCAAGTACCTCAAGTATCATTTTTTCGCTTTCATACTTTTAGTATCCTACTGAATTTCTCTGTGTCGGGGCGGAGTCGCTACACGTTTTTTGTTCCCCGAAACGTGTAGCGACTCCGCCCCGATTGGTAGCGACCCCGCCGTTTTCTGACCGAGATAGTTTAAAGAAAAAACTGAAAGTTTCAAAACGTGAAATTGATAACGTGGCAAAAATCTCTCATTTATTCAAAAAATCGTTTTTTTTTTTGCTTGAGAAATTGAAAAACAGTGAGACTCACTTTTTTTCTTCTATTTCCCTTACGATTTTCAACCATTACCTCAAACTTCCCATTGATTTCAGCTATTTTCAGCCAAAAATGAAGAAAATTCAGCTACAGTACCAAAGGCGCACGCGAAAATTTGCGACGCACAATTGCACACATTGTGCAAACACCGACGACTTGAAATTTTGAATTTTTCAGGAAAATCGATAATTTCTTCGTTTCGCTGGTTGTTTTTCGAGTTGCTGTAAGTTTTTGGGGTTTTTGGAGGTGTTAAAATAGTTTCTGACCTAAAAATATTTCTATTTTCCACGTGACATTTCAAAAATCCAAAAAAAAACACGTCACTTTTCTCTCTCGCCCAATTTATTTTGGATTTTTAAATTGTTAGTGATAAAACGTGCCAAATGGATACTATTAGTAATACTGAAAAAAGTAAGCCTACTCCCAAAACCCCCTGAAATCCCAAATTTCTTTGCAGAAACCGATAAGCAAGAATCGAATGAAACGAAAAAATCATCGAGAAAAAATGACGAGAGCTCCAAAAAGACTGAAAAAGAGCAAGATGGACGCGAGGGTTTTTCGAATCCCATCGAATTTATTTTGACAGCGTTGGGATTGTCGGTTGGATTGGGAAATATATGGCGATTTCCGACGAGGGCTTATGATAATGGAGGATGTAAGGAAGTGTCGTCGGTTGCGTCGCGGTTACGCGCTGCGTGTCAATGAGAAACACAGACAGCTAGACAATTAGACATCGCTATAGACGCAGAGAAACTCGATAATGGGGCTATTCAAGTTATTTTCTCAACGCTGAGAAAAGCGAAGAAAACCTATTCAGGTAGGCTGAGAAAATACGAAAAAGTGAAGGAAATGCATTTTCTCCGCATTTCTCCTGTTTTCTCAGCGTGTTGAGAAAATACTTGAATAGCCCCATAAGATAGAATGTACATTTGAGAGACACAGAGACATGTTTCTCTGCGTCTCTAACTTTCTAGCTGTCTGGCTTCTTTTTTTGAAAATGAAACACGCATAGCGTGACCGCAACGCAGCCAACAACATTGTTTTTCTCTCTGCGTCTCTAACTCTATCTAATTCCAGCCGCCTTCCTCATCCCCTACCTAACCTGTGCGATTCTCTTCGGCCTCCCCGCAGTCTATCTCGAAATGGTTGCCGGTCAATATCAAGGAACATCACCGCCCATCGTTTTCTGGCGAATAATGCCATTTTTAGAAGGAATCGGCTGGATGTCTGCAATGGTTTCAGCAACAATTGCAATCTATTATATCGTAATCATTTCATGGGTTCTTATTTATATTTTCAATTTATGCCGTGGACATTTGGATATTTGGAATAAATGCGACAATCCATGGAATAATCCAACAAATTGTATTGATATGTTAGCTCAAAAACAATGCGCAAATGCGACAATTCCATCGATTTTCATTAATGGATCGTGTGTTTTTGCCAACAAATCGATAACTTATACAAGTGCCACTGAACAATATTTGATGAGTAATGTGATTCGAAGATCTGCCGGAGGTTTTTTGGATTTTGGAGCGATTAATTGGCCGGTTTTTATTTCGATGACGATTTGTTGGCTTATGACGGGTTTGGTGATTTGGAGAGGAATGAGAGTTATGGGAAAAATTAGTTATGTGAGTGTGGATTTTTTGAAAAAGTTATTGTTGAAACATGAGGCTGCCGTAAAAATAAAACGAATGACAAAATCATTACTTCGTCAGTCGCGTGCGGCTGTGCGTCGCGGTTAGCAAACAATTTATTTTGTTTCCCGACCGCGACGCAGAGCCGCACGCGATTGACGAAGTAATGGTTTAAAAATGTTGTCATTCTCTCCACTGGTTTTTGTTTTTTTTCAACTTCGACAATTGTCCCTCAGCAAAAAATACAATTTCAAAAAATTTTCTGTCAAAAATGCTCATCAGATTTATTTGAAGCTTCAACCAATTTTTTGGCTGGAAATTTCAATTTTAAATTTTCAAAATCAAGAAAACAATTTAAAAACGAAAATTAGGTGACAGTTATTTTTCAAGCTTTCTATTCGAAAAATTAGTTCAAATCCACGTGGCTGAAATTAAATTAAAATATAGTTTTGGCTCGAAAATTCTTCAATTTTTTATTCGAAAAACTGACCTAAATCCACGTGGCCAAAATGTCATCCTTTTGGCGCCAAATCCCAGTTCGAAAAAGAATTTCATAAATTTCTAAACTGGATCCCCCCTTCTGTCTCCGAAATCAATCAATAATTTTTCCCCTCAAATTTCAGGTGACAACCCTCCTTCCCTATTTCCTCATCACAGTTTTATTCATCCGCGGAATAACTCTCGACGGCGCCTCAACAGGATTATACTATTTCTTCCTCGACCCGGATTTCTCCAAAATTTTATCGATGAAAACTTGGACCGAAGCTCTCAAACAACTATGTTTCTCTCTTTCAGTTGGACACGGCGGTTTAATGTCAATGGCATCTTATAATCGAAAAAATAGCAATTGTTTTATCAATGCTGTGATTTTGATAACTGGAGATACTTTGATGTCTTTGATTGGAGGAGCTGCTGTTTTTTCGACACTTGGTTTTTTGGCGAAACAACGGAATGTTGAAGTGTCGCAAGTTGTTGAATCTGGCCTCAGTTTGTCTTTTGTTGTTTATCCCGAAGCATTTACTCAAATGCCTGTGCCGGTTTTGTGGGCCATATTGTTCTTCTTTATGCTGTTTTTGTTGGGATTGAGTACGGAGATTGGTGAGTTTTTTTGGGAGGAGGGTTACCTTAAATTTTTGATTGAAACCCCTATGAACGCTGAATATTTCTTTTTTTGTCATAGATTTTGTCATTGGAAGCCCAGAAGTATTGAAAAATTCATGGAAATTTTGCATCTATGCTGTTTTTGAAACAGTGGATTTTTTTTTTGATAAAATTATATTTGCATTTTGTCTCAAAATTTATAATTTTTATTATAATAGACAGCAAAACAGAATTAACACTTAAAAAATTATTGGAAAATTCAAAGCTTTCTTTTGAAACAGTCAGTTTTTTCAAGTTTTTTTTCAAGATTTCAGATTTTAGCATGAGACTGATTTTTAGTAATAGGTTAGTTATTTTTTTTTTGAAACAGTGGATTTTTTTTGAAAAAAATCAAATAAATTTTCAGCCCAAGTTTTTCAATGTTTTCAAAATGAAACAAATCGAGTCAACACCCGAAAAATTGACAAAATTATCTAATTTTTGATTGAAACAGTAGATTTTGTTGACATGAGAAAATATATTGTTTTGTTTTTTGAGAAACTACATTTTGATCAAATTTTTTAGCCAAAAAAAAAAAGAATTGAACACCTGAAGAATCGTTGAAAAATTCATATGTTTCAGTTGAAACAGTGAGTTTTTAGTCATAGATTTTGACTTTGGAGAGGTTTTACCGACAACTACAGGGTGACGACAAATTATAGCGACAAAAGTATATGCTGTCCTGACAGTAATCACGCAGCAATTTTTTATGATTTCATTGTTCAAATTTTCTCAAAAACCATCATTTTATAGTTCCTAATTAGTATACTGACTTGTTTTTGATTTTGAACACTAAAAATTTCACAAATTTGGAAAACGATGGTTTTCAAAATTTCGCTTTTTGACGATTTTTTAAATTTTCGACATTTTATCGGCTAATTGTTTCATGTCTGTAAGTAATATTTCATAACTATAATTTTTAGTTTAGGTAAAGTAAGTATTGGGGAGGGTTCAGCACAAATATTATTACAGCTACCCGACTTTCAGACTATTTTAGATGTGGTTATATTGAACCACCACTTGCGAGTATCACAATTTCATTTTTCGATAAAATTGAAATATGGGGAAACAATTTTAATATTTATAAGTATGAATGATTACAAATAGTCTGAATACTATCAAAAATTGTCGAAAAAAATTTTGAGCATAAATCCTCTTCATTAATTAGAGTAATTAAGGGATAATCAGAGTCAAATGATGAATTTCGAGAAATTATGATTTTTGGAAAAGTTGCATTTCTTTAAAAATTTATATTTGAAAATAATATTCGTGATATATAAACATTCACTAAACACCTTCGGAACAATTTGAAACATTAACATCGTTGAAAAAAAATTATTGGGACATTTTTTAATTTTGACTTGATTTGAAAATTCACAAAATTCCGAAAATTCATGATAATTGAACCCCGGTGGATTACTCATTTGAACATCAGGAATTGTTATAACTGTGAAACAGTGTGTATTATGATCTAGAAAAACTATTTTGAGCAAGAAATATGAAATTTATCATCCAGGGAAAAATTTTGTTGAACAAAGTGTCTAGCGAGTACGGAAATATTTTTCAAAACTCTTCAAAGGTCAGAAAAAATATTGTGAACCTTCCGAGAACTCTTGATATTTTTTCTGCGTGGTCCTGGATAGTCAGGAAAGTCTCAAAAAAAATTTCATAGAGATCGGTTAAGTACGACAGTCACCAGAGTTAGTGGAATTTGTCGCTATAATTTGTTGTCACCCTGTATTGGAAAATTCATAAAAATTTTGCATCTATGGTGTTCTTGAAACAGTGGATTTCTTTGAGACAATCATATTTGAATTTTGGCTCCAATTTTTTTAATTACAATAAATAAACAGCAAAACAGAATTAACACCTAACAAATTAGTGGAAAATTCAAAGCTTTTAATTGAAACAGTAGATTTTTTCAACATAGAAAATTATTATTTTTTTTTTTTTGAAAAATTGGATATTGACAACAATCTTTGTTTTAGAAATTTGTCGATTTTAGTAGTCGAATCATCGAAGTTTTAATTTGAAAAAAAAAACAGAATTTCAGAGAAATCCGAATTCCAATTTTTGAAAAAAAAAATCCACTGTTTCATAAATGTTACTGAAAATGAAAATTCAGTCCGAATTCATCACCATCACTTTCAATTTTTTCCAGCTCTCACTGAAGTCTTTTGTACTTGTCTCTACGATCAACACCCCAAACTTCGAAACTACAAATGGCTCGTCGTCATTATCTGGTGCTCTCTATTATATTCTCTCGGTCTTTGTTTCTCATTCGAAGCCGGTTTCTATTGGTTCGAAATGTTTGATGAATATGCTGCCGGATTCGCTTCTGTATTTACTGTGACTTTGGAAATTATTGTGATTATGTATTGTTATGGAATGCGTAATTTCAAGTTGGATATTGTTACAATGATTGGACCCGCGAGAAATGTTTTCACCGGATTTTTCGGGGCACAGAGCCCGTTTTTCTTGGTCGATTGGCTGGTGATTTCACCGATTTTTGGGGTGATTTTGGTGGTTTTGAGCTTTTTGCGAGATTATCCATATCAAGGAGATGCCCAGAAATATCCGGTCATTTTTGATATTTTGGGATGGATTTTGGCCTTTTTGCCGATTTTTATGTTCCCAATTTTTGCTGTGAAAAATTATTTGTGGTTCAAGAAAAATGGCTACCCATTAAAGGGACTTTTTATGCTCCAGAAGCCCCATGTTTCATATCAAAGAATTGTTGGGAAAAATAAGAAGAAGAAAAAGAATATCGATACGGAGCGAGAAGAATCGGACAGAAAAATACCCGAATTTGAACCGTGGGGCGAAGTTGCGTTCTCTGGAATGACTATGGTTGGAGAGGCGAGATTTGAAGAGGTTGATGATTCGACTGGAGCTACTACTGTATTGATGCCATATGTGTCGAGAGCACCGCCAGAATGAATAAATGTTGAGAGGTTTGAGATTTTTATATTGGAATTGGGGGAAACGGGGTTTTATGAGTTGAAAATGATGAAAAAAGAGCTTTTTGAGCTTTGGCAAAATTTACAATTTTGAAATTTGATAAAAATTGCAAAGTAAAGCTTCCGGTTTACACTCGCAGTGCTCGAAAAAAATTGAAAATTCAAATTTTCCGCGCAGAAAAATGGGCGATGTATTAATAATTTTGAATTTTTTCCATTTTTTTTTGAGAAAGCTTGTCAGAATTTTAAGAGCAAATAAATTTATCCCGCATTTTTTAAAAATTTTTCTCTCTCATCAATATTTCTTAACTAATTAATTAATTAATTAATTAATGTCGGCAAACCATTCGGCCATTTCGCGATCACAATCTTCGTCGGTTAGCTGCAAAAAGGAAACTTTTTAGACTTTTCCTAACTCTGAATATGAGTTATGACGTAGCAATTCTAACCTGTGTATGAATATTCGGGTAGACTAGAAAATAGAATAGGCAAAAAATGACGAAGCCGAAAAAGAAGATCATTTGAGTGATCCAATGAAAACGGTGCATAAAAGTTGGTGTGAATTCAAACCAGCTGGTGGAGTTTGAGACTGTTAGGGGTTCTGAAAATTCTGGAGGTTTTTGGCTGAAAATTTGGAGGTTTGGGAGAATTGTCGGGCGGTTTTGACTTTTTTTTCGAAGTTCTGAGTGGAATTTAGACTAGAAATCTGGAATTTAAGAAAATTTCTGCTTTTTTCACCCTCAACAAAATCTGAATTTTTTACGTTTCAAAAATGTTATTTGAGATTTGAAAAAACACTTGTGAGTTGTTTTCTCTATCAATGGTCGTTTCTGTTAAATGTGCAACGAGAAAAACGATATTTACAGTACTCCGGACTACTGTAGTTTTATATATATGAACTGGCTCCGACACGCGACGCACACACGCTACGCGCGTTATCTACAGTACCCCCTAGCTCCCCATCTTGAAGAAAAACGAACCTTTTCGATTTTGTCGACAAACTGGACTTCCCGTAGAATTTGTATCATCAATATGCTGATAAATATCTTTTCGCGTCAAAGTTGCTCCCGAATTTTCGTAGCCAAAAGGGCGTGTTTCGGTTTCCGGTGTTTGAACGATTCGAAGCATTGGCAACATGCCAGCAGCAACTATTGATGTGTCCCTTTAAAGAAATTTTGAATTTAGGAAATAGTTTTTTGTTTCGGATTCTAGAACAAAATCTGGAAGCCCAAAAATAACAAGATTTCTATGATCACAGTGATTATTAGCTCTCAGGCTGTTAGCCCTCAGTCTCCTTTTTCCCATTAGAATTTCTGAAAAAATCAGAAAGGATTCCTAATTTTGCCATGGAAGCCATAAATGAACCATAAAACTGAAGAAACGGAAAAAATCTCGGTTCGAGATCTCAAATGAAATTTTTGAAACGTAAAAAATTTGAAATTTTTTTAAAGGAAACTTTAAAATTGAAAAAAAATCCTGAGTTTGGGAATTTTTTTGGGAAAAAAATTAAATGAGACTACCCCAAGCCTCAGAATTCGGATAGGCCTTCACATTTTCAATCATTTTTCCTCACCTGGTGATCAACAATCGTTGTCGCATATATTTCACAGCTGCCAATTTGATCAGCGATAAAAATACGATACAAAAACAAACTCCCAAATAAACATCCATCGCTTTGATGTAACTGACACGTGGCATAACTTCGTTGTAGGAGAAAAGGAGAAATGTGATTGTTAGGATTATTGAAATCATGTCCTGCAATATTTGTGAAGCTTGTAATTAGGCAACCTTCGTCACTTACCTGAAACGATGTTTCATTTTCCATCCACAACGAAACCCATGAAGTTATCACAACTGCTGTCGATGGAATAATTAGTTGCAAAAAACAGAATCCGGCGGCTCGACTGAAAACAAAACAAACATAAAGTCGAGAATAATCGCCAGTTGCATAGGATTCCACGCGACTTGTCACATAAGCCTCTTTTTATTTGGAAATCCGGCAGACGGATTTTATGAAGTTTTAGGGATTTTATCATTCCGGTAGACCAGGCGTATTTTACAAAATCGGCGGTGTAACCATCTGAAAATCCCATAGATTTTTTCTAGAGTTTGGCTAACTTACAGCTCTCAATTCCCATTTTGCATAACTGTGTGTCAAAGGGAAATAGAGTTAGATCCATCCCGCATGTTAGAATCAAAGACAACCTTCGACTGTAGAGTATACTTCCGTTTGATCTTAACCTGAGCAATGAGCGATGAGTTATTGATTGACGGCGTGGATTTTTGGAGCTGATTGCATTTGGGACGAATGTGTCGGGATGCCAAAGGAAATTTGAGTAGCTCTCGTGTAAACTGATTTCGGTTTTGTTTTTGAATTTGGAGGCATTGTATTTGAGGCGAGGATCGAGCCATGATTCACGGTAGAACATTTCGATTGAATAGTCCATTGTGACTTCGGATACTGAACGAATGTTTGAGACGACGATTGAGACGTTGACGGCGACTGGGCCTGGAATGTAGGATTTTTGGATTTTAAGTTTTCTTTGGCTCGAAAAGTTTTCCCTTGATTCTTCCTGAAATAAAATTGTTTTGGGAGAAAATTGGATTTCCGCAGAATTTCCGTGAAAAAGTGAAAATTCGATTTAATTTTGGGATTCCCCTAAAGTTCAATCTTTCTCATTGGAATTTCGAACTTTATTGATCTTGTTGAAATTTTCTGTTCAAAACTTGACAGAACATGCTCCAGAAGGGGCCGATGCTTCACAAAAAGTGTGTCAAGCAGGCGCTCCTTGACACCTGTTTTCTTGTGAAGCAACGAACTCTTGGCAGCCGTGATATCAAGTGGCTACTCCTTGAAAAGAAGAATTTTGTCAAGCAGTGCTCCCTAGATACATCATTTCTGTTCTAAAGGTAACACTCCTTGTAACGATCAAGCTTCTCTAGGCGCCACTCTTTGACACTAAAAATCCGTCTAAAGCGATGCCTTCTAGACCCTCTATTCTCCTCTAGGCTCCACTCCTTGACACGCCTTTTTCATATCAAGTAGCACCTCCTTCTACCCCCTGTTCCCACCTTCATTTCCATCATCTGGCACTTGTCGATGATCATATTGTATACTCCGCAAAAATTGCAAAAAATCATGTGTTTCTCTGAAAAAAAAACATTTTTTTTCGAGTTTCCGACGTTTTTTGAGTACGTCAAGAGATTTTTGACATGTTGTCGGATTTTTTCTGGGAATTTTCTTTTCCGGCTTTCTGTTTTTTGGAGGAAAGATCAAACTACACACATACCCTTGCTCGAAAATCGAAGACTTGTCATAAATCGAATTCTCGATCTCGTCTCGATATTCTTCGTCTTCGGAATCGTCGGATGAATGTTGTTTCTTCTTGAGTCGCACAGATGCGCGAACTCCAAAAATTGGGGTGGTGAAAATGGAGAAAATTAGAAGAGTTATGAGAAGTTGCATATTTTTCCTGGAATTCATTTTTTAAGGAAATATGCGACCACAATGTGATAAAAGGCCGTGGAATCACAGAGCTAAGGACCACTATTTTCATTTTTAGTGGCTTTTTTTTCCCTAAGGTTAGGACGAACTTAGATTAGACCTAAGCTGAAGCTAACGAGGCTAAGCCTAAGCCTAAAAACCGTAAGCCTAATAAGTCTCTGCCTAACTTGAGCCTAAACCTTCAGCACCTCAGATTTTGTCCTGATCAACAAAATTCTGAGAATTTGCAAAAACTTATTTTTTTTGCCTGCCAAACATCAAAAACACAACAGAAAAAAGGCGAGTAATAAAACTGAGCCATCATAAAAAAACTCGAAAAATTTCGCTGAGTTTTTTTTGCTGAAGAATCGAAAATTTTTTTGGAACGTCTCATGGGGACATTTTTGAGTGGAACTTTTTTTGTGCTCCAACAATTTTCTTCGACAAACTTTTAGTACAAATTTTAGCCATCGCGGGGGAAATCTCTAATTGGACTTTTCCAGTTTTTGAATCCAATTAAAAAAGTGCGCAACTAAAAAAATTTGAAGAAAATTGGATTTTGCTGGAATTTTTTCATGGGGAGCAAGAAAAATAGGAGCTCTCAAAAATACATTTTTTGTGCACTTGTGAAAAAATGTTCCAAAATAGGATAGGCTATGAATTTTATACGTATATTTTTTGATCTTTGATCTATGGGCGGAGCCTTGGCCATTGATACATTTTTAATAAGAGTGTTCTTTTCTCAGAGAAATTGGCTGGAGAACCGGCGGAGAAAACAACCTGTCGGCGAACTTTCGGACAACCGGTGGACAAAAGTTTCGGCGAAATAGTGTAGGTCAGACACTCCGCCGGTTGTCCGAGAGTTCGCCGACATGTCGTTTTCTCCGCCGGTTCTCCAGCCAATTTCTCTGAGTTTTTAAAGAAAATTGTTTTTTATTTCATGGATAGTCGAAAGTGCAGAAAATCCTTACAATTTCAAATGCAAGTCAAAATTATAAAAATTTCAAAAATTAATTTTGAAACAGTAGAATTTTTTTCATAGAACTATAGTATAGGCAAATCTTGGGAATTTTTAGAATTTTAGACTCCGCCCATTTTTTATGCCTTAAAAAAAGAAAAACTTTTTTTGAATAACAATTTTCTCTCGAAAATTTAGCAGAACTTTTCAGTATTTCATTCATCAGAAAAAAAACTGGAAATTCAATTTTGCGGCACAGAAAAATGGGCGGAGCTTAAAAATTTTTTTTTGGTAATAATAGTTTCGAAGCATATTGTTAGGTGATTTTACTATGCCCATCACAAATCCGAAATTAAAATTTCTGTAATTTTTTGCGGCATAGAAAAATGGGCGGAGCCTAAATTTCTCATCCAAAAATGTTCGTATCAAACCCCAAAAATCCTAAAAACAAATGACCAATCTCAAGTCAAACAAAAAAAATACACTATGATTTTTTTGTTGAAATTTCCGGAGGCGAAACAAAAAAAAAGAAGGGGCGATTCAAATAACATTTATGTGAATCAGAAACATGTGTGTATTTATTTGAGCTTTTTTTTATTTTATATGATTTGCGGTTTGGCGGTTTTTGAGGTTTACACTTTGCACATATAATCTGAGCAATCCATCAAAAATGCAATATTTTTCGGTTTGTGTAGTTCTCGAGGACAAGCAAAAAAAAAACTGAAAAAATCCGGAAATTGAAAATGATGAGGTAACCGGAAATTACTTTGAAGATTTTTTTAACCACAAAAATTTTATTCGAAAATTTTTTCGACTAACAAATTTTGGATGTTGATAATTTTTCTATTTGTCAATTTTTGGCTGGGGTGAGGATTTTCTGAGATTTTCAGTTCTAAAACAATCTGGAAATTTTTTAGGAATCAGTTTGCGGTTAGAGCTGATGATGCCACGGTGTTTTGTGACGATGTTTATGGAAAGTATATTGCGTTGAGTGGGTGAGGAATTTTTGAAAGAAAAAAAAATTGTGCGAGGAAATTGCGAATCTCAAAAAATGGGCGGAGCTTATGAAACACCGCGCCGCAGAGAAATTGTGCTCATTTTCATTTTGAAACAACATTTTTGGGAAACAAAAAATGAACACTTTTCGAGAGTTGCATCTCAATTTTGTTTAACTCAGACAAAAAAGTTTTTTTTTTTGAAAAACGAACAGCTGAAAAGTTCTTGAGCGGAAAAAAAGTTTTTTTAAAGAACAGGTGGAATTTTTCCGAAAAAAATTGTGATCAAAAATCTGCAGATCGAAAACCGTGCGGTGGAATTGCAAAAATTAAATTGTTTTAAAAAATGGGCGGAGCTTAGGAGAAAGTGTGCCGCAGAATTGCAGTATTTTGAATTTTGAAAAATCATCTTGAAAATCTCAAATTATAAAATATTTTTGCTCAAAAAAAAATTAATTATCATCGTGAACCTGAGCTTATCCAAAATTGCGTAAATATTTTGAAAATTTCAAAAATTTTTTGAAAATGTGAAAAGCATCTCTGAATTCATTCCAGAAACATGATGCTCGGCAACTATGAATACCCAATAATGGATACAGTACCACCTGGCTCATCGCCAAGCTCAATCTACGGATTTCCGAAAATGTTGTTGCCGTGCTATTCGATGAATGCGAATGGAAATTATAAAAATCAACTTTATGGTGAGGAAGTTTGTTGAATTTTTGGCTGCAAAATCATTTTGTTTTCAGACATTTTTGAGTATGGCAATTTTGGACCGGAAACTTGTGGGCGTTCGTGTGCGCATTTTGTGGAGACTTGTGAGTTGGAAAAACGAGGAGAAATTCTAGCTGTCAAGCAGCCACGCCTTGAGAGCTGTTACCTCAAGTAGTCGGGGCTAGAGAGTCTGATTGTCAAGGATCAGAGTGTAGAAAACTTAATTGGCAAGGATCAGCCCCTAGACATTGACTCTGGCAAGAAGCCGCGCCTTGACAGCGTTCACTTCAAGTAGCCAATCCTAGAAATCTTAATTGTCAAGTGTCCGCCCCTTGAGAACTGTTACCTCAAGTAGTCGGGCCTAGAGAGTCGGATTGTCAAGGATAAGCGCCTAGAGAACCTAGTTGTCAAGCAGCCACGCCTAGAGAGCCTAGTTGTCAAGTGTCCGCCCCTTGACAACTGTTACCTAAAGTAGTCGGGCCTAGAGAGGCTGATTCTCAAGAACTAGCGCCTAGTGAACTTAGTTGCCAAGTAGCTACGCCTAGACATTGACTCTGGCAAGAAGCAGCGCCTTAACTGCGTTTACCTCAAGTAGCCAAGCCTAGAAAGTTCATTTTTCTAGGATCTGTGCCTAGAGATTCAATCTAGCAAGGATTCGAGCCGGGAGATTCTAGTTGTCTAGGAGCCGTACCTACAGGTCTACTCTTGCAAGGAGCCGCTCCTAAAGCCTGGTAGCCAAGCCTAGAAAGCTCAATTTTCTATGATTAATGTCTAGAAAGCTATTTTTGAACTCTAATCAGAAAAATTCAGCAAAAAAATGAAATTGCACAAAGCTAGGCTATATAAAATAAAGTTCCAGATCATATTTTTTTCCAAAAAAAAAACTCATAATTTGTGGGAAAATGTACTTTTTCCGTGCGAGCAATTTTTTCAACACGAAAGCTTTGGAAAATGCAATCTCCTCAAATTTCCCCCCACAAAACTCCCGAAAAATCAATTTGCAGTCTATTGGACATGCGGTGATCGTCGTCCGGCTCCAGATTGGGTTGTTGGTTCGATTGGTGGTGTGACGCGGAAAATCAATTGCTCAGATTGGGATATTCCATTGACTGACAAAGGAAAACAGGATGTGAGTTTGGGAAATGAAAGTTTTGGTCTGCAAAATGGGACCATGAAGCTGGAATTGAAATTTTAGGCTGAAAATTTTGGTCTGAAAGTTTCAAGCTGAAAATCAACAGAAAAGTTCAGCCCAACATGAATTTATTTTAATGGTTTGTAACTGGGATTACGGTAATCTTGGTTACGGTAGTGTCCTTGATTACTCTAGGTCACTGTAGTCGATCTCTTCTACAACATAATAACCTGGAGGACGGAAATCGTAATCTGAATGATCATAATCCACATTTACACTCCGATGATTTTCTTTCGATTTTTTATGATGTGTTTTGGTTTTTCTCTTTTTCTCCTTTGATTTTTCCTCTCGATCATTTTCATAATCAGCATCGATATCTGAACCATCAGAAGGACTCTTGTTCGAAGCGGTTCCGCCGTAGATGTCACAAGTTTCGGCCTGTAAACATCTGATTTATGACGTGGCAAGAATATACCTTGACCTACCCGATTGCGAACCATTCGATCTGTGAGTTTACACTGAAATGCGCTAGCAAAACCTTCGATTTGTGATGCCAAACTATTAATTCGTTGATATTCGTTGGTATGCATTTGATCTGCATGGTGACGATTTGTGAAGGCTTTCTAAAAACAATTCTACGACACTCCGCAATCACACAACTCACCGTATCGCAGAACAATGCAGCTGCGCCATAGAAAAATAGTTGATCCTTATTCAAACTGTCGATACTATCGATTTTCCTCTTTCGCTCGATGTTTGAAGTTTGGAAGAGTTTGTGGATGAGATGATAGCCGAAATAATCGGCGCCGTCTTCTTCGAATGTTGCATGATGGGTTCGGGTTGGATCGCAAGCCTGGAATGTTGGTTTGGTACGGTTCCTGTGTGAAAGCGGAGTGTCGTATGTGATTTTTGATTTACTATATACTCAGGCACAACGATACTCCGCAGCTACACCAAGGCTTGTTCAAAATCGCGTCACCCGGAGTGTCGTAGGGATCAGTTCAATTTTTGAAATGTCACAAGATTTTTTTTAACTTTTTGAATTTCATGATTCAAACGACACTCCGAAATCACTCTTGATAAAGTGTGTGTTCTGACGGAGTGTCGTAGTTTTTATGTTGATCTTGTTCTTTTTTGTTTTGCTTTGTTAAATTCTGTGTGATTCAAACGTCGCTCCGCAATTACACCAGAAGAACTCTAGATCCTCTTTTCTCAACCCACCGCAGTTCTAAAAGTCTTGCAAGTTTTTCTCGATTGTGCCTGAATACATTCGGTATCATCACTCCAATATTTATACAATTTCGCCTTTTTGTCATGTTCATCAAATACAAAAGTATGCATCAATTCGTGAGCCAATGTATAGCCAATGGAGCCGTACTAAAAAACATATTTGAATATTTAGTTATCCTAAATCTATACTTACAAAACTTGATGCGTATTTCGAGTTGGAAAGAATGAGAAACGAGTTTCCGAGCATAATATTTTTGTCCTGAGCATTGAAGACTGTTTGAGGGAAGGCTAGGATTTCTATGATTTCGGAATTTGTGAAAGTGTCGAGCACGATTTTTGATTGATTCAAAGGCGCATTTGCATAATGAATTGCGTAGATTTTGCAAAGAGCTTCTTGATCTTTGACACGATATAACATCTGATAACATTCCTCTTTGTATTTTCCAAAACTGTCCATGATATCTGCGGCTAGTCGCTTGAAATTGTGAAATGTGAAGAGCTTTATGTCCTCTAGAGCTTTCAGATAGTGTTTTGTCACTTTTTTGCTGGTTATCCATTTGGTGGATTTGATGAGTTTGCGCATTTCGGCGATGATTTTGGCGAAAAGATCGCGAGCGATTTTGTCGACGAAACTGATCTCATCGTAGACGAGAGTTTGACGAGCGATTTTTGTGAGCAAATAGGCTTCGGATTTGAGCTGGAATTTTGGAATTAGTAATTTCATCTACACTAAAATCTGTGATTCTGGAGCCGGATTTGCACTTTATTTTTGACCTACAGTAGTCTGGTTGTGGACTCTACAGTAGACCTAAGTTTTAGCGCCAAATTTTGATCTACAAAGCTCCCCAACTGCTTTCTGCTCCCTTTCTTACCGTATTCTCCAATTTTCGAACTTTTTCGAAAATCTGCCTACAATTGTATCTTCCCCTCTGATCTCCGACCAATTTTTGAAAGAATTTCAAAGTTTTTCGATTGCATCTGAAATTTTTAATGCTCTGAAATTTTCAGAGTGAAAATTGACTCACAATTTCCCCACAAATTGATCTCTGCTTCGCAATTTCCGAAATATTTTCTCGTGACCGTCGAGATGAAGCTTCTGAATTGAAATTTCAAATTTTTGAATTCAAAAAAGGAACATACCGTAATATTTCCATACTGATGAGTGTTCCATCTGGCTTTTTCGATAGCTTTTTCGATTTTTGAAATGTGATTTTGGAAGTTGGCTGTGGTGTGGCGGTTGCAAACGTGACGATAGAAGTCATCGCAAGGATCCAGTGATAAATCGACGTGTCTGGAATTGAAGGGGTACTGTAGGAGTACTGTAGTCTTTGGTTACTGTACATATTGCTTAACAATTGGGATTACTGTTGAATAATGAATTTTTGACTACAGTAACCTCTATTCGAAGTACAGTAGTTGGAGAGAGGATACTGTAATTTTGGTTCTCAAAGGTTACTGTAGCGTTTTAATATTTGAATTTGGGTTCATTGAGGGAATCTACAGTAATCCTCTGAATTATGGGTTAGAGTACTGTATTTTAATCGAGGGGAATTTTAGAATACTGTATAGGTACCTTGAGTAATACAGTACTCCTCCACGTAGATCTACAGTAACCCACAGTGTTTTTCCCCTCAAAACTCACTTTTTGATGAAAGTATCAATAATATCATTATCGACCCCGGGAAGAGGCTTAAAACTTGCCACAAAATTTATCAGAAGAAAATTGAGAAAAATTGGAATTCTCCTCCTCATTTCTATTTTTTTCACATAAAGTTTATTATGAACACATCCCACGAATTTTATATTATTATAAATTTGTTAATTGGAAATTATTGGATTTTTTTTTGATTTTGGGAAGGAAAAACGAGGCGTTTTTATTGGGGAAATTTTCGTATAGTTTCTGGGAAACTTTTGGGAATTTTGAAGAAATTGCCTTAAATTAACCGAAGACTAAAAGCCCTAAAAAGGGCCTAAAACTAGTTTGAATTTTCAAAAAGACCTTACAAATTAAAATTCAGGGCCCTTAAAATGTCTAAATTTAATGGCCTTAAACTCTAATTTAGGCTAACATCCTATTTTTGCAGGGCATCTATTTGTCTTATCGATTTGGTTATTATAATTCGGATACTGGAGAGGATTATGATCCGGCTTATACAATTGATGAACAATCACTCGATTATTTGGATGGAATGTTTATTAAAGGTACAGGGGGATTTTTTGGTCTGAAATTGGGGATTTTTAATCGATTTCGCAAAATGTTTTATTATTGTTTTAGCACAAATTATACGAATTATAATAAAAGAGAAAATAGTTTGCAAATTTATGAAAATTCTGAAACAGTGAAAATTTTTGAAATGATGAATTCATGTTTTTTTTTTCATATTTTTAAATCCTAAATTTTCACTGTTTCAATAAATGTTTTCAATGAGATTCAAAATTAAAAAAAATTTCAATTCAACAAATAAATAATTTTTTCACTGTTTCGAAAATCCCATGAATTTAGGATAGGAAATTTCGAAATGATGACATCAATGATGACAAATTTTTTTCACTGTTTCAAAAATTATTCAAAAGTTTTTCGTGAGTGTTTTTGAATGCTAGATACAATTGTTCTTTTTTTTCGAAATTTCAGGCGTACCTAATATTTCAATTTTATCGCAGATAATTTTTTTCACTGTTTCAAAATTTCTCGAAATTTATTATGAATGATTCATTTCTATTGGTATTGTGGAATGTTCCTTTCAAATGAAAATTCATCAGAAAATTGACAATTATTCACGGTTTCAGAGAGTTTATTAGCTTTTACTGATATTTTTTCAAATTGGTGGATGAATCGTTATTTTTTCAAATATAATTTCTAAATTTCCTACCTTTCCAGGTGTCCAAATTCGCCCACTCTTCACCCGAATTCTCGCCAAAAAATCCGCCAAACTCTCCGAATTCACCTCAAATATCGTGTCATTTATGACACGTCATCCTGAAATGTCGCATATTGGAATTGGTGAACAAATTGCATCATATCAGGATAGTAGTCGAACTGATACAAAATATATTACACCGTATGTTAAATTGATGGATGCGTTTTGGCAAAAATTGGGAGCAAGTGAGAATTTGAGGACGTTGGCTTTTGCTAGGATTGAGTATGATGGCACTGAGAATGTGGTGAGATTTTGGGATCAGAAAATTGAATTTTTGAAAAATTATAAATGAGTAGAAAAAAGTTATCGAGAGATCAAAAAATGGAATATTGCTGAAATATCTGGAAATTTTAGGCTGAAAACCTTTAAGAATTTTGAGCTTTTCAAATTTATTTCATTTTTATGGTGTTAAGATTGAATTAGTTTCTTAATGAGTAGAAAAAAAATTTATTTTGAAAATTAATAAATTCTTTGAAACAGTAAATTTTTGAATAAATATTTTTTTGAATTGTTCCACAAATTCTTGAATCAGTTTTGTGATTAATTCCGAAAAATCTATTGTTTCAAAGTTTTTTTTTGAATTTCCTAGATTGTGATTTGTTGATTTGTTAGCGGTTTTCGTTGATCGTACTGTAAATTAACAGAGAGAAATTCGAGTTATAATTGATTCTTGAAAAATACGAATTTTTTTACACAAAGATTTTTTACCCTCTCAAAATCTGATCCATATTGATTTTTCTTTGCAAAATTGATTACTCAAAAATTTACTGTTTCAAAGAATTTTATAATTCTCAAGATATTTTTGAAAGTTCGATATTTGGTAATTAACTGTTACTTATAAAAATGATACTGTTTCAAAAAATTTTCAAACATTTTTCTAGTCCTTGACTTCTTATTAACGCTGTCTTCGGTTGCCTTTCATAAAATTTCTCAGTTTTTTCTTGAAACTGAAATTTTTTGTATTTTTTTTCTGTAAAATCTTTTTCCACTCAAATATCTGATTTTCTCTTTCAAAATTGTTCAAGTTTGTTAATGAATAACAGAATAAATGAGTAGAATAAGTTCAATAGTTTGATTGGTCATAAAGAAATTTTTTAGAAAAAATACACTGTTTCAAGAAATTAACAACGTTTTTCTAGTCTTTGATTTTTTTGATTGGAGCTGTTTGTTAATCTGACTCACTGTAGATGCTTTTTAGAGATCACAATCCGAGTTTGGTTTGAAGAAATCTGAAAATTTTGAATTTTCATACAAAAAATCTGATTCACCTTCTCGAAGTTGAATCGTATATTTTTCTTTGGCAAATTACCTTATCAAAAAAAATGTACTGTTTCAAAGAATTTATGAGTTTTTACAATAATTTTTAAAGTTCAATTTTTGACAATTTCATGTTTATATTTAAAAATTATAATTTTTTCAAAAAAAAAACAACACAAATTTTCAGCCCTCAAACGTGACTAGAAATCTCAAATCAATCGGCCTCTATGATGTTTCCCTAACTGCAAATCAACTTCCCACATGGATTTCCGGCTCAAATATTCAATTTTTGGATATTTTATCAACTGTAAATGATTCGACAGATGTTTCGGCTTGGGATAATTTGGAAAATTTGGAGCATTTTATGCTGCGCGGCTCTCGACTCACAAATATCAAATCATTATTTTTGGCCAAATCTACTCAATTGATTTCGTTGACTTTGCAGTGTAATGATATTAGTGTTATTCAGGAGGTTGGGAATTTTTGAACATTCAAAAAAATTCAGATTTAATTTTATATTTTTTCAGAACGCTTTCGATCATTTGGTAAATTTGAAGTTTTTGAATATTGCCGGAAATTATTTGCAAACTTTGCCTGATCAGATTTTCATGAAATTGACCAATTTGTTGGTTTTTGATGTTAGAGCGTGAGTTTTTGGGTACTTTTACGTAAAAAATCTGTAATTTTCCAGTCTCGATATTGATTCCAAAACCATCCTCAATTTTGATGATAATCTGGTTTCCTGTCATTCTGGAAGTTCTCTTAACTCCACATTTTACCTGAATTCTGTTCCAAAACTGCCGAATCCTGAAAATCTCAAAGTTCTTGAAGTTCGCGGCCAGAAGAATTTCGATAAATCAACTTTTGAAGAATATGAAAATGTGGAGATTTTGAATATTGGATTTTTTGGATATTTCCACTTTGATTGGACTGAATTTGGAAAAATTGTGCAATTTGGAGGATTTGAATTTGAATGGGAATCTGATGAATTCGACGAATTGGATTGGTGAAGAAATGTTTTTGAATTTGAATTTGAAACAATTTCGATTGGGACAACCGAGTAAATTGGTCGAAATTCCCAATGAATTGATTGCTTTTATGCGAACTTCCAGTCAGATTTTGTATTCGGTTCCGCAGGCATTGATTTATTGGAATGGGTTTAGAGCAACTGTTGGATGCTCTTATGGTGAGTTGGTTTTTTTGGGAGAAAAAATGTACCGTTTCAAAATTTTTTGAAACGAGTTTGAGATTGATTTTCTTCTGAATTTTTAAATTCATTGTATTTTTTCAAAAATTTACTGTTTCAAAATTACTTTTTGGTCCTCAAACAAACATCAATTCAGTCTAGAAATGTTCTCCTTGGAAAAAAATTTCGAGCCCAGAAAAAATACGTTTCTGAAAATGTTTATTGCTTGTCAGAGATTGAATTTTTTGATCTAATAGTGTTTTGTTTTCAAAGCTACAATTTTGAATTCTAGAGAAATTCTGAAAAACTCTGGAATTCCAGCCAACCTGAGAAAAATGCATTCATTCTGATTTCAAATTTTAATTTTTAGTTATTCGGATAAATCAGTTGGACACTGAAAATAGCAGCTTCCAGAGCTTTTTTTCAACGGAAAAAATACTGTTTCAAAATTTTTTCATTTTGAGAATAAATTTGAATGTTATCAGTACAGGCTATCGACTCGAATGTCTAAAAATCAACATTTTTAACCATCAAAAATTCACTGTTTCAAATTTTTTTCATTTTGAAAACAAATTTGAATGTGATCAGTACAGGCAATCGACTGGAACGTCTAAAAATCAAAATTGTTAACCAAGAAAAAGTCCACTGTTTCAAAATTAGGTTTAGGTTTCAATTTGAAGTTTGATTTTCAATTATGAATCTTCTCATTATGGAAATTCAGAAAATTCTTGAATTTTTTCAGTTTTCGTAATTATTGCAGAAAAAATTTCGAGCCCAGAAAAATTACGTTTCAAAAACGTTTATTGATTGTCAGAGATTGAATTTTTTGATTCCAATAGTGTTTTTGTGAGAAAGCAACAATTTTTGAATTCTGGAGAAATTTTATCCAATCTGAGAAAAATTCAAAATTTATTCATTCTGATTTCTAATTTGAGATAAATCAGTTGCACTCGGAAAATACCAAAGTTTTTTTCAACAAAAAAAATACTGTTTCAAAATTTCTTCATTTTGAAAACAAATTTGAAGGTTATCAGTACATGGTATCGACTCGAATGTATAAAAATCAACATTTTTAACCATGAAAATCTACTGTTTCAAAATTTTTTTGAGTTTCAATTTGAAGTTTCATTTCCAATATGACTTTCTTTTCATCGAAGTTTAGAAAATTCTTGATTTTTTTTCAGTTTTCGTAATTTTGGAAAAAAATTTCGATCCCAGAAAAAATACGTTTCAAAAATTTTTATTAATTGTCAGAGCTTGAATTTTTTGATCTAATAGTGTTTTGGTTTCAAAGCTACAATTTTGAATTCTAGAGAAATTCTGAAAATCTCTGAACCTGAGAAAAATTCATTCATTCTGATTTCAAATTTAAATTTTTAGTAATTGGGATAAATCAGTTTGACTCGGAGAATATCAGCTTCCAAAGCTTTTTTTTTCAACCATTAAAAATTCACTGTTTCAAAATTTATTCATTTTGAAAATAAATTTGAATGTTATCAGTAAAGGCAATCCACTCGAACGTCTGAAAATCAACATTTTTAACCATGAAAAATTCACTGTTTCAAAATTAGGTTTAAATTTTAATTTGAAGTTTCATTCCCAATGATTTATCTTCTTATTATATAAATTAAGAAAATTCTGGATTTTTTTTTCAGTTTTCGTAATTTTTGAAGAAAAAATCTCGAGCCTCGATAAAATATGTTTCAAAAATTTTTGTCAGAGCTTGAAATTTTTTGATCCAATAGTGTTTTGGTTTCAAAGCTACAATTTTTGAATTTTAGAGAAATTCTGAAAATCTCTGAAATTCCAGTCAACCTGTCGTGAGAAAGATTCATTCATTCTGATTTCAAATTTAGATTTTTAGTTATTGGGATAATCAGTTGGACACTGAAAATATCATGTTCCAGAGCTTTTTTTTCAACAAAAAATAATACTGTTTCAAAATTTATTCATTTTGAAAACTAATTTGAATGTTATCAGTACATGGTGTCGACTCGAATGTCTAAAAATCAAAATTTTTAACCATGAAAAATCTACTGTTTCAAAATTAGGTTTAATTTTCAATTTGAAGTTTTATTCCGCTTGTCATCAAAGTTCAGAAAAATCATGAATTTTTTCAGTTTTCGTAAATTTTGAAGAAAAATATTCGAGCCCGGAAAAAATACGTTTCAAAAATTTTTATTAAAGGGTTGGTGCTCCGCCAGGGAATCTTGCTTGGTTTAGATAGGAATAAGGTGCTCCTGGAAGGTTCCAGTTTTAGAAAAAATTCTAGTATCAATTCAGCCCAAGTTTTTCCTCAAAAACACAAGCGAGTTAAAACCTACGAAATAAAGCAAGTAAATGCGCTCTAGCGCACAACTTGTTTTTGAATTTTTGTGCGTGTGTTTGCACACAACTTTGAACACAACACTGTGACGCCTTTTTGCAGACGATTTTTTCACCAGGAAAACACCAACCCTTTAATTGTCAGAGCTTGAAAATTTCTAATTCCATCAATGTTTTTATTGGCTACAATTTTTTGAATTCTAGAGAAATTCTGAAATTCTCTCTGAAATTCCAGTCAACCTGAGAACAATTCATTCATTCTGATTTCAAATTTAAATTTTTAGTTATTGGGATAAATCAGTTTGGCTCAGAAAATATCAGCTTCCAAAGCTTTTTTTTCAACAAAAAAAAATACTGTTTCAAAATTTATTCATTTTGAACACAAATTTGAAGGTTATCAGTATAGACAATCCACTCGAATGTCTAAAAATCAAAATTTTTAATCATGAAAAATCCACTGTTTCAAAATTAGGTTTAAATTTTAATTTGAAGTTTCATTCCCAATGATTTATCTTCTTATTATATAAATTAAGAAAATTCCTGATTTTTTTTCAGTTTTCGTAATTTTTGAAGAAAAAATCTCGAGCCCAGAAAAAAATACGTTTCAAAAAATTTTATTGATTGTCAGAGATTGAATTTTTTTTGCTTTTTTTCTCTCTTTCTCAGAAAAGCTACAATTTTTTGAATTCTAGAGAAATTCTGAAAATCTCTCTGAAATTCCAGTCAACCTGAGAACAATTCATTCATTCTTATAATGAATTTCAATTTTTAGTTATTGGGATAAATCAGTTGGACTCAGAAAATATCAGGTTCCAGAGCTTTTTTTCAACAACAAAAAAATACTGTTTCAAAATTTCTTCATTTTTAAAACAAATTCGAAAGTTGTCAGTAGGCATTCAACTCGTAAATATGAAAATAATCAACATTTTTAACCATGAAAAATCCACTGTTTCAAAATTAGGTTTAAGTTTCAATTTGAAGTTTTATTCCGTTTGTCATCAAAGTTCAGAAAAATCATGAATTTTTTTCAGTTTTCGTAGTTATTGAAAAACAAATTTCGAGCCCAGAAAAAATACGTTTCTGAAAATGTTTATTAATTGTCAGAGATTGAAAATTTCTGATTTCTAACAACGTTTTTGTTAAAAAGCTACAATTTTTGAATTGAAAATCTCTGAACCTGAGAAAAATTCATTGATTCTGATCTCAAATTTTAATTTTTAGTTATTGGGATAAATCAGTTTGACTCGGAAAATACCAAAGTTTTTTTCAACAAAAAATAATACTGTTTCAAAATTTCTTCATTTTGAAAACAAATTTAAATTTTATCAGTACAGACAATCCACTCGAACGTCTAAAAATCAAAATTTTTAACCAAGAAAATCCACTGTTTCAACATTTTTTTGAGTTTCAATTTGAAGTTTGATTTCCAATGATGAATCTTCTCTTTATATAAATTCAGAAAATTCTGGAATTTATTTCAGTTTTCGTAATTTTGGAAAAAAAAATTTCGATCACAGAAAAAATACGTTTCAAAAATTTTTATTAATTGTCAGAGCTTGATTTTTTTGATGTCTTGTCTCTTTTTTACTCAGAAAGCTACAATTTTTGAATTTTAGAGAAATTCTGAAAATCTTCCAGTCAAACCTGAGAAAAATGCATTCATTCTGATTTCAAATTTTAATTTTTAGTTATTCGGATAAATCAGTTGGACACTGAAAATATCAGCTTCCAGAGCTTTTTTTTCAACAACAAAAAAATACTGTTTCAAAGTTTCTTCATTTTGAAAACAAATTTGAATGTTATCAGTACATGGTGTCGACTCGAATGTCTAAAAATCAAAATTTTTAACCATGAAAAATCCACTTTTTTAAAATTAGGATAAAATTTCAATTTGAAGTTTCATTTCCAATGAACAACTTCTCATATAAATTCAGAAAATTCTTGAATTTTTTTCAGTTTTCGTAATTTGGAAAAAAAATTTCGATCCCAGAAAAAATACGTTTCAAAAATTTTTATTAATTGTCAGATCTTGATTTTTTTGATTTTTTCTTCTTTTCTTAGCTACAACTTCTTGAATTCCACAGAAATTCCAGTCATGTATTTTTCTGAAAAAAAAATCTCAAATTTAAGAATTTTATCAATTCAAAAATATCTGAAAAATTCTGGAAATCCAGATTTTTCTTGAGATCCGGAAAACATCTGAAATTCCAGCCAAATCTCTTTTTTTTGCAGACACAGTTCAAAGTGCCACAATGTACGGCTATCAAATTCAAAACACATCGTGCACAACACAAATCGAATCAGCTTTGGAGAAAATTCGAGAAATTGAATCGATTAAAATGGACACGACATGTTCGAGCTGAAAATTCTTGAATTTCAGAAAATAAATATTCATTTTGTTAATCAGCTTTCAAAAACAATTATTCCTGGCTGGCCGAAATTTTTGGTTTGGTTTTCTCGGCCGCGGTTTGGACTTCGGCCACACGAGTGTCTGTTGGGCCGAAAATTTGGGCGAATGCTGGAAGACGCATGAAACCGCCGAAGACTTGACCGACTAATGATTGAATTGAGCCGAGGAAGTTCATCGGGCTGAACGGGTCTGTAAAATTGGGATTTTTTCAGGCTTTTTGGCCCCCCCCAAAAGCCTCGGGCCCCCAAAAAGGCCCGAAACTTACATTGAATAAGTCCTTGATTACTGTAGTCTTGCAAAATCGACTTTTCTTGTCCGGAAATTGGCGAATTTCTGATGAATTTCGCTAACTCGGCTGGATTTTTGATCATTTTTTGACATTCGACCAATAAAATCAAGGAAAAGATGAGGAAAATTTGGAATTTCATGTTTTTTGTTGAAAATTTTAGCAGATGAGGCTTTTATAGGATTTTCAGGCATTGTCTAGGCCAAGTTTATTTATTTGTTTTCAAAAGAAAAACATGGGCAGCTGATCAAACAGATAGGCGCACAGCGAAAATAACACTACAATTTTCTCCGTCTGTTCTCGAGAGGCCGGGTGTGCGAGTGGTTAACGCGTGCGCCTGCCAAGCGAGAGGTCGCGGGTTCGATTCCTCGCGAGAGCTATGATGTTTTTACTCATCTGTCAGTCCGCTGAGTCCATTTCTGATGAGAACTTTAATCCGAGTACCTGAGCACGATTTTTTCTTGTTTTTTTTTGAGAAGTAATTTATTTAAGGAAACCCGTTTATTCTTCAGAAATATAATAACAATTATTTTAAAATCGTGTGATCGAATTTGAAAATCAAAAAATCTAGCAAATATATCCGCCGCAAGTAATCTCTAATCACCGGATCTTTATCGATCTGATCTTGAACTTTATCATGAGCTGCAGAATCGAAAGTTGCATGTTTAGTTTCTCCTTCTAAAGCAGCTTTTCGAATATAGGATAAAGTATCATTTGGAACATTTGATTCTCGAAAATATTCCAAAAGTTGATCAATTCCATCATGTCTTTTCTCGGGATCAGCAGAAAGTTTGGCAATTTTATAGTCGTTGAAATGTTTTCGAAATTCACAATTCCATGAAAGCGGCGCCGCGTGTCGATCTTCGTAAGATGGTTTGAGCAAAGATTTGCCGGATGAATGAATTAGGAAACGATTGTATTGATTGATTAGGAAGCAGGTTATATTGCCACGACAATTGTAGCATTGTTTACGAAGTGGATATTTTTTGGCTTCGCTGGAAATTAAAGAAAATTGAGATTTTTGAATTTTCAAAGTAGATTACAAAAAATATCAGAAAAATGAGTTTATCTAGAAAATTGAGTATTTTTTGAAACAGTAAAATCATTTTTGTAAAAAAAATTAGTATTTTATTGCCTTGCCACGTGGATTTTACGAGATTTCATAAAAGCAAATATCGCTGGATAAAATTAAGATAGAAAATTTGAGAAATTTTTGAAACAGTGTATTTTTCAGGAAGCATTTTCTTCATTCTGAATGTCTTTCGAAAAAAAATGTTCAGGAATTTTTTTTAGATTTTTTGAAACACACAGTGACTTCTCAACATTGCAAAATTCATTAGTTGTGACTTGTTTACATTTTGAAACAGTCAATTTTTTCTTAAAAATTTTGTAAATTTTTTGAAATAGTAATTCTATTTTGTGAAGTTTTGCATTATTAGAAATTTGATTCTAAAAATTTTCTGGATTTTCTGAAACAGTGAATTTTCCAAAAAAAAATTTTTATACTAATTTTCTGGTAAGTGCGAAGTTGTAAACGAGTTCAAAATGTAATTCCTAATTTTCATGAAATTTTTGAAACAGTGAATTTTTTACATAAAAATTTCATTGAAAATGCTGAATTTCGAAATCAAAAAAAGAAATCATGTCAAAAATTCAGTCCTAAAATTTTATGAAATTTTTGAAACAGTGAATTTTCCCGAAACAAAAAATCAATCAAACTACACACAAACCCTCTGCCTATTCAATTTTCAATTTGAATTCCAAATTTCCGAAAAAAAACTCACAAAATGCATTTGTTGGAGAAGAACGAGATGAAACGCGAAATCGGATTTCGAATCACAACTATTTTCGAAAATGTATGATGTGCTGCTCCCATTGTCCATTTCACTTCATTCAATCGACGATATTCGTTTTTATCAGCACAATATCTGCAAAAAATTGGGGAGTTTTTTTTTTCAAATCGATTTTCAGAGATTTGTGATTGGGAGAACATTTTATGATAATTTTTGAAACAGCGAAAAAAAATTGCTTGAAATTTCGTAACGAAAATATTTTGACAAGTGGCTGGAGAATCATTTTCACCTCGTAAAAATCTTTATTTTTTACTGTTTCAAATAATTGTGATAATTTTTTTTTTGAATAAAAAATCTCATTCATCAGCTTCATTTGAGAACATTTTGAAGTAAAAAATGTATTTCAAAGTAAAATTGCACACCAAATTTTATCTAGCTGAAAAAAAATTCCAAAAAAAATTCACTGTTTCAAAAAATTGATAACTATAATTTCCGCCAAATAAATTTAGTCATACAAGTTGATTCTGAACACCCACAAATATATTTCAGTATGTGAATTTACTGTTTCAAAATATTGTTTTTTTCAACATTTGAAGCACGAAATCTGATAAATGAAATCTTTCTTGCTAATTTTACTATTCAAAAATTCACTGTTTCAAAATATTTTTTTAAGGAAAATTTTTTGATTTGAAAAAATTAACTATTTCAGAAAAATAGAATTTTTAGAGTTGCAATTGAAAAACTAATAAATATTTCAACATTTTTCCAAAAAAAGTTGACTGTTTCAAAAAATTTACTTCTCCAAATTTTGAATAGTCTCAATAAACTTCCATATTTCTTACCTCCGACTCCAAACCTCCAAAATACTTCGATTATTTTTGAAAAAATCATCAGTATCATAAAGTACACACGAAATTCCGCTCATCAAAGTTGACATTGATTTTTTGATTCGACAAATTGATAGATTATAATATGGTGCGATCTGAAGCCGAAATTTCAGATCCAAATTTTTAATTTAAAAATTCTCGAGACTTACCGCATATTCCCGATCAAAATCGATGAAAGCAGGGATCAGGGCTGAAAAAAAAAATTTAATTCAAAAAATTTTCAGCCAAAAAACCCACATTTCCCTTTAATTTCAGCTTCATCCATCGTTTTCTTAATCAAATTATCCAAATTTTGTTGATTTTTCACAATTTGTTCATAAAATTTGGAATATTGATAGGTTTTTAGAGAATGTAGAAGATTTTGAGAATTCAGAAAATAAAATGTTGAAATTGAAATGGCTGCTAGAAGGAGTACTGTAGTTAGGAAACATTTTGACATCTGAAAAAATGGGAAATTCAAAAATTCGGCACAAAAATCGAAAACCGAAAAAATTCAGTTTCAAAAAGTGATGAATTTTTGTTTCTGGCGGGGGCCGATAATCCGATAAATCTTTTTTTCGCACAATTTTTTGGGTGATTTTCGAAAATTCGATTTTCGACACAAAAAACTACACAAAAAAAGTGGTAAAGATCATTTGAGATCTAGATCGAAAATTTTTTGGAATTAGGAGGAAAAATTGAAACAGTGAATTTTTTCGAATTTAAAAAATTCAAATCGGAAAATTGTATTTTTGCAGAACCCAGAGTCAAAAGTTGACAACATCAGAAGCTGATTTTAACAATTTTATAAATACGATTTTTGAAACAGTGAATTTTTTTCATACCCAAATATAAAAATATTAAATTTATTGAACGGAAAATAGAGTTATCAATTTTTTGAAACAGTGAATTTTTTGGAAAATTTTTAATCATCTACTGGACTTCTAGACTTATCACAAACTAAAAGAAACATTTTTCAACGCCAAAATTTGCATTTCAAAATTTTTTTTTGAATAAACAAATTTGTTTTAAGTGTTAAACGATGCTCCGGGTTACAATTATTAAAGAAGTGTGGTTTTACGCGGGAAAAATCGAATTTTAAAATTATAAATTTAATTTTCAAGATGTTCAAACGATGCTCCGAAGTTACACCAAAGTAAAATTACCATTTTGCTCAATTCCCCAACTTGTGATCCCATTGACTTGTTAATCCATCAAAATACACTTTCGTCTCCTCTTTACACGTCATTTTGGATGTTTGATTGATTCCAAAATCATCGGGAAAACATCTGCCAAAACATCCGATTGTCAAATTTTTGACCGATTTGTTGGTCAAAAAATGTTGGCGAATGTTTTTTTCGGAAAATAAGACGAGAAGTTGGGAGAACAAGCCATAGCTGAAAAAAAATTGGATATTTGAAGTCGGGGACTAGTTTTCCAGGGGGAGGATTTCTAGTCCTTGATCTTTCAAAAGCCTTGCAGCTTTGCGCAAGCTTGCGGTTTACACTCGCGACTTGCGTCGCTCGCGGAACCTTCCGCGTTGTCTTCCGCTTCAACTCACATCGCAATACTCAAATTGAAAATCTGATGCAAATAAGTGACGAGAAGTGGATCGGATTTCCGGAAACTTCGAATATTTGTGACTGAAAATATTGTTTTGGTAGATCCAAAAAAAATTTAGAACTTACGACCAAACAGGATTGCTAAAATCATATCCGAAATCACGCAGAACGATATAAAATATCGGGTGAACTGGAAAAAAAACAACGATGCTCCGAGATCACGAGGGAGGTTTCGAGGCGGGAAAATTGAATTTTCAAATTTTCAAACGATGCTCCGCTTGACTCACCCGAATAATCGAAATATTCTCATTCAACTGAAATCGATAACTTAGCGTATATCTCGATGTCAACATTTTCTTCTGCACAATTTTCAATCTTCTCCGATTGATAAAATACAGTGAATTCAGGGCCAGAATTGATGCAATATTCAAAAATACAGCTAACAGAACTAGTAATTTGATATTGAAGAGTTCTGGAAAAAAATTGGGATTATGAGCTGAAAAATTCAGATTTCTGACATTTTTAGGGTCTCGAAACGATCCGAGCTACAGTAAGAAAATTTTCATTTATTTTCTTTTTTTTGTTCGTGGAAAACTCAGTCGAATAATTTTTAGAATTGCACAGAAATTCAATTTTTTCTTGAAACAGTGAATTTTTTTTTCAAATTCAAATTTTCTACTCTAATTTTTTCCCGCCAATTTTTGAAAATTCAAATTTATTTCCCGCCAAAACCTACCGTAATGATAAACCACAGAAAAAGTGACTGAAACAATTGAGCACCAAAAAATCAGCACTGCCGAAATCCACGTTTTTTTCCGATGCTCATAATTTTTCGCCCAAATTGTGGCACAAAATCTCTCGAAGAAAATTATCAAACCACTGCAAAAATACAGTATTTTTTACTGTATCTACAGTAATCTTTTCTACAGTAACCTACAATGTTGAAATAATGATCATTTCTGTGATTCGCATCAAACTACACACAAAAAATAGGCAGAGAATTGGGGATTGAAGGATTTGAGATGTTGTGAGGAATTCGTCGGAATTTGGATCTGCAAATGAATTTTTATATGGAAATTTTGGAGCGAGAAGAAAAAAATTCACTGTTTCAAAATTTTTTTAAATAGAAAATTTAGATTTTGAAAAATCAATCAAAAAATTCAATTTTTTGCCTGAAAAATTCCACTGTTTCAAAAAATTCACATATTCAGAAGAATTTGTAGATCTCTGTTTCTATCATTTTTTTCTTGGACATAAAAATTCTATTCCAATTTTTTTCCGAAAAAATCTACTGTTTCAAAAAAAAACTTTCTTCTAACTAATTTTGCAAAAAAAAATTCTACTGAAAAAATTCACTGTTTCAAAAAATTCCCATTTTCGAATCAGAAATCAGGATTCTGTTCAACTCATGTTCTAGAATTTGAAAAATTCCTGATAAAAATCACCAGTGTTCAAAGTTTTAAATTTTTTTAATGAGTTATGATCTACAGTACCCTTAGGTGAATAAAAATACAAATCAAAACATTCAATTTTTTGCCTGAAAATTTTCACTGTTTCAAAAAATTCACATATTCAGAAGAATTTGTAGATATCTGTTAGACCAATCAATTTTTTTGGACATAAAAATTCTATTCCAATTTTTTTCCAAAAAAAATCTACTGTTTCAAAAAAAAACTTTCTTCAAAGCTACTGACAATTTTGCAAAAAAATTTTTTGACTGAAAAAAATTCACTGTTTCAAAAAATGCCCATTTTTGAATCAGAAATCAGGATTCTGTTCGATTCATGCTCTTCGTAGAATTTGAAAAAATGTTTTTCCTGATAAAAAATCACCAGTGTTTAAAGTTTTAAATTTTTCAAATAAGTTATGATCTACAGTACCCTTAGGTGAATAAAAATACAAATCAAAACATTTAATTTTTTTCCTGAAAAATTCCACTGTTTCAAAAAATTCACATATTCAGAAGAAAATTGATTTTTGATCATTTCCTGTTTTCAGAGAGGCAGAACTACGGTAATCCAAGAAGTCTAGACGAAAAAGATTCCAGAAAAAATGTACTGTTTCAAAAATTTTTCATAAAAATATCTTGAATTTGGGAAATTTAATAAAATTCAAAGAATTTTCAAAGTGGTAAAATTTGAAGAATTTTCAAAATTTTTATGTGGTAAAAAATTGTATTCCAGAAAACTGTGTTCTGCTAAATGCCACGTGGCAAATTTTTGGTCAAAACATTTCCATTGTTTTTTGCGACGTGGCATACTTTCTTTCCTTCCATGTTTCGGAAAATCTTACCAATATCCTCTTCCATCCGAAAAACTCCAATCTCAAATGCAGAAATCAGTAGCCTCGAACACATGTCCAAAAAATAACTGGCCGAATTGAAGGCGATTATCAAAATCAAATTCCGATGAAATTTGCTATAATTCAGCAAATACCAATGAATATACGGTAAAATGATACAACTTGAAATTAGCAGAACCACTTCGAAGTACACAAAGAGTTTCAGAAAAAATTGATGAGTTTCAGAAAATTCGGTGATTTTGTGGAATTGTAGAAGCATTCTTTTTTATAAATGGGAAATATTTGATTTTCAAACCACAAAAATACAAACAAAGAGAATTGAAAATTATGGAGGAAATGAGATTTTTCTCGTCTGGCTCGAAGAAAAACAAATACCTATGTAGAAAAAGCAAAAAACAAAAATAGAAAAAAGTTTGCCGCCAGCAGGGGTCGAACCTGCGACCTTGGGCTTATTAGACCCACGCTCTAACCGACTGAGCTATGGCGGCCACATTTTCGGCCACGCTAAAAGGTCAAGATAAGCTCCATGTTTTCTCTCGTTTTGTTTTTTTTAAAAAAGCCAAAAAAAAAAAACTTGGATCTGTGCCAATCTGCGTCTCTCACTCTCTCGTCTCTCCTCGAAATCCTTGGTGAAATTGAATAAAGAGTGTAACTGCTCTTTTGACCCATCTCTGCGTCTCTCGAATTCTCTCACTATTTTCTCTACACCGGTCTCACTTTATAATTTTGTGTAATATTTTTTTTATCGAAAAAAAAATATTTTTTTTGATAAGAAAAACTAATTTTTATTTTTATTTCTTGTTTTGTTTACAAATTGATTTTCATGGACAAATTTTGTTTATAAATTTTCATTTTCCAGTAGCAAATATGTCGGAAGCGGAAAGCATTTGCGGATTTCCCGCGTATCCGGAATTCCGCTTGGGTTCGCCCAGATTCCCGCAAGACACTTTTTTGGGCCGATATCTGCACTATTTGGATGTGATTGATCCGAGAACACTTTTTGCGTCGGAGGTGGGTGAAAATTTGAATTTTTGATTTGAAATCGGTCACGCGTTGCGTGAGCGCGGCGCGTGTTTGTTCGATAGAGCGCTGTTGTTTCTGCGTCTCTACACGCTCTCTAACCGAGCTAAACAACCGCAATCTTCCGCCCTCTGCATCTCTAACCTTCTAGCTGTCTGATTTCTCTCATCTCTACACACCATCATTTTTTGCCCGCCAAAAATACGTTTTAAAATTATCACAAAAAATATTTTTGCAGAAACGTCTCTCAGATTCTGTCGCTCTTTTATCCGCCTATCAATCCAACAAATCTCTTTCCAAAAACATCACAAACAAAGATTTATGGGAAGCTCAAAAACTCAAAACCGCAATTCTTCATCCGGACACCGGAGAGAAAGTATTGGCACCTTTCCGCATGTCCGGATATGTTCCGTTTGGTTGGATTACTGTAACCGGAATGTTGTTGCCGAATCCATCGTGGCCTACACTGATATTTTGGCAATGGATGAATCAATCGCACAATGCTTGTGTGAATTATGCAAACAGAAATGCGACTCAACCACAACCTTTGTCCAAATATTTGGGAGCTTATGGAGCTGCGGTTGGAGCCGCTTGTTCGATTTCTGCTGGATTGACGTATTTGATTAAGAAGAGCTCGAAATTGCCACCGACTACTAGTTTGATTGTTCAGGTTAGGGAATTTTTCGTAGATTAAACATTTTTCATGGAGGTCTTTAGGCGTGAAATTCGAAAATTCAAATTTCCCGCTTAATTTTTCAAGGCGCGAAATTTGAAAAATTTAAATTTCCCGCCTAATTTTTCAAGGCGGAAATTTGAAAAATTCAAATTTTTCATTTTTTTTGGTGAAACAGGGATTTTTAGGAGAAAAATCATTTTAGCTAGATTAATTCTGGAAAAAATTGGATCCGGGATTTTTTCAAAAAAAAAAGATTTGCAAAATGTTTGGCCAATTATAAATTAATTAAAAAAAGTCAATCATAAATATTTAATGAACATATTTTGAAACAGTGAATTTTTGTGGACCAAAAATAATTCAATTTTTGTTCCTCACGTGATTTCTCTTCTGTTTTTCATTTTTTTTTGTTATCAAGAAAATAATAATCAAATTTCACAAATTCAATTTTCCAAATTTCTCTAATCAAATCGTATTTCAATTCCCATAAAATCCAAATAAAATTTCTCCCAAAACAAACCAAAAATGTTAATCAAAAATCTGATTTTTCCAATTTTCTTAATTCTGATTTCTGTCGGAACTTCGGAACAATTCAAATTCTGCACCAAAACTCTGAATTGTCCAACTGGAGAAAGATGTTCGTATCGGAAATGTGTAAATGCTTGAAATTTGAATTTTTGCAATGAAAATGAAAATCAGTTACTGTTTTTTGTGGCATGATTTTTGAGAAACAAAAATTTAAATTTTTAAATTTCGCGCTACAAAAATTTGGCCTACACAAAAAAAAGTCTACAGTATTTTTCTCGAATAAAACAGCGATCGAATCAATCCAAACAAGTGAATTACAAATTCATTAAATTTTTGAAACAGTGAATTTTTTTCTTTGAAAAAATGAGAATTTCTCCCAATTTTTCCAGCGCTTCGTTCCACTTCCTGCAACTTCTCTAGCTTCATCTCTAAATGTGATTTGTATGCGATACAATGAGCTTCAAACCGGAATCGAAGTTTATGAAAAAGAAACTGGAAAAGTGATTGGAGTCTCGAAAATTGCAGCAAAACAAGCGGTGACTGATACAACTTTGGTTCGAGCATTTTTGCCGGTTCCACTGCTTTTATTGCCTCCATGTATTATGCCGTTTTTTGAGAGGTAAGCAGAGTTTTAATTCATCAGCCAACTATTATTCAAAATTCTCAAAATATTTTTCTGAAACAGTATTTTTTTTGGAATTTTCTATTGAAGATAGAGCTCAAGACTAGCTTCCAAAATACAAAAATTAAATTTACAAACAATTTTTGAAACAGTGAATTTTTATCATGTTGGCAAATGTTTTTTTTTAATTAAAAAAATCTTGAAATTATTTTTAAAAGTATTTTTCTGAAACAGTATTTTTTGGAATTTTCTATTGTTGATAGAGCTCAAGACTAGCTTCCAAAATACAAAAATTCAATTTACGAACAATTTTTGAAACAGTGAATTTTTATAAAAAAAATTTTTAATTAAAAAAAAATTGTTCCTAAAATTATTTTTAAAAGTTTTTTCTTGAAACATCAAAAAAACTTTTCAAAAATATTGAAACAGTGGATTTTTTTCCCAAAAAAATATAATTTCCAGATTCAAATGGGTCACCAAAACTCAAGTCCGTCACATTTTTGTAAACGCAGTCGTGTGTACTTTATCCTTCGCTTTCAGTTTGCCAATTGCTCTTGCTCTTTTCCCACAAGAAAGTGCTGTAAGTTGAAAAATTCCGATTTCTTGTGCTGAAAATCTGGAAACTTCGAATTTTCAGCTTCCAATCGATCAACTCGAACCAGAACTTCGTGCAAAAACCACAGCCAAAGAATTATATTATAATAAGGGTTTATAAATTTGTATTTAATGAATTTTCGGATTTTAGTGGTCCCAAAACCAAAACTCCCTGAATTTTCCAAATTTCCACATAAAAATCATCACAAAGAGGTTACAGTAGCATTACTTGATTCAACCCGATTCAATTTTTTCCGATATTTCTTCATCCAATTGTACAATTTCCCGCCACTTTTTCGTTTTCGAATTTCCGGCAACACTGGTTTTCTCAGATCAATTTTTGCCCATTGACTTGATAAATTTGTGAAATAGATGTCGGTTTCTTCGTTGGTTGATAGACTTCGATTTTGTGGAGCCGCAAAATCTTTGGGAAACCAACGATTGAAAAATGGATAGGTGAAGGATCCTGAAAAATTGAATTTGGGACTATGAGACTGAAAAATTTGAAAAAATTCATAAAAGTTAGCATTTTTTTTTGAGTTTGGAATGATTTTTTGTGCTGTCACATCTTGAGATGCATTGTAAGGAGGAAAACTGCTGAAAAGTTCAAATAATTTTGAAACAGTGGATTTTTTGAAATCCAAAAAAATCAAATTTATAATTTTCAGGCTCAAACTTCAGATTTTTTGATAAAAAAACAAATTTCGGAGTCTAGAGGCTAGAATTACCAGCTCAGGAAAAATTCGCAAAAAATTAGAAATAATTTTGAAACAGTGGATTTTCTGAAACCCAAAAAATCAAATTTATAATTTTCAGGCTCAAACTTCATATTTTTTGAAAAAAAAAATTAATTTTTGGGTCCTAGAACGATAAAGGCTACAGTAACCATAGATTTTTTCGTGTCAAATTGTTTTACGAATTTTGTTTCCCAATTTTGGAAGAAAAGATCAGCCCAGGAAAAATTCGCAAAAAGTTAGAAATAATTTTGAAACAGTGAATTTTTTTGAAATCAAAAAAAATCAAATTTATTATTTTCAGGCTCGAATTTTAGATTTTTCAATAAAAAATTAATCTTTGGGTCCTAGAACGATGAAGACTACAGTAATGGTTGATTTTTACGCGCCAAATTCTTTTCAAAAATTTTATTCCGCCTCGCAATACAAGATCAGCTCAGAATAAAATTCGCAAAAAAATTGAAATATTACTGAAACAGTGAATTTTTCTGAGATTCAAAAAAACCTCGAATTCATAATTTTCAGGTCAAATTTTAAATTTTTCAATAAAAAATTAATTTTTGGGTCCTAGAACGATAAAGGCTACAGTAATCTTAGATTTTTTTCGTTCCAAAATGTTTCACGAATTTTGTTTCCCAATTTTGGAAGAAAAGATCAGCCCGGGAAAAATTCGCAAAAAAATTGAAATATTTTTGAAACAGTGAACTTTTTTCAAATCCAATAAACCTTGCTCAGAGATTCGCTGGCCAGCTCGCCACCAGGTGGGGAGGCTGGCTGACCTGGGAACCACATGGAAACCATGTCGCCCGGTTTTTTTCGCTGGCAAGGTGGCCAGGCTCTGGCTAGGTCACGGCCACATGGCTACCACGTGGTGGCCACTTCGCCGCGTCAAAATGAATTTTCATGAAAATGTCTGAAAAACTTGTGAATTGAGGCATTTTCGAACAATTTGGCTCATTTTCTGTTTTTTCGCAGCACTTAAAACCTTAGGAAGTGAAAAAAACAGTAGAAAATGCAGTGTTTTGAGTACAAACCACTGTCTTGCCAGCTTTCCAGAATTTCAAACACACAGGCCACATGGCCGGAAAACTCAAGGCGACCTGGCGGCCATGCGGTTTCCAGGTGGCCGCAGCGATCTGGTGGCGAGCTGGCCAGCGAATCTCTGAGTGAATTCATAATTTTCCGGCTCAAATTTTAGATTTTTCAAAAAAAAATTCAATTTTCGGAGTCTAGAGGCTAGAATTACCAGCTCAGGAAAAAACCGTTTAAAATTCCAAATATTTTTGAAATATTGAATTTTCTGAAACCCAGAAAAATCAAATTTATGATTTTCAGGCTCAAATTTTAAATTTTTCAATAAAAAATTAATTTTCGGAGTCTAGAAGGTAGAATTATCAGCTTAGGAAAAACCGTTTAAAATTCAAAATATTTTTGAAACAGTGAATTTTCTAAGACCAAAAAAAATCAAATTTATGTATAATTTTCAGGCTCAAATTTTAAATTTTTCAATAAAAAATTAATTTTCGGAGTCTAGAGAGCTACAGACAGGACCCCAGGTTTTTTCGGACAAAAATATTTTTTTTCACAAATTTTGTTGCGTACATCAACGTGTGCGAGATCAGCTCAGAATAAAATTCGCAAAAAATTAGAAATAATTTTGAAACAGTCAATTTTTTCAAATTCTAAAAAACCTCGAATTCATAATTTTCAGGCTTAGAGCTCAGAAATTTAAAAAAAAATTAATTTTTGGGTCCTAGAACGATAAAGGTTTTTTTTTCGCTGAAAACAGTAACCTTAGATTTTTTGCGCCAAATTGTTTCACGAATTTTGTTTCCCAATTTTGGAAGAGAAGATCAGCCCGGGGAAAAATTCGCAAAAAAAATTGAAATATTTTTGAAACAGTGAACTTTTCTGAGATTCAAAAAAACCTCGAATTCATAATTTTCCGGCTCAAATTTTAAATTTTTCAATAAAAAATTAATTTTTGGGTTCTAGAACGATAAAGGCTACAGTAACCATAGATTTTTCGCGTCAAATTGTTTTACGAATTTTGGAAAAGTAGCCAAGGAAAAATTCGCAAAAAAATTGAAATATTTTTGAAACAGTGAATTTTTCTGAGAATCAAAAAAACCTCGAATTCATAATTTTCACGCTAAAAAATTCAAAAATTCCCCCCAAAAAACTTACTAATATGTTTATTTTTCAGAAAAATTTTCCTGAAAGTTTTATCACACAAAAGTGCCAAAAATAGAGCAGATTGTCCATAAATAACCAATGAAAGATTGAGAATAAAATGAAAATAAACGGAAATATTTTCAAAATTTTCAAGCGAAGCACCAATGAATACAAAAATAAGTGAACAATCAATGGTAGTGACAAATAGGGAAATCGTTTTGACCCACTGAAAAAAACTGTAATTTTTCCGCAAACGGGGCGAAGTTATCATAACTTTTTTGGGTAATCTATTTTCTGATGGGTCTCAAAACGAAGATTCGGCATGAAAAAATTTTTAAAAATTGAAAATCAGGATTTTTTAAAACAAATGAATCAGGTGTACAAACAATAAGCAAGAAAACTTGTTAAAAATTTATTTCATTTTTGAAATAGTGGATTTTTTTAAAGTTCAATAGTCACATTTTTCAACAACAAAAAGTTCCAAGAACTTTTATTGAAACAGTAGATTTTTTTCAAGTTCAAATTTTCTTTCCCAATTCCCATCCCCAAAAACTAACTCACCCTCATAACTTTAACATTCTCATTCAACTGAAATCGATAACTCAAACTATATTTCTCATTAATCTCCCGTGTTTTAATAATTTGCAACTTCTTCCAATTCACCAAATACAATCCGAAAAATGCGAAAAAACTGGTGAAATTCATGAAAAATCCCAGAAATCCAGTGAACCAAAGTGGAATAAATTCGAAATGAAAAACTATTGAACCAAAGATTGCAGCTAGACAAGTTGGTAGAATTAGTAGAATCGGAATCCAGGAGCGAGAGGTTTTTTCGTAGTTTTCGATGAAAATTGTGGCGAAATATCGCTCACATGCAAACATTAGGGCTCTGCAAAAATATTGATTTTTGGAATTTTCAGTTTACAAAAAAAATTACAAAAAAAAAAGATTTTCAGGCCGAAAGTAGCATTTAAGTTTAAGACATCAAAATCAGCAGATGTCTGGAAAATTCTGAAAATTGTTTGGCTGAAACTTAGACTCTAAGCCCGGCTACTTGAAAACTAGGTTCTCTAGGCGCGGCTACTTGACAGAGACGCTCTTAAGGCGCGGCTTCTTGTCAGAGTGGATCTCAAGTTGAGCTTCCTAGAAAATGAGGTTCTATAGGCTCGACTACTTGAAAACTAGAATCTCTAGGCGTTGATCCTTGACAATAGAAATTTCTAGGCTCGGCTACTACAGGACTTGATTCTCTAGGCGCGGCTACTTGACATAGACGCTCGTAAGGCGCGGCTTCTTCTCAGAGTGGATCCCTAGATGCGGTTCCTGGACAATCAGGTTCCCTAGGCGCGGCTACTTGAAAACCAGTTTCTCTAGCCGCTGATCCTTGACAATTGAACTCTCAAGGCGCGACTACTTGCCATAGACGCTCTCAAGGCTCGGCTACTTGCCATAGTGAATCTGTAGGCACAGACCCTTGACAATCTTTAAATTCACCCAAAAAAACTCACGCATTCGAAATTATAACCATGTAGAAGACTCTGATCAAACTACACACAAAAATCAGATCATTAACTTCATTTTGCCAAGGTTTCGATGGAATTTCAGGGATTTCTGGAAAAATTTGATACTTTAGAAAAACAACCAGAAATTTACAAAAACATGAAAATTTTGAAACAGTGAAAAAAATTTCTATTAATTTTAGGTCAAAATATTTCCCGAATTCCCTACCAAAATCCAAAACTTCAGCTTCATACAAAATAATAATCATTCTCGCCACAACATCCACCACAAATCCAATCATCGTGAAATGCATGATAATTTTGAAATTCAAATGAAAATTGTATTTGATCATATATTTTGCGCTGATCAAGAATGTCAGAATCACAAAGATTGAGATGAAGAATTCAAAGAATAGGCAGATTTGAAAGATTAGGCGATCGGTTTGGGAAAAGCCGCTGATGTTACGGTATTGGAGAATCATTTCTGGAATAGATATCGGATTTTTTTTCAAAGGATTGAGGTGATAACTGAAAATTAAAACTCGAATTCAAAATTTATGAACATTTTGAAACGTATATTTTCTGGTTGAAATTTCACAATTGAATTTTTTCTAATTTTAATGTAAATGAAGTACAACTGAAAAATTGAAATCGAAAACTTTTAAATTTTATGGATATCACAGAAACATATAATTAGAAACCCTAATTGGATTGCAAGACTCATATGAATTTTGAAACAGTAGATTTTTCAGAAAATAATTTTAAATAAATTTTCAGATTTGTTGACGATGTCTTTTTTCAGAAAATTAGAATGTCATTCAACATGACAACCAACAATCAAAATTCAAATCCAAAACTCATTTTTTAGGGAAAAAAATGTTTGAAACAGTAGATTTTGCAAGAAAAAATTTGCGATTGAACTACTGAAGATTTAGATTCAAAAACTTCTAGAAATTTTAAACAGTGAATTTAAAGTGAAATTAATTATTAAAAGACCAGATATAAATACTGAAAATTAAAACTCGAATTCAAAATTTATGCACATTTTGAAACGTGGTTGAAATTTCACAATTGAATTTTTTTCTATTTTTAATGTAAATGAAGTACAGCTGAAAAATTGAATTCGAAAACTTTTAAATTTTGTGGATAAAATTTTAAATCTGATTTTTTGATCGGCATTTTACAGAAAAATATCACAGAAACATATAATTAGAAACCCTAATTCTATTGCAAAACTAATATGAATTTTGAAACAGTAGATTTTTTATGGATGAAATTTCCAATTGAATTTTCTTCAACTTTGAACAATTTAAGAACCATCACAGAAAAATTCGGTTCGAAAAATTCTAGGAATATTGAAACAGTAATTGAAATTTTTTGATTGATTACAACAAACCCAATATCGAGCACCTGAAACTTCAAACTTATGAAAATTTTGAAACAGTAGATTTTTCAGAAAATAATTTTAAATAAATTTTCAGATTTGTTGACGATGTCTTTTTTCAGAAAATTAGAATGTCATTCAACATGACAACCAACAATCAAAATTCAAATCCAAAACTCATTTTTCAGTGAAAAAATGTTTGAAACAGTAGATATTGCAGGAAAAAATTTGCGATTGAACTAAGTACTGAAGATTTAGATTCAAAAATTTCTAGAAATTTTAACCAGTAAATTTAGAACGAAAATACCATATATACTGAACATTAAAATTCAAGTTCAAAACTCATAAAAATTTTGAAACGTATTTTTTTCAAGAGCAATAACCTATCAATTACTGAAGATTTTGATTCAAAAACTTCTACATAGAAATTTTGAAACAGTGAATTTCAGGTGAATTTATTAGAAAAGTAAAGCAAATCAGAATCCGAATTCAAAACTCATAAAAATTTTGAAACAGTAGATATTTGTATGATTGATTTTGAGACAAAATTCTAGAATTTCTCTATAAAATCACATTATTTTTTTCAGCATTTGTTTATAGTTTGGAAAAAAATACATATCAAAAATCAAAAATCAAAGATGAAGCAGGTGCAAAAATTCAAACGACACTCCGCAATTCCACTATTTTAATTTGTATGTTTTGGTGGGAATTTCAAAATTTAATTAACTCTTCAATAAAAGTTTGGAAAATCAATAAAACTTGTTTGTATGAACAAAAAGCTAATCTAATTTCCTGATTTTTCTAGAAAATCAGTCAGAACAGCTGAAATTTTCTCATTTTTTCGATTCAGAAAAAAAAACCTGAAAACTTCGAAGAAACATGTAAATTTGTCATCATACATGGCACTGCTCTCAAAATTGTGAGGGGGAGATCATGACATTTGGAAAAAATTTTCGAGGGGGGGATCATGACATTACATACAAAAAATCTAAATTTTTTTCAAAGTGAAATCGGTACGCTAGAAAAAAATTGGGTTTTTGCATGTGGTCATTTTTGACATATTTTTTCAGGTTCGATAATTTGGAAACTAGTGATTTAGGAATATCGAATGTAGAGAACGAGCGAAGAGGTCAACGGATACCTTTCATCGGCTAATTATTCTTATTTTATTTCTAAAATTCTCAATTATATTTTTCTATATCCTTCTAAAATAAAAAATGAGTTTATTGTAGTAAGTTCCTTTCAGAAATCTTCATGCAATGATCATGCTCAACCCTTCTGAACAATTCCATATAAATTATAGACAATGCGTTATTTATTTGATAATCAAATTGAAACTCAAAAATATTGAATTAGAAAACAAAAGAAAAAAAGTGGATTCCACCGAGGATTCGATCCAAAAACCGTCTGATTATTACGCGCGATCTCTACCGACTTGACCACGAGGCTACTTTTTTCACATGCTTATTTTTAAGTGATAAAAAAGGGATAGAAGGGGAGATAAAATGAAAAAGAGAAGGAGAAGCGGAAAAAAATCATGAAATTTTTGAAAAATTTCCATTTTTTATCGAATTTCGCCGATTTTGTTATATGTTTCGACTGTATAAGTAACTTAAGGATGGTAGAAAGGAATGTCTGTCGAAATTATCTTAAAAGAAGGTTTATTTCTTGAGATATGATCCCCCCCAAAATCGAAGCCGTTTTGCTATGTCATTTTGGGGGGGATCATATCTCAAGAAATAAACCTTCTTTTAAGATAATTTCGACAGACATTCCTTTCTACCATCCTTAAGTTACTTATACAGTCGAAACATATAACAAAATCGGCGAAATTCGATAAAAAATGGAAATTTTTCAAAAATTTCATGATTTTTTTCCGCTTCTCCTTCTCTTTTTCATTTTATCTCCCCCTTCTATCCCTTTTTTATCACTTAAAAATAAGCATGTGAAAAAAGTAGCCTCGTGGTCAAGTCGGTAGAGATCGCGCGTAATAATCAGACGGTTTTTGGATCGAATCCTCGGTGGAATCCACTTTTTTTCTTTTGTTTTCTAATTCAATATTTTTGAGTTTCAATTTGATTATCAAATAAATAACGCATTGTCTATAATTTATATGGAATTGTTCAGAAGGGTTGAGCATGATCATTGCATGAAGATTTCTGAAAGGAACTTACTACAATAAACTCATTTTTTATTTTAGAAGGATATAGAAAAATATAATTGAGAATTTTAGAAATAAAATGAGAAATAAGAATAATTAGCCAATGAATGATATCCGTCGAATTCTTCGCCCTTTCTCTACATCCGATATTCCTAAAGCACTAGTTTCCAAATTATCGAACCTGAAAAATATGTAAAAAATGAAACTCCCCCTCTCTCTTTAATTTTTTTCATTTTTTTTCACCATTTATTTTTTCAAATTTTTGACGAAAAAATTGAGGGGGGATCATGACATTTCAAAATTGTGGGGAGGGGGGGATCATTACATGGAGGGTCCGTTGGGCAAAGATGCCATGTATGTTTGTCATACTTTTAAAAATTATGGAAATCAAGGAAAAACATGAGGAGAAAAATTTCAGACAATTTTTTACAGGCAGACTGAAAAAATCTATGATTTTTCAGCTGGAAGGGAACATTCCAGAGATCTGGAAATTTCAGAGAAAAAGCTTGAAAGCTGGGATTTACCGCGAAAAAAAAACATTTTTTCAAAAAAAATTTTCACTGTTTCAAAACACTTCTGAATTTAAAAAATAACAGATTTTTCAATTGTAAGTTGAGGATTAGTGAAAATAAAAACAACACTGAAAATATTTAGCCCAAAAACTAAAGTGAAATGAAACAGCAGCTGAAAAACTAGAAAATTTCAGACAATTTTCTGAAATTTCAGAATTGCTTTCACTGATTTCCAGACTAAAAAACCTCGAAAAATACAAAAAAATTGAAAAAAAAACTGAATTTGAAAATTTTCTTGGAAATTTTGTTTCTGAAAAATCTACTGTTTCGAAATTTTCATGAGTTTTGGATTTAAATTTGATTTCTGGAAAATCTCATTGAAGTCTTGAGTTTCAACTTGTAAAATCTACTGTTTCAAAAAAAATTAAATTGTCAGAAATTCACTGTTTCAAATTTTCTAGAAGATTTTGAATCTATTTTTTCTGAGATTTTCCTCTATTACTCTTTTCAGAGCAAAAACAAAATTCTGAAATTTTCAGTACATAATTTTTAGTGCTGAAAATCGGTATTCCCAGTTCAAAAATACATTTCTTACTCAATATCTACCCAAAAACTCAAACAAAATCCACAATTGCTCCGCGATTCCTCTTTTTCCCGCCACAACACCATTTGAATCCTCTCCCACTTCTCCCAACTTCCCGCTTCTTCTTCTCCAAATTCCCCACCATATCCCATTGATTCGTCAAACTCTTGAAATACACATTCGTCTCTTCACTTTGGCTCAACGCCAATTTTTTCGAATCCATAAAATCGGCGGGGAAAAAATGGCGGAAAAATGGAGAGAAGATGGCGCGAATTAGGGAATTTGGAGGAAAACTCGACGAATATTTCGATTTGCGATTGTGAGAAGAGAAAGAACAACACAAGCGTAGCTGGAAAAAATTGGAGGGATTTTTGAGTGAAAATTGGGTGGAAATTCAACTTTTTTCATGTTTTTCAGTTGAACTTTGATTTTCCAGTTCAAAAAAGATTACAAAATCAGATTTTTATCTATTCTCAAAAATAAAATTTTTGAAACAGTGAAAATTAAATTTCATGTGAAAAATTTCTCACTGTTTCAGAAATTTTTTAATTGCTTCAGACATTTTTTTGTAAATAATGCTTATATTTTTCAATTTCGATTTTCACCGCAAAAAATTCAATTTTAAATTATATGTAACCATTCATTTTTTATCAATTCTTTGCTCAAAATTTTTTTTTTGAACATGTGGAAAATGTTTCATTAAATGCATAGAACATCCATCAATTCTAAAAATAAAATTTTTGAAACAGTGAAAATTAAAATTCGAAAAATATTGGAAAATTTCGAAATTTCTCACTGTTTCAGAATGTTTTCATGAATTCGGAAAATTCATACGTTTAAAAAATTTCTAATATTTTTTTTTGTATCAGGTTTTCAGTTGAAAATCCTTGTCTGGGGGCTTAAACTTGAAAAAAAAAATTTTTTTTTGATTTTTTTTTCACTGTTTCAATTGATTGAAGGAATTTTAGGTTTTTAGAATCCACGTCATAACTCAATTTTTCCCCCGAAAGAAAAAACTCACATTGCAATTCCAATATTGAACGCAGCATGTGAATAACAAATTGTCAAAATATCCAAACTCAAATCATTGCTCACTGAAAATTTTTTTCAAATTTTGATTTGTGCCGCCAGAAAACCCACTCACAATACAAAAACACCATCAACACCATATTGAAAATCGCCAAAACCAAAATGACAATTCGAAAAAACTGCAACAAAAAAATATTGCATTTTCCAACAACACTCCAGCTTTACTCACTTTTAGAACATTCAAATTTTCCTTGAGTTGAAAACGATACGAGAGTGTATACTTGTTCTGGGATTTTCGAGTCTGCACGGTGTTTTCTTGATTTTTGTTGGTTTTGTAGACATGATTCACAGAGATTACGGTAGATATTGATAATAGATATCCAATTATAATTATGTGGAACATTGAGAAAATGATGTCTGGAAAAAAAAGTGATTTTTGGGGGACCGAAGAGTGGTCAGTAATATTTCTGGTGCCGAAAAAATTGAGATTCAGAGAATATTATTTTTGATCTACCCAGAAAATTTTTTGAAAAACGTAACTAATTGTAAGTAAATACAGACGGTGATTTGGAGCCACATTTTAATTTTTAGAATTTTCAATTTAGGTCTGTAAATCAAAGGAGGAACATTCAAAATTATTTTCGAAATTAAATGAATATTTTTTGAAACAGTGAAAAATTTAATGTAAAATTTGGTTGCAAACTTGCGCCAGATTTTAATTTTTTTGAAATTCAATTTAAAAAATTTCGAATCATATTTAAACTTCAAATAATTGAAAATCCGAACGTTCAGAATGTTTCTCAAAATTAAATGAATATTTTTTGAAACAGTGAAAAATTTAAAGTAAAATTTGGTTTAAAAATCCAGAATTTTTGAGCTGGAACCAGGATTTTTATGAGATTTTTGTGTCAAAATTAAAGCCTGGGCGAAATCTCAGATTTGGAAAATCAAACAATTCAAAAACTTCTATTATTATCATTAATTGATGCATTGCTCATGTTAATCGCATTATATTTTCGAAAATCTCGGCTTAGTGTGAATTTTTACCCTCAAAAACCCCATTTTCCCGCCAAAATTCTCACCAAAATGTATAATAATCGATGAAACAAAACAACTAATCGTGAACCAAATCAACATTCCAAAAATCAATAATTTTCTCGGTTTTTTCTCATAAGAACCAACCCAAGAAGTTGCCAAATGTCGTTCGATTGAAACCAGAAAACTTCTGAAAAAATTGGAAGATGCTAGAATTGTTTTTGGCGCTAAATATAAAAACTCACATTGAACTTATAAAAACCATATAATAGCATCTGTACAAACTACACACAAAAATGATCAGATTATTCGAGTTGGCAAAAAAATTGGCGTCGAATCTGATTTTTGAAATTTCCAGCGAGGAAATGGAATCTGAAACTTGGATTCTTTGAATTTTTGATTTCCAAGAAAATCAGACATGAATTAGAAATTATTGGAAAACTAAAAATCAGCTGGATTTGCTGGAAACAACAAAATTTTGAATTTTTGTGTACTTTTACGGGGAGACTAGAGTTTCGGAGCCAAAAGTTTGTAAGGAAATTTTCAAAAAATCACGAAACATGCCACGTGTCAAAAATTGAATTTTGGCGGGAAAATTAAGAGACTGTGTAGTTCTCTCGGACGACATTCAGAGCTAGAAATTTCAGTTTCAATTTAGACTACAGTGTAGTTCTCTTGAACATGCTATTTTAAATTTTTGATCCAGTTTTTTTGCTGAAATGATACCAAACTGCAGAAAAACAATTTTTGGGTCAAAGCCTAGAATACACTTTGTGTAGTTCTCTCGGACAATAATTGTTTTTTTTCGCCACGTGGCAAATTTAGGCTAACTTTCTCCCAAAAAAACTCACCAATCTCAAAAATCCCAAACTCATACAACAAAATCACAAATCTCGATATCATATCAAAAACATAACCGACAAAACCATATCCAATTATAATCTTCAAATTCACATGCAACCGAGTTTTTCGAAAATAAAATGCGACCAATAAATAGGGGAAGAATGCGATTAACATGAGCAATGCCTCAATCGATAATAGGATTTTCAAAATTGTTTGATGATTTGAGTCGAGATTTTTTGAGATTTGATGAAATTGTAGACGCATTTGATGATTTTCGGAAGAATCTGATGGGAGAAAATTGAAAAACATTATTTGTTTCTTGTGAGGAAATATTTCTGATACAAGAAAATCAGAGATTCAAAAAAACAGGTGAAATCTAAACCTTTACGAAAAAATTTTGATTGAATTTACGATAAATTAAGAACATTGGAGCCTTAAACAAAAATCAAAGCTCAAATTTTGGCCTAAAATTAGCCGCACGAGAAAAAATTGATTAAAAAATCAAAAGTTGTCGAGTCAAAATTGAAAAAATTACACGTTCTAAACTAGTTATTATAAATTGATTGTAGTTTAAACTAGAGAAAAACGCGGAAATTAATTTTCTGAATATAAATTTGGTCTGAAAAACCAACCAAAAATCGAAATGTTCAGCTAGAATTCATGATTTTATAATGAGCAAAGTTTTGTTGGTCTCCAAATTTCAGATAATTATTTATTTTCAGCAGCAAAAAGCCACATCACCATTTTATTTCAAAAATGACAATATGACGTGGAAAAATTATATTAATAATTTTTTTTTTTCAAATTTTTTAAACGATATTTTAAGGGTTCCCGAGCTTAGGTTAGAAAAAGTCAACCTGGGTCCCCCAAATCCCGGTTTCCGGGTTCCTCAGAAAAAAAAAGAAAATGAAAAAATGTTGGAAAGTCGCCAGAAATGTTCTGTGCACGGTTGCGTCATGGTGTTTGCACACATTTTGAAGTCATTTATTTTTGCGATTTTTTAATAGGGAAGACTATAGGCCGTGTGCATTTTTGCATTTCTTTTTTTGGCGTTTTCGAGGGTTTAGAATTGAAATTCCGTAAGAAAGTTTTTTGAGATAAATACCTTAGAGTGTTCTTCGATGAATTGTCGCGTCGATCTCACACCAAATCCATGAATCCAGCCATATTTGAATCGCCTGCGAAAAAAAAATAGAAAAATCATTATTTTCAAAGCAATTCATTCATTTCTCATTCATTTCCCATGTTTTGTCCCACTCTTCACCAAAAAAAACATCATAAACGATGCGCAAAACCCCATGCAACTCCCGTCATTGTTTTCCGGCCGCAGCAAAGGGATTCAATGAAGAATCCTCACTCATCTGTGAAATGAATGGCTTTGGGTTTCAAAAGCTGGTAGGCGGTACTAACTCGGGGAGAGCGCGCAGACTTTCTCTAGTTTTTGAGGATCCGAGTGGGACATACTTCAAAATTTTTAATGGCATTTAAAAAAAAACCCTGAAAAACTTATCTTTCACATCCTCGCACACGGCCAAAAATACAAAAAATGATGAAAATGACAAAAAATCGATTGTTTGTTCGGCAAAAATAGAAAAAAAATAGCGGGGTAGATCAAATAAATTTTTGATTGAAAATTTCGTATTTTCTTGCTTTTCAACCTTTTCCTATGTGAATCGAAAGAGAAACTGAACAAATGGGACACGTAAAACAATGTTGACGTAGATAAAACAATGTTACGTCACAAAATTCATTTTTTCTTCAAAAAATGCATTTATTTGATTTGAAAAATGGTTTTTTTGAGATTTTATTAACAAGTAGTTCAAATTTCTCCTTCCTCAGAACATCGCTCTGCTAATCACATCGCATTTTTTTGTTTGAGTTGGCGGAATTCCTCCAGGACTTGTTGCAGCCGCAAAACTCCGAGCATCTTTAGAGCCAGATGAGTGGATTGGAATGTTTGTGGCAGAATGTGATGCTGGAAAAAAAAAGATTTTTCAGCTTCTACTTTTCAAGAAGCTACCTTGAGAAGCTTTCGCAGCAGGTGCGGCAGCAGGTTGAAATCCAACAATTGGCTGTGGAATATTTGCCAGCGGCTGATTTTGAAAAACTCCAGCATCTTTAACAGGTTTCAATAAATCCATCAGATTTTTCGATGCAACTGTTGTTGCACAAGCTTCTTCATGTCCATCATCTTCACCACTGGCGGAATCTCCTTCTTTTCGAGTAAACATGAGCAATGTCGCTTTCTTTCTTGTTTCCTTGTCTTTCTTCTTATCCCGTATTTTTCCGGTTCGATCTTTTTCATCTTCCTCCTCTGCCCCTTCATCTTTATCATTAATTCCCAGATAAACAATCGCCAGTTTGATTTTTCGCAATTTTCCAGTTCCCGCCAATTTTTCCTGATATTTATGATTGCTCCAAATATTTTCGGCATTCACGTTGGCGGTTGGTGTTGCTGCTACAACACAAGTATATCGATCGGTTGTCGGAGTGTTGGCGATATCTGGAAATTATTGATTTTTTGGGGAACCTTCTATAGAAACTAGGGGGAATACCTTTAACACCTCTGCAAAACAAATGAATATCAGCTTTATCACCAGGTGCCAATGCTCCATAAACTGGTCGCATTTTATACATTCCGGGTCTCGTTGATTTCCACTTGAAAATGATTGGAGTCGCCTCGTTGTTGGTAACCGTCACTTCGGCCATTTGTTTGTTCGGAATCGGACGATAGGTTACAGATTTTGATGGATTCAAAACGACATCGCGTAAATAATGATGATCTGGAGCGCCTTTTGATGATGTCATCTTGTTTTGTTCCAATTTTGATTTCGTTGATCGATTTTGTTGTAGGAAAACTGGATTTATGCCCGAATCGCGGGGGTTTTATAGGAGGATTGAAGGGTCAGAAGAGGGTCGAGGCTGGGTCATTTCGCGTGCTCCTGGTTTCACAAATGGCTGTCAAAAACGTGAAATTTCGCGAAATTTTTAATGAAAAAAAAATAAATGTTTTTCAAAAAAATCGAGGTGCGCGCACACAATCGCTGCGAAACCAATTACCGTACTTTCAAGGGGCACAACAAAAAATACTGGGTCTCGAAGCGGATACACATTGATTTTTAATTTTATTTTTTTGCGAAAAATTTTACGGACTGCCCTCAAAAAATGCCACGAAAAATCAAGAAAGCAAGGAAATTCTTGGGGAAAACATGGTTCGATTACCCCTGGAGATGCGCGAAATAGTTATCGATTATATGGCACCTGAAACTCGCTGTAGATTTGCTCAATGCTCAAAGTTATGTGAAATCGAAGTGAAAATGTGTGGAAAATATGTGAGAAGCATTGAAATCGGAAGGGAAATTCATCCAGAACTCAAAATTGGACACTCATCAAGTGGTTTCGAATATGCTCTTGAATTTATCGATATTTTTAATCTGACTGAACGGCAATCAATGGTTGTTTATAAAACGTAGGTTTCTTCGTTTTGAATTGTTTTTTTTTGTAAATAAAATTTTTTTTTCAGAACGGACTTCAATGAAGATTATAGAGAATCGAATAAGAAGGTGAAATGGATTGAAACAAAATATGAGTCGGCTGAAGAGGTACGAAGCAAATATTTGAAAGATTTCTTGGAAAATTATCACAAATCGATTCAGAATTTGATCCTTGGAGATACAGAATTCGCGTTTGATGAATGGAATGTTAAAATGTTGAAGAATTTATACAATATCGAAGATTTCACATTTAAAGATTTGATTCGCACTGGATTTATGGAATTTCCTCAAATTCTAAAAGCAGATTGGTGCAAAATCGAAGGAACATCTTTGACTTTCGATGAAATTATTCAATATAAAGGAGTCGTTTTGATTGCAAAATCGAGTCAATTTAATGAATCGAATGTTGCCAGATATTTGAGAATGTTAAGAGATGGAACACTTCCAAAACAAAAAGGTTTTATTATTGTTACTTCTAGCAATACGAGTCGACGTGTGAATTTCAAAGAACTTTCCGAAGGTTTGGAATTATTGGATTATACCGAAACTGATTGTCAATGTGTTGCCGAGTTTTGTATCAGATGGAGGTCACGAAATAATCGAGATTGTTTTGCCGAAGTTTGTTTTTCTCATGGTTCTTTTAATTTGGAAATCGGACCAGTTTAATTGGTTATCAAAGAAAATAATCAAGTTCTATTTGAAAAAATTGAAAATGAATATTTCGAACATTCCACGTCACATTTCACGTATTGTTTAATCGATGAAATGTAGGTTTTTTTCTGTTGAAAATAAATGATTTTCTAAAATTTGGAGACCAAAACATTGCTCATTGTGAAATGATATTTCGATTGAAAACTGACAAAAGTTAAAATATTTATTTCACGGCAAACAATCAAAACAAAACCCGCATGAAATTTCTGAAAATCAATAATTTCTCAAGTCAACGAAAAATATAGCTTACTGTAATTTCTGAAGAGTTTCCGGAAGATGAACATTATTGTCAACGATTTCTTGAATCTTGTTCACATTTCCAGTTATATTGTGAACTGCATCATTAGCCAAAATCAGGGTCTCGGAAAGAATTCTGAAAAATTACGTTTTGAAAATCTATATTCAAATTTGAAACGCACGTGGTAAGAGTTCCAGAATGCCCCGATAAATTATTGAAAAACATTTCGAGAAAACTCTCCAAAGCTCTCGAAAGTCTTAAAATTTGCGAGTTCCCAAAAGTCAAAGATTCCGAAGTGATGCTGAAAAATCGAGGTCAAGAAATTTTTCTGGACAAAAAACTGACTTTGAAAAACTGTTAAAATACTGTAAATTATAGCCAGTCATTTCCAGAATGTATTGATTCAGAAGTGAAGCGAAAGAATAAACGACACTTTGTGTCAGATTCTGAACATCATCTACGAAACTTGGAAATCTAGAAAATGGGGAATTTTCGGAGAAAAACTTACGGAGTGATATTAAACTTACGTTGTGGTTTGGACGCTGGAAAATAAGAATTTTGTTGGGGAACTTTTGAAAAAGAATCGCGAAATTCAAAAATTTGAATTTTTCTGGTCAAAGTTTCGAGAAACGAAACTCAAAAATTCGAATTTTCCGCAATTTTTCCACTGGAAATTCGAGATTCATCGATTTTCATTTAAAAAAATGCGCTCACTCAATTAAGCCCCGCCCCTTTTCCACACAAACGATGGCCGCACACACAACCCGTGAACCGTCGGTCACACCAGAAATTTATATATTCACGTGTTTTGTGTGTTTATCGCTTTCGGGCGGTAGCGAAGCTATCGTCAATTTTTTAAAAATTTTTGCTGAAACACGCTGCCTTTAAAATTCTAGAACGACTAGAAATCGGTGAATTTTTTCAAGAAAACTTGTAAACATTTTCAAAATCTCAACCCAAAGCTCCTGAAAAATACAAATTCAGAAGTTTGATTTTTTGATATCAAATACTTCTAACATCAAAAACGTTCTCTAGTTAGTTTAACCTTATAATTTCTCGAAACGCAGGTGGTCTTTATTTTTTTTCTTCCACAAACTCACGTTTCTCCACCAACAGCTCCCAAAAAAATTACAGTAATCAAAAATCCAAAATTCATGATTTCCCTCTCATTTCCATTTCCACAAGTCCCTTAAATTCCATAATCAAACAATAGGCAAAAATTTGAATATTGAATTAAAATGTGAGAAAATTTGGGGGTGTCAGTGAACACAGCAACAGCAAAAAAAATCACCTGAAACCCTCAATTATTCACATTTGCTTTAAATTTCACTTTGTGTGTTCGAAAATCTTTTAAAAATGATATTTTCGCTTGGCTCTCAAACTTTTTGGTTTCCAATTTATACGATAAATGACATCAATTTGGATTATGAAAGAAATCAGATTTTTGGATGCGTTGAGATTTTTCTATTGTTTTCAACGCTATATTTTCTGATACGAACTTTTTATTTGTTGGTGAAAATTCACGTTTTTCATGAGAATATGACTTTTATGTTGTGCTGTTTTTGGGCTCAATGGATTGAAGCAGCGGCTGCTAAGATTATTATGATGCCTTATCAATATGGAGTTTTATTGGTGGGAGGTATGAAGCTCCAAGCTCCAAAAAATGTTCATAATTTATTTTCCAGAATCTAATAAAAGTCACACTTCTTGGTGGACTTCTGATCCTTTGGAAATGGTCAAAATCACAAATTTTCAAGAGATTTTGCCACTTTTCATCGCTTCACTTTTGAATTGGCACTACGCATTTTCAATGTTGTTGGGAGTTGCGACAACTGGAATTGAACGGATTTTTGCGACCTATTATATACAGTAAGTTCAAAACTCTTGCTCATTTTAAGTTTTTTTCAGTGATTATGAAAGCACTTCCCGCAAACACATTCCAATATTTCTCGTGATTTTCACCCATCTCATCACAGTTCCATGTGCATATTTTATGACCTACAACAAGATACCGTATGTAGTTGGGTACGGTATGGTGATCGTTTTGATGGCTTTTGTTTTTGTGGTTAGTTTTTTCGGGATTTGATTGTAAGCAAAACGTTTCAACAAAATATACCAAAAAGTTTTCGAATAGCGTTCAGTTCATTCAAAAAAATTTTTGACAATAGCTTCGCTACCGCCCGCAAGCGATAAACACACAAAACACGCGAATATATAAATTTCTGGTGTGGTCGACGGTTGACGGGTTGTGCGCGTCGCCACTGTTTGTGTACAAAAGGGGCGGGGCTTAATTGAGAGATCGCGTTTTTTCGCTTCAAAATCAAGTTTTCAAGTGAAATTTGATGAAGAGTATGGTTTCTTAACTGGATAAATGGTATTGTAAAATGATTGCTTGAAAATTTTTACAGTGTGAACTTTTTAAAAATTCGCTGAAAATCCACGTGGCAAAAAAAGTCAACAAATTTATGAGATGTTCTTTAACCATTAAAAACACTTCCTGGTGTTCTACAATAAGCATATCCAACATCTTCAGGAGGTTTGAAGCATTTTGTGCCCAAACCATGACAATCTGAATCCTGAGAGCATTGTGCACTTTTTCCGTTTTTTGCTTGAGCCAAGGCTGTTTGAGAGAACAATAAGAGCTCTAAAATGGCTAGAAAAATATTCATTTTTCCTTGTTTTTTTCAAATAATGTGAATTTTGTTTTTATATAGAATTCTCTAATCCGATCATAGATTTTTATTGATTTTTCAAAATTTTGATCATACTTTGTGTATCTTACATGTGACACTAACAATAAAAAAAAAGAAAAAAAAATCAAAAAATCACGCCTTGTTTGTATTACACAAACACTTCGTTATTATTTTTCGCGGAAGACAAAATCGATGTTCAACAAAATATTTTTCGTCTTATTATTTCTAACTATTCTGCAATGTGAGGCAAAAAGATGTTCAAGCGACAAAGATTGCGATTCGTCGAAAAAAGAGGTTTGCGCAACTTCGAATGATTTTGGAAAAGAAATTCGGACTTGTGAACAAACTTGTCAGCAGGATTCGGATTGTCCATATTCGTATTGGTGTCGAAAATCGAGTCCGTATAATTTGTGTGAACTTCATTTGTGAGAAAAAGAAAATAATAAATTAGGGGTTTGTATTTTTGTTGGTTTTTTGGTCAGCTGTTTGAACAAGTTATTTGAACCAGGAAGTTGGGAAAAAACTGGGACCACAAGTTCAAATCCAAATATTTTCAATTAAAAAAATATTTTTCCCATTCAAAAAATTTTTGACCATAGCTTCGCTACCGCCCAAAAGCGATATAACACACAAAACACGCGAATATATAAATTTCTAGTGTGGCCGACGGTTGACGGGTTGTGCGCGTCGCCGCTGTTTGTGTGCAAAAGGGGCGGGGCTTAATTGAGAGATCGCGTTTTTTTCGCTTCAAAATCAATTTTTCAAGTGAATTTTAATGAGAATTCTGAATTTTTGAATTTAATACCATTGATTTTTGCGCATAATTGAAGAATTTCGTGATTTTCATCCACGTTTTTTTAAAAAACATTTTACCTTTCAAGATCAAGGTCGATTTTTTCAGAAAAAAATCTGTAAAAAAAATTCCGAATGATAAAAATCAAGGTCGCGTCAAAGTTTGTTTCCCAAAGTTCTCTTACGAACAAATATTCGAAACAAAACAAAACAAATAACATTTTCACACGGTCATTCACCCCATTCTTCACTTCTTCACATTTAAAAAATCATTTTCAATTTTTTTTCATCGAAAAAAACATGAAATTTCTTCTCTTCCTTATTTTATTGAATCAATTTATGATAATTGAAATCGAAGGAAAACGATGTGAAAATAATCGAGATTGTGCAGAAAATGAAAATGAATTCTGTCGAGAAATCGGTGACATCGGAAAAAGTATATTCAATTGTGAAAGAAAATGTGAGACGGATAAGGATTGCAAGGATTTTGAATGGTGTCGACCTGCGAGTCACGGAGATCCTGCATTTTGTGAATTTCACTTGTGAGAAATATCATGTAAATTTTTAATGAAACTTTATTTTGTTAGTTGTTCAAATCAGTTCACAAGAAAAACCAGAAAAATATTTAAAAATTTTGAAACAGTGGATTTTTTTTTCAAATTTCTATTTTTTTCACGGTGTGTGATTTACCACCCCAAATCGCAATATCTCAAAATTTTCGAAATTTGACTTTAGCCCCACCACAAATATCGAGTCAGGTCTCAAAAAATGCGAAAAAAAATTTTTGTAGTGAATTTCACTATGGGAAAAACAACCGAAAGCTCAAGAAAAAGAGAAGAATTGATTAAAATTTTGTGGAAGCTTCTAGAAAATACAGTACTGTATAAATTTCAAGAATTTTTTTTGAGTTTATTTATTTATTGCAACTAGTGTATGCAAACTAACATTATACGAAAAATACCAAAAATATTATAAAATTTTGAAACAGTAAATTTTTCTTTTGCAAATTTTTTGAAATAACATTTTTTTAAATCTTGAATTTGAAAAAAAGTTCCTCGTTTTTCGATGTAGGAAGTTAAAGTTCTAGAAAAATGGAATACTTTTTAAGGTTTTTTTTAAATTGAAATTTTGCTCTCATCACAAATCAGTTTACAAAAAATACCTAAAAATTTTTACAAAATTTTGAAACAGTAGATTCTTCTTGAGCAAACATTACATTTTGAAAAAATTCATGAAACATGATTTCTATTTTATTCTCTCACGACATGTTATTCCATAATTTTTGTCTAGAAAACACTCATTCAACAATGAAATTCCTCTCAATTCTGGTGATTCTTCTCATTTTCCCTCTAACAATTTCATCCAAAAGATGTAAAAGTCACAACGATTGTCCCCCAAAAGACTTTTGCTATCAAGAAAATGATTTGGACAACAAAACAATCAGCACTTGCAAAAGATCGTGTCAAAAACAATCGGATTGCGATGTTATTAGTGGGTGGTGTAAATCGAATAAAGATATGCCAAATTACTGTGAGCCCCATGTATAGAAAGTGCATATTTGTTTTTTTTTCCATTTTGAATTCAAATAAATATACAAAAATCATGATAAATAAATAAATGAAGAAAGAAATAATAATAAACATTTCCTTTTTCATTTTCACACTCTAAATTGCCTAAATATAAATAATAATATTCTCATTTGATCATTATTTTTTCCCGACGAAAAATGAGACTTTTCATTTTATTCTTCTTCATATTTTTCATCAAATTTTCACATCAACAAATTGGATCTCAAAAATGTGCAACTGATTATAATTGTCCAAGAATGGAGACTTGTTTGATAACTGGAAATCAATTGATTGGTAGATGCACTTTGGTTTGTGCAAATGATGATAAAGATTGTCCAGATGAATATTATTGTAATATCGAACATAATCCGAGTTATTGTAAATTGAAATCTTCCAAAAATTGAGCAAATAAATTTGTTTATTTGGGCTTTTTGTTTCACAGTGTGTAATTTAGTACCTAAATTCGCTAGACCTCAAAAATTGCCGAAACCGTACTCTCCCCGGTTCTTCAGGTGAATCGCTGCGAGACCAAGCTTCAAACCGTACTCTCCCCGGTCCCCCAGGTGAATCGCTGCGAGACCACACAAAATGTCTGCGTCTCCACGAAATTATCTTTTCCCTTTGTTCTGGCACGACGTGGAAAAGGGACTTTTGTTAGTTCGAATGAGCTTTGGCGTGAAAATACAAAATTTAAAAATTAGGAGATTTGGCGCGAAATGGTTTATTTTCAAAATTTTGATTTTTCCCGCGAATTTTCAAATGTTCAATTTTTCCCGCGAAAATTTGAATTTTTAAATTTTTGATTGTTCCGCGAAAATTTGAATTTTCAGATGTTCAATTTTTCCCGCGAAAATTTTAACTTTCAAATTTTGGAACCCAACCTAACCCCCCCCTATTCCAAATCTTCTTGCAGATGTATTATATAATCTCCCACGTCAATACTCGCCTTCGAAATGACATGGAAAATCCACTGACCCGCCGCTTCTACACTCTCGGCGAAAAATTCCAAATCAAAGAAAATCATCGAGCTCTAATGATGGCTCGTCGAATTGTCATGTGCGCTGTTCTTTACGCAACAATCACAACAACCCTTTTCACACTTTTCAATTTCAAAATCATTCCAGTTCAAGCATCAATCTTTACACATATTCTAGAAAATGCGATTTGTTTGTAAGAATTTTTCTAAAAATATTTTCTGAAATAATTTTTTTCAGAAATCCTCTGCTAACATGTCCTATTTTAATGTCTTGCTCTTCAATTTGGCACAAATATTTCTGGAATTTTCTACCGTTTCGAAGCTTCAACGTCGAAGAAAAACGAAAAATCGATAATCGAAGTGATGAGATGGATATTTATTTTAAGCAATTGAAAAATGCTTGGGTCTAAATATTGTCTAGACCATGTGAAATTAATTTTTTCATCGACAAAATTGAAGCTATTTGTTGGAAAATCTCAATTTTGAAATGAAATTTATTCTTTTTTTAATTGTAATTTCCATATTCTTCTTTCAAACGCAATCAAAATTTACAAAAGTATTCGCAATTTCGTGTAATTTGAGACAAAATTGGAAAGTTGAGTTATTTTTTGCTAAAAACGGCGAGCTTTTATTCCGATTCGAAAAGCATTTGATAACAAATCGTAATGATTATCTAGCAATTCATTCTTTCGGAGCTAATGAAGTGGTTTGTTTTTTTTACGCAAAGTATTTTCAAATTTTCAAAAGTTCTTCAGCCAACAGATGTTGTATATCAACATAACTGCAATGATGATTCAAAAGAATGGAAACAATTTGAGGAATCAATTGATCATCCTGTTTTGTTGGATAACAGAGGAAAATATTATAAACATTTCAATGATCGATACTGAAATAAATGATTTTTCAAGGGAATATTCCAACCCGCTAATCGAATCGAAACTAGCTCATCAGTGAAAAAATCCCATAAATTATTTATCCCCATCTCCCATCCCAAAAAAAAATCAATAATTACATAGATATTCAAATTCTTCTCGAAGTTCTTCTTCTGATTGATTTCTTGTTTTCCGAAGGTTTTGTTGGAATACGACCCAAATAATAATCCTGTGGCATAGGAAACATTTTCGATTTTTTTTCTTGTTTGAATAATGGGAATCTGGAAGTTCTTCCAGTTTTACAAATCCATAATTATCGAACCAAAATTCAAGTTTTTGGCTTAAAATGATTGAAATTCATTGAGTGAGCATTAATTGTGTACTGTCTAAAGAAAATTATATTTTTTTGATCAACTTTTTTTTTTTGGTCAAAAATTTGTAAATCTGGAAGAGCTTCCAGTTTTACAAATCCATAATTATCGAGCCAAATTTCATTTTTTTTTCAAATTTTTGAACCAGGAAGTAATTTTTTTTACAGTTTTCTCAAAAAAAGTTCTGAAAATCTTTCTGTCACAAGATTTGAGCACATGTTTCAGAGGTCAAAACTTTTTTTGTTGATTTATTAGCTTTTCAGTTCTTGCTGCTGTAATAATGCATCAGAATTAGAAAACAAAAAGAGTTTACAAATCATAAAATTTTTGAAAAAACCACTCCAGAAAATCTATGAAAAATGTGATGTTTCTCGTTTTCCCCAAAAAAAATCAAAAAAAAAAACAATTTCGGTCTAACCAAAGATTGTGAAGAGTTCGGGAAGTACTTTTTTTTCCGAACCCCCATTTGATTTATCGTTTTCCATCTCATCTCACGCTGTAACAATGTGTTTCAGTATAAAAGTGTTGTTCCCGAAAACAAAAAAAACAAAAATGATATTTTTGCTGATTCTCTTGTTTCTATTTCCAATTGTTCAAACTAGTCCAATATGTCAACTTGAGAAACTTCTTGTTTGTGCAATTGTGAGTGAATATTTCTAGATAGCTAACAAAAAATTACATATATCTATATTTTTCCCAGAATCTTCAACCACTCGTCAACAATAAACCGGAAAAAAACGAGGATCTTGACGCTGAAGGAATCAGACTTGGAAAAATGTGCGATGAACTCGAAAAATGTTCCGACGTGTTTCTTGGCTGCGCAAAATCGGTGAAAGGCGACAAAGATTTGCAGAAATTCTCCAGTATGATGGAACGTTTCCCATCGCATTGTGATATTGTTCGACTTTTGGGGAATGAGGAATTCAAACCGTGTGCCAAAAAAATCCAGGAATCGGCATTAAAGAAATGTACTGATGAGGTAAGTTAATTTATTTTTTCAGAAAAGTGTTCTGAAATTCAGCAATCAATTCAAAAAATACTTTTTTTCTTGGAAAAATTTTCAATTTAAATAATTTTTGGCGATAGCTTCGCTACCGCCCGCAAGCGATAAACACACAAGACACGCGAATATATAAATTTCTTGTGTGACCGACGGTTGACGGGTTGCGCGCGCCGCCGCTGTTTGTGTGCAAAAGGGGCGGGGCTTAATTGAGTGATCGCGTTTTTTTCGCTCAAAATCCGAGTTTTCAAGTGAAATTTGATGAAAATTCTGCTTTTAAAAAATAAAAAAATATTTTCCAGCCTCCAAAAAACTGCAAAGAATGGACATCTTTCGGTGAATGCGCCGAGAAAACAGTTAGCGGACAGTGCAATGCTCAAAACGTCGAAACTGTCAAAAACCTTTTCAAAAAACACAAAGGCACTTATTGCAAATAAGAATTTATTGATTAATTGGTAAAAATGAAAATTGAAGTTTTAATTTTAATTTAAACTATTCAGTATTGTCAGCAGAATCAGAAGGCTTTGGTTTGGAGAGGAACATTAATTTGATGTCTTCTTCAACCTCCTTTAGAATCGCCTTGTTTTTTTGGACTGAAAAAATCAATTTAGTTTCTGACGTGAGTCATAAATCAAAAAAAAAAACCAACTTTTCTCCATATATCCATCCAATTCAACTTTCCTTTCAAGAATAAGCTCAGTTTTTTGTTCAATAACAACCATTAAAAAACTTTTCATCATAATCAGCATATGTCCACAACCGGCTTCAGTTGCTCGTGCAATCGATAAATCAGTTCGCGCAATTCTCTCCGCAGTTTCTTCCTTATAAGCCTCCGCTCTCTCGAAATGATCCAATTGAAGTTTGAAGACGATGTCTTCAACATCGCTGTTTTGTTGTTCAAGTTTGCAAAATTGAGCATAGAGTTTTGCGATTTCCAAAGTTCTTTCTGGAGTTTGAAGTTTGTCGAGGATTCCTCCAAAATTGATTCGAAGTCTATCCAAAATATCCTTGACAAGTTGCTCGTCAACACCAGAACTCAATGGAGAACTCATGATTCCTGTAAGAAAATTTTTTAAAAGAAAATGGGAGCAAAAGAAAAATAAAAATGGAAAAGCTTTTTGTCATCTTGAAATCTCGTGATACTAAAACTCAACTCGTCCGACTCATATATGATTACAATCCGATGTTTTCAGCAATTATTCATATCGGTTGTCATGGCGAATGTTTTTTCTGAAAAAAGTACACTATAATTAAAATACAATTTCAGAAAAAAATTAATGTGGATGTATATTTGAAAAGGGTATTTCGTATAGTGTGAAGTCTGACGTCAGGGGGATTTTGAGGGGAGTGAGATCTTGGAGCTTGAAGACTTGAGGAATCAGGTTAGGTTCAATTGATAGAAGCCTTTTTTGTCTGAAAATTTGGAAATTTTCAAAATATTTTTTTTCAAAAATTTCACCATGTTGAAAATATCCAAACTTTGAGAATTTAGAACAAATTTGACAAAAAATCTCAAAAATCCTGAAATTATCAAAAAAAAAATTCACTGTTTCAAAAAGGTTAGGAGTGTTATCAAATTTTGGCGAAGAACAATTCATGAGACTTTCTCGAATCCTACAGCGGTCCTTGACACTTTTGAACTTTTGCTAGTCATTTTCATAAAAACTTACCATAACTCAAAGAGCAGGTTAGATTCCATAAATATTTCTTGAATCCTACAGCGGTCCAAATACAATATTAGACTTTTGAACTTTTGCTAGTTAAACTTTTAAAAAACGTGAAAAACACTTACCATAACTCAAAGAGATTCCAAAAGCAACAATCGGAATTGTTTTAGCGACAATCGGAGCATTTGTGAAGCCGGTTGGCTAATTTTTGGGGTTTTTTTTGAAAACTGAAAAATATACGTTTCAGATGACTCATGTTTATCACGCGGGATTAAACTATTTCAGTGTTGCTATCCCATACGTTTGTCCAAAGATTGTTGTGAAAATCTTGATGAGTAAGAATTTTTCTACTCCAAGAAAAGTATTTGAATTTTCAGCAAGTGTGATTTACAAATCCTGAATTCTCGGTAAAATATATTTTTCCAGGGAAACTTCGATGTGAATTCAAAAAATTGAGCAAGCAAGAAAGCACAAATTCAACCCAGAAAATGTTTTTGATGTTTCATAAAAAATTTTGCACGTTAGCTGTTTTTTTTTTCTGCTGACATGAAGAGAATATATTTTGCATGAAAGTCAATAATTTTTTAAGAGCATTGATGCAAAAAAAGAAGAGATTAACTCAAAAATTCTTAGAATTAGAGCAAGCAAAAAATGTATGACTATAAAGATCCACTTTCATTTTCAGCTGCAATTTTTTTGATTTTGGTGAGTCTCTAATTTTTCACAATGAAAAAAACCTGTTTTTTTGTATTGTAGAATGGGATTTTTGGAATCTACACAAATGGATCAATTTTCCTGGCTTTTGTTGACAAAAAAACTGAAAAAACATCTTTCAAACTAATTTGTTTTCTTCGAGCCTTGGGAAATATTTATGTTATTGTGATCATTTTTTGGATAACCTTTTTGCCAGTTGTTATATTGTGAGTTGAAAATAAAAATCAAAAATCAATAAAATTAATAATGTTCCAGCGGAGAAAATGTTTTGAATTACAAATTGGAAAATATATTTATCTCAACTGGTATCAATTTATATTTAGTCAACAATTATTTGAGTTTGATTGTTGCATTGAATCGATTCATTGCCTTGTACTTTCCATTGTATTTTTCAAAACTTTGCGGTTTCAAAATGACTTTTTTCATTTACATGGTTTATGTAGCTTTTCGCGTCTCAAAAATTATTAACGAGGTTTTCATCACGATCAGTAAGTTATACATTTTCAAATTTCACAAAGTAATACAATTTCACATCAGAGCATAATTGCACAATTTCTTTCAATTCAACTCTCATGTCTTGGGAAAACAATGGCGATAAAATTTGTAAAGACTTGATTGGTGACTCTCAGATAATGGTTTTTGGGTTGACATTATTGGGTGTGATGTTATTGAATACCTTCACAATTATCAAAATTTATCGTTTCCACAAGTCAAAAATAACCAAAACTATTCAATTGAAGAAGAACATCAAATTATTCATGCAAACTTGCATTCAAGATTCATTATTATTAATTGATGCGATTTTCACGTTTGAACTCTCGTAAGAACCATTTCAGAAGATTTTTTCTTAAATCTGATATTTTCCAGTCAATTAAGTGATTCCCGTTTATGGAGTTTCATATCATTCACTCTTGTTTGGATGTTGATTCATTCATTCGATGGTTTTATTATGATGATGTTTGATGATCGAAGTCGAGTGAAGAAACGAAATAGTTTACAAAATGCGACGATATCTGTTAGAGTATTGAATACTGTCACATAAATCTTTGATCTATGACGGAAAAAAATTTTTAAATTTTAATTTTTAATTAAAATTAATGAATAAATATTCAGAGTAGCGTGAAGAGCAAAGAATGACGAACTATTATGGAAAATCTCATCGGTACCACGCGCTCCACCGAAATAAACACGCAACGCGAACCGCACCGCGCCGCAACACACACAAAAAAGGGAGAGAATTTCATGAATCGTTCCCTTATTTGTGTGTGTTGTGGCGCGGCGCGGTCTGCGTTGCGTGTTCATTTCGGTGGAGCGCGTTGGTACCGATGAGATTTTCGAAAAAAACTGTTAAACTTATCAAAATTCACATTTGATTTTTGATTTTTTCATAAAAACTACACACAAAACTCAACTTTCACACCAATTTTCCTACATTTTCCCAGCCAATTATTATTGGTCATGCACCTTTCTAAACCACCATATTTTCTCTAAACTTTTTCTCCAAACTTCAATGAACAAAATTTATGATTACACAAATCCACTTTCATTTTTCGCTGCAATTTTCTTGATTTCAGTGAGGCTTTACTTCCTTTTCTTCGTCTTCACATTTACTTTGTTAATTTTTTTCCAGAACGGGATTTTCGGAATTTTCACAAATGGTTCAGTTTGTTTGAGTTATTTGGATAAATCTGCGCAGAAAACCTCATTCAAACTCATTTGTTTTCTCCGAGCTTTGGGAAATATTTATATCATTGTTTTCACATTTTGTGGAACTTTTTTGCCAATTGTTTTAACGTGGGTTGGATTCTGTAACTCTATAAAAAAATCGAAAATATTCCAGAGGTTCAAGAATCTTGAATCCTGTTTTGGAGGATTTTTTCATAGCTTCTGGCATCAATTTTTATTTAATCAATAATTTTCTGACTTTTGTTGTTGCTTTTAATCGATTTATTGCTTTGTATTTTCCGATACATTTTGCGAAAATTTGTGGTTTCAAATCAACTATGATAATTTATATGATTTTTTCAATTTATCGTGTGGAAAGATTGATCAATGAAATTGTATTGAACATTCGTTACGGTAACTTTTTTTCTCGATTTTTCCCAAACTCTCCAAAACATTCAGACTACACTTGCAAAATTTATTTCGACCCATTTGTTATGTCTTGGCTGCGCGAGAAAAACGAAGGCTGTCAAATATTCAGTGATATTTCTCAAATAATTGCAAGCGCTCTTGGCTTGTTTTCTATATTGATCTTGAATACCTTTACAATGATCAAGATTTATAAATTGCACAAATTGAAGCAAGTGAATAATGAGCAAATAAAGAAGAATATCAAATTATTTTCACAAACTTGTGTTCAAGATTCATTATTTTTGATCGATTCAATTTTCACCTTCAAACTTTCGTGAGTCGTGGGAATTCAAAAAATTTTCCTTGAGATCTATAGTTTTGTTTTTCACAGTCAATTAAGTGACACTCGTTTATGGAACTTTATAACAAATATATTTGTTTGGATGTTGATTCATTCATTCGATGGTTTTATTATGATGATGTTTGGTAATCGACCAAAATCTATGAAGGAAAATAAAAATAATCAGAAGAGCACAACAATATCAGTGAAATAATTAATTCCAAGAATTATTAAATTGTTTGAAATAAACATCAGATTCTTCTTGAAAATTCGTTTTCAAAGGTGTAACATTATTCATTGGCACTTTTCTCAAAGAAATCAAACAAATCGGACAAACCAACAATGGATAACTAGAAAAACATTTTTCTGTTCATCAAAGTTGCTGTAACTTACAGTAAGATAATTGATTCTGTCAGAAATAAAAACAATGTTTGATATCTGGGCAATCGATTTGTGTAATACATCGAAAATGTTAGGAAACTACTTAGAAACGCTATGCCACCAAAGAAATACAATCGAGCAATCATTTTCTCGGCTCGTAAATTCTCAACAGTTTGAAATCGCGTTGCCAAACTATAATTCGAGTTATTTTTTAGACGTTCAACGATATTAATTGTGTAGAAACGATTGAATATGAATAACATAATTGCTATAAGTTGAATTGAAATATTGAAACATGATATTTCAAAAAACGGTCGAATGCATAGAATTGTCACTGAAGTGACTAGAATTGTGAAAATAATGTTTGATGTAATAAGCAATATACTTATCCATTTTCGTGGGACACGTTCATAATCACTAATGAAATAACAAGCAAAAGTTCGCTCTATTGATAATGTCAATATCGTTCCGGTCACAATAGTTAAATGAAAATAGATCATAACACCACCAATGACGAATAAATTGAGAAAATCTGTCTGAACTTGAAGAAATTGCAAAAATCTTTGTTCAAAGTCAAAGTCTGTTGTTGGATCGAATTCGAAAATTCTTACTACTCCAAATAGAACTGTTAAGACCAAACATCTTCCGAAAAATATTAATAGATACGATGCGAGATTGAATACAAATATCGATTTGATATTGAAATTGAAAATATTCGTCGAACAAATTCGATAAACTGTATAATAGGCCAAAATTAGTGATAGAAACATTAAAACGGATTGGGAGATAAGGAACGAATGACCAAGATTAAGAACATGTTCCTGTTGATGAACCATGAATACCGGGAGCCATAATGTTGTATTCTCTACAGTTATGTACATTTTATTGTTGTTGTTTTGAGCGAGAAAATGATATTTTGAAGGAGGAGATGATGTCTAGAAGATACGGAAATTAAATGAGAAATGATCTCACAATAAATTATTTTTTTTTATTTCCAAGAAAAAATATTGGAGAAAATATTGTTACAAACAACTCACAGAAATATGTACAGCTGATTCATATTCAGTGAAAAATGAAAATAGTGGCTGATATTTGGGCCATCGATTAGTATAAAGCATGTAAAATGCGAGGAAACAAGCCACAGATGTCATGGAAAATAACAAATCAACGCCATGAGTTTGTTAAATGTTTGAAATAAACATCAGCTTCTTCTCGAAAATTTGCATTTTGCGGTGAAACATTATTCATTGGCACTTTTCTCAACGAAATCAAGAAAATCGGACAAACCAACAATGGATAACTAGAACATTTTTTTTTGGTAAAGATAAAGGTTGTTCACACAACTTACAGAAGAACAATGGATTCTATAAGACATAAAAAGTATATTTGATATTTGGTCCAACGATTCGAATAGAACGCATAAAATGTGATGAAGCAAGTGAGAAACCCGATGCCACCAAAGAAATACAATCGTGCAATCATTTTCTCGGCTCGTAAATTCTCAACAGTTTGAAATCGAGTTGCCAAACTATAATTTGAGTTATTTTTCAGACGTTCAACAATGTTGATTGTGTAGAATCGATTGGAGAGAAACACCTAGAAACACTATGAGGAAAATCAATAAAAAATATTATTAATACCATAATTGCTGCGAGCTGAGCTATGATATTGAAGCATACTATTTCAAAAAACGGTCGAATACATAGAATTGTCACTGAAGTGACTAGAATTGTGAAAATGATATTTGATGAAACAAGCAATATACTAATCCATTTTCGAGGTACACGTTCATAATCATTTATAAAATAACTAGCAAATGTTCGCTCTATTGATAATGTTAGTATTGATCCGGTTATAATAGTTACATGAGTCCAAATCAAAACACCACCTATGATGAATAAATTGATTTCAAAAGTAGGTTGAACTTCAAGGATTTCCAAAATATTTCGTATTGTCAAAACAGCAGATGATTCAATTGTGTGTATATCCAACAAAACCGGCAGAATCAAAAACTTTCCCGCAAACATTGTAATATACGATAGAAGATTGAATACAAATATCGATTTGATATTGAAATTGAAGATGTTGCTCAAACTAATTCTATATACTGTGTAATAGGTGATAAGTAATGAAATAACTAATAAAACTATTTGAGCAATTGAGACTATAAGATGAAGATTGGAAATATTTTCATATCGACGAAGCATGAAAACTGGAAGCCAGAGAGTCATATTTTCTACAATTATGTACATTGTTTGGTGAGATGAATTTTTTTTAGAGTAACGTGTATAAGGAAGTTTTTCTAACATAAAGATGCAAAAAACTAACGGAAATTGAATAAGATAACAAGAAATGTTACGTTAATGAACAACAAAGCTCAATGACTCAAAATTAAATTATAATCTTCAATTCCAAGAATTTTTGAGTTGTTTGAAATAAACATCAGAATCAACAATCAATGGTGAAATATTGGTCTTGCAGGCTTTTCTAGATGATGTCAGGCAAATTGGGCAAAGAAACATTGGGTAGCTAAAAAATCGCTCTCATAATTTAATCCAGACATCAATAACTCACAGAATAACGATAGATTCTATGATGAAATAAATCGCTTTCCGGTAATCTGGCAATAGATCCGTATAGAAAATGTGAAAGAGAAAACATCCGGAGACAAAAGCAGAACCACCGATGAAATATAAGCGAGCAATCATTTTCTCGGCACGTAAATTTTCAACTGTTTGAAATCTTTTGGCTAAACTATAATTATGCTTGTTTTTCAGTCGTTGGATGGTTTTTATAGTGTAGATTCGATTGAAGACAAACATCTACAAAATTGAAATACTTTTAAGAAAATTTTTAAAAAACTGATTATTCATTACCATAACCGCTAGTGACTGCAATGTAAATTCCAAAAATAATAAATTGAAAAATGAAACGTTGCATGTAACAGTTACTAAACTAGCTATAAACGATGCAATTATATTTGAAGAAACAAGCAAAATACTCATCCATTTTCTAGGAACATTTTCATAATCTTCGATATGAAAACTAGCATATGTTCGCTCTATTGATAATGTTAATAATGTTCCAGCTACAATAGTTAAATGAAACCAAATGAAAAAACCACCAATGACAAATATTTCAGTTTCGTAAGTCGCTTGAACTTTTGGAATTTCAGTAGAAAATTTAATGTCTATAAATATCTGTAGCTGAATTGAATTCCTCATCGATTTGCCAAATTCCAAATAAAATTGGCAGGGAAAATAATCTTCCCAAAAACATCAAAGGGTAATTTGCAATAGGTGCGATGAAAATCAGCTTGATGTTAAAATTGAAAATATTCGTGGAATAGATTTTATAAATTGTATATTGAGATAGTAACAGTGAGAAAAATGCAAGAATAGTTTGAACAATCAAAAATATCAAATGAAGTGTTGAAACATTTTCGAATTTTTGAATCATGAAGAAAGGTAACCATAATTCAGTGTTTTCTACAAGAATATACATTTCAGGTTTATTTTGAAGATGCGAATCAAAAGAATCAATGTGTTTTTTCAAAGATAAGGAAGTGAGCGGAAATTAAATTGAAAATGAAAAAAACCATGTAAATCGAAATCAGATTGATGCTATTTTCACGATTTTCGTGCGCAATTTAAAAATTCAAAATTCATCGAGAAAAAAACAAAATTTCTGCTAAAAAGCGGGCATGCGGAGTGTCGTTGTACCAATTTTTGTTTCAAGTTTTTTCCCGTAAAAACTGAAATTAGAGGTTGAGAAATGTGACCTTTAAAGAATGCCATTTGAAAAATAAAACTACATAAATTCTTTTAGTAATTTCAGAATACATATCACCTGGCGGAGAATTTATACCAAAATAGTTTTTTTTAACAATTCAAAATTTTGTTCGTCTTTCTTAAATACTTTTAGGTTACGTTAATTAAAATTAACGTTTTTTTTCGTTGAAAAGGGAGTTTGCATGAAAAGTCTGAAAACCAAAAATCTCAACGATTAATCAAATTTTCGAAAGAAAAATTGAATTTGTGTAGTCTCCAGAGCTCTCTGAAAAATATGAAAACGAAACAACTTGTTTTTTCGTCAAACTACAACTCCACTTTCCCAGAATTAATAATAGGCTTACCAAAAGTTCCCAGAATTCTCTCTAATTTCACTTTTATCTTGTAATATTTATAATATTTTCATTCATAGAACACGGAAGCTATATGATCTTGAGAACCGAGAAAAATCAGACTTATTGGGTGCCAATTTATTCGATCAACGATTTATCGAAAAACTTGTTACCTTTGGCAATTTTCGAGATTTTTCTTCATGTTTTTACGGGGATTATGACGGTACGATGTGTTATTGTTTTGTCAAGAAGTCGTTTGGTGCATTTCAATATGAGTCTTATAATTTGCACATTTTGGTGTCAATGGGCAGAAGCTTTTATCGGAAAAATGATCATAATTCAATTTCAATACGGGTTTTTAACATTGAATGGTAAGATATCCCTTGTGAATCAAAAAATTATTTAAATATTTTTTTAAATAGATCTTAATCGCGGTTATTATTCCTGGTGGTCATTTATCGATTCAAATATCCTAAAAGTCACAAATCTTCAATCTTTAACAATAATTTATATTTATTCCTTGTTACAGTGGCATTATATTTATACAATGTTAATTGGAATTGGAGGGGTTATGGTTGAAAGGGGATTTGCAACGTTCTATATAAAGTATATGGGGTTTTCAAATTAAAAAAAAACCGTTTTTTTGCAGTGACTACGAAAAAAGGTCTAGACTTCATATCCCGTTATTTGTAATTATCGTAACTCATATGATTTCAATGCCTTTGTCGTGGTTTTCAACATACACAGAAATCAATTTAGTTTGCAGTTTCACAATTCTTTTTACAACAATGATCATTATGTTTTTGGTAAGTGAAGCAAAGCAGATGTTAATTTAAAAAAAATACCTCAAAAAATTAATTTATTTTCAGCTTTATTGTGTAGTTTTGAGATCAAACATTCGTTTGAAATCAATGATGGAGAAAACATCAAATAATCACCTATATTCTTTGGCTCAGAAATTCCAAGTTAAAGAAAATCTTCGATCTCTAAATATGATTAGGAAATTTGTAATTATAATATTCTTCTATGTGGTGTTTGCGGGATTGATTCTTCTCACTTTGATTTTGGGTTGGACACCAGAAATCGGGTTGAGTCATGTTTTTGAGAATATGATAACTTTGTGAGTTAACCAACCACTCAGGTTTTTTCAAAAAAATTCTACAGGAATCCATTTTTTCTGAGTTCTGCATTGATGTATTGTTCACCTACGTGGCACAACAAATATTGGAGTTTTTTGCCCTATCGAAAATGTTGTGTGATTCCTGAAGTTGAAAATTTGAAGCTGAACTTTGACGAAGAGGCTAACGTATATTTCGGGCAGCTTAAAAAAGCTTGGATTTGAGTCCGCCGACTTTTTTCCGTTTATTAAATTTTCGCATGAATAATTGTGTTTCTCGTTTCATCGAACTTATTTTATTTTATTTTATTTTATTTCTAGCAAAATGCTTTTGAAACTGAGCAATAGAATTTTCTGGCTCCCCTTTGGCGGGCTAAATGATGTCCCAGAAAATTTGAGATTTCTAATAATTTTCGAAATTTTGCTCACTATTTTTTGCGGATCAATTGTATTTCGATGTGTATGGATTTTATTGAAAACCAGGGTGATTCATTTAAATATGAGTATTATTATAAGTTCACTTTGGGTACAATGGATAGAATTGGTTATTGGGAAATCAATAGTTATTCTATATCAATATGGATTTTACACCATTGATGGTAAGTTTAATTTAATTTTTAAATCTGATTTCTAAAATTTTTAAATTTTTAAAACAGACACTAAAAACAGTTATTCATTATGGTACACAACTGATGCAAATCTTATAATAACAATATCTGATTTTGAAAAAATAAGACTACTCTACTATGGAGCATTTCTCCTATGGCACTATAATTATACATTAACATTTGGGTTATTGGGAATAATTGCAGAGAGAGTATTCGCTACTATTTTTATCAATGATTATGAGAAAAAATCACGAACTTGGATTCCGATTCTGATTGTTACTGTAATACATTTTTTATCAATTCCCACTTCGTATATTATGATTGAAAATATGACAACAATTGAAATTGCATTGATTGGGATGTTTTTAATTTCAACTGGATTTTCAACAGTTAGTTGTTGAAAATACTCGGGACAAAATTTTTCAAAATATTTCAAAATTTCAGGGTTTCCTTTTTGTTTTGAAATTCAATCGAAGGATAGAATTCAAGAAAACTCTAACTTTAAGTCAGAAGTTCCAAGTGAAAGAAAATATTCGAGCCATTTCAATTCTCAGAACCTTTGTTCTAGTTGTAGCAGCCTATATGGTTTTGATATGTTTTATTGTAACGCTATTATATTTGAAGATTGTTCAAGGTGCCGTGTTGGATCATTTGGTGGACAATCTAATCTCATTGTGAGAAGCTTTGCAGTTTTTTTCAAAATACATCAAATTTCAATTAATTTTCAGAAACCCAATAGTTTGTAGTTTGGTTCTGATGAGTTGCTCAAAAGTCTGGTCTCGAAAATTCTTCCCCGCAAAATATTTTCATCGTGAAATTGATACATCAATTGTGATGATTGATGATACGGCTGTATATTTTAATCAACTCAAAAATGCGTGGATTTGATGACTGATTTTTGAACAAAAAAATATGTTTTGATCACCTGAGAAAATCTTACGCCACTGGCTAAAATTTTTTGCATGAATAATTTTGTTGCTCTTTTCATCATTTTGTTTTTATATAATAATATAATAAAAAATGCTTCTAAAGCTAAACGACTCCATTTTTTGGCTCCCTTTCGGAGGCCTAAATGATGTCCCAGAAAATTTGAGATTTCTAATAATTTTCGAAGTTAGCCTAACTATATTATGTGGATTTATTGTGTTCCGATGTGTATGGATCTTATTGACAACTAGGGTTATTCATTTGAATATGAGTATTGTGTTGAGCTCATTTTGGTTACAATGGGTAGAAGTTGCGATCGGAAAATCAATCTTGATCTTGTATCAATATGGATTCTTGACTATTGATGGTAAGGCTTTTTATTTTCTTACCAATTACTAGAAGTTACCTACAGATACAAATAAAAGTTATTCCCTTTGGCACACATCTGATGAAAATCAGATGATTAAAATAACCAAATTTGAAAGAATCGAGTTCCTCTACTTCGGTTCTCTTCTCCTCTGGCACTATAATTATACATTGGCTATTGGATTAGGAGGAATAATTGGAGAAAGAGTATGCGCAACTATTTTTATCAATGACTATGAGAAAAAATCAAGAACATGGATTCCGATTCTGATTGTCAGTGCTGTACATCTAATATCGATTCCAATTTCATTTGTTATGATTCAGAACAAGACAACAATCGAGATCTCAATAAGTGGAATGTTTTTAATGACGACGATGTTTTTGACGGTTAGCTGTGTGAGAGAAAAATTCAGAATATTCTGAATCTAGGAAATTTCAGAGTTATTTCTATGTATTGAAATTCAATCGACGAAAAGAAATTCAGAAGAATCTGAATTTGAGTCAAAAATTTCAAATCAAAGAGAATATTCGAGCCATCTCAATTCTCAAAATATTCATTTTGGTTGTGGTAGCCTATATAATTTCAATCGGAATTTTGATAATGTTATTATACATGAAAATTGTTCAAGGAGCATTATTGGATCATACGGCTGAAAATCTAATTGCCCTGTAATTAGCAATGTTATCCTATGATCTTTAAAATCTCATTTTTTTCAGAAATCCAATAGTACACAGTTTTGTTCTAATGAGTTGCTCAAAAGTGTGGGCTCAGAAATTCTTTCCATTCGAGACTGGAAAATATTTTCATTTTCATGGTGAGACGGATCAAATTTTGATGGCAAACGATTCGACAATGTATTTCAATCAACTCAAAAATGCGTGGACATAACTTTTTTTGCATCAATTAGCCCATGATTAAAAATTTGTGCTTGAATAAGTTTTTGCTTTTCTATTTTCATTCAAAATGCTTCTCAAACTCAACGAAAGAATTTTTTGGCTTCCTTTTGGAGGCCTGAATGATGTTCCAGAAAATTTAAGATTTCTATTAATTTTCGATATACTTCTAACGGTTTTCTGTGCATTTATTGTTTATCGATGTGTCCGGATCTTATTGAATACTAGAGTGATTCATTTAAATATGAGTGTAGTTTTGAGCTGTTTTTGGATTCAATGGATTGAAGTTGCTATCGGAAAATCAATCTTGATTTTATATCATTATGGATTCTACACAATCGATGGTAAGCTACAACTTCCACTATTTTTTTTGTTGAAAATTTGTTGAACCTATCTACAGATACAAATAAAAGTTATTCGCTTTGGCATACCTTTGATGAAAATCTTATAATTAGAATAACTGACTTCAAGAGAATCGAGTTACTATATTTCGGCTCATTTCTCCTCTGGCATTATGATTATTCATTGACAATTGGAATGGGAGGAGTTATGGCAGAAAGAGTATTTGCAACTATTTTTATCAGTGATTATGAGAAGAAATCGAGAACTTGGATTCCGATTTTGATTGTTTCAGTGGTTCATTTGATGTCTATCCCGTATTCTTATATGATGCTAGAAAATAAAACAACACTACAAATCTCGCTTGGCTTGACATTTTCAATGACTATAATATTTATAACTGTGAGTTTTTTGAAAATAAATACAAAAATTACAATATTTTCAGTGCTATTATTTTGTATTGAAATTGAATCGCTGGAAAGGATTTCAAAACAATCTAACTCTCAGTCAAAAATTTCAAGTGAAAGAAAATATTCGAGCCATCACAATTCTCAAAACCTTTGTTTTAGTTGTGGTGACGTATGTTACCCTAATTGGAATTCTATTAATATTATTGAGCTTTGGAGTTGTTCAAGGAGCCGTGTTGGATCATTTGCTCGAAAATATGATTTTATTGTGGGTGAAAATGTATATAATCTATTTAAAATTTGAAATTTTTTTTTTTAGAAATCCAATACTTTGCAGTTTAGTACTAATGAGTTGCTCAAAAGTGTGGTCGCAAAAATTCTTTCCATTGAAAATTGCAAATTATTTTCATTGTGAAGTGGACACATCAATTGTGATGTTAAATAACTCACAATCAGCAATGTATTTTAATCAACTTAAAAATGCGTGGATCTAACTGATTCAGACAATTCTTGAACTTCTATTTTTATCCGTATGAGCACATGGACTACAATCTGATTTTGTACTCTAAAATGAAATGAGTGAGCACTTTTCGCTCTTTGATTAGCCTATTCATTCAAACCAACATTATCTTTCACATACTTATTCATTCATTTATGTGAAAAAAAAAATGATTTTTCGAATACCTTCCGAATCCAATCGAACTTTTTGGTTTCCAATTCCAACTCTAAACTATATTCCCGAACAATTTCACATATTTTTTGGCGTCGAAGTGCTTTTGAATATTTTCTGTGTTTTTGTAATTGTAAGATGTGTGAGAATTCTATTGACAACTAGATTGATTCATCTGAACATGAGTCTGATTATTAGTTCATTTTGGCTTCAATGGTTCGAAATTTTCGTAGGAAAGATGATTTTGTTACCCTATCAGTATGGATTGATAAAAATTAATGGTAAATTTTTTTCTATTTTTTCGGGTCTTATGTTAGTCTTTAAAAAAAACAATGCTCAATTATTTACGCTTCAAAAATCTCATCATAAATCAAGGGAATCAAAATTTGGATAAGATCTTGTACCTGAATCTCCCACATGTTCAAACACATGTTATTAATCAAGGCTTCTATTCAAAAGCATAATAGAGCTTTTCCCAGAATCCAACCCAAGTTGTTCAATCTGGTGGACTGGAAATGTCTCCGAAATGATAATCATCGACAATTTCAAGACAGTCAAGCCACTTTACATTGCCTCACTTTGCTATTGGCATTTCGTATACTCACTTTATGTCGGAATTGGAGGAGTTGTGATAGAACGACTTGCTGCAACTTATTTTATCAAGGATTACGAGCAGAAATCGAGGAAATATATTCCGATAATTTTAATTGGAACATCGCATTTATTTTCAATTCCATTTGCTTTGCAAGCAATCGAATATCAAATATCATTTGCAATTGTTCTTGGACTAATTGTTGTTCTCATGGTTTTTCTATTTATCGTAAGTTGTTTTGAATAATGGAATACGAAATATTCTTTCAGACATACTTTGTTGTCTTACGAATCAATCAACAAATCGTGAATTCCTACACTTTAAGTGAGCGCTTTCAAGTTATCGAAAATCTCCGAGCTCTCGTAATCATTCGAAAATTTGTAATATTATTTGTGGTCTACAAACTTCTGGCTTGTATCCTCTTTTTCCTCCTAGTCTTCAAATATATTACCTATTATGCCGGATTTTTGAATCATATTTTGGAAAGTGTCATCTACATGTGAGACGAAATCCACAATTTTTAAAATTAATTAAGAAAAAATAATTTTTTTAGGTGTCCAATGTGTTTCAGTGTTGGAATAATGAATTGTGCCGATTCTTGGAATCGAGAATTCTGGAGTTTTCTGCCATCAATATTCACTCGTAAGAATGTGGTTTATGATGCTAGACCTAACAAGAAAATAGACGCAACTGATATGTACTTTGAACAATTGGCTAATTCATGGCAATAAATGTATTCAACAAAAATTCACATTTTTTATGGAATAAAACCTTTTTCTTTTCTATTTTTCTACACGAACAAAATGATATTTAGAATATATTCACAATCAGCTTCCGAGTTCAATCGAACTTTATGGTTTCCAACTCCAACTTTAAACTATATTCCAAAAAAATTGCAATATTTTCTATGGCTCGAAATTCTCATGTACACTTTCTGCTTCTGTGTGATCTTGAGATGTGTTCAGATTCTCTTGAAAACTCACTTGATTCATACGAACTTCAGTATTATAATAATTGCTTTTTGGATTCAATGGATCGAAGTTTTCATCGCAAAAATGATAAATCTTCGATATCAATACGGAATAATTAAAATCAATGGTACTTTTCAGAAAAACTTGGAGAATATTTAGGTGAAAAAATTATTTTTTAAAGAAATCTCTCGCTCAATTTGGTGGACTGATAATTCTTCCGAAATGATACATCTTGAAAATATTGAAAAAATTCAGCCACTTTATATTGCTGCATTATTACAATGGCATTATGTTTATTCGTTGCTTTTAGGAGTTGGCGGGGTTGTTTTTGAAAGACTTGCCGCCACATATTTTATCAAGTTAGTCTAACTCATCTCGTCTAGCTTGAAGGCAATTAGACAATTATTTCAATTTTTCTTGAAACTTAGTGTCAAAAATAGTTCAATATAAAACGAACCAGTGAAAAAATTCCCAAATCCTTTTAAATCCAGCGGATTGGTGTGTGCAAACAAGGCGACGCACTTTTGCGTACAGAAAAATTCTCAGTTCAAGTCAGAGGCTTCGTGGGTGGTCTCGGTCAACTGTAATAGTAATGTTTCCATCAATCAAAAATTAATTTCAGTGACTACGAAAAAAGAAAGCGCAGAGTTATTCCAACTATTCTCATCCTATCCACTCACATCTTCTCAATTCCTTTTTCTCTGAAAGCCATCGAATATAAAATCCCTATAGCCATAATTTTAGGCATTGTTGTTATTCTAATGATTGGCCTCTTCTTTGTAAGTTCTTTAATGTCTAGCAAACATCTATTATGTTTTTTCAGGCCTATTTTCTGGTTTTCAAACTAAATACTCATTTGGTCACACGAACTTTGAGCCAAAAATTTCAACGAAAAGAAAATCTGCGAGCCTTGAAAATGATTCGAAAATTTGTGATAGTTCTAGTCACCTACACATTATTGGCTTGTATTTTCTTTTTTCTTCTGGTCTTCAAGTACATCACAAAATATGTGGGATTGTTTAATCATTTGTTAGAAGCGTGGATCTATTTGTAAGTTTTTCTTACATTTAGTGTAGCTGGAAATCGCATGCTTGCGTGAAAATTTCAGAAATCCAATCTGCTACACTTTTGGAATGCTCTATTGCTCAGATGAGTGGTGGAGAGCATTTTTTGGGCTCAACAGAAAAGGAGCAAACCGAATTGACTTCAAGAGAGTTGAAGAGAATGCTAATGTTTACTTCAGTCAACTCAATAATTCGTGGAGATGAAAGCATTTTTTGTTTTCTGATTAATTTTGTAAGACAGTTACCTACTTCGAACGGTTTTTCAAAAATTCCAAAATATTCGTTCTAGCCCAAGTTATCTTTTCTTTTTCATCAGCTTGTGAAAAAAAATCAGAATCAGACACGTTATTCTCAAAAAATGCGATAAAAAGAATTATATACCGATGAAGAAGGAAATTAGTTAATTATAAGTTATCTTTTCTTCTAATATCTTGCCTATTTTTATATCAGATAACACAATGATTGTGAAAATCCAGAGTGAAAATAACAGAAGTATCTGGATTCCTTCACCAACTCTAAATAGTGATTCCTATATTGCTTTACTAATCGAAATATTTTTGATGATAATTTGTTCAATAGTAGTTATTCGCTGTGTATTCGTTTTGCTAAAAACTCGTCAAGTTCATCTAAATCTAAGTCTTGCGATAAGTATCATCTGGTTACAATGGTTCGAAGTTGCTCTCGCAAAACTGTTCATGTTACCCTATCAATATGGATTCTATAAGATAACTGATTCTGATGCAAGTATTTCTTATTGGTGGACAAGTGATTCATCAGAAATGATATTAGTAAGAAATTATGAGAGCATTTCAAATCTTTACATTGGCTCATTTCTATTGTGGCATTATTTATATTCTTTGATTATTGGCGCGGCTGCGATTCCAGTTGAACGCATTTTTGCCACGTTTTTTATCGGGTAACCTCAAAATTAGAAAAGAATCCCAAGTTTTCAAAAAAAAAAAATTATTTTCTAGAGATTATGAACGAAGCTCGAGACGTTTGATAGTTATCATCCCATTTCTAATAACTCATCTAATCGCAATCCCTTTAGCTTTTTCATCACTCGAATATAAAACTTCGCTAGAAATGGTGATTGGTGTTTTTATTCTTCAAGGAACATATGTTTTCGGAGTGAGTAGACACCTTTTTTGCAATGACAAAGACAAAATATTTGAGTGGGGCGAACATGCACATTTCGCAAAATCTATTCGTCTAATTTTCATAAACCCAGGCCCCAAAAAACACACATTTCCTCCAGTTTTCCTCGAAATCCAAAATCTTCAACCAAAATTCGCTCCAATAATTGCATCGATTGCCCACCATTTCGCTGACGATCTTCCTGTAATGTAGAAATTAGAAAAATCTATATAAAGTACACCAAAAGTAAGAAAAATTCAAGCAAACACAATTTTCATAAAATAGCTTTTTGAGCACATTAAAACTATCGAAAATCAACTGGAATTATGTTAATTGTACTAGGAAAAGAGGTAACTATGAATTTGACAAGAAATTCCATTCAATTTCATGAAAAAATAACAAAAATACGCGAAGGAAAGATTTTCGAAAAACAAAAAACAAGAAAATAAAAGTAGAAATGGAAGTGCGCCCTATTGATAAACAGCGAATGTCTTGCACGCTCTCAAAAATGTGTGTTCTTTCGTCGTTGTGACGCGCGCGTTCCCACAGAAAAATCAATGTTTTTCAGTCCCAAGCGTTTGTTGTGAAATACAATAAAAAATTACAAAGTCTATCAATAAACAGCAACAAATACTCATTGAGTCGAAAATATCAAATCAGTGAAAATCTTCGGGTTCTCAACATGATTCAAACTTTCGTGATTGCTTGTTTCGTATACGCATTGATTGCAGTCCTATTATTCTATCTCACTGTTTTGCAATATTTTTCGGGCAGTTTTGAAAGTTTTATAAATCATATTATCGAAACTTTGATCTATCTGTAGGTTTTAGGTTTTATATTTATTCTGAATTAAGAGATTTGAATATTTTTTTGGTAGAAATCCAATGTTTCTCTCGATTGTCATTATGCACTCAAACACTTATTGGAGTCGAAAATTCTGGGGATTTCGAAAATCACAAACTGTGAGAGATGTAAAACAGAAAACCAGCATTGCTGATGAAACTGATATATACTTTCGACAACTCAAAAATGCTTGGGTATAATGTAACAAGGTTGTTGTTTGATTTTGGTGATATTCTGACGAACACGTAAATTTCGAAAGAAAATTTTTTTAATTAACTCAGATTTTTTCATTTCCTTCGAATATGATTATAAAAATTCAAAATGAGAATCGAAGTGTTTGGATTCCTTCACCAACTCTCAATAGTGATTCCTATATTGCTTTACTATTTGAAATATTTTGGATCCTAATTTGTTCAATAGTAGTTATTCGCTGTGTATTCGTCTTGCTAAAAACTCGTCAAGTTCATCTAAATCTAAGTCTAGCTATAAGTATTCTCTGGTTACAATGGTTCGAAGTTGCTCTCGCAAAAATATTCATGTTACCCTATCAATATGGATTCTACCAGTTGAATGCTTCAACTTCCAGTGTTTCTAATTTTTGGACAAGTGATTCATCAAAAATGATATTAGTGAGCAATTATGAGAGCATTTCAAATCTTTGCATTGGCGGATTCTTGTTGTGGCATTATGTATACTCATTGGCAATTGGCTCCGCAGCAGTTGCTGTTGAACGCATTTTCGCCACGTTTTTCATAGGGTAAGTTTACTAGTTGATGGGTCTCAGAATCAAATAAAGCTTTTTCAGAGATTATGAGCATAGCACAAGAAGACTTATCGTAATTATTCCTGCAATTATCACTCAAATAATCACACTTCGATTAACTGTTTCATCTTTAGAACATAAAATTTCATTTGGAACAGTTATTGGGGTTTTTACAGTTCAAGGAGTATACTTATTTGGGGTAAGTTTGACGGAAAGTTTTGTTCGAATAAATCGAATTTTTTTTTCACAGACCCAAATCTTTGTTTTCAAATACAATAAGCGATTACAAAGTATGTCAAACAATAACAAATATTCGTTGAGTAGCAAATATCAAATCAGTGAAAATCTTCGGGTTCTCAACATGATTCGAAGTTTTGTGTTAGCTTGTAGTATTTATACACTCATCGCATGCTTGCTTTTCTATTTGACCGTATCGCAATATTTTTCGGGCGAATTTGAGAGTTTTATCAATCACATCATTGAAACACTGATTTTTTTGTGAGTTTGAAGCCTGATTGTGAACTTGATCTACTTAATTTTCTGATTTAGCAATCCAATTATACTTTCAATAGTCATTATGCATTCAAACAAGTTTTGGTGGCTAAAATTCTGGGGTTTTCGATCAAAAATTATCAGAGATGAGACCAAGAAACCAGATATTGCTGATGAAACTGATATCTACTTCCGACAACTCAAAAATGCATGGGTTTGAGGAAATTAATAAATGAATACCATAATAATAAATTCATTTGTTATACGAATTCTATGTTGAAATGATAATAAAAATTCTTGAAACCCCCAAAATAAATTTTTGGTTTCCCTTTGCTACGCTGAATAGTGATTCATTATCTGCTGCAATTCTTGAAATATTTCTGACAATTCTTTGTGCTATTCTACTTTCTCGCGCGAGTCATATTATTTTGACAACTAGAATTATCCATATAAATATGAGCTTGATTCTTTGTGTTTTGATGCTTCAATGGTTTGAAGTTCTAATTGCCACAATCATTTTATTCCCCTATAAATTTGGATTTTTAAAAATAACCGATTCAAATTTACCAACTTCTAATTGGTGGACAACTGATCCAGCAAGTATAATATTAGTCTCAGATTTCAAAGTGATTTTTCCAATTTATATTGGCTCTTTGTTACTTTGGCATTACATTTATTCATTGACTATTGGTTTGTGTGGAATTGCTTTTGAAAGAATGTGCGCAACATATTTTATAAAGTTAGTTCATCTTCTTTCGAATTGCTAAAAAATTTGAATAATTTTTAGTGACTATGAGAGAAAATCCAGAAGGTATATTGTAGCGATTTCAATAATTGTTGCTAACCTTTTTTCAATTCCGATGGCAAAACAGTCAATTCAGAACAAAGTTCCGTTTGGAATAGTTTTTGGGATTATTGTGGCCCAATCTTTTATAGTTCCTATTGTAAGATTTTTTTTTATTTCTAAAGCAGCTGATTTTTTTATTTTCCCAGACATATTTTTACATCTACAAAATGAATATTGCAAAATCAACAACTATGACACAAGACTACTCATTGAGTCAGAAATTTCAAGTTAGTGAAAATCTGCGAGCCATGAAAATTCTATCGAAATTCATGATTGTCACATTTGTCTACTGGCTAAATTGCTGTATTCTGTTTTATTCATCGGTTTTTCAGTATTTTCCGCATAGTTTTGAGATTTTCATAAATCATGTGTTAGAAGTTTTGATATATTTGTGAGTTCATTTTAAAAAAGTAAAACTTCTAAAAAAAATCTTTAAAAAATTTTTCCCAGGAACCCAATATTCCTCTCCATCGCCATCACAAGTTCTCATAAATCGTGGTATTCAAAATTCTGGAGTCCAATTTACACCATGAAAAATCGATCATCAGATTCCAAAGTGAACAATGGAAATGAGACAGAACTTTATTTTAAGCAGCTGAAAAATGCGTGGCTATGATTTTATTCAGGACAGACAATTTTCAATGAGCACATTTCAGCTGTGTTGAAGTTGTCATTTTTCTTGTTACTAATTAATTAATTGCGCTTCATTTGCATTTTTTTTCAAATGAAAAAAAAGGAAATGACTTCATCAGTATAGACAGATGATTTTTTTGATACCTTCTGAAAATCGAACAATTTGGTTCCCATTTGCTTCGCTAAATGATGTTCCCGAAAATTTGCGATTTTTTGTGATCTTTGAATTATTTTTGAATATATTCTGTGGTTTTCTAATTCTTCGATGTGTCAAAGTTATGCTAACTTCAAGAGTGATTCATTTGAATCTGAGCTTGATTATTTGTTTATTATGGCTACAGTGGTTTGAGGTACTCTTCGCGAAAATTATAATTATTCCCTATCAATATGGATTCATCGATTTTCCATCAATAACATCTTGGTGGACTCTAGATTCAGGGGAGATGAAGGAATTTGAAAATTTTAAAGATGTGCTTTGGTTGTATGTTGCAGCTCTGTTACTTTGGCATTATTTGAATTCAGTTTTGATTGGAACAGGTGGAGTTGTTATTGAAAGGTTGTTTGCGACATATTTTATAAAGTTTGTTGGTTTTGAGGAATTTTTATATATAAAATGTGAAACTTTTCAGTGACTACGAGCAGAAATCAAGAAAACAAATCCCGATTCTGATTCTCACCACAACTCATATATTTTCAATAACATTTTCAATTCTCTCAATCGAATCGAAACTTCCACTAACATTTGCATTCGGTCTTTCGATCTTTATAATGATCACATTTTTTTCGGTAACTTCAAAACTTCTCAAACAAATTTCAAAATTTTTTTTTTGTTCCAGGCATATTTCATAGTTCTATTCATCAATCAGCATTTCGAGAGGCGGCCAAAATTTTCATTGAGTCAAAAATTTCAAGTGAATGAAAACTTGCGAGCCCTGAAAATGTTTCGAAAATTTGTGTGGATTTTGAGTGGCTACATTTTCCTAGCTGCCGGGCTCTTTCTTTTGCTCATTTTTAAACTTGCACCATTTCCAGCGCTGACAAGTCATGTTTTAGAAGATTTGATCTATTTGTGAGTTCCACTAACTGTATTGAAAAAAGTTTGAATTTAGAAATCATATATTCTTCGTTCCTGGTTTGATTTATTGCTCAGATCAATGGCATCAAGAATTCTGGAGTTTTCTACCATTTCGAAAAAGGAAAATCAATCAAACACCAACAATTATTAAACATAATGATGAAGCACAAATTTATTTTACACAATTAAAAAACGCGTGGATCTAGCTAGACTTTATTTCCAAGACATTTTCAATTGACTAAAATATAAATCAGTTTCTCCAACTGAATTGCGAACTTTCATCGGAACTGTTTTCCTGCGATTAATATTGAATGCCTTTTTGAAAAACATCAAATATCGATCGACAGATGTTATGATAACAGGGCAGACGATTAAAGGATATCTGAAAATTAATTAGTTTTTTTTTCATGAGGAAGTAACCTTCCAAGGAAGTTATAATAACTTACAAATGAATGATATTTTCAAGCAAATAATTATATGTTAAATGATAATTTGGTGTGATTTCAAAAACCATTAATAAAACAAGAATGAGTGATGTGAAAACCAGGAAAAATGCGGCGATCAAAAAATTGAACAACAATCGAAAAGTTCGTCGATTTTCTCTTGCTTGAAATCTCGAAGCCAATGTATATTTTGTACTATTTCCAATTCTCATAAATCTCTCTAATAATTTGTTATTATATTGAAAAGTTAGGATAAGTATGATAATTGCGAGAACATTTGAGAAAAAGCAAATTGAAAATGATTGCAAAAATGGATAAATATTGTGATAGCTTATGAGTGTTGTGATTGTTGGAAGAGTGAAAAACATTGTGATGAGCGAAAAGAGAAGAGCTGGACGCGATTTTTTTTCGTAGTTTCTGAAGATTTTCTGATTTTCAGATAATTGAAAGAATTTTTCAGCTGTTTTCAACTACGAACGTCTCACTTTTTTGATTGATTTATATTTTTTGAGAAGGCGGAAATTTTGTTAGATTTTTTTATTTGCAGTTTTTTTTGTATTGGAAAACGGGATTTTTATTTTTTTTTGAGAACTTTATGAGTCGAATTTGTTTTTTGAAATGAATAAAACCGTGGGTTGTAAGCTGAAATTTGTCAAAATTTTGTTTTCTTTTGCTTCTAATTAAAAAAAATTGATTAATTACCATCTCTTTCCGATTTTCAAGATCGGGTAGATCAAAAAACTTTCAGCGTGGAAGTGTAAGCTTCAAAATAGCTCGAGAAGTTTGGTTTAATCGTTTAATCAAGTTTTTTTTTTAAAAAAAAATCGGCCCGAGTTTTTTCAAAAAAAAAATCGGCCCGAGTTTTTTCAAAAAAAATTGGCCCGAGTATTTTCAAAAAAAAAATCGAAAAAATCGGCCCGAGTTTTTTCAAAAAAAAAATCGGCCCGAATTTTTTCAAAAAAAAAATCGAAAAAATCGGCCCGAATTTTTTTGACGGTCATGTCTATAATTATGCAAATAAAAAAAGAGATTCAATAATTTTTTTCGAAAAATTGATTGATGACGTCATCCATGGCAAAATTAGGAAGCCTTCCTGATTTTGCCACGAGTCATTTTTTTATCAAAAAACTTGAAATTTTGTATAAATTCACAGAAAAAAGTGAAACTGAAATAAATGAGAAGACTGTTACGCCTGGGGGCTAACAGCCCCTAGTGATAAACCTAAGTTCCCCTAACTTACGCAATAAAAACGCACGCAAAAATTCTTTCAATGGAAAGTACAAATAAGCCATGAAGTAATGAAGTAATATAATGCCAATAAATAAAACCAGCTAGAAATATTGGACAATTCATTTCTTGCTTCGAAATTTGAACAAATCTTGAACTATCATCATCCCACCAAACATTAAAAGTTTGATTTTGTCCAATAAATGATATTCCAATCACATAAGGTTTCAAAACCCATTTTCCATAAATTGATTCATACCATTGGAAAAGTGTGATTAATAAAAGAGTTTTAACATTGATATGAAATGCTCGAATTTTTATAACAACTACAATTGTCATTGTGACTATGAAAAAACAAGTGATTGATGTGAGAATTTCGAAAAATAATAGGAATTTGTAGAATCCTTCGAGGTATGTGGGATCGTTTAAGATGAAAAATGGGAGATAAATTTCAGTTTTGTTTTGGACAAGGAATATCATTTTGGTTTTTGGAGAGTGAGAGAAAAAAAAAAGAATTTTTTGTTGTTTTTTGTTTTTATATACGTCAAACACTAATTAGTATTTACAGAAAAAAAGTGTTTTTTTTGTGAAAAAAATATAGAAATATTCCGTGAAGGTGGGGTTCCCTTGGTTTTTGATCTCTAATTTACAAATGCACTCCGCAAATAGTCGTCACAGTGTTTGCAGACATGCACAAAAAAGAGTTGTGCGTTAGAGCGCATTTTCTTTTTTGTACTAGGGTTCCCTCAATATTTGATTTCTACTCTATATGCATCGTGCAAAGTGAAAAAAAAATGCGAAAAATCAAAAAAATAACGTGCAAACAGACGCATTTTTTTCGCAGAAATCGCATTTTTTCGAGCATTTTTTTCGCGTTTTCTGGTGTTTTTCGAGCCAAAATGGACAGAAATTGAAAGAATTTGTCTGAAATGGTGTTTTTATTGATACTGGAGGAAAAATCAATGGTGAAACAAGAAAAATGAGTTTGTCGAAAAAATGTCGAAAAAGTCGAAAAAATTTGAAATTTTCAAAATCGTTTTTTTTCTTGTTTCACCATTGATTTTTCCCCCAGTATCAATAAAAACACCATTTCAGACAAATTCTTTCAATTTCTGTCCATTTTGACTCGAAAAACACCAGAAAACGCGAAAAAAATGCTCGAAAAAATGCGATTTCTGCGAAAAAATGCGTCTGTTTGCACGTTTTTTTGATTTTTCGCATTTTTTTCACTTTGCACGATGCAATAACGTTTTTTTCTCCGAAAAATCTACTCGAAAAAAAACCAATTTAATTATACATTTCATTTCCGCGCAAGCACCCATTCTCAATTTTTTCTACCTTCTAGTATATTTTCAGCACTTCTCAAAATGATATTCCTGATCAATAATTCGTATACAGTTTGGTCATCAATATTTGTCCTCAATTACAAAAGTTATGAATCCGATTACTTTATTTTTGAGATGATTTTCGATTGGACAACGATTTTTCTCCAGTTTCTAATTATATTTAGAACTTGTTATATCATTTCAAAACATCAAGTTTTCCATAAAAATCTAACGATTTTGCTAGTTTTTCAATTATTGATTTGGATCGAAACAGTTTTCGCCAAAATTTTATTGCAACCTTATTGGAGTGGTTATCGAACTGTTGGAAATCCCTTGAAAATCTATCAACATTATTGGACAGAAGATAAAAATGAGATGGTGCCAATCAATAATATTTTGGATGAATGGGGGTTATTCCTATCCTCATGCTTTTTCATTCATTATTACGCCTCAATGTTGTTTTTTGTGCTCACAGTTTCAATTGAAAGAGCAATTTCGTCGTATTATTTGAGTGATTATGAGAAGAAGCCGAGACTTCATATTTCAATTATTTTGATTTTTTTGACATTTATCTTCTCGTGTTTTGTTGCTTATATTTTTACTATCAATTATTTTTCATTCGCCGCGTTTAATGCGATTATTTTATTTTTCGGGATCATTTCGATGAGTGTGAGTACTTTTTCAAAGCTTCTCGAAAAAAAAAAAATTTCCATTCAAAAAAATTTTAGCAATAGCTTCGCTACCGCCCGAAAGCGATAAACACACAGAATACACGAATATATAAATTTCTTGTGTGACCGACGGTTGACGGGTTGCGCGCGCCGCCGCTGTTTGTGTGCAAAAGGGGCGGGGCTTTATCGCTGCAAACCCAAGTTTTTGAGAAATTAGATTTTTGCAATGAATATTGTTTGAGTTAGGATAATTTGTGCATTTTTTTGTGTTTTCTACAAAGATCAAAAGCATTTAAAGAAAAGTTCAAAATCCCACCAATTATTTTCAGCTTTACGTATTTGTCTGGGCTTATAATCGTCGAATCGGCCATACAAATTACTCACTTTCCCGACGATTTCAATGTTTCGAAAATCTCAAATCACTCCAAAAGGCAAAACGAGTTGTCACAACTTATGCGATCCTAACATTTGTGGTTAACACATCATTCTGTGTTGTTTATATCAGTATCAATAATGGTGTTTGGAAGTTTTTCATCTATTTTATTGATACTTTAACTAATTTGTGAGTTATCCTAACTTCAATCAAAATTCAAAATGTGGTTTCTAGAATCCCGGTGATAATCTGTCCTGTCACATTATTCTCAATTGATACTTGGAAACATGCAGCTTTTCGATTTTTCTATAATCGAAGAAGAACTCCGAAAGTTCGAGAGGAGAATATAGTTGATGATCATAAGAAGCATACAGAATTGTATTTTGAACATTTGACCAAGTCTTGGATTTAACAGGCCTTTGTCTGGGCATATTTTTTCAAATTTTGTTTTGTTTTTGTTGAAATAATATTTTGTTTGACTCAAAGATAAAGTTATTTTTTTATTAACAATTCAAACTCATTGCATTAATTTCCCACATATAACCCCAAAACTTTCAATATTAACTGAACTTCCGTCACACTCAATTGAATATAATTCTCCAGTTCCAGCTAGAATTGTAACGCATTCAAAACTGCAAAAATTCCAAATTGTTTCTTCAAACTTCAGAAGTTAATTTCACAAAACCCACCCGTTTTTTGGATGTCCGTCGGTCCATTTAAATACTCCAAATCCAGACAAATACGAATCATTCCAAGAAATTATTACTCCATCATTATTTTTCACAAACAATGAACTCAACCAAATATAAGTTCCATTCACATTTTCTCCAGACTTTGTTAAATAATTTGAAAATTTCAGCCGCTCCTCTTCATTTTCCAAACCAAGAATATTTGGGAATTTAATTGTATCACACTCTTTTTGAGCTTTTGTAAAACTTCTGATTGCTTGACTTGTCAACATTCTTCGATAACACATTGTATATTTTTCTCGGATAATTTTTGCTCCACTATCACATAATTGTAATTCATTGATTTTTCCGTTTTTCAATTTTTCGAGATTCGAAACGCAATCACTGCCATCTTCAGTTTTCAAAGCTATTTTAATAACGGTTTCCACGCTTGGATAAGAAATTCCCTGAAGTTCACCCCAACCACAAATACTGCATGAAAGTTGAGAGGATGAAAATGCAGACTGAAAATTGGTTGGAAAATTATTTGTTTTTACAATTTTTAGAAGATCTTATAATATAATCACACCTGGAGAGAGGTCTTGCAGCATGGAAAATTTTAAAAAAATCAGAAACTTTTTTAGTTTCGACTTCTCGAAATATTTCCATTCAAAAAAATTTTGGCAATAGCTTCGCTACCGCCCGAAAGCGATAAACACACAAAACACGCGAATATATAAATTTCCGGTGTGGGCGACGGTTCACGGGTTGTGCACGCCGCCACTGTTTGTATGCAAAAGGGGCGGAGCTTAGTCAAATAATCGCGTTTTTTACGCTTAAGCGCGCTTCAAAAATCGAGTTTTCAAGTGAAATTTGGACAAAAGTCGATTGTTTGCATGAAAAATGAAAAAAAAACTCACATAACAATTTGATTCCTCGTCACATTTATTAACACACTGATCCCAACCCAAATCTGGAAATGAATCACAAGAAGAGCTCTCAAAACTCCCATAGAAAATTACAATTTTTCCATGAGAAATTCCAAACAAAAACCAAAAAAAGAGCAAAAGTTTCATACTCTAAATTTTTCTGCAAACTTTTTGTTTCCTAAATTCCAAAAAATGGTAACCATGTCTGATTTCTATGACGATTCATTTTTATTCCTGAACATACAAATACAATTTATGACCACGCTTTTTTCAGTTGATTGAAATACATTTCCGTCTCATTGTTAATGTTTTTCATATCGATTGATTCAACAGTTTCTTGGGGAGCTTCTTCTTTTTTTCTAGGGAAATTTGGTAGAAAATTCCAGAATTTTTGTTGCCAAGTTTCAGAGCAAGAGATGAAGATTGGAGAGATGAAAATTGGATTTCTAAAAAAAAACTTGAAAATATTTTCAGAACTTTTTTGAAGAAACTTCTCACAAGCAAATTGCACTTTCCATAATATGAGTTAAAATTGGAAAATCCTCACTAAAAACTTTCAAATTCAACAAAATGAACAAAATTGAAAAAAGCAGGAAATAAATAGTTCCCCCAATAATTCCCCGTCTTGCCATGAGCAATGCCCGGTAATTCTCATTGATCTGAAATTTTTTGTGAATTGTATACATATTTGGAAGATTTATCGATTGCTTCATTGTATAATTATAGCGCCAAATAACGAAGAACATCTGGAATTTTCAATGAATTCTGATGTATTTTAGAGTCAGAGAGAAAATCAGGGTTACCAGGATTAGCATAGAAGTGAAAATTATTATAATACTGTAGCCAACTGTGAAGGAAACTTTGTTGAAAGTTATGAGAATTGCAAAGGGGATTGTTAGAATGTGATTGAGGAAAATCAATAAAATTGGAATATGTTTTCGAGAAGTGTGCTCATAGTTGCTGGAAATTTGTGAATTTTTTGCTAAAAGCTCAAACCAAAATATTTCCATTCAAAAAATTTTTGCCGATAGCTTCGCTACCGCCCGAAAGCGATAAACACACAAAACACGCGAATATATAAATTTCTGCTGTGCGCGACGGTTCACGGGTTGTGTGCGCCACCACTGTTTGTATGCAAAAGGGGCGGGGCTTGATTGAGGGATCGCGTTTTTTTCGCTTCAAAATCACTTTTTCAAGGATTTTTTCGTTAAAACTGAAGATTTTCAAAACTTACTCAATATAATAAGTCGCTAGAATTCTCTCCAAAGAAGTAACCAACAATGAAACGAATGCTGAATAACAATAATGCCATAATAAAAACGAGGCAACAAATAGCATTGAAATATCTTCGAAATTATCGATTTTCATCATTTTCTCGTATTTTGAAGTCCACCAAGTGATATTATTTGAACTCCCTGGTAAAATAATTAAACTGAATTGATAGGGGAAAATTATAAGTTTTGCTATTGCTGTTTCAATCCAAAGAATCCATAAACTAGTTAGCATAATTGACATATTTTGATGGAAAATTCGAACTTTCAAGATTATCCAGCATGTTCTTAAAGCAAAAAATCCTGCCAAAATCAGAAAAACTATTTCGAAAGTTCCGTAGAATAATAGATCATCTGGCTTCAAATCGTTGATTTCATACAAAGGAAACCAGAAAGTTTCATTTGTAGATCTTAGAAATATTATCATATTTGAGGAAAATGAGGATATTTGAGGCTGAAATAACGACAGAAGCGAACAGCTGAAATCAAAAATTCAAGTGCAGACGAAAAAAAAAATGAGGAGGAGAAGAAGGAATTTCGAACGTGCTCATTATTTTTGATAATTTCAGCAGGAATTAAAAAAAAAAAAAAAAAAATTTGAATTCAGATATTAACCTGAGATTTGTTGATAACTAGAATATCGAATTTGTTACTTAAAATATTGATTTACTATGAGAAACGAAGAAAAAACCGAAAAACGCGAAAAATTAATTTTAACGACATTCCGCTTGCCTGCTGTTTAGCGTAAATTTGATTTTGAGTTTTTTTTTGAATTTTTCTCATTGAAAATGACTATTTTGGCAGTCTACACCTCATAATCCTTGTGAAAGCTCTACATTTTCTCTTTTTCAGATCATATTTCAACTTCAACAATGCAAATTCTTGTTTTCTTCACAATCCTCACAATTTTTGCCTCAATCAACGCGGATTTCAAAGAAGAGATCACAGAACTCGTCAAAGAAATCAATAAAGCCGTCGAAACCGAAGATCACCAAAAAATTGCTGGATTTTTCGAAGAATCAGCAAGTTTTCATGATTGCTTGGCGAATCGACGAAAAGAGGAACTTGTGGAATTTGTAGAGTTCGGGAAAATCGAATTTGGAAGAATTTTGGCGATTTCTGAAGTTGATGGCTCGAATTCGACGTTTTCTTTGAGAACAACAACTTTGTTTTCAGAAGGAGATGGAGAAATTGAGTGGATTTTGAAGAAAAATGAGGATGGAAATGGAACTAGTTATAGGATTTCTAAAGGCCATGAGATTTGTCTTGGATTTTAAGTTTGAAAATAAATATTGATTGAAAAAAGTTGATTTTTGGCGCCAAAGAGTTCAAAATTCTACACATTTTGCTATTATCAAAATAAAAAAATTTGGCAAAAAACGGATCCCAGAAATTCAAATGACACTCTTCCCAAGTGACTGAGATGTTCTCAACTTTCGAAATTTCAAACAAATTCCAATAATCGTATCTGATACATGTGAGATTTGCCGAGTTGTAGTAAATCGCCTGCAAAATGTTTGAGAATTTTTTGAATTAAATTTTTGGTCTCTACCGAGCAACTATCAATTCCATTACATATGTCAGTGCAGTTTTGGTAGTGATCGAATTCTTCTTCTAGTATATTTGATTTATTAAAATTCGTTGGTATTCCAGGAATCGCGACGAAAACTGAACGAGTTTCAGAAATTAGAATAAGAAACAAAAATAGAAGCATTTTTGTTTTCTAAACTGAAATGAGAACTTCTTGAAACTGAAGTTTTTATTGTTGATATTTTGTCATGGAGACAAGATTTTATAACTAATTTTTTATAGTTCTTGTAAGTTTAGAGCAACGGAAAGTAATGTTGAGGTTTTATTGAAACAGGAAAAACCCCGCAAAAATTACGTTTCAAAAAATTGACAAATTTAATTTTTGATTATTAATAATTTGATTATAATTAATTCTTGTCTATCACTCAATAAGTATTTTTGATCATTTCCATCTTCGATATCGATTGATAATCTAAAATAATTCGAACAGATTATTGAAAACATCTGATAAAAAAACACTTACTTATTGTTTTCCGAACCGTTGATGATATTATTTTCCCAATCAAATGGAGCTGTGATATCTTCTCCATGATTTTTACAGGCAAGAATACGTTGTTTGGAGATGAACAAATAATCTAAATCATCGGAATACTTCAATCTAATGATATAATTGAAAATATCTGACAATTCTTTGCAACATTCCAATCCATTGAAAAGGGATCCAATATCACTCCATGCAATCTCTTTCATTTTCATAATAATTTGCTCGTCATACTCATTCTTCCAAGGTAAACCTTTTCTTGATATCAAGTCACATAGCATATAAAGAAGGGATTCAATGTCATCTTTGAAACCAATGTCGTTTCTTTGATGACAAGTTAAAGATGCAAACTTTGGAGTTCCTTTGAAGGCTAATCCAGTTCGAAATTCTTTCATTTTTCCGTTTCCATCAACTATTCGCCTTGCAATACCAAAATCGATCATAAAAATGATGTTTTTTCTATCATTTAGCCCACAGGCAAAGTTTCCTGGTTTGATGTCGCGATGGACTATTCCTTGATGATGGATTTGTTCGCATGCAAATAAGCATTGCTGAATCACCGATAAGCCAGTCGAAGTGGAAAATAAAAATGGCGCTGATCTATTTTTCAATTCGTACAAACTTGGTCCTAATATTTCGATAATAATAAAACTATAACCATCGTTCGCATAACATCCTTTGTCTACCAATTTTGTGAACCATATTCGTTTTTCTGACTCTTCCATCACGTTCAAAATATATACTTCCATTTGTAGAAGCAAGTGTTTGTTTTTTTGGTGTTTTTCGACTTTCATTGCAAATTTCTTTTTGGTATTTTTTTGAATCACTTCATATACAGAACCAAATCCACCCTCTCCCAGAGAATTTTGGATTATATACGTCGCTTTTGCTGTTTTAACTCCCTAAAAATTTTGAATATGACTTTTTTTTTTGACTGGATGATGTTTATGGGGTGATTGAAATCGAAGAATTGATTAAAAAACTGCATTACGTATCAACAATACGGTATACCAAAACTTAGAAAAATTAAAATAATTCCGAAAATTTCAGGTACTCAATATGATTACATATTTTTATAGATCATTGAATGTGAACCTAAAACTAAGAATGGCAAATTGCCAAGAGCCTTTTTCCACAGACAATACCTAACAACATCAGGATTGTCATCAAAAGAGTGTGGATTTAAAAGACTCCAATTCCCATTGAGACTTGCTTATGCCTTTAGCATAAATAAGGCTCAAGGCCAAACATTGGAAAGAACTGGATTATATTTGAATAGTGATGTTTTCTCACATGGGCAATTATATGTTGCTTTGAGTCGTGTTAGAAAATCAACAGATATTCAGATATTACACTGGAAAAGAAATAACTCGGATGACAAATCAAGCAGAAATGGAATACTCGCGAGAAATGTTGTATACAAACAAGTACTTGGAAATAATTGATTCGAATTGGAAAAGTGTTGAAATGAATCTTATTTGTCTTTATAGCTAATCTACAAATACATCTAATTTACTATCTGATGTTAACCCGAAAAGAAGCCGAAAAAATAAAAAACATAATGAAAACCCCCCCAAAAAATGTGCAACGCAAAAAAAAACTGGGAGGAACTCCACACAAAAAAAAATAATGAAAAATATGGGCGGTTTGGTCATCGCCACCTATGATACGTCACACGTACACGTGAAATAATTTAAAATAATTCTCTCTTTTAGTTTTTTTTTTTTCAAAATTCCAACAATAATTAGGTTCAAAATATAATTACAGAAAAAAGTGAAACTGAAATAAATGAGAAGACTGTTACGCCTGGGGGCTAACAGCCCCTAGTCGGGTTTGGTAGAAAATAAAATTTCACTGTTTCAAAAATTATTGATAATTTTTGAAGTTTTGGATGATTTTGATAATTAGTCTTTTATACTTTAGGAAAAAATCTTTCGATTCTGAATTGTGAAAATTAAAACCGAAAAAAAGTGAAATAAAACAAAAAAAAATTTCGAAAAATTCTTTTGCGCTCAATTTTCTACTGTTTCAAAAATAGCTGATTTATATCCTTTTCAAAATTTACAGAATTTTTTATCGATTTCTTCGATTTTTCCGAATTCCCTCCCCAAAAAACTCACCAATCGCTTCTATTTCTCGAATCCCAATCAAAATCCTTGATAAATCCTCAATCCTCCAAGTTTTCCACGTAATTGACATTGAAATCCAAAGCTGAAAATCAGAAAAATTGAATTTTTTGAGTTCTGCTAACTCAATTTCTGAGGGCTTTTTTTTGGGTCTCACAACAACAATTTTCCAGCTATTTTTCAGAGGTTCACACCAAAATTTTACATAAATTCAGAAATTTCAACCGAAACAGTGTTTCTTTATAAAAAAACCCACCTTTCTTCAATAATCCTCGAATTTTCCATTGGAAGCGATAATTGCAGACTTGTAGAACATCTGAAAATTCAATTTTTGACTGAAATCCACTGATTTTCCCCGGAAACCTCAAAACCCAGCGAAAAAAAACGAAAAATGGAAATATTTTCGTGTTGCGCTAAACAGCGGGCAAGCCGGAGTGTCGTTGTAACAATAAATTATTTTTTTTTTTTGGAAAAACAACTGAAAATCGGAATTTTTCGCAATTCGAGTCAGATTTTGTTTTTTGTTGAAAGATGTGTTTTCTACCGATTTAGGAAAATTTAAGCTCAAAACGTTGAATTTTGGACCAATTTCAACTCAAAACTTGGTTTGGTGGAAGTCTTCACGCTATGAACGTTCTCAGTCATCGTCAAGAGAGCAATTGTGTATCTCATTATAACATATTTTGGTTATAGCAACTTTTTTTTGAAAAAAAATCAAATTTTAGAACTTTTGTGAATTTTGGAGGTGAAGCTAACATAAGATTGTGTGGAGGACTAGAGTACAGAATTACACTGATGTATCAAACTACACGATACATCACCACAATGCTGGTGATGTGTGAGGAAAAATTTCAAATTCCGAAATTCCGAAAAAAAATTCACGTCAAAAAAACCTTTTTTTTTTATTCGTGACCTAAAAAAATGATCAATCTTGGTTAAAAAAATGATAAATCGTAAATGTCACCCTTTTCCCAATGTTTGATCTATAGGTTTTGGCCGTTGTTTTTTCTCAGCGTGGTGTATCAATTATGTCTGAAAAAGTAAGTAATGGGGTAATTCAAGTCGAAAAAAATCAAAAAAAAAAAGTCGTATTCAAAATTTTTAGGAAAATAAAGTTAAAACAGCAAAAGCGACCTATATAATCCAACATTCTCTGGGAGAGGGTGGATTTGGTTCTGTATATGAAGTGATTCAAAAAAATACCAAAAAGAAATTTGCAATGAAAGTCGAAAAACACCAAAAAAAAACAAACACTTGCTTCTACAAATGGAAGTATATATTTTGAACGTGATGGAAGAGTCAGAAAAACGAATATGGTTCACAAAATTGGTAGACAAAGGATTATTATCGAAATATTAGGACCAAATTTGTCAATTTTTTGAAACGTAATTTTTGCGGGGTTTTTCCTGTTTCAATAAAACCTCAACATTACTTTCCGTTGCTCTAAACTTACAAGAACTATAAAAAATTAGTTATAAAATCTTGTCTCCATGACAAAATATCAACAATAAAAACTTTAGCCTCAAGAAGCTTCTCATTTCAGTTTAGAAGACAAAAATGCTTCTATTTTTGTTCTCACATGTATCAGATACGATTATTGGAACTTGTTTGAAATTTCAAAAGTTGAGAACATCTCAGTCACCGATATTTTTCTATTCAAGGTTGATAACTCTGAATTTCAGACAATTCGAAAGAAAAATAAAAAGTTTAGGAGGAGGCGGGAGTTGATCTGGGACCTTATAAGAAGTATATATTTTGAACGTGATGGAAGAGTCAGAAAAACGAATATGGTTCACAAAATTGGTAGACAAAGGATGTTATGCGAATGATGGTTTCAGTTTCATTATTATCGAAATATTAGGACCAAATTTGTCAATTTTTTGAAACGTAATTTTTGCGGGTTTTTTCCTGTTTCAATAAAACCTCAACATTACTTTCCGTTGCTCTAAACTTACAAGAACTATAAAAAATTAGTTATAAAATCTTGTCTCCATGACAAAATATCAACAATAAAAACTTCAGTTTCAAGAAGTTCTCATTTCAGTTTAGAAGACAAAAATGCTTCTATTTTTGTTTCTTATTCTAATTTCTGAAACTCGTTCAGTTTTCGTCGCGATTCCTGGAATACCAACGAGTTTTAATAAATCAAATATACTAGAAGAAGAATTCGATCACTACCAAAACTGTACTGACAAATGTAATGCAATTGATAGTTGCTCGGTAGGGACCAAAAATTTAATTCAAAAATTCTCACAAGAAAACATTTTGCAGGCGATTTACTACAACTCGGCAAATCTCACATGTATCAGATACGATTATTGGAACTTGTTTGAAATTTCGAAAGTTGAGAACATCTCAGTCACTGATATTTTTCTATTCAAGGTTGATACGCAACGCAGACCGCGTCGCGGGCAATCAAACTTCAATTAATTCTTGCAGACAAACACCACAACTTGCTCATTCACTCCTGACACAGTCTACTATTCAGGCTACCTCAGCTACACAGATATGGGAACATATTGGGAGGTCGCAGGAATTTGTCCACTTGGTTGGATGAACGCACAACGATCTGAACGTGTTTGGTGCGTGCGATTGTTCTACAATGAAAGTAGGACGAGAAATGAGGCGAATGAGTTCTGCGAAAACAAAAATGCAGTACTCTCCGGAATGGGTAGCCAGGATGAATTGAGTTCGATTATCGCGCAAGCAACAGATTATTTGTTCGGACCTGTGAAATATATCACAATTGATGGGGAACTTAATGGAAATTGTGAAACTAGCAATATTGGAACTTGCACATTCCCCACAAATTATTCATTCTATGATCAATATATGACAAACTATAACTTTTATAATTGGACAAACAAAGATGCAAATGCTAATTTGAATCTTGGTGGAAGTTCTCTTAACAGATGTATTCGATTGAATGCAACAACCAAATATTCATCGATTTCGTATTTTGATCATTTTCCGTGTTCCGATGAGAATAAGTTTTATGCATGTGGAAAAGTGGGAAGATATTTGTGAATGTTGAACTTTGGGAAAAAAGAATGAAGTTTTGTTAACAAATTGTTTTCCTGATTTTTTTCCTGATGCATCTATTCATTTGCGAAAAAAACCGAAAAAAATGTATTTTTTTACAATACTTTTCTATTCACCAAAATGCACAATGTCAATCGTGACGAGACCCACACAGATTTCAAGGAGAAAAAGATGCGAGAAAAAAAACAAGAAATGAAATTCTCGAAAGCATGCATTTTTCACACTCGTTGCCTTGAAATGAGTGTGGGTCTCGTCACGATTGCAAGTATTTCGCGACAATTTGTGATTTTGATAAATAGAAAAATATTGTAAAAAAATACAATTTTTTTGTGTTTTTTTGCAAATGAATAGATACATGAGTTTTTGCTTTACAATCAACAATCGTAAAAAATAGTAATGGGGTAATTCAAGTCGAAAAAAATCAATGATGGAATTTTCTTGTCAAAAACGTTTTTTAATCAATTCTTCGATTTGAATCACCCCATAAACATCATCCAGTCAAAAAAAAAGTCATATTCAAAATTTTTAGGGAAATAAAGTTAAAACAGCAAAAGCGACCTATATAATCCAAAATTCTCTGGGAGAGGGTGGATTTGGTTCTGTATATGAAGTTATTCAAAAAAATACCAAAAAGAAATTTGCAATGAAAGTCGAAAAACACCAAAAAAACAAACACTTGCTTCTACAAATGGAAGTATATATTTTGAACGTGATGGAAGAGTCAGAAAAACGAAAATGGTTCACAAAATTGGTAGACAAAGGATGTTATGCGAACGATGGTTATAGTTTTATTATTATCGAAATATTAGGACCAAGAAAAAAACCCACCCACAAAAATTTGCATAATTTTTGAAACAGTGAAATTTTTCAACAACAAAAAATTTGTTTTTGTTCTATTTTTCACGCGCTGTGAACCTCAAAACTCGAAAACAATCAATAAAATAAATATTTATTCAAATCTTAAATCGGAAGTTTTGGAAAATCCTTGCAAAAATCGCCAAACGCAAATAATTTAATAGAAAACGCCTCGTATTGCACATTTTTGTCCGGATTTCTTCTAGCCTGAATTTCCAAACGTGGCTTGTTTTCTTCGCGATTTCCAATATAATAATCCAAAATATTTCCATTAACAAACGCGGATTTAACAATAACATCTTCATTTTCATCCAAAAAAGTTCCGTTTTTTTCAATCTCTAAAAATGCCATGAGAATAGTGTCTCTTTTAAAATTGAAATTTTTTGTCGAGAAATTGCAAACTTCAATATTTATATCCTCGGCAATGTTTTCACGCCATTTTTCTAAATTTTTGTCGGAAATTGAGTTGCTGATGTTTTGAAAATGTTGATTTGCCAAACCCAGGAATAGATTATTGTGCTCTTCTTCTTCCAAGCAAAGATTTGGATTTGGGAAGTTGAGAAGGTAAATTGAGAGGATCAAGAGCTTCATCGAAATTTTCATTTTTTGAAGAATGAATGAGGTGGAAAAATGTGGGGGGAAAGAGTTCCCAGAAGTCTAGAAATCATAAAAAAACATGGGAACCTTTTCTTTTATGATTTTTTTTTAAATTATTGATTTTTCAGCGGAAAAAAATTGAAAATTTTCAAGAAATTTTCAAAAAATGTTCACTGTTTCAAAATTAACATAAAAAATTTTTCTGTAATCTCAAAAAATTTTCATTTCAGCAAAAATTTGCTGGGAAAATGATACGGTAGATCTAAGTTTCGCGCGAAATTTTGAATATTTGAAATTTTCTGCGTCTGGGAATTTTGATCTACATTTTTTTTGAGATCTCAAGAGTTCTAGGTTTCAGGATTTTCCTTGGGTTACTGTAACTTCCGAAAGAAATTCTGAAGTTCGATTAGATTCAGATAATTTGTTTTCTAAGTTTTCAGAAGTACTGTAATTTTCAGTTATAAACACAGGTTTTTTCGCATTGCTCATGTTATACTTCACATAATTTTATAACATTGCTCATGTCAAGTCAAATTCAAAAAGTTCCAAATCTACAGTTTCATATCGATTTTTTCTGTCTGTGAGAGCCCCCTTTCAGCCCCATAAAACCCCATTTTCCCCTCGAAATTCAACAGAAAAATGTTGACATTTTTCATATTTTCCTCTCTTTTTCTAATACTTCAAATCTCCTCACACGAAGTTTGCCTAACTCCAGAATGTGTTCGATTAGCTGCCAGATATCTGAACAACATGAATCCGAATGTTTCGCCTTGTGATGATTTCTATGAGTATTCTTGTGGTAGATATGATTCGTTGAATCCGCTTCGGGAAAATGAGAAATTGTTTATGGCGTTTAGTGAGATCAGCAGGGATTTGAATGAGAATTTGAAAGGTGAGCGAGGGTTTTTGGAGTTAGGGTAAGTTTGGAGTTAAAAATATGTGTCTAGATTTTGAAAAATCCATAAATAACATTTTTGAAACTTCTTCTTCAAGCTTGCAGCAATTCAACAGTTTCTAATAATTTTATACATAATTTTTGAAACAGTAAATTTTCTGGAAAATTATTTTATTCGAAGTTGGGATGAGAAAAAATGTTTCGATAATCCAATTTCAAATTTATAAGAAACAATTTGATAAAATTTTGAAACGTATATTTTTTTTGAAACAGTGAATTTTTATGGACAAAATTATTACGAATTTAGTTTCAAAAATCGAGAAATCTTTTATTTTGTTCACATTAGTTTCAGCTCAATCGATTTTCCTGGAAATGTTTAGAGAAAACTTTGAAACAGTGGATTTTTCAGGCCTCTTCGACACTGCTTCCCGTCAAAATTCCACGCCAACAATGTCCCTCGCTCTAACATATTTCGATTCCTGCATGGATCAAAAATCCATCGATGCCCGCGGTGTTCAACCCCTCCAAAACCTGATTCAAACCCTCGGAGGTTGGACAAACGAAAGTGTTGCCTGGGAAATTCTCGCCGGAAATCTATCTCGACATGGAATCGATTCGATATTCAGTGCAATTCCAGATTTAAATCCTAAAAATTCTTCAGAAAATCTATTGCTCTTTAGTATTCCAGTCTTATTCACTGATCAACCATCCTTCTATCAACAAAACATTTCGAATAACTCCAAATTAGAATCCTATCGAAAATACATCGTGAATTCTCTCGAAGCTATAAATGCTGATATCAGCGAGACTCTGGTCGACGAAATCATCGATTTCGAGATAAAATTATTCTCGATTAGCCCAAAAATGAATCACGATGATCATTCGAAACATACAAATCTCATGACTTACACCGAATTCAAATCCAAATACGAGTTCATTGATTTCGATCTATATTTCGGAGATTATAAGTTTAAGGAAGATCAAAAAGTGAATTGTCATCATTTGAAATTTTTTGAGGACTTGGGAAAACTTCTCAATGAAACATCGATTTTGACAATTAACACATATTTAATGTGGACCTTAATTCGAAGTTATATCGATCAACTTCCGGTGAAAATCCAAGAGCCAGCAATAGCTCTGGAGAAATTGATAAATCCTGCAGCAAACCCGAAAACCTATGATTGGAAGACTTGTCTCTCCGAAGTTAAACAGAAGTTAGCTCTACCTTTGGCCACTGAATTTATCCATAAATTCATCAAGACAGAGGATAAGAAGGTTGCGGAAGAATTGGTTGAAGATTTGAGAAAAGCAATGAGGGAAGAGTTATTGAAAGTTAGTTGGTTGGATGAGGAAACAAGGAAAAAAGCGATGGAGAAATTAGGGAAAATGAAGAATTGGATGGGGTATCCGGAATTTTTGAATAATCAGAGTGCAATTCTAAAACCCTTTGAGAAAATTCAACTGAAACCTGATAGATATTTCAATAACGCGGTTGCTCTGCGGAAAACGATGCGGAAAGAACAGTTCAAGATATTAAAGGCGCATGAAGCGGTGATTGAGTGGGCTACGATTATTCTACAAATCAATGCGTATAATTGGATCACTTCGAATCAGATCATTTTCCCGGCGGGCATTTTGCAATTTCCGATTTTTGTACCGGGCGCTCCGAGTTTTGCGAATTATGCGGCGATTGGAATGATTATTGGTAGGTAGTGGGATTTTTTGGGAAAAAAAAACTATTTTTTCACTGTTTCAAAAATTGTTCTGGGGATTTTGAAGCTTTGTTGAAACTGTTTTTTTTTAATTTTAAATGAAACACTGTGCCAGATTTGCAAAAGTCAATTTGTTCTCTGAAAATCTTGTGAGAAATTCTCAGAATTTTTCACTGTTTCAAACAATTTTGATAATTTTTGGGGATTCTGAGTTTTTGGTTGAACTTTTGTAATTGGTAAATTGTTTTCAGAGAAGTTACATTTAGGCTCCGCCCATTTTTTTCTCGAAAAAAACTGTGCCAGGCTTGCAAAAAATAGAACCCGCCCATTTTTCGACATTAAATAATTTCACCAAAAATTTTACTGTTTCAAAAAATTTTGATAATTTTTAGGGATTTTTTATTTTTATTTTCTATGATTTTCGTGAAATATCAGATTTAATTTAAGAGGAACAAAGAGACAAATACGAAAAATGCTAGTTAAAAAAAAGAGCGCGTATGAGGATTCGAACCCACTGCCTTACACTTGGGAAACCCACGTTTTACCGACTGCGCCATACTAGATCAAAATTTCGCGCTGAATCCGATGATGCTAATTTCAGGCCATGAAATCTCGCACGGCTATGATAACGTAGGCTCGCAATACGACAAAAACGGCGATTTGAATCCCTGGTGGGACAATCAAACTCTCTCCAAATTCAAAGAAAAATCGCAATGCTTCATCGATCAATACAGTAATCTAACCGAACCGTTATCGCAAACAAAAATGAATGGAAAATTGGGAATCGGTGAAAATATTGGGGATAACGGAGGACTTCGAATTGCCTATGAAGCTTATCAAAAAAATCTGAAGAGATATCAGAATTCCACTCAGGTTTTGCCTGGATTATCGAATTTTGACGAGCAACAAATGTTCTTCCTAGCCTATGCTAATGTAAGTTTCTAGAATTTCTAGCTGGAAATTTATAGTGAATTTCAGACCTGGTGTAGCACAGTTAAACCGGAATTTTTGAAAAATATTCTGGAGACTGATCCGCATAGCCCGCCATATTTCCGGGTCAATGTTCCACTTCAGAATTTCCCAGAATTCTCCGAGAACTTCAAATGTCCCGTTGGATCGAAAATGAATCCAGCTAATAAATGTCGGGTTTGGTAGAAAATAAAATTTCACTGTTTCAAAAATTATTGATAATTTTTGAAGTTTTGTACACGCTATTTTAAAAAAGAAGAAGAGCGTCCAAATCGAGAGAAAGGACAGAGACGCGAAAAACTCCCTTTAAGGACGCATGCGAAGCAATTTCTACAGTAGTTTTACGAAAATCTGTTTGTTCGTGTCGAGAAACGAGCGTCTTTTTCTCTGCGCCACTCTCTCGATATGGACAGCCAAAAATAGCGTGTGTATGCTTTTGATGATTAGTCTTTTATACTTTAGGAAAAAATCTTTCGATTTTGAGTTGTGAAAATTAAAACCAAACAAAAAAATTGAAAAAAACCAAAAAAAATTTCGAAAAATTCTTTTGCGCTCAATTTTCTGGTGTTTCTACCAGTCGTTGCGAGACCCTCTCGAAACGGTGTTAGTGACGCAGAGGAATACTGGGAAATTTGGATTTGAATTTCTGGCCTCTCTGATCCTTTCTTTCTTTTAAACCCCATTCATTTTCAAATTTTACAGATTTTTTATCGATTTTTTTCAATTTTTCCGAAATCCCTCCCCAAAAAACTCACCAATCGCTTCTATTTCTCGAATCCCAATCAAAATCCTTGATAAATCCTCAATTCTCCAAGTTTTCCACGTAATTGACATTCCATCAACATTGCAAGCTGAAAATCAGAAAAATTGAATTTTTCATGTACCATTTGAGTTCTGCTATAGATTTCTGAAGGCTTTCTGGGTCTCATGACAATTTTCCAGCTAATTTTCAGAGATTCACAGCGAAATCTTACATAAACTCCAAAAATTTCAACCGAAACAGTGTTTCTTTAGAAAAAAACCCACCTTTCTTCAATAATCCTCGGATTTTCCATTGGAAGCGATAATCGCAGACTTGTAGAACATCTGAAAATGTCAATTTTTGACTGAAATCCACTGATTTTCCCCGAAAACCTCAAAACGCAGCGAAAAAAAAAGAAAAATGAAAATATTTTCGTGTTGCGCTAAACAGCGGGCAAGCTGGAGTGTCGTTGTAACAATAAATTATTTTTTTTGAACTAGTATACTCTTCGTGAAGTGTAGTTGGAGAGAATCTCAGGGTTCCCACCTGTTATACTTTTGATGTTATCTATTCTCAAAGTCAGAGTGAGGGGGGGGGGGGTTCCTGTTTTGAAGAAAAAACCCCCTGAAGTTACAATAAGCGTGTTAGATGTTCCAAAAATTGCAGCGCTCAAACCCTCAAAAAAAGAGAAAAATAAATAAAAATTCACGAATACTTCTACCGTACCTCCCATCAAAGGCGCACACAATTTTTCTCCCGTGTCTCGCAACGCGCGTTGATTTTTCACAAAAACGAAGCGGTGTACGAAGCGTGTTTGCACAAAAAGAAACATTTAATGTGACGCCAAATTTTCAGTGATTTCGTTTTTTATAAGGGGAGGATTCTATTTTTGCGCCAATATTTGGAGAGAATCTCAGGGTTGGTTTAGTTTACTTTATATAGATTTTGCTAATTTTTTAACATTACAGGAAAATCGTCAGCGAAATGGTGAACAATCGATATAGGAGCGGAGCGAATTTGTGTTGGATGATTTTGGATTTCGAGGAAAAATGGAGAAAATGTGAGTTTTTTGGGGTTCTGGGTTTTTTGAAAGTTAGACAAATACATTATAACATTTAGAGAGAATCTCAGGGTTCCCAACTGTTATACTTTTTATGTTATCCTTTCTCTTGATTTATTTTTGAAAAAAAAAACGAAGCGGTGTTTGCACACATCCAAACACTTGATGTGACGATAAATTTTCAATGATTTCGCTTTTTACAAGGGAGATAAGGGAGAGACTTTTTTCATTGACTCCCAAAAACGATTGCAATCTAGAATGTTTATTTTTCAAAACCAAATCAAATTTCAATACAAAACTAGAATCTAGTTTCCGCCGCATTTTCACCAAAAATATAGCATTTCTCAGCTCTCGATTCAATCATTTTGCTATTTGGAGCACAATTGAAAGTCTTTCCGAAATCCAAATTTTGCGCGGCTCCGCTGTTGATACGAACATTTGATGCGTGATGACTACCCTTTGGATATGAAATTCTTGGCTTTGGCTGAAATTGATAAGATTTTTGATTGAAGAAACATGTTATTTTTAAAGATTTGAAATTTTAAAACAAAACTAACACTACAAAGAGTTGTTCCATGACTGTAGAAATATAGTTGTGCATGTGTCATTCCAATTTTCGAACCAATTATTTCATCCTAAAATGAAATTCGTTTGAACGTATAGTAGAACTCACTGTTTCAAAAATATTTTTATAACTTTGAGGATTTCTAGAATTCGTTGAATCTTTTGGACTATAACAACGTAAAGTATGCAACCTAAAACACACATTCATAGTTTCTCCATAAAATGCTTTGAAAATCTGATACATAATTTCGAATGAAAATGAATCCGCGCCATTGTCGTCGAATTGAATATCAGAAGTTTTACATTCACCTTCCGCAAAGTATTCGCATGATTTTGTAAATTGATTTTGAATACAATTTCTTGTGTCATTCGAAAAATATGGCAAGAAATTGTCTCCTCTTTCGCTTACAATATAAGTGTGACCAACTTCGTGAGCAACTATTTGAGCAATTGATCCAAGCTGAAAAGAATCTAGTGGATTTTTTGTTCTCTTCAGAAACCCGGCTTACGTAAAATGCTGGTGGTAGGTCGATTTTAGCGTAATATGCAAATGCAAGACCGAATCCCATAATTGGATAACTATTAAATGCATTGTCACCACTGAACAATGCGTACTTGTCTTTTTTATCCATGTTTTTGATTGTGTGAAGATGACAAATTGAAATAAGATCTGATGGCACATTTTTTGAACATTTATTTAAATTTGATTCATAATCTGTTAATCGTTTTATATTCAGATTAGCAATAATTTCAGGATCCGGTAAATAAAGTTTTTTTGAAATGTTCTCGAATATTCTCGTGAGATTATTGTTTTTGATCCATGGTGTTTCCTGGAATTGAAAAAAATTACTCTAAAATTTTTTGGAAAGTCTAAAAAGGTTAGAATAAACATAACAATAAACTTCACAAACTGACCCGCAATTTTTCAGAAGTTAAAGCTTTGATAATCGCAATTGTTGAATTAATTCTATCGAAAACTTCCGTATTATTTTTTATCCATTCAAACGATTGTAACACATCTGTTGCATCGATTGGAAGGTATACAAATTTCTTAACAAGAATTTAACTAATTATTTGATGTATTTTCAAATTATTATTAAAACTCACTATTTCTTCTTTAGCAAGATCGAAATTCTTTTTCAAATTAAATTTAATGAACTCAACAACATCGGTACAGTTATCATTTTCTAACGCGATCACAAAACATCTATCATCTTCACACGGAATATTCTCATTCCGGATCAAACTTTCAAGCTGTTCTAAGAACAATCTGAATTCGTCACGATTTTCTTGGCAAAACTTTTCAGATTTTTCAAAAATTAGATCAAATGTTGTATTATTTCTTATAGTTTCGATAAGTGTTTCGATTTCTTCTTTGATTTTCTCAAAGTTTTCGGGGATTTTGTATTTTTCGAAATCTTTCCGGAATTCTTGCTTCACGATTTGAGAAAATCCATCGGTTTTATTTTGGGGGCAAACATGTCGATAAAGATTGTCGCAAACTCCAACATTTTTATCCAAAGTACTGGAAACAATTACTGTTTCAAAATTTTTTTTTAGAAAATCTTACTTTTCCAAAACTTCGAGCCAATTGATCGAGAAAATTGGGAGAATCAGGCAAAAATAGATGAAAATTGAGAGTTTCATTTTATTTTTTGAATTTGAAATTAAAATGGAAAACTTGCATTTTTATAGAAGAATTTGACAATAAGAACAATTCTTCTTTCAACTCAAAAATATTTAATTCATCTTTTGTCAGATGAAAATTGAATAATAAAAGGTTTCGATGAATTTTCAGGGCAAACAAACTAGAGAACAGTTTTGTTCTCTGAAGTTTGAGATTTGAAAAAAAACTGCGTTATGAAAATTCACTGTTTCAAAAATAGGTGAAAACATTGAGAGATTTAAAACATTTAATAGATGTTTTTCGATGATTTGGTGAGAAAAATTCAATTTTTTTTTCCAAACCAAAATTTCACTGTTTCGAAATTTCTATTTACGAGGGAATAACAATTAACAACAAAAAAAAATGATTTTCTGAACAAAAACGAAATTCAAAAATTCGATTTCAGTTTATAAAAATTTTCACTGTTTCAAATATTTTTTGTAGTTTTGCGAAGATTCTGCATTTTGTTAGTTAATAATTGGATAAAATCAAAAATAAAAAAATTTCAGTTCACAAGATTTTCACTGTTTCAAAAATTATTTTTTATTTTTCGAGGTTTCTGCAATTTGTTTTTTTTTTTTTTGGAAATACTCATTGAAAATTATTTATAAAATACATTACAAAATTTCGATGAAAAGACAACAAGAGTCAAACAATGTACTTTTCATTTAAAAAAACATTTTTTTCATTCAAATATGCCGAATTTCATACAATCTTTATTTCAAAACAAAAATCAATCAAAGTGTGATTTTTTGATTGTTCGATCGATGATTAAATCAAATCTTTCCGATGCGGACCAATGTTGCGGAAGTTCGCTGAAAAAAAAGTTGGGAATCAATTAGTTGTATTTGTTCATTCAACTCACTAGGCAAACTTAAACGCGAAGGACTTTACAGTCTTTTCACAGGTATCCGCGAGCCGTACGATTTTTTTCGCTGCTACTTTACGGGCCAACAGCCAAATCAGTCGAATCGAGAATTCGAGTGTTTTCCGATTATTGAAAAAACTGTTGTTTCTTACACCGGCCGTTTTCTTATCTAGCGGACAACGAAACTGAAAAAAGTATTTGACTTCCCTTGTGAGTTGATTTTTTTTTTTGGAAAAAAAAACTTTTAATTCAAATTTTCAGCTTTTAATGCACATTTACGCAATGTTTTCAAATAATTCCCCGTCTAATTTTGAGTCGAATGAACATTTTTCAGAAAATCTCGAGTGAAAGTTAATACAATTTCCTTATAAATTTCAATTTTCAGAAATTTTAATTTTTGTTTGATTGTTTTTTTCAACAACCTTCTGGAAACGTACTTGTGATTTCGTATCCGCCGAGCTGAAATACAAAACCATTGGTTTGGAACATTTCGGGCATTTTGGTGTCCATAGCAATTTTAGTGCTACCATAGCATCTGCCAATTTTTTCTTGCTAGAGAATAAATCCTCATATTTTCCATCATCTGAAATTTGTTGATTTAGAAAATAAAACTTTTAATCGTAACTCGCAAAATAAGCCCGAGTTGCTGCAAGTCTGCCACACATCTGTAGCTTACTAGGAAAATACATGAGGTTAGGTTGAACTTTTCCTAAAATTGGTACACCTATAGAATCGAACCCTCTGATCTCGAATCTGTTTTCAAAAATAGCCACAAAGAAAATTCACCAGGGTTCGACCCCACCAGACGACATTTATTTTCTGTTAAACATTTTCGATTGTCGAATCGATATCAAGTTTTAGAAAAAGTTCCTGGCCTCATGCACTTCCCTTGTTAAGATTATCGGTACAAAAAAACTGCACAGCGTTTGCAAAACAAGCATCGCAGGCAATTACAGATCAGCTTATTATTAGTCTATTATTGACCTATTTTGAATTTTGGCTTATTATAGGCTAATACGGTACATATTATTGGTCAAAAATGTGATTGCAAATTTGAAGAGAAAGCGAGAAAAAGTAATGAAAACATTTTTTCGCGCTGCAATACACGTCAAAATTGTTTTCATTTTCATTATTTTACTTGTTTTTTTTTGGTGGAAAATGCATAATTCTTTCCACATTTTGATTAAAAGTTTCAAAAAATCAATGTACATATCCACACGACGCCCATTTTGCACGGCTGCAATTTTGGAACTCGCAAAATCACATTTTTATTTTTTAATTGAAAACAAGCAATTTTCTGCTTATATTAGGCCAATTTCAAAAAATAATTTTCACAAAGCTGGGCGTGATTTGCATATAACTCACTTTATCCCGGAATGATGACTCAACGCAAATCTGTATCAATCTTTTATACTCCATAACTTGATCATTTTGAGCATTGTTCTCCATTATATATTCGAGGTCATATTTCGTTCTGCAAAAAAATTGGCATAAATTTAAAAAATTCAAAAAAAAAACTCACTCAAATTGCAATCGTTGAACACTCATTATTGATTTTTAATTCAAAAACCAGATTGCGATACCAAAATCTGTAGAAATGACCAGCAAAATCACGTTTTTCCTCATTTTTTTCCACAAAATTAGGGCAACACGTTTTAAAAAATATTACTATATTTTACATTTTTTTACATAATTATACATATAAGAGAGAGCGAGTTTAAAAATCAGAGACAAGTCGTTTTGAGAAGCGATTTTTTCGAACATTATGCCAAAATCTGTGCAAGTACGTTTTTCATCAAATGTTCGTATTTTTCTGAAAAATATTTGTATTATTTTCTCGATTCATTTTATCATTGTTTTTTTTATGCATTATACATAACCTGAACAATTTTATCATTCAAAAAATACTATTTATTTGATGTTAAAGAAATACATTTTTTTATTTTCTGTACGAATTTCGAAAAACTGAAATTCATACAAAATATAAATTTTTTTATTTTTTGTACGAATTTCGAAAAACTGAAATTTGTACAAAGATAATTTTTGTACGAATTTCAAAAAAATTTGGTAAATTTGGGCAGCCCTGTATGGTGGTCCTGTATTGTACTACAGTTATCATTTTCTAACGCGATCACAAAACATCTATCATCTTCACACGGAATATTCTCATTCCGGATCAAACTTTCAAGCTGTTCTAAGAACAATCTGAATTCGTCACGATTTGCTTGGCAAAACTTTTCAGATTTTTCAAAAATTAGATCAAATAAGAATAGGCCAGTTTCATAAGTATGTTATAAATAGTCAAGTTGATGAAAACTGTCGTTGAATTGTACCATGTTGAAAAAACAGACATATATCTGATAATCGGTATGCAATTCAAACTTTTCCAAGAAACTGTCAAGAAAAACTCTTATTCTTATCAGCCTCGCTTTTTTTTGAACACTCACCAAAAACCATTTTTCAAAATCAATTTATTAAACAAAAGAAGGAACAACAATGTTGAAAATAAATGTAAAAAAATTGGCTGCATCTCATTTTTTGACATTTTATCTCCCAATTCCGAAGAAAAAATGTGAAAAAATCAGCCACAACCAATTTTTTGACATTTTCCAGTGATAAAAAATGTTAAAAAATCGGTCAGAGCTAATTTTTTCACATTTGATCTTCACAAAAAAACCTTGGAAAAATGTGAAAAAAACGGGTGCAGCCAATTTTTTCACATTTTTTTTGCTATTCAAAAATGTGAAAAAATGAGTTGCAACAAATTTGTTGACATTTTTGAATCGAAGAAAAATGTGGAAAAACATACAAAAAATTATTAGAAAAAATTCCTCGAACGGTTGTTTGAAGACCCATCTTATTGTGTCGATTGTTTGTCATCCGAGTACGTCCCGATTTCGAGATTTGTCTGCAAAAAAACTGTAATTGTAATTGCAGTAGAAACGAATGTTTTTTCTCAAGTTTATAAAAAACGTATGAAGAAACTTGGTGGAAGCGATAAATCAATTCTAATATAAGGTATCATTTTTCATCACTTCTCAGAAAACAATCTGAAGTTGGTTTTTCTTCTCTATACAACAGTAAAGTAAAAATTCGTGTTTCGAAGTTGAAAGTTTCATCAGAACCATGTGAGCACTTTTATGAAGCTTCAAAGTTATCAGTCTTTCACACTTTTTGCACCTTGATTCGGTGAGCAAAAATTTCCACTTGATTTTTGCAATTTTTGAATGTTTCTTGTGAAAAGCAGAGAAACTGACACTTTGTAGCATCATACCAGTTATCAACGGGAGTTTCTAATGACTTGCACCTCCCATATCACAATTAGCATGCTTAATTCTGTATTTCCACCAAGTTTCATCGAAATTTAGGTTCTTGATGTGTTTTCTTCCTTTGTCAAATAAAAACAAATTACTTACCAATAATTCCTATATAGTGTTGTTCCAGTTGTTCTTCCATCACCATTTATCGATTTTATCACCTGAAAGTATCAAAATACTATTTTCATATAGGATAAAACAAACAAAACACATTTTCGACGAAAAAGAAAAAAAATATTTTTTGAAATCGTCCGAGAGAAGTACACGAAATGTGTGTTCGCTGCGAGGTACACACACATGTCATCGTCCTCCCTTTAATCGAATTTCTTTTCTTTTTTTCGTTTTTTTCGAAGAAATCGACGGAAAATAGTTGTGAAAACGGGAAAAACCGTTTGTAAATAGATTGAGTTGATGAAGAATAATCAGCCCAAAGTGTGAAACGTGATGAATTTTGATTTTTTCCTCGAAATAGTCGAGTTTTGTTGGTTTTTTCAGTTTTCAAAAGAATTTTCGAAATTGAAGGGTTAAATTAAGTTCAATTTCTGTTGTTTCAATGCTTTCATAATTGGTAACTCTCAATTTCACTACTTCTCTGAAAATCACACGTTTTTACGCGAAAACAGAAAATGTGAAAAAATGCGCTGTGACCGATTTTTTCACATTTTTCCTCCTTTTTTTTCTTTGAGAAAATGTGAAAAAATCGGTCAGAGCGCATTTTTTCACATTTTTTGAAGAGAAAAATGTGAAAAAATCAACCGAAGCGAACTTTTTTACATTTTCGATTCGAACAATAAAACAATTATGAACATGAGGAATGGGAATAAGAAAACAATGGGATTTATGAGCAACTTAATAAAGAAAACAACAAAAAATCAAAAACAATATTTTTGTATTAGAATGTAATTTGTCATAAAATGGTTTGATTATCTTCGATAGCACATTAATTCACACAAAATACTTATAAGTTTGAAAAACTGCGCTGTTTTGTCTTTCAGAAGTGGAAAATGAACATTTTGTGATGTTTTCGTTCCACTTAATGAATTCCTGACTATTTATAACATACTTATGAAACTGGCCTATTCTTAAATGTTGTATTATGTCTTAAAGTTTCGATAAATGTTTTGACTTCTTCTTTGATTTTCTCAAAATTTTCGGGGATTTTGTACGTTTCAAAATCTTTTTTGAATTCTTGAATTATTGCTTGAGAAAATCCATCAGTTTTATTTTGGGGGCAAACATGTCGATAAAGATTGTCACAAACTCCAACATTTTCATCCAAAGTACTGCAAAAAATTACTGTTTCAAAATTTTTTTTTTAGAAAATCTTACTTTTCCAAAACTTCGAGCCAATTGATGGAGAAAATTGGGAGAATCAGGCAAAAATAGATGAAAATTGAGAGTCTCATTTTTTAAATGTGAAATTAACAATGAGAAGTTCCATTTTTATAGAAGTTTTCAACAATGAGAACAATTCTTCTTTCAACTCAAAAATATTCAATTCATCTTTTGTCAGATGAAAATTGAATAATAAAAAGTTTCAATAAATTTTCAGGGCAAACAAACTAGAGAACAGTTTTGTTTTCTTGATTTTGAGATTTGAAGAAAAAACTGCGTTATAAAAATTCACTGTTTCAAAAATAGGTGAAAACATTGAGAGGTTTTAAACATTTAATAAGTTGTTTGGAGATGAACAAATAATCTAAATCATCGGAATACTTCAATCTAATGATATAATTGAAAATATCTGACAATTCTTTCCAACATTCCAATCCATTGAAAAGGGATCCAATATCACTCCATGCAATCTCTTTCATTTGCATAATAATTTGCTCGTCATACTCATTCTTCCAAGGTAAACCTTTTCTTGATATCAAGTCACATAGCATATAAAGAAGGGATTCAATGTCATCTTTGAAACCAATGTCGTTTCTTTGATGACAAGTTAAAGATGCAAACTTTGGAGTTCCTTTGAAGGCTAATCCAGTTCGAAATTGAAATTTGGAAACTTGAAGAAAAAACTGCGTTATAAAAATTCACTGTTTCAAAAATAGGTGAAAAGATTGAGAGATTTGAAACATTTAATAGATGTTTTTCGATCATTTCGTGAGAAAATTTCAATTTTTTCCAAACCAAAATTTCACTGTTTCGAAATTTATGTAAAATTTACGAGGGTTTTGAATTTTGTTCTTAAAAGGAATGCTGTGGGGAATAACGATTAACAACAAAAAAAATGATTTTCTGAACAAAAATTCAAAAATTCGATATTTCATTGTCAGTTCATAAAAATGTTCACTGTTTCAAATATTTTTTGTAGTTTTGCGAAGATTCTGCAATTTGTTTTTTTTTTGGAAATACTCATTGAAAATTATTTATAAAATACATTACAAAATTTAAAAATAAATTTTTCCAGAATTTCCAGCGACCAAAGGTTTTTTTTTCAAAAAAAAAAACCAAAATTTCAATTAACAAGATTTCACTGGTTCAAAAATAACTCTTATTTTTCAAGGTTTTCGAGCTTTGTTCATGGGATTATTTCTTTCAGAAAAAATTCATTTCAAATTCCAAAAAATCAGCTTAAAAATTATCGTGGAGCTCTTCTTCCAAACAAATGACATTGTTGTTTTCTTATCGAAATCATCGGTGAATCATTCGAACATTTGAAAAGTTTTTGAAAATCTGGAATTTGTGAGACGACTGCATTCACTCGAATATTTTCAGGAGAATGTTCGGAATCTTGATTAGTTTCCGGCTGAAAATATAGGTTTCGAAATCAGCGCTGAAAATTGGTTCTCAAAATCTCACCTGACACCAGGCGGCTGCAAAAGCATAGAAAAACAATCGATTCTCATCTTCGGAATCCACATCAAACTTCTGCATTCGAAAAACATCGTAGGATAATTGAAAACCTATCAAATCTGCGCCATTTTCTTCGAATTTTCGAGAAGTTGTGCAATCTCCCTGATTATAAGAAACAATTTTTATTGACTTTTTTCAACAAAAAAAACCGCACCTCATTAAAAGCATTGCAAGTGTATTGAAAATGGTTTTGAACACATCTCTCGATTTTTTTGGGGAAATAATATAAATCTGGATTTTGTTCGATGTCCGCGTCACTCATTATGATGCCGTGACCGATTTCATGACCAATTGCACTTGAAATACCCATCTGCAAGAGATTTTGGGTGAAAAATTGAAATTTCTAATTTGGCAGAATGTATAGAATTTATAGAACAAATTCTTCGAAAAAATATGAAATTCATGAATAAATTTTGAAACAGTGAATTTTTTTTAATATTTCAGTTAACTTTTATCAGTGAAACAATAGTACGAAACAATTTTGAGGCAAACAAAATTGTTCATTGAATTTTGAAACAGTGAAAAAATTTCGAATGAAAATTGGCATTTTTTCAACAATTTTTGCACCGAATGCAGCTAATGAGCAAAAAAACCAAGAAAATCCGTGTTTTTTGAAGAATTTTGAAACAGTGAATTATTTCGAGAGAGAAAAAAATTCTAATAGAATCTACAAACCTCGTATGAATTTTGAAACAGTGAATTTTTTTGAACAAAAATTGCTCAATTTAAAATTTCTGACTATAATTTTGATTTTTCATTCATTTTTTTTCCTATTTTCGAAATATAATAAATTTTGAAACAGTGAATTTTTTCAATATTTCGGTTCATTTTAATCAGTGAAGCAATAGTACTAAACAATTTTGAGGAAGCAATAATTTTTCTAAAAATCCTAAATTGATCTTTGAATTCTGAAACAGTGAAAAAATTTCGAATGAAAATTGGCATTTTTTCCCGTATTATTGTAACTGCCAAGCAAAAAACCAAGAAAATCCGAGTTTTTTGAAAAATTTTGAAACAGTGAATTTTTTCGAGAGAGGAAAAAATTGCTCAATTCAAAATTCTGACTATAATTTTGATTTTGTCCTTCATATTTTTTGAAACAGTGAAAAATATACAATGAACAATTTTTTGCAGAAAATTTCAACATTTTTCAAATTGAAAACTCACAAAAACCGTAGGATCCTTAATTTTCGCCGCCAAAAAATAATAAACTTCTCCCAATGTAATATTCTGTCCATAAAAAGTCGCTTGATAACCCTCATCAACAATATCATTTTTCATCCCAAGTTCCTTTAATTCCAAAATACAAATCAAATCCGAAATTGCCTTATTTCTCCTTACAAGATATTTGAGACAAAGTGAGAATTTAGTTGCAGCTCTTTTCAGATTTTGTTCCGCTTCAAGTCTCGATTTTCCATGTGTCTCGTGAAATTCAATATCTTCAATGATTTCTCGAAATAATTGCACTTTTTTAGTTGTTTTGAGCCAAGGTGTTTCCTGAATTTCAGATTTTTTTTCTGAAAATCAAAAAGGATAAACTAACTTTTATCAAATGAATCGCTCGATGTTTTGTATCCTTCACTAATTTCTGAAGTCTTTTTCATAGCATTTTGACCTTTTTTCAAAATCCACGTGTGAATTTTGACACGGTATAAAGTATGTTCGTATAATTCTTGGAGATGGGTTGAAATCTAGAAAATTTTGAAAAAATTTGTATTAATTTGCAACTTTTTTCATTGTTCATGGAATTCATAAGTGGTTTTATTAAATGACATGAAAAAATTCGAAAAATTATAAAATTTTTGAAACAGTGAATTTGTTTACTGTTTCAAAAATATGATTTTCAGATTTTTTTGATGAAAATGAAAATTTCAGATTTTTTTGATGAAAAAAAGTTTTAACGCACGAAATTTTTTTTAAAGCGGAAATTTTAATGTACAACTTGGGACATCTTCAGTTTAAAACATCTCACGAGACAATTTTAGGCGCGAATGTTTTTTGAATTCAAAAAAGTGGGTGAGGTACGTTTCACCAAGTTGTGATATTTCAAATTTACGATTTCTGTTGTTGGATAATTGTTTTCAAAAGTGTCACTTGGAATTTTTTTTTGAAATTTTGTCAATTTTTTGGGATTTTTTTGAAAAATCAAAAGCACCACATCAAAAACATCTTATTTATTTTTCAAACCTGAGCAATGTTTTTAATTCAATCCAAAAAGTCTCAAAATTGTTACCCACCTCTTCATCAATCGGATAATTCCTCACACATTTCTCCAATTCTTTCTTCTGATGTTTACAAATTCTCAATTTTTGCAAATCCCTAATACAATTTCTCGTTTCCTCAAATTCATCCGGCAAAACATCGATAATTTTTTTCAGAAAAATATTCGAATGTTCCCTAGGCAATTTGCAAATCGCATCGAATTCAAGTAAAATTTGACGCCAGAATTTTGAGCTCAAAATCTTCGCAGGGGTTTCGAGGATACTTAGAAAATAGGCAATTTCAGAATTTTTTGGGAAATAATTGATTCTGCTGATTGTTTGGAAAGCATTACGATACATGAATTCATCAAAAGATTCTTTCAAATTTTCCTGACAAACATGACGATAGAAATTATCGCAAGGTTCCACGAGTTCGTGGAAATGACTTCTATTTGACCTGAAATTAATTTTTTCAAAAAAATTCAAAGTTTAAATTTGAACGCACTCTTTGAAATAATCATAATAAAGATCAGAAGTCACAAAATTGCAAAGAAATATTGAAAAAATCAAAATATTATTTGGCATTACAATAACCTTTCCGGACAAAGTTTTCGGGCATTTTATAGGTTTTCTTTTCATTGTTGATAAATTTTAATCAAAGTTTTCAACATTTTTCTGTCAAACTTAAAACTTTCAGAATGTTTGTACAAAAAAATTCACCGTTTCAAAATTATTGTCCAATTTTGGAAATTTCTACATTCTTTCGCACAGCGGCAAAGTTACCCTAACTTTCTGAAATTTCAAAATAGATTATGGAATTTTTTTCATTCGTAATTTTTTCACTGTTTCAAATATTATTAACATTTTTGGGATTTTTGAAAAATTGTTTCAGCATTGATTATCTAAGTTCGGGAGAGAAAATTTCAATGAAAAGGTTCAAAAAGAAAAAAAAACATCTCAAATTAATTTCACTGTTTCAAAATTTATTCCTAAATTTTCATGATTTCTCGTAGATTTTGTTTAAAGATGGAAACTATGGGGAAAAAATTGAAGATTTTTTAAATAGGTTGCGAAAGCTTGCTGTGCGAAAAAATGTTTGAAAAACTGCAAACATTTTTCACTGTTTCAAAAAATATTTGTTATTTGACTGTTTTTTTTTGAAATTGATTATTCTTATATTTTCAGCAAAATTGAAATTTTTCCGAAATAACTTTTTGCATATTTGGAGGCTACAAATTGTATTTTTCTTTTTCACGCGACATCAAAAAAACAACAGATTTTGGTTCCTTTTTAATTAATTTTGAAAAATGAGACTTCTAACTTTTCTCGAAATAAATTCAATATTTTTCGGAATTCTAGGAATTCTTGGAAGTATTATTTGTATTCTTCTTATTCTAATCGATAAAAATTCAGATATCAAAAAAACAATGAAAGGATTGCTCATATTATACTCTTCAAGTGATATACTATACTCTAGTTTGCATATGATTTCGAAACCCTCATTTATTTTGCTAGATGATATTTATTCATATTTTTCATTTGGAAACTTTGAAAATGGCAAAATTCTATTATTTTTGTATGCATTTTCATTTATTCAAACAATTACAATTTTAACAATTCTATTTATTGCAAGAGTTTTGGTTATTTTACCATTTGGAAATAAATTGAGAATTTTAACTGTTTCAAGAATATTTCTCATTATATTTTTGGTCCCATTTTTATACTGTTTCCCGCCGATTTATTTAATTTGGAACAGTCCTGGAATTATGCCAGATGATGTGAATTTACTCAAAAATTATATATTTTCTGAAGTAGACAACTTAAATTTCGCGCACTTCAGCCTAAAACTTGGAAGTCCGGAAACATTTCAACTTTTATTATCATTTTCAAGTGCCTTTATTATTTTATCAATCGAAATTTTAATTATAATAATTAGCTCAATTTTTGTTATCAAAACAGTTGGAAATATTGATATGAGTCAGAAAACTCGGAAAATTCAAAAACAATTATTTTTCTATCTACTTTCTCAATCAATTGTTTGTTTTTTGTCAAGCGGAGCACAAGTTTCATTTTTTCTTTTCTCAACGGTTTTTGAATTGAAAATCAGCCCGGAAATTGGTCTACTATCAACTGGATTATTAGCATGGTTTCCAATTTTTGACTCGATTTTTATGTTGAGTTTTGTATCGACTTATCGCAAAACATTGCTCAGGTTATTGAGGATTAATAATGCGGAAGTTTCGCAAGTTTCAACTTTTCGATTTCCAAGTACTAGCAGAGGATTATGAATTTTTAGCAATACAATTTTTGATTTATATTCTTTGTAACATAATTTTTAAAAAATATTGAAAACTTACCTATTTCAGTGATTTTGAAATGAAATTTTGAATGAAAATATATGTTTATGCAAATCAACAACAATAACATGTTGAAAATGTTGAATTAATAATAGCTGGCTAGCTCATCATCGGCATCGAAAAAGACTTCCATAAGCACGGTGTTTCCTGGAGAACATCTAACTATCATTGACAACTGTGGTTTTCTTGCGTGTCGGATTAAAGACTCTGAAAATATAATTCAATTCAACAATTGTTCTTTTTTCTTTAAAATATATGATTATACTCACTTTCTTGTGTGCATATTGAAATTGAATTCTGACATTATCCGCATTTTCGAAAATGGGGTTTTTATTCTCTTCAATTGCAAGTCGATAAAATTCATCGTCAACTTTTTCTACTTCCAATACTTGATGAATCTGGCCACTTCTCTTTCTGTCAAATCTCCACGCTCGAATTTGAATCAAGCCTCACTAACACCATGAATCGAATTCAAAACTTTCTCCTTGATCAAAAAAGGTGCGGTTACAATAAACATCAGATGCGCTTGATGAATTTAACTGAAAAAACAGCTTTATTGAGTGTACAAAAATATTTAATATGGAAATCTTACCATCATAATAAATATGAGCACGAAGAAGAATATGACGATCAATTCGAACATTTTTCGATGCTGTAAAAAGTTTTCTTTTGATAAAAATACAAGCTTTACATATAAAAAGCAAGAAAAAGGTGAATTTTTCATAAAACCCAAATTTCCCAAAATGCACGGAAGAATCATAAACCGGGGAAAAATTATATTGCGACGAAAAAATACTTCAAAGAGGGATACACGCGATGAAAACCGAAGAAACGTGGAAAAAATTTAAAAAATGAAAATGAAAAATGGGCGGAGCCATATTTGCAACCTGCGGCGTGCCTTTTTTGCAATGTAACTGCGGAGTCTTGTAGTTTTATTTTAATTTATTTATCGATTTTTTTATCAAAACCTCCAAATTTTCAGTTTTTTCCGCTTTAATTCGCGAATTTATATTTCTTTGAAGAAGAAAAACAATTTATTAATTAAAAATCTCATTTCCACCCAAAATATAATAATCAGCAAATCTCAAAAGCGTTAAATAAATCTCAAAAAATCGATTTTTTCCATTTTTCGGAACAACTTTCAAATAAACCAAATGCTGACTTTCACCTTCAGTTCTCGAAGTCGAATTAAAAATCGATATTTCTTCGAAATTCCTCTTTTTATCCATCAAAAAATGCACAATTTGATCTCGATTATAGGTGATATTTCCAGAATGCATATAGAATCCGCGAGCAAATTTGGCAGAAATTGCAACACGAAATCCACGCTTCAAATGTTCTTGGAATTTTGCGAGGAATTTTTGAGTGGAGGTGTCATCGGAGCATAAAATTTGATTTGATGAAAGGAGGATCATGATGAGGAGGAAAAATGCTGGAAATTTGGAGGAAATTTCAAATTTGAAGGTAAATTTTTGACTTACCGGTTATTTTGAGCATTTTTGCTGGAAATGAAAGAGAAAAATCACGTGAAAATGAAAAAAAAATCGAAAAATTAAATTATTCATTATCAAAAGCAGTTCTTTCAACAGAATTCAATGGACTCGTCGATTTTGGACAAGTTTCTGATAAATATTTCTGCAATTGTGCAGCTGCTCGTTCTTCATCTTCATTTAATAATGCTTGATTTGCATTCGTCTTCTCATTTTCATCGATTTTCGAAGGAATTTGAACAGTTTGACATGTTGAAATTGGAAAATCCGAAGATTTTTTGGTTTTATGGGAAACACTTGCAGTTCTACTAACCGGTGAATTTGATTGCTCCGAAATAATTGGTGAGTCGGGTTTTTGATATGCCGTGGATCTCTAAAAATCTTAATTATTGATTCTAAGCTCAAAAAAAACTCACTGAACAGCAATTTGATAAAATAAATCTGACAATAATAAAGTTATATAGAAATATCAAAATTTGATCACTTTTCAATTCGAACATGTTAGAAAATGGATTTCGTTTTGATTTATTTTTGTGGGAAGACCTTGAAAATTGGTTCACGTTGCAATGATTTAAAAATTAGAGTTGGTATTGAATTTTTGCCACGTCATAGTAACTCTTGAGCTAAAAAAAAAGTGAACCGAAAGTTATTAGAGCAAATTCTAATTAAAAATTTCGACTAATCTAAGATACACATAATCATTGAACCAGATCATCTTATTAGAAAACTTCAAAATTACATTTTCTGACATAATATATGTCCTCTTCCTCCCCAACCACAGCATTTTGGAACTTTATTTTCATTCTCCACGTGTTTATCTGCGTCTCTGGAATCCTCTCCCACTTATTTTTCATCTATATTTTCGGAATTCATGGAAAAATCAATAAAATTGGCCGAATTCTCTTGTCTTTTCTATCAATCGCTTATATTTTACAATTGGTTGCATTTTTAACAACAGAATTTCTATGTTTTTTGGATCATGGAAATTATTTTGAAGTTGGAGCATGTCGAAATCCCACACTTATTACTAATATGATACATCATTTGGGAGAAATTCTAGTGCTACTTTTGCATATTTTTGTGAATTTCAGTAAGGTTTCCTGGATTTTGGTATTATTTTCTGTTAGTTTCAGATCGTTTATCAGTTTTGCTTTACCCACAAAAATCTGAAAATCCTAGAAATATCAAACTTGGAATCATATTTGGCTCCATAATCTCTGCCCTTTATGTTTATTCTTTCAAATTTCTTGGAACTCAATACATCGCCTTTATAATTTTCCTATTTTTCAATTTCCTGAATTTATTTCTAGAAATTAAACTGAATCATTTATCGAAAAAAGTCTTCAATGAAACTCGGGGAATTATAAATTTATCCGGCAGATTTGAACTATATTTATCGAAAAAATTGATCAAACCATTTATGTTTGCAAGTCTTACGGGAATTTCGGCCAAGTTTTTGGTTGTAATTTATGGCATTTTCTATGGGCAAAAATGGTTGGAACTGGAGGAAGATCAGTTTTATCTGATGTTGAATGTGGTAGGTGATTTTTGTATTGATCAGTATGTAGGTTCAGTAAGAAATTTGCAGTTTTGGAATTTTGATAGTGCATTTTTCCCATGGTTTTTCTTGGCCAAACATCAACCACTTTTGAAGTTTTTTGGATTTTCAAAAAAGAAATCGGAAAGTGTTATAAATGTTGTGGAAAATCAGAATGATTATTTCAAAAATCTACAAATGACTTGGGGCTAAATTTGTAAGCTTGACTTTTTTTGTGTCTGCATTTTTAGGTTTTTCGAAGCCCTGTGAAGTATGAAGCTTTGTTATTTTTAACAATTTATTCAATTACAATATTTAGTTGTACAATCTGCCAAAATTCGAAAAATCATTAAATCAGTAGACTTTGCTGACGCATTCACTCCAACATGATAACTATCCAAATCAGTATAAAGTATCGTGTGATAACTTCTATGCATGTGTTTCTTCCGAAAATGTCCAATAGATCCTTTCTCATCAACTCTTAAATTCTCTCCCAATTTTCCAGCCAATAAAAAATTATCCACAAATTCATCCGAATTGTAAAACTTCCCTTGAAATGGAATTTGTGGGTCTCGTAGGGATCGAAAATCGATTTTCGCAATTTTTCGCGCAAATTCATTCGAATATACATCGGAATACTGTCTTCTAGGAAGATTTTTGCGAATTCGTGTGATATTTCGAGGTCCTCTTTTTCTTCTTCAGTCAATTCTTTTGGTGATATTTTTGGAGTTAGAAGAAATATGGCGAAAATTAGAGATTTCATGATTTTGATCTGGAAAATGACGGAAAAAAATTCATAAATTTTATGAATTGTCTAGACTTTGGAAAAACAATTTTTGAACAACGCTGATACTTTCTGAAAATTTTTATAATGCACATGAAAGTTAAGAATTCGTCCTGAAAATTTGGGGTTCTCATGGTTTATGAGGAGTCCAGAAAACCACGGAAAATTTTGCAAAACTTGTTCTCCTGGTTCAAAATTCAATTTTATTAATTTTTGGAAATGTTTGCCACGTCATTGAAAAATCGATTTTTGCTGATAAATTCTAAGAGTTTAACATTTTATTGAAATATTTATCCCAAGCCTCAAATTTTCAATTATTTTTTTCCAAATCGAACCAAAGAATTTCGCATTTGAGACTTGTGTTTTTTCGCATTGAGACCAGCGACCAAAATCGCAAAAATCACGAAAATATAGAATTTCATTTTTGTTTCTGTGGAAAGAATATGAAACTTGATTTTTTGCCGGAGATATTTATTGGAATTTTTTTTAGTTCTCATGGTTTATGAGGAGTTCAGAAAATCAATGGAAATTTTGCAAAATCAGCAAAAATCGATTTTTCTATGACGTGGCAAACATTTCCAAAAATTAATAAAATTGAATTTTGAACAAGGAGAACAAGTTTTGCTAAATTTTCCGTGGTTTTCTGGACTCCTCATAAACCACGAGAACCCCAAAATTCCCTTGAAAAGGCCCGGAAAAAAAAATCAAGTTTCAAATATTTTCAAAAAAAAAGATGAATTTCTATATTCTTCTGCTTTTTGTGACTTTAGCCAATGCAAAAAGTGCTTATAAAAACTTTCGGGATTATTATAATTATAAGATTTGGAAAAAAAATAATTGAAAATATATTTGATATTTACAACGACACTCCGCTGATGCTTTCTGAAAATTTTTGTAATGCACATGAAAGTTAAGAATTCGTGTTGTCCTGAATTTCAGGACCTGAAAATAATTTTTTGAAAAAAATTCACTGTTTCTCAATTTTTTTAAATAAATATATTTTTTAGTCTAGACAGTCCATAAACTTTGTGAATTATTTCAATTTTCTATACAAAAACTTTGATCATTCGAATTTTCCTTCAACAAATCATGAAACCCCTTCAAATGTTGCTTATAGTTATCCTAACTTCTCAAATCTCCACCGCTAATTTTGTGGAAGAAGAAAAGGAGAAGCTCAAAATTGGCCACGAATTCGCCAAAATCTTCCTCGAAACAAGTATTCCAATGTATATTCAACACAAAGTGCACGATAAATTGAAAAAATCACTTCATAATCCACTTATCGGAACTAAATTCAATTTCAAAGATTGTCAAGGAAAAGAATATGATGCTCAAGGATTTGTGGATAATTATTTATTGGCTGGAAGATTTGGAGAAGATCTGAAAATGGCTGATATTGAAGCTGGTAGATTGTCACCTTTATTAAGACGAGAAGTTGCGAGAACTTATTTTACAACAATTTCTACAAGTAGGGATAGTTATAGGGTTTCTGTGACTGCTTCGGATTTTCAAACTGATTTGGAGATTTATACGATTGTTCCGGATTGTAAGATTCAGTATTGTAATTAAAATTTTCTGGGGGAATAAAGTTATCTTGAACTGTAAAATTTTTTCTAGTGAGTTGTGATAACTTTGCCGCTTACTGTTTGGTAAGATTTATTTTCCCAAAAATTTTAATTACAATACTGAATCTTACAATCCGGAACAATAGTATAAATCTCCAAATCAGTTTCAAAATTCAAAGCAGTCACCGAAACCTTATAACTATCCAAACTCGTGTGAATTGTTGTAAAATAAGTTCTCGCAAATTCTTTTCTCAATAAAACTGACAAACTTCCAGCTGCAATATCAGCTATTGTCAAATTCTCTCCAATTTTCCCAGCCAATAAATAATTATCCACAAATCCTTGAGCATCATATTCTTTACCTTGACAATCTTTGAAATTGAATTTAGTTCCGATAAGTGAATTTTTCAATTTATCGTGCATTTTGTGTTGAATATACATTGGAAGACTGGTTTCGAGGAAAATTTTGGCGAATTCGTGGGAAATTTTGAGTTTCTCTTTTTCTAATTCCGTAAAATTAGAGGTGGAGATTTGAGAAGTTAGGATAACTATTAGCAAGATTTGAAGGGGATTCATGATTTTTTGAAAGGGAAATTCGAAAGCGCTAAAGTTTTTTGTTGAAGTTCACATGGTTTATGATTTTTAAATGGTCTAGACCGGAGAAAATGGGAAAATTGGCCTAAAGTAGGATCCTAAAGCCTCCTCAAGCCCCCCGAAGCCCCCTAAAACCCTATTAAGCCTCCTAAAATCTAATCAAGCCTACTTGGGTCTCTAAAGCTCTTGAAGCCCCCTCCCCCCCCCCCCAGACTTTTCAGTCTAGACAATCCATAAATCGTGTGATTGAAGATGTTTCTGTACAAAAAACATCTGTCCCATTCCAGATTTCAAACGAAAACATGAAGTTTTTGATAATTTTTCTCATAGCAGTAGTTTCGCTAACTCCAACAATCTGCGCTAATGAAATAACCGCAGAACAGCTGAAAATCGCTCATGAATTCGCAAAAATCTTCATCGAATCCTATATTCCGATGTATATTCGAATGAATTTACGCGAAAAATTGATAAAATCAATTTTCGATCCACCAATTATGAATAAGTTCAAATTCAAGGATTGCGAAGGGAACGAATATAATTTGGATGAATTTGTGGATAATTATTTATTAGCTGGAAAATTGGGAGATAATGTGACGATCGATGAAAAGGGATATGTTGGAAGGTATAATCGACAAGGTCATGACTTTTTCCCAACTTATTCCACACGTTTTCGAACAAGTTTGCGTAGTTATAATGTTATGATAACTCTTTCGATTGCCACTTCAAATTTACAGTTTTATACGATTTCTGCTAATTGTTAGGTTGATTTTTGGGAAACGAGAAATAAATAATTTTTTAAGGGATTTCTGGAGTTTCAGAACCAATTTTGAACTGATTTATTTCGAAAACCAAGCCACTTGAAATTGAAATTTTGAAAAAAATTTCATTCAAAAATTTCCACGTGGCATAATTGAACTAATTTTTATAAAAATTGGAAATAAAACGATTTTTCCCTACAAAATTGCCACGTGACATCATTAGAAAAAAATCCACGTGGCAAATTTGTTTGCAAAGATTGTGCGAAACCAGAAAAAAACGTGCAGAATTTGGGGGAATTTGCAAAATTTTTGTCTGTGAGACCCAATAAAATTTTGTAAATTTATTTCTAAAAATATTTCCTTCAGTTTCAGAATTCATTTTAGTTTATCTGAAAATGTTCCTAATTCCAATTCCTATATTGTTTCTGATCTACTATATACTAATTGGGAAAATTTTTTTGGCAATAGTATGTCCGGGACCCGTTCTCAAAACTGTGTGCATAAAAATTGATGATCAAAAAAAGAAAAAGTTTCTAAATGTTGGCAGCTCGGTGCGCTTCCTATTCATTCTTTCTCAAAATGTCTGTGAGTGCGCGGAGAACCAAAAGTTTGAAAATCTCAATGTATTTTTAGGATTTAAAATGTGTCGCTCGACTTTTCTCAATTTCCACAAGACCATTTTTGATGGGACCTTCACCTATCTATCCCAAATTCTTTCCCATCGAGGCGCTAATATTCGGTTTTTCAAAAAGTGCGCGAGTTTTCACGTAAAAAATCAAAACTTTTTTCATGCTAAAAAGAATGAGCACGTTTTTAATCAGAAAAATGGCTAGGTCACGTCTCTTATCTGATCTTTTTATTGCTCAGTCATAGCGGGACATTTTTAATCATTTCTCGCTATTACTCTATTCCTAATCGGTTTGAAAATAAATAGAAAAAAGTGAGTTAGATTACTGTGGATAAATTCATAATTTGTTCGAACTTTCAGATATTGGATAATTTCTTTTAGGAAGAAAAACAAATACTTTAATGTGAATGTTTGATAGTGAGTTTTGATGTGTTTGGGAATCCCAATATAGTTAAGCCCAAACAATTATTATCAATCCAAAATTTTGTGAGCCTTGGAAGAGAAAAAAAATCGGCCCGAGTTTTTTCGTTGGATGAAAAAAAATCGGCCCGAGTTTTTTCAAAAAAAATCGGCCCGAGTTTTTTCAAAAAAATCGGCCCGAGGTTTTTCGTTGGATGAAAAAAATCGGGCCGAGTTTTTTCAAAAAATCGGCCCGAGTTTTTTCAAAAAAATCGGCCCGAGGTTTTTCGTTGGATGAAAAAAAAATCGGGCCGAGTTTTTTCAAAAAAAAATCGGGCCGAGGTTTTTCAAAAAAAATCGGGCCGAGGTTTTTCGTTGGATGAAAAAAAATCGGGCCGAGTTTTTCAAATGAAAAAATCGGGCCGAGTTTTTCGTTGGATGAAAAAATCGGGCCGAGGTTTTTCAAAAAAAATCGGGCCGAGGTTTTTCGTTGGATGAAAAAAAATCGGGCCGATGTTTTTCAAATGAAAAAATCGGGCCGAGTTTTTTCGTTGGATGAAAAAAATCGGGCCGAGGTTTTTCAAAAAAATCGGGCCGAGTTTTTTCAAAAAAATCGGGCCGAGTTTTTTCAAAAAATCGGGCCGAGTTTTTTCAAAAAAAATCGGGCCGAGGTTTTTCAAATGAAAAAATCGGCCCGAGTTTTTTCGTTGGATAAAAAAAATCGGACCGAATGAATCAATGAAAATAATCAGAGGGCGGCGGAGTTTACTGTACTTTGGTTTTATCTTCCACGGCTCTGAAAATGTCAGATGGAACATAGAAGCTTATACTCAGAAAATAAGGCAGCATTTCTTTTCTCTCTGGATATGGATTTTTTGGATATAGATTTTAGATTTTCGGAACAGTTTCGCCAAAAAATGTCTTGATTGAAAGAGGTTAATCCAAATTTTCTACGTCTCAAAAACTGAAGCACAACATTTGGCGAAACTGTTCCGATAAGCTTTCGGAAACAGTTTCGCCAAATGTTGTGCTTCAGTTTTTGAGACGTAGAAAATTTGGATTAACCTCTTTCAATCAAGAAATTTTTTCGCACATTTTTTAAAACCATTTTTGTCAATTTTCTTCAGAAATTTTAAAAATCATACCTAGCGGAGAAAGAATTCAACGAAAATCAAAATTTCGGTTTTTGTTGAAAGAATCTTTTCCAACTTTTCAAAAACTACAACTCTGTCGTATTTTAAGACGAAACATGTTTCTGTTTACACCTAAAGAAAACTACGCGCGAAGCCGGGACAATCCAGAAGGAGGAGCCGGCGTTAGCCGGCGGAGCCCTTCTGGTAATCTCTAATTTTCATCAAACAAAATCAGTTGAAGTTTGCAAAGAATGTCAGAAATTATCGCAAAGATATTTACGCCACCAAAATCCAAAAATTCAGCCCTGCGATGATTTTTATGAATTTGCCTGTGGAAATTATGCCAAAACAAATCCTATAGGAAAATCCGAGCAGATTAGAAGTGATGTGCTTTTTGAAATGAAAACTGAGTTGGACAAATTCATCAAAAAATCCCTGGAAAATTTCGAGCCAAGATCTGAAGGAGCTCTGATTCATTATGAAGCTTGTAGAAAATATCAGAAAGATCTAGGAGATTTTAGATATCTGATTGGAAACTTCAGTGAAAGCTCCGGATCTTGGGAATCTGTTTCTGGAAATCTTTCAAGACTTGGAATTCATCCAATAATTCGAAATCTGGTTCTCGTGTCTTTTGGAGAAGAAGATCGAAATGAATTGATGTTCGCAGACCCCAAGGATTACCTGAATTCATCTCAGGTTCTTCTAGACGCCCATGACCTTCTAGAAAGCCTAGAAGTCAATGAGACTGATATTCAGGAGTTCCAAACATTTCTGAAATCTTCGAGTAAACTTCGAAGAGAAATTCAAGACTTCAGCTATATAAACATCTCAAGTTTCGGAGATTTTAAGGAAAATTTTGGGAGCATAAAATTTGATGAGATGTTTGGGGAGCTCTCAGATTCTACAATTGTTAATAATTTGAACTGGCCATTTTTTGAAGCCCTGAATTCGAAAATCAATAGATTTTCTCAGAAAACAATCAAAGATTATCTGATTTTGAGTCTGATAAAAGAAATGAAAAAATATATGGAGCAAGATTGTCTGAGTCAAATCAAGCAACTTTTTCCATTTTTTATTTTGAAAAAAATCATTTTACCAAAGAAGTTTGAGGAAACCAAAACCGGGGCTGAAAATCTGGTAAAATTGATCAAAAATAAAATGATGACTCGAATAAGAAAAGAGGAATGGATTGAAAATAATGATACAAGATCGAGAGCTTTCGACAAAATCGAGGCGATGACTGAAAATTTCGGATTTTTAGAAAATGAAGATGTTCAGGAAGAAAATGTGAAGAATTTGAAGCCTGATGAGTTTTTCGAGAATATTTTCAAGATCAAAAATTGGATGTTTCAGGGAGATATTTTGAGACTTGGGAAAAAGGCAAAGCCGGATTTGAGGCCCAAGATTTTAGGTGAGCTTGAACATGATTAGACCTCACCAAAGTCTCTGAATTTCAGATGTTCAAGCATTCTACATTCCCACTTATAACCAGATGTTTTTCACCGCTCCAATTCTAACCCCACCACTTTTCGCACCAAATTCTCCACCATTTATCACTTTTGGTGCTCTAGGAACAGCAATCGGGCATGAAATAACTCACGGATTCGATAATCGCGGCTCGAAATTCAATAAACATGGAAAATCGGAGAATTGGTGGGATGAGGAGACGAGTCAGAAATTCGAAAATCGAACTGAATGCATCAGGGAACAATATCATAAAGCGACTGAAGAATTCATGGGGAGGAAGTTAGAGGAACTTGAGGTGCCGGGGAATTTGTTGGGGGAAAATATTGCGGATAATGGTGGATTGAGATTGGCTTATAGGGTTTTTGAGAAGCAGATGGAGAAAGATGGGAGGAAGCTGGAAGGATTTGAAGATTATAGTTTGGAGCAAATGTTTTTTATTGTTTATGCTAATGTGAGTTGGCCTGACTTGAATGAAGGGACCTTTTAAGTTAACTATGACGTGGCAAATCTTAAAGATCTCTACGTCATTAAAGTACCTTAAGGTCCGCTTAAGGAACCTTAAGGATTTGTATCTAACCAGCATGCTCGAGATAAAATTTTGAAAAATGTTTTCCCAACTTCTCAAAACTTTGAAACAGTGCAATTTTTCTGAACAAGAAAATTGATTTTTTTTAATCCACGTGGCATGGTTTCTCAAATTTTCATCTGGAAAAGGCACTTTTTGCAATTCCTCTGATTCTGAGCCCCAAACTTTTTCAGAATTTCTGCGAAACCATAAATCCTTCAAAAATCGATGAATATCTCTCCAATGAATCGCATTCATTCGGGAAACTTCGTGTAAATTTGCCATTGAAAAATTTCCATGAATTCGCACAGGTTTTCAATTGCTCCAAAGAATCAGCAATGAGAGCGGAGAATAAGTGTAGGGTTTGGTAGAAAATTAATAAATGACCTTCTGAAGTTTCAGATTTTTAATGTCTAAAATTCTTATTTCGATTTCCCACGATTCTACATAAACCACCATCACAATCAATCAAAATGTTCTCGATTTTCCTCCAACTATCTCTCTATTTCTCTCGAATTCCCGCACAAAACGAGCAAATCTATGAGCGAGAATATCTGATGGGAGCTCACAGTATTCTAGACACCTATGCCTTCAAAATCCGAACCAGGCCCTGGCCAGGGAATTAGAAATCTATATACTGAGTATCTAGAAGTTCGGAATTTTCCACAGAATTTCACAGATCTGGACGTGGTTTCTGCCGAATTCAAATCTATAGATTGCGCTGGTTCAGAATATGAATTGAATCCAGATTCTTGGGAAATATACGGTAATGTATATTTGAGAAATTTCCTGGTTTTTTGGATTAAATTGACGATGCGCTGCAGAATTTGAGGATTTTGATGTGAAGCCGCGAATTTTCGAGGAAAAATGTTATACCTAAAATATTTATCCAAAAAAAAATTTTCACCAAATTTTGCACTTTTTTTCTTTGGAACATCCGAAAGTTTCAGAAAATTCGGGAAGATTTCGGAGAACTGTATTGATTCTTTCAGCTCCAAATGCATGTTCATCATTTCGCGAATAATCAGGATTCACATTATGACAGAAGGTCTGAAAAATGTGTGAGTTCTTCTAACTCTAGCTAATTCAAACTCACACTAGCAAACGCCACGAAAAACATGCGAATCCCCGACATATTCTGAAAATCTGTCAAACTTCTTTGATCTACAGAATTCTGCCATTGCTCATGATAAGCATCAAAAGCAATTCGTATTCCAATATTATCAGCTACACTTTCAGTCAGGATTTTGCTGTTATTTTGATATTGTGACATCAAACATTGATAATCAGTTGGAAAATTGAGAATTGAATTTGAATTCACTAAAAGTCTACTATTCTCATCATAACTTGCACCTTTGTCATCGAAAGCGTGAGCTATTTCATGAGATATGATAAATCCGATTGATCCATAGTTTACAAATGGTGGAACATCTTGACTAAACATCGGATAGGTTAATAATCCAGGTGGCAAAATTACGGAATTTTCACGGCGTTTGTAATATGCGTTGATTGATAGAACTGAGTTATGCCAATAAACTTCGACTGGTTTTTCGAGTTTTGAAAAATAGGATCTGGGGGACTTCTTTTAATTTTTGGGCCCATCAAATCTACCTTACCTCCGATTATATTTCCTCAAAATCACCAGATTCTCCAGAAACTTTCCAGGCTTCAACAAAACTTTCTCCTTTCCAATATCTAATTCAAACTTAGGATAACTCCATTGATCAAACCACATTTTTCCAAGCCTTTTCATTATCACATTTTTGTCAGGGGAATCTGTAGAATTCATCAAATTCCTCGCTGATTTTTCGATATTATTTATCAGATTTCGAATTTCCTTTTTCTTTTGCTCATTTGTTTTGAAATATTTCTTGGCTAGTAAAACTGGAAGTTGCTCTTTGAGTTCGTTTAGACAAATTGCCCAGATTGGATTTTCAGTCGATGAAAATCCATAGATTTTTCTCTCAAAATCAAAAAATTCCTGAGGATTCAAATATTTTAAAAACTCCGCAATAAATCTCCAAATTTTGTAATTTTCCAAGATCTTGGGAGTTGTTCTACCCAAGAGTTCATTTAACTTCTCAAAAAATCCTGAATCGTAGATGTTTACCAAAGTTGTGTTACCAAAATCAAATCCAATATTCCTAAAATTATCATTAAAATCCTCAAGACTCATCAAATTCCTATAACTCGCATGATTTTCCAATTTTTCAGAAGGTTCTTTTATAATCGCAGCCAAATTCTTCTCGAAATCAATAATTTCCTGAATTTCTAAGTCGCTGTGATCTTTGAGAATTTTCAACATGAATTTTTTAAGATGAGCAATGTTTTCAGGTTTCTGATAGCTTTTGATTTCCTTTAGAAAAAGTTCGGGAGGTTCAAAGTGCATCATATATTTTGTATTATCATTCAAAGATGGTTCGATCAGAATTTGGAAAAATGGATTCTCTGAGGAATTTCCAAAGATCTCAAGAAGATCTTCAACTTCTAAATTGTTCGAAGTCATACAAGAACCATAGAATATTTTTAAAATGCCCAAATCTTCCGAATTTTCTTCTAGAAACTCTTTCAACTTCAAATCCAGATCCACAGTCATTTCTTGAAAAATATTGACTCTTCTCTGATATTTCTTGGGTTTCGGATATTTCCCACAAACAAATTCATAGAAATTCTCGCATGGTTTGATAGATCTATTCAGATTTAACAAATATCGATTTGAAATTCCATTACAATCTGGAGATTTGCAAACTGATTTATCAGGATCAGAAGATGTTCGATTTCTACAAGTCCCGATGTCTACTGGAGTTCCACAAACTTCCCATTTTTCACAGTCTTTGTCGTATAAACAAGGGGTTTGGTTGGATAATTGGAAAAATAGGAAAAATATAAGGACAAAGATCGACATTTTTTTGATTTTAGAAATTTTTCGGGAAAAGTTCTCACAAGATTTTTATTGCAAGGAGACATCATAATTTTGGAAAATATTTGGGAATGTTTAGTGAAAGCTCAAAACAGAGCTGATGTAAATAATTTGGAAATTCAATTCACAATCGTTTTTTTTAAACATTTTTTATGGGCGTGACCTATAGAAATAAAATATTTCCAGCATTTTAAAATTTTTCCATCATTTCTAGGTTTCGAATTTTAGAAAGTGAGCTTCTGTAAAAATAAGACAACATGATTTCTAGTGAAAATTTATTGTTGCATAAAAAATTCCTACAATTCACTCAAAATGTTGTTCACCATCAACAAAATACAATTGATTATCATCCTGTTTTCTCGCGTAAAAACTCAAATCATGTTTTCCGTCCGAAGAAAATGCAACAAATCGATATTCGATTCCAGCCAAACCTTGTTTTCTTATAACTCTAGCACCATTTGAAAACTGAATATGGAATTTTCTATGAATCATATAATTCACATAATCGATTCGTGAAAACGATGCTCCACCAATACGCATCTCGAAAGACTTCAAAAATTGACCCATTAGCTCAGATTTCTTTCCGCTTCTAAGATTCTGAAGAAAATCTCGGAAAAAATCGTCTTGCTCTTCTTGAAGATTTATTGAATGAATCAGAGAGAATAGCGAGAAAATCAGAAGAATTTTGAGCATTTTTATTTTCAGACTGAACAAATCATTGGGGGAAACTTGATACCGCTCTAATTTTGCAACATTGTTTGTTTATTTTCAGATTTTTTGCTCGAAAATAATAAACTCCGCCCATTTTACAGGTTTTGAAGAAGAAAACGCGCTCTAATCGCAACAATTTTCAAAGGCACACAACCGCAAATTGTGTGTTGGGTCTCGAAGCGATGTAGGATTTACCGAATTTTTTCTTTTTTTTTTGGCGAAAAAGCCTTTTTGCGCTCTCAGAGATGAAAATGGAGACGGACGGATTTCAAAACGAGTTTAATCCGCAGGTAAATTCTAGTTTTTGACAACAGAATTATGATCAGCTGGTCAAAATTCGCCAGAAAGTTTAATTTAATAAATATATATGAAAATTAAAAAATTTTGCAGTTCGAAGAACAATATGAGGAAGGAGAAGCAGTTCCAGTCGCAGTTCATCAATGTGATGTTTGCAACAAGATCTTTGTGAATTTCAAAGGTCTTCAACAACACGCCGTAATCCACACCGATTGTAAACCATTTCAATGTGAAATTTGTGGCCGAGGCTTTCGTTTCAAGTCAAATATGTTCGAACATCGATCAGTTCACACCGGATTCACCCCACACATTTGCTCATTTTGTGGCAAAAGTTTCAGATTAAAAGGCAATATGAAGAAACATATGCGAACTCATGTGACAACGAAAGAGGAACTCGAAATCGCATATCGGCCGTATGCAAGTAATCGAAGACCGAATAGTGTGATTCCGGATGATGCGATTGTTATAAGAGGATGTTCGATGCCGTATTTTGGGACGACGAAATCACGGGCGGCTCGGAAATTATTGTTGGGACAGAATTCGACGAAATGGATTGGTATGTTGACGAGAAATGAATTATTGCCGATATCGTCGATTGATGAGAAAATGGAACGAGTTAATTTGGCCACTTTTAGAGATCATGATGTTAATACGTTATTCAGTGATAGTCAAAGTATCGAATTTGAAATGTACGATTTTTCGGAGGGTTTTGAATGAGAAAACTGTCACTAGGCAATTGTTTCAGCCCATTCTCGAAATTTCTGATAAAATACATGTTTTCTAGTAGTTTTTTAGCCGCTGATCACAATCCCGATGTCAAAAACTACTTAGCTCAACTCTAAACATGGGTTATGACGTGGCAAAGTTGAAAACTTCGAAGAATTGGGATTTTATAAGGTTATAACTAGCTTCAAATATGCTTTTCATGAAAATGTGATAGTCTATACGCTATGCTATCAAAGTTTCATGAAAATCATATTTGAAGCTAGTTATAACCTTATAAAATCCCTATTCTTCGAAGTTTTCAACGTTGCCACGTCATAGCTCATGTTCAGACTTGAGCGAAGTAGTTTTTGACAACGGGATCGTGATCAGCGTCAAAAAAATACTAGAAAACATGTGTTTTATCAGAAATCTCCTGTGTGAGCTTCCTTTTGACAGTTTACTGAAAATTTGAAAATCAAAAACAACTCTCAATATTTTCCAGTTACAATTGTCCGTTCTGCAAAATTATCTGTGGCGGAAAAGTGGCTTGTCAAATTCACATCTACACTCAACATCAGAAGAATCCGGACGACTTGAAGAAGGAAATGTTTTGCGAGAAATGCATGAGAACGTTTCCCGACGAGAATATGCTTTTGCAACATCAAAGTTATCATACGAGAGTTCAGATGATGATTCGAAATCATGAAATTGAGAGTATCAAGGTTTGGTCTTCGATATTTTTTATGAAAGTAATTTTGACCCGCTTGTCACTATTTTGTTGTGCAAGGCTCAATTTCTTATATGAGTTATGACGTGGCAAAGTTGTAACTGAATTTAAAAATGATTTTCGTTACGCTAATCTGGTGAAACCACGATTTTTTAAAATTACCACTTTGCCACGTCATAACTCATATTAGAAATTGAGTTTTGCAGTTTTGAACAACGAAATCAAGATCAGCGGGTCAAAATTAGTAAGAAAAGCAGTTTCCCTGCAAAACCCTTCGCCTCCCCCAAAAAAATCAATAATTTTCCAGGCTACAGATGATCCAAGTGTTTCAATCGACGAAGTCACCTATCTCTATCTTTCCGATGAAACCAACAATAATCAAGAAGAACCCGGTCCCTCTGATCGTATTAGATTTGCCAAAAAAATCGAGCCCGAATTCCCTGGAGTCTTGGTTCAATCTCAAATTGTTATGATGAATAATCCGAAAAATTCTTCTCAACAACAACCACAAAATCAAGAAATTGGTCAACTTTTTGGCGAAAATTGGACAAATCCCGGCGAAATCAATTTGAATGAGATGATTTTGGAGCAAACTGAGCAAAAGGTTGGCAAAGTTTAGAGAACCCTGTTTGTTTTTGTTTTTTGTCGAATAATGCAGTTTAATAAAATACAAATTTTAATGGAGAGTGTGAATTTTTGAAATTTTAAATTGAAAAATTGAAATTGATTTTTTAAAGATCTGCTTTCATTAAATTCCTGTCTGCCGTTTTAATTTGCTAAAGCCACGCTCATTTCATTTTTTTTCATTTTCAAAATTTATTTTATTTTGTTTTTTGGTATTTTTCGTTGTTTTTCACTGAAAATCATGATTTTTTGCCATGAAACTCTTTCAAATATATATTCTGAAAAATCGCTCAAAAATCATAGCTTTTTCGATTTTTCGAAAATTGTCTAGACCGCCCATAAATCATCGAATTTTCCTATTTTTCCCCAGCTCATTCTAAACTTCAAATGACATCTCTTCCACTTTTCCTAGTTTTTCTAACTTCAACAATCTTGTGCTCTGTACCATTAACCGAAGAGCAGCGAAAAATTGCGCACGAATTCGCCAAAATCTTCCTCGAAGACAATCTTCCAATGTATATCCGTGAAAAGTTGCGCGAAAAATTGATAAATTCAATTTTCGATCCACCATTAATCTATAAATTCAAGTTCAAAGATTGTGAAGGAAAAGAATATGGTGCTGAAAGTTTTGTGGATAATTTTTTGTTGGCTGGAAAATTGGGAGGGAATTTGAGAGTTGATGAGAAGGGAGAAGATGGGATTTATAAACGACCCGGTTTGGAAACTACAATTTATTTGACACATTTTCATACCGATTTGGATACTTATTCGATTTCCTTGACTTTTTCGAATTCCAATCCGGATTTACAATTTTATTCAATTATTGCTAAATGTTATACTAAATATTGTAATTGATTTTTGAGCAAATGAATCATGTTTTGATAGTTAGTTAAAGGAAATGTCTGGAGAAAATAAGCGTCAGTTTTTCATCAATTTTGAAAATTTAATGTTGAGATTTCGGCAATTCTATTAAATTAAAAAAAATTTTATTTGAACTCATTTTTATTTTTTTAACATTGGAAAAATTTTTTATTTGAACTCATTTTTATTTTTTTAACACTGTTAAAAAATTTTATTTGAACTCATTTTTATTTTTTTAACACTGTTAAAAAAATTTATTTGAAGTCATTTTCATTTTTTTTAACACTGTTAAAAAAAATTATTTGAACTCATTTTTATTTTTTTAACACTGTTAAAAAAATTTTATTCGTTAGGGTAACTTTGCCGGTTTTGCCCAAGTCTCTGAAAAATTTTGTCTGAAAATCTTTTCCAACAAAAATGTGAAACTTTCATTCAGTTCACCAAACCCTACAAGTCTCCTCCAATCTCATCAAATCCCCCACTTCACATTTAAAAACCTCCGAAAACTTTTCAAAATTCTGAAGTGGAATATTCACTCTTTTCTGTCCAATTGAATGCGGATCTGTTTTTAAAATATGAGCAATGGTTGATTCCTTGTAAGATGTGCAGAAGTTCTAAATCAAATCAGCATATTTTTAAAATGTTTTAAAAAAAATCAGACTCACATGTCCATAGGCCATAAAGAATAATTGATCATTAGTGTATTTTTCGAGGCCCGGAAGCTTTTGGTCTTCTTTTTCAGATATAGATCTATAGGCTTCATAGGCTATCCGAAGACCGCCATTATCTGCAATATCTTCACCCAAAGTCGATCCTCCCATACCATACTGAATATTCAAACAAGAAATTCTCTTCTGAAGTTTATCATAAGCATCTTCCTCCCACCAATTATTCGAATTCCCATTTGCATCAAAATTCGCACCAGTTGTATCAAAACCATGAGAAATCTCATGACCAATTACACTTCCAAAAGATCCATAAAGAATAGCTGAAGGTATTCCTGGAACTAACATTGGATGTGTCGAAATTGCTGCTTTGATTTGAATCTCATTGAAGGATGGATGGTAGACTGCGTCAGCTTCTAAAGAGTTTTCCCAGAAGGAATGTGTGGATTTTCCGATGAGTTGGAACTTTTCAAGTTGTTCGATCTTTCGTAGTTTCATCTCGTTTCTCAAGAATTCTCGATGTTTTATACAAATATTCTCGAATGGTTTATCCAGAACCTCTTCTTGCCCAACTTCCGGATATCCGATCTTCTCCCTCATAACTTCAAGTTTTTCCAGCGCTGATTTTGTCGAATTTCCCAGCCAATCTGCGCCTTCGATTTCAGTCTTCATTGCTGATTTGATGTTGGAAATCAGAGATTTTGTGAGGGATTTGTGGGAGGCTGTGTAGGTTTTGGAGAAGATTTGATGGACGAGAAGGTTTGGGAATTTTTTGCGCGATTCAGAGACGCAGAATTGCCACGATGAATACTGCAAAAATTTTGCGACGTGGCAAGGTTTGAAAATTAAAATTATCGCGCAAAAAAAAAACAAAAAAAATCGATATTGTCCGAGAGAAATACACGAAAATGCAACGGGATTGCGGAGTATTGTTGTTTTACTTTTATTTTTTTTTTGCAAAAAAATTTTTTTTTCGCATTTTTTCAAGTTTTTCAATAAAATCTCATGAAGCTTGCGGAAACTCACATTGGTATAAAATCCCTTAGTGTTTTTCTCAAACTCATTCAACGGTTTCACCCATTTCTTCCCCATATATTTCGCAGATTCCGCCACCAAAACCCACATCAAATAATTCACAATTTTCTCCGGCATTTTCGCATATTCTTTCAGAATTTTCTCAAAATTCACCAAATAGTTCGGATCAATGACTCGAATCTCCGTGGAATCCGTTAAAATGAGCCCGGATTTTTCGAAAAACACGTTCCAATTCATACTTGGAACTGTCTCCTTGATCTGAATCACCGTGTAATTTTTACCATAATCTGTTGAGCCATCACTGATTGATGCCTGAAATAAAGTATTTTTGGGGGAAGATCTGAGGATTTCTTACTTTGACTAGAGTTTTCTCCACTTCTAAAATATCATCAATGATTTTCTGATCATTGATTCCTAGAAGTGCCAACGTGGAATTGATCAAGTTACGGTAACTCGCAAGAATTGGTGATTTATTGATTATGTAAGGTGAGAGATCATCGTCGAGGTATACTGTAGGAGCGAGAAGCTGGAAAGGAATTTTTGGTTTAATGGGGTTACAGTAACCCTAAAGCTACAGTAACCCTGACTTACCAACAACCCATAAGACTTTGTATTTTCAAAAATCGGGCCAGGCACAATCTTCACCATCGCCTGAAATCCATGCCCAAACATTTTCCCCGCTATACTTTCCCATTCCTCATTTTTCACACCTTCATTCACCAGCTTCCAACCTCCGAAATTCTCGATTTGCTGCTTCAGCAGAACATCTCGAAATCCATCTCGATGTTCAACTTCAACACAAGAATCGAAATAATTGTGAATCTTTCGATAAACTCCTCCACTCCCATTATTTTTCAGAATTTCTAGCAATTCTAGATCTATAGTTTCCTGAATTTCCTGAAGTACTGATATTTTATCCTGGGTTTCTGAGACTTTATGATTTTCTTGATATTTTCCACAGATGAAATTGTAGAAGTTGTCACATGGTTTGACTGAATCGTTGAGATGTTTCAAGTAGCGATCAGCGATTTTCTGGCATTCTGGGGTTTTGCAGATTTTTTCTGGGGAACCGGGGATTAGGAGATGGAAAATAAATAGGAGAAGAATCAAGGGGGACATTCCGAATTGTGATTATGATTTTGCAGAAAACAAAAAGATGAAGCTGGAGATTTCTCACAGACAATTTTTGTCTGGGGAACATTTTTTTTGGTTTTTTGGTTTTTTGACATTCCGACGACAGAAGGAATTTCAAATTTGTCGATTCTTTTTTGGAATTTAGAACGAATTTTCCGCAAGGTATACTGTAGCCACAGAAATCAAACGTGTCAAATTTGGTAACAAATTTAAGTATGTCTAGACTAAAAAAAATGTGAAGAATTTCTAACCAAAACATCGTCTTATTCTTAAACATGAAAGAACTTTCCCTCTTTCTGATATATTTTATAACTCTAATTTTTGGAGAAGAATCGGATAATTTCGATGATTCAATCTGTGATTCTGAAGAATGTCAAAAACTATCAAAAAGGTACTTGTTAAGCATGAATTCTGAAGCTGATCCTTGTGATGATTTCTATGAATTTGCATGTGGAAACTATCCAAAACATTTTAAAATTCCATCGAAAAGCAAAAATACTCTGTTAGATGAAATGAATAGAAATATAGACATTTGGTGGGAAGATCATGTTGAAAATTGGAACTTGGAAAAGCAACCAAGTTTTCTTATGGAACTCGTGAAAAATTACACAAAATCATGTTTGGATGAAGGTCAAAAAACATCTCTGAACCACAATGACGTCATCGAATTAATCAATGCCCATTTTGGTGGCTGGCATCTTCTCGACAACACAACACAACACTATGATTGGGAAGTTCTGGCCGGAACGCAGTCACTTCATGGTTTTCACACATTTTTCCAACCGTACGTTCACATGGATTTTGAGAGCGGTGCACAAAATATTCTGGTGATGACAACAAGTCAGAAATATGAGCATATTCCTGCAGATGAGAAGATGACTGAGAGATTAATGAAATCGAATTATGTTCGAGAAGTTTTTGGGTTACTCGGTATCCGAAACTATGACCCCAAAATTGTGACGGATTTGGTGGAGTTTCAAGAAAAAGTTCCTAGTGTAAGTTAATTTTCCGAGAGAAATACACGAAAAAATTTATTTTTTCTCGCAAAATATGCAATTTTTTCTTTCAGTGTCTTCTACGTTCATCGGGGAATTACACATCCTACGGAGTTCGATCAACAGTTAAAGAGTTCAAAAACCAACACGACAACATCAATTGGACAGCATATTTTACTCAGGATTTGAGAGATGCTATGCCACATTTGCTTACACCTCTAGAGATGATTAGAAATGAGAAACCAGACTTTTTCAATGCTCTCAATGATTTGCTCGGAAATACATCGAAGGAAACAATCAAGAACTATTTATTTTTCGATATGGTAACAAACTTATTTTCTCTCATGTCCAAAAAATATCGAAAACCATTTGAAACATACGCGAGTCGTCCATATGTCTTTGACAAGCAGTACTGTGCTTTCGAATCGAGTTTGATGTTTCCAATTATAGCTGCCGGCGAGTATGTGAAACTTCATCACACTGAGAATGCTACTATGAATGTGGAGAATATTTTGGCGAATTTAAAAGAAGTTATGATTGATGAGATCAATAATTCGGAATGGATGGATAGAAAATCAAAGGAGATTGCGGTTGAAAAAGTGGGAAAAATGCGTAGGAAAATTGGTCATCCCAGTTGGTTCAATGATTTGAATATTGGAACGCCTTATGGAATTCTGGGCCAGCGAATCGAATTAAATCCCGGCGATTATTTAAGAAATCATTTTAAGATCAGAAAAATTCTTCTAATGTAAGTAAAATTTTCATTTTCAAAAAATCTTTATCTATAAGGGATGAGTTGGCACAACTTCAATATAGTTCATGGTCTGAATGGGGACAATTTGTTACAACTACCAACGCTATGTATTCTCCATTTCGAAATGAGATTGCTGTCACTGCTGCAATTTTATCCTTCCCATTTCTCACTGAAAATGCGCCTTTATCTATAAGTTATGGAGGAATTGGAGCAACTGTGGCACATGAAATGACACATGGATTCGATGGTCAGGGACGAAATTATGATGCTTATGGAGAAATTATTGATTGGATGGATGATTTGACAAGAGAAACCTATGATAATAAAACACGGTGTTTTATTGAACAATATGATTCGGAAGTTGAGAAAGTTACTAATATGAAAGTAGATGGAGCACACACAGTCAATGAAAACATTGCAGATAATGGGGCGTTCAAATTAGGTTGGCTAGCCTATAAACTTCAAGCGCGGAAGAACTTGGATGCTAGAAAATTACCAAAGCTTGAAAAATACACAAGTGATCAATTATATTTCATTTCTTTAGCAAGTGTTAGTAAACTGCTTTTGAAAGAAATTTTATGAAAATCTCGATTTTTAAGGTTCAATGTATTCGTGCTAGCCCGCAAGATCGAGAATCGTTATTGGAAGATGTTCATACATTTGGTGCAACTCGACTAAATGTTCCTCTTCGGAATTTTCCGAAATTTGGAGAAGTTTTCAATTGTAAAATTGGATCAAGAATGATGCCAAATAAAAATGAAACGTGTCAAATTTGGTGATCAATAAAATTGTTATTTCGAAATTGATTTTTAGACAAAAATTTACAGAGAAAAGCGTGTCACAGAGATGAAAAACTGCAAAAAAACAGAAAAAAACAAAAATTGAAAAATAAATAATGATGTACGCTGGAGCGCGTTTGCTTGTTTGTCAATATTTTTCTTTTTTTTTGTTGAAAACTCTCAAACTTCATGAAATTCAGCAGATTTTTTGCGTTTTCCACAATTTCAACTTTGCTTTTTCGATTCAAAATCTAAAAAATCCAAAAAAAATGTACATTGAAGCGGGTTTGCTATGAAAACTTTATTCCCAAAAAACAACAATCAATAAATTTATTTACCGTGTTTTCCTTTTTCTGGGTACTGTTTACAAGCATTCGAAGCGACGACAAACAAGACGACCAAGAAAATTGTGTAGAAATTCATTTTAGATTTGATTTTTTGGATTGACCTGGCTTTTTTATATTGAGATGCTTTATTGTGGGAATAGAATTGCAGGCCACGCCCTTTTGAAAATATTTGTCTGAAACGCATAAAATTTCTGAAAATTTTCTTCGAAATAATATCTTATTGCCAAAAAATTACACACCAATATTTTCTTCTAATATTGGCTGGATCCGGGGTTTTCCAGCCAAAAATCCGCAAGCCTAAAGTAAATAAAGTAGTTAGTATTGTAATTTATTAGCAAAAAAGCTTGCCAATTTTTTCCAGAAAAAAAATACTTGGAAAATCAAGAAACCGCGCAAAAAAACAAAAAAATCAATATAGTCCGAGAGAAATACACGAAAATGCAAGCGGGATTGCGGAGTATCGTTGTTTTAATTTTACTTTTTCAAGTTTTCACCGATTTTCGACGAATTTCGGCATTCAAAATGTCTGATTCACAAGAAAAGTACTTAATAACTTTGCGTTGGAGCGCGTTTGCTAAAAAACGTTTTATTCCCAAAAAAAACAGAGTCATTTATTTACCGCCACAGTGGGCAGGGCAAGCTTTTGAAGCGACGACAAACGAGGCGACCAAGAAAATTGTGTAGAAATTCATTTTAGATTTGAATTTTTGGATTGCGCGGGCTGTTTTATATTGTAAGAATTTCAAAATGGGCCACGCCCTTTTAAATCCAAAAATAGCAAATTCCCACTGTCTACAACTCATAACATTGAAAGAAAACTTGCTGGAATATATCGAAAAATTAAAATTTAAAAAAAACGATCCCGCTTGCATGCATTTTCGTGTATTTCTCTCGGACAATATTTTTCATGGGTATTTGTAACAAAATCATACTTTATTAGAAAGTGCCAATAAATGTATTGCAAAATCAATAACAAATTCAAAAAAATTTCAACTTTCTCCTTTGATTTTCCAAAAACTCCACATATTTCTGAATACAAAAATTGATTTTTTCAAAAAATTTCCAAAGATTTACCTCTAAAGCATGTTCCTTAACAATTTCAACATTAACAAATTGCATGCAAATCGAATTTTCATAGCGTAATAATGCATAATAAGCATTTTCCTGTGGCTGATATACAATATGCGCGATTTTTTGAACTTTATATCCCATTTCCAGCAAACACTCCTCTTTCTCTTTTTCTTCTAGTTTTTCCAGATCTCTCAACATTTCTTCCATTATTCCGCAAATCACAAATTGGTCAATTTTGTCTTTGGCTCTTCGCTTAATTTCCTGAAAAAAAAAATCAATTTTTCAAGCAAAAATTCAAATTTTCATGCCTACCGGAATTTCAAATCCATACCATTCCGAACTTTTATGCTTATATGATTTTTTCGGGGTTTCAACAACATCCTAAATTTAAATTCACAATCAGGTTTTTTTTTCGAAAATCATGGAAAAACTCACTAGAACTTGGATATCATCACCAGCGGGTTCATTTTGGAGCACTGTATGTTGAGTAGGAGATTCCTGGAATTGAATTCAGGTTTTTTTCACGAAAATTAAGCCAAGAAAACTCACCAGAAGCTCAATTTCCTCGAAAACTCCAATTTCTTGATGATTTTGACCAGTTTCAGCAGAATCCTGAATAAATCAAAGTAAATTTGGCGCCACGTGGCAAAAAAAACTCACCAGAAGCTCAATTTCCTCGTAAACTCCAATTTCTTGGTGATTTTGAGCAGTTTCAGCAGAATCCTGAATAAATCAAAGTAAATTTGGCGCCACGTGGCAAAAAAAAACTCACCAGAAGCTCAATTTCCTCGTAAACTCCAATTTCTTGGTGATTTTGAGCAGTTTCAGCAGAATCCTGAATAAATCAAAAAAAATTTGGCGCCACGTGGGGAAAAAAACTCACCAGAAGCTCAATTTCCTCGAAAACTCCAATTTCTTGGTGATTTTGAGCAGTTTCAGCAGAATCCTGAATAAAGCAAAGTAAATTTGGCGCCACGTGGCAAAAAAAAACTCACCAGAAGCTCAATTTCCTCGAAAACTCCAATTTCTTGGTGATTTTGAGCAGTTTCAGCAGAATCCTGAATAAAGCAAAGTAAATTTGGCGCCACGTGGCAAAAAACTCACCAGAAGCTCAATTTCCTCGAAAACTCCAATTTCTTGGTGATTTTGAGCAGTTTCAGCAGAATCCTGAATAAAGCAAAGTAAATTTGGCGCCACGTGGCAAAAAAACTCACCAGAAGCTCAATTTCCTCAAAAACTCCAATTTCTTGGTGATTTTGACCAGTTTCAGCAGAATCCTGAATAAATCAAAGTAAATTTGGCGTCACGTGGCAAAATGCTCACCAAAACTTGAATTTCCTGCTCCTCCTGCTCTTTCTCGATTTCCCCATCCAAAAGTACATCAACAAAATCGATTCCCGAACCATCTTTCTCATTTTCTTCCACATTTTTCAAAACATCGACTTTTCGTCGCTTTTCCCCCAATTTTCTTCGTTTTTCAGCTTCATTTACTTCATTCACTTTCCTCCAATAATCATCCGCCTCTTTCGAATCAACAAGTTCTGAATCTTTCCATGTACCATCGTCAGAATCATGTACACGACGTCCTCTGCGTCTCACCAAAAATTGCTTGATTCCACGATTAGTTGTACGATGCGTAATGATTTCTTCGTTCTCTCCAACTGAATCAGACATCTGGAAAATGACAACTTGCTGGAATAACGGGGGAAACTTGAAAACAGCGAAAAAAAACAATTTTTTGCAAAAAAATAAAAGTAAAACAACGATACTCCGCAATCCCGTTGCATTTTCGTGTATTTCTCTCGGACAATATCGATTTTTTGTTTTTTTGCGCGGTTTTCTTGATTTTCTAGGGTTTTCCTGCTATGAGAATGTAGAAGAGTTTTTTGAACAACACAACAAAACTCAAATAAAAATCCAATCCAAATTCTTTATTTCAAGAAGTAAAAGAAACTATGTTTTCTCAAGACAATCAAATGATTTCGACCTCCAAACTTTCTCGATTTCTTCACAAACGACACACTTTTCCAGTCTCCTCTCGCAGTGAAATTAGGATAACCACCACCAGCATATTTCGAAACAAGTTCAATAAAATCAAGCGAGTTGAATAAACCATAATCGAACGCCTTTGATTGAAATTTCAACCATGCGAAATTCTGATTGATTTTTTCATCAATCAAAAGTCGTTTCAAAAACACCTCAAATTCCGCGAACACAATTTTCCCTTTGGTTAAAACGTGGGCTTCAGATTTGATTTTGAATGGATAACCCAGTGGGAAATTTGGGATCTTGATGAAGTGATCAAAACGAGAAAGTGTTTCCAAATTGACAAATCCACAAGTAATTGGATCAATCCCATTTTTGTTTTCGAAAAGTATCAAATCATCCAATTTTTGATATTTCAAATTGTTGATATTTGATTGATCATACGGAAAATCATCCTGAAAATAAAAAATAATTCTCGAAATCATTTTATTATTTCTCAACTCACAATACAAATTTTGACAGTTATCAAAGTTTTCGGATTCTTCTCTACAGTTTCATTGAAATACATCAAAACAATTTGAGCCAAATCCTGATTTTTGAACTGTTTTCTCGATATTATTTTGTCATCCATAATCCAAACAACTTCACAAACTCCACTTGACAGTTGATGTATTTTGAAACGCCAAAATAAATCGTCCGCAATTTCAGTAATCCAAATCACTCCCTTTTTATTTCTTTTTATTTGAATTTTCTTAATATGATTGCGACTTTCGCTAACTTCTTCATAACATTTTTGCGAACATTTTGAAAGGTTTGATTTTGCTCGAAGATCCGTTTGGTCGATTAAACTTCTCCTGATTTCGTAGGGGAAATCGAACCAACCGCTCATTTTCGTTGAATGATAGAATTAAGAAATGCCACGATATCTGTTTTTGTGCTGTCATTTCACGCACGTTTTTTTTTGAAAAAAAAAATTATTTTTTTTTGTGTCACGCCTTTTTTTGCACATGATCTCTTTGTCATGAATTTGCTTTTTTGCACAGAAGCGTACCACGCCCAGCTTCGTGCAAATTAACTTTGAAAATTGGCAATGTGGGTTTTGAGAATTTTTGGCTAGGTGGAAACAACCTTTTCGACTAAAAAATACCACTTTTTAACGGAAAAACAAGCAAAAATTTGCTGTTCTTTTAAGAAAATCTCAAATTGGCGAGGTGAATTTCCGTAAACTTTTATTGGCGCCGTGCATATGCCTCACCCTGGGCGTGGTATGCACAGAAGGATTTTAACTAATGTTAAAATCAAAAACCACAAAACGTTTATTAACAAAACATCTCTTACGAACTAAAAGGTCCTGTCGTACATGAACCATGTTTACAATATGAATTCGCAGGGCACCCATTTGGACATATACTAGACGCAAGAATATAAGCAGCAAGAGCAGCGAAAATGACGAGAAGCAGATAGAGAGACATTTCAGAATTTTTTGTTTTTTTTTTCTGAATCAAGGGAGCCCTTTTATTCGGCAAACTTTTATTGATGTCTGTGAGAATTACACGTTGTGTTAAACCAATGTTTATTGAAACCAAAAAAAATCAAATAATAAATATAAATAGACCCAAGTGTACCCGAAGTATTTACAGAAATTTGAGGTTGAAACTTCAATGTTGTCAAAAAATGGCATTTTTCAAATCTTCGGCAGAGTTTGAAGCAACCCTGCAAAAATATTATCAGAATTTTGAAACGCAGAACACCACTCACGTTTTGATATCCGCTGCAGCTCTCCAAACATACAATCCAGGGCTCGAACTATGAACACCGTGGTTATTGCGAAGTTCAATATTGAATTCATAATCGAAACCATGTTCTTCTAAAGTATGAAGTGGGATTCTGTATTGCGAATAGGATTCGATAAGTTTTCTAGTGTAGATGTTCCGATTCTCATGACAATTATGTTCAACGATCAGAAGAAGGTTGAGATCTTCATCATGTGGACTTCCCAAAATTCGATATTTCCCATTTTTGTTAGTAGTACGGAAATTCAAAATGTGATCGAATATTGAAACTAAAAAATCTTTGAGAAGAAAATTATATTCGAAAAAAAAAACTCACAATTATCATCAACCATAATAATTGTAACATTCTCCACAGGATTTCCATCACAAGTGACTTTTCCAAAAACCGCAATATTTTCAATACTATTTGGATCTTTCATGAAAACCAAGGCCAAGCCAGCAAGAAATGTGGAAATTGACATTTTACTATTACTCACTTCCAACGATGATTATTTTTATACTATTTATCATTTTGCAAAGTGGGCGGGGCTTAGATAAGAATAAAATAGTAAAGTGTGTATAGTTAAGTTTGTATAGCATGTATAGGGACCACTGGAAGATCTTTTTAAAGAAACAAATCATAAAATTATCTCCAAGAGAAATACACAAAATCCTCCAAAAGAAGTACACATTTCCGACCGAATTCCAATCCCACGCCACCTGCCTGACTCATACACTGTGTTTATCATTAATTTTTCAAAAAATAAAAATTCAATAATTTGTTCGGTTCCACGTCATAGCTTGAATTCTCACAGACAATTAGTTTCAGACTCATATATTTTCCCAATTCGAATCATTTTTTTTAAAATTTTCAACCAACAAATCAAAAATGTTTCTAACATTTATTATATTTCTAATTTTTCTTCCCAACTTCATCTCATCAAAAGATGCAATTTGTAGCAAACCAGCATGCACAGTTATTTCAAATCGTCTTAAAAATAACTCAAATTCTAAGGTTAAGCCTTGCGATAATTTCTACGAACATGTTTGTGGAAAATATAGGCGAGTTTTGGAGTGGGATTTTATGAAAGACAGATAGGGGCTGTTAGCCCCCAGGCGTAACAGTCTTCTCATTTATTTCAGTTTCACTTTTTTTCTGTGATTATTGTCAGAAACATTGACTTACAATTTCAAGTTTTTTTATCGAAAAATGACTCGTGGCAAAATCAGGAAGGCTTCCTAATTTTGCCATGGATGACGTCATCGATCAATTTTTCATAAAAAAAAACTTTTTTAATTATTTTTTTTCAATTAAATGTACTCGTAAGAGGTACAATCAAATTTATAAAAAATTTCGAGTTTTTTCGAAAAAACTCGGGCCGATTTTTTTGAAAAAATTTTTTTGAAAAAAATTCGAGCCGATTTTTTTGAAAAGAACTCGGGCCGATTTTTTTTGAAAAAACTCGGGCCGATTTTTTTGAAAAAATTCGAGCCGATTTTTTTTGAAAAGAACTCGGGCCGATTTTTTTGAAAAAATTCGGGCCGATTTTTTGAAAAAATTCGGGCCGATTTTTGAAAAAATTCGGCCGATTTTTTTTGAAAAAATTTTTTGAAAAAATTCGGGCCGATTTTTTTGAAAAAACTTTTTTGAAAAAAATTCGGGCCGATTTTTTTGAAAAACTCGGGCCGATTTTTTTTTGAAAAAACTTTTTTGAAAAAATTCGAGCCGATTTTTTTTTGAAAAATTCGGGCCGATTTTTGAAAAATTCGGCCGATTTTTTTTGAAAAATTTTTTGAAAAAATTCGGCCGATTTTTTTTGAAAAAACTTTTTTGAAAAAAATTCGGGCCGATTTTTTTTGAAAAAACTCGGGCCGATTTTTTTTGAAAAAACTTTTTTGAAAAAAATTCGAGCCGATTTTTTTTTGAAAAAATTCGGGCCGATTTTTTTTTGAAAAAACTTTTTGAAAAAAATTCGGGCCGATTTTTTTTGAAAAAACTCGGGCCGATTTTTTTTGAAAAAACTTTTTTGAAAAAAATTCGAGCCGATTTTTTTTTGAAAAAATTCGGGCCGATTTTTTGAAAAAACTTTTTGAAAAAAATTCGGGCCGATTTTTTTTGAAAAAACTCGGGCCGATTTTTTTTGAAAAGAACTCGGGCCGATTTTTTTTGAAAAAACTCGGGCCGATTTTTTTTGAAAAAACTTTTTTGAAAAAAAAATTCGAGCCGATTTTTTTTGAAAAGAACTCGGGCCGATTTTTTTGAAAAATTCGGGCCGATTTTTTTTGAAAAGAACTCGGGCCGATTTTTTTTGAAAAAACTCGGGCCGATTTTTTTTTTGAAAAAACTCGGGCCGATTTTTTTTCATTGTGCAAAATATTTTTCTAGACTGAAATTGTGTGCTGAAAATCAAGAAAATATTGATTCCAGACCAAAAATCTTGCCAACTGATGATTATATGATGGCAGGCCGTGAATCTGGCCGAGATTTCGCGAAAACTTCAATGGATTTTCTGACATATGGCTTGGAAGATAGAGATATCGATAAAACTCGAGATTTTCTACAAACATTTTTCGATTCTTGTCGAAAAAACGATGAAAATCGAGAAAATGAGATCGTGAAATTGAAAAATATGATTCAGAAATTCGGAGGAATCAATTCTCTATCTGGAAATTGGGAAGATCTCGCAGCTGAAACTCTGATTCTAGGAGCCGATTCGATGTTCACAATAAATGTGGCACTTTCACAAACTGTAGCTGGAAAATATATCCTAACATTTTCACCGTTTGAAATTTTGGAGAAAAATAGTGGGCACTATGAAAATCCGATTTTTGCGGAGGCTTTTAAAAAATATATTGGAGGTTTGATGAAACTTTTGGATTTGGAAATGAGCAAAGACGATGTGAGGGATATTTTTGAATTTGAGAGGAGATTAGCAAATGTGAGTGTTTTTGGGTACTGTAGAATACTGTAAGCGGAAAGTTGTAAAAGTACTTGTTTTCAGCAATTCCATGACTTTCAGCACAAAATTTGGGTCCAAAATTTGTGAATTTTTCCAGATTACAAGAAATGGTATGATTGGTGGAAAACTAACAACCCTCGGAGAATTCAAAACCAATCAAACTCAAATCAACTGGACAAAAATTCTCAAAAAAGTTTCAGTTGACAAACTTCCCGATCATCAAACACAAATCAATCTAACAAATCCATATTATTTCGAAATGTTGAATTGTAAAATCAAAGAAGTCAAACCGGCAACTATTAAAAATGCTATAATCTGGCGACTTATCACAACTTTTAGTCAAGTTTTACCTTCGAAGTTTGAAGAACCTTTGAATGAATTAAGAAAAACAATGAAATCCAATGCAAAATTCGAAAATCGCAATGAATTTTGCTATAAACAGGTTACAACTCATCTTCCAATGGTTTCCGCGTCAGATTTTATACCAACATATATCTCAGATGAATCAAGATCCAATATTTCGGAAATCTACAATAACCTCAAAACAGTTCTGAAGTCTCGAATTCAAAAATCTTCGTGGATGGATCAAGAGACCCAAAAAAAGGCGCTGCACAAACTGGAAACTATGAAATTGAGAATTGGATTTCCTGAAAGTCTCCTAGATAAGGAGAAGACATTGAGACCTTATGAGAAATTGAAATTGAGTAACAATTCCTTTTTGGAAAATGTGTGGCAAGTTAGAAAAGTGAATTATGAGCTGGAGATTTTGAAGCTCACCGAGAAATCGGACGATTTTATTGATTGGCCTACGGTTGTTCATAGTGTAAATGCTTATTATCATTTGCATACAAATCAAGTGGTTTTGGCGGTTTCGATGTTAAGGTGAGTTTTTGGGCCTGAAGAATTGGGCCAGGTCCAATTATTTAGGTCGTATACAGGTTCCTGAATGATTGCTCATGTTAAGGCGATCATTTTGCAACCGGATAAGCCATAGTTTTGTTCCAGAAATCCATTATTCAACGCGGATCTTCCCAAATTTTTCCAATACGGTGCTCTCGGAGCATTTATTGCGCATGAAATCACCCATGGATTCGACACCCAGGGAGCAAGTTTTGATGAATTTGGAAATCTCAAAAATTGGTGGAAACCTGCGACTTATCAGAAATTCGTCGAAAAATCGCAATGCTTCATCGATCAGGCGAATTCGACGGTGGAACCGCGAACTACTAAGAATTTCGATGGACTTCAAACACTTGGCGAAAATATCGCAGATTCTGGAGGTGTTCAGATTGCTTTTGAGGCTTTTATGGCAAAAATGAGAGAGTCTGGGGAGAAGAAGCTGAAATTGGAGGGATATGAGGGATTTTCAGATGAGAAAATGTTTTTTATGTCGTATGCTCATGTGAGTTTAGTTGGGGTAACTTCTCTAGACCAACATTTTGTGCTGAAAGTCATGGAATTGCTGAAAATCGCTGAAAATCAACATTTTCACGATTTTCAGCTCAAAATTTCAGTCTAGAATTTTCAGCTCAAAATTTCAGTCTGGTTGATACAAATTTTCGGAATTTTTGGCACAATTTTCTACAGTAGTTTTTGAAGAGTTTCTAGACCCAAATTTAGTGCTGAAAGTCATGGAATTGCTGAAAATCGCTGAAAATCAATATTTTCACGATTTTCAGCTCAAAATTTCAGTCTAGAAATTTCTTTTCCCCAAATTTTTTAGACCAAATTGTTTTTGAATTTTCTAAATTTTCTACAGAAACAAGTGCTCCAGGGTTTTTTTTTGCTCAAATTTTCACTCCAAATTCCAGGCTTCCTGCGATCACATGGAATCCCACAAAGTCTCAAAACGTCTCAAAACCGATCAACATCTGTTCGGAGAAGCTCGCCTCAATAATGCTCTCAAAAATTTCCCGAAATTTGCAAAAGTTTTTGGCTGTAAGCCAGAAAATCAAATGGTGCTGGAAAAAGAGGAAGTTTGTGAAATTTGGTGAAAAATTGGGAATCTATGTAAAAATAAATATTTATTTTATTATGCTTTTAAACAATTACACATAATTTAATTTAATTAGGTCTCTGACATCCAAATTTTCAAATCTTCCGCATTTTCAGCAATTTTTCTGAAATTAAAAATTTTAATTTTGGACAAAACATTTGCAAATTCAACTCACGTTCTAATATTGGCCGCAGTTTTCCACAAAAATAATCCGGGCACAGAATTACAGATCTTCTGATTTCTTCCAAGTTCCACATTGAACTTCAAATCGAAATTTTTCTCCTCCAAAACTTCTCGAGGAATTCGAAATTCGGAATAGGAATCTACGATTTGGCCAGTTTTTATATTTTTATTTTGATGACAGCTATGTTCAATGATGAGAAGAAGATCTAGATTTTGATCATGAGGAGTTCCGTGAAGTCGATATTTTCCGAGTTTGTTGGTTTCAAAGACATCTAGGATGTGGTCAAAGATCCAGGCTAGAAAGTAGAGGATTTTTGACCCAAATTTTGCCACGTCATAACACTCACCATTATCATCCAACATAGTTATCCGAACTCCTTCCACCGGTTTCCCATCACAGGTTATTTTTCCATAAATTGATGCATTTTCAACAACATTTTCATCATCTTTGGCAAAAAATACAACTAAACTGTAGAAAACTGAATAGTGCCACATTTTTCACTTACCAAAAAGTTTTTTGTATAGTTTTTTATCAAAAAATTTATTTATTTGAGATAAGAAACTAAAAAAAATATAGTAAAGTAAAAAAAAGTAAAGTTTCTAGCTTTTAAAAATTTTGGTAGATCAAAAAACGCCGCCAAAAATCCAGTTTCGTTCGCAAAAAGATCTCCAAAATCGGGTTGGGTTTAAGCAACAACAAAAAACAATGAGTTAAACAAACAAGATGAGTTTCATAAGAAAATAAAATACAAACATGTGTTTTTCTTTGTAAAAAAATGTTGGCAAACCGGAGTTTTGGCTCCGAGTTTTGCCTTTTTGAGGTCAAAAATTCGATTTTTTGGACTTTTATTCTGATGTTCTTTTCAAAAAACAAACAAATATGCATGTCTCATATTATACTTTTCTATTGTTTTATTTTTTGAAGTGAAGTGTTATTGAATTTGAATCTCCCCCCGAAAATCTTCCAATTTCATTTTTTTTTCTGACGCGATTATAAAAATACAATTTTAGATGCGTAAAAAAAAGAGCGCGCACGTGCGAGTGGTCCAAGGCGCTGGCACCAATCTCGCAAGAAACGAGCGACGAGTTCGATTCCTGGTACGGGCTTTTGCAAAATGTTTTTGTTTTTTCTCTTTTTACAACAATTTCCCTGTGAACAATGCGATTAATCTATGTTTTGACCTATATAACTGTTTGAAAAAACTATATTTGCTCAAATAATTTGCTATTTTCTCCCCTTTGACCGCAAGAAAAAGCCGCAAAAGAAAAAAGGTTGTTGAAAATTTCACGAGAAAAGAAGAAGAACAAAACACTTGAGAAATTTATATCTCGCAGTTTTAGTGGCGGTCAGTTTTTTCAAAAGTTTTTTTGCCTGCTGGGATTTTTGGAACTTGGAACTGTAGAGGTTTAGAAATTTTTTTTTGGAAAAATTCCACGTGGAAATATTTGTCAAATTTTTTGAATTACTGAAGTACACGTGGCAATTTTTCAAGTTTTTATTTTCGAATTGAAATTTTCGAATTTTCAAAATCAGACATCACCCTCCCAATATTTTTTCAAAAATATTTATTCCCCAAAAATCTGCCATGTTTTTTTTTCAAATATTGCTTCCAGATGTTTTAATATTTTTCTTCGAAAAACACATGTTTCACTTTTTCAAATATTTTCAGACAAAAAAATGACAATTCGAAAAAAGAAGGATTTCGCGGCGACAACCGCTTCGTGGAGTTATAAAAACTCGTTTTTTCAATTCAATCCCTCAACTTTGGCATTTCAATTTGGAAACAGTAATAATAATAATGAGAAAAAAGATAAGAGAAGGTAATTTTGGGTTACTGTAGAAGCTAGGATGGTACTGTATGTATAATGCATCTGAAGATCAAACAGTTATTGTATCAAATCTTGAAGTTCTCTAAAGAATATGTATACTGTAGTAGATGTTGGGTTACTGTAGATCAAATTTTGCGTGGCGTGGTTACTGTGTCCTGAAATTCCTAAAAGTACTGTAGATTTACCTGGATACAAAACTAGAGTACTTTATTGAATTTAGACGAATACTGTAGTTCGAAGAAACAATTACAGTAGTCTTGTTTAGTATGATTTTGGTCGAAAAGTACAGTACCCCGAGGATTACTGTAGCCATAAAAAAACCAGGAATCCGTGGAAAATAATCTCCTAGGCTGAAATTTTCAGCTGAAAGTCGTGAAAATGTTGATTTTCAGAACTTTTCAGCCGTTTCATGATATTCAGCACAAAATTTGCGTCTAGAAACTATTCAAAAGGTACTGTAGAAAATTATGCCAAAAATTTAGATCACCCGGTTACTGTAGAAAAATAATCTCCTAGGCTGAAATTTTGAGCTGAAATTCGTGAAAATCTTGATTTTGAGCAATTCCATGAGTAAAAATCACATCTTATCATTTTTTTTGTCCAAAAAAAGAGCTCCAAACATGTTCAAAGCTCTTTCTTTTGGAGCACTTTCCTTTTTGCTCATCCAAAAATCACAAGAATAATAATCACTGTGAACAAGAAACACGCCACTTGACAAAAATCTAAACATAATAATAATTCTCGCTCGGCGAACATTGTTTTTCTCTGGCCAACTCTCTCATTTTCCCTCACTCTCTCTCTCTAGCTCTCCATCTTATCGTATATCTGAGCCACAAAATCATTTCGTGTTTTGTTTTCGCTCCCCCAAAAATTCCTCTTCCATCTACAGTACTCCCACTGATTGTGACCTATTTCACACCGCCTACAGTAATCTGCCTTCTGATTACTCTACACTTTTTCTGGGCTTCTTCCACGTGTGGTACTGTAGTTTCCGCTGCCAAAATTGTGTCGGTTGAGGAGAAGATTGCTGCGTCGGCGGCGGCGGCGAAACGGGGGGCCGATCAGGGCCCAATTGGGCCCGGCCCGGCACGGATTGTGATTGTTCAGAAGTCTAGGTGAGCACAATTTTCTACAGTAACCGGTTGATCCAAATTTTTGGAACTTTTGGCACAATTTTCTACAGTAATTTTTCTTTCTTTTTAGACCAAAATTTTGTGCTGAAAATCATGGATTTGCTAAAAATTGCTGAAAATCAATATTCTCACAATTTTCAGCACAAAATTTCAGTCTAGAAAAATATTTTTCCACAGTAACCGGTTGATCCAAATTTTTGGCACAATATTCTACAGTAATCTTTGAAGCGATTCTAGACCAAAATTTTGTGTTAAAAATCATGGAATCGCTGAAAATGGCCGAAAATCAATATTCTCACAATTTTCAGCACAAAATTTCGGTCTAGAAAAATACTTTTCTACAGTAACCGGTTGATCCAAATTTTTTTCACAATTTTCTACAGTAGTCTTTTACAGTAATGCCACGTGGCTTTTGAAATCTGAAAATTTCAGAATTAATTTTCAGAAGCTGAATTCTGAATCTGAGCTGTAAGAAAATCCACGTGGCACAAAAATTGGGGATTTTCTAAAAAATTTAGAAATTCAAAAATAAATTTCAAATTTTTTTTTGAAATTTCAATAAAAAAACCACGTTTACGTGACCAAAAAAATTCGCATTTTGAAAAATTCTCAATTTTCAAACCAGTAAGTTCCAAAATTTCCACCTAACCTCAAAAATCCCAATTTTTCGCAGATCAAATGCTTCTTCCTCTTCCGGCGCCACAATAATCAGCGATTGTGCTTCAAGTGACTTAGGACATCTCGCAGAACAGCCTGACAGGTGAGTTTTCATCGAAATTGGGTAGAAAATTTGAAATTCTCACGAAATTTCATCCAAGAAACACGGAAAGTTGGCCTAGTGGCTAAGCGCTTTGATTACTGATCTAGAGGCCGCAGGTTCAATTCCCGGTGGCTGCAAACTTTTTTATTTTTTCGTAGCTAGAATTTGATGCCTAGAGATTCTATAGCCTAGTGGTTAACAGCTATGTCTACTGATCAAAAGGTCGCGGGTTCAATTCCCCATGCCTGCAAACATTTTTGTTTCTAGAATTTGTTCCAGCCTCTTTCAAAAAAAAAACCTCATATCACTTTCAAAAATGTGCTCCTCTCAAATTTCCACCTCCCCACAAAACACTCTCTCTCATTTCCACACACTCTCTCGCTCTCTAAGAAAAAAAGCCGGTCGGAAAAAGTGGGCGGAGCCTCGGAAAACTTTTCCGTGTGTTGCTTTACTCTCTTTTTATCAGTGAGAAGCTGAAAAAAAAACGAAAAACGACTGAAAATTCGGCTGAAAATGACTAGTATTCTTTGAATTTTGAAGAAGTTTGCGAAAAATGGTGGAATATGAGATAAATAAGGGTGGCGAGCCGGGAAGAAAGTGGGTTTGCGGGAAGTTTTTGGGAACGGGGAGTGGGATTTTTGAAATCTACGAAAAATTTTGATCTAGAACAAAAAAATTGTTTGCGCACATGGGGGATTGAACCAGGACCTTTAGATTGTGAGCAATATTGGTGTAGTGGTTAAGTGCTTCAGCTATTGATCTAGAGGCCAGGGTTCGAGTCCTCGTAGTGTCTGAGATTTTTTTTGATTCAAAAGTGCCAAGAACGCGCATGGGGGATTGATCCAGGACCTTTAGATCGGAATCAAATCTGGTGTAGTGGTTAAGCCTGCTGTCTGCCAATCTAGAGACGCGGGTTCGATTCCTGGTGCTGCCAAATTAATTTTTTTTCTCAAAAAAAAACTTTTCCTGATCAAAATTTCACGCTGATTCCGAATTTCATGGTCCCCAGTCTTCATTTTTTTCAAAAATGCGATTTTTTTCAATGATCATTAAAACAATATTTGCCTACGTCATAACGATAATGATAATTTATCTCTTTTCTCTTTTTTTGCCCTCAAGTGGTCAGCGCAAGACAATAGAATAGAATCTAGTTTGATCTACCCACACAAAAATTTTCCAAACTTCCCAGAAAAATTTCTAGATCAAAGGTCGCGAGTTCGATTCCCCATGGGGGCGGAATTTTTTTTTTGAAAAAAAAACATGTTTTTTTTGGTGGAATTTAATCAGCGCTTCCATGTTAACTTTGTTATTTTTCGAGCTTTTTTTTTGGAAAAAATGGAAAATAACAAGAAAAAACACCAAGGGGGAGTGTTTGTTTTGAAACAAGAAGAACAAAACGAAAAAAAACGCGCCAAACATAGGAATAATACACCGTGTGTGCAAAATTGTTCTTTTGAAATTGAGACACTCATTTTTTCGACATTTTTCGACATTCACAGCTTCTAGATTGACATTTTATTGATTTTTTGCGGGAAAATTTGAGGAATGATGCGAAATTATGCAACTTTTGATACAAAATGAGAAAAGGTTGGTGGTTTTTGAGACTGGGCTTAGATTTGGGCCTGTGTTGGAGCCTCAAAGCCTAATTTGGGCTCAAATTCAGGCTTTAATTTTTGTCTAAAACTCAAGTCTAATTTCAGGCTTATCCAGGTCATAGCATGAGGGTTTGGGCCTGATTTCTGGCCAGGAATTTGGCCTGGATTTAGCCTAAGTCAAAGCCTAGATTTTGGCTTGAATATAAGCCTATAGTCGAAATTAGGGCCCTGAAATTGGGCCTGAAATTGAAGCCTGATTGAAGGTCCAATAAAATATTCCAAAAATTAGGTTCGGAACTTTAGAGAAAAAGTTCAAGATCCAAATTTTCAGCATGGTTTCTCATGATCTTAGCAAAAATTCTGAAATTTCGGAATTGTTTTCAGGACTTCCAGAAATTTCAAAAAATTTTCCTAGCTCTAAAAATTCCTCCCTAAATTTTTGAAATTCTGAAAAATTGAAATTTTTTTCAGAATCTCAAATTTGGATTCGAAATCCCAGTTCAAAACTACAAAAACATCTCTGCGCTCTCTCAATTTCTCATTGTCTCTAATCAAAATTTCTACAATTTCGAAGTTGTCCGAGAGAAGTACACGCATTTCTTTCTGAAGTGTTCTCAGACCAGAACACAATAGAATTAGCGCAACTCTTGTAAGCTTAAAAGTTAGCCTAAATGTTTATTTATTATACAAACAAACAAATAATGATTGTGTCATAATCCATGCGCGAATTGACGTGTTTGTATCATTTTTTTTCGCCCACAAAACCGGCTCATTTTTTTTTTCAAATTATTAATGTTTATTATTGTTATTAATATGAGCAATAATCAATATTTCGCAATTTTCTCTGTGCGCAAGCGAGAAAAATGAGCACTTGAGAAATGAGCAGGAAAAATATCCATTTTTTTGTTGTTTTCTTCTTGGGTGATCTTTTGGGGAAGAGAGAAAAACAACTGCGAGGAAAAGTGGATTGATCCGGTTCAAAGAATTTTTCTGAGGATTTGGGGGTAGCGCCTGGAGGAGGCTGTGAAGTTAGGCTAAATTGTGGGCAGGGAAGTTTTGAAATTCAAATTTTTGCGGCAAGAATCCGAAATTTTGAATTTCAAATTTTTGAGAAAATAATTCAAAATTTTCAAATGTCAAATTTTCGCGCACCAAAATCCACGTGGAAAAATTGTTGGTGAATTTTTTGGAGAAAAAATTATTAGAAATTTCGAATTCCAAATTTTGGGTGCCAAAAATCCACGTGGCAAAAAATTGTTGGTGAATTTTTTGGAGAAAAAATTCAACATTTTTGATTTTTGCGCGAGAATTTGAATTTTCAAAATTTTCCAACGTGGATTTTGGCTCGAAAAATTCAAATTCAAAATTTTTCCCCAAAACCAAATTTTTTTTTGCAGAAATTCCCGTCTGGCTGCAGTTTTTGCCGCTTTATTCATTCTGACACTTTTGATATCAATTTCATTCATTACAATTGTTGCCATTTTATCCGATGGTTTTAGCACACTTGTTTCAGGTGAGCTTCCGCAAGCTTCCGCGTACGCGGAAAAGTTAGGGGTTACTTCTATCAAAAATTTGCAGGTCCGGACACATGCGGAAGCGATGCGGACCTTCCGGACGCCTCCAAATCCTACCCCTCTCTCCCCACATCCAGTGATTTCAATCAAACCTGCCTCACTCCCGAATGCATCCGCCTCGCCGCAAACTACCTAAACAACATGAATCGCGACGCGGACCCCTGCGACGACTTCTACGCGTTCGCATGCGGAAGCTACGCGGCAACACGCGTTGTCGCCGAACACGAGAAGAAGGTGACGGTGTTGAGTGAGATGAAGAGAGAGCTGGATCGACATTTGCGCGAGATTCTCGAAAAATCGTCGCGCGACAATGCGACTCGCGCAATGAAACTCGCTCAAATCTATTTTGATTCGTGTGTGGATGAAAAAGCACAAGACGAGCTGGAACTTCAACCGCTAATGAGTCTCATCTCGAATCTCGGAGGCTGGCCACTTCTAACCAATGCCCGATTCGACAGCGTCGATTTTCAGTGGGAAGTTTTGGCGGGACATTTGGCGATGCACGGTGTCGACGGAATTTTCCGCGTCTTTGTTCACTCGTCTTTTGATGACAGTAATAAACATGTTCTCATGTTTTCACCGCCCAAATTATTTTTGGAGAAGAAAAAGTTTTATCTGGATGCGCCGAGCACTAATGTCTATCTACAGTACTATCGACAGTACATTTTATCATTGCTCAGTTTATTGGGTAGGTCTCTGCGTCTCTAACCCATATAGATCTCTGGTTCTCTGCGTCTCTTACATGCTTTTCTAGTGTATAGCTTCTCTGTTTCTCTAACCTGGCTGATTGTATGTGTTCTCTGAGTCTATAACCTTCAAAGCCTTTATGTCCTCTGCGTCTCTAACATCTATTTCATAGCTTCTCTCTGTCTCTAACCTACGCTATATCTCTAGCTTCTCTAGCCTCTCTACCCTTTCTAGCATCTCTAGCCTCTCTAGCCTGTCTAGCTTTCGAGTTCTCTGCGTCTCTAACCAACGCTATAATTCTAGCTTCTCCAACACCTAGCACATTTTCTCTGCTTCTCTAACCTCTCTCCTATCTGTTATCTCTGCGTCTCTCATCTCTAGCCGCTCTGACTATCTGTGTCCTCTGCGTCTCTAACATTTCAACATTTTGCAGGAGTCGACATGGAAGACGAGACAGGAGTGATCGAATATCAAGTCGATGACATTATCGACTTCGAAAGACGAATCGCAAATGTAAGTGTCTCTACGTCTCTAACCCACCTAACTCTCGCTCTCTGCTTCCAGCTCACCCGCATCGAATTATCCCGAAATCACAGTGCAATCAACAATATGATGGCGTACGGAGAATTCAAGAAAAAATACGACAAAATCAATTTCGACGGTTATTTCAATGAGGAAATGCGAACATCATTGGGACGAATGCCGGATTCTTTGGTGATAAATGTGGTTGATGTGACATATTTCGATAATTTATACGGATTGATCAAATCGAAACCATTGAGTTCAATCAATAATTATTTGATGTGGGGATTGGTTTCGAACTACGATTTATATCTTCCCGCCAAATTCCGCAAACCAATGTACGAATTTCGACAGAAAATGTACGGTTTATCAAGTGATACACCACTTTGGGAGAATTGTGTGGCTGAAGTGAGAGATAATCTGGCAATGCCACTATCTACCGAATACGCTCAAAAGTTCTTTAGCAAACGGGACAAATCGGTGGCGGAAGAGATGATTCGAGATTTGAAGAAGGCGATGGAACATACGCTGATGAATGCGGATTGGATTGATGAATCGACGCGGGAAGCGGCGCTGACGAAATTGGATGCGATGGGACATAAGATCGGATTTCCGGATTCGTTGTTGAATGAGACGGCCGTGTTGTTGCCGTATGCTGGAGTTCGGCTAACTGCTAATCAGTATTTTGAGAATGCCGTTTCGTTGAAGAAGGCCGCTTATAGGTGAGGGATGCAGAGAAATGAGAGAGCGCGAGAGCTAGAGATTTTTTTCGGAATACTGTAGATCGGAAAAAATGCCACGTGGCTTCGAGTTTTACTGTAGGTAGATCAGAAAAACCAATTTCGGAATACTGTAGATCGGAAAAAAAACGCCACGTAGCACAGATTACTGTAGAATGAGTATGAGTTTAGGAGAGAGGTTAGAGAAGCGAGAGAGAGCTATAGAGAATAGAGACGCAGAGAAGCGAGAGGACAGAAAGAATGCCACGTGGCACAGATTAATGTAGATCAACTTCTGGCACTAAAAAAATGCCACGTGGCTTCGAGTGTTACTGTAGGTAGATCAAAAAACACACCTCGGCCAAGCCGTGGCTGGTCAGAGTACAATTTTTGAAAAAATCTGAATTTCAATTTTTAGAAGTCAAAAATTAAAAAATCACAATTTTTAAAGGACAAAAACTGAAAATTCACAATTTTTGTACTGTAAAAAGTTAGCGTACAATTTTTATTTCGGAAACCACGATTTTGGCCGAGGTGTGTCAAAAAACCAATTTCGGAATACTGTAGATCGGCAAAAAGAATTCCACGTGGCACAAATTACTGTAGCATGAGTATTGAAGCCAAAAATCCTACTCTAGGTCAAACACATTATGACGTGGCACAAATTACTGTAGATCAATGTTTATCGTTTAAATTTTGATAAATCAAATTTCTTACTGTATTTTTTGGCGCCACAAAGTTCGCGTATTCAAAATTCTTACTGTAATGAAAAAAAAAATGTAAATTCTTATCACAAAATCCACGTGGCAAAAGGAATTCCTAGGAAATCTCGTAAAGTTAGCCTAACTTTCAATATTTTTGCAGAGATCTTCTGTCTAAACTACACCGTACTCCCTCAATAATCGATTGGGCTTCTCCAGTGATTGCCGTCGATGCTTTTCACTATTTCACGGGAAACGAGATCATCTTCCCGGCCGGAATCCTTCAATTCCCAATGTTTGTTCCCGATGCTCCCGCCTTCGCCAACTACGGTGCAATCGGAATGGGAATCGGGCACGAAATCACGCATGGCTACGATGATTTGGGCGCCCAATATGATGAATCGGGAAATCTGCGCGGTTGGTGGCACACGGAAACAATGACGACGTTTCAGAAGAAGAAACAATGTTTTGTGGCACAATATGGAAGTAAAGTGGAGCCGATAACAGGGCGGAAAGTCGACGGAAAAATGACAATTGGTGAAAATATTGCGGATAATGGTGGATTGAGAGTCGCTTATCAGGCATATCAATTGAAAATTGATCGGGAAAAAGAGCAGAGACGATTGCCGGGATTGAATGAGTTCAGTGCCAAACAATTATTCTTTGTCGCGTATGCTAATGTGAGTTAGGGGAACTCGGTTGCTCTGCGTCTCTCACTATCTCTAGGGAGACACAGAGATGTTAGAGACGCAGAGAGCACTATTACTCTATGTCTCTCGTTCTGACAGTTAGAGATCATAAAACTAGAGATCGTGATAAGTTAGAGACGCAGGTAAGCTATACACCAGATAGCATGATAAGTCAGAGAGACAATAGAGATTTAGAGGGTTAGAGACGCAGAGATAACAGAGGGGTAGAGAGGCTAGAGAACCAGTGTGAGCTAGAGATAACTGTGTTCAAAGAGACGCAGAGTAGCTAAAGAACCATAGTTGGTTAGAGAGGGTAGAGAGGTTAGAGAGGCTAGAGAGGCTAGAGAGGCTAGAGAGGCTAGAGAGGCTAGAGAGGCTAGAGAGGCTAGAGAGGCTAGAGAGGCTAGAGAGGCTAGAGAGGCTAGAGAGGCTAGACAGGCTAGACAGGCTAGATATGCTAGAGAGACTAGAGAAGCTAGAGAAGCTAGAGATGCTAGAGATGCTAGAGAGGCTAGAGAGGCTAGAGAGGCTAGAGAGGCTAGATATGCTAGAGAGACTAGAGAAGCTAGAGATGACTGTGTTCAAAAAGACGCAGAGTAGCTACAGAGTCTGGGGTGGTTAGAGAGAGGCTAGAGACGCAGAGGAAAACTGCCCAGCTTCTCAAAAACCATGTCAAAAGCCGGAAAATTCCTCGGGTAACCTTGCAGGAACCCAGAAATTCAAAAAAAAATTCCCGAGCTCCCAAAAACCCTCCCAGACTTCCAAAATTCATTTAAAACTTCCCAGTCTCCCAAAATCCCTCTCAGACCCCGAAAATTCCCCGGACAACTTCCCGAGCCCTCAAAAACCCTCCCATAGTTCCCAAATCCCCGCCCAACCTCCCGAACCTCCCCCCAAAAATCACCCACCTCTCTCCTTGCAGACCTGGTGCGAAGCTCTCAAACCCTCCGCCATCGATCACATCATGGACACCGATGTTCACAGTTTGGGCTTGTTCCGCGTCAATGTTCCACTTCAGAATTTGCCGGCATTTTCGAAGGAATTCGATTGTCCAATTGGTTCACCAATGAATCCATTCGAAAAATGCCGAATTTGGTGATCTCCTCAAAAATTTGACATAAATTTCTGCTATATATTTGAATTTATTACGGGTTTTGTTTAATTGAGAGAATAAATATTTAATTAATTAATTACCAAGAAATCAAAGGGTCTTAATTACCCAAAAAAAACCATGAATTAATTAATTAGCTAATTAGTGAAAATAATATTTCATTTTATTATAATCAAAGCATCATATCACAAAATGTTAAGGGATAAATATGGGGACTATAGGTATAAATATCAAATTATTATTAACAAGAAGAAGATCAATCAATAAATATCTCGCCTAACATGAGCAATATAATAATTAGGGAGTGTAATTAGTGGACTAATTAGGAAGAGGAGTTAATTCGGGAACACACACAGTCTGTCAAGTGGTTGTTTCCTCCTCTTTTTCCACACAAACTTCCAAATGAACCGCGCAATTATTGTACAAATCTTGAAATGTGATGTGAAATATTGGCGAGAAATTTCGCATACAAATGTCGGGATGCCATTCGGCAAATTGGAGCATTGAGGTGAATGTGGGTGGGAAGGTGACGATGGGACGACCGTGGAATGAGTAGGCGGGCTGCAAAAATATCAGAAAAGGATTTTGGAATCAGAGAGAACTTGTGTGTCAAGTAGCCGAGTCTAGAAAACCTAGTTTTCAAGGATCCGCGCCTTGAGATTCTCTATGTCAAGCAGGCGAGCCTATGCATCATAGTTGTCAAGCAGTTGAGCTTAAGGATGCTGCTTTTCTAGGGCCCGCGCCTAGAAAGCCGATCTGGATAGGTACAGCGTCTACAGAGCCTCTATGTCAAGTGGCTGATCCTTGAGAACCTGATTGTATCGTACCCGTGCTTATAAAATCCTACTTTCAAGGAGCCGCGCCTTGAGATTCTCTATGTCAGGCAGGCGAGCCTATACATCATAGTTGTCAAGTGGCCGAGCCTAGAGAACTTGATTTTCTAGGAACCGCGTCTAGAGAGCCCAAATGTCAAGGAGCCGTGCCTTGAGATCCTCTACGTCAAGCAGCCGAGTCTAGAAAGCCTAGTCGTCAAGTAGCTGACCCTATACAACTTGATTGTCTAGGACTCGCGCCTAGAAATCCAAACTCTTAAGGAGGTATGCTTAGGAAGCTTATTTTGTCAGAAAATTTGTCTTCAAAATGTTTTCAGGAAATTTCAGAGCACAATTTTTACAGATTCAAAATCCGGGAATTTTCTACATTTTTCAAATTCTGATTTCATCCCACGTGTCAATTTTCCGCAATCTACGTCATTCCGAACAGACACATTTTTTCAAAAAAAAAAAATGAAAAACATTGTCTCAAATTTCCTCACAAAAGTATTTCTTTGAAAGTCACCGAAAAAAAGTTTTTTTTGCAAAAAAAAAAACCAACCTCAATCGCCTTTTGTATACTAGTTTTGTTAATTCCAGCACAAAAAACACGAACAAAAATTTGAGAATTTCTCGAAACTCTCGTATCATTCCAGACAAATGACATCAGAACACGGCAAAATATTCCAAATTCGTCGCGCTGCAAAAAATTTGAATTTTTCCTTAAAAAGGGGTGAGTTCAATAGAGCGCATTTTCTATTTCTGGTTAGTTTTGGCTTAAAGGGGGGGGGGGGTAAGACGACAAAATTTTATTTGCTCAATGAATCGGGCTCCCTTTGAATAGTAAAAGCCCCAGGGGATTTTTTCTCGAAAGGCCTAAAAAGGTCCGAAAAAAATATTCCATGAACTTTTTTCAACGTATAGCTATACGTTGTCCGGAAGTTTATGGAATAATTTCAACGTATAGCTATACGTGGTACCTAGTTTATGGAACATTTTTTCTGGACGTTTCCAGAAAAAATCCCTTGGAGGTTTTACTACTTTTGGGGAGCCTTTAACTTTGCGACAAAAAAATTTTGTCGTCTTACCCCCCCTTTAAAATCCATCATTTTCAGGATTTTTGGATTAAATTTAGTCACAAGTAGTGATTTTCAGCTATATATTAAGAATTTCATTAGGTTTGAGTTCAAACTCAAGATTTTCCATTAATTTTTTAGATTCAGAAAAAAAAGAAAATTTGAATTTTTTCTGAAAACGGGTAGAGTTCAATAGAGCGCAATTGCTATTTCTGGTTTGTTTTGGCTCAAAATCCATCATTTTTTAGGGTTTTCAGCTCAAAATTGGTCAAAAATAGTGATTTTCAGCAAAATATTAAGAATCTGAGTCCAAACTCATCGATTTTCTTTCAATTTCAAGTCAAAATTCCTCAGAGAAAAAAAAATGAAAATTTGAATTTTTCCTGAAAACGGGTAGAGTTCAGTAGAGCGCATTTGCTATTTCTGGTTAGTTTTGGCTTAAAATCCATCATTTTCAGGATTTTTGGATTAAATTCAGTCAAAAATAGTGATTTTCAGCTAAATATTACGAATTTCATTAAGTTTGAGTTCAAACTCAAGATTTTCCATTAATTTTCTGGATCCAGAAAATAAAAATGAAAATTTGAATTTTTCCTGAAAACGGCTAGAGTTCAGTAGAGCGCATTTGCTATTTCTGGTTAGTTTTGGCTTAAAATCCATCATTTTTTTAGGGTTTTCAGCTGAAAATTGGTCAAAAATATTGATTTTCAGCTAAATATTAAGAATTTCAGAATGTTTAAGTTTTCCATCAAATTTAGGTCAAAATTGCTCAGAGAAAAAAAAATGAAAATTTGAATTTTTCCTAAAAATGGGTAGAATTCAATGGAGCGCATTTGCTATTTTTGGCCAAAAATTGACTGTTTTTCAAGATTTCAAGCTTTTTTTTTCAAATTCCCTCCCCAGAACCCTCACCGCAAACTGATGCAACGCCAACGGCAAACTAACAAAAACGCGATCAGTCGGAAAAATCTTTTTAACATTGGAGCAAACATGCTCCATCGAATATTTGCGATTCGGTTTTGGCGGCGAAAACAACGTGGAATTTCGCACATTTTCAGCTGCAACTTCTAATAAACATTCAGCAATTGCATCGCCTTCAGTCAAATCAATTTCCAAACTTTGCAGCTTTTCCGAATGTCTCATCCAGGTTTCGTTCAATTTATTCGAATCGAAACGAAGTTCGTCGAAAATGTGTTTATTTGTCCATTCGGAACAATCTAATGATGAATATCCAGTCATAAATTTCAGCTTCACCGATTTCGGTCTGCAAAATTTTGGATGAGATTTTGGAGGTTGAATTTTAGATGTAATGTAAAAATAATTTTGTTTCGGATTTTCACAATTTTGTTCAAAAAACTGCAACTTTTTTGAAAAATCTAGAAGTTATGGTAACTTGCGCGAAAGCTTGCGGTTTACAATTTTTAGAAAAAAAATTCTCAATGGCCTAGAAACCGACAAGATGTTTTCTAGGCTTTTTTTCAGAAAAATTCAGATTTTTCTCTAATTTCCCCATTTCTAGCTCAAAATTTTTCAATTTTTTCAAATTTCAGCTCAAAACCCTCCCTAAAATCCACGTACTTCCACTGTTTTACAATACAATCAATAACATTTCTCGGATGAGTTGGCGATTCTTGCGAAATCATCAAGCGATCTGAGACAATAATTTCCAACACATCACACGCCACATTTTGGCCAATTGTTAATTTCATAATTTCCATCGCCTTTTCGCCAGATTCGACCATTTCCAGACAATACATTGCAATTTGTGTTATCAAACTGAAAAAATTGGGGAATTTTTGAGCATTTTTGGGAAATTGGGTGAAAACTTGATTGATTTTTAATCCAAAAATCCTGAAAATTACCCCATTTCTCCGGTTTCTCAATTAAAATAATTAAGAATGTACTGAAAATTTCTGAAATAATCCGTGTACTTCTCTCGGACAAGCGGAAAATGCTTGAAATTAGAATTTTTGTTCAAAATTAATCAGTGTAGTTCTCTCGGAAAACTTGGAAACTATGGGGAAAAAATAAAATATGATTTTGATTAGAGACAATGAAAAACTGAGAGAGAGAGAGAGAGCAGACAGACAATTATTTTTCCCCATAGTTTCCAAGTTGTTCGAGAGAACTACACAGATTTTATTTTTCAACAAAAATTCAAATTTCAAGCATTTTCCGCTTGTCCGAGAGAAGTACACGGATTATTTCGAAAATAGGTAATTTCAACGTGACCTAAAATTTGCTAATTTCCACAAGAAAAATTATTTTTTCTCATTTTTACATTGTTTTAATTCAGAAACTAGCGAAATTTCAGGATTTTTGTGATGAAAATTGAAGAAAACCGCGATTTTTGGTCATAAATCTGTCAGTTTCCAAATCTTCGAAACGCACATTTCAGTGATCAACAAATGTTGAAAATGTCGTTGATTATCGAATCCTTTTTGAAGTGTCAACCATTGCATTGGTCCATAAATATGACTTTGTGATGCCAAAATATAGCACATCATACAACCGGCTTCGCAAATCTCATCAGCTCCTTTATATGAGCGAACATGGACGGCTGCAAAAAAATTGATTTGGAAAAGTGCCAAAAAATAATTTGTGTGCATTTTTGCGTCGCGGTGTTTGCGACTTGAGTGAGAATCTGCAATTTTCCGTGAAATCAGGTTTTTCTATTTAAAATTCCGTGGAGTTTCGCTGCTTTTGAGTGAAACTTGATTAAAAACACGTGATTTGACGCAAAAATGCAGAATCTGACGTTTTGCGACTAAATTTCAAACAAAACATCCAATTTGATGCAAAAATGCAGAATTTCTAGGGTTTTCTGCAATTTCTCGTCAAATCCAGTGTAAATCACAACATTTGACAGGAAATTGCAGATTTTTTAGAATTTTCACCAAAAATCAGTATTTTCTCTTTGAATTCACGGTTTTTCATAGAATAATGCTCACCACTGAAAGCAAAAAGCTCGTGAAGAATACAATCATGAATCAATTTGTTGTCCTCAACAAATCCGGCAAATTCAATAGTCTCAATTTGAATCAAAGCTATCCGACGCAAAAATCCGAACAATTTCGCCACTTGCACCAAATCAATCGATATCTCATTGATCTCAACGTCGCCTTCTCCATCGGGCGCACTTGCAACAACTTGTAAATGACGAAAATCTTTGCGAACTTTGTGAAGGCAAGCACTTCCGAAGGAGCGATTCACGCGCTAGAAAAATCGACATTTTATTTGGAATAACTGAAAATTAAAGCTAAAACTCACACGCCAATCCAAAAAGTTTAAAATCGGCTCATCTGCGACCACCAAATCAAAAATCTTGGAAACCAGCACAATATTATTGAAAACTGCTTCTTGATGAGTTGGTTTTGCCGGAACTTTTTCTTTTTCTACTACCAAACGCTTCTGAAATCAGAAATCAATAATTTCACTCAAAAATTCCCAGAAACTCACAATTTTACGCTTTGGACACCAATCTTCATCGTCTTGTGGTGGCGCATGCGCCTTTTTGCGAAAAACTTCAACCGTCATGTTTCTCGCAATAAATTTCTAATTGAAAATCACGAATCAATATCAATGGGGTGAGCAAACTATAAATTTCCTTGTTTGAAACATGGAAAACCTCCAATTCCCGCCAAAACAGCAAGAAAAACAATTGTTTTTTTTTGAAAATTAAAAATTGCGCGTGTGGTCTCGCCACGACACACAAATATTTCGCGTGTTCCTTTAAACCGTACTCTTTGTTTATTTTTTTTCTATTTTTTTTTGCGAAACTTTTGCTCATTGCTCTTATCAAAAATATATTTATCGATAAAATTATATAACGGGAAATAGTATTCATTTTCGTTTACCGCCGAGAAGAACTGTTCGAAAATCGGCCAACACTCGCCAAATATACAAAAATGGAATGCTATTTTTCACCGAGTGCTCGCGAAGCTCGATATTCATCTCAAAAACATCGTCGTTTTTCCGGATTTTCGAGAAATCGATGTGAAGTTCCGTGTAAGATTTGGCTTTCTCGTTTGAAAAAAGTTTAAGATTTTCATGACAGCTATGCTCAATTATTAACATAATATCAATATCGGGTTGATTAGCTTGACCAATCATACGAAAATGTCCATTTTTATTCGTTTTTCGGAAATTCAAAATTCGATCAAACCAGGAAACTGTAAATTTTACTCAGTTGCATAGCAATTCAGTTTACAAAACGCTTACAAGTATCCTGAACCATCAAAATCTGCACATCTCCCGCTGGATATCCATCACAAGTCAACTTCCCATAAATCTCGAATTGTTCATCTTCTTGATATTCAAAATCGAAAGCGCTCAATAAAATCGCCAAAATACTTCGAAGATGCATTTTTATTTAGTTATAAGTAAAGTGTCCTCAATTTTTTTTCAAAAATAATGTTTTGAGAGGGGAAATGATTAGAGGCGGGTCATTGATAATGCAATATAAATAGTGAGGAATAGTTAGGCGATACATTAGCAAAATGATGTGAAGTGCGCTCTATTGATTACTTGACTTGCGCGAAATGTTTGTTTTTTGAGAAAAAATATGGATTTGACAAGTGAGTTACGAATTCGAATTTGTGTCTAAAAATAGATACGGAAGGGTTTTTTGCACCTTTATCTTCAAAAAGTGATGTTTACAAAGTGAAAATATACATTTTGCACTATAATCATAAATGAGACGGAATGGGAGAGGGAAAAAACGAAAGGAAGATGAACATTTGAAAAACTTTATTAAAGGCGCATGGGGAAAGGAGTGGATTGGGTCTCGCAGAGCTTGTGGACATTTTTTTAAAAGTTTTTTTTTGGGACTTTAGCCGAACTCACGAGTTTCTTACTCATTGATGTGTTGTTGAGGTCTCATAGCGAATTTCTATGTTTCTCTGCGTCTCTCAGAAGTCTTTAATTTTTCAACCCTAACGTTTAGGGCCTAAACCCACTTTTGTACACCTTCAACCATTTTCCCTGCCCAAACCCGTGATTCAAACGTTATTTACATTAGCAATCGTCAATTTCCGTTTTTTTTTCAAACTCATTTTTTATCTATAACTTACATCAACTTAAACAAATACTACAATTTTAATTTTTTCTGCTTCCCTGATCAGGTTCGATTGTGAAAAAAAACCTTTCTTTGTTCGCATACCCATCATTACGAAATAGTAAGTATACAATTTTCATATTACTTTACTTTTTGTTTCTTTCCTGATAACACCTCAGATGACAGGTTTACTCATAGTACACTTTCAAATGAATTTTGGTTTTTGATGATGTGCCATGATAAAAACAGTTCCAAGTATCTATGTTTGAATAAAAAATTATGAGTCAGGCATGTGGGAGAGAACGGTCTCAATTGGAATTCGGAAGTTGTGTATTTCTCGTGGAGGACTTTGTGAAGTCCTCTTGGAGGAAGTTCTCCATATGATTATATATAAAGAATCCTCATTGATCCTTGAAGAAGGTTGCATGATTTTATATACAGGTACACTTTACTATGTTATTATGTATACCTGTTCAATTTTTAATTCTTATCTAAACCCCTCCCACTTGCAAAACGATAGTAGTATAAAACAATAATCATCAACTCATCATGCTCCAAGTGACTAAAATGTCAATTGCCACATTTCTTTTTGGTATAGTCTTGTTTTTCGCCAGAGATCCGAGAAGTATTGAAAACGTTGCGATCTATGGTAAAGTCACCTGTGATGGGAATCCTGTGGAGGGCGTGCAAATTCTGATGGTTGATGATAATAGTGAGTTATTTTGTCGGATTTTCCTCAATCTATACCTTTCCAGTCTGGATGTTTGATCATATATTAACCTTTCGAAGCACAAATAAGAATGGGAAATATCGATTGTTCGGAAATCCGCATGATAAAGATCTCAACCTTCTTCTGATCGTTGAACATAGTTGTCATGAGAATCGTAACATCAAGACTAGAGAACTTATCGAATCCTATTCGCAATACAGAATCCCGCTTCATACTTTAGAAGAGCATGGTTTCGATTATGAATTCAATATTGAACTTCGCAATAACCACGGTGTTCATAGTTCGAAACCTGGATTGTATGCTTGGAGAGCTGCAGCGGATATCAAAACGTGAGTTTCTGCGACGTAATTTCAAAATTCTGATAATATTTCTGCAGGGTTGCTTCAGACTCTGCCGAATATTTGAAAAATGCCTTCTTTTGACAACATTGAAGTTTCAACCTCAAATTTCTGTAAATACACAATATTCTTGTAAATACTTCGGGTACACTTGGGTCTATTTTATTCGGTTTGCAATAAATATTAATAATAAGGAATGGCGTGTAATTCTCACAGACATCAAGAACCTTTTGATAAAGCATGCGTCTATTTCTCTGCGTCTCGTCGTTCTCACCTTAAAATTTCAAATAACATTTTCTAGAATCTATTTCACCTGTTCCAAGTTTTTTCATTTTCATTTCTGATGGATTCATTCTCAAAAAAAATAAAATAAAATGTCTCTAGATCTTGCAACTATAATTATTCCAATGATTACATTTCTAATCTACTTATCGCAACTCGCAATAATCTACAAATCTGGAAAACAAAAGATAGCCCAAACAAAATATCCCTTCCTCAATTTCATATTTCTAACTCAATGTTTCCTTCTAATTTTTCAATGTTTCTATGGGTTTTACGATGGTCCAAATAATTCAGCGATTTTCGACGTGCTCACATTTTTCAACATGAGTTCTGTGGGATTAATGCTGTTTTCTTCATTTTTCTTCACATTTTTTGGAATTTTCATGATTCTTGATGCTATTTTTGTGTTCCCAATTTATACAGATATACTATTTTATACTGTGAAAATGTGGGTCATTAGAGCGCACTTGAACAAAATCTTTTTTTCAGAGTCAATATATATTTTTTCATAGTAACCCCAATCTCTATTTATTTTAATCCACTCTTAACCGATTTCTTAACAATTTTCAAAGTTTTCCACTTAATCGACACCCCTCTTCTCGGAATTTCCGCGCTTCTACTTCTCCTCAAGTTCGTGCAACTCTTGAAGAAATCCACAAAAATCAAATTGGATCACAATGTTTTACACGTCACTTTGATAGTCTTGATAAAGCTTGTGAGTTTTTTGGATTTTTTTGCTCAAAAAGCTAATTTTTTGCAGTCATCTCTAACATTTTGGTGTATTTTCAATATTCTCATAAGTTCGGATGAGTTTAAATATGCAAATTTATTGATTTCCGGGGCAATTTTGCCAGCAACTTATTATTTTGCGATTTGGTATATATGAGGCGTACTGAATGAAATAATTGACTTAACCTAACTTCACCCCTCCCCCTAACTCACAAAACAAGTAACATTATCATTACAATTTGTGACACAATCATCCCAAGAAAGTGTAGACAGTGCAGTACAACTTGATGAATCATAAGTCTGGTAGAAAGTTAGCATAACTCCACTAGATTCAAAAGGAAGTATTGCAAAAATAATGAAAATGTGGAACATTTTGAACGTTTCTAGGATGAAATGGGAGAAAATCGGCAAATAATTGCCATGAGCACGGTTTCAAGCAGAAAAAAAAGGAAAAAATGAACAATTTTTATTAATTTTTTTTCAAAAATCATTATCCAATCAAATTCCCGCAAATAATACTTCTTGGACAATAAGTTGTAGAACAAGTTGTCCCGATGCATGGCTCACTTTGCACCAAATAGGTCCCAGCTTGTAGTGATGCACAATTATTGCCAGAAATCGGATGACCACTTGCCCAAACAATATTATTATCATCTCCCCCTGCTGGTAAATATGGATCTGTTGATGTCCAATTTATACCATTTGTAGTTTGATAATTTATCCAAATACTATAACTTGAATTATAGAATTGATTAGTTTTATTCGAAAAATACACTCTCTCATCTCCACTCCATAATCCCAAAACCACACCATTTTTTCCATCGCAATAAGTCGTGGCTACAGTTCGATTGAAAGTGATATGATAAATCAGCACAGCCTGACAAATTATGTAGTCCTCTCGGATCAATTTGTAGAATCCATAAGTGCAAACTTTCAATTTATAGATTTCTTGAGCTTCTAGTAGTTCTTGTGCAGTTTTACAATCAGTGACGTCACTTTTAAGTGAGATAATCGTGTCAGTTTCGGAAGAAGAATAAACTATTCCGGATATTTTGTCGTATCCACAACTGCTGCATGGGATATCAGAAGTGCTGAGAGCGTACTGAATAAAATAACTAACTTAACCTAACTTCACGCCCTTAACTCACAAAACAAGTTACATTATCATTACAATTTGTGACACAATCATCCCAAGAAAGTGTAGACAGTGCAGTGCAACTTGAAGAATCATAAGTTGCGTAGAAAGTTAGCATAACTCCACTAGATTCATACGGAAGTATTGCAAAAATAATAAACGTGGAGAAGAACATTTTTAGTGTTTCTAGGATGAAATGGGAGAAAATCGGCAAATAATTGCCATGAGCACGGTTTTAAGAAGAAAAAAAAAGGAAAAAATGAACAATTTTTATTAATTTTTTTCAAAAATCATTATCCAATCAAATTCCCGCAAATAATACTTCTTGGGCAATACGTTGCAGAACAAGTTGTCCCGGTACACGGTTCACTTTGCACCAAATAGGTCCCAGCTTGCAGCGATGCACAATTATTTCCAGAAATTGGATGACCACTTGCCCAAACAATATTATTATCATCTCCCCCAGCTGGTAAATATGGATCTGTAGATGTCCAATTTATACCATTTGAAGTTTGATAATTTATCCAGATACTATAGGTAGAACTATAGAATTCATTAGTTGTATTCGAAAAATACACTCTTTCATCTCCAGTCCATAATCCTAATATAACCCCATCATAACTATCACAATAAGTTGTGGCCAAAGTTCGATTAAAAGAATACGCATAAATCATCCAAGTGAAACAAATCGTATAGTCGTCTCGGATAATTTTGTTGTAGCCAATGTAACAACTTTTCAGTTTATCGATTTGCTGAGCTTCTAATAGTTCTTGCGCGGTTTGACAATCAGTGACGTCACTTTTAAGTGAGATAATCGTGTCAGTTTCTGAACTTGAATAGACGATTCCCGTTATTTCGCCGTATCCACAACTGCTGCACGGGATATCAGCAGTGTTGAGAGCGTACTGAAAAGGAATTTGAATTTAACTTATCTTAACATCTCCCTGACTTCCTTAGGAATAGTGTAAGTCCTTCTTATTAAAATCTGAAACTTTACTTACTTTAAAAACACTTTCAAGCGTTATTGACGATGCTAACTTAACTTAATTTTTTATTCAATTCAACGTGACTTAATTCATTTTAACTTAAACTTTTAATTTAAGATTACCTTAACTTAACATTTGAACTTTATATAAAATTAACTTAAGTTAAATAAAGGTTAAAGTTAGCTTAACCTTCTAACCCTTCTAAAAGCCCTTAACTTAACTTAACCTAACTTCACGCCCTTAACTCACAAAACAAGTTGAATTATCATCACAATTTGTGACACAATCATCCCAAGAAAGTGTAGACAGTGCAGTACAACTTGAAGAATCATAAGTCGCGTAGAAAGTTAGCATAACTTCAGTAGATTCATAGAAAAATATTGCAAAAATAATAAAAACGAACATTTGAAGCGTTTGTTTCTATGTGGAAATAAAGCAGAAGACACGGTGTTTTAATGAACTGGCCAAAAAAAATTGATGAATTTCAATTGCCATGAAAACAGCTGAGCGGAGAAAAATGCGCAAGCACAACAAACATGTCAGTCATTGATTGAGGCTGACGTGTTTGCTGTATTTCGGCTCATAATTTTCAGCTGTGACTTCCAGAGGACACACTGAACTTCTGAAATTTCAAATCATCCGATTTTCCAAGTTAGCCTAACTCACAATCCAGTACGTTTCAAAGTTCTTGAAGTAAATCTATTGGGATTCCAATAAATCGATAAAATATGAGTCATGGGTAGCAAAGATGTTGCAAAAATACTGGGATAATCAGAAGTGATTTTAGAATCCGGAGAAGGGCTCGGATTCTCCAGGAGTATAAGAACTAAGATCCAGGAAATTGAAATAGCCATAATTTTTATGAGAACAATTAGAAGGAGATGTATTAGATGTCTAGTGGCTTTTTTCAGAAATAGTTTTGAAGTTACGATAACTCCGAGAACCACTGTTAAGCCGGTGTCAATAAAATTGACTTGAAAAGTTATGCCATCAAATTCTCTTGTGAGTTTTTTCGTAAATCTGAACACTGCTGATAAGATCAGCGAAGTCCACACGAAAACTGTGAATATTTTAGTGTTCCCAATGAACCTGGGAACTCTCACAAATAATCGAAACCCCATAAAATATCCCAAAAACGTCCAAAATCTCATCAGGAAACTCTGGGCTTCTGAAGATTTCAATTTCGAATCAATGAAAATGAATAGCTTCTCATGATTCTCCCACATATTCACAATATATTTCAAAGAAGTGAATGCGCCCAGAATATTGAGAAATATTTGGAAAATGAATAAATAATGGAAAAATCTGTGGTTTTTACATTCTGCCCTGATTTTCAAGTAGATTGGTATGAAAATTAGGGTTATTATGAAGAAATAGGCACCGAAGATGAAATTGTACAAATCAATATCCATTGGAGTTAGGTTAAGTTGATTTATGAATGTTTCAGCTTTGAAAATTCAGCTGCCCTCAGAAAAAATTGATAAAATATAGGTGATTGGTATTAACGAAGTGAAAAAAGATGTCAAATTTATATAATCTTCTTCTGATTCTGAATCTGAATCCAAGTTTGAAGTGTTGAAAAACATCAGAATAATCAACAAATTCAAAATGTTGCTTGTCTAAAATCCAGGGATTTGTTGAAAAATTTTATAAACATATGTACTTACTAATTTTACAATAAAAATTAGGAAAATGTGAGATTTTTTGAAATGTTTAATAGAAATTATTGTCATAAGAATGACTATGGGAAAATCAATATAGTTTATATAGTAACTTGGAATTCTCAGAACAAAAATTGAAAATAGAATTGAAACTGTAATTGAGGCTTGAATATATTTGATTCCATAATAATATACAAAAACGTCAGGAATCTTAAAAATCTGCTGAAAAGTCATAGCAATTCCCATTCCAGTCCAAAAAATATTCAAATAATCATAAATGATGAAAATTATAGTTTTATCAACTAAAAATAGAATAACTAATAAAATTTTGAGAATACCCCAGTCTTCCCAAATCTCATTAATTTCATCGTTGAATTCTGGTAATTTTAGAAAATGATGGAAAATATGTAGAAAATAGAAGAATATTTGAATAATAAAAGAGAAATGATAGAATTGATTATTGAAGAGAATTTTACGGAATCGCGAAACTTTCAGTGATAAAAAATAGAGATTTAGGGAAAATATCAGGATGATTGAGTAAGTTGAAAAGATCAAAGAATAGTAAATTTTCGAAAAATCGGAATATTCTGCAGTTTTGTTCATTTTCAACGAACACATATTATACCAGTGCACGTGAATTTCAGCACCTTTTTAATCTAGTTCGTTTTCACTGAACACCATGAACAGGTGATTTTTGAATTTTTTGCTGATGTTTCTGCAATCAGAAGTCTAACACTAAACTTTAATACCTTCAGAAAACTATGTATAAATCACAAAGAAAAAAACAATTTTGGAATTGTGTATTTTTCTCGATTTCTGACGATCATAGATCATTAAAGTATAGTTTAAGGCACCACATTTCGAAAATATTTTCAAGTTTTTTTCGCTGCCCGGTTTTCATGACAATGATTTCCCGATTTTTTAAACTCCAAAGCCATGTCATCTGCTTCATTTCCACATAGAAACAAAAAAATCGAAATGTTCTTCTCCACGTTTATTATTTTTGCAATATTTTCTTATGAATCCAGTGGAGTTATGCTAACTTTTTACGCGACTTATGATTCTTCAAGTTGTTCTGCACTGTCTACACTTTCTTGGGATGATTGTGTCACAAATTGTGATGATAATTCAACTTGTTTTGTAAGTTAAGGGGAGTTAAGTAAAGTTGAGGATGTAGAGCAAATAACTTTTGAGAAGTTGAGTTAGATTAAGTTCAAAACATGCGTTAAGATGGCTATATTATGAATGTGGTAATTGGTCGGTTATATAAGGTAGCTTAAGGTGAATTAAAGGGTGCTAGAAGTGTTAAAAGTTTAAGTTAAGCTAATTACTAAAGTTTATTCAACTTGAAATCTTTAAAGTGAAAATACAGGGTTTAAGTTAAAATAAGTTAAGTTAGCTTCAGTTAAGTTAAGCTTAAATTAAATTACCCGAAGAGTTAAGTCCACTATCTTATTCAGTACGCTCTCAAAACTGCTGATATCCCGTGCAGCAGTTGTGGATACGGCAAAATAACCGGAATCGTTTATTCGTCTTCAGAAACTGACACGATCATCTCACTAAAAAGCGATGTCACTGATTGCAAAACCCCGCAAAAACTATTAGAAGCTCAGCAAATCGATAAACTCAAAATATGCCCCTATGGATTTATCAAGATTTTCCGAGAGAACTACACGATTTGTGTCAGTGTGCTGATTTATCACTATACTTTCAATCGAACAGTAGCAACGAATAATTGCGATGGAAAAAATGGTGTGGTTTTGGGATTATGGACTGGAGATGAGAGAGTGTATTTTTCGAATACCACCAATCAATTCTATAATTCAAGTTATAGTATCTGGATAAACTATCAAAGATCAAATGGTGTTAATTGGACATCTACAGATCCATATTTACCAACTGGGGGAGATGATAATAATATTGTTTGGGCAAGTGGTCATCCAATTTCTGGCAATAATTGTGCATCGCTGCAAGCTGGGACCTATTTGGTGCAAAGTGAACCGTGTACCGGGACAACTTGTTCTACAACTTATTGTCCAGCAAGTATACTTTGTGGTTATTTGATAGGATAATGAGGAATGTTAATTTTTTGTTTTTGTGTTGTGAAAAATATCAATGAGCCCAATGGATTTTCCCATGTTTTCACTAAAAAAGGATTTTCAGAATTTTTGAATTTGTAGCTGATAAACACATAAGCATAAACTCAATAATCAATAAAGGAAAAGCAATAACTAGACTAGAATGTAGTTAAAAACATCATGTATAAATTTTCTTCCTGGAGCTCAATAAAATTGAGGATAAGTTGAGCTACAAAATTGGTGCCAGCTAAAGTGAGGGTTTGATTTTATGGCTACAGAAAACGCGCCAGCAAATCATGAGACCAACCTTAGATCTACAAAAAAATGCGTCAGCCAAACCTATTCAGTAATTCTAATAACATCCATGTTCATCTATATAAAATTATACCGAGTTCCGCTAACTCGACAAATCCTTAAAACCGAATTATTTTATCATAAAATGTTTATAATTCAATGGAAATATGGTTTAATAAAATAAATACCTTTTTTTCGGTTATTTTCAAACTTTAAAGTTTGCATAACCAACTCACAAGCTCAAATTTTCTCAAAATCCCAAAAAAACTCACATTTTCTCCAGTTTTCCTCGAAATCCAAAATCTTCCAACAAAAATTCGCTCGAATAATTGCCCACCATTTCGCTGACGATTTTCCTGTAATGTAGAAATTAGCAAAATCTAAATAAAGTAAACAAAAATTCAAGAAAGTACATTTTTTTTTCCATAAAATAGCCTTTTGAGCACCATAAAACTATCAAAAATCAACTGAAATTATGTTATTTGTACTAGGAAATGAGGGAACTATGAATTTGACAAGAAATTCCATTCCAATTCATGAAAAAATAACAAAAATACGCGAAGGGGGGTTTTCGAAAAAAAAAACAAGAAAATAAAAGTAAAAATGGAAGTGCGCCCTATTGATAAACAGCGAATGTCTTGCACGCTCTCAAAAATGTGTGTTCTTTCGTTGTTGCTGTTTTTTCTTTTGTTTTTTTTTCTTTTTTTTTGAATAAGGGTAGACATTTCCGAAGTTTTTACGTAAAGTCCAGGTTTCCGAGAACAGTTGTGACATTTGAAAAATTCACCTGGTTGTTCAAACAATTTTAGTTTTCTTTATTAATATATATTCTTCCCCCCAAAAAATATGAAGAATTTCACTCTGCCAAACTTTTCAAACATCGATTTCAATTTCGATGCCGATCGTGCAATCTCATTATCCACCTCGAAACCAATTTGTGCTGGAGTTATGATAACTTATACAATAATCCTAACATCTTCTTTATTTATCTATGTAAAATTATATCGAGTTCCTGTAACTCGCAAGATCCTTAAAAGCGAGTTATTTTATCATAACATGTTTATAATTCAATGGATATTTTATATTTTTCACATAGTTCATCATATTTATCCATTTCTTTCTGAAGAAGATCGGAATATTAGAATCAAAGATATTGATCTTCGACTTGCCATTCTTAGCATCATGTTTCTAATCGATGACGTGGCTTGGCTGTGGATCTATCGAGTAACAAATCTAATTTGGACAATTATTGCAGTTTTCTTGATACTTAAATTAATTTTTAGTATCCCTGAAGTCTTAAAATCCTTGCGGATTCAAACATTTCGAAGTGCTATTTTCATAGCGTTAATCTATACATTTTTGAATCTATGGTTCCCGGAACTTCATTTTGAGAAAATTATTCATGGCTTATTATTTTCTATACATTATGTGGATCTATTTCTAGTTCTAGGCTTCTCAATTATTTTTCTGATATTTTTCCATAAGAATTTCAATCGATACTCAATTCATGCCTTACAAATTTGCTTTTTGAAGCTGGTGAGTTAGGCTAACTTCTTTCGATTTCATAAAAAGATCTGTAATTCAGATAAGTCATATTTCAACCCTTGTGATTTTCGCGATCTTCTCATCAACACCTTCCGAAGAAAAATTGGATGATTATTTCAATTTGACCTTGGACAGATTTGTAACATCACTTTTGCCAGCCACGTTTCTTGTTTCGATTTTATTGAGCTCCAGGGAGAGAAATTATACATGATACTTAAAACCAACTACAGTGTAGTCTGAGCAATTCAATTTCTTGTATCAATTATCCAGCTTCGGAAGTACCGATCCTCTGAAATAAAAGTTCTAAGTTAAGAATCTTCTTTTTTCCACTAAACTCACAAACTGGTATGTCTTTCCGGCTCTTTCTGTCCATCAGAGCTCAAATAAAACGATAAGACAAAAGTGACAGGCAATAATGGGTAAGTGAAATCATTTTGGATATCGACATGAGCTTCAATAGATTCATTATTGATCAAACATCCGATTGCCATTATTGAGATCAAGGTTGAGGTCTGAAGGTATTTATGAAAATTAAAGGGGTTGTCCTTCTTCGTGAAAAAGCAAGTCCGCAATTGTGCGTCACTATTTTTAACTAACTAGCATTAACTTACACCCCAAATGACTTAATAAATGTTTGGGTGCGAACTCCGAGAGAAGTACACACAAATAAATAATGTGTGCGATAGAGCGCACTTTCTTAGCCCTAACTATTTAGCTAATCGGGCCTCGTAGAAAGGAAACCCCTTTATATAATATCACGTACCACTCTGATAATAACAATCAAAAGTGCATGAACTAATTTCCTCTCAAAAACACCGGATGAAAGTTTTCGAAAAGTTGAGATTGCGATAATCAAAAGAAATATAGTGTCAATGTAATTCACATTAAAATAAATCAAATCATTATACTTTCTCGAAATGCCAACAGATGTATATGACAATGTTAACGTGTAAACTATAGAGCAACAAATAACAATCGAGAAAATATTGAAGGTTTTGTAGAATCTCGGAACCTTGAACCACAGTTCAATATTCATAAATGCGGCAAGAAAAGTCCATGCAAAAATGCACCAATTACAGAGAAAATAAACCAACAACGTATCACAACCACCGACAACAGTCAATATAAAAAATCCTCCCCGTATTTCGAAATACAGTGCAAACATTGTTGACGAATGTATCATGTTCAAGCAAATGTGAGCTGTGAAAAGATAATTGAAAAATCACCTTACTTACAAACGACACCAGCTTAACAATGCTCAAATCAACCATCCGCGCATTACCAAACAGTTTTTTTGTTTCGCCTCGCCCCTAACCGTGTATATATTTATATCTTATTCCTATCACTCATTTATTCTCATTTTTCCTCGCATGTAAATAACACCTCATGACAATGATGTTCGAAGTTACCCTTTCTAATCTCCAATGATTGTCTTGGACTTCTTCTTCCTATGCTTGTCTGCAAAGCCGAAATAGCCCTTCCTAAAAGTTACTGGTCCGCTCCTGACCAATATTAGCCATGGTCCGATTAATTGACCAACAGGCCTTTTACGGAAGGAGGCGTTTGCAGAGGGTTGGGGATTGGATCTCTAATTCTCTCATTTTATCTTATATTCAAATAACTTCGTTCTGAGTCAAAACTTCTAACTTCTAACTTCTCATCTAATTCAAATATTCATCATTAAACTTTCTCCCCCCCCATATTTCAGTTTTTTTTTAATCTTTACTCCTTTTCCCCTCTTTACTTTACCTCTAATGCATCCTTATTCACTATCATGTTAAACCACATTTATTATTCACATAGTCACATCCTCTCAAATGGCCCAACTTGTCTTTTTTATAGGACCTACGGGCCTTTTTGTTTTATTGCAGTCATCTCGATTATCATTTCACTACTATCTCTTCTTTTTAAATTCTTTTGTCTTTCACAATGTATATCGGTGTGGTTCAATAAATATATATATATATATATATATATATATATATATAAAAAATAAAAGTAAAAATGGAAGTGCGCCCTATTGATAAAAAGTGAATGTCGCGCATTCTCTCAAAAATTTGTGTTTTTTGTTTTTTTTTTTTTTTCTCATTCCGCTTTTTTTTTCTCATTCCGCTTTTTTTTTTTTTTTTTTTTTCTCATTCCGCTTTTTTTCTCATTCCGCTTTTTTTTTTTTTTTTTTTTTTTTTTCTCATTCCGCTTTTTTTTCTCATTCCGCTTTTTTTTCTTTTGCATAGCGGTGCGTTCCATTTTTTTCTCTCCCCCTTTCCTTTTTTTGTTTTGTTTGTTTAGGTGTTTAGGTGTTGTGTGTGTGTTTGTGTATTGATTTTTTATCAATTGGGATCAAACCATGTCATCACCAATCTCTAGACGAGGTTCTCGTGGATCACGTGGCGCCAAACGCAAACAATGTGGATCTGATGGATCTGGAGATAATGATATTTATCTCACAGAGGAAATTGTTGAGACAGTAAACGAACTGAAGAACAAAGTAAAATCTTTAGAACAACAATTTGAAAACATGAAAATGGACTACAAATTGGTTCAGGATGACAATGCTAAGATGAAGAAAATGCTTGCAGAACTCTCAAAAGCAGATGATAACGAAAAACATCAGAATGTTCCGATCAAGCTCTACTCGGATGTGGTTGGCAACAAAAACAAAATCAGGACTCCTGAAGCTGCTTCTGCTAGAGTTCAAGTTTCCATGAGTATTTCAAGATCTCTAAAACAACTTGAAAACAAATCTATGATCGCCATTGTTGAAAATCTTCCCGACACCAAGAACAATGACCAGGATGCGTTGGATATATCTACAATTGAAAGTATCTGCAGTGGAGGTAATATCATTGCGCCAACAAAAATATTCAGAGTCAAAGTAGCTAAACCCGAAAATGTCGCATCACGTCCTCTTAAAATATGCTTCTCCAAATCGGAAGACAGAAATATGTTTCTGGCCAAATTTCGCAAAACGTCAAAGGAACTCGGATTAAATGGATTGGCTGATAGAACATTGCGAGCAAGGCGTGATATGACATTCGATGAACTAACAGTATTGAGACACTCACGCAAAATAGCTTATGAGAAGAACAAGGAAATTGGGAAGTTCAAGTTCTATGTTGACGACTTGGAAATTAAGGAATTGAAAGTTCCTAAAGATTTACTGAATAAGGATTCCACTGATGTTCAAATGGAGGCTACGGTTACAGAAAATATGTCCTTGTCTTCCGCACCATCCTCCTCAGCGTCTACAAATCAATGAGGATTCGCGGTTCCCCACTCACTATCTCATATCTTACACTCTTCAAACTCAACATCAATTTCAACTACAGTAGCGAGTGGTGGAACCACTCTTTCACCGTCAAACATCTCGTCCAGTGTCAAACCTCATAAGTGTATACTTTCTAATGTCCGTGGTCTCACTTCTAGACATAAAATCACACTTCTTCACGACCTAATTCTCGATTCCCACTATGACATGGTCTTTCTCACTGAAACTTTTCTTTATGATTCTATCTCTAATTCATTACTCAATCTACCTGGTTACGCACTTTATCGTCAAGACCGCCTTGAAACGCATCCAAAGAAAAGAGGAGGAGGAGTTATGGCCCTAATCAAAAATTCAATCGTATCATCAGAAACTTCATTCGAATTCTCCACAGCATACACGTCCCATTTTTCTGAATTTCTCATCATCGATTGCCCAAAAATGCTCACCCGCATTTTCTTGGTCTACAGACCTCCTCAATCGCTCCATCACTGTACCAACAACCTATTCTCCTTATTGAGTTCGAACATGCACCAGAAATGGCACAATATAATTGTTGGGGACCTCAATCTTCCAAATGTCGATTGGTCAACTTTGATGTCAAAAAGTCCTTACATCGAGCTTCAGGCATTTTATGTTGATCATGGTCTATGTCAATTGATCAATTTTCCTACTAGAATTTCTTCCTCGGGCACTTCAAACATCCTGGACATAATTCTCTCAAGCTCTCCGGAGAAGCTCATCAATATCAAGCCGAGTCAAGACTTCGTACAATCCGATCACATATCCATAAGCTTTGAAGTAGCGGCTAATGTTCGTCCCTTGGATTGCGCCTCTTCCAACAAGCTCGACTTCAGAAAGTGCGATTTCGTAAAACTAAATGATTATATCGCTTCAACCAATTGGGAAGATCAATTTTCCTACCTATCCAATATCCAAGAAAAATACGATCACTTCATCAGAACTATCAACGAATATATTCAAGACTGTTGTCCAATTGGCAAAAAATTCAGAACGCGAAATATATCGAGAAGGTTGAAGAGAATAAGAAGTAGAATTAGATTCATCTCAAACAGGAATGATAATTCCCAAAATCTGCCCAGAATCTTCAAACTTCAGAAGAAATTATTAGCGATGGCTCGGAGAAAAAATCGCAGATATGACAATGAAGTTGCTCGTTGCGGCAACAACAAACGTATTCAAAGAGTTATCTCTCAAAGACTAAAATATCGTCCCAATCTTCAGTCGATACTTTTGGATGGTAGATTACTGACTTCTGATGATGATATGGCAAATACCTTTGTTAGTGTTTTCGAGAAATATATGAAAAGAACTGGAGAAATCTCAGGACCTTGCCAAAACAACCGGTTCAAGTCCAAATCAGTGGAGTTTCCTCCTTTTGTCATCTGCTCAATACTGGATAAATTACCTCCTAAAGTTGGCTTCTCGAAGGACTTCATCAATTTCTTTGTGCTCAAAAAAATATCTGTATCAATAGCTCTCCCACTCTCAATCATCTTCACAGAAATTTATAATGAATGCACTTTTCCCGAAGACTGGAAAACCTCAGTAGTTATCCCAATTCACAAAAGAGGAAGAACTAACGACCCTGAGAACTATCGACCGGTTGCATTGACCTCACCAATATCTAGGGTACTGGAGAAAGTCATTGCCAATTACATTCGGAATACCTTCCACAACAGTTTTGATGTTAATCAGCATGGCTTTATTTCCAAACGATCTTGCATAACCGCTCTTCTGAGCACCATTACCAAATGGAAGTTTATATTAGATAGAGGTAAGAGCGTCGATGTCATCTACATCGATTTTAAAAGAGCATTTGATAATGTTCCCCACACACACTTACTTCACAAATTGAGGAATTTCGGGTTTCCGGAAGATCTTATCAACTTTTTCACTTCGTTTCTGTTCAACCGCACCTCACAAGTCAAAGTAAACAATCACATCTCCTCCAATCAATTTCAGGTTACTTCAGGTGTTCTTCAAGGAACTGTAACAGGTCCCCTGTTATTTCTTATTTACATCAATGATGTTCTACTAGAGGTTGATGATGAGGTTGAGGCAACAATTTTTGCGGATGATATCAAGATATCAAGCAGTAACCCCGAGAAACTTCAATCTACATTGGACAAAATTGTAGCCTGGTCCAAGAAGTGGGATATGCCTATGGCCCCCTCAAAAACTTCTGTCTTACACCTTGGTAAAAACAACAAGAAGAATCCATACTTTATTAATGGCATCCAAATTCCATCCGTATCAGTGGTCCGAGATTTGGGCATTTATATTGACGAAAAGCTGAATTTTGAATATCATTGCAATGAAACGGTTCGAAAAACATTGACCAAATGTCGGGAAATTCAGAGAAGTTTCAGTTTTAAAGATATCAGACCATACATACTCATATTTAAAACCTACGTTGCTCCAATCATTGACTATGGCTGCTGTGTATATAGGCCGTTTATATCCAAGAAATTGGAAGTATTATTAGAACGGCCTCTTCGCAGATTTACTATGAACATCTTCAGAAGATGTAACTTTCAATACTCTTCCTATGACAATCGTCTCGAACAGGCTGATTATACTACATCAGCCAGACGTAGTTTAGAACATTCTTTATCAATCATGTTTTCCATAAGCAAAAACCTAATCCACTTCCCCGACAAAATAAGATATTTTTCCAGTTCATCTTCGCCTCGCACACCTCTGGCAATAAAACTTAATGATAAGAGATTCTGCAAAACCTTCTTCAGTTATATCTTCAAACATTGGAACTCGTTGGCCACCTTACTTACAAACGACACCAGCTTAACAATGCTCAAATCAACCATCCGCGCATTACCAAACAGTTTTTTTGTTTCGCCTCGCCCCTAACCGTGTATATATTTATATCTTATTCCTATCACTCATTTATTCTCATTTTTCCTCGCATGTAAATAACACCTCATGACAATGATGTTCGAAGTTACCCTTTCTAATCTCCAATGATTGTCTTGGACTTCTTCTTCCTATGCTTGTCTGCAAAGCCGAAATAGCCCTTCCTAAAAGTTACTGGTCCGCTCCTGACCAATATTAGCCATGGTCCGATTAATTGACCAACAGGCCTTTTACGGAAGGAGGCGTTTGCAGAGGGTTGGGGATTGGATCTCTAATTCTCTCATTTTATCTTATATTCAAATAACTTCGTTCTGAGTCAAAACTTCTAACTTCTAACTTCTCATCTAATTCAAATATTCATCATTAAACTTTCTCCCCCCCCCATATTTCAGTTTTTTTTTAATCTTTACTCCTTTTCCCCTCTTTACTTTACCTCTAATGCATCCTTATTCACTATCATGTTAAACCACATTTATTATTCACATAGTCACATCCTCTCAAATGGCCCAACTTGTCTTTTTTATAGGACCTACGGGCCTTTTTGTTTTATTGCAGTCATCTCGATTATCATTTCACTACTATCTCTTCTTTTTAAATTCTTTTGTCTTTCACAATGTATATCGGTGTGGTTCAATAAATATATATATATATATATATATATATATATATATATATATAAAATAAAAGTAAAAATGGAAGTGCGCCCTATTGATAAAAAGTGAATGTCGCGCATTCTCTCAAAAATTTGTGTTTTTTGTTTTTCTTTTGTTTTTTTTTTGAATAAGGGTAGACATTTCCGATGTTTTTGTTGAAAAGTTCAGAAAAACGTTTCGATTTACGTGAAGTCTAGGTTTCCGAGAACACTTCTGACATTTGAATAAAATTCACCTGGCTGTTCAAACAATTTTAGTTTTCTTCATTCTTCCCCCCAAAGAAAAAATGAAGAATTTCACTCTGCCAAACTTTTCAAACATCGATTTCGATTTCGATGCCGATCGTGCAATCTCATTATCCACCTCGAAACCAATTTGTGCTGGAGTTATGATAACTTACTCAATAATCCTATCATCCTCTTTATTTATCTATATAAAATTATATCGAGTTCCTGTAACTCGCAAGATCCTTAGAAGCGAGTTATTTTATCAAACCATGTTTATAGTTCAATGGATATTTTATATTTTTCACATAGTTCATCATATTTATCCATTTCTTTCTGAAGAAGATCGGAATACTAGAGTTAAAGATTTCAATCTCCGCCTTGTCATTCTTAACATCATGTTTCTAACAGATGAAATTATTTGGGTGTGTATCTATCGAGTTACAAATCTAATTTGGACAATTATTGCAGTTTTCTTGATACTGAAATTAATTTTTAGTATCCCTGAAGTGCTAAAATCCTTGCGGATTCAAACATTTCGAAGTGCTATTTTCATAGCGTTAATCTATACATTTTTGAATCTATGGTTCTCTAAACTTCATTTCGAGAAAATAATACATGGAATTTTGTTCCTCGTGAATTATATAGACTTCCTTCTAGTTCTAGGCTTCTCAATTATTTTTGTGATATTTTTCCATAAGAATTTCAATCGATACTCAATTCATGCCTTACAAATTTGCCTTTTGAAGCTGGTGAGTTAGGCTAACTAACTTTAATGTGGATTTCATAAAAAGATCTGTTATCCAGATAAGTTATATTTCAACCCTTGTGATTTTTGCGATCTTCTCATCAACACCTTCCAAAGAAAAATTGGATGATTATTTCAATTTGACCTTGGACAGATTTGTAACATCACTTTTGCCAGTCACGTTTCTTGTTTCGATTTTATTGAGCTCCAGGAAGAGAAATTATACATGATACTTGAAATCAACTACAGTGTAGTCTGAGCAATTCAATTTCTTGTATCAATTATCCAGCTTCGGAAGTACCGATCCTCTGAAATAAAAGTTCTAAGAACCTTCTTTTTGTGTATTTATTTTACACTAAACTCACAAACTCGTATGTCTCTCCGGCTCTTTTTGTCCATCAGAGCTCAAATAAAACGATAAGACAAAAGTGACAGGCAATAATGGATAAGTGAAATCATTTTGGAAATTGACATGAGCTTCAATAGATTCATTATTGATCAAACATCCGATTGCCATTATTGAGATCAGGGTTGAGGTCTGAAGGTATTTATGAAAATTAAAGGGGTTGTCCTTGTTCGTGAAAAAGCAAGTCCGCAATTGTGCCACGGCCTTTCAGAAATTGGGAAAATTGCAATTCGAGAGAGACACAGAGAAAGAAAAACAAAACCTTCCAATCGAAATACGGAACACCAAATGCATTTGCAGTCCGGCTGCTCGTTGCGAGACCAAGCGCGGGAAACATGTTTTTCAAATTTTTTCGAATTCAAAAACCTTTCCCGCGTTTGGTTTCGAAACGATATATCAAATATTTTTGAATTTCGTGTTTTGGATTTCTTTTTGAAGATTTTTTCTCGTTTTCTCTGTGTCTCTCTCGATTTACCCTGTAAAAGGCCGTGGTGCGTCACTATTTTTAACTAACTAGCATTAACTTACACCCCAAATGAAATGTTTGGGTGCGAACTCCGAGAGAAGTACACACAAATAAATAATGTGTGCGATAGAGCGCACTTTCTTAGCCCTAACTATTTAGCTAAACGGGCCTCGTAGAAAGACAACCCCTTTATATAATATCACTTACCACTCTGATAATAACAATCAAAAATACATGAACCAATTTCCTTTCAAAAATTCCTGATGAAAGTTTTCGAAAAGTTGAAATTGCGATAATCAAAAGAAATATAGTGTCAATGTAATTCACATTAAAATAAATCAAATCGTTATACTTTCTCGAAATTCCCACAGATATATATGACAATGTTAACGTGTAAACTATAGAACAACAAATAACAATAGAGAAAATATTGAAGGTTTTGTAGAATCTCGGAACCTTGAACCATAATTCAATATTCATAAATGCGGCAAGAAAAGTCCATGCATAAATGAAAAAATGACACAAAAAATAAACCAACAACGTGTCACAAAGACCGATAACATTGAATATAAAAAATCCTCCGCGTATTTCGAAAGACAGTGCAAACATTCTTGACGAATGTATCATGTTCAAACAAATGTGAGCTATGAAAAGATAGTTGAAAAATCGATAAACTCTGCATTTTTCCTGGACTTTTATGTATAACGGGAGGAATATTATGACAAGCGAAAGGTAATAAATACCGCAAATAAGATGGTAGATTTGCATCAAAAGAGTTCTGTATTGATTGTGAGAAGCTGAGTTCTGAAATTTTACACCTGCTTGAAATTTCGAATGTTCTTTGAAAAACAGCTGAAATTATTTTGTGATTTTGCATGTGAAAAAAGTTATCCTAACTTCAAATTTTGAGCCGCATTCGGTTCAGTTTTCTCTCCACCAACATTTTCCCTCTCGCAGAAAAGAGAGATGTGGCCGAGTGGATAGCATTTTAGACTGGCGTGCATGACACCAAGGTTCGAACCTTATTGCCCGCGAAATTTTTAAAATTTTTTCACACTGGACAAACATTTTTAGGAAAAATGCATAATTCAAATTTATTTCAAAAGCCCCCCGAATCAAAAGGCTGGTGCAATGCTCTTGATTTGATAACCTCCAATGAGCGCACGATTTGGTTTCAAAGTGAAAACATACAAAACTTCTTCGTGATGATAGCTAACAAGAAGATTTCTGGTGTGAACATCGAATGAGGCTTGAATCGAAGGATGGAAGAAGATGTCTTGAACATTGACACTCAACAAGTAGTCCAAATATTCGGCTGAAATTTAAATTTTGATAGAAAGAGTTTCTCTGTTTAAGTAACTCACTCTTATTTCTCTGGAGTCCATCAATTCGAGTCGATTGGAAATCCTTGGTGAAATAGATCGCAACTCCAGCAACACCATCACGACGATAGGCATCATCGAAAGCCTTCTCGAAAATTCTGGCTTGTTCGAGAGCGTATCGATCTGGTGCAAAGCAGAAAGCTGCACCGGAAATGGCGAACACCAAGATGAGTTTGGAGAACATTTTGATTTGATTTTGATGTGTTTTGGGCACGATGTTTTATAGGAAGTTTTTGGAAGTAAAATTTCTGATGGAAGATGATTCGATTATTTCATAAGCATCGGAAATTGTTTTATGTATGTACATTGGACTTTTGAGCAAGCTTGATCCTAAGCTTAATAACTTTAACAAGAGTAATCTTAATTTTAACTTGAGTCAGGAAAAATTTCAGAAAAAAATAAGATTTTCTGAAAATCACAATTCTGAAATGAAATCTAGAATAATTCGAAAAACTACACTTCCCAGAGAGAAAACTAGTTTTGAGAGCAGATTTCTGTAAACACATTTTTCACTAAGTTTTGCACAGGAAACGCCGAAAGGCCTCGAAAATCAAAAAAACAAAAATAAAATCTCGCGGACGAGGAAAGAGGGACGAGAATTTCGTTGGTTTTCTCGGCCATCCCGCAAAATTTTTTTTTTGAAAAATTCGCTGAAAATCGAGGTTTCGCCGAAACTTTCGGCCTGAAAGTAAGTTATTTTTGTTGAATTTGAAAATAAAATTAAAATTTCTCTGAACATAATACATTTATTCTTTCATAAATCAATAAATATCACAATTTCGGGGCAAAAAATGTACAAATATCAAAAATTATTACTCCATCGCTAATAAATACCAGTTGTTAGTTAGTTATATATATTTTCAGACATCTCTGCAAAAAAACAAATATTAGTATTGATTCAAATTTCTTGTGGAAACTTACGATGTCTCCAAATGATTATCCATAATAAATTTCAAAAGTTCCTGATGTTTTGGGTGTTTTTTGGTGGACGAAGTTGAATTTGGTGAAGGCGTTGTGCTTGGCGGCGGTAATTCGGGAATTGGCGGAACTTCGACTGGTGTATCATTATCCTCTTCAATAACAGTCGGCGCATTTTCCAAATTGATACTAAGAGTTGATTGTGGTTCAGTTGGTGTGTCATTTATAGCAATTGTAGAAACATGTGAAGCTGTCGAACTAGTATTTTCATTATTGCAAGAACTACTTGTTGAAATTCCCGATGTCGAACTTCCAAAACTATCCATACTTGCAGCTGTCGACGCCTGCGAACTTCTTCTCGAACTTTCCAATCTTTTTCGGCTACTTCCATTCACAGCACTTCCAACATTCCATGAAAATCTCTTTAAAATCGCGCCAGGCAACATTGAGCTTTTGGGTTTGAGAACATCAATTCCATCAGCGGTGTGATATCTTTTCTCAAATCTTCTTCCTGAATGTTGAGGTTCGACAGAATCGTCGGGAGTTATGAGAAGTGTTGGTGAATCGCGGCACGGTGTGTTGTTGAGTGGGGAATCTTCGCCATTTTCTTTGGGAGCTGGAGAATTGCTTCGCGAGCGGGGCTTGATTCCTTCGATGTCTGGACCGGAAGAATTTGAGCGGCTGCGGGGGCGATCATCGAGTTCTGCAATTTGAATTTTTGAAAGTTAGCCTAACTTTTTGCATGTGAAATTTGAAACTTTTGTCTGAAAATCTCGAATTTTAACCGAAAACCCTCCAAGTCCTATTCTGAAATATCCAATAAAAATCTGAAAACTGGAATTTTCAGCACAAATTATGGGACGATTCAGTAACTATTAACTAGTTTCTGAATCGTCCCTTAATATGTGCTGAAAATTCCAGCATTTCTCAGATTTTTATTGGAATTTCAGCAGAGATGCGGAAGCTATGCCCAAATTTTCATTTTTTTTTCTTCTTCTTCACAAGCGCTGTAAAGTTACCCTAACTTGAAGTTAGGATAACTTTGCAGCTGCGCGGAAGCTTCCCCAAAAACCTAGCATACCATTCTCATTTCCCATCGACACATACAAATCCACCGATGATTTGCTGGATGAAAGTGGATTCGCAATACAACTCGCCACACTCAGCTTATGTCTCGGCGGTGTGTTTTTCGACATATCCGAAGTACTTCCACTGTGTCGATCGAGTTGTTCAGTTGAGGAGACGACAGAGCTTCGATGCATGTCTAGAATTAATTTTAATTAGGGTATGTTAATTAATTAACGTTAAAAAACCAAAGAAAGTGATTTACGAACGGTATTTTTATTCATTTTTTAAATATTTTCTTTAAAAAACATAACCAACTGAATAAAGTGAAGCTAAAACGCATTTTAGTGTCTAGAAACGCTATTTTAAGACCTTCTAATCAGCCTTAAGGACAAATAAAGCCACCAAAATGAAATTGGTGACTTTCGAAAAGTTTCGAAAATCAACAATTTCATTTTTCGGGAGATGTGAGGCTTGATTTGTTTTTCAGGCTGATTAGAAGGTCTTAAAATAGCATTTCTGAACACTAAAATGCGTTTTAGCTTCATTTTATTCAGTTGGGAATGTTTTTCAAAGAGAATATTTGAAAAATGAATAAAAATATCGTTCGTGAATCACTTTTTTGGGTTTCTTAACGTTAAAAAACGTTAAAAAACGTTTTTTATTCCGTAAATCATAAAATAATCACTCACAATTCAAATGTGCATGCGCAGCAACAGCTTGCGAATCCATACTACTACATTTTCTATGCGAAACTGATAAATTAGCCATTCCTGGCGGCATTCCAGCTCCAGCTGCACGATATCCTGCACTTCCTACCGGTTCTCCCAAAAATCCGCGGCCAAATTCGTCAACCGGAGTGTCGAAATCGTGTTGAGACCAACTTCCGCGATAGATTCTTTTATATTCGTCTTCGGCCATTTTCAACATTTCTGTCCATCGATGTGTTTCTTCGATTCCGGATGTGTACATCATGAAAAGTGAGGCGGGAGTTCGGAATTCGGTCATTGAAATCACGTAGAATCCGTCTGAAAGACAGGGGATTTAGGTTAAGTTACCATAACTTTAATTTTAAAAAAATCCCCAAAATCATTCTGAAATAACTGATAAAAATCTGAAAACTGGAGAAATTCCAGCATTTTTCAGATTTTTATTGGAATTTCAGATCGAGCGCCTCAAGCGCGAGTGTAAACCGGAAGCTTCCGCGAAGCGGCACGATCTTCCGCGTAAGCGGCCACGTGGTTTACTATGATATGGCAAACGTCATATTAATCCGCGTCGCCGCGCGGAAGCTTGCGGTTAACACTCGCTTCGCTCGAACAAAATCTCCAAGTCACATTCTGATTTATCTGATAAAAATCTGAAAACTGGAGAAATTCCAGCATTTTTCAGATTTTTATTGGAATTTCAGCGGAGATGCGGAAGCTATGCCCGAATTTTGATCGAGCACCTCAAGCGCGAGTGTAAACCGGAAGCTTCCGCGAAGCGGCACGATCTTCCGCTTTAGCGGCCACGTGATATTGCAAACGTCATATTAATCCGCGTGGCCGCTGCCGCGGAAGCTTGCGGTTTACACTCGCTTCGCTCGAACAAAATCTCCAAGTTCCATAGCTTCCGCATCTCCGCTGAAATTCCAATAAAAATCTGAAAATGCTGGAATTTCTTCAGTTTTCAGATTTTTATCAGATATTTCAGAATGGGAAGGGTTTTACTTGGGATTTTTTCAAAATTAAAATTCTGAAATATCTGATAAAAATCTGAAAACTGGAATTTTCTTGTCTGAAAATTCCAGCACTTTCAAATTTTTATTGGATTTTCAGCAGAGATGCGGAAGCTATGCCCAAAACTTGAATTTCACTCGAGAAAATTCGAAAAATTCATTTTTTTTTTGAATTTTTATCCAGTTTACACTGAAAATTACGATTTTTGTCTGAAAATCTCGAATTTTAACTCTGAAAACCCCCTCTGAAATATTTTATAAAAAAAGAAATTCCAGAATTTTCAGATTTTTTTTGGATTTTCAGCTATGCCCAAATTTTAATCTAAAGAGTTTGGCTAATTTTTTAAAAATTTTTTTATCAAAAAAATCCCTTTCATTTTTGAATTTAATGGAAAAATCTAATTTGCTTTCTAAAAATCACAGGATTTCCGGTCAATAATGAGAATTTCCTCAAATTTTCTACAAATTATGAACTTTGAGACTTGAGCAAACTACATAGGAAACTCTAGAAACTCTAGAAGTTGAGGAAACTCTAGAAGTTCGGCTCAAAACATAGCTCAAAACTCACTAGCTTCTGGGAACGGATGAAAAACAATTCTGGCAATATGAATGGGCGGTTTGATGATTTTCAATCGATCTTTTTTTCCCTGAATTTTTCGACAAATCAAAAACATATCGGTGAATACAATACAATGCACATCAATTTTCGATCCTTTTCTCGATTCAGCCATTCGAACATCGCCTTTGTGAAATATTGTTCGATATGTTGGAGCTTTGTGGGGCAGAAGTGGCATACATTCACAAAGGTTTAGCATTATTCGATAGCCGAAGAGCTGTAAAAATATTTATACAGAGTTAGCCTAACTTTCTAGATTTTCCAAAAAATTAGATCAGCATGTTAATCCACTCGAAAAACCCTTATTTTCTGAAAAACTGGAATTTCTTTGTCTGAAAATTCCAGAATTTTCAGCGGAAGCTATGCCCAAAATTCCATTTTTTTACTCTTGAGCGCCGTAAGAACCAAGTTAGCCTAACTTCCTTTCAAATTGGTCCCTTTCCTCATTTAGAATTCAAAATTTTAAACATTTTTTCGCACAAATTAATAGAAATTCTGCTTTTCGATGAATTTTTGATGTATTTTTTTTTAGATTAAAAATTGGAAGCAAAGTTTGACAAAAAGTCTACTGTTTCAAAAAAATAACAAAAAAAATCGATTTTTCGAATTTTTGATTCCAAACAGTGACTGAAACGATATTATTTTTCTCAAAAAAATATGAAAACTATTCATAGTTCCAGATTTTCAGATTTTCTTACCTTTTCCAATTCTTCTGAATCCACACATTCATATCCTTCAATACTTCTCATCACATCATTCAATTGCAATCTCAAATCATTATTATTCATTTCATAATTCAATTGTTTTGTGGCGGATTCCGATCTTTCAATCATATCTTCCAACATTTTCCGCTCATCTTCTTGTGACGTCACTTTTAGAAGAGCCTGCAAATAATATTCGAATTTTTTTTCGAATAAAGGAGGAAACGTATCGTTTTTTTTATACAACAAAAATATTTCATAATTTTTTGAAACAGTGAATTTTTTTGTTGCAAAAAAAAATTTTTCAATTATTTTTTTTTGGGGTAAAAAATTTCGTCACGTGGATTTTCAGCTCAACAAAATTTTGTCACGTGGATTTTTTGGCGCGAAATTCAAATTTAATCTAGTTTCATATCGAATTTTTCATTCAACAAAAACATTTCACAGTTTTTTGAAACAGTGAATTTTTTTGTTGCAAAAAATTCAGCTTCTTTCTCAGCTCAACAAAATTTGAAAAATTACAGAATTTGAATTTTAAACGGAAATTTTGCCACGTGGAACGGATTTGTTTTTTATCGAATCTTTGTTTTATATCGAATTTTTCATTCAACAAAAATATTTCATAATTTTTTGAAACAGTGAATTTTCTCAGAGAAAATTTAAATTTTCATAAAATTTTGCCACGTGGATTTTTTGGCCTGAAAAATCTAGTTTAAAATTTCGTCACGTGGATTTTCAGCTCAATAAAATTTTAAAAATTACAGACTGTGAATTTTCAACAAAATTTTGACACGAGGATTTTTTAGCGCCAAATTCAAATTGGTTTTATCTATATCGATTTTTTCATTCAACAAAAACATTTCACAGTTTTTTGAAACAGTGAATTTTTTTGTTGCAAAAATTTTTTTAATTAAATTTTTTGACGTGAAATTTTTGCCACGTGGATTATCATCTCAACAAAATTTGAGAAATTTCAGATTATGAAATTTAAACAGAATTTTGCCACGCGAAACGGATTCAGTTTTGATCGAATTTTTCATTCAACAAAAACATTTCAAAGTTTTTTGAAACAGTGAATTTTTTTATGTGAAATAATTCAATATTTTCGAAATTAAATTTTGCCACGTGGATTTTTTGACACAAAAATTTGAATTCAAGAATCTTCAGATTGAATTTCGCCACGTTTTTCAGCTCAACAAAATTTGAAAAATTTCAGATTATGAAATTTTAACGGAATTTTGCCACGCGGAACGGATTTGTTTTCATCGAAATTTTGTTTCATATCGATTTCTTCATTCAACAAAAAACATTTCACAGTTTTCTGAAACAGTGAATTTTTTTGTTGCAAAAATTTTTTTATTAAATTTTTTGGCGTAACAATTTTTCCACGTGGATTTTCAGCTCAACAAAACTTTCAGATGATAATTTATAAACTTTCCAATGGTCCCTCAAAAAAGTTCCTTTTGCAAAAACCAAACAAAGAACACCCAAAAAAGGTTCCCAGGGGATTCCTAATTCTAACAAACCAGCTTTTTGAGCACAAAAAAAACGAACCTTGAGCAATAAATTATATCTAGTCAATCTTTGCATCGGCTGACTCAAAGTGTCGCAAAGTTTCTGTCGATCGAGATTTTCCTGTGATTCAGCCCATTGAACAAATTCTCGAAATTGTTCGTGATCTTTGGTTTTCTTTTGTAAATATGAATGACTTTCGGTGTGTGATAAATTGAATGCAATATAATATTTCGACCATTCACCAATTTCTTCGAAGCCATTCCAAAGTTGGCGAACATCCAATGGATCTCCAGTTGATCTGAAAAAATTCGAGGATTTATTTTAAAACGATGCTCCGCTTAGGGTCTAGTTCAAAGAACTCCCCGATTTTCTTCTCTTTTTTGTAAGATAAAATTGAGTTAGCGCAAGTTTTAAGAAAAGAAAAATTGGATTTAGAAGTTTCAAAATCAGCAATTTTTAAAAATAAAAATTTTTCAAAAAAAAATCACTGTTTCAAAATTTGAATATTCAAAATTTAATAGATAATTTTTTGATGGGTGACTATTACCTACAAAATTATTTAAATTTTATTTGAGATAAAAATTCACTGTTTCAAAATTTGTATATTGAAAATTGTATGGAGAATTTTTTTATTCTTTATCGGGTTTTGTCGATGAAAAAATCAACAGATTCAGAATCAGGAAATCTGTTTTTTTTTCAAATAAAAAATCACTGTTTCAAAATTTTTATATTTCAAAATGAATGAAAAATTATTTAATACGCAATCGTTTAACGAATAAAAAATCACTGTTTCAAAAATGTTTGAAATAATTTTACAATCTGGTGAAAACGATAAATTTTTGAAAGCCAGAAAAATCCGCTAACTTGTCAAAAATGTTTTTTTTTTAATTTCTAAAATTTTTACTGTTTCAATAATTTTCTAAATAACTTTTTGATTAGATTGAAGTGATGATTGCTTGCTCCGGTTCCAAAAATATATAAAAAAAAATTACAAAAAAAATTTACTGTTTCAAAATTTGTATGAACAATTTTTTGAACTCAAAAATTCCACTGTTTCAATATTCTTTATATAATTTTTCGATTTTGATAATTTTGAGCTCACAAAATTCCTACAAGTTCCGAATTCCCCCACCAACCTCGAGTTACTCAAAATCGGATCAATCGAAAGTGTCCACAATCCTTGGACATTAACTTGAAGCAATTGTGGAAAATTGATAAAAACGAGTCGATGATCGATATCTTTCAAATAACCCGCATATTGTAAATGTTGTAGATAAAATGACAAATCGACCAAATAACGAAGAAGCTGCAAATAATTAGGGTAATTAAGGGGATAATTAATTAATTAAGGTAATTAAGAAATTACCTTAATATATCGATGTTCAGTGGCTATAATCTCCCAAATCGCTTCTTGTTGTTTGATGGCTTTTTCAGACAAGTTCTGCAATTAAAAATCACATAGGTTTTTTTTCATTTTCATTAAAAAATCATTGCTCACCTGATAATCCCTCACAATTTCTCTCCAATCTTTTTCCAATCGATAATGCGGAAATTCGGCTTCTCGTTCCTCTTTCAATGAGTTCAGCCGATTTATCATATCATTTTTCTCTTTTCCGAAAAATAATGAGATTCGAGATGAGGCGACACTTCGAGCACGACGAGTTCCACCATCATCAATGATATCTGAGCACGAGGGTTCGTCGAATTGTGAAATGTCGCGGACACTGCAAAAATACGGGGTTGCTCAGGTTTGAAAAATTCGAAAATTAATTTTTCAAATTTTTTTCGGCATTCAAAATTAACCAAAATTTTGTCAGGTAAAAAATACGTTTCAAAATATTCATATCAAAATTTTGTGAATTTTTTTTCATTCCGTGCTTGACTTCAATTTAGCGAATCTAGAAAGACAATATTTTTCGATTCAAATTCGGGGACTAGGTTTTGCATAGTTCGTTTTCTAGTCCCCCACCACTTTTTTATGATAAAAAATCGGAAATTTCATAAAATTTTACAGTCAAAAAATTAATTTTTCAAATTTTTTTCGACCTTCAAAATTGATCAAAATTCCATGTGAAAAATACGTTTCAAAATATTCATATCAAAATTTTCTGAATTTTTTTTCATTCTTTGTTTGATTTCAATTTAGCGAATCTAGAAAGACAATATTTTTCGATTCAAATTCGGGGACTAGGTTTTGCATAGTTGGTTTTCTAGTCCCCCACAGTTTCTGGCTCCAAAAAGCTAATTTTTCTTGGAAATTTTCCATATTTTTCCCTGCGCAATCTCATCTCATCAAAAATTCCGCCCTCCTATGCACAAAAAAAGTATCATGTTCCTCTTATGTTCTCAATCTCTGCTAGTTATTTATCCTAACTAATTTCAGCGACTAAAGAATGTTTTCCGAAAGAGCTCTAGAGAAGAGAAAAAGGACGTGGTGAATGAAATAAGATATTTTTTGGAGGAGCCTAAGAGAGAAAAAAAAATAAAAATTTATGTGGTTTGGTGTTTGAAGAACTTCTAAGAGTTGTGGTAACTTTGGATTTCCCAAAAATCTAGATTTTCTTACCTGAGAGAACTATCATTGCTCCGACATTCAGCGTCATCACTGCCATTCAAATTTGGATGATTTCGAGATCGATTTAGCTGCAAAAAAATATTGAAATAAATTTACTGTTTCAAAAAATTAGTAAAACAAATCGTTCGTTTTTTCAGTGATTGAGTGAAAATTAAAAATTAGTGCAAAAATTTGATCTTTGAAAATTCAAAAAAATTTACTGTTTCAAAAAAATTAGTAAGACAAAATCTCCGTGTTTTCAATTATTCTTCATTTGATTAAGACGAAAGCTTAAAAATCAGTGCAAAATTCAATTTTCCAAAATCCATAAAATTTCACTGTTTCAAAAACCTAAGGAAAAATTTTTGAATTGAGATTGTTATTGTCTTAAAAAACTCTTAAAAAATGAGAAATTGTATAGTTCAAAAATTGTGAAAAAATTCACTGTTTCAAAAAATAAGTAAGATAAATTTTTCAATTTTTCATGAATAAAAAATTTGATGGATGGAAAACTCAAAAATTAGTGAGAAAATCAAACTTTCTAAAACTCATAAAAATGTACTGTTTCAAAAATTTCCGAAAATTAAATCTATAATTTTTTCAATGATGACAAATTATCGAATTCAAAAATCAGTGCAAAAATCAAGTTTTCAAAATTTTTACTGTTTCAAGATTAGCAGGAAATCAACTCTTGAATTTTGCACTGTTCTCAACAAAAATATTTGTCAAAATTCTACAAAAATTCACTGTTTCGAAATTTCCAAATAATAAAATTTCTAATTGTTTTTTCTGGTAAGTGATCGAATTTATTATCAATCTAGAAACTCATAAAAAATTTGCTGTTTCAAAAAAAAAGTCAGAAAAATCCACTGTTTCAACAGATTTCCTTTATTTTTTCAATAGCTGAAATTTTCGATTTTCTTTGAAATTCCTGACTGCTCTACAAACTTAGTCTAACTTTGCCGCTTACGCGGAAGCTTGCGGATAAACTCACAATGCGACTATTCACAAACGACGATTTCCTCGAAACCGCTTCCGCACTCATCTTCCGCGTCGCCCGTTCATTCGACTCATCCATACTATGAGCAGCGCGTGTGTGTCGACCAACTTTCATCATTGTTCCGCGTCCTGAAATTTTATTTTTTTGAGATTTCCGCTTCACAATTTTTTCTGGGCCCTTTTTGTACTCGTGAGAATGAAAAAAGTTTCAGCCAAAAAAAGGGTGTGTGTGTGTGGGGGAAAATTGAATAAAATAAAATAAAATAAATTTGGAGACACGTCTGGCGAGACTCTGAAAATGAGAAAAGGTCTAATAAAAAGTGACAAGTTCGATTAAATGAACCTTGTCTACGTCACAGTCCTATTTTGGCGCGAAAAAAAATAAAAAAAAAATTTTTTTTCGCGCCAAAAATAGTCTCTCTGAGTAAGGTAAAAAAGCAAATAAAAAACTGATGAATGTGCAAAAAATGAATGAATGAAATTGAATAGTCATAGAGTTGTGAATGGGAAAAAAAGGACGAAAAAGGCAACTTGTGAGTGAGAAAGAAGAAAAGTGTGAAAAAAACGGACATTCATAAATAATAGTATTTTTTTTGAGAAAAGGAAGATAGGAGGGATCAAAGTTTTGAGATAGGCTAACTTTTTTTGGAACAGGGGATTTTTCATTGTCGTTGCAAAACAATTGAGAAATCGTAATTTGAAAATTTTTATCTATATTTTTTGAAACAGTAGAAATTTTTCAATTCTCAAATCGATTCGAAACAAAAAAAAATCCCATTTTCTATTTCAACTAGATTTTTTGAAACAGTAGAATTTTTACATGTTTTTTTCACTAATTTTAGAGGTCCAAAATTTCACTGGAATTTTGCAGCTAAAAAATATTTTAATAAATAAATTAGAAAAATTTTTGATGAGACTTTTGTGTATCAAAAAATCAATTTTCAAAAACGTTCATCTAGAATTTTTGAAACAGTAAATTTTTCCTATACATCAAAAAATCATCAAAACAAGATTTTCGTTGAAAAAAATTAAAATTTTGATATTTCCTTCAGAAAACATTCTGAAACAGTGAAAAATTTCTGGAAAATTTGGAAGACGGAGCGAGAGGAATCAAAGAAATCAAATTACTTCAAAAATTCAAAAATTTTTATCTAGAATTTTTGAAACAGTAAATTTTCCTTATTCATAACAAATCATCAAAACAGCTTCTTATTAGAATTTTCGAGAATGAGATATTCCAGGATTTATTTCTACAATTTTCCACAGATTACACTAAATCCTGGGATCAGATGATTTTGATGTCAAAAATTCTTGAAACAGATACATTTTTTCAAGAACAAGAAATTTAATGAGAAAATTAAATTTCAAAAACTTCTGAAACAGTGAAAATTTCTTGAAAATTATGAGAGTAGTGGTTATAAATAAACTCATCAAAAAAATTGAAAAAGAAAAAATGTTCAAATATTTCCTGAAACAGTGGAATTTTTTTAAATTTAAAAACGCTAGAAAATCCAGGATTTTCTTTAGAAAAATTTTTGAAACAGTGAAAAAAATCAGGAAAAAAAATTTTGTAATCAAAATTCGAAATTTAAGCAGAGAAATTTGATTTCTACAAATATTCCAGAACTTTTTTGAAACAGTGAAAAATTTCTGGAAAATTATGAGAACAGTTTCAACTCATCAGAAAATCGAGAAAGAAAAAATGTTCAACAATTTTCTGAAACAGTGAAATTTTTTTTAATTGAAAAACGCTAGAAAATCCAATATTTTCTTCAGAAAACATTTTGAAACAGTGAAAAAAAATCAGAAAAAAAATATTTCGAGAATATTCACAAATTAAGCAGAAAATTTGATTTCCAAATATATTCAACAATTTCCTGAAACAGTGAAAAATTTCTGGAAAATTTGAAAGGCGGAACGAGATGAATCAAAGAAATCTAATTGCTTCAAAAATTCAAAAATTTCCTGAAACAGTGAACATTTTTTAAATTTAAAAACGCTAGAAAATCCAGGATTTTCTTTAGAAAAAATTCTGAAACAGTGAAAAAAATTAGAAAAAAAAAATTTTGTAATCAAAATTCGAAAATTGAGCAGAGAAATTTGATTTCTACAAATATTCCAAAACTTTCTGAAACAGTGAAAAATTTCTGGAAAATTTCAAAGACGGAACGCGACGAATCAAAAAAATCTAATTACTTCAAAAATTCAAAAATTTCCTGAAACAGTGAAATTTTATAGAGACAAAAATCGGCATTTCTCTCTGAATAATTTATAAATTTTCCGAAACAGTAAAATTCCGGGAAAAAACGCAAATTTCCCATAAAGTACTTACTTTCTCATCAAAAATGAGAGAAAATTTTTTTTTTTCAAAATAAAAAAGGAAAAGAGAGAGATAGAAATTCAAAAACCTGCTTCTAATTAATAAATCATCACATTTCATTTTGATGTGAGGAGCCCAAAGTGTCTGATTGCGTGAGGAGCTCATTTGGAGCTCCAGAAATGAGCCGAGCTCAAGAAAAGAAAGGGTACCTAATAATTCCTATTTTATTGCTCCATCTCCGGAGTGCACAGTAATCCAAAAAACTTCCTTCCGGAAAAAATGGAAAAATTCCAGGGCACCAAAACCAAAAAAACGGGGGCGTGGCTTAGTGGAAATATCGCAAAATAATATCTCCCGAAAAAAAATATCAGAAAAAAAATGCAGGAAAAAAAGGAGAAGGAGCAGGGTTTGAGGTTTTAAGAGGATTCGCCGACGCTTTTCTTCAGGACGGAAAAAACACAGAGCACTTTCAGATGATTTTTGGCGCGAAAAAAGAGAGAAGGGAAAAAGGGGGCGTGGCTTAGGGAAAGGAACTTTTGAGCTTTTGAATTGGAACTTGTGATCTAGGCGCGGCTCCTTGATAATTTAGCGCTTTCAAGGTGCGGCTGCTTGAAATTGAGGTTCTCTAGGCGCGGCTCCTTGAGAGAATGAATCTCTCGGAGCGGGTCTTAGACAAACAGGTTGTTTAGGCACGGTAGCTTAAAAACGATGAGCTATAGGAGCGACTACTTGACATATGAGCTCTCAAGGCTCGGCTGCTTGAAAATGAGGTGCTATAGACGCGGCCCCTAGACAATCAGAGGCTCTAGGCGCGGTTACTTGAAAATTTTTTTTTTTGAAAATTTCAGGAAGCTTGTGAAATTCACATGCTTTGACCAAAATGAATTTTTGAGCTTCAAATTTTCAATTCAAAAATTCAAACATCAATTTTCCATGAATTTTCAATTGAATTTGATGGTAATAATGTTGCGTGCTTAAATTTTGCTAAAAATTTTAATTTTAATGTCAAAAACTGAATTTTGTTTTCCGGGTCAAAAAATCAACTAAAATGCTATTTTTTTGGCTAATACGGAGCGGAAATTCAGATTTTTCAGCCGGAAAAAAATCCAGATATTAGAATTTTCTAGCTTCAAATTTCGAGCCAGACGAAAAATCCAAAAAACTACAATTCCAAGTCCAAATTCAGACTAACAGAACATATTATTTTGCTTTTTAGAGACTATGTGAAATTGAGAGAGTGCAGACAGTATGAAAAAACAAATAAAAAAAAATTCGCCCGAAGCAAAACCCGAACCCGGGTCTTCTGATCGCCAGCAAAACACTCTACCACTTAACCAGCCACGCTTTTTTGGAAGAGCTTCAAATTTAGTTGAAAATCTCGCCTTGCGCTTTTTTCGAGCGAAGCGAGTGTAGTCCGCAAGCTTCCGCGTAAGCGGCAAAGTTATACCAACTTCTCTAGAAGTTAGGGTAACTACCGTGAATTCCAGGTCTAGAAAAATGATCAAAATCAAAATCACATGACTGCAAAAATCTCAAATTTCGACAAACAAAAGCTCATTAGTCTTCCTTTTTTCTCGAACGAAAAAAAACCAAAAAAAAAAAAACTTTAGCTTGACGTCGTTGTGAAAAAAAAAGAGAAAAATTTAATGATTGGTGCCAATTTATTTTCTCTTCTCTCATTTTTTGTACAAAAAAAAAATGAAACTTGAATAATACATATGGGTTTCCCCCCGTTAATTAAATTAAATTATAATTTGAAGTGGAAGTGGAAGTGGAAAAAGTTAGCCTAACTTCTTTGGATAATCTAGCAAAGTTAGGGTAACTTTGCCGCTGCGCGGAAGCTTGCGATCTACAGTTTTTCAACTAAATTCAGGGCAGTTCCAAAAAAGCATGGCTGGCTCAGTGGTAGAGTGTTTTGCTGGCGATCAGAAGACCCGGGTTCGAGTTTTCACAGGTGGTGGGCTGGCAACCCGTCTCAGACCTGTGCCGCACCAGTGTTCCGAAAACCGGAACCGACCGGTCTCGCACCAGTATGACACCCGTCAGAGTTCCTGATCAGGGGTCAACAAGGGGAACTTGAAAATGAAAAATCTATATGTAGAGGACCAATGTGACCAATGTGTTAGAAACCAAAAATATAGACTTTGTAGTCATGTCCAATACGGACTAGAACAGCTTTTCATAGAACCTCTAATTCGAAAAAGCAAGCAACACTCGCTTCTCTTAAACAAACTGACTCGCAGACAGTTGGCTGTTTGTGCGTCTCGCTATGTTTTGTGTGGGAGATGGTCGAGCAGTATGCGACCCGTGACGCGCCAGTTTTAGGCGACCCGTGACAGGTCTGCACCCGTCTGACACCAGTAACAGACCTGTGAACGGGCAATTTCACTGACTGGTGCGCTACAGGTCTGAGACGGATTGCCAGCCCACCACCTGTGTTGCTTCGGGCCAACTTTTTTTTCATACATTTTTCCGCGTAAATTTTCAGAAAAAAGCTTAGCGTGGGAAAATTTTTTGTGAATTTTTGAGTAGAATTTCAAGCTATATTTTCAGTAGAGAAACATTTTGCTGAAAATTTTTATTTCAAAATTTTGAGCGCGAAAATCTGAGAATTCAAAATTTTGTGGATTTTTGGGCGCGAAACTTTGAATTTAAAAAATTTCAAAATAGTCAGGAAAGTTAGGCTAACTTTGTCATAAGCGTGGGAGAAAAAAGGCGAAAAAAGGAATATATATAGGGTAAGTAATAGAATTTTGAAGCAAAAAAAAACTTTTTTTTTGGATATTTTCTCCTTTTTCTCGAGACAAACGACCGAAAATTATGGAAAAAAATAGAAAAAAAGCTTTGAGTTGGGTTATTTAGTTATTTAGTTATTTAGCTATGTTCGAAGGCAGACAAAAGAAAAAAAAAACAATAATTTTTGGTTTCCGAAACAACGCGGAAATTGCCATTTTACTACCCAATTTCCATAATTAGCCTCGAAAAATTTGGATGAAAATTTGTGTGCGTAGGAGAGGAGATTCTTATTTATGAGCGGCGGCACCGAAAAAAAATTTTATGACTGATTTTTGAGATTGGAAAAAAGGCGCTGTGTTTTGTTTGGCTAGAAAATTTTTTTTTGAAAAAAAGAAAAATTATTCAAGTGAAAATTTCTTCTGAAAAAGTCACATTTTTCAGATTAGAAGCTTTAAATTTCAAAGAACGTTGAAAAATCGGGCTTTAAAATCCAGCTTAAAAATTAACTAAAAATGTTCAAAATTTAGCAACAAGATTCAGATTTATGAAATTGTCTAGGAGCCGCGCCTTGAGAACCTAATAGTCTAGGACCCACATCGATAGATCCACTCTGGCAAGGAGCCGCGCCTTGAGAGCTTCTATGTCAAGTAGCCGCTCCTAGATAGCCTAGTTTTCAAGGATCATCGTCTAGAGATAACAATTGTCAAGGAGCCATTCCTAGAGAGCCTATTTCTCAAGTAGCAGCACCTAAAGAGCCTAAATGTTTAAGGTTCAGACATTTTAAGCTTAGGCTAATAAGACCTTAAGTCCTTAATTAGTCTAAAATTTACAGAATTTTCTCAAAAAGTCAAGAAATCCCTTAAGAAAAAACTAAAAATAAGCAAAAATTTTTTTCTCAAAAAAAAGTGTTCATTTCCAAAACAAAAAAAATTTCAAAAATCGGATTTACCAGTTTCAATTCATCTATAATCCTATAATAAATCCCATTCTCTTCTCAACAAAAAAGTATTTTTGCAAAAAAGTTTTAAAAATATTTTACGACTTCAGAAAACTTTACAACTTTCTCAAGAAAAAGTCGTTAAAAATCCTTTTTCCAGGGGAAAAATCGATAAAAATTAGGAAAAAATTTAGAATTCACGCGGGAAAAGCCTAATTTTCTCGTGAGAAAAACGCTGAAAATAGGGCTGAAAATGAACAACAACAAAATATTTAATTTCATATTTCGCTTCACAAAAAAATTCAAAAACAAAAGTACGTGCACGCGCGGAAAATTAGTTGAATTTGAAATTCTATTTTTTCATTTCTACTACTGAAAAAAAGTTCCAACAAAAAGTGCACTAGATTTTTGACATGTTAAAGCAAAATTTGTGAATATTTGTGGGAGACGGAGAGATTTATCAATTTGACAAATTAATCTGAAAATAATCCCCATCTAGAACAGTCATCGCTTAAAAATAGAGGATTTTTGCTTGAAGAAAAACTTTTTGGCGGGAAAATTTCATTTTTTTGAAGAAATCCACGTGGCGAATTTTTGCGCTAAACAAGCTTCCGAAAAAAATGTTCAATCATCAAAAATCGCCCCAGGATGAAAATAAAAAGAAAAAACCGTATTAAGTGTTTTTGTGAGACAAAAATGGGGGGAAAATGGAGAAAATAATAATTATTATTATTATTTCGCATAATAATGAAAAGAAGAAGAAGAAAAATGAACAAAAATAAGATTAGGAGGCGAATTGAAAAAGAAAAACGGAAAAATAGACCGAAAATAGAGAGATGAAAATGGAATGTGAAGGAAAAAAAAGTGAAATCGTTTTTTGAAATCCCGAAAAATGATTTTTTCGGGAATTTTTCGCAAAATTTCTTTTTTCTTATTAATTTGTCATGGTTACTAATGTAAATTTTTTTTTTGAGAAAAAAATTTGCAAAGTTAGGATAACTTTGTCTATGCGCGGAAGCTTTGCCGCTTACGCGGAAGCTTGCGGACTACACTCGCTTCGCTCGAAAAAAACGCTAAGCGAGTTTTTCAACTAATTTTGAAGCTCTTCCAAAAAAGCGTGGCTGGTTCAGTGGTAGAGTGTTTTGCTGGTGATCAGGCGAGCCGAGTTCGGGTTTTGCTCCGGGCAAACTTTTTTTTTAAATTTTTTTATACTCTAGAAAGTAAACCTCTAGAAAAAAAAGGTTCGCTCCGCTCGGCCGCTGCGCGGAAGATAGTTCCGCTTACGCGGAAGCTCGCGGTCTACACTCGCTCCGCTCGAAATCCTCAAATTTCTTAGAAAACTAAAAAAAAAAATAATTTTTTTTGAATCTTTGTTGGTTTCAGTGATCAGCCGGTTCAAAATTTGTGTGAAAATTTTGAAAATTCGAATTTTGAGTTTGAAAATTTGATAATTTTCGGAGAAGCAATAAAAATAATTTAGAATTGAAAATTAAATTTTTTTTGAAACGTAAAATTTTCAGGAATATTTGGAATTGAAAATTAGAGGTTGAAAAAATCACTGTTTCAAAAATTCTCAAAATTGTACAACCACGAAGAATCAGAGAAAAATATAGCAAAAATTCTTCACAAAATTTCAAAACGTATTTTTTCCAGGTCCAGGAAAATGGATGTTTCCAGCAAGTTTTCTCTCAAAAAAAAACAGATAAAATCTTCCCAGAAAAAAACCACAAAGATTGAAATCTAAAGAATTTCTTGTCTTGTCTTAATTTCTTTTCTTTTTTTTGGTTCTAGTTAGAGGAACTCCTATAACAATACTATAATAAGGATTAATTTTTGATCCAATTTTGAGCGGGAAAAAACCCAAAAAAACTAACCTCTGACAAAAATCTTGTGTCCGGCTAAATATCTCGCTTCTGAATTTTCTGGAATCGGGGTCGACGATTTTTCAAGAAAAAATTCAATATCATTGATGGTTAAGCCGCGGGCTCGAAGATAGGCTGAAAATTAAGGGTTTTAGATTTTCCGCAAGCTTCCGCGCAGCAGTAAAGTTATCCGCTGCGCGGAAATTCACGGAACTCACGTTCAAAAGCCTCATAAAGCCGCTGTCCAAATTCAAAATGTATAGTTTCCAAAGTGTTATCAATATCTTTGAAGTTGGCTAGAATGTAGTTGAGAGGCGGTTCGATTTCAATGTTATGGATTCGATTCTGAAAAAAAATGGGGAATTTTGGGGGATCTAGAAAATATGGGCCCGATCAAAATTTTAGCTTTTTTTTGAAAAATCTCACTGTTTCAAAATTTGAAAAAATAATTTTCTGAATTTTGAGAAATTAATGACAAAACTCTTTGCGGGAAATTCACTGTTTCAAATTTTTGACAAAAATAACAACTTCAAATTTGTAACGATTATTTCATTCATTTCATTTTGAGAAAAGTCTGAAAAATTTTACTGTTTCAAAATTTCATGAAATAGTTTTCTAAATTTTGAGAAAATGATGACTCTTGCAACTTTTATTCTGGAGAAATAACTGTTTCAAATTTTAATTCATAAATCCACAATTCAGGAAAAGAAATTGAGATTTGATTCTGAAAAAATCTCACTGTTTCAAATTTTCATTAGCAAATTTTTCTGGAAATCCAAAAAAAATTCCCTGTTGAAAAATTCATGAAAAAAATTTAAATTTTCTGATATTACAGTAATTCAGCTACAGTAACACAGTGATACAAAATTTCTAATTTTTCATCTGAATACATACTGTTCCGAAAAATTCAAATTTTAATTTTTTTTAATTTTTAGTAATCTCTAGTTAAATTTTAACATTTCCTGAAACTATGTTATTCCACTTTTTCAAAAATTCATGAAATAAATATTTGAATTTTGAGAAAATGATGCCTCTTGCAACTTGAATGCTGAAAAAAAATACTGTTTCAAAATTTGGAGAGGAATAACTATTTCAAATTCTTATCGATAGATCCATAGTTTTTCATTGTCAGGATAAAAAAAATCAAATTTCTCTGTGATTCTGAAAAAATCTCACTGTTTCAAAATTTTTTTATAATTTTTCATGGATTTTTAGAAAATGATCATTTACATTTCATTTCACAAAAAAATTACGATTCAAAAATTCATAATTTCAAAAAAATACTAAAATTCAGAGTAATACAGTTACCGTAATCTATACACAATTTTTCAAAATATTCTAATTCCCACTGAAAAAAAAACTTACTGTTTCAAAATTTGGACAAAAATAACCATTTCAAATTTTAATTGATAAATTTAAATAGGGGTTACGAAAACGCAAAATTCTAGTTTCCACTGAAAAATCTCACTGTTTCAAAATTTCATTATATTTTTTTCATAGATTTTTAGAAACTGATTTGTTAATTGAAGATTTGTGTTCTGGAGAAATAACTGTTTCAAATTTTAATTCATAAATCCACAATTCAGGAAAAGAAAATTCAGATTTGATTCAGAAAAATCTCACTGTTTCAAATTTTCATTAGCAAATTTTCAAGCAAATTTTTCTGGGAATCCAAAAAAAAATCCCTGTTGAAAAATTCATTAAAAAATTTAAATTTTCTAATATTACAGTGATTCAGCTACAGTAACTTGTGATACAAAACTTCTAATATCTCATCAGAAATTCTGAAAAAATCTCACTGTTTCAAAATTTTATTATAATTTTTCATGGATTTTGAGAAAATGATTCCTGCTTCACGGTATTCTTATCATTCCAGGGCTAAATTAGTTTTATTTTTCACAAGCTTATCGCTACGCGGAAGCTTGCGGTTTCCGCATCTAACCTTGCATTTGGCAGAATAAGATCTGACTCGAATTCCAGACTGATTTTGAACCTTCTCCCTATGAAACGATGATTGTTTTCGAACACTTGGCATAAATTTCTGAATATTTTTTCTTGAGGAAAGAAAATTTAGAGAGATTTTTAGATGATCAAGGTTACGAAAAAAATAGTTAGACTTAGACTATATTATAATAAAGCGCGAAAAATAAAAAAAATGATACAAAAAAGTGAAAATTGAGAAAGAAAGTCGTAATAATATCAAACTATATCAGAGAAAAAAAATGAGAATAATGTGAAGATTTCTGGGCCAAAAATCCTATAGATTTTCGTATATTTTTTGATCGACAAAGGAAAAAGAAATGTTGATTTTTGCTTTTGGAAGGAAAAAAAAATATTGCCGAAAAATTTTGAATACAGCTCATCATTTTTGTCTGAATTTTTTGAAAAATAAAATTTTTTGCGATTTTTTTGCAACTTTTGGAATTTTTAAAAGTAAAACCAATTTATATTTTCAAAAAAATTCACTGTTTCAAAATTTTCACAAATTTTTTGGGCTTCACAAGTTTTCTGATTTTATTCTCAGAAACAATAAACAATTTCCACTGTTTCAAAAAATTGATTTGCGAAGTTTTTAAATTTTCAACAAAAATAATCCGCTGTTTCAAAATTTTCAAAAATTTATATCAATTTTCTGAATTTGTTCTGAATTTCAAATTGAAATCTCGAAAGTTAGGGTAACTTTGCAGCTTCAAGAAGCTTGCGGTTCATCAAAAACAAAAAATTCTGAAATTCTGAACAAAATTGAGCTCTTAAAAAGCTACTGGAAAATTTTCAGAAAGTTCAAACAACTAATTTCAGAAACCCCTAATTACCGCCAGAATTTCTTGAAATTCAAAAAATCAAAAATCTTTGGTGAATCATCCAAAAATCAGCTATAATTCAGGAAAACTCTGAAAAAAATCTAGCTTTTCTCTGCGTCTCTAACCTATGTCTCTACTCTCTAATCTCTTATGAGAGAGAAAAGTTAGAGACGCAGAGAGTTAGAATCAACTTGATTAGAAAGCTAGACACTCAGAGTGGTTAGAGACGCAGAGAGTGCTAGATTTTTAATAAAGGTTAGACAGAGCGAGAGAGAGTTAGGGAATGTTGGGTTAGAGTTTAGAGAATTAGAGATACAAATATGGGTTAGAGACGCAGAGAAGTAGAGTTTTTGACAAATTTGGGGATTTTTTGGGTTACTGTAGGTAGATCAGAACCGTCTGCTTCTCTAACCTTATCTGACCTCCTCTGCTTCTCTAACTAGTCAGATTTGAGAGCCTAAAATCCAGAAAAACTCAGAAAATGATCCAAAAAATCAGGTAAATAATCCTACCGTACCCCATTTTCAGACCAAAATTTAATCAAGTCTCTCCTCTCAATTTCAATTAAAAAAGGAACAAAATGAATCAAAAATTGGGGCCACCTGAAGAAAAACAAAAGAAGATTGATAACACACTGAAATTATTACAACAAAAAAACAAATTTCAATTTTTTCCCAAAAAAAATAGAATTTTTCAATATAAAAATGGTGCTTGAACCTTTAGAAGTGAGTGAAAATTGAATTTTTCAAAGTTGTGCAAACTTTTTTTGAGAAAAATAGAGAAAATAGGATTTCAGAGACCAGAAAAACCGAAAACTGGTACAGTACAGAAAATAATTAGCCTAGGTAGGAAGATATTCTTAATGAGGTCTAGATTTCACCAGAAAAAACGAGAGAGAAGAGGATTAGAGAAATATAGTTGTTGCAAAATGTATCTGTGTTGATTGAGATGAAAAAAAAAAGAAAAGTGTTCGAGTTTTAATTTGACACTACACTAAAATGATAAGATAAAGGAGATTTTTGAAGTTACTCTAACTTTTTTTGGAAAGCTTTCGAAATTCTACATCACGTAATTTTTCTTCGAAAAAATTATTTTCAAACTTTAGAAACCAAGTGACCAACGAAAGAAATCCAAAATACTTTTGAAAATTTTGAAACAGTAAATTTTTATTAATTTTTAAAAATTAGTTAAAATTGCTCAATAGGATCTGACAAATTTCTTGGCACAAGAAAAAATTAATTTTTGATTTTTTTTTACATTTTTCAAGATCAAATTCCGAATATTAAAATATTTTTCTTAATTTTTTGAAACAGTGAAAAATATTATAATTTTAGCAATAACGACTAGAGCATTATCATAGCAAATTCCGAATACATGAATTATTTTTCATTATTTTTCGAAACAGTAAATTTTTATTGATACAAAAAATATGTTTCTATTTTTTTGATTTTCTGTTTTCTTGTCTATGAAATTAAAATGAAAATTGATAAACGAAACTATTTTTAAAAAATTTTTAAAACAGTAAGATTTTTTATGCTCTTTCATTTTCAGATATAAGTTTATTTAATCAAAAATCTCTTCGAAATTTCACCAAACACCGAATATTAAGCAAATACAACCAAATAAAATTAATTCTTCAAAAATTCTCGAAACAGTAAATTTTTGGTGTAAAAAACATTTTTTCCTGGTTATTCCGATAAAATAACATTAAAAATTGATAAATGAAATCATTTTTTCATAATTTCTTAAAACAGTAAAAATATTTTTGTTTTGTTTTATTCTAGACAAACTAGCAGAAATTATTGAAAATTGATAAATGAAATTATTTCTCAAAATTTCTTGAAACAGTGAATTTTTTCATGCTCTTTCAATTTCGGATATAATTTAAAAAATATTTTTCATCAATCAAAAACTGTTTTGATCTTTTTCAAAGATGCTTCACATTGAAATTTAACTAAAAAATTTCAATCGATAATCAAATGACAAACGAGTATAGAATAAACTACACAAAATTAATTGTTTTTTTCAAAATTTTTTGAAACAGTAAATTTTTGGTGGAAATTTTTTTTCTATTTTTCTGATTTTCGTTGATGTATCGCAACCAGTAAAAATTGATAAATTTTTTTCATAATTTCTTGAAACAGTGAATTTTTCCCAAGCAATTCCCCCAAAACCAAAACTCACATCAACGGCCGCCATAATATTCCTCTGATGTTGTTCCAAAGTTGTTCCGTGAGCAGCAACAGTCGTCCAATCGGGATGAAGTGAAGGTCGACGAGTTCGAGCATGTCCAACACTACTGCTCATCTCTTCGATGATTGGCGGTGGAATTGCGGGAAGTGACGGACGACGACGGATGCAAGCCGATAGAAATTGTTGAGTTGAGGTGGAAGAAGATCGGGGATGGCTGGCAGATTCGATGAGATTGCTGGAAAAATTAGGGGAAATTGGGGAGAGAGAGAGAGAGAGAGTGGAGAGAAGCAGAGAAAATCTGGATTTTCCCACAAGGAATCTGAAAATTGTAAATTAAAAGAACAATTTTCAGAATTTTCCAGAAAGTTTTTAGAATCTGGATCTTGGGAGCTAAGATCTAGCTGGAAAATAAATAGAATCCATAATTCAGATTTTAGCCTAAATTTTCAGGCAAAAATTGAAGTTTCTGAAGACTTTTTGTTATTGAAAAATATTCGAAATCAAAACCGTAATAATCGAATTTTTTATTTTCTAATTCCTAGATTTTTTGAAACAGTGGTTTTTTTTTGCAAAAAAAAATGTTCACAAGTTAGCCTAACTCCAATTTATTATTTTTTTTTTTTTTGAAAAAAACATACAGAAGCCGATTCGTAGCCCCCAAAAATCAAAAAATGACAATTTTTCAAAATACGTGGAAAACTTCACGTGATTTTTTTGGAACACGTGAAAATGTTTTTTTTTTTCAAATTTTTTCAGAGAAACTACACTCTAGTTTCAAAAGGATTAGCGTTCTATGAATTTAGGGTGATTTGGGGACCCTCAAAACTACACTCTAGTTTCAAGCATCTCTTCTTAGGGCCCCTAAAGCCTTTAAGGCCCCCTAAAGCTTTTAAGGTCTTCGGAAAAATACCTTAAAACTACACTCTAGTTTCAAGCATTCTTTAGGCTCTTTTAAGGTCCCTAAAACCTTCAAGGCCCCCTAAAGCTTTAAAGGTCCTCGAAAAAAATACCTTAAAACTACACTCTAGTTTCAAACATCCCTTAGGCTCTTTCAAGGTCCCTAAAGCTTTTAAGGCCCCCTAACGCTTTTAAGGTCTTCGAAAAAAATACCTTAAAACTACACTCTAGTTCTTAGGCTCTTAAGGTCCCCAAGTCCCTCAAAACTTCACTTTCTCATTTTTTTTCTTGTTTCAAAAATTGTGTTTCCTTCATCCTTCAGTTTCAGCAGAAGAAGAAGAAGCAAGAAAAAATTGGAAGGAAAAAAAACAATAAATATTTAATAAGTTTTTCCTTCGTTCTCTCAATTTTTTATAATAAATTGGTTTTTTCTCCTGGTCTTCTTCCACTTTTTTTTCGCTTCTTCTCCAGGAATTTCTTTGGAGAAAAAATGAGGAAAGAAATTAGTTTCGTGACCATAAATTCCTTTTTTTTCTTTTTTCAGTTGAAGAATTTCAGGGTGAAGCTTGGAAAAAGAAAAAATGGAGGAATTCAATTAAAATATTTCTAAACTAATCATTGTGGAGAAAAATGTTGTCTCAGAATCAGTTTTATTTTTCAGTTGTAAAAAAATTGCAAGATCCGCTGGGACAAAAAAAAGTGAGGGTGGAAAAAAAAAACTAAAAATAAAAATAAAAATCGTAAAAAGGTGGAACCCCTGGGTCTCGAGGGGATTTTTTGGAACATCGAAAATCGCTGGGCAGAAAAAAAATAAACAGGTTTTTGAACAATCTCATTCAAAAAAATTTACTGTTTCAAAAATCGGTGAAATATTTTTGGAACTGGTGATTCACTGATAATTTTCAAATAAATTTTCAAAATTTCTCAGAATCCAATTTTTCGTGTGAAAAAAAAATTTTTCTATCAAAATACTTTCAAAAATCAAAATTGTGGTTTCAAAAATGCACAGTGAAATAGTCTAGAAGAAAAAATCCCGGAAAAAATTCACTGTTTCAAGAAAAAATCTTGAAAATTTTTTGTTTTGCAAAATCGGATGATTTAGTCCACAAACATTTTTTAGCGGTTAAAAAATTTCGGAGAAAAAATATCAAAAAAAAAATCTACTGTTTCAAAAATCGGTGAAATATTTTTGGAACTGGTGATTAACTGATAGATCTGACTAGAAATTTCCGAATAAATTTTCAAAATTTCTCAGAATCCAATTTTTCGTGTGAAAAATACGTAAATTATCTAGAAAAAAAAATTCCGGGAAAAAATTCACTGTTTCAAGAAAAATCTTGAAAATTGTTTTTTTTTCATCAGATAATTGTTAGCAACAAAATCTTTTTGAAAAAAGTCCAGAAAAAATTACTGTTTCAAAAAAATCGTAAAGAATGTTTGCAAAATCGGATGATTTGATACAGAAAACTTTTTTTTAGCGGTTAAAAAATTTCGGAGAAAAAATATCAAAAAAAAATTTACTGTTTCAAAAATCGGTGAATTATTTTTGGAACCAGTGATTCACTGATAATTTTCAAATAAATTTTCAAAATTTTTCAGAATCCAATTTTTTGTGTGAAAATAAAAATACGTTTAAAAATCAAAATTGTGGTTTCAAAAATGCACAGTGAAATTATCTAGAAGAAAAAAAATTCCCGGAAAAAATTCACTGTTTCAAGAAAAAATCTTGAAAATTGTTTTTTTTTCATCAGACGAAAAAAATCCAGAAAAAATCACTGTTTCAAAAAATCGTAAAGAATTTTCGCAAAACCGAACGAATTATTGCGTAATAAAATTTCCTTGGTAAAAAATTTGAAAAAAACAGAATTTTTCAGTGAAAAAATCTACTGTTTCAAAATAATCCTAAGATTTTTCGAAAATCTTGTAGAACTGATCGATTGCAATTATTAGGAGATTAAAGGAAAATCTACTGTTTCAGAAGAAGAATATAGCCTAAGTTATTGAATCCAGGATTTTTTGGGGAAATGATCCGAATCAGAAAATTCAAAAACTTGCCCTAAACAAAGTTCAAGCTCAAAATCCTCATAGAAAAATCAAGAATCCACAGAGAGTTAGGCTAAGTCACAAATTCAGAAGCTTCTTCCAAACCTGCTCGATTGATTCCTGCGAAAAATCTTCTGTCGACATTTCGCCTTCAATTCACTTCTCAAACTCGTCTTCCTCTCCGCCTCAAACATAATCAAAATATCACTACTAGAACTTCTTCTGGACTTGTGCGAAATCGGTGGAAGTCCAGAAGGAGAAGAAGCTGCTGATGTGGTGGTTTCTTCGCTAATCGCCGCCAAATCAAATCCCATTTTGACATCTCCCACCAAACATACGAAATAACTCGATTAACAGATTTTTCAATGTTGGGGCAGCCACAAATGTACTAGTTCTAGTTTTGGTTTAACAAAGTATCGCTCTCTCATTTTTTTTCAGTAGAAAAAATGAGGGGCGTGGCTTGAGAGGGTGGAAGAAAAAATTGAGAAAAATGAAAGACATCTGGAGATTTTGCGAGGCAAAGTTGAGGGAGGAAGTTTTGACATTTCGAAAAATGTTAGCGGAACCTTTTGACCTGGCTCTAGATCTTGTGATCATGGTGTGCTGAACTCTTCTGTGAGTTACGACGTGGCAAAGTTAGCCTAACTTTTTTGGAAAATCTAGAAAGATAGGGTAACTGAAAGAAAATCGGTTGCTCATGTTAAAGTGGAAGGTGTTGCTCATTTTATATTCGAGATGATTGCTCAGGTTAAAAAAACGAAGGTTGCTCATTTTATACTCCAAAGGATTGCTCAGATTATACACTTCTTAAGCTCTTTGTATAGGCATTGCTCAGGTTAAAGAGGGGAGATTAGGTAAATTCCTTAACTAACGTTCTAGATTTCCCCAGAAAATTTAAAAATTTATGTTTTCCAGACAAAATTAAATTTTCAAGCTTAAAATTTCAAATCCACGTGGCAAATCTAGAATAGCTATGGTTCCAGTTTCAGAATATCGAAAATTTCAGATTTCTGAAAACCCCACCTTTGCCACGTCATAATTCCATTCAGAGTTAAGCTAAGTAGTTTCTGTCAACAGAATCATGATCAGCAGGTCAAAATCTATCAGAAAATGTATTTTTAGCTCAACTTGTCACCTCAAAAATCGAAAACCGATCCAGAAAAATCAAGATAACAATCTCTTCTTCTTCTGACAGATTTCACATCAAATTCCATTTCTAATTGCGAATTCTTCCAATAATTTGGTCAAATCAAGATCATGTAATGAGGGAAAAAAGGGAAAAAAAGAAGATGAACTTGTCAATTATCGGCGATGGACAAAAAAAACAAGGAAAATGAGGATGATCACATAATTAGTTGAGGAAATATGATGGAAAATCAGGAAGAAGTTCGGAATTAGGGGCTTTTTGGGAGAAAGAAATTCGAAATCGGATGAAATTCTGAATTTTTTTAAAATTCAGCATTAAAAAAATAAGAACCTAGATTTTCCGAAAGCTTCAAATTCAGGTGCAAAAATAATTTTTCAAAAAAAATCTTCGGCTGAAAATTTCAGAGCTCCAGAATTCTGTTCCAAAAATTTTATGAGATAATTTAGCCTAACTCTAAATGAACTCCAGAACCTTTCTCTAGGAGCTCAACACATTTTCAGGTCCGAAAATCCACGTGGCAACGCAGAATCTAAGTAGAGCTTCTCAGAATCTTAGAAAATGCCACGTGGCTTGAAATTCCAGCCCAAAATTGCTTCATTTCGTCAAATTTTGATTGAAAAATTCAAATTTTTCAAAAACAAAAAAAAATACGTTTCAAAATTTTGATATAATTTATCATCAATTTTTTTTCTGTTCCCTTTCAAATTTTTTAACCTGAGAATTCTGGAGCTTTTTTGAATTTATCTGAAATTTTCAGCCACGCTGAGATCCTGCTGAAATTCTCAAATATTTTTTTTTCGAAAAATTATATATTTTTGCATCTGAATTTGAAGCTTTCGGAAAATTTAGGTTCAAATTTTTTTTCATAGCTGAATTTTGGAAATTCAGAATTTTTTTTGAAATTATCGATTTTTGAATCAAAATCGCAGCACAAAAGTTACCCTAACTTCTGAATAAAAATGACCAGCAATTTTCCAAAAATCTTCAAAGGTCACGCTCCAAAAATCGCCCTGAATCATAATTATAACCATCAAGAAAATCGGAAAAAAAAATTTTTTTCATAATTTTTCTCCAGGCAGCGAGAAAAAGCCAAGGTCACAACCTACTAAAGAAAAATGAATAATACGAATACAATAAGAAGCCTAATTATACATTTATTCAATTTCTCTGCGTCTCTAATCCCAAATACTCTCTCTCTCTCGCCTTTGAAAAAAAGTTGAACTTTGCTTGAGTTATCTCATGATCTCAAGGGGCTCTTTAGGGAAAAACGCCGAACAAGTTTCTAGAAAAAAAGTTAGGGAAACTTCTTGCGGTAAAAATTCAAAATAAAAATGATCTAGGTCAAAAATTCATCTTCTTCTCTTCGGAAAAATAATAAAATGCGGGGTGAAACACAAATTTTTGAAATCCGGATCTTATCATTCAAAAATCTTGGCGCGCAAGAAAATTTTGCGGAACAACAACACTGTGAATTTTGTGGATAACAATAATAATATGAATCAGAATAATAATAATAATATGCGTTTTCGCAACATTTTTAGGCGAAAAGTGAAATTAGATATTTTAGAAGAAGAAGAAGAAGAAGGTAGGAAATGAAATGAAACAACAACAATTTAACTTGCAAATGATATCTTTTTGAATTGAAAAAAGGAAGATTAGTTAAACTTTTTGGGGGTGAAAGTTAGGCTTACTGTTTTAAAAATAAAAAAAATTTTTTCATGAGAAAAATTCACTGTTTCAAAATTTTGAGCCAATTGACCTTTGAAAATCAAAGTCTCAAGAAATTTTGTAATTCGAGACAACTTCATTATTTTCCTGTGTTTTTTACGTTTCAAAATTTTGAGAAATCGAAAAAATTGCAAATTAATTTGTTTTTGTACACATTCTTTAACCGTTTCAAAAAATTACAAGTCAACAATATGTCAGAACTGATTTTTAACCCTAGTAAATTTTATTTCAGAAATATTTGAAACAGTGAAATATTTCATTTCTTGAATCTTCCAAGATTTCTAATTATTTTTCAATTTCGAAAACCTTCAACTAGTAATCAACTTCAGCTCCTAGAAAAAAATAATTGAGAAAACTTTGAAACAGTTAAATATTTCTTGAATAAAAAATACATATTTTTAATAAGAGACAATGGGAAAATGAGAGAGCGCAGACAACAAAAACGCATTTTTATAAAATTATTAATTTTCCTGTGTTTTTTACGTTTCAAAATTTTGTGAAATTGAAAAAAATTCAATTTTCATTGGTGAGTTTGCATATTTTTCAAAAAAAAATTTTTACTGTTTCAAAAATGTATGATAAAATTTTCATTTCGCAATTTTTGATTGTAACATCATTATAGTCTTATAAAATTCAGAATATTTTTCAGTCAGTTGAAAAATTTTCAGATTTTTTCAATCATCAAATCACAGAAGATAGGTAATAACTTCAGATCTCAGCAAAAAAATGAAAAAAACTTTGAAACAGTGAAATTTTCAAAAGGAACTCTCGAACTTTTCAAGGTTTTTCTCTCTTTTTTCTTCCGTTTTTTCATACATACATATACATTTGGTAATTGTTCGATTCCTACTAATTGCTACAATTATTCGTGAGAAATTCTGACATTTTTATGAGAAAGGAAACTACTATACTTTTCTCCGCAATTTCGCGCGAAAACCGCACGCTTCCGCGCGGAAAAACGTCCAAAAAATGAAAATTACGTTATATATATATAGAAAATAATATATAACACAATATATAATATATAATAACTTTGCGCACCGGTGGGCAAAAATCCAGATTTTCACACGAAATGAAATGAACAAAACAAAAAAACCAACTTTTTTCGCCTTTTTTGTCGCTTTCCAATATCCAATCCAATCCACTGCCAAATGTAGTTTTGAAGAAAGATTTGTGGTCTGAAAATATTTTTATTCAAAAAAGAGAAATGTGAGATAAGAAAAAGAGGTTTGTTTGTTATTACAACCCTCAAAAACAATAAGATAATGACAAAAAATAATGAGAGAAAATGAATAGTTACTGATAAATGCATTGTTTTACAATAAAATATTCGAGTTTCGCGACAAAAATCACGAAAAATTCGATTTTTCATGAAAAAACCTGCGATTTTCTTGAAATTTCCTATCAAAATACATTTTCAAACTTGCAAATTCCATATTTCTCCAAAAGAAATCAACAAAAACCCTGGAAATCCCATTTTCTACACGAAAAATCGCGAAATTCAAACTTTTCGAAAAAAAAATAAAAAGAAAACAACGACACTCCGCCGCGTGCATGATGTTTAGCGCGTGCGGGCGTTTGAATTTGTTTTTTTTTTCTTCGAAAAGTTTTTACAATAAAAATATTCAAGTTTCGCGGTCAAACCCACAAAAATCACGAAAAATTCGATTTTTCATGAAAAAACCTGGGATTTTTTTGAAATTTCCTATCAAAATACATTTTCAAACTTGCAAATTCCATATTTCTCCAAAAGAAATCAACAAAAACCCTGGAAATCCCATTTTCTACACGAGAAAATGGCGAAATTCGAGTTTTTCGAAAAAAAAATAAAAAGAAAACAACGACACTCCGCCGCGTGCATGATGTTTAGCGCGTGCGGGCGTTTGAATTTGTTTTTTTTTTCTTCGAAAAGTTTTTACAATAAAAATATTCAAGTTTCGCGGTCAAACCCACAAAAATCACGAAAAATTCGATTTTTCATGAAAAAACCTGGGATTTTTTTGAAATTTCCTATCAAAATACATTTCTAAACCTGCAAATTCCATATTTCTCCAAAAGAAATCAACAAAAACCCTGGAAATCCCATTTTCTACACGAGAAAATCGCGAAATTCAAACTTTTCGAAAAAAAAAAAAGAAAACAACGACACTCCGCCACGTGCATGATGTTTAGCGCGTGCGGGCGTTTGAATTTGTTTTTTTTTTTTCTTCGAAAAGTTTTGGAGGAAAAATGAGGATAAAAAGAGCAGATAGAGATGATTTACAACAAATAACAAAAAATTTCACTGTTTCAAAGTTTTGATAACTCTTCTGATAAAAAATATTCACTAATATCCAGAAAATTTGAATAAAAATATGAAGGGAACGCCAGAAGAATTAGAGAAATAGAGTAAATGAGAGAGTTAGAAGAAAAAGAAAACAACGACACTCCGCCAGGTGCATGATGTTTAGCGCACGCGCGCTTTGTTTTTTGAATTTGTTTTTTTTAGAATTAGAATTAGAGAAATAGAGTAGAGTGTGAGAGAGTGTAGAAAATGGGGAGAGTTAGACAGTGAGAGATCGGGTAAAAATAATAATTTTTCAAATTTTTTTGAATAAAATCTACTGTTTCAGAAAAAATCAATAAAAAGAAAAAGGAAATTGAAATCGGGTGTCCATAAGATGAATGTTGTTCACACAGAAAAGAGAAGACAAACACAAATACATAAATATACACGAATAATTAGTACACTCTTCTTCTTCTTTCCTTTCAAAACTTTCTTCTTTTCGATCATCTTCACAGGTAAATAATAACAAAAGAAAAATCGAAGAAAAAAGAGAGGATGTGTGTCAAATACAAATAAATATGTGTAGATATTTATATTATGAAACAACAAATAACACCTTTTTGGGAGAGAGAGAGAGATGAGATAACATAAATTGACATTTTACTCGTGTAGATTGAGGAAGATAAGATTACTCTCTAGGCCCTGCTACTTGAGAACTAGGCTCTCAAGGCGTGGCTCCTAGACAATTAGGTTGTCTAGGCGCTGATCCTTGAAAGTGAAATTTTCTAGGCTCGGCTACTTGCCATAGAAACTCTCAAGGTATTCAAAATATTTACTGTTTCAAAAATTTTCTAAAAAAAATAAAAGTTGCACATCAAATTGGTATATATGCAGATTTTGAAATTAAAAAAAAATGAAATTAATTTTCCAGAAAATTCACTGTTTCAAAAAATATATAGAAATTTGGAATTGGAAACTCGATTGGTGAATCTACGCAAGATGCTTTAAGTAAAAAATCGCCAAAAAAATGTTGTTCGTTTTCGTAAAAACTACATTTCAGAAGATTTTCAGCTTTTCCTTTTTAAAAAATTTTGTAGTTTGGTTTACATAGATTCACTAAAAAAAATGAGTTAGGGAAAAAAAATTAGAAAAAAAGTTGGCAACCGGTTATGACAAAGAATAATCCTCGACTAATGATGTGCCATTGAACGAGTGAAAAAAAGTTGGAATTTAATTTTTCAGAGAGAAAAAGAGAATGGGGATTTTTTTGAGATTGAAAATTGGGGTGGAAAAAAAATCAGGAGATAACTTTGAAGTTACCGTAACTTTTTCGAGAAAATATGCACTGTTTCAAAAAAAAAATAAATTCGGAAAATTTTGAAACAGTGAATATTTGAATGTCTTAAATTTTTGGTGTCATTGAGGAATGATTTCTGGATAGAAAATTTTGAACAAAATTTGAAACAGTGAGTTTTTTTGCAGCGAAAAATCCAAAATTGTAGAAAAATTTCACTGTTTCAGGTGAAATTTAATTTATTTTCGAATTTTCTTAAAGTGGAAGCAATAACAGAACAGGACGAAAAATATTTTTAAAAAATTTGAAACAGTAAAAATTTTTCAGCAGAAAATTTGATTTTTTTTAAAGAAACGGCCTTTTCATCAAATAATTTTGAAATTGATTTTTCAAAAAGTATTTTTTGAAACAGTGAATTTTTTCTGAGCTTGAAAGTTATTTTGAAAATACTAAACAAAATCATCGAAAACAGATTTGAGAAAATTTTGAAACAGTGATTTTTTTCGAAAATCTTTTTTTTTTAAACCCAAGAAAAAAATTTTAATTGAAATTTCATAATTTTTTCAAATCCAGTTCGAATCTAGATATATTGAAGATAATTTTTCCGAGAAAAAATTAGATTTTTTTGAAACAGTGAATTTTTTTAGACAGAATTCAAAGAAAATAATCAAAAAACCAGCAAAAAAGAAACAATAAAAGCAATTCAATGCGAAATTCAATGAAAAAGACATTTTTTCCGCATTTTTTCAAAGAAAAATGTTCATTTTCATTACATTCTCAATTCAAAATGATGAAAAGCGGCAGGTATTCTTTTCCGCCGCGCATCATTCATTTTTTGCCGCACACCTAACTAACCACGTGGATTGTTTGTGCATGTGCTCAATTCTCTCGCGAGAAGAACTCAGAGCTCGAATGACAAAAACATGATCGGATGACACCCCGACTACAAAAGAAATAACATACAGGGGGAAAGGGAACCGGCTTTTTACAGGGTTTTTTGGATTTCTGGGAGGAATTGGAAAGTCTTGGGAGCGAAAATTCGTGGCAAAGTTTGGAAGGTTAAGCTTGAGGTTTACACAAAAAATTCACTGTTTCAAAAAATTTTTAAACTAGAAAACTGAATGAAAAAACAAAAAAATATTCGTTTGGACGATTCTTCAAAAATTCACTGTTTCAAAATTTGTTCAAATTTTCAAAGCGAATTTATGAAATGACCTGTAATAGCAAAATGATTCGTAAAAGTCACTGACCCATTTTTTTCGAATAATTTTTTTAATTGTGAAATTTTAACTGTTTCAAAATTATCTTTATAATTTGAGATTTTTTTTAAATGTCTGAAAATCATCTGGAAGTTTCATTTTAAACTAGAAAAGCGAACCTAAAATTAATGTTCGGCAAAAATTCACTGTTTCAAAATTTATTCAAATTTTCAACGATAACTTCCAAATGTGATTAAATGAAGGAGTTAGGTGTAAAACAATTTTTTTCAGTCAAAAAAATTTACTGTTTCAAAAAAAATTTTAACCAGGAAATTGAATGTAAGATTAATATTAATTCGAATGATTTTTCAAAAATTCACTGTTTCAGAATTTATTCAAATTTTCAAAGCGAATTTATGAAATGATTCATGGATTTATGTATAACTTCAAAATGATTCGTAAAAAGTTTTTTTTCAAAATTTTCTTTATAATTTAAGATTTTTTGATGTTACATTTTGAATTTTCCGAAAAAAAAATCACTGTTTCAAAAAAATTTTTTAAACCAGAAAATTAAATTTGAATTTAATATCGGCTACATCAACTTCTTCAAAAATTCACTGTTTCAAAATTTGTTCAAATTTTCAAAGATAATTTCCAGAGGTGATTGTATGAAGACACTTTTTTTTCTCAAAAAAAAATTCAAACAAGATTTGAAAATTATCTGAAACTTCACACACAAAATTTTTTCAATTCAAAAAAAAAATTCACAGTTTCAAAAAATTTTTAAACCAGAACATTGAATCTAAAATTATTACCTGATTGGATTATTGTGTAAAAAAGTTTTTTTTCAGTGAGAAAATAATTCACTGTTTCAAAATTTATTCAAATTTTCAGAGCAAATTTTGAATTAATTAATAGAGAAGCGCAATAATGTCCAAAAAAGTCACAAAACCCAAAATTTTCTCAATAACAATATAAGGAAGGTCAAAATACTCCTTATGGGGGTCATTTTTTTGTTGGAATACAAAAGAACTACTTATTATTGATTTATTTATTTATTTATTAGATTTCGGTTTTTTTTTCCAAAAAAAAAATTAAATTTTGGAAAATCAAGGGGTTCAAAAATCAGTCACATGATAAGATATGTTTTTGAAAATCACAAACACTTCCGAAAATTTTTTTCGCAGAGATAAAAAAAATAGTTTCCGCAAGCTTCCGCGCACGCGGAAGAACCACAAAAATTCTAGTAAATCTAACAAATCAAAAGCAAAATATTCAAAAACGTATTTTGTTTGCCTCATGGTGCATAGAGACGAGAGAGAGTGTGGTGGGATGAAGAGACGCAGAGAAAAAAGGGGGACAGAAAAGGTAACCGGTTTATTGACACCAATGACACCCAATATGCTGGGCTAGACAAATTGTGATTTTTTTTTTGGTTGACAAAGGAAACCCCTGACTTTCTAGAAGAAGTTAGGGTAACTTTTTAGTGTTTTGAAAGATCACATCACAAATGCTATACTTTAAAAAAATTAATGAGAATTTTGAAACAGTGATTTTTTTTGTTGTTGAAAATCCGGATATTTTGCTAATTATGGAATGAATTTGACTTCTAACAATAAAATTAATTTGCAATTTTTGAAACAGTGGATTTTTTGACAAAGAATTTTGCAATATTAAAATTTTTAAATCTGAAACAGTAAAAATTTTGCTTCTCATTTTTCCTCCGAAAATTCATATGCATTTTAGGAAGGAAAAACAAAAATCCATCAAAAATTTTAAATTTTCGTTTTTGTTCAACAAATCTTTGAAACAGTGGAAATTACAAAAAATTCAAAAAAAAAATTTTTTTTGAAAAAACTTCCCGTTCAAATTACAAAAATTGACTTCTAAAAAATTTATGCAATTTTTGAAACAGTAAAATTTGGACAAAGAATTTTGTAATTATTTTCCAGCTAAATAGAACTGAAAATCTGAATATACATTTATTTTCAATAAAAAATTTGAAACAGTGAACATTTTTTATTGTTCCTACCTAACAATAACATCTGCAAAATCAAAACTCCTGAATTTCCTTTTTTATTCAACAAATCTTTGAAACAGTGAAAAATCTCATAAATTATATTTCTTTTCTTTTTTCCTCTTTTTCCAATAATAATAAAAATGAATATTCAAAAGAGCCAGAAAATATTCCAAGGTTACACTCAAACAATGACCAATTTAATGGCGGTGGATTAGGATTGGAAAAATGCGCGAAAAGGGATTTTGTTTTGTCCGGGAGAACTACACAGATTTGAGGGGAGGGGTCGAAGTTGCTAAATTTTTATTGGCAAAGCTAGGAAGTTAGGCTGTAAATGCTTCTGAAGCTCAAAATTCAACTGAAAATGCTCCAGAAGCTTAAAAATTAGCTAAAAATCATCCAGAAACCCCATTTCTGGCTGAAAATCATCCAGAAGCTCAAAATTTAGCTGAAAATGCTCCAGAATCTCAAAAATCATCTGAAAATTCTCCAGAAACCCAATTTCTAGCTGAAAATGCTCCAGAAGCTCAAAAAATGTCTGAAAATGCTTCAGAATCTCAAAAATTATCTGGAAATGCTCCTGCAGATCAAAAATCATCTGGAAATGTTCCTGAAGCCCAAAAATCATCTGGAAATGCTTCAGAAACGCAATTTTCAGCGGAAAATTCTCCAGAAGCTCAAAAAATGGCTGAAAATTCTGCAGAAACTGAATTTTTGGCTGAAAATGCTTCAGAAACTTAATTTTTGGCTGAAAATGCTCCAGAAGCTCAAAATATGGCTGAAATTGCTCCAGAATCTGAAAAATCATCTGAAAATGCTCAAGAAGCTCAAAAAATGGCTGAAAATGCTCGATAAGCTCAAAAATTATCTGAAAATGTCCCTGAAGCCCAAAAAATAGCTCAAAATGCTCCAGAAGCTGAAAATTTCACTGAAAATGCTCAAAAATCTCAAAATTTAACTGAAAATGCTACTGGATCTCAAAAACTAGCTAAAAATCATCCAGAAACCCAATTTTTGGCTGAAACAGCTCCAGAATTTGAAAATCGAGCTTAAAATGCTCCAGAATTTCAAAAATCATCTGGAAATGCTCCAGAAAATGAATTTCTCGCTGAAAATGCTCGAGAAGCTCAAAAATTATCTGAAAATGCTCCAGAAACTCAAAATTTAGCTGGAAATGCTCCTGAAGCTCAAAAACTAGCTTAAAATCATCCAGAAGCCTAAATTTTAGCTGAAAATGCTCCAGAAGCTCAAAAATCAACTGAAAATCATCCAGAAACTCAATTTTTGCCTAAAAAGTCCCCCGAAGCCTAGAAAAACTATTGTATAGTTCTCTGAGTTCCCAAATTTTGTTTATATTTTTTTTTCGCATTGAAAAAAAGTCGCCTGATGTTCACATGGCGGTGATAAGAAATTATAAATTGAACACGTTTTTTGATGTGAACTAATTGATCAAAAGTCAATTTGGGTTCAACTGAAAATGCTCTAGAAACTCAATTTTTGGCTGGAAATGCTCCAGAAACTCAATTTTTGGCTAAAAATGCTCCAGAATCTGAAAAATTCTCTGAAATTGCTCCAGAAGCTCAAAAACTAGCTAAAAATGCTCTAGAAACTCAATTTTCAGCTGAAAATGCTCTAGAAGCTCAATTTTTTGCTGAAAATGCTCCAGAAGCTGAAAATTTCACTGAAAATGCTCTAGAATCTAGATTTTCAAAAACTTTCTTTATTTACAATTTCTCAACAACAAAAACAACCGTAAAATTGTGAATCAATATGATTCAATAATAAATACTCACTGATCTATTTACACAATAACTTCTCACATCTCCATAAAAATCTATTCAATTTTCGCCCAACCACAAGCTCGTTTCACCGATTCCTTCCATTTTCCATTCTCCTTTTCCCGCCATTCCTCATCTTTTTCACTTTCATATCTCACCGCTTCCGAATTCTGATTCAAGAATTCATCCAAACTGATTTGTTGCGCACCAATTCCACCCGCAATCGCAGCTCCCCATCCAGAAATCTCGCAAACTTTGGGGGTCACAATATCACATCCCAAAATATCCGCCTGAATTTGATTGAACAATGTGTTCGCAATCATTCCCCCGTCAACTTTCAAAGTTTTAATCTTGAAAGTTCGATCCATATCATGTTCCACAGCATCAATCATTTCAGCAGATTGGAATGCAACAGCTCTCAAAGCAGCTAGACAAATATGCTCTCTTTGAGAAACCTGGGTGAGTCCCAGAATAGTTCCACGAGCTGTCGAATCCCAATAAGGTGTGTAGAGCCCAGTGAAGCACGGCACAAAAAACACGCCGGCCGTATCCTCAACCTTCCGGCATAGTTCCTCCATCTCTTGCGCATCCTTGACAAATTTGAAATTATCTCGGAGAAATCGCACAACATTTCCACCAATCGAACCCGAACCTTCTAGCGCGTAGACCACCGGAGAATCGGGACCAAATTGAAATCCGACAGTTGTCAACAGCCCATTTTTCGAGATAATTGGCCTGGTTCCAATGTTGCACAGCATAAAAGTTCCAGTTCCATAAGTGTTTTTGGTTTGTCCCATATTCAAACATTGATGTCCAACCATTGCCGATTGTTGATCTCCCAAACATCCAGAAAGTGGAACTCCTTTCAAATGTCCCTCTTCAAAGAATCCGTAGACTTCGGCAGATGATCGGATTTCTGGCAGAATATCGATTGGAAGTTGGAAGAAGTCGCAGAGTTGGGTGGACCATTTGCGTTTGTGCAAATCGAGAAGAAGAGTTCGGGAGGCGTTTGAAACATCGGTGACGTAGGCACCGGTTAGTTTCCAGATGAGCCAAGTATCAACAGTTCCGAACATCAAGTTTCCTTTCTGATGAGTTTCTTCAACTTCTGGGACATTTTCGAAAAGCCATTTGAGTTTTAAAGCACTGAAGTAGGGATGAATCGGAAGTCCGGTCTTAGCTTTGAATTCGTCCTTGTTTCTGGAAGAAAAATGAAAATTTAATTTCAGGTTCATATATTTCAAGAATTTTTTGAATTTAAATTTTTCGAAAATTTTAGTCAAATCTAGAAAGCCTAGTTTTCAAGTGGCCGAGCCTAGAAAACCTTATTGTCTAGAAGCTGCACCGAGTGGTGCTAGCAAGCAAGGAGCCGCGCCTTGAGAGCTTCTATGTCAAGTAGCCGCGCCTAAGGAACAGTAGTGTCTAGGAGTGTCTAGGAGCTGTCTAGGAGTAATGTCTAGGAGCGGCGTCTAGAGATCCACTCTGGCAAGTAGCCGAGCCTAGAGAACCTTGTTGTCTAGTAGGCGGGCCTTGAGAACTTCTATGGCAAGTAGCCGAGCCTAGAGAACCTTATTGTCTAGGAGCCGCGCCTAGAACACGTAGTTCTCAAGTAGCAGCGACTTAAGAACCTATGTGTCTAGTAGCGGCGTCTAGGGATCCCCTCTGGCGAGGAGTCGCGCCTAGAAAGCTCAATTTTCAAGGAGCCGCGCCTTGAGAGCTTCTATGGCAAGGAGCCGAGCCTAGAAAACTCAATTTTCAAGGAGCTGCGCCTTAAGAACCTATATGTCTAGGGCTGGCTTCTAGAGATCCCCTCTGGCAAGTAGCCGCGCCTAGAAATCCTTATTATCAAGAAACAGCGCCGGGAAACCCTAGTTTTCAAGGAGCCGTGTCTAGAAAGTTTTTAACTCAAAAATTTATGAAAATCCAAATTTTTCCTCCCAAAAACCCACTTTGTAACAGTTCTTGAAATAGCTTCCTCAGCCAACGAACTAGTTCTTGTATCAAGCCAAACAATTGCATTATGCAATGGTTTTCCAGTCGTTTTGTCCCAAACAATTGTAGTTTCCCTTTGATTCGCCACACCCACTGATTTGATTTCGTCAGCCGAGATTCCGAGATTTTCGAGTTTTTCGATGGCTTTGTTGATACAGGTGACTACAGTGTTGTAGAGTTCCATTGGATCCATTTCGACCCAACCGGCTTCGGGGAAAAGTTGACGGACTTCGATCTGCAGAAAAATATTTTATTGAACTTCCGTCAGTAAAAGTTTTATTGAATATTAAGATTTCCAAAAATTGTTTCTGCATTTTTTGAAACAGTAATTTTTTGGAAGAAAAACGGATGTGAAACGGAAAAATTAATATCCGAATTAATTTCTTCAAATTTTGAAACAGTGAATTTTTCTTTTCAAAAAAAATAATTTTCCAGAATTTTTTTCAATAGTTTTATGAAATAATCAAGAAAATCAGATTTCCAAAAATATTTCTGAATTTTTTGAAACAGTGAATTTTTCAAGATGAAAAAATTCGAAATTTCCCAAAATATTTCTCAATTTTTTGAAACAGTAATTTTTTGGAAGAAAAACAGATGCAAAACGAAAAATTTAATATCAGAATTCTTTTCTTTATATTTTGAAACAGTGAATTTTTTCTTTCAAAAAAAAAAATAATTTTCCAGAATTTTTTTCACTTGTTTCATGAATTGACCAAGAAAATCAGATTTCCCAAAATATTTCTGAATTTTTTGAAACAGTGAATTTTTTCAAGATGAAAAAATTGAAATTTCGATAAAAAATTGAATTTTACAGAGGTCCCGGAACGATCCAGGTTACTGTATATGAAATTTTTAACGCGAAAACTCGGAGAAATTCAAGTCTTTGAGTCCCTAAGCGTTCCAGGTTACTGTAGATCAACTTTTGGCGTTTTTTTCCCGATCTAACAAATTTCCCGATCTTACAATAACAAATTTGAGAACTCAAAATAGGCCACAAAATTTTGAAACAGTAAATTTTTTGAAGGAAAAACAACGGTGAAACGGAAGAATTTATATCCGAATTAATTTCTTCAAATCTTGAAACAGTGAATTTTTTCTTTCAAAAAAAATAGTTTTCCAGAATTTTTTTGATATTGTTTAATGAAATATTCAAGAAAATCAGATTTCCAAAAATTGTTTCTGCATTTTTTGAAACAGTGAAATTTTTTCAAGATGAAAAAATTTGAAATTTCGATTAAAAATTGAATTTTGCAGAGGTCCCGAAGCGATTCAGGTTACTGTAGATCAACTTTTGGCGCTAGAATTCAAATTTTCGGAAAATCCAAATTTTTGCAGCGAAAAAATCATACTTTGTTTGAGAAATTTGAATTTTTGAACTTTCTGGATAACAATTCTTGAATTCAATTTATTTCGAAAGAAAATCCGATCACAATAACAAATTTGAGAACTCAAAATAGGCCAAAAAGTTTTGAAACAGTACATTTTTCGAAAAATCAAAATTTCCCGCCAAAAATCACCCACCTGATGGCTAACCACCAATTCTCCAGTATCCGCTTCAAAAACCAAAAATCGGCTGGACGAGGTTCCTTGATCAATAGCAGCCAAAAGCACCATTTTCACTTGGCAGAAAATTTGTCTTCAAATTAAATTGAGTTTCTTTTGTTTTGTAGCTCCTGAAAAAAACATACAGTAATTTTAAATTTTCAAAAAAAACTAAACTAGGATCCCAAACTCTCAAATATATAAAAGTCACAAAAAGTGGGCGGAGCCTGAAGAATTCCACGTGAGATGATTGAGAGATGACCTGGTCGTCTCGACTCCGCCCACTTTTCTGTGTCTTCTTTGTCTAACTGATTTCTCTTATCAGGCCCCCAAATTATCGATTTTTTCTCAATTTTTGATAGAATAAAAAAGAAAAAAGAAGAATGTTGTTTTTCAAAAATTCTGTTCTGTTGTGTTGTGTTAAACAGCTGATTTGAGATGGGGTAAAGGACGAAAATTTGAAAAAGAAAAAGAAAAAGAGAGAGAAAAATAGATCTAAATCGAGTTTGTTATTATTAATGGTTGATCGGCTGATTGACAATCAGAAAACACTCAAAAAAAATAGCTGGAAGGTTCTAGAAGGTATACTGTAATTTTGATCAGGATATTTGAGTTATTTTTGAACATGATGAGAGTTTTTCAAGACTTTTGAAGACTTCCAATCGTAACAACAATCGAAAGATTTGAATTTCAAAAATATTTCTCAATTTTTTGAAACAGTGAATTTTTCTATATTCATTTTCAAGAAATTTCCAGGAAAAATTAAATTTTGAAAATTTTTGGAACATGAAGTTATACAATAAAAATAAAAAGTCATCAAAAAATTGAATTTCGAAAAAATTTCTCAATTTTTTGAAACAGTGGATTTTTTATATTTATTTTCCAGAAATTTCCAGGAAAATTAAATTTTAAAAAATTTGAAACAGTCAAATTTTCTATGAAAAATTGTAGTTTCAAGTATTTCAAGAAAACAAAATGAGAAAAATCATCGGAAAAATTTAATTTCAAAAATATTTCTCAATTTTTTGAAACAGTGAATTTTTCTATATTTATTTTCAAGATTTTTTTAAAAAATTAAATTTGAAACATTGAAGTTTTCTATGAAAAAAGCGTAGTTTCAAGTTTTTCTAGGGAATATAAAAAAATCATCGAAAAAAATTGAATTTTAAAAAATTTCTAAATTTTTTGAAACAGTGACTTTTTTTAATTTCAAAAAAATTGAAATTTCAAAATTGGGTAAGCGCTATTTTTTCAAGCTTCCGCGTAACTTTCTGGATTATCCAAAAAAAAAAAGAGTTATGATAAGTTTCCCTAAAATTCCAGGTTTGCCAAAAATTTATGAAATTTCACTAAATTCCCACAAAAACAATGTGTTTCTTTCTTCAAACCGGTATTTCCGGCAAAAACAAAAGTTCGCCGAACTTGAAAAATATTTCTTCTCTCATTAGAAACTTCAGACATCTATGTGAGTTATGACGTGGCAAAGATTTCATAGCCTAATCAAAATTCTAGGCCACTGGAATTTCAAAACATCAGCGGACTAATTCAAAATTGTTCTTTGGAATTACAGTATCAAAAGATGAATGAAAAAAACGAAAAACATATTTTTCTTTGTCAGCTGGACAACTTTGTACTTTTATCATTTTTTTTCTATTATCAAGTACAGTAGTTGGTTGTGATTTTTAAAAATCGACAATTGTTCAGAGTTCTGAGAGGAATTTTTGGAATTTTGCACTTTTCATCACAATTGTCTGGAATTTTTCGATGGGGTCAAAGTAGAACAAATTTACACCGTAAAAAGTTCCGATTTTTGAAGGTTGAAGTTATCAAAACTTGATTTATTATGGGCCCATGCAAATCAATATTTTGTAACAGAATGTAACAAAACGAATATTTTTCAATTAAAATCCCGTGTCAAAGTTCAAACATCTAAAAAATCAAATCAATTTACATAATAAACGTGATTTTTAAAAGAAAAGATGAGAAAAATGACGTCATCCGTATGACTTATGATAAATTGTTGTATTTATATGGAAAAATATTGAATGAATCAAGCGAAAAGTTTTGTTTGGGTGCATTTGCACCCTTATAATGAATGATAAACATTTTTGATGGATGGACCGGAAATGGACAGGGTTCAGAAGGCTTTAGAAGGCTTTTGAAGGCTTCAGAAGGCTTGAAAAGGCTTCAGAAGGCTTCAGAAGGCTTTAGAAGGCTTGATAAGGCTTCCCAAAGCTTCCCTGGGCTTCTGAGGGCTTTTGAGAGCTCGAGAAGGCTTTAGAAGGCTTTAGAAGGCTTTAGAAAGCTTTAGAAGGCTTTAGAGGGATTCAGAAGGCTTCATAAGGCTTCAGAAGGCTTCATAAGGCTTTAGAAGGCTTTAGAAGGCTTTAGAAGGCTTTAGAAGGCTTAAGAAGGCTTGAAAAGGCTTCAGAAGGCTTTTGAGGGCTTTTGAGGGCTTTTGAAGGCTTTTGAAGGGTTCAGAAGGCTTCAGGGGGCTTCAGAAGGCTTGAAAAGGCTTCAGAAGGCTTTAGAAGGCTTCAGAAGGCTTTAGAAGGCTTCAGAAGGCTTCAGAAGGCTTTAGAAGGCTTTAGAAGGCTCCAGAAGTCTTCTTAAGGTTTGAGCCCTTAGAAATCTAGATTTTCAACCTGATATTTCAAGATTTTTGTGATTTTTTCAAAATTCAATCTACGTACAGAATTTTATTGACACAAAAAATAATATCAAAACCAAACCACGTGACCTTTCCCTTCATATTTGCCGCCCGTCTTATATTTTTTCATTTTCATTTTCTCAAACGAATGTTTATCTTTTTATCTATCATCCCCGTTCACAGTGTAACAAGAAAAAAGGAAAAAAACCAATCCGCGTCATAAATCGACACGTGTTTGGTGCATTATGAACTGAACTGACAAGAGAAAAAATAAAGATATCCGGTTACTTTAAAAAAAAACGAAAAACATAGGGTTCAAAGAAGATGGCTAATAAAAATGGTAAATAAAAACTTTTTGGGTGCATCGAACGAATTTTTTGGTCTTATCAATGTGACCTTTGTTTGTTTTTGGGTGCACAATGAACCCATTTTTTAATATGTAATTTTTGGGAAGATGGTACTTTGTATCATAGAAATTTGGGCAAAAAAATACTCACCAGATTTTCGGCCTCCAAAACTTTTACAAAACATCTTGAAGACGATTTCGAGGCTCATTCCAGTAACATAAATCCTGAAAATCAATGCAAATCTTCAATTTTTCATAAAATCACTCACCACGTAATTTTTCAGCTTCTTTCTGACCTCCTAGCTTTGCCACGGCCCAATAATCAATGCAAAATTTAAATCGTCGTTGAAAAACTGCATTTTCGCTGATAATTTCAGGGAAATCCCGATTTTCAGCGAATTTTTCAAAAAAAATCGGCGGGATGGCCGAGAAAACCAACAAAATCCTCGTCCCCATTCTCTCGTCCGCGTGATTTTTTTCTTTTTTTTTTCAAAGTTCGGGCGCTTTTTGTTTTTCGAGGCCTTTCGGCGTTTCCTGTGTAAAAATAATTGAAAAAAGTATTCACAGAAATCTGCTCTCAAAAACGTGCAAAATATTTTCAACGTGTTCCAATTTGGTACCAGAAAAAAACTGCATTTAAAATGTTTTTCATTTCGAAATTAGAATTGAAAAAAATTCAAATTAAATATTTTCTTGAGAATACCATGGAACAAACTTTTCCCCTGAGCTTTTTATATCTGAATATAACTCGAATTCTTCCAAGGAAATGATTGATCTGAAAAAAATATGACAGTTTTCTGGAAAACTGTTTTTTTTAATATTTTAAGATAAAAAATTTGCAACAAAAGGCAGAGTTACCCTAACTTCTCTCTAAAAAGTAAGGGTAACTTTTCCGCTGCGTGGAACCTTGTTCTCTTCGAAAAACTTTTTAGGCTGAAATTTTGTGCTGGAAGTGCTGAAAATCTTTTTTTGAACTTCAAAACTTTATTTATCAAAATATTATTGGCAAGTCATTCTGCAAGTTGCGTAAGCGTTGTTTACAGCAAATGTAAGATCGACACTAACTCTTTGTCTTTGAGCTTGCTCACGTCTTGGACTTGGTCCAGGCTCTTGTCTAGGTACTTGTTGCTGTTGAGGTGCTGGTGCTTGTCTAGTCGTAGGTTTGGGGGTGGTGGTGGTTGGTTCATCGTACTTGTCACCGGTCCCGTACAATTCTGGATGATGACCGAACTTTAGACCACCACCAGGTTCAGGTTCAGCCGCAACTTGAGAAATTAAGAAAAATGTGAAGAATACGATTGGAAATTGCATTTTTTTTTTGTGAATTCTGAGCTCTGTGGGTCGTTTAAAAAGGATGAAAATTGTCTGCAAATCATCAAAAAATTTTCTAAAAATAGATATTTCTCACTTGAAAAATTCCTAACTTTTATGAGTTTCAGACGATTCTCCTCGAAAACTACGAATAGATTATTTTTGAAAAAAAAATTTGAACTACCTGCAAAAATATTTTCAACGTGTTCCAATTCCACGTCATTTGGGGCAAGAAAAAACGCGAGCTCAAGCAGATCCAAAATGAAATCAGTTCCGATTTTCTCTTTTTTAGTAAGTTCCCTTTTTCCAGCTAGAATTGCATCCTAAAAATAATTATTTTTCAGTTGAATATTCATCGTAAAACGATCAAATAAAATGTCTCGTATGCTGAAAAAGAACAAACGTACAACTCGAGCGCGCAGTAAAACTTCAAAAAACGAAAATTCGATGGATGAAGATGATGCTCCAGCTGCACCAGGAAAAGATCCAATGATGGCATATGGTGAAAAAGCCATTCGACTTACAGCAAATTGGATAATCAAGACAAATGCAGCGCCTGGCGGATTAGCAGATTGGTATGCAAAACAGATTCTCGATTCGAAAGAATCTTCAAAATCCGAATCAATATCAGCGAATTTTGCGGCCAAAAATCGAATGGCTGATTTGCCGTGCATTGAGACAACAAGAATCAAATTGAAGCATTTGGCAGACGGCCAAAAAGATTATATTCATGCGAATTTGGTGAAGACAATCTATGCCGAAAGGACTTATATTGCAACACAACATCCTTTGGAATCTACTTTTGAAGATTTTTGGAGAATGGTTTTTTATGAGAATGTGGATACGATTATTGCCGTTTTTGCGCAGGTTGGAAGAGTTCATCAGAAAAATAAGATGAAAATTTGAATTTTTCATCGAAACGGGGCGCATTTGCTGTTTTTTGTTCCTCTTATTTCACATTGTTTTTTTACAGGAAGACGATCTCCCGCTTTATTTCCCCAATGAAGCTGGCAAATTCGGCAACTACGGTAAATTCTTTGTGAATAACCGTAAAGTTACTCAACCAACTGTTAAATATACACCAGTTATTCATCAAATCGAGATTTTGCCGGAAGGTTGTTCGAATAGTCGAATCATCACACTACTTCATTATGCATATTGGCCAAAAAATCAATTTCCCGTCAGTCCACGAATTGTTATGAAAACATTGAGATGTGTTAAATCGGACAAAACAACAAATGGACCACTTTTGATTCATTGTTCAAATGGTTTGAATCGTGTTGGATGTTTTATTTTATCCGATCTCATGTTTGACTTGGCATTTCGTAATATTGATACGGATATTCCGAAAATGGTCAAATCTCTTCGTGCACAACGCTTCAATCTTCTTTCAAACAAGCTACACTTTGTCTACAGTTGCTTCGTTTTCTTGGATTATGTTCGAATTCGTTGCAAAAAATATAACGTTTTCCCGGATTTGCTGAAAGAAATTAACGAATTCGAAGTTACGATAAATAAGGAAATTGGATTGCTTTGTGTAAAAGAACCACCGCCTCAGAAGAATAATACGAAGAAAGATTGTACTATTGATGAATAATGAATTTATTACTTATGGGTTTTTTGAGTTATTGTTGAGAAAACCATGGAGCACATTTTTGTAAATAAATTTTGCACGGAAAAAGCTTCAAAGCTTCGAAAACCTGACTCCAACTTTGAAAAAACAAAAAAAAATGCGGACTAGGAGAGAGGGACGAGGATTTCGCTGGTTTCTCGGCCATCCTGTCCATTTTTTTTTGAAAATTTTGCTGAAAATCGAGTTTTCCCTGAAATTTTAAGTTTTTCCATGATCAAAGAACCAGAGCCTCAAAAGAATAATGCGAATAAAGATTACAAAATATTTATCTGCATAGGCTTTAAAACAAATATCTTACCGGTTTACAAAAAAAAGTTGAAATACAACAGAGAATTACAAAAATTTTCTAACACATTTCGGATCCTCGACATTAATAAAAAACAATCTAAAAACTCCTTTTGAAGTTTTCATCGGCTTCACAAAAATAAAACGACTCTCTTTTCGAATTTGAGTCAAAAAATCATAAACTCGCTGATATCCGCCTTTCCATAAAACTGGGTGAAGCTGCAAAATATTATTGAAATACAGAAAAACATTTTTGAAACTCCTCCTACTTCAATATTAAATTGACAAATCGAAATACCAGCCAAATCGAATTGATTTCCACGATGAAGAAAATCCAAGAAAAACGTCTCGCCTCCTTCAATATCCAACCAAAGAAAATCGATTTTCGATAACTTCAAAATGTTCTTCAAAAAATATGTGACATCTACAGCTGTCACATCTTGGTTGAAATATTGTCCTGCAAAAAAATAATCCGGAAAATTCAAATAAAAAGTTGTGAACTCACGAGATCTTTGATTTTGATTCGGTAAAATCCGAAAAGTTGTGACTCCCGCTTCACGGCCAACAGCAAATGGGAAAAATTTGCCAAAACTAGAGTATAGTTGAAGATTCGGCTCGATTATTGGATCGGCTCCGTAGAATTTAGTGTTTGGGAGGGTCTGAAATTCAAATTTTGTGTCAAATTTCCTGCCACGTGTCGAAAAAACGCACTCTATTCAATAGAATCTCCGCATCCACGTCATGCCCGATTCCCAACGTAACCATCACATTTTCCTCCATCTGAAAATCAAAAATAGTTTTTTTCAGATTTTATCCACGACTTACACAATTCGGTAAAATGGCCCATTTAATTTCGTGTTGATTTTCAAACGGTTTAATCGGCAACTTCTGAATTTCCTTCAAATCATCGCATTTTTGGGTGGCATCACAGAAATTCCAGGAAAATGCAGAAACATTCAATTTTCCCAACTCATTTTCGAAAATCGGATCAATACAATTGTGAAAAGCTTGAAGAATGGATTTCGGCTCAAAATTCGATTTCGTTGTATTTTCACATTTTGGCAATTTTTCGAGTTCCCCAAAAATTGGCAATGGTTCAATATTTTTCTGATTTTTGAAAGTGAATCCGATTCCATCACTGGATTCCAGCACTCCTTGATATTCCATCGTCTTTTTTTTCGGTTTCTCAGCACTGGATTTCTGCACTGCTCTTTCATGCGATTCGTGAGAAATCAACATTTTCGGTGTGCATTTTTGGGCTTGGAAATTCCAATACAATGCGACGAAAATGATGAAATTCAAAAATACAAGGAGAATTATTTGACGGCGAGAATCTTTCCTGCAAAAATTCAAATTTTTTTAAGTTTATCTTCTCTGAAACTCACATCACTCGAAATCCAACAGTTTTCCGCAACACAAAAATTTGTAATGATTCATTTTTGTTGGATTTTTCACGTTGCCGTGCCAACAATTAATAAATTATTAATTCTTTTTTTTTCTGTTTTTTTTTGAATTTGTTTGAAAAAAAAAATTAAAAACTGCAATTTCGCTGATAATTTCAGCGAAATCGCGATTTTCAGAATTTTTCAAAAAAAAAATTCGGCGGGATGACCGAGAAAACCAACAAAATTCTCGTCCCTCTTTCCTCGTCCGCAAACGTTTTTTTTCAAAGTTTGAGAGTCTCAATGAGACGGTTTTTCAAAGCTTTGAAGTTTTTTCGAGCGAAAATTGAAAAATCTGGTGCGAACAGTTCGATAGAGCGCACTTTCTTTCTTGGTTTCTCTGCGCTATATTTAAATGCATAAATCCTAGACCCGCAAATGTGAATATTGTAGATCACGCGGGATTTTTCAACAATTTTTCGTTTTTTATCGATTGCATTTTTTATTTTGTCGAAAAAAGTGTTCACGTTATTATCTTATGAATAAATTTTCGAAAAAAATCACGCTAGATCTATTTTTTTCAGGTTGGACGCTCATTTCTCGGAATATTTTATTTTATTTTGTATTCGGCCTGTCTTCAATGGGAGCTCTCAATTAAACGTAAGAGTGACTTTTTATTTTTCTTTCTATGACCCAGAAAAATTCCAGATTGCTTGAGAATTCGGAATCTGGTTTCCCAATCCAATTTCAATGATGAAAACAAAAGGATTTGGATCTTATACAACTGCAACTCATGTCAGGTCAGTTTAATGGGTTTTGGGTTGGGTTTTGGGTGAAAGAACACAATTTGTGTTAAGTTATATAAGGTAAGTTTGGGGTATAGTTTTCTGAATAATGTATAATTTGAGAAGAGATATGCACTCTCAGTTGTTCACAACTCAGAACTTGTGGAAAAAGATGAAAATTCCTTAAAATTTTATTTTTTTTTCTATTTTTTTTTAAATATTCCACATTCCGATTTGTTTTCAACTAGCCTCAATTGGAATGGATCATTAATTTTTCTCTTGACTTTCCGGACCTTTCAAAATGTTTGCTAGGCTGAAATTTTGTGCTGGAAATGCTGGAAATCTCAGTTTTGAAAGACAAGCAGTTTCAGCACTAAATTTTGAAGTGTGTTTTTGGAATGGATCAGACGCTGACGCAATTTGTGTAGTCTACAAAATTAGCGTCAGCTTCATTTTTTTCAAACCTCAATGCTGACGCATTATTTGTAAGCCTCCAAATTCGCGATAAAAATTTTATTTCAAAATAAAATTCAAAATATTATTGACAAGTCATTCTGCAAGTTGCGTAAGCGTTGTTAACAGCAAATGAAAGATCGACACTAATTGGTCTTTGTCTTTGGGCTTGTTCACGTCTTGGACTTGGTCCAGGCTCTTGTCTAGGTACTTGTTGTTGTTGAGGTGCTGGTTGTTGTTGAGGTGCTGGCGTTTGTCTAGTCGTAGGTCTAGGCGTAGGTTCAACGAACTTTCTTCCAGCACCAGGTTCAGGTTCAGCCGCAACTTGAGAAATTAAGAAAAATGTGAAGAATACGATTGGAAATTGCATTTTTGTTAAATTCTGAGCTCTGGTGGGTCGTTTTAAAAGGATGTCTGAAAATCATAAAAATGTCTGAAACACATCAAAAAATATATCTTCAAGATTGAAAAATTCCGAACTTTTATGATTTTCCAATCAAAGCAACTCTCTATATCGCCTCATAAGCGGCAAATATATCCGCGATATTCTCATATTGTGTTCGGGAGAATGAAATCCAAAGTCGAGCGTTGAAATTTCAATCAATCTTTGACTTGTAAACTTTACCAAAAATTGTTGAATGTTATGACGTCCAAAGATTTCAAATTTTTCGTTGTTTGGCAAATATTCCCTGAATCAAAAAATGAAATTTCATGACTTTTTAAAAATAATGAGAAAAACTTACTCTCTCAATGTACGGTCCTTTTCAAAAATTTCTTTTATTTTCTGTTTTATCGAATATTTGAAAGGATTCTTTTGATGCATCATGTTTATTTTTAATCTTCTAATTTCGGCTGTCTCCAAATTTTTCAGAAATAAAATGTATTCTAGAACATCTTGCTCTGTCAATTCCATTTGATCGATATAAAGATAAGGAATTTGAATTATTTGTTCAAATGTTAGTTTTGAACTCGATAAGGACTTATTCATTTATCTATAAATTAAAGAAGTTTTCAATAAAAAATAGAATGATAAACATAAAAATCAAGACTTTCTAGAAAAATATTCAAACAATGGTTAATTGTGAAATTTATCATGATCGTATTTTTCTGATTCCTCCCAATTAGTTGAAATTCCTCACTGTTCTGCGATGGGATTCTGAATTTTGATAATCTTAAAATCATCGTTGACTTATTATAACTTACTCTTTCATTGGATGTTCATTTTCGAAAATCTCTTTTATTTTTTGTTTTATCGATACTTTCAAAGGGTTTTTCTGATCTTTCAAATTTATTGTTAAACATCTCATCTCTTCAGATCTCAAGTTCTTCAGAAATTCAAAATATTGAAGAATTTCTTGCTCAGTCAATTCCATTTGATTGATATACAATTTTGGAATTTGGATAATCTGCTTGATTGTTAGTTTTGTATTTGAAAGAATCACTGAAGTCGTTGCTGATCGAATCTGAATTCAACTGAATTTGAACATCAAGAAAAATCTCGAATTTCAAAACTCACTTGCTCGAATCTGACGAATCCAGAATCTAGAAAATCCACCGAATTACCAGTCTTCAAATGGATTTTGTGTAGATTCTCGAAATTTCGAATATTGATTGATTCAGTTGGAAAGTTTTTCACATCCATCTCAATTTCTTCTAGAGTTTTTCGACATCTATAAAATACAGTGTTGAAAAAATCGATAACGACAGTTCTGAATTCTATATTTTCTTTTCGTTCCCAGCAGAATTTATCAGAACCTTTGAGTCTGAAATTGTTTATTTATTTTTTGTTTTTTGAAGGGAAAACATTGACTCACAGAAAATATGTTAAAGTATTTGTTTCATCGATTTTCGAGATTCCTATAGAAAAATAAGATTTACTTCTGTAATAAATTACAATCTTGTAACCATTTTCTGTCGAATTTATTCGAATTCTTTTGATGAAATCCATCGAACTACAAAAATCTTGAAAACATTCAAACGACACTCCGCCAAACATACAACGAGTTTTTGAATCCATTTGATTAATTATCATTTTTCGTAAATCAAATGGTAATTTACACCACAATTTGAACATTTTTCGGGAAAAGAAAGAAAATAAGTGATTTTATTTTTTTTATCAATAGAACATGAGAGAGAAGAGAAATAGAGAAACAAAGAAAACATTTTTGAAGAAAGTACATTTTTCAGCTATAAAACACAATTTGTTCAAGCAGGATTACAGTATAATCCTAACAAAATGTGACAAAAATACAGATGGATCTTGTAGGGAAATTTCCAATAGACCATTGACTTTGAACTTGACCTGAATTGTTTGTCGCTCATTTTTCCCAAGAACTTCGAATTCGTCTTGATCAATTGATTCTACTCTGCAATAAATTTCGAATAATTTTAAAATACTTATCATTATCTCACTCTATCATTGGACGTTCATTCTCAAAAATCTCTTTAATTTTCTGTTTTATCGTAAAGTTGAAAGGATTCTTCTGATATCTCATATTGATTGTTAAATATCTTCTTTCCGGTGTTTTCAAATTTTTAAGAAATATCAAATATTCTAGAACATCTTGCTCTGTCAATTCCATTTGATTGATATAAAGTTGTGGAATTCGAAGTATTTGATCGATTTTTAGTTTTGTATTTGATAGAATCACTGGATTCTTGGAAGCGGAGAGAATCTAAATTCAACTGAAATTTCAAAAAAAAAAACTTCTGAACTCACTTGTTCAAATCTGACAAATCCAGAATCCAGAAGATCTGCCGAGTTATTTATCATCAAACGAATTTTCTGGAGATTTTCGAAATTTCGAATATTTATTTTTGTAGTTGGAAAGTCAGTTACATAAATCTCAAGATTTTTCAATGTTTTTCGACATCTAGAAAATACAGTGTTGAAAAAATCGATAACGACAGTTCTGAATTCTATATTTTCTTTTTGTTCCCAGCAGAATTTATCAGAACCTTTGAGTCTGAAATTGTTTTTGTTGTTTTTTGAAGGGAAAACATTGACTCACAGAAAATATGTCAATGTATTCGTTTCATCGATTTTCGAGATTCCTATAGAAAAATAAGATTTACTTCTATAATAAATTACGATCTTGTAACCATTTGTTGTTGAATTTATTCGAATTCTCTGAATACAATCCATCGAACTACAAAAATCTTGAAAACATTCAAACGACACTCCGCCAAACATACAACGAGTTTTCGAATCCATTCGATCAATTATCATTTTTCGTAAATCAAATGGTAATTCAAGCATTTTTGGGAATTGTGACGGAAAAATGAAGATCAATAGGAATAGTTTGACAAAAAATGTTACAATTCAAGAAAATGATCAATCAAAAAATTTCAGAAAAAAATGACAATTTTTGATTTCTTCTTTTCTCGCGATTTTCGGGGGTTTTCAGGTTGAAATTAAGAAAATAAAATGAAAAAAAGTGCTTTTTTTCAGCGTGTAGCCCAAAATTTATCAATTTTAGGCTCAAAATTGATCCAAATTCCGCCCATTGCGAAAAATTTATGTCAACAAATTTACAAAAAAAAAACCAAATTCTCAAATTATATTATTTTCATAGTTGAAAATACCCCAAATCCTTTTCAATCCGCAATTCCGCTTGTCTTTTGTGTATTTCTCTCGGACAATATGATTCCTTCTCGAAACAGAATATTTATTTTTTTTTAAATATAATTTTGTAACCATTAAAAAAATTCTCAAAAATTTTCAAAATCAAATGAAATATGAGAACCTTCGTATAAGTTGATAGTTAGTTGCTCTTTTTCATTCATAAATACAATTTCATCATTTCTAAGTCTATTTCCATTAATCAAAGATTTTCTATGATTTATCTTATGATTGCTACCATCCAAATTCTTCAATCGATTGAAATTTATAGACTGTGTAGAAATCCACAGCCAAATATAATCCTTATTCAAAATCTCGCCAAAATCTCACCATCGGTTTTCATTTTGTTTTGGGAAAATTTGACAAAATTTTGAAACGTATTTTTTCGGGGGGAAATTAGAAATTCATTTTCTTGGCTTTTTTTCTTCTGTAGGAAACTATATTAGTTTTTTTTTTCAAAAAAAAAATGAAAGTAAAACAACGATACTCCGCAATCCCGCTTGCCAATTTCGTGTATTTCTCTCGGACAATATTGTTTTTTTTTTGTTTTTCGCGCGGTTTTTCGGGTTTTAGCATGAAATTAGGAGAATGAAAAGAAAAAGTGATCAATTAGAGAAAAACTTTATTATAACAGATTTTCATTGTTGAAAATATTCCGAAAAAATGAAAAATTTTCGCAAGAAAATAAAGTTTAACAACGATACTACGCAATTCCGCTTGTTTTTTTCGTGTATTTCTCTCGGACAATAAGATTTCTTCTCGTAATAAAATATAATCTTGGAACCATTGTTTATCGAATTCTTTGAATACAATCTATAGAACTAAAACTTTCAAACGACACTCCGCCAAACATACAACGAGTTTTCGAATTCATTCGATCAATTATCATTTTTTGCAAGTCAAATTGTAATTCAAACATTAAAAAAAATGTTCTATTAGAGAAGACAATTAGAGAAGAAATCTTCAAAAAATGCAAAAATCCCTTTATTATATATTCTCCCAAAAATATTATGGTCGAAAATACATATGTCTCAATTTATATCCGCCTTCAACTTTAACTGTCGCATCATATATAGGTGATCCATGAAGTTCAAGAAAGACTGTTCCATTTTCGCTGAATAACACTTCGACTCTATTTTCGTAGATGATTTCACATCTGACGTTTTTCCAAACTGGTGACCAATCAGCATCTTCGTCTCTGATACGGAGGTAGTCCATATAGTGTTGACGAACTTTTTCAGGTGCTTGTGAGTAGACCCAATTCTTCAAGTCAACTGAAATCAATTATTGGACTTCTGAATACGTGCAAAGTTCAAAGAAAGGATTCGCAGATATATATATATCAAACTGACCTCCATCGAAAGACTTTCCAGAGGCTGTAACTCCATGGAAATTCCAATCCACAAAATCGGGATTTTTCAACGCCAAGAACTTCAAGTTTCCGATGAGAAAACCTTTGCCAGCTTTTTGACCTTCGGTTTCACTTGAAATCAATGCGATTTGAACGGCCAACAACACCAAAAAGATCAGGAATATTTGAAACTTCATGTTTCCAATGATAAATTCCAAGATTATTGTTGCATTTTTATACAATTTGAAAACCAATAAAAGCAATTTTTGAAATGTCAAAATATGTGGGGGCGAATTTCGAATTTCCTCCTACGCACAAAACAAAACTGTGCGCCGAAAGTTAGATTTCTCCAAGTTACAATAACTCACAACTCAATAACTAAACTAAAAAAACCCTTGATTCTCGAGTTACTTAAGTAAATCGCTTTTTTATTTTGTTTTGTAAAATTTGACAAAATTTTGAAACGTATTTTTTCGGGGGAAATTAGAAATTCATTTTCTTGGATTTTTTCTTCTGTAGGAAACTATATTAGTTTAAAAAAAATAAAAATAAAACAACGATACTCCGCAATTCCGCTTGCCAATTTTGTGTATTTCTCTCGGACAATATTGTTTTTTTTTTGTTTTTTGTGCGGTTTTTCGGGTTTTAGCATGAAATTAGGAGAATAAAATGATAAAAAACTTTATTTTTACAGATTTTCAGATTTATGGTTTTTCGATGTGTGGATATTTTGCATAGAATTCGATGATTTCTCTATCGAAAAAGAATTCTTCTCCATCAGCAGATCGCATGTTCACAGGTTCTGAAAACACAATTTCAAACGTTTTTTTTCGATAAAAAATTAAGCTAACTTGTTTTAAATGTGACTCCTTTAGTTGGAACAACTCCAATTGTAATCGGAATATCACAAGTAACACGTTCAAAAATATCATCATGTTCCAATTCGACAACTATATTCACAACATGATTTACGAAAACAATCGGAATTGTTCCAAATGGAACACTTGGGATAATTGCATTCACATCGTGATCAATCACAAATTCGATTTCATCTTTTTTCCCGGCGCCTCCGAAGGTTTTTTGAGATCCTTGATATAATCCTGATGCTGTGTCTTGTCGATTTGTGAAAATTCGAGTGTTTTTGGAGATTTCGAGAGGTTTGTCAGTGAGTTTCATTTTGTTATTTTTGCCGGTTTTTGTGATGGCGGATTTGAGGGCGAAAATACTTCCACCGATCTGGAAAAAAAATTCCGAAATATTTTACTGTTTCAAAATTTTCGAAATATCAGAAAATATTTTTGAAATATTTTCGAAATATCAGAAAATATTTTTGAAATATTTTCGAAATATTTGAATTTTTGAAATATATAAAATATTTTTTGAAAATTCACTGTTTCAAAATTTGCTTTAAATTTTTCGATTTTTCTGAAACTTTGATTTGTAGCAGTAAAGTTCGGAATTTGAAGAAAATAAAAAAATTACCAAAAAAAACTCACCAGCATAATTTTCGATTTCTGTTTCGCCTCAATCGTCAACTTCACCTTGAAATCTTCTCCACTAACAAATCCATTTTTCGCAATTTCCGCCTGAATACTAATAGTTTTCCCCGAATTCTTGCAACTTCCCGGTGTCTCATATTTCCTATCCTTACTCAAATCCAATCCTCCAGTTACCATAATTCGTTTTTCCGGCGCAAGTTCAATTCCCTTATTGGTCATAATTGTAACATTGAAATAATATCGCACCCAATTTCCGAAATTTTCTATCGACATTGGTGAATTTTTTGGTAGTTTGAAGGAGAATTTTGAGGATTTCGAGGATTTTCCCGCAAATTCCTTGGTCTCATGAAACAGTGGAATAATTGTTGAAGCCAATAATTCACAATCAGTAGTTTCGCAAGTTTTATTTGTGCTCCGAATTTCTCCAATAAAATCAATCTTGATTTTCTTGATCTCTAGATCTCCTTCATAATGATTCTCAAGAGTTCCAGATACAACATCTCCAGGTTTATAAATTTCTTCTTTGTTATCCAAAATGTATTTGATTTGATCCGAATCGAAATCACAATGAATAATATTTGGAATAAAAACAAGGAAAAGTAGGAAAATCAACATTTTTTTGGTTATGAAATGAATCAAGAAAAATACGAAAAAGAACAAGGAAGTCTGATATTTTTTCCAATCAAGGTCATTTAGACGAACACATTTTGAAAAGAGTCAAAGATTATGTAAAGTTGTTTTTTCTTTTAAAAAAATCAGGTCAGATCTACTTATAAATATATAATTATGATTTCAAATAACATAGGAAAAAAATTTAGAAAAAAAAACAATTTTCAATTTTCCCGAAAAAAATACGTTCCGAAATTTCCTCAAATTTTCTAAAAAAAAAAACCGATATTCATTCGTTTTAGTTCGGCAACTCATTATTCAAAAACTTTTTATTTTCCCGAAATCCTGAAAACCGCGCAAAAAAACAAAGAAAATAATATTGTCCGAGAGAAGTACACGAAAATGCAAGCGGGATTGCGGAGTATCGTTAATTTATTTTTATTTTCGTGCAAAAATTGTTTTTTTTTCTTTTTTTTTTCTGGAAAAAGTGACATTTTTAACGTGCGTGAAATTTTGTGCATTTCTTAAATCTGGCAACTTACAAAAATGGGGGCTCGTCTAACGCGATCGGAACATGAAATCGAATACAATCCTTTTGCCTGGTCTGATTTACCATTTGATATGCGAAGATCAATTATCGATTCATTCGATCTTCAAACAAAAGCCAGATATTCACAGTGTTCAACAGAATGTTATGAAGAAATTAGCGAAAGTCGAAATTTTATTGAAAAAATGCATTTGGTTGATGGGAGAGAAGGAAATCATCGAATGATTTATATTTTTGCGATTGCAAAAGGAAATGGAAATTATTGGATGTTCAAAATATCAGAATCATCTGGAAATTGTGAAGTTCGTTGGGAAATGAATGGTGAAATAATTTCGCGGAAAATCTTTGAGAATTCAAATCTGATTGATGTTGTTTTGATGTATTTCAATGATATTTTGATGAAAAATATTAAAAGTTTACAAATTCTTTCGATTTTTATGGTAAGTTTTTCTCGCGTCCGATTCAAAATTTCATAAATTGAATTTCAGGACGATTTTCCGTACAATCGAACAAATATCAAAAATTTAAGATGTAAAGATATGTCTAGTTTGATACTTCGTGAAAATAAATATGGAATTGACCCGATTTTGAGTGGATTTGTCGATTTGAATCAAATTTGTCACTTTCATAATGCTTTCGATATTCCGAATTGTCCAATTGACGATTTATTCAAAATGGATACAATAATCCGAAATCTAACGGATCCCAAATTTTCGCTCGATGATTTTGACAATTTTTTGCGACGTTTTTTGATTGACGAGGAAATGGGTGGAAATACGAAATCGATTGAGTTCAATATTGAGAAATATCAAGATCATTTTGCTGATTTTCATAGAATTATCAAGAAATATACAGATTCTGGTGAATTATTGAGATATGAGGGAGAATTTAGACCTTGGTATTATTGTCGAAAATCAAAAAAAGTAAACATCGAATGCATGCTTTATTGTGGGATAATCGCAGTTTCATTTTTCATACCGGTGCTGAATGTTTCAAATAAAAATTCGAAACCAAAACATCCAAGGAAACCGCGCAAAAAACAAAAAATGAAAAAAAAATCAATATTGTCCGAGAGAAATACACGAAAATGCAAGCGGGATTGCGGAGTATCGTATCGACGTGGAAACCACGTCGAAACATTGCAAAGTTGGTGGTGAATTTTCGCCTGGAAATTGGGAATTTTTGAAAAATTCGGAATTTTCATGAAATTTGGAGCATTTTGAGTCCAAACTTGGTGAAAATCTATAAATTCCAGATTTTTCTGAATTGGGGTTCAAAATTTTTGAAAATTAGGTTTGCATCCCATCATCTTCTTTCATAAGAACCCCCTCTTTCATCATAAAATCGTCCCTGACTATCGAATCCATGCATCATTTCATGCGCCAAAACTGTACCGGCTGCAGTCTTTCAAATATTTATATTCGTCCTGCAAAATATTGCATTTTTTTGTGGAGTTCCTCAGTTTTTATTTTTTCTTCGCAAGAAAAGCTTGCGCCAACACCTTCCCCCTTTTCAATAATTTCACTCGCCGACATTCAAACGGGACTGCGGATAGTGGCGCGGTGTGAAGAGACGCAGAGAAAGATAGAGAGTATTTTTTCTTTTTATTTTTTATTCATGGGAGAGGCAAGGGTTTTTGACCCATGATAACTTGGCTCGAAATAGAGCAATTTCAAAATTTCGAGAATCATTTCATAGCTCAAACCCTAAAATCTTTAATTAATTAGTTTGTTTTGTTTTTCTGTGAAAAAACGAAAATAAAACGAGAAAATAGAGTGGGCGAAGCCAGTGAAGTGAAAAAGATAGTGTGTGGTGGATCCAGCGAAACGTCGGCCGCATGAAATAAGGATATATTATATATATGATTTTTTTTTCTTCACAAAAAATCCATAAGAAATTCATTTTGTCAAAAACAAGTTTTGTCAGAAGTTTCTAACAGTTTTCATTAGCAATTTTCTTCGGGAACAGCAGTCATTTGGTGCATTCGATTTTTATGTTTCAAAACTCGTTTTTTTAATGTTTTTTCTTTAATTTCTCGAATTTCTGAATTTTAGCGCCTAGTTCTCATTCGATAAATCTTCACAAAAATGGAAGAAGAATTTAATGAAACAGTGTTTTTTGGCGACGAAAATCCAGTTTCACCTCCCTCCTCCCCTTTTTCTCTGTCTCTCCTCGCAATGTGCACTCTACATATAATTGTCAAGTTAGAAATTGCGCCCCAACGCACAAAGCCGCTTTTTTGTTTTTGGATGAATATCCATAATAATTCTAGGAGTCCTGCGCAGAAAGTTATGAAAAATTTATACATTTCTATCAACGAAAACCCTAACAATTGATTTTTACAGAAAATGGTAAGACATCAGCAAAAACAAAAAGGCTACAAAAAAAAGTTGGCGAAGAAAACACCAAGAAAAGGGTTGACGAAAAACAAGGCGAAAACGGTTAGTTTCACATTTATCTTAACTCTGCATATGAGTTATGACGTGGCAAAGTTCGAGAAACTTCAAAACAAACCCTGATGCGACTCCTTAATTTTTTCACGTTATAACTTGTCTTTAACAAATCTATCTTGTGAAATATCTCACGATAAAATCCAATCTGAAATTCAGGCAGGCACCAAAAACAAAAAAAAAGCTGTGACTTCCGAAGAAGTGACAAAACTCGAGAAATCTTCAATTGAAGAAGGTTCTTCTAATCCACAATCGGGAGAAAATTGGCTCAAAAATGGAGCTCGAGGAACAGAAGAGGATGTTGTTGCTCAACAATTGGAGCGTTTCAAAAACATTTCGATCGAGGATGAAGATGATTCTGAAGATGAAGATTATGATGAGATTGAATTAAGGAATAAAGAGTCTGCGTCTGATGTAGAGGTAAACATATTTTGATATTCAGGAAATTTGGAGCATTTTGAGCCCAAACTTGGTTATGTTCAGAAATCTAGAAAATTCAGATTTTTTGAGCCTAACAAACTTGAATATGATTGGGCTCAAATTGCTCCAAGTTTTCTGGATATTCTGAAATTTGCCAAATTTCCAGGCGCAGGATACCATCAGGGAATTTGTTGATTATGAACAGTACATCGAAAATAAGATTATGACGGAAGAAGAAGTGAGAGACCGTGTCAAGGAATTAATGGAGAGGTATCGAAGAGATAAGGAATATGATAGCGAATAATTTGAGAATTTGTTGTTTTTTTTTTGTAAATGTTTTGATACATTTTTTCATTTGCTCATGAAATTGGGATTTGGCGTGGAATTTGGATCAATTTTGAGCCTAAAATTGATAAATTTTGGGCTGTGTCATTGTCATACAGGCAATTACACCTTATTGTTATCAAAGTAAAAAAATCTCGGCAAAAAAAGAAAGGGCAGAAATTCAAACATACATGTTTTTCTATCCGGAAGGCCCTTCGGGTTAAAGACCCCTTTTTGTCAAAAATGAAAAAGTTAAAGACCCTCCACCGGAAAAATGAAGAACAAAAATACTGCCAAAAATCAAAGTAAAAGCTCTAGCCCAGAACCGAACCTTTGTAGCTGGATTAGAAAGCGCGAGGCTAACCGACTGCTCTATGCTTTCATTGTTTTCTCCTCCTTTCATTTCCCTTATTATGCAACACACGCACTCATCTTTTTTCTTTTTTTTTCGTTTTTTTTCACAGACAATTCAAATCAAAAGCAAAACTTAACAGCTTAACGGCAACCAAATGAGCTAAAAATTTTCACAGCTCTACTTCAAGATATTTCGCAGGGTTCGAAGAAAAAGTATAGGATGACACTATACTTTTCCGGATAGGTCTTTATTTCCCTTAAAACGGTCTTTATTTGAAAGGTTTAGGTCTTCGAACCCTGCGAAATATCTTGAAGTAGAGCTGTGAAAATTTTTAGCTCATTTGGTTGCCTTTAAGTTGTTAAGTTTTGCTTTTGATTTGAATTGTCTGTGAAAAAAACGAAAAAAAAAAGAAAAAATGATGTGGGCGGAGCCAGGTGCAATGAGAGATATGGCGTATGGCGCTACCAGCGAACTGTCGGCGATGAGAGATATTGAAATATTTCGCGTGATGCAGAATGAAACAAGGCGAAATTTTTGTGGAAACCCTGCTCCTCTTTGAAAGAAGAAGCTGATGCAGAGGTAATTTTGATGACTTGAGAAATTAATAATAATTTTTTCATAAAAGTTAAGGACCTATTTTTCATGAAAAATCAAAAAGTTAACGACCCTATTTTATACTTTTCCGGACCAAAAACATGTATGTTTGTAATTTGTCAATATTATCATCATCCTGTTGAAATTGATCGAGCTTGGAAAACTGCACGAGAAATGCTCAATTTATACAAGGAGGCAATACAATCTAAAGATATGGATTTGTTTGAATCGATAATACATCCAAATTATGAGTTTATAAATTGTGGAGATGCACCGATTAATAGAACTACTCATTTTATAAATTTGATGGATACAATAGGGGTTGAAACACCAATTAGTCTATCGACGACTAATATCGTTGTTCAAAATCTATATCTTAATAACGACATTTACTTCTCAATAAAATCCGATGAAGTTAAAGTGGAATATAGTGCCATGTGGGATTGGCATAACTTATATAACAATAATAAATACCAAACTTTGTTTATCTACAAGGAAGGCTATACAGAATGCAAAACAAAACCATTGACAACAGCATTTATCCCAAATAATCTGGTTATTAAATCAATCGCCGAATTTCTTGTCAGCAGTTTTTCACAAATGGAAATACAAAAGTATTTTGATAATAAGATTTGTAAAGATTTCAAGATGATAGCCTGTGATGGAAAGGAATATGGAAAACAAGATTTGCTGAGAATAACTAGAAAAATGGAGAAAAATCGATTTGATAAAAACATTTTGCAAAATGCAAAACTAACTGAAGATGGAGTTTTGTCTTTTGAATTAAATCGAACAAATGTGTCACTTGAGGAAATAGTTATAACTCGAAAACCGGGGATTTATTGTATTAGGAGTATTAAACATTCGAAATGTAAGAGAACAGAAGATCCAGAAAAGTTGGCGCGCGATTTGATAACAAGATATTACGAAGCTGTTCGGATGAGAAGTTTGAAGCGATTTGGAGAAGTTTTTAGGATCTCTTCAGATTGGCAAAATTGTATTGGAGAAAGAGATTTTTGGAGATCTGATCAAATACTTTATCGGAAAGTTCAGAACCCGGCTTATCAAATCAAAGAAACATCGATGAATCAAGCAAAAATCACAAATGTTTTGATGAACGCGGAAAATAAATTGATCTCATTTTCTGTATCCTTCTTCGATCTCACAGAAAACGATTATGAGATTGATGAAGTTGATGGAAAACTGAAAATCGTTGCTGAAATTGAGAATGATTGTGGTGAGGAATACGAGCGAGATGAAGAAGCAGAAAATCAAGTGGATCATATGATCTATGCTGAAAACTTGTTCGATTCTTATGTTCAACTAATTCGCTCGCGATCTTTATATGACGATAGATATATTGTTCGAAATCCATTGACGATTTATGAAATGGTTGGGGAACATGGAGAAATTAAAACGAGTTATCATTATATTCCTAACTTATACGATCTTTACCCATCAAATATGACAGATGTTAAAGTGACATATGCGCAAAAAATGCTAATTGACATTTATAGCTGAAGGTGGAGGTTTGAAATATCAATATACGACGAGTTCTTACGAACCACCGCAAACTATTGAGATGGAATTACGAATGAAGAATTAATTTTTCATTGTAATAAAACACTTCTCAATTCAAAACCCAAGAAATATTGTAATCACATGCCGTTTCGCTTCTTTTGTCGCATTTTTCAAAGTTCTGTAATCTTAAAAATCTTAAAAAATATCAGCAAAATATAGTTACTCACTCTAGATCCTTAACATCTTTATCATCACCATTCACAACATCAGTTCCGAATTGCAAAGTTCCCATCGCAAAATTCTTCAGTTTATTGAGAGCTTCAAGAGCTCCTGTGACGAGAATCGTGGGCCGAGAATGAAAGCAACTCTGAAAACAATCAAGCAGTGGGCGTGGCCTACTGCCGCACAGTCTTTTACTCACTCTGGTACAGATTTTATAGTTGTTGTTTCAGTCGGAGCTGAGAATACCTTCAAGAGAATCACAGCAAACAAAAATAAAATAATTTTCATATTTGCTAATCACTGCATTTTGTATAGAAGCAAGATTCCTGATCATTCAAAAAAGTCACATGATTAAAAAATCCCATTTTTTGTTTCAATAATTATTCTTTTGTATCGCAAATCTACAAAAGACAGCCCTTGTTGCTTGTTTAAAAAAAATGAGATTCCTACCCTGTCTTGTACTTCTGATCCTTGTTGTTGCATCGAACACTGCGACAACAACATCAGTAGCAACATCTACGTCTACATCAACATCCGCACCGACAACAACCACAACTGAGCCATCAGTAGCTGCAGCGTATTTGAAAGTGTAAGCTCATTAGTGTGTGGGCACTAATTTCTTCCTTAACATGAGCAATGTATAATTTCAGTATTCGAAAAGTAGTGAGTCTTATTGCTAAAGCTGCCAAACTACTCGCTGCTCAAGTCAAGCCAATTTTCGAAGATTTTAATGAGAAGATCAATGGTGTCCTTCAATATCTTTCCGATGTTGACAACATGATTCTACCAGATTACGATCATTTAGTGTAAGTTCGTATAGACATCTAAAAGATCCGCAATACAATTCAGATCTTTGGAAGCATCCATCATGACTTTGTTGACCACAATTCCTCTGATCAAGCAGGACATCAAGCAAGATATGCAGAATATAAATAAAACACAAATCATTGAAGCGATGCAGTAAGTTTTGAATTTTTCAAGAAAACCAAAGAAAATTTTGATTTTCAGACGAGTGCTTGGGAGAATTCTTGAAAGTCGATTTGCTAAATACGATTGATTTGACTTTTATTGAATGAAGATGTTGATTTAAGCGTAATATCAACAAAAAACGAAAAAAAAACAATTTTTGCAAAATAATAAAAGTAAAACAACGAGACTCCGCAATCCCGCTTGCATTTTCGTGTATTTCTCTCGGACAATATTGTTTTTTTCGTTTTTTTCGCGGTTTTCGGGAGTTTTCAGGATTTAAGAATCAAAGGGGAGTTTTAAAAATCTGAATTTGATGAAGTTTTGAAAAATTGTGGGCTGCAGTTGCATTTGGACCACGCCCATTTTTTTTTGAACAAAAGTAAATCCTTTTTTACTAAAAAATTGTTGTTTCTGATTTAATACATCATACTATACTGTCCGTTCGCCAGCGAAGGAAACGCGCCCCATCGCACTTCTTTTTTCTGCTGCCCCGATTTTTTTTTGTTTTTGAAAAAACCGAAATTTCGTTTTTTTTGTGTTTTCAAGTTGTTTTCGAGACTTTTTCAGAGTTTTTTGTTTTAGATAGATGAATTGGGGGTAGAGTATTCACCTTTCATGTGATTTGTTTTGTTTTATGAGTTTTTAGTGATAAAAAACGCAATTTTTCAATTTCCAGGATTTTTCGAGACCGAAAAATGTCGAAAAAACCATCTTTTCTAATGGTATTTCGAACTTTCTGTCATCTCTAGGTAAGTTAGCAGTACATCAGAGTGTTCAAAATGCATATTTTTTGATTTTACAGATGTTCGAAAATTGCACGATTTTGGCTCAAATTTGCACAGAAAGTCGATTTTTGGTATGAATATATAAGGAAGAGGCAAAGACATACATTTGAAGAGGATTGGGCATCTTCCCTTTCAATATTGGAGCTGTCTCATCGCAATTTTGAATCATTTTAGTATGGATTTATGACAATTTCGGGAAAAATCGCCAGCCGGAAAGAAAAATTGATTATGTGGCATTTGGAGCAGGAAGATTATCAATGTGAGTAGTGAGGTAAGTGATCTTAAGCGCTCATTCGGCTTGATTTGACAAATTTTAGAAATAAAGTGCAAAAAAACGTTTTTATTTCTGGAAAATCTTCGAAAAGTCTGTTCTTTTCACTTAAATAATGTTATTGCAAATCGCAATGAAACTGGTTGTACATCCTATTTCATTTTTGACAAGTGAAAATAAAAATTTTTCTTTTTATATGCACAAAAAGTTAACTTTTATTAGATGAAGTTTGAACAGTATAAAACTCAACAAAAAGCTGGAAATTTCCATCTAAAATCTTGAATCAAAATTCTTTTCTGGATTTTGCAACATTCTGAACATTTTCAGGTTAATCTATTCTACTTGGCGCCACTATCTTCGACTGATTCAACAATTGCACGATTTTTTTCGAATATATTCAAGTTTTCATAATTTTTTCTATTTTTTTCTGTTGATAAACTTTTGATCCAGTATATTTTACTGGAAAACTGCGTTTTTTCATAAAATCACAGAATTTTTACTTAAATATTATTGTTTTTCGCAGTTTTTTGGCAAAAAAACGATGAAAATTTGAGCGGAAACAATATGTAAGTATTGAAAATTGCATAATTTTCATTTAATAATGCAATCTTGTAGACCGATCTCTAAAAAACTGGAAATTTGCATGAAAAAACCCCGAAAAAAAACTTCATGTTTGAATCGCCGCGCAAAAAAAAGTGCTGTTTATCAATGGGGCGCGTTTGCCTGCGTTTCCTTCGCTGGCGAACGGACAGTACATAAATTAATTTCAAGTAAATTGATTTCAACTTTAGATCTTTAACGCTTTGTTTATTACCAGAAGGGCTCCGCCGGCTATCGCCGGCTCCTCCTTCTGGGTTGTCGCGGCTTCGCGCTCAGTATTCTTTTGATGAACAGTTAGTTACTCTGAAGTCCTGTTAAGAATGGAAAACTAAAAGTGTTTCATTTAGATTTTGAACAGATGGTTGAGAAACCGAAAACATGTATCAACAATATGCAACATGATCACTTATCTGTTTTTTTCTATATAATTAAGCTTTTAATAAAATCACGAACAGTGATAGATACTTCTTCTGATCACACAGACGCCGACCTCCCTTTTTTCAAAGTGGGGCAAAAAATCACTTAGCGAGTTCCAAACGCACAATTCCATCCATCTCTCAACTCTTTCGAGAACATTTGAGAATAGAATTTCAGTTTTTAAGCAATAGCCGCTGAAAGCACACCCGGCGAGACGTGTCCAGAAGGGCACTGTACAAAAATTTCCAAAAGCAACACTGTACATTTTTTCATGAAAAAGTGTGGTTTTCATTGGTTTTAAGCAAATTTTGATGACATTTTTTAAATTCTAAATTTCACACTTCACAATTTTTTTTTGCAAAAATTTCTTGCTAAAAATTTTCGGGACACTCTCGCCAAGTGTGGATGAAAACGACTAATTTTTAAAATTTCATAAAAATTCTAAAATATTTGGGTGTTCTTGTTTGAACTTTGCGGTTTTCAGCTTCTGCTGTTTTTCAAAACGTATATCCAATAATTTTCAAAACTCTTGCGAAATGGGTCTTCAAAACGATGGAAATTCTAAAAATTTCAAACGATTTAGCGGACATTCCTGGGTCGAACAATTTTAAATTGGAATTTAGCTCCAAAGTTGTCTAAAAATATAAAAATTAGGTTGCGGAAAATATTTCGCCCTGGAATTACAACCCATTTCGAATGTTTGTCAACCCAATTTATTTGATTTTGCGGACCCTTTTCCGCGGTGCTCCAAGCCTTTTCGGTATCTAACTCATTTTAAAAACCACTTTAATCTATCTCTAAAGATGTGACAGGGGTAAAGATGAAGTAGCTTTTGAAGGTGGATGCCGAGTAAAAAAAGCTATACTAATTTGAAATTTTTTGTGCTAATTAGTACAATCCTCGAAGGTTTTTTCTGGAAGCTTCTCAAACATTAAAGAAACACAGCTCCAAACTACTGAACATCCAGACATTTAAGCCATTTTACACGGTGTTTCACGGTTTTTTTGAACTTCGAAATTTTTTAACCAATGTCTGAGAAGATTCAAGATAAAATCGTTCGAGGACTGCACTAATTAGAACATACTCTTTCCAAATTCGTATTTTCTGCTCAGACTCCACCTTCAAATGAAAGAGGATATGTTCCATCCTTTTCCTTTCACGTCATATCTTTTTAATCCGTTTAATAAAAAATTGGAAAAAATTTGATTACTCGAAAGACATGGAATTTCAGGAACCTCAACAGATAATCCAAAGTTAGGTTTTTTGAATAACAATTTTTTTCAGAATTGTTCTCCTCTTTTGAAAATAGGAGAAATCCGTTGAGGTACCTAAAATTCCATTTCTTTCGATTACTCATATTTCTTTCATGTTTTTAGTAAACCGATTTGAAGATAGAGATTTGATGTAAAAGGAAAAATTGATAGAAAGCCATCTTCTTTCACTTAAAAGCAACTTCATATTTTCCCATATTCCTGCTTTAAGAAAGAATTCTCTCAGAAAAATCCTTCATCCGCTATTTCACCTCTTTCAAATCACCCACCCGACGGCCTTTGAGTTTTTACTTTTTTTTTACAAACCGGCCCATGATCCGCTTAACCTGGCTAATAAACCTGGCAAACCGAATATAGCATGTACTTTGTCTTCTATTGGAATCATGATGCTCAACCCTACTTTACTGTACAGCGTTGGGGGTAAAATTGTTTTACTTCGTTCTTCTCTTTTATTCCGAAGAAGAAACTTATTTACTGCACAGCTTTCTGGACTAAATATGAACCGAAACTCACGATAAAATACGATTCAGTTCATCTTCTTCAACCCATTGGAAACCATTTTCATCTGAAGTTTCGAATAACTAATGAAAATCTCTACAGTAGTTCAACTCACTTTGTTTTCTATTTATTTACCCAACCGATTAGGAAGAAGCTATCATCGAGAAATGCCCAAAAATTGTAGGCTTTTTCAGAAAATAGAAAAATCAGATAAGAAACGTGTCCTTTAATTTTTTGTAGAATAAAAACGTGTTCATTCTTTTTTTCATGAAAAAAGTTTTGAATTTTCACGTGAAAACTTGCGCACTTTTTGAAAAACCGAATATTAGCGCATCGATGGGAAAGAATTTGGGATCGAATGGTGAAGGTCCCATCAAAAATGGTCTTCTAGAAGTTGAGAAAAGTCGAGCGACACATTTTAAATCCGAAAAATACATTGAAAATTTGGGATTTTTTAAAACTTTGTACTTTTTCGCGCACTTATCGCAAGAGTAGAAAATGATACCTGGCTTCCCCACCAAGTAGAAGTAATTTCCTAACTTCTAGTTCAAGAATTTTCAATTTTCATGCTCTGGGAATGAAATGCGGGCTCTGGACACACATTTTTTATTTTTGTCAATTAGTATATAGTAAGATGACCACTAGATTCATTCATAGAACAAAAATACCTCATAACAGCTGAAATTTTTCTCAAAATCAAAAATTTTCTACTCGCGTTGCAGAACTTTTTTTTTCTTGTTTTCGGTTAATTAAATAAGAGTCGAATTTTTCATTTTTTTATTACTGTCCGTCCACGAAAATGATGACCTTCGTGTGTTTGCACATTTTGAAAACTACCGTATACAAACGTGCGGCAATTTAAAATATAGTTTTTTTTCTTTTCTTTTTTTTCGAAAAATGTGTTTGTGTGGAGTTATTGACTCCGAATGCCAATTTCATCAGGGTGTCTTGTGCTCATCTGAAAGCCCATCCAAAACTGGTCATATCGATGTGAATACATAGTCATGAAAATGAGAAACCGACGATGCACAAGTGCTGAAAGAGAAAATGCACACAACTCGGCAAACACACATATTCAATTTGAGACTTGGCGTTTGTTAGGTCGATCATTTTCAGCTCATTGTCAACCGATTTGAGTCATTCATATATCAATCGAATCAGAATTTTACGGAGAACAATATCATCTTTATGGATTTCAACATTTCGACTGCTTTCAACCATATTTTGGGCTGAAATTTGAGTTTTTTTGATTTTTGAGGGTTTTGGGAGATTTTTTCCAGATTTTTCAAAGATTTCTGTCAATTCAGTGCTGGGTGTTGCTCAAAAATGTATCTTCACGAAATTCGACCATCCAATTTGATTTTACAACACGATTTTGGCTGAAATTTGAGTTTTTGGAGGGTTTTAGGAGATTTCTTCGAAGATTTCTATCAATTCAGTGCTGGAAGTTGCTCAACAATATAAATAAATATAATTTCTTGAAATTTGTACAACCAATTCGATTTTCAACTCTGGAGCACCTAATTTCTGGCTGAAATTTGAGTTTTCTGGTTTTTCGGAGGGCTTTGTGAAATGTTTCTCAAATTTTTTCGAGGTTTTGTATTAATTCAGTGCTGGACTTCTTTGATCGTCTAATTTTCACGAAAATCGACCACCCCATTTGAATTTCAACTCTGGAGCACCTAATTTTTTGCTGAAATTTAAATTTTCTGGATTTTTCTTGAATTTTTATTTAGTGCAGCCAATTTCCTGCAATCTCACAAGTGAACTGATTTACTGACTTATTGATAAATTCAACCCTCTTACAATTATGAAATTGATTTGCTTTTGTGACTCAAGTATTTTAAAAACCCCTAAAACTCCAGAAAACTCGCATTTCCGCCAAAATTGGGTGCTGCAGAATTGAAAATCGAATTGGTTGAACAAATTTTAAGAAATTATATTGTTGAGCAACTTCTAGCACTGGATTGATAGAAGATTTCCAAGAAATCACCCAAAAACCCTCCGAAAACTCAAATTTCAGCCAAAATCGTGTTCTCCAGGTTGTAATATCAAATTGGATGGTCGAACTTTGTGAAGATAGATTTTTGAGAAACTTCTAGCACTGGATTGATAGAAGATTTCCAAGAAATCACCCAAAAACCCTCCGAAAACTCAAATTTCAGCCAAAATCGTGTTGTAAAATCAAATTGGATGGTCGAATTTCGTGAAGATACATTTTTGAGCAACACCCAGCACTGAATTGACAGAAATCTTCGAAAAATCTGGAAAAAATCTCCCAAAACCCTCAAAAATCAAAAAAACTCAAATTTCAGCCCAAAATATGGTTGAAAGCAGTCGAAATGTTGAAATCCATAAAGATGATATTGTTCTCCGTAAAATTCTGATTCGATTGATATATGAATGACTCAAATCGGTTGACAATGAGCTGAAAATGATCGACCTAACAAACGCCAAGTCTCAAATTGAATATGTGTGTTTGCCGAGTTGTGTGCATTTTCTCTTTCAGCACTTGTGCATCGTCGGTTTCTCATTTTCATGACTATGTATTCACATCGATATGACCAGTTTTGGATGGGCTTTCAGATGAGCACAAGACACCCTGATGAAATTGGCATTCGGAGTCAATAACTCCACACAAACAAATTTTTCGAAAAAAAAGAAAAGAAAAAAAACTATATTTTAAATTGCCGCACGTTTGTATACGGTAGTTTTCAAAATGTGCAAACACACGAAGGTCATCATTTTCGTGGACGGACAGTAAAAAGGCAGAAAAATGGACACATTTCTATCTCCTCTACCATTTATCTCCTATAATTTCGAATCTGCCAATTTCACATTCAAAATTCCGATCTACATCGAGCTAGAACAACCGCTAGACTCGATGCTAATGATAATTTTTTGTATGGAATTTTTGGCCCTAATTCCATCGATGATTATAATGTCGTATTTTATATGGATAATTTATTCGATTTCATTGGTTCATCGAAATATTTCGATTCTGATTTTGGTTGCGTTGATTAATTTTAACATTAGTGGAATTTCAAGGTTTTATATTCTACTTGTTCAGCTGAAACTTATTCAGGGTAGGTTTTGAGATCTAGAAATTATTTTTAGTCCTGACCAAACCTCAAGTTTCATTCATTCATAAATAAAATAACCTGGTTTTCGCGTAACTCGAGATTCTTGTATTTTAAAATATCAGAGATCTTAGACTAATTAAAAAAAAAAAAAAAAATTTTGTTCATGGAAACTGAAGATTTTTAGCTTTAAAATTTTTGTTCTGTATCAAATTTTTTTGAATTTTTTTTTGCTATTCTATCAACCCATTAGTTCCGGTTCTGACTAATGAAAGTCTATTTTTTTCGAGAAAAAAAACATGATAAAATATTTCGATTCGCTGAACTCGTTAATTACTTAGTCAGACAAGATTTTTTTAATCAAAAAATCAAACTTTATGAAAAAATTAGTGATTTCTGTAGAATCTGTGTGAGATGGAAAGTCAAACTGGATTAGATTGTTGCTAAAAGATTCCGCTGAACTCTGACTTCAACCAAATCTCGGAATTTTTCCAGAACATCCTCTAGCTCTCCTGATCGCCTCACTCTTCCGAATCGAATTCTACGGCTGTGCAATCGCAGGTTTCCCCATCACAGCCATCGAAAGATTCTTCGCCACCTATTACCTCGGTGACTACGAATCCTCAAATCGACATTGGATTCTCTACGCTCTTATCCCACTTCTCATTATCTCACCTCAACCGTTAGTCTATCTCACTTTGCTCACTGATTATCCGCTGATCTTTCCTCTGGGAGTTTCGGGTATAGCGATTTTTGGAAGTCAGATCTTCTTCAATATTTTGTACCGGTTCAATGAGAATGAGAGACTTAGAATTAAGCAGAACCCGATGATGTATACATTGGGGAAGAAGTTTCAACTCGAGGAGAACCTACACGTCATGTGGGTGAGTTAGGTTAACAAGATCTGAAACTTCAGTTAATTCGATCTTTCAAGATCCTCCGCGCAGTTGGTCATATTCTCATATTCCTTGCCTTGATTCTGATAATCATCCTAGTTTTCCCATGGCAAACTCTTCTGGGTTTCGAAAACTACACGGAGTTTTACTGCGCTGTTGACTTGGTTATAGCCCTATCCTCGTTATTTTTACCGATTGTTATGGGACGTCTTCTATACGTCAAAAGGAATCCTGGATTTTTGCGGAAAATTCAGTGGATGTTTGGGAATTCGAGAAAGCCGACAGTTTCTACCGTGAAATCGGTGATGAGGGATGAAACTTCAGTGTATTTTAGACAGTTTGATATGTCGTGGAAGTGATGTTTATATTAGAATAAAAAATTATTTTTTTTGTAGACTTTTTTAAAGGCGCATACCAGGCTTCAGTATCTTGAAAGATTTTTCAGTGTGCAATGAGTATGGCAGCTGAAAAAAAGTGATTTTCTAACATAAGGCTCAAAAATTTCACATATTTTGTGTTTTTCTTCAAAAAAAAATGGAAATTCTCCTATCACCTCTGCCATTTATAACCTATCATTCACAATTGCCCAGCTTAACATTCAAAATTCCGATCTACATCGATCTAGATCAGCAACTGGATTTGATGTTGAAGATAACTTTCTACATTGAATTAGTAATTCTCATCCCATCAATGATTATCCTGTCGTATTTTGTATGGATTGTTTATACACTATCTTTGGTTCATCGAAATATTTCGATTATCATTGTTATTGTGGCGATGCATTTCAATATCAGTGGAATTTCGAGGTTTTATATTCTACTGGTTCAGTTGAACGTGATACCTGGTGAGTTCTTATAGCAAAACATCTGTTTTATGTAGGCGAGCCAAAACATCAGTGCGTATTTTCAGAACATCCTCTAGCTCTCCTGATCTCCTCACTTTCTCGAATCGAATTCTATGGCTGTGTAATCGGTGGATTTCCGTTAACCGCATTCGAGAGATTTTGCGCAACATATTTTGTCAGTGATTATGAATCCACCAAACGAAACTGGCTATTATTGATAATAGTCTCAGCTCTAATTACAATTCCACAACCGTTAGTATTTCTTACTTTGCTCACTGATTATCCCCTGATTATTCCACTCGGAGGATCGGTTTTGGTAATCATCGGAAGTCAGATGATTTTTCATATCTTGTACCAGTACAATGTTATTGTGAGTCTGAAAATGAAGAAGAATCCGATGATGTATACATTGGGTAAGAAGTTTCAACTTGAGGAGAATCTACACGTCATGTGGGTGAGTTAGGTTAAGAAGATCTGAAACGTAAGAAATCCTGCAAAAAATCATAAAAAATATGCTATGTCTTTTTCCTATCCCTTTTTCGTCTCGCGTCTCTTCACCACTCACACGCTAATTTTTACTCTCTCACTGTACGCAATATTGCGTCGCAGTGTTTGCACACATCAACCAAGCTTCACTAAAATGTTAACTTCCAGATTCTTCGTGGAGCTGGTTTAATGCTCATAATCCTTGCCTTGTTTCTCTGCGCAATTTTGATTTTCCCATGGAAATCCGTGATTAGTTTCGATAACTTCACCGAATTTTATTGCTTTATTGATCTTATTATCGCACTAGCTTCCATAGTTTTACCAATTTTCATGGGACGCATTATGTACGTCAAAAAACATCCAGGATTTCTGCGCAAAATCAATTGGATGTTGCGATCAAGAAAACCAATAATTTCTCCAGCGCGGGCTGTGATTCGCGATGAAACTTCGGTGTATTTTAGACAATTGGAAATGTCGTGGAGATGATTGGGTCCTAGAAAAACTATCAAAGAGCAAGTTGCTCCAGACTTGATTTGTCATATACGAGATCTTTGTTCACTTCAGGAGTAACGTGTATTTCATGTATGACAGCTGAAAAACTTTCTTTTCTTTTAGCACCAAAAAAAAAACCTTTTTTCGCTTAATTAAATAAGGAGGCTTGAAATTTTGTTTATTTCATTTATGATCGAAAAATGGAAATTCTCTTGTCACCTCTGCCATTCATAACCTATCATTCACAATTTCCCAACCTCACTTTCAAAATTCCGATCTACATCGATCTAGATCAACCGCTAGATTTGATTCTAAAAATAACTTTCTACATCGAGTTAGTAATTCTTATCCCATCAATGATTATCCTGTCATATTTTGTATGGATTGTTTTTACACTTTCATTACTCCATCGGAATATTTCATTTATAATTGTTCTTGCGGCAATTCATTTTAATATCAGTGGAGTTTCGAGGTTTTATATTTTGTTGGTGCAGTTGGATTTTATTGAAGGTATGGCTGGGGTCAGACCTGGGAATTTTTACGTTTACGTTTTTTTCGTTTTACGGTTTTCACGGGATTTCACCGTAAAATCCATTTCACGGTTTTACCGCTCAAAAAATCGGGGTTGGCTGGGGTAGTAGAATAAAAAATCAAATAACATTATCAAATAACATTTACATATTTGTGGTCCATAAATAGATACACCTGATTTTTCAGTAAGAATAATTGTGAAAACGAGACCTTTCGGTAGTCCAAAACACATTTTTAGTCTGAAACGTAGACAAACTTGAAATGTTCATCGATATTTGTTAGATTCTGCTTTGTTAAGCATCAGAACTTATTGTTCCACCAAAACTCACACATCAAAAAACACTCTGACTTCATTTTCAACAAATAACACCTGCATTATTCCTAGATTATAGCACCAGAGAGCATTTTTCCCTGGAAAAATATTTTTTCTGACTAATAAAAGATGTTTTTTACGATTCACTGAACCCATTAGCACTTTAATCAAACTACATCTAAAAAAAGTTATTTTTCAGAACATCCTCTCGCTCTTCTGTTCGCCTCATTTTCCCGAATCGAATTCTATATCTGTGCAATCGGCGGTTATCCAATTGTAGCATTTGAGCGATTCTTCGCCACGTATTATGTTAGTGATTATGAAAACACTACTCGGAATTGGCTATTATCTATTATTATCCTAGTTCATACCATCCTTCCGCTACCATTAGCATATTTCACTTTGATGACTGATTATCCACTGATTATTGCTTTGGGAGGATCGGGTTTGGCAGTTATTGGAAGTCAGATAATCCTACATGTTTTATATGAGTTTAATGTAAATGAGAGTTTGAAAATGAAGAAGAATCCGATGATGTATACATTGGGGAAGAAGTTTCAACTCGAGGAAAATCTACACGTCATGTGGGTGAGTGGAATTTTTTTTATTAAAAAAAAATTTGGTCCTATCGCAATATATGGGTCCGTAAAAACATATAAGGGTCCGTGAATTTTTTTAAGGGTCCCAAAAAATACCCGAAAATATAACGACTCGGTGTTTCTCTCCAATTGCAACTTCTTTGAAAAATTTTTTTCAAAAAAAAAAAGAAAAAAAATATATTGTTTGGTCAAAAATTACGGACCCTTTTATTGTTTTTGGGACCCATAAAAAATTCACGGACCCTTATATTTCTGAGGGACCCTTATATGTTTTTACGGACCCATATATTTCCATGGGACCCATATATTGCGATAGAGCCAAAAATTTTACCTTTTTCTCAGATCCTTCGCGGTGTTGGTATAATCCTAATATTCCTTGCCTTGATCCTTGTAGTAATCCTAATTTTCCCCTGGAAATCCATCATCGGTTTTCAAAATTACACCGATTTTTATTGCTCCATCGATCTTCTACTTGCTCTATCTTCCATACTTTTACCAATCTTTATGGGACACATTTTATACGTCAAAGGGAATCCGGGATTCTTGCGGAAAACCCAATGGATTTTCGGGAAATCGAAAAAATCAACACTTCCTCCAGTGAAGGATGTGGTGATTCGAGATGAAACTAGACTGTATTTTACACAATTGGAAATGTCGTGGAGATAATTAATACATTTTTAATTATGAAAAGCTTTATTTTAACGATTCGGAAAAGTGCAGAAAATACTTAAGATTGTGCATTTTGATTCTTCACCAAACTGAAATAATAAAAAATATTCTATGTAAAAAAATGAAAAATTATCTTACATTAAAATTTTTTTAGCCAAGTCTTCGAAAATTTGTCTTGTTTTTGGATCCAAATCTGCCGAGCTTTTACGATTTAATCCTATTTCTGAACGGATAACATCACTGGAAAAATTAAATTACATAGTATGTGTGTGCAATAGAGCAAACATGCTTACCCAATAATCTCAAAAAAAATTTGGAAAATAGAACCCTTAACCCCTCCTTTTGAGCCTTTTCGTTGAATTCCACTGCAAAAAAAACATAACTTAATTTTCAATCAGAATTTCGACTTTCGTTAACTCACGTTGGTTCTGCGTTTGAAAAATAGTCAATAATACTGAAAAAATAAATTGGTATATAGTTAGCTAACATGCAAAAAAAACGAATCTTACTATTGGATGTTTTCGAGATCATTATTCCCTACTATCGAGCTTTTACGTTGAGGACGCCCTTTACTGTAAAAATTTCTTTCTTGAACTTTGCTTGTTAACATTAGAAATATCTCACTCACCCAAAAATCACGCCAAAAATTTGTTCGAGAAGTTTTTTGATATCGATTCCGGTTTTGGTTAAAACTTCCAGAGCCCTGAAATCAATGAATATTACTCACATTCAAAATAAAAAAAAATATGGACTTACGATTTTTGATCAACGGATTTGAGTTCTCTCGTAATCTTAGTGTACAATTCTTGTTTGACTGATTGTTGTTGGAAGTTTGGACTAAAAATGTTAAGAAGTTGATCAGAAAGATCTAAGGCTCATGTAAAAATCAAAATCTCACCCAAAAATAGTTGCAAATACTTCTTCTAGAATCTTCTTGATATCAATTCCCGCGATTTTTTGAATTTCTTGCGCTCTGTAAAAAAAAATTTGCGAAAAAATAAAAAGAAAACAACGAGACTCCGCAATCCCGCTTGCATTCTCGTGTATTTCTCTCGGACAATATTTATTTTTTTTGTTTTTTTTTCAGTTTTTCAAAAGTAGACCTACGTTTTCTGATCGACAGATTTGAGTTGTTTCGCAACGTCATTGAACAATTGTTGATTGATGGCGGCACTTTTACGATTGATAATTATGGGTGGTGTGAACTTACGAGTAGTCCGTGTCCACCAAGGAAACAATGTGGGACATGGTGGAAGAATACACTTTCTTTGAATTCCGCCACTATAAAACAACAATTTTTCCTGAAAAACTGATTTGACTTACCTCAACTCCTCACTCGAAGAAGAAGAAGATTCATCTTCCGCAGATGTTCCAGAAATCAAGAAGAGAACGGAGAAACCAAGAAGAAACAGGAATGTTTTCGACATTTTCTGATTTTTTCAATGTTTGTGGTGGAGCTTATATAGGAATACTAATAGGAATCATAAATCAAATCGAATTATTGATAAGCCTACGTGTTCAAAATTTGCACGAAATCGAATCATCGATTTATTTGCAAGAACTTTTCTGCAGAGTTTTAGCAAAAATGAAAAAAAAACGAAAAGTTTATTTCAACGGTTCGAAAAATGGATATCTGATTTGTCCAACCGATCCACCCTGTGATTGAAATTCATAACCTTGTGGTTGAAATTCATACAGTGCTGGTGTTTTGTCTAAAAAAAAACAATATATACATAATTATGCAAAATTTTAAAAAAAACCAACTCATTTTTGAATTCTTGGTTGGCACAACTCCAATAGTCACAGGAATCTCACATTTGAGACGATCAGCTCCAAAACCTCTTGAAATCCTAACTTCAGTACTGAGAACATATTCAGCAGACATCAAAGGTTGTCCGGAACCGCGGAGGATCGTTGGTGTAAGTGTTCGCTTCTCGAGCTTGAAGGATTTTGGAAGTTTTGAGAATTCTAGACCATCATTGTTATTATAAATATAATAGATTGCTGGATAGGAATTCGAATAGACATCCACGTTTTTATCGGTTGGATTTAAAGGCGCATCGGTTAGTTTCATTGTGTTGTTGAGGCCTTTTTTAGTGATCATTGATGGGCGATACCAGACTTCAAATGTAGCCTCATCTAATTTATATTTTGTTTCACCTTCAAATTTCAGAGAAATATCAATAACTTCTCCAGAAACATATCCATTTTTTGGAAGTGAAACAATCATTTTAAAAGGTGTTGCGGTAATTATACCAAGTGAAATTTTATGTTCACATTTCACAGGTTTTTCATATTTCCCACTATCCTTTGATAAATCAATACCACCATTAACAGTATAAATGAATTCGGATAACTTGTGAATTTTGCCATTATCAAAAATGATTCGTGGAACAACGGAATATTCAATAAAATTTCCATATAATTCAACAGAAAATGGAAGATTTTTGGGGAGTTTGAATGAGAAATTGATTGATTTCGGGATAGTTGTACCGCTGAAGATTTCTTTGGTTTCACGGAAAATATCGATTGAGGTGTTGGAATTGGTTTTATATTCTGCGGCGAGTCCGACGATTTTAGTTTTATTAACAGTGTGAATACGACCGATGAAGTCTAGGGAAATTTTTTGAATTTTCTGCAAAAAAATTAGAAATTTAATTTTTTTTATTAAAGGCGGTGAGACAGCTATTCCGGTTGACGGAGACCACCCACGAAGCCTCTGACTTTAACCGGACTAAACTTGAACCAAACAAAAGATAGAGATGAAATATTGTGAAAATATGAAACTTCAAATCTTCCTGTGCAAAAGTGCGTCGCAGTGTTTGCACACACACAAATCCGCTGGTCGTGGGGGCAATTTGAAATTTTGAAAACACAAGATTCTCTCAGCTCGTATTAACTTTCATGATTTCGGAATTTTTTCACTGGTTCGTTTCATAATAAACTATTTTTGACACTAAGCTTTGAGGAAAACCGGAATAATTGTCTAACTGCCCTTAAAAAAATTGTCTCATAAAAACACATACCTGCTTTCCCTCATACAAACTTTTGAATTTTCCCGATAATTTATCTCCTGGATTGAAAATGCCATCCTTGTCAAAGCTCACATCAAAATCTTCCTCGGCGTTCAAAAAATTGGCAAAAATGAGAAAAACCAAAAATCTTCTCATGATTGCGAAGAAATGATTCGAAGGGTAGTTTTATCAAGAAAAGTTCAATCAATCATTATTTTTCCTATCTCTCGTACTTACAATTAGAAGAACACTTCCTTTTCACAAAATAGAAAAAGAAAAAAAAAATAATTTTTGAATTTTATTTCGCTAAACAACGCGCACAAACGGAGTGTCGTTTCAAGAAGAATTAATCCAATGTGGATACAGCACATTGAACTCAAAAGCCTCTGTAGAACTGAAAAATGAGCCCGTGCTTCCCTGCTGCTGCGGCAGATATTTTTTTGGTTTCTTGCCGAAAAGTTTCGAATTCTTAGTTGGCACAACTCCAATAGTCACCGGGATTTCACATCTCACATCAGTTCTAGAAGTTGTGGGACCAAACATCACAGCAGTCACCCTCACAACATACTCAACTGAGATTAGTTGAGTTCCCGGAAGTACTGTTGGTGGGCAAGCCCAATTGCTCTCATTGATTTTGAAGGAACTAGGAATTTTTGAATAATGCAGCTCCGCGGTATTTAGGAAAGCAGAACTTTCAGCATCATAGGTTCTCGTGAATACTTCAATATTTTTTTTGTCAGATGTTTTTGGGATAGGATCAGTGGATTTCATCGTGTTATTCAAGCCCTTTTTTGTCAAAGTTGTGTGAGTCACAACCAAATTAAATTCGATCTGGAAAAAATACTTCTAGAGATTGTTTGAATTGCATAGGGCTGCACGATGGGGCGTGGGGGCGGCCCCCTCGCCCCCCCGAAGGGGCGACGGGGCGACGGGGCGAAGGGGCGACGGGGCGAGGGGGCAAGGGGACGAGGGGGCAAAGGGGCGAGGGGCAAGCGATTTTTTGCACGGCGTTTCATCGCGGGGTGCCCCGCGTGCAGCCCTAGAATTGCACAAGTTCCCCTAACTCACTCTACTCAACGTCCATTTTGACTCGCTATCAATTTTAAGCTTGATATCGATTTCTTCCCCAGAAACATAGCCAACTTTATCAATTTCCGCTGAAATTTTGAAAGGTGTGCTCCAAACCGACCCCAGAGCTGTGGTATTTTCGCATTTCCCTATTTTCTCGTATTTCTTAGAATCCTTCGATAAATCAATGCCTCCCAGTACTGTTAAAATTCTCTCTGGAACTCGATGAATTCTACCATCTTCGAGTTTAACATGAGCAATTAGCGAATATTTGATAACATTCTTGTAATAATCAATAGACATTGGAAGGGATTTTGGGAGTTTGAAGGAGAATTTGGAGCTCCCAGGTGAAATAGTTTTTGATTCCTTGAATAAATCAATTTGGGTGGAGGAGAGGATTACACCTTTTCTATCGAATTTCGCAGTTCGGATAACTCCAATAAAATCCATCGTGATCTCCTTGATCTTCTAAATGATCGAATGTTTTTTTGGAAAAAAAAAACATTTTTAGAACTTACCAGCTCCGAACTTTTCCCTGAAACCTGCTTGAAGTTTCCACTAACAACATCTCCTGGATTATAAATTCCTTGATCTTTATCCAATGTGATTTCAAAGTCTCGAATACCAAAAGCGTTCGATTTAACGAAGAAAAGAAATAGAAGAACGAACTTTTTCATGTTCTTTGGCAGAAAAAATGGAAAAAACCAGGAAGTTTCTCTTATCACTTTGAGAGAAGATAGGAGAACTTCTAATTTGAGCTTCCGATTCTTGACCTTTCTAATCAATCTTCTCTCTGAACACCCATATCTATTCTATTTTTTCCGTTCATTTATTTTTCAATCATCAAGATGAAGATACTTCTACTATTCCTTATTTTCCATTCAATTTCCTGCCTCAAAAACAAAAACAATACTTATACTTTCAAACTCGACAACAAAGATGAAGTGTATGCTCCAAACGACAAAGTAACTGGTAAATTGATTGTGAAGACGTCAGGCGAGCAGAAAATCGATAAAATTGTTATAAGGTTTTTGGGAGAATGTTATGTTGCATTCAATAATGCTGAACAAGTTATTCGCTCTTCAATTGCTCCGATTGTAAATGATACAAAAGAATATTCGGATAAACAATTATCAGCGAAGGGAAAAACTTTGGAATATAAATTCAGTTTTAATATTCCTCCGAATGCATTGATGAGTTTGGAAGAGGGTGCACATATTCGATATTCATTGATCGTTGAAGATAAAAATCAAAAAGTTCAGGACTCTTATATCATCACTGTTATAAATGGAATCGATCTTTCGAAGTCTACAAAACCATCAGAACCTTCTTCATGTTCGGGGGTTTCTTCAACAAGTGGAATCAAATTCACAGCCACAATTCCACAAAAAACATTTATTGCGAGTGATAAAATTCCAGTCGAAATTGTAGTTGATAACAAAAGTTTTGGATATGCTGTTGAAAGTGTAAGTAAGATGAACAGCATTTTTAAAAAAAACACTGTATATTTTCAGATGGAAGCTAGGTTATCAGTCAATATCACCACATACTCAGCTGTGAATGGAAAAGTCTTCAAAGGCAATGAAAAAAATGTGAATTTTGAAGATGAGGAAAAGTTTTGGCGATCATCAAGTCTAACGATTTCAAGTGGTTCAAAGAGATATTCAAATCATGTTTCGAAATACAGCAAAGAAACTAATTTCACTATTTTCGCTGAAAATCATTCCGATTCTCTAACTTCAATCAGTCTTCCCTCGGTCAGAAAACGGCGGGGTCGCTACCGATCGGGGCGGAGTCGCTACACGTTTTTTGTTCCCCGAAACGTGTAGCGACTCCGCCCCGATTGGTAGCGACCCCGCCGTTTTCTGACCGAGCCAACAATTCCAAATCTGCCTTCATTCATAAAATTGCATCATTATATTTCTGTTGATCTTATTGCAACCAAGGATTTCATTACGTGTGAAATTCCTGTTATAATTGCAGTAACTCCGGAGAAATCATCAAAAGCTAAAAGTGAGTTAAAGCAACTTTTCGGGAAAATTGAAATCTGACTTTTTTCAGAGCTTCCAATCGGCAAATCCAATCAGAAATCGTTTAAACCCCTTTATCCAGCATACGAATTTGATTATAGTGTCGAAATTTGATTGAATAAAGTTTTTTTTCCAGAAAAAAGGGGGAACCAGGAAGTTTCTCTTATCACTTTAAAAGAAGATAGGAGAACTTCTAGTCACACTTTTTGAGCTTTTGATTCTTGACCTTTTCAAGATCTTATCAACAAGACCAGCCCATTCTATTTTTCCGTTCATTTATTTTTCAGTCATGAAGATACTTCTACTGTTTCTTATTTTCCAATCAATTTCCTGCCTCAAAAACAAAAACAATACTTATACTTTCAAACTCGACAACAAAAATGAAGTGTATGCTCCAAACGACAAAGTAACTGGTAAATTGATTGTGAAGACTTCAGGTGATCAGAAAATCGATAAAATTGTTATAAGGTTTTTGGGAGAATGTTATGTTGAATTAGCATTGTCTAGACAATTCTATCGTTCTTCGATCGCTCCGATTGTTAATGATACAAAAGTATATTCGGATAAACAACTATCAGCTAAGGGAAAAACTTTGGAATATAAATTCAGTTTCAAGATTCCTAGTGATGCTCTGATGAGTTTTGAACAAGTAGCACATATTCGATATTCATTAATCGTTGAAGATAAACATCGAGAAGTTCTTAGCTCTTATATCATCACAGTTATAAATGGAATAGATCTTTCGAAGTCTACAAAACCATCAGAACCTTCTTCATGTTCGGGGGTTTCGTCAAAAAGTGGAATCAAGTTCAAAGCAGTAACCCCACATAAAACTTTCCTTATTAATGAAAAAGTTCCCGTCGAGATTATAATTGATAATAAGAGGTGGACAAAATCTGTTGAAAGTGTAAGAATCGCTGAGACCAGGCTTAACATTATTTATATGCAGATCTTTCCAGATGCAAGCAACTTTATCAATCAATGTCACTGTCTACGGAGCTGCTGGTGGCAAGATTTTCAAAGCCAATGAAAAAGCTGATTTTGAAGATAGGAAAAAGTTTTGGCAATCATCAGGAATTATATTTGGAGGAAGCCAAAAGAAATACGAAAATCATGTTTCGAAGTGGAGCAAAGAGAATACTTTCACAATTTTCGCGGAGAATAGTGCTTCCGATGATTTTCCTATCAAAGTTCCAACAATTCCAAACTTACCTGAATTCATTAAGGTGAATCATTATATTTATGTTGGTGTCTTCACAACTGATGATTTGATTTCGTGTTATATTCCTGTTATAATTGCAGTAACTCCGGAGAAATCATCAAAAGCTAAAAGTGAGTTAGAGCACAATAAATATTCTCATCGGTACCACGCGCTCCACCGAAATAAACACGCAACGCAGGCCGCGCCGCGCCACAACACACACAAAAAAGGGAGGGAATTTGAATCGTTCCCCTATTTGTGTGTGTTGTGGCGCGACGCGGTCTGCGTTGCGTGTTGGAGCGCGTGGTACCGTAGAGATTTTCGATAATACAAATTTTCATGCAATAAAAAAACATTTTTCAAAAAATAAATGCAAAAAAAGAAAAAGAAAACAACGATGCTCCGCGTTGACGACAGCGCGCGTGGTTTGAATTTGTGTTTTTTCCAGTTTTTTGAAACTAGGCTTTTAGGCCTAGATTTTGATGATTAGCCTAACTTTTTTCAATTTTTAAAGATTTTTTATCGATTTTTTCTAATTTTTCCCAAATCCCTCCCCAAAAAACTCACAAATCGCTTCTATTTCTCAAATCCCAATCAAAATCGTTGAAAAATCCTCAATCCTCCAAATTTTCCACGTTATTGACATTGAAATCCAATTTTCCATCGATATTTCAAGCTGAAAATCAGAAAATTTGAATTTTTCATGTAATTTTTGCAAAAAATTCAATCGAAACAGTGTTTCTCTAGAAAAAACCCACTTTTCTTCGATAATCCTTGGATTTTTGCGTTGGAAGCGATAATTCCAGCCTTGTAGAATCTAAAAATTAAATTTTATGACTGGAATCCACTGATTTTCCCCGGAAACCTCAAAACCCAGCGAAAAATGAAAATATTCTCGTGTTGCGCTAAACAGCGGGCAAGACGGAGTGTTGTTGTAAAAGTATTTTTTTGCAGAGCTTCCAATCGGCAAATCGGATCAGGAATTGTTCGAACCCCTTTATCCAGCCTACAAATTTGATGACACCGTCGAAATTTGAAATAAATCCACGTGTTTTCCCCCAAAAATCCTTCATTTTTAAATATTTTCTGATCAGAAGTTAGTTTATTTTCAAAATATACATATAAAAATAGCAATTTTTCGTACATAAGATCACAGAAAAAATTATTAGATCGGAACATGCTCGATTTTCAAGGAATTCATCACTTCGAACATTTCTTCTCGTTGATCTGTCTCATCCAAACATTGATGTTTCTCGAAATAATCGAACTGAAAAAAATTGACATTGGTTATGACGTGGCAAAGCTTCTAGCTCACCTTTCTAATGACCCATTTGAACGAGAGGAACATAATTTCCTCATATTTTTTCATTATCACTGATTTTGTCAACATTGTTTTCTTCTTGATCGTTTTGAGTTCGAAATCACATCGAAGTTTGAATCCACATTGCTCCATATAATTTGGAGATAATTTGTAGAGCTCTTTTCTCGCTTTATCACGATTATAAGTCTTGTCGGGAATTTGGTAGATTGGTTCAGTTGAATATTGTTTGAGGTCGATGTAGGCATTATTGATGATCTCGTCGATTTTCCAAGTTTCGATGAAGTAGCGGTATTTCTGAATGATATAGAATCCAAAATCAAAAAGAAAATCTATGTAGACTTACACGTAAAAAGTCAAAAATATCTGCAAGATTTTCGAACCAATGAAAAACGTGCGGAACATTTTGTTCTGTCATACTTCTGAAAATTTTCACTCCAACTGAAACTTGATCGAAAACATTTTCGAATGCATTTTTTGCGAAACAAGCATAGGTTCCGTATGGAGTTATGACTGGGATTTGAATTGAGCGCGAGGTATAATCTGCTTCGACTTCGATGATCTGGAAAATATTGATTTTTTGACTTTTTGATAAAAACTTCTCAATTCCGAATTCAAGTTATGACGTGGCAGCTTCGAAAATCAGCATAGGAAAGACCGATTGCATGAGTTGGGTTTCAGATTCTAAATTTTTCTGAAAATCGATAATTTCCAGATTTCTGAACAATTTCCTATAATTATTATCATTCAGAAAACTGAACTTATGTTCTAGTCAAATCCCTTGCCACGTCATAACTCATATTCAGAATTCAGTTCCACAGTTTTTCTTAACTAACATGCAAATCCGTCTCATCCAACTTCAAGATTTTCAAAATATTCTCAAAAGTTTTCCATTCAACAACTCTCAAAATTCCAAGTTTTCTATCTTCTTCCGTTTCAACTGGAAATAATCCTTTTGGAAAAGGTTTTTTGTGTTTTTCCATCATCGCAACATCAAGTGCATTCTCCAATTCTTTCGCAAAGAAACAACCCCCAGTGATGTTTTTATCAGTGAAAAATCGAACGACTGCAGAAGGTTTTTGGTTGAGAATACCACCATCTTCTTGAAAAAAGATTGCATCAATAGCGGTTTTGAAGTTTGCATGATCGCAACAGATCTTATTGTAGAAGTCTCTGTTCTCGATGATTGGTTTGGATTTGTTTTCGGTTTCCAAGAATTTTCGAAGTTCTCTCAATAATTCTTCATCGTATTCTTTGTTGTAATATTTTGAAAGTAAATTGAACAATTCATCGACAGTGTTGAACAAAATGACATCGACTTTTCGCTGCAAAATTAGAAAATATTAATGATTCTACTAAACACTTACAGAATTTTCGATAGTTGTATTCACAGGATATTGTTCGTGTTTTCGATGTTGTGGAACAAGTTCATACTTTCCTTGAAGCTCTCTCTTAATACGATTCTCAATCGATTTCGCGTAGAATTTACACTTCACTTCAGAACTCAGCAAAAAGAAGAAATATGTGTCGAGTTTTGACATAAATGAGACTTCAGAAATTGATTCCAACATTGCTGGACGAGATTTGTAATCAATTGAATTAGAGAATCCCAAATAATCGGCATTTTGTGACATTGTGTAATATTTGTAAAAATCTCCCATAATTGTTTTGGGATCTTCATAGTAGATTTTCATTTCGAGGTCGTTTTCAAATAACATTCCCAGAAGACGTTTATTGGAAGATTCGTCTAGTTTTTCACCATTTTCTTCCATTCGCTTAATTTCATCTTTGAATTTTTGAGTGATAAACTGAAAAATGAACATTTCCACTTCAAATTTGATAAAAATCAACTCACATTACGTAAAACGCATCTTTCTACGATTGTCTGGAACATTGATGGTGTCAACGACATTTTCCTCCAGTAGTTAGTATTGTTAGTATCGAGAAACTGTTGGGAAATTTGAGCACGCGTTCACGCGAAAAAAAAGTAAAAATTTTGTGTGTATTTCGGCGTGATGGTGTATACACACACCGTAGTTTTCTTAAAGGCGCATTTCGAATTTTGTTGTGTCTCACCACGATGTGTTGAAAATATTTGGAGTCTATACGTCATTTTTTTTTGATTTTTTGTTTTCTGAGAAAAATCAGCTGGCTATGCTCGACATACCAATTTTGAAAGAAAAAACACGAAATCAATGTTTTACCTTTCAACTAATTTAATCTAATGAGAAAATAATTAGGTTTATGTTTTTAGAAAGAAAAAACTAGAAACTTTTCTATTCATTTTTTGTTTTTGATAATAATAATATTTTGTTACTTTGATTTTCGTCTAGTTTTGTAGCTTCCTGTTATTTGTTAGATTGAAAATTACATATAATTATAAAATTTTCTTTGACAAAAAAGAGCATTCTTTTTTTTCAGATTCCATTTTTCCACAATTTTGTCACTATTCCTTCGACCAGTTCCATTGGCAACTGGCCAATGGCAAAACATATCATTCGAAGTTCCGATTTTGGTTGATCTATCCATGGAAGTCCCAATTCATATGAATATTCTTTATTTCACCGAAATCAGTTGGATTCTCATGGCTCTGTTCACAATGACCTATTTCACCTATTTTCTTCACCTCAATTCGATTTTCCATCAAAATTTGATATTTTTACTGGGTCTTGAGATGGTTTTCTATTTTTTCGCGTGTTTTTCGAGGATTTATCTGATTTTTGTGCAACTCAAATATATCACAGGTTGAGTTAGGATAACTTTTTTGAATTATTTAGGCTAATCCAAAAAATTTAGCAGATTTCGACACGGTCTATTTCTTCTTATCAGGATATTTTCGATTTCAACACTACGGGTTAGCAATTTGTGTAATTCCAGCGATTGCAGTTGAAAGATCATTTGCCACATATTACGTGGCAGATTATGAATCAAAAAACCGCCCATTAGTTACCCTAACTTGCCTACTTTATTTATATCTACACTCACAAATATTTTCAATTCCAATTTTTCTTTTACAACCACCTTTATTATTCACTATGCTATTTGCAGCCATTTCCATGAGTTTCTCAAAAATTATCCTTACTTTTTTGAAAAATTTTAATTTGGCGGAATTTAGAAAATTGAGCTGGAAAGCTGAAAGACATGAGATAAATTATACGATTGGCAAAAAGTTTCAGGTTGAGGAAAATTTGCGAGTTATGTGGGTTAGTGCAAACACCGCGACGCACAAATGCACACGTTTTTCATTTTCAGTTTCTCCGCGGGCTCAGTTTAATGTTCCTAATTCTTATAATAATAGTGATATTCGTCATGATAATTCCCCTAGTAGTTCTTGGTCGAAAAACTGCTTACGCACAATTTATGATCGCTATGTTTGATTATATACTCGCAATGTAAGTAATCACACCTTTATTTAATTGTTTCTTTAATTTTTGCAGGGCTGGAGTTGTCGTTCCCATTATTTGCTTGATATTTTTGAGAAAAAAGAAGAATTTGCCAATTTTTGTAAGCCTAGAATTTGTTTTTTTTTTTCAAATTCCTTTTTTTGCAGAACAAAATCAGGTGTTTTCAAAGAACCCACACAAATTTCAAGCAAATTACACCCGCCAATTTAACGTATCTCAACACCGAAACATATTTTGACCAACTTCAAAACTCTTGGAAAATTTGATCTACCCGCGAAACATTTTTGGTTTTTCAACAACAAAAAAAAAATTTTTTTTCTTGGCGAGCCGAAAAATCAGTCACCTTCAGTTCTCTGCTCGAAAAGAAAAATCGACGAAAAATGGCGAATATGATGGCGATGATTGAAAAATTCGGTGAATTGATGAATCTTGGAGCATGCATCGATTTTTTGCCCGTTTTTCAATGTGAAGCAATGCTGGAGGATTTCGCCAAGATCAAGTGAGTTCATCTCGACGAGATGGTATTCTTGAAATTTTCTGAAATTGCCTCTAACATGCTGAAAACGTTCCCGCGCGCTGAAAAAAAATAAAAATGAATTTTTCTTCTGCAAACACCGTGACGCGCAAATGCACACATGTTGTATTACCGTAGTTTGAGGCCGCGCAAAAATTGTTTTTTTTTGTCTTCCGCTAGCGCTACGAAAAGCCTGTAAAAAAACGAATTTCCGGAATTCCAGACGTCAAGAGAAATCGCCAACCACTCCAGTCTACCTAGCAACTTCTCTCATCTGGCGACATCAATCAGCATCCGGAGAAATTCCCGAAAAAAGCTTCATCGATGTCCGCTTCTCACCCAAATACTATTATCAATTGATTTTGACACAATCATTAGAGCAAGGCAAACCAATCACAACTCTTGTTCGCTTTATCAATCGCGAGAATTGTGAGAATATTATTGATGCTCGTCCAGCGGTTGAAGTTGCTCATGAATGGGTTGCTGGACTTTTGCGATTGTTCAATTATGCTAACATTGATATTGCACCAGTAAGTGATTCTGCTGGATTTTAAGACCCCAAAAATCAATATTCTGTTTTTTTCCAGCCATGCATCAATCTTCTAAAAGCTGAACTCAAAGCAGAAGGCCAAAACGTGACAATTCGCGGATATTGGGATTCGAGAGAATTGGGCATTGTTGAGAGTTGGTTGGGTGGTTTCAAACTCATCCAATTTTTGACTCTTTATGGTGGTCCATCAGCGGCTCAAGTCAAACATTCGAAAATTTTGAGTAGTGCGCATGGTGTTACTGTTCACGGTTTATCGGATATTGATGATGAAGCTTTGTTGCTTACACATGGTCCACTTCTTTATGTTTATGGAACTACTTTGAAGAATGTCACTGGATGTGGACTCAATGATCTTCTTACGGTAAGTTTTTGGGAATTTGAAGACTGCAGGGGCTATTATCGAAAATCTCATCGGTACCACGCGCTCCAACACGCAACGCAGACCGCGTCGCGCCACAACACACACAAAAAAGGGAGGGAATTTCATGAATCGTTCCCTTTTTTGTGTGTGTTGTGGCGCGACGCGGTCTGCGTTGCGTGTTGGAGCGCGTGGTACCGATGAGATGTTCGATAATAAGTTAGCTTAACTTCCACAAAATCTCCATTTTTTTGCAGAGTTTCAAAAAATTGCCCAACTACAAACGAGAAATCCATCTCGAAGGATGTTTGGAGCCAAATTTCCAACAGCGAATCATTGAACATTTCCGCTCGAAAAATTTGCTCAGATTTTGCACTTTTAACGTGGAATTGAATGAAATGCACTTGGAATGCAAAGAAGGTGACCATCTATTAACGGTTGAAACACATCAAAACAAGTGTTATATCAAATTTATCAGTGAGAAAGAAGAGAAAGAGGAGGAAAAGGAAAGAAAGGAGAGAGAGAAGGAAAAGAATAGAAAAAAGTAATTTTTTTTTGAATTTGCTCACAATTATTATTTCTAACATTTTTTGTTTTATTTGAGCTTTATTTGCTATTTTTGAGATTTTGAATCAATCACACTATTTCCATGAATTTTGTAACTGTTGAAAATAAATATTGGATTCATGATCTGGCACTTTTTCGGGTTTCCGTCGAATTGGTTGGATTTTTCGAGTCAGAAAGCATTTTCGCAAAAAGGCGGGGTTTTTTAATTTGTGGAGCGCGACGAATTTGCCGATTGGAAAGAAGATGAATGCACTGGAAATTTTGGTGATTTTCAGCCTGAAATTTTCCGAACTTACACAGCAATCGCAGGATCTAGAAGCCACATTATATCGAAAAATGAGTATTCGGTTGAAAAAACTGTGGACCATGGAAAAATGATGACAAAAATCAATATTGAATTGAGGCCGATGAATTGGAAACCCATCCCGCGCAGGTACTGTAAATTTTGAAGTTTGAACTACAAAATATGTGTCAGCAAAGAGTTGTTGACGCAGTTTTCGTTTTGGAGAATTCTAGGCTACCGAAAATACGTCAGCAAAAAATCGTAAAAACTGATAATTAGCTACAAAATTCGCGCCAGCATAAGTTGTCTGGCGTTCATTTTGTACCCTCAAAAATCATCATTTTGGAGCTGACGCAAATTTTGTAGTCTCTAAAACCGTGTAATTTGGGTCTACCCAAAAGACGTCAGTTAAGTTTCGCTGACGCATTTTTCAAAATCCTGGAACTTCAGTGATTTTGAGGCTTCCAGAAATGTGCCAGCAAAAATCATTGACGCAAATTTAGTAACAAAAAATGCACAGTTTTCCGTTCTACAAAAAACACGCCAGCATTAAATCCCTGGCGCATATTTGGTAGTTTTCAAATTCGTTTTTTTTTCCTCACCCACATAACCTTCAAATTCTCCTCAATTTGATATTTCCTACTCAACGTGTAAAATAATTGATTCTTTTTGAGATGTTCTAACTTGGCCAAATTTATCGAATACAAAAAATTGAGAGCAATAAAAGATCCGATAGTTATAATTGCAAAAGCAAGAATTGGCCAAAATAAGGGAGGTCGATAGAAAATACAAGGAATAACTAGGAATTGAGAAATGAGAAAAATTAGAGGAAGATAGATTAGAGACATCCAAAGACGTTGATTTTTTTCGTAATCTGAGACGAAGTATGTGGCAAAGATTCTGGAAATTGAACAGAAATCTTAAAATTTTCATTTCAAAAAAATCTTACCTTTCAATAACCACAACTGGAATACAAACAATAACATTGGCGTAAAATTCGAGTCGAACAATACTTGCAAAAAATAAAATATTCGAGGAGACATCCAGAAATCGTAATTGCACCAAAAGTATATAAAATCTTCCGATTCCTCCCGCAACATCCCAAAAATTAGCGAAATACAAAATAATCGAGATACTTTTGTGGAAAATTGAGATTGATGTGATCATCCAAATCGAATAAGTTATCAAAACTAGAGATGGTAGAATAATGATAAATTCTAGCCAGAAAATCGCCAAATTTAGGGGTGAAAGCGGGTCAGAGAATTTTGTGAAAATCGGGATGTTATAGGAAATTCCATGAAAATTGTGGGAGATCAATGGGATTTCAGAAAACATAGACATGTTTTCCATCAAAAAAACAACAAGGAAATGACAGAAGAAAATTATAATTGATAGTTGGTTGGATGTTTTGCAAAAATGAATAATCATCTCAAAAATCTCGGAAATTTTATGAATTATTGATTCACAAAACAAAACAAAAAGAAACAAACAATAAAAATACAGAAAACAAAAATACGGGGGGACGGGGGAAAAACACATCAAGTTATTCGGTTTTGCGAGGAGCAGGACGATATTGTTTGAGGCGAGGATGTTCGAGTCGATATTTTTTGACTTCTTTTTGTTGAGCTTGTGTTAGAGCACGCCAAAATTCTGGAGCCATATGGCCCAACCATTTTTCCTGGAAATTATACCGTTTTTTTTTTCATTTTTCAATAAATATCGAAGATTTTAAGCCTAATTTTCAGTAATTCAAAAACACTTTGAATTCGAGATGTTCGATTGAAATCGATGATTTTTTATTTTTTGCTGAGATTCGTAATTCACAAACTTTTCAATTTTAATTTTCAAAAAAAAATCCAGTAAATGTTTACCTTATCCTCCGGAAGCTCCACAATGTTTCTCGATTTCTCCGCGATCCTCTCCACAAATTCTTGCCCTTCCATCTCTTTCTTCTCCTCATTTCCAACATTTTCATGTGCTCCATCAGGGTTATCATATGACTTTTCTTGTTTAGCATACTTGCGATCTTCGATTTTCGATTTGTATGCACATTTGAGTCGCTGGAAAAATTTATATTGAAATATGAATTTTTTTAATTTCAAAAATTAGATCCGAACTCACATCCTTCCAACGATCAACAATTTCTAAACCATCAACCCGCTTCAACATTTCTTCAAGAATTTCAACAGAGTTCAAATCATTCGGCAAAACCTTTGACATACAATGGGTGATCAAATTGATCTCAGCACAATGTGGCCAAGATGTTGATAATTTGACTAATTCGGCATAATCCGAAATTGTTGGTGATTCAATCGAACTCCATGGATAAACAATATTAGGCTTTGTTGGGAAATACAACACGTTAAACCATTCTTGTAGATACAGTTTTACAAACCAAGGATGGTTCAGTTTCTGCAAAAATATTCATGTTTTCAAACTTGAAAAGCGATAAAATCCAACCTCCCATTCTTTCACCAAATAATCGACATCCAATTGAATCTCATCATTGATTTTACAAAGTTCGAAAACTTGAACCAGCATGCTGGCTGAAAAAAGATTCATAAACTTCTGATAGATATCGCCGAAAAAAATTCAACCTACCTAGAAAATCGTATTTTCCACTCAAATTAACATCAACAGGGAACGAATAAATGCGCAACATGCTCAAAATCAAATCCTGTATGAAATCCTTGGAAAACTTCAAATCCTCAATTGGCAGATCTTTTCCAATTGTCAACAAAACATTCGATACATTTTTCGATTCTGGCAAATTGATCGATTTGATGCACATTCGGAAGATTCGCTCATAAGATAGAATATTGTCAGGTTTGGCGGATATCAACACTTTTATAAACTTTGAAATTTGTTTATCGGATGATAATTTGTTGATTCCATTTCCAATTTGAAAATATAAACTATTCTCATTGTTGCTGTAATCTCCAGAGAAAAATTCTTCACCAATTTCGAGGGTTTTCTTGAGTGATTCGGGAAGATTTTTCAGAGCTTGGATGATTTGCTTTTGATTTTTATTGTCCATCGAATGACAACAAATTTGGAAAAGCATTTGATTGACTTCTTGAATATCAAAAAGCGCATAAAATGCTCTGATTGCATCTCCAGCTTCATTAGATGTGATAAAATGATTTTCTCCGGATTTTCCAGGAAGCGCCAGATAAAACAATTTATAAACATCTTCAGTTTCCTTTGCTCGCGACATAATCTCATTTGGTGAATAGCCAAGGAATCTGCTCATCGTTGATTTGCCGAATTTGTCGAGTTTCTCAAAAATTGCAGCGATTTCTTCTTCTGAAATTTGGCCGAATAATCGAGTGATTGCTTTCAAAGCGGCATTTCCGCAACGAATATCAACAATTTTGAGGATTTCTTCAGATTTTTCCAGGATTTGCTCGAGTTGATTGGATGTTGTGAAGACTTCGACACATTGAGAAGCAGTTGCTGTGAAATCGCCAAATCCTCGCATTTTCAATGAAGTTGAGAGCATCTGGAAAAATACAAGTGTAAATAGGTATTTAAAATGGAACTGTTAGAAAATTACATCATCAACATCTTTCACAGAAATTTCGAAACCAAGGCTTTTCCTCGAGGATATTGAATTCAATCGATCGATAATTCCATGGTTCGAAAGAACCTCGATATCAGATGTTTTCAGGGCTGGCACCAACAAATCGAAATATTTGTCAACATTGTTGCTGAAACTCAAATCTCCTTCATCTGTCCATTTTTTCTCCTCGCACAAATTCTTCAACTTTTTCACCACCTCCTTCAAAATCGTCAATTCACCATCAACGTCGATTGAATTGTTCCATGCATTTGAATATTTTCTACTCTTGTCCGCTTGAATAAATATGAATCCTCGTTGATAACAAAGAAACATAAAACAAGTTTTGACAATTTTGAATAATTCTTCGAAGACTTTGCGCAACTCATTGATATTTGTGTGGAAGTTGGGATTTTCGAAAGGCCAGAAGTTATTGAGACCAATTTTGTTCAATTCTTCAATCAATTTCGCGACATCCTCTCCAATATTTTTAATTTTGCAAGCATTTCGAAATATTGGATCGATTCCATCGAGAAATGAAGAGAATTTTGATTCAAATGATCGAACATTCGTGTTTCTCTCTACTTTTGTCGGAGCCTTCTGTTGGAATACGATTGTGCTTGTTGATTGTTCGGATTGTTGATTCGAGCATTCTCTAACTTCATCCTTTCGCTCTCTGGTGTTCCCGACAGCTGGCTCTCGTTGATTTCTCCAACTCGATTGTTGCCTCTGAACTTCAGGTTTTCGCCAATTTTCCGATTGATCTGCTCTTCGAGGTCTCGTAGCAAAGCTAGTTTGATTTTTTGAAGGACTTTCAAAGTGTTGCACATGTGATTGAGGTTTTTGAGCCGCTTCGAAGTGTTGTTCTCGAGGTTGAGGCTTTTGAACAGCTTGCAAGTGTTGCACTTGTGGTTGCGGACCATCAGTTGTTGTCGTATTTTCGACAGATTTCAATGGCGGACGTTTGCTGCCATCACGGCGACGGTTATATTTCTTTTGACCCATCTGAAAAAAATATAATTTATTTTGGAGAAAAATCGTTTTCCAACAGCAAATCGAGAGGGGGCTCACATTATGGGCAAGAAAAATAAAAATATAACCTAAAATTTTAATATTTTCAAACGTGGCCTAAATTTTTGAACTAATTATCTCAGAAATACATAGAGATTTCGTCATTTCTTGGTGCTTGCGTGGTCCTAAGCTGTTCTTCCGATGTTTTACAACGAATTACAGAACTCTGAAAGCAACAAAAACGGCTGAAAAGGATTGAAAAAAGGTGAAAAAAAAAAGAAAAAGAAAAGAAAAAACGAGACCGCCTGTGCATGGTCTCACCACGATTTCACCACGTCACACAAAAAGTGTGCGTTCCTTTAATTACTGTACGTCAAAAAATGTTTTTTTTTCAATTTTCAGCCAAAAAAAATTTATTTCCAGGAATTCTGCAATTGATCAAAGTAAATATTCGTCTCATTTTGAAGATTGATAGGTTTCACACATTTTATATCAATTCGCTTATTTGCTGTTAATCGAAATAGCCATTGGATTTTCCGGAGAAATGCTGGATTTTTGGATTTGTATAACATGAGCAATGCAGCGATTGGGAAGAGAAGCACACCACTAGGAATTCAAATTTTGGTGAGTTTTTCAGTTTTTTTTAACTACCTTGTCAAAAAAATATCATGAAAAAACAAAAGATCTTTCAATTCCAAATCGATAATTAAAAATTTGTCCCATGGAATTATTATCGCAATTATTGTAAATACAATAACAATTATATAAACTATAAAACCAATTTGACGAAGATTCTGAAACATTTTAAATATTTAGCTAAAGCTAAAGCCTTCAAATTTCAAGCTTAAGCTAACCCCCATAACTTTCAAATTCTCTTCAAGTTGATATTTTTTACTCAAAGTATATAACATAGGATTCCGTTTTATGTTAAGCATAGTTTTCTTGTTTATAGAATATAAAACATTGAAAAGCCCAAATAATGCGCAGAATATAAAGAGTTCTGCGAGCCAATGAAACATCGATAATCTCCAAAATAATACGGGATAAACTAGGAGTTGAGAAATTGAGAAAATCAATGGGAGAAGTATAAAACTTATCCATTTTCGTGGGTTTTTCTCGTAGTCTGAGACAAAATATGTGGCGAAAAATCGCTCCACAATTATCATTATAACACAAATTATACCATTGATATAGAATTCGAGGCGGAAAATTGATGAGGCAAATAATAAGAGAGGGGATTCTGAAAAACTAGAATTTTTATAGAATAAAAATTGGACAAACCTTCGAAAACATTCAAAATAATCAATAAACTGTAAAATCTCCCCAGTTGCCCGAATACCGCGAAAAAATAGATATAAACCAGGATATTGAAAATATTTTTATGAAAAATTGAAAGACTTTGGGAAACCCAGATATAAATCGATATTGCTATCAAAGCAGGAAAACAAAGAAATAATTCAAAATAACAGAAAATTATTTGAATAAATTCGAAATTTGTCTGAAAGCACGGTATATTGTATTGAAATCCATTGAAAATTCCAATTCTGAATGGGATTTCAGAGCTCAAAAATTCAAACATTTTTGAAAGCAAATTCATGTTCATTTTCTTCTTTTTGTTTTTTTTATAAAAATAATAATTACACCTGCTTTTTTTTCGTTTTTTTTACTTCCACGCATTTTTTAGTTGATTGAAATTGGCGGTGAAATTTTGATTTTTTGAACTGGAATCTGGATTCGGAAGAGGCAGCGGATTTTACGCAAAAATGCAGAGTTCATTTTTTTGTAGAGGATGTAGAGGACGATTGCTGGGAAGCAAACAGCACTGCTGAAAATTCAACGATACTCCAGGTTTACACCTTCCCTACTTACCTTGTTATACAAATATCCAGATAAAAATGTATGTCCTCATGTTGCAACATCAAAATCAATACCAAAAGCAACTTTCCAAAAAACTTTACAACGACACTCCGGCTTGCCCGTTGTTTAGCGCAACACGAGAATATTTTCATTTTTCGTTTTTCTTTGCTGGGTTTTGGGGTTTCAGTGGATTTCAGTCAAAAATTTCTCTGAAAATATCTATAGAAACAGAAAAGGAGTTAGCAGAACTCAATGATGCATGAAAAATTCAAATTTTCTGATTTTCAGCTTTGGATTTCAATGTCAATAACGTGGAAAACTTGAAGGATCAAGGATTTTGATTGGGATTTGAGAAATAGAAGCGAGTTTGGTGAGTTTTTTGTGGAGGGATTTGGGAAAAATTTGAAAAATTGAGGCCCAAAAATCTAGTTCTTAGAGAGTCTAGAGAAATCACAGATGTTAGAGACGCAGATCCACGTGAACGATTCTTAACTATAGTCTTGTTTGGTATCAAATTGTTGCTTATCAAAAATGCTATCATAAAAATTTATATTTTGCTCCAAATTAATTAGGAGCACAATAATTATCAGTATCACAAGTATACGATTCACAAACATAATATCTAGGCGCATTATAAGCATTGATTACTGTCCAAGCAACACCATCCCCATTTCCATAATTCAACACCACAGTATTCGAAGCTGTGATATTCGGTATCACATTATCAGGAAAACCTGTCCATCCACTTGTATTTAAAGGCACATTGCTCATGCTAAGCGGTTGTTCCCAATTCCAAATTCCATTTTTCACTGATAATCCAATATAATAACCAGACTCGATTGTCGGATTATTCATGGTTTCGAAAATGAAATCATGTTTTTGTTGGGAGAATTCGGTGGCCAAATATCCGGTTGCCACCAGGTTTTGACACGTGTATTTGGCGGAAATCCAGGTGGATTGAAGTGACGCGGAACGGAGACAGATTCCGTTGGAGGTGTATTGTGTCCACTGATCCGGGCAGAAACAATTGACTGGAAACAGAACTAGACTATAGTTTGATTTCTAACTCACTTTTCAACAAACTGCTATGAAGTGCCAAAACTAAATCATCCAAATTTGAAGAAAAACTAAATCCGGGCGATGAAATCTGGTCCAATTTCTCTTTGAGCACCGGATCCGGACCATCATCATAAATAGCCACTGTGATTATCTGAACGCCCGCTGATTTCAATCGATCCGCCATTACAACTGGATTCCCTTGCCCTGATGTTCCGTACTGGGCGGCAAACAAGATCACAACTTGTTTATAATTGTTGCGGGTTCCATTTGCTCGCCCTGAACTCAACGCGAATTCTGCGGTTGATAATCCAAGATCCAGATAAGAATCAGGAGTCTCACTCACACTTCCCAAACCCATAAACACTCCCTCAATCAGATCGTCATATGAAGTCCAAGTGTCTAGATTTGCATTGAGAATTGGTGACTTGTTATAAGTCACCAGGGCAATCCGGGTAGATCTAGGGTCCGCGTAATTTGAGCCAATTCTTGTGCCATTTCCGAAAGTTGTGGCGATTGTTGCGGCGATTCGATTGAGGCTGCTAGAATCCATGAAACTTGAGTGATCTACGACGATAACAACATCGAGCCAGAGGTTGAAAGTGCTTTCACCGCATGAGCGATCGGATTGGGCTTGGGCTGGGCTTAGGCTGAGCAATAGGGCTAGGCCTAGGCCTAGGAATATTATAGGCTTCATTTCTTCCCGAAAAAGAAAAAAAATGAATTGATTGTTATCAGTTTTTTCACTGATAACTACATAAATAGTCCGAAAAATGATGCAAAGATAATTTTTGGGGGCACAAATAAAATCATTTTTTGGATGTTCACAAATCGAAAAATCATCTAGGAACTTTGTTACTGGGTACTGTAGGGTTACTGTAGAAAATATTCTGAAATGAAGTAGATAAAATTTTTGTAAAATTTTAGGGTATTGTAAAAAATATTCACATAATTTGCCACGTGGTCCATTTGTAGGGTTACTGTAGAAATTGTTTCGATCAAAAAAATGTAGATCAAATTGTTAGAAATATTTGCCACGTGGCTTTTTTCCAGGGCTACTGTAGAAAAAGTTCTGAAAAATGGTAGATCAAAATTTGCTACGTGGCGAGGTTACTGTAGAAAATATTCTGAAAAAAATGTAGATCAAATTTTTGTATAATTTTAGGGTACTGTAAACGATTTCCACATTATTTGCCAAGTGGTCCTTTTTCCAGGGTTACTGTAGAAATTCTTTCGATCAAAAAAATGTAGATCAAATTTTCGAAAATATTCGCCACGTGGCTTTTTCTCCAGTGGTACTGTAGAAAAAGTTCTGAAAAAATGGTAGATCAATTTTTTTGCCACGTGGAGTTTTCTCAGGGTTACTGTAGAAAAAGTTCCGAAAATTTGCGACGTGGTATCTCTTTGGATTACTGTACAAAAAAATTCCAAAAAATGGTAGATCAATTTTTTGCCACATGCAAATTATATTTGTTTCGAACTGAAAAAATTACTGTACCTTGAACTGCAAGGATTACTGTATCCTCGAAAGGAAAAGTATATTTTTTGACAGAATTTTTACTGTATCACAATTCCTGCAAAACAAAACGTCGTGCAAAACTCTGTTGTAAAAAATTACCATAATCAAATCAAAACATCGTGCAAAAACTGTATATCATAATCGAATTAGGAATCCCCTACATAAAAGAGAGCCTTGGAGACTCCAAAAATCATCGGAAAATGAAATTTCTAATCTCATCTTCCCTGCTTCTTCTAGCAATTGTTGTAGTAAATGCATCTTTCGATTATTATGGGTAAGTTCTACGACACTCCGCGTTTACACCTTAAATGCGGAGGAGCGTTGTAGTTTGCAGGATTCTAATGAATTTTCATGTACAGCTCAGAATCTTCATCCTCCGAAATAAATAGAAAATCTGCTTTCGGACCGAAAAGACCACCAAGACCTCCACCGCCAACAAGAACAAGGCCACCAAGGCCTCCAACAACAAGACCTCCACGGGAGTGGCCAACATTTACAATCGAGTTGCCACCTTGGCCACCACAAGATCCACCACCACAAGATCCAAATACTTATCCACTTCCACCTGTAGATCAGAATGGCAATCCATTGCCACCATATTATCCGTATGGAAGATAATTTTGTATTTACATTTTTTTTTGGGTGTCAGGGGTTTTTTTTAAATAAAATTTTGAGTGGGCAAAAAATTTCGAAGCTGAAGTTCAAAGTTGATCAAGAAAATTTGAAGTAATATATTTCTTGAATAAAAAAAAAGGAAATATTTTCAACATTTTGATCTACCATTTTTTTGGAACAGCTTCTACAGTAACCCAATGAGAATCTACGCGTCGAATTTTTTGAAACCTTTTTTCTACAGTAACCCTGAGAGAACTCCACGTGAGCTGTACATAAAAATTCTTTAGAATCCAAGGTGTAAACGCGGAGTGTCGTAGAACTTACTCATAATAATCGAAAGATGCATTTACTACAATAATTGCTAGAAGAAGCAGGGAAGATGAGATTAGAAATTTCATTTTCCAATGATTTTTGGAGTCTCCAAGGATCTCTTTTATGTAGGGGATTCCTAATTCGATACAGTTTTTGCACGATGTTTTGATTTGATTATGGTAATTTTTTACAACACACACACACACATTTTTTGCACGATGTTTTGTTTTGCAGGAATTGTGATACAGTAAAAATTCTGTCAAAAAATATACTTGCGAGGTTACCGTAATCCTTGCAGTTCAAAGCTTATTTGATCAAGAAAATTTGCAAAAATCATTTTGATCTACCAAATTTTTGGAACAGCTTCTACAGTAACCCAATGAGAATCCGCGTGTCAAATTTTCGGAACCTTTTTCTACAGTAACCCTGAGAAAACTCCACGTGGCAAGTATTTTCAAAATGTTGATCTACCAAATTTTTGGAACAATTTTTTTCTACAGTAACCCAATGAGAATCCGCGTGTCAAATTTTTCGGAACCTTTTCTACAATAACCCTGGGAAAACCCCACGTGTCAAAAAAATTTGATCTATCATTTTTTGGAATTTCCTCTACAGTAACCCTTGAAGCCACGTGGAAAAAGTTTAATCAACATTTTTTTGTTCAAGGTTACTGTATTCGGACTACAAAGTGTATACTGTAGCCCAATTTTTTTCAAACTCAAAGTTCCGAAAAAAATTGTAGATCAAATTTTTCACTGTACAAAAAAACTTTATTTCCACGAATTCTTCAACTGATCAAAGTACACATTTGTCTCATTCTGAACATTTGGCGATATTTTAATTGTTCGCGCGGAATCCGCAAGCGGAACGCGGATGCGGAAAAGCCATCTGATCTTGCGCAAAAATACAGAATTCTCGAATTTGTATAAAATGTAGAGCATGATCGATGGGAAAATGAGAGAGCCGCTGGAAAAATTAAGACCTTAGGGACCTTAGGAACCTTAAATCTTACCTAGTTAGACATGTGTCAAGATAGAAAAAAATATCAGCAAAATTCAAATCAAACAATTTCCAGGGAAATAAAATTAGAATCATGAATAGGCAGATGAACCCAAATATCAGATAACCCAAGCGCAGAAGATACTGTAATTAATTAATTAATTAAGGGATTGCTCATGTTAACTCACCCACATAACCTTCAAATTCTCCTCAAGTTGATATTTTTTGCTCAAAGTATATAACATTGGATTTCGTTTAATGTTAAGCATTGTTTTCTTGTTGATTTGATACAAAATTTTTTGAATTCCCACAATTCCGCTGATTATTAGTAATTCAATGATTACGGCGTAGAAGGGGACTTTTTTCAAGAATAGAAAATAGACGAAAAATTGGGAGATTGTGAAATTTGCGGGGAGAAGTAGGCAACTTATCCAAACTCGATGATTTTTCTCGTAATCTGACACGAAGTAGGTGGCGAGAATTCTGAAAATTATTGGTTGAGAAGCCTTGAGAAGCCTTGGGAAGCCTTGGGAAGCCTTGGGAAGCCTTGAGAAGCCTTGGGAAGCCTTGAGAAGCCTTGGGAAGCCTTGAGAAGTCTTGGGAAGCCTTGAGAAGCCTTGAGAAGCCTTGGGAAGCGTTTGGAAGCCTTGGAAAGCCTTGGGAAGCCTTGGGAAGCCTCGGGAAGCCTTGGGAAGCCTTGGGAAGCCTTGGGAAGCCTTGGGAAGCCTTGGGAAGCCTTGAGAAGCCTTGGGAAGCCTTGGGAAGCCTTGGGAAGCCTGGGGAAGCCTTGGGAAGCCCTGAGAAGCCTTGGGAAGCCCCGGGAAGTCTTGAGAAGCCTTGAGAAGCCTTTGGAAGCCTTAGGAGGCCTTGGGAAGCCTTGAGAACCCTTGGGAAGCCTTGGGAAGCCTTGAGAAGCCTTGAGAAGCCTTGGGAAGCGTTTGGAAGCCTTGGAAAGCCTTGGGAAGCCTTGGGAAGCCTTGGGAAGCCTTGAGAAGCCTTGAGAAGCCTTGGGAAGCGTTTGGAAGCCTTGGAAAGCCTTGGGAAGCCTTGGGAAGCCTTGGGAAGCCTTGGGAAGCCTTGGGAAGCCTTGGGAAGCCTTGGGAAGCCTTGGGAAGCCTTCGGAAGCCTTGGGAAGCCTTGGGAAGCCTTGAGAGGCCTTAGGAAGCCTTGGGAAGCCTTGGGAAGCCCTGAGAAGCCTTGGGAAGCCCCGGGAAGTCTTGAGAAGCCTTGAGAAGCCTTTGGAAGCCTTAGGAGGCCTTGGGAAGCCTTGAGAACCCTTGGGAAGCCTTGGGAAGCCTTGAGAAGCCTTGAGAAGCCTTGGGAAGCGTTTGGAAGCCTTGGAAAGCCTTGGGAAGCCTTGGGAAGCCTCGGGAAGCCTTGGGAAGCCTTGGGAAGCCTTGGGAAGCCTTGGGAAGCCTTGGGAAGCCTTGAGAAGCCTTGGGAAGCCTTGGGAAGCCTTGGGAAGCCTGGGGAAGCCTTGGGAAGCCCCCGTAACTTTCTGGATAACCTAACAAAGTTAGGGTAACTATTAAAAAGCTCGGCGTCATCCGCGGAGTGTCGTAGTAAATACAAAAATTAATTTTATTTTTTTTGTCAAAAAAAAAATGTCTGATAGTTCTTCTAACTCCAAAAATCTCTCAAATAATTATTTTTGAACACATTTTTTTCTGAGAAAACACACAAATATTCAGAAAATGTATAATTAATTTTTAAGACATTAGAGAAATCAAAAAATAATCTAAAATTAAGATTTTTGAACATACCTCTCAAAAACCACCATCACAATAACTATCACACTATTCATATAAAATTCAATTCTTAAAAGTGAGGCCACAAATAATATTGATGGATTTTCAGCTGAAAATTATTGTTTTTTGTTAGAAAATATTTAAAAAATTCCCCTGTACCTTTGAAAAAAAACTTGATTTGAAACAACAAAATCAAAAATCTCGCCAAACTTCCAATCAAAAACCAAAAAATACGAAAAAACCAGCAAAATCGACACATTTTTATGTAAAACTGAAATTGTTGTGATCACCCAAACATAAATTGATACAGTAATCAATGCGGGGACTAATATGAGCAATTCGAAATAACATGTAAGGGTTTCAAAATAGGTTAGATGATTTTTAAAGCCAGGAATGTTGTAGGGAATATTGGAGAAGTTGCGGGAAGTCCACGGGATTTCAGAGAGCAGGGAAGACATTTTTTTTTCTGAAAATATGATGATTTTGGCTGAAAAAAACTGAAAACAATAATAAAAAGAATCTTCTTCCTCTTCTTTATAATTAAGTCGACAAAAAATAAAAAAAAACTTTATTTTTCTCATTTTCTACTCAAAACCTATTTCCTGAAGTTATCGTAAGTCATTTCTTCTCATTTCCACGAATTCTGCAATTGATCAAAATAGACTTTGCTCTCGTCGCGGAAAACCGGCGCGATTTGAATTGTTGGTTGCGGAAGCGGAAGCGGAATGCGGAAAAGCCATCGGATTTTACGCAGAAATGCAGAGTTTTCGGATTTGTAGAGGGTGTAGAAGACGATGAGCGGGACAATTATAGAGCATCTAGGGAAAATTGATTTTAGGAAGCCTTGGGAAGCCTTGAGAAGCCTTGAGAAGCCTCGGGAAGCCTCGGGAAGCCTTGGAAAGCCTTGAGAAGCCTTGAGAAGCCTCGGGAAGCCTCGGGAAGCCTTGGAAAGCCTTGGAAAGCCTTGAGAAGCCTTGGGAAGCCTTGAGAAGCCTTGGGAAGCTTTGAGAAGCCTTGAGAAGCCTTGGGAAGCCTTGGGAAGCCTTGAGAAGCCTTGAGAAGCCTTGGGAAGCCTTGGGAAGCCTTGAGAAGCCTTGGGAAGCCTTGGGAAGCCTTGGGAAGCCCTGGAAAGCCTTGAGAAGCCTTGGGAAGCCTTGAGAAGCCTTGGGAAGCCTTGGGAAGCCTTGAGAAGCCTTGGGAAGCCTTGTGAAGCCTTGGGAAGCCTTGGGAAGCCTTGGGAAGCCTTGAGAAGCCTTGGGAAGCCTTGAGAAGCCTTGGGAAGCCTTGGGAAGCCCTGGGAAGCCTTGAGAAGCCTTGGGAAGCCTTGAGAAGCCTTGGGAAGCCTTGGGAAGCCTTGGGAAGCCTTGAGAAGCCTTGGGAAGCCTTGGGAAGCCCTGGGAAGCCTTGGGAAGCCTTGGGAAGCCCTGAGAAGCCTTGGGAAGCCTTGGGAAGCCTTGGGAAGCCTTGGGAAGCCTTCAGAAGCCCTGGGAAGCCCTGGGAAGCCTTGGGAAGCCTTGGGAAGCCTTGGGAAGCCTTCAGAAGCTCTCAGAAGCCCTGAGAAGCCTTGGGAAGCCTTAAGAAGCCTTGGGAAGCCCTGGAAAGCCTTGAGAAGCCTTGGGAAGCCTTGAGAAGCCTTGGGAAGCCTTGAGAAGCCTTGGGAAGCCTTGGGAAGCCCTGGGAAGCCTTGGGAAGCCTTGGGAAGCCCTGAGAAGCCTTGGGAAACCTTGGGAAGCCTTGGGAAGCCTTGGGAAGCCTTGGAAGCCCTTGATCTTACCCTGCGATGCATACATCCAAATAAACTATAACATCAGATAAGTTCAGCTGAAAATCGAATAAATGCTTCCATGGAAATAGCATCACAATTGTGAAAAGACACGCGAAAACGATAATTGAGATTCCGATGCGACGAAGAAACTGAAATTAATTTCAGGTTAGGGTGAAGCTCGCCGAGCTGATCAAAATGTGCTAAAAATTAGTTTTAAAGCTCTTGAAAATTGAGCACACATGGTGTAGGCGGTAAGTTGCTAGATTCATGTGTGAGAGGTTGCGAGTTCGAGCCCGCCTGTGGACTTTTTTTTTTCAATTTTTTTGCCGCTTGCGGGCTAAAACTCACCCACATAATCCTCAAATTCTCCTCAATCTGATATTTCTTACTCAACGTATATTCCATCGAATTTTTTTCCATCTTTTTCAAAGTTCTCCAATTCACCCAATACAAAATATTGAAAAATCCCAGCAATCCACAGACGAACAACATTCCGATGGCTCCATAGATTACCAAAACTTTTTTCAAAAAAAGCGGAAGGCTTAGGAATTGTGAGAAGATGAAAAATATCGGGAGAAATAGATAACTTATCCAAACTCGATGATTTTTCTCGTAATCTGAGACGAAGTGAGTTGCGAGAACTCTGAAAAACTTGAAATTTAGGAATTTTAAAAGGACATAGAGGATAAACCACCTCATTGCTCATATTAGGCTGATCATTTTGAGACCAAACAAGGCATGCTTTTATGGGCGTGGCTTGAAATTAGGGTACTTCAAAGGGACATACAGTAGCTCAGAAGGAGCTTAGGCTCCTACCACAAAACCATGCATTGTTTGGTCTCAAAATGATCAGCCTAATATGAGCAATGGTATAGGCATAGTTTTGTAGGAGTGGCTCAAATTCAGGGTACTTTAAAGGGACATACAGTAGCTAAGCCTTGTTTGGTCTCAAAATGATCAGCCTAACATGAGCAATGAGTTGGGCCCATTCTTACCTTTCTATAACTACCATTGGAATAGTCATCGGGCAACAAATATAAAATTCAATTCTCAAAAATGATGCCAAAAATAGGATTATTGGGTATTGATCTATAGAAAAAACAGAAAATTTTAAATTTTAAAAAATAAAAACCTTCAAAAAAATGCAATTGAATCAATAAAATCGGAATTCTCGCCAAAGCCCCCAAAAAATACCAAAAATACGCCCAAATCAATAAAATCACCACATTTTTATGAAAAAGTGAAATCGTAGTGATCACCCAAACATAAATCGATACAACAATCATTGCCGGGATTAATATGAGCAATTCCAGATAACAGGAAAATATGTTTTGAGGTTCGAGAGTTTCCAGAAATCCTGGAATGTTGTAGGAAGTTCCGAAGAGACTTCTAGAAGTCCAAGGAACTTCAGCAAATAGAATATCAACTACATAAGACATTTTTGGTTTTGTTGATGAAAAAAAAAATGAAAAATAATTTTTTTTCTCATTTTTTTCTTGTTATTTTCTGCTTTTTCTGATGCTACTAATTAGAAAATCAACATTTTTTTTTTTTTTTTTTTTAGAAAAAAACACCTGTCTGATATACTTAGCCTAACTCCACACTTCTAAATATTTCTATATTTTTTTGTTCGAATGAGCTTCTGGGAAGCTAAATGCCCCTGGATCACTTCCGATTTCCATGGCTTATCCTACAAGATTCCGATTTACATTGCTCTCAAAGATCAGCAAGAAGATCTACTGAAGATCATTTTTTGGCTAGAATTTCTGATCTTGGCGCCATCGATTTTGCTGATGTCTTGGCTGATTTGGATGTTTACCAAGATCTCGCTATTTCATCGGAATATTTTGACACTTTTGCATTTTCAATGTGCACTTTTTGTTCTGGCGGGGGTGGCCAGGTTTTATTTATTGATTTTGCAATTGGGTATTTTGAGAGGTGAGTTTGAAGCTGGAAAAACTACGACGCTCCGCGTTTACACCACTCAAATTGAGGCATTTTGAGCTGAAATAGAGTTTGTAATCGTGAAAAACTACGATGCTCCGCGTTCACTCTTCAAAAACGCTGTGCAAACGATCCTCCAGGATTACAAGGACAAATTTTCTTATGAATCAATTTTAATTCAAAAGTGTAAACGCGGAGCATCGTAGTTTTTAAACAAGATTTTTCTCAAAATCAGTCACTGTCTGCGGATTCCTAGGAATTCTAGTTTGCAGCTGCAAATTTTAATTTCAAAAATTTTGATCAACACCCACGAAAAACTACAATGCTCCGCGTTTACACCTCTCAAATTGAGGCATTTTGTGCTAAAATAGACTTTGTAATCGTGGAGAATCGTTTGGATGTAGAAAAACTACGACGCTCCGCGTTTACACCACTCAAATTGAGGAATTTTGAGCTCAAATAGACTTTGTAATCATGGAGCATCGTTTGAAGATAGAATAACTACGACGCTCCGCGTTTGCACCACTCAAATTGAGGCATTTTGAGCTGAAATAGACTTTGTAATTGTGGAGCATCGTTTGAAGCTTGATAAACTACGATGCTCCGCGTTCACTCCTCAAAAACGCTGTGCAAACGATGCTCCAGGATTACGAGGACACATTTTCTTATGAATCAATTTTAATTTAAAAGTGTAAACGCGGAGCATCGTAGTTTTTTTGTGTTCAGGAACTAGATTTTTTCCAAATTTTCTACCGCTTCCTAGGAATTCTAGTTTGCAGCTGCCACGAAAAACTACAATGCTCCGCGTTAACGCCTTTCAAAATCTAGGTGTTTTTGACCCTGTAACCATGGAGCATCGTAGTTTTTCGAGTTCCAAACGATGCTCCGTGTTTACGCAAACTTCCAGATCCCTCTTCAACCCTTCTATTCATCTCAAGTCTAACCCGCATCGAATTCTACGCTTGCGCAATTTGTGGAGTTCCCCTAACTGTCATCGAAAGACTTCTAGCAACAATATTTGTGAAAGATTATGAACTAAAACATCGTCGATGGATTTGTTTGATAATAATTCCCGGAATCTGGATTCTTGCTCAATTTCTCGTCATTCCTTCGACTTTTCTTGAAGAAGTTCCCATGATTTTTCCATTATCTCTGATTGTTTTGATTTTTCTGATCTCAATCATCAGTTTCGGATTTTTATATCGATTTAATAAGCGAAAATTGGAACTGATTTTGAAAATTCATCCGAGGTTTTATAGTTTGAGCAAGAAATTTCAATTGGAGGAAAATTTGAAGGTTATGTGGGTGAGTTTTGAGAAGTTAACATGAGCAATCGCCTGATTTTTGTAGAAAAAAGGTTAGAGGGTTAGAGACGCAGAGTTGTACGGCTAGACACTCATATGGTTAGAGGCTCAGAGAAACAGAGGTGTAAGGTTCGAGACGCAGCGTCATACAGTTAGAGAGGCAGATTAATATTGTTAGAGACGTATAGGTTTAGAGAGTTAGAGAAGCAGAGTCAGGCAGTTAGAGACGTGGAGTGATATCGTTAGAGACGCAGGGTTATTCGATTAGAGACGCAGAGTCATACAGTGAGAGACGCAGAGTTAAAGTGAGAAAAACTACGATGCTCCGCGATTCCATCAATTTGAAGAGCGTAAAAGCGGAGCTTCGTAACTTCCAACTATGAGTTTTTCAGCTCATCCGCTCGATTTCAATAGTTCTATTTATCCTAACTCTAATCCTAATCCTAATTTTGATCCTTCCCTCAATCGGATCTGATCAGAAAACCCTATATTCAACGGTCGACTTGATTTTGGCACTGTAAGTTTTCCCAGAAATTTTTTTTTTCAAATATTTTTCCCATAGGTCCTCAATTCTGATGCCGTGCGCAATGATTTTCTATCTCCGATCAACTCGACATTGCGGATTTTTGCGAAGAACCGATTGGATTTTTCAGTTTCGAAGAAAGGTTGGAGGAGTTAGGCGAACTCATCGAGTTACCACAACTCATTTGGATACCGAAGTTTATTTTAGTCAATTGAATATTACTTGGAAATGAAGGGTGCTACGATGCTCCACGTTTACACCTGAGTTTTTTAAACTGTAAACGCGGAGCATCGTAGTTTTTGAGATTTTCTTGATCAAGAATCCATAAGAAACTTCAAAAATTCAGCTGTTCGCACCTGATTTTCATCAGAAAAACATAAAACATTTTTTTTCTTCTCAATTTCAAGCACACAAAAATGTTTGAAAGTTTATTTTCTCCGATCCCATTTCTGATTTCAAAATGGCACAATTTAACATACACCATCCCAACTGTTGAGAAATTTCAAGATGCGATAACTTTTTTCAATTATTTTGAATTGTCAATCATGCCGATCTCTTTGATTATTTTTATCTATTTTATTTTTGTCCTGAATTCAATTTCACTTTTCCATCGGAATATTTCGATTTTATTGCATTATTCGTTATTTTGGATTGTTGTTGGTTTCATTTCAAGGTTTTATATACTTTTTGTGCGAATTCGAATTGTTGGAATTGATGAGGATTTGTTGTTTGTAGCGAGTTTTTTGAGATTGCAATGTTATGGTAATATTTTGACGGTTCAATCGATGGTTGTTGTTGAAAGGTTTGTAGATCTTGAGATCTAGAGATCTGAGTTATGACGTGGCAAAGTTCGAGAGACTCAATTTTCATTCAACGTTTTCAGGACAATGATAACTTTTTGATCCAATTGAAAATGTTTTCAGTGGACCTAAAAATGTCTGGAAGTGTAATTTAGGCTGAAATTTTGTGCTGGAAAATCGATTTTCATAAGCATTTTCAGCACAACATTTCAGTTTACAAAAAGTTTCCTGACATTTTTTCGGCTTTTGAAATGGATCAGAAAGTTCTAAGGGTTTCTAGGCTGAAATTCTGTGCTAAACACGCTGAAAATAGCTGGAAAAATCAATTTTCAGCTTTTTCAGCACAAAATTTCAGTCTAGAACAAGTTTATGATTCAAAATTTCCAAAAAAAAAAAATTTTTTTTTTCAAAAATTCTTTCCCGCCCAAATCAAAATTTTGATTCGGGCGGGAATTCAAAAATTTTTTTTTTCAAAAAAATTTTTTTTCAAGAAAAAATTGTACTTCTCTGGACACTCTCATCTCGATCCTTTGAGATGTAGTTTAGAATAATCCAGAACTGCAAGGTATACTGTAGCCTCCAGAGAGTACTGTAGTTCTGAATTCCAAACTGCAAGGTATACTGTACAACCAGACTACTGCAAAAGGTACTGTATTTCCAAAATGAAAATATAGCCATAGCAGAAGAACTGCAAAGAGTACTGTAGTCTCTCCGAACTGCAAGGGGTACTGTAGCTCGAATATTTGAAGCTTGAAATTCTAAACTGCAAGAGATACTGTAGTTTTGAACTACAAAACAAAGAACTCTAGATTATAATGCGCATCAGGTTAGAGAGTACGTATTTCTGAGAGACGCAGAGAAAATCTATGTTTTCTCTGGACTCTCTGATCTCTAATGTCTAGTTCTAATTCTTTGAGATAACGTAACTCTGCTCAAAATTAAGATTTTTGAAAAATCTCAAAGCCATCTGAACCGCAAGAAGCTCTAGAATGTGAATTCCAGATTTTTCGCCACCTATTATGTCTCAGATTATGAGAAAAACCATCGAGTCTGGATCAATCTGATAGTTCTACCAATGTGTTTTCTCCTCTCCCAATCCTACAGTCTTCTATTATTTTTCTATCGTCCTCCATTAATTTTCCCCACAGCGTTTTGCATTTTTATGACGGTGATCTCGTTTACGTTGCTGAATATTTTGATGATTTCAAATTCGAGGAAACTTGTGAGACTGAAACTGAATCCGATTCTCTATACGTTGAGCGAAAAATTTCAGATTGAGGAGAATTTGAGGGTGATGTGGGTGAGTTATAGCGCGCCTTTCGAATATGACAATTTTGGCGTGAGAAAAAAAAAGCCGGTTGGCCGAGTGGTTTGCTCTTTTGCTTTCTGTTCACGAAACCAGGGTTCGACCCCCAACCGGTGCACAATTTTTTTTTTTTAAATCCGAGCGGAGCGAGTGTAGACCGCAAGCTTCCGCGAAGCGGCACTGTCTTCCGCGCAGCGGTCAAGCCTTAACCTAAGCTTAATCCAACCCAAGCCTGCGCTTGAGCTCTAATGCCGCTGCGCGGAAGATTGTGCCGCTTACGCGGAAGCTTGCGAAGAAAATTATTCGAGCGGAGCGAGTGTAGACCGCAAGCTTCCGCGAAGCGGCACTGTCTTCCGCGCAGCGGTCAAGCCTTAACCTAAGCTTAATCCAACCCAAGCCTGCGCTTGAGCTCTAATGCCGCTGCGCGGAAGATAGTGCCGCTTACGCGGAAGCTTGCGGTCTCCTCTCGCTCCGCTCAAAAAATCTTCATCTTCCAGTATCTCCGAGCAATTTTATGCTTCATGATTTGTCTCTGCGGATTTCTGAGCATCTTCCTAATTTTCCCGCCGATCCTTGGCTTTCAGGAGATCTCAATTCAATCAGTCCTCAAATTTCTAGACTTGGGAGTCGCGTTGTAAGAATTTAAAAAAAAATTTTCCATCCAAATTTTTTTGCAGAGCTTGTTTATTGATGCCGATTGGAATGTTTTGTGCACTGTATCATCTTCGACATCCGGCTTTTCTTCGGAAAATTCGATTTGGGAATAAAGTCAGGTCGAGAAGTTCGATTCGGACAATCAATGAGACTGATGTTTATTTTGGGAATTTGAAAAAATCGTGGCTATAAATGTGTTTTTTTTTTCCGAACTGCAAGGGGTACTGTAGCTCGAATATTTCGAGCTCAAAATCTCAAACTACAAGAAATACTGTAGTTTTGAGCTACAAAACTAACTGTATCTGAAAGACTGCAAAGATTACTGTATCATAAGGACTGCAAGGACTACTGTAAACAGAACTGCAAAAGGTACTGTATTTCCAAAATATAAAACATGTATAGCCATATCAGAACAACTGCAAAAAGTACTGTAGCCTCGATACTCTCCGAACTACAAGGGATACTGTAACTCAAATATTTGAAGCTCAAAATTTCATACTGCAAGAAATACTGTAGTTTTGAACTACAAAACTTACTGTATCTGAAAAACTGCAAAGATTACTGTACTTTAGGATCATCCAGAACTGCAAGGTATACTGTAGCCTCAAAAGAAAGCTATAGTTCTGAATTCCAAACTGCAAAGAATACTGTAGAGCCAGACTATGTGCAAAAATTAATGTATCATGAGGACTGCAAAAGGTACTGTATTTCGAAAATAAAAATATGGCCATATCAGAAAAACTGCAAAGAGTACTGTAGTCTCGGAACTCTCCGAACTGCAAGGGATACTGTAGCTCAAATATATGAAGCTCAAAATTTCAGATTTCAAAAGATACTGTAGTTTTGAGCTACAAAAATTACTGTATCTAAAAAACTGCGAAGAGTACTGTAGCCTCGGAATAATTCGAACTGCAAAGGGTACTGTAGCTTCCGGGCTAATCTTCAATGTGTTTGAAATTCTGAACTGCAAAAATTACTGTATCAGAAAGACTACAAGAATTACTGTAGCTCTCAGACTTTAAAAAATAATGGCTGTAAATCATGAAATTGATTTTCGAAAAAAAAAACTGATTTTTTGAATTTTTCACCTGCTCATTTTGTTTCACAAAAAAACATCATTAAAAATAATTATTGGGTTTTTTTTTTCGGTTAAAATTTTGATATAAGCTAACTTATATATTTTTATGCAAAAATGTTCGAAAATTTATTATCCCCAGTTCCATTAATTTCTCGAACTTGGAGAAAATCAATAAAATACAGTGTTCCAACTGTGGAAAATTTCGAACTTCAAAATGAGTCCAAATTTTTGACAAGTTTCGAATTATCAATTATGCCGATCTCACTAATTTTATTTATTTATTTTATTTTTGTCCTAAATTCAATTTCACTTTTTCATCGAAATATTTCGATTCTCCTGAATTACGCACTTTTTTGGATTGTTTCCGGATTTTTCGGGCGGTTTTATATTTTGCTGGTGCAAATTGAGATTTTGGGAATCGATGAGGATTTGTTGTTTTTTGCCAGCTTTTTGAGAATTCAATTTTTTGGAAATATTTTGACGATTCAGTGGATGGTTGTTGTTGAGAGGTTGGTATGATTTTTGTGTAGACCGCAGGCTTCCGCGTTGGCGGAACGTTATACCGCGTAGTGACAAAGTTACCCTAACTTTCTAGAATCCAAATTTTTAGGTTTCCGGGCAAATTTAAGGTTAATTTTCTGAACTTTCAGATTCTTAAGCTAATTTCAGGTGAAAAATTTGAATTTTCATGTTTCCCGCGTAACATTAAATAAAAATTCCGGGTTTCATCAATCAGAAAAACTCCCAAATCCTAATGGAGAGGGTCAGAGAGTACAGGACTTCTATAGACGCAGAGAAAACCCTCTGTTTTCTCTGGACCCTCTCATCTCTAATATCCAGTTCTAACCTTTGAGATACCGTAACTCTGCTCAAAATTAAGATTTTTGAAAAATCTCAAAACCATCTGATTCGGAAAGATCTCTTTTTCAGCACAAAATTTAACTCTAAAGTGAAACATTTGGGTAATCCTATATCAGGTCAAAATTTCCAAAAAAAAAAATTTTTTTTCAAAATTTTTTTCCCGCCCAAATCAAAATTTTGATTCGGGCGGGAATTCAAAATTTTTTTTTTCAAAAAAAATTTTTTTCAAGAGAAAATTGTACTTCTCTGGACACTCTCATCTCTCTCCTTTGAGATACCATAACTCTGCTCAAAATCAAGATTTTTTGAAAATCTCAAAACTGTTTGAATCAGAAATATCTCTAGATTATAATGCATCAGGTTAGAGAGTACGTAATTCTGAGAGACCCAGAGAAAACCCTATGTTTTCTCTGGACCCTCTAATGTCCAGTTCTAATCTTTGAGTTACCATAACTCGGCTCAAAATCAAGATTTTTTGAAAATATCCGAACCATCCGAATCGGAAAGATCTCTAGATTATAATGCATCAGGTTAGAGAGTACGTGATTCTGAGAGACGCAGAGAAAACCCTATGTTTTCTCTGGACTCTCTAATGTCTAGTTCTAACCTTTGAGATAACGTAACTCTGCTCAAAATCAAGATTTTTGAAAAATCTCAAAACCATCCGAATCGGAAAGATCTCTAGATTATAATGCATCAGGTTAGAGAGTACGTAATTCTGAGAGACGCAGAGAAAATCTAATGTTTTCTCTGGGCCCTCTGGTCTCTCGTTTGAGTTACCATAACTCTGCTCAAAATCAAGATTTTTTGAAAATCTCAAAACCGGAAAGATCTCTAGATTATAATGCATCAGGTTAGAGAGGACCTAATTCTGAGAGACGCAGAGAAACCTCTATGATTTCTCTGGACTCTCTAATGTCTAGTTCTAATCTTTGAGTTACCAGAACTCTGCTCAAAATCGAGATTTTTTGAAAATGTCAAAACCATCTGAACCGCAAAATTTGCAGAATATTCGCCACATATTTCGTGTCAGATTACGAGAAGAATCATCGAACTTGGATTAATTTCATAATGCTTCCTCTAACCTTTTCGATTTCTCAAATCTACAGTTTTTCACTATCATTTTTCGAACCAATTTTATTGATTCCAATGATTTTTTGCTTTTTGATGACAATGTTTTCATTTATCACTTTGCAATTTTTATATTTGGAAAATTCGAGGAAATTGGGAAGGCTAAAGAAGAATCCGATTTTGTACACGTTGAGTAAGAAATATCAAATCGAGGAGAATTTGAAAGTTGTTTGGGTGAGGCATGGAAAAAGTAGCTCTCCCTTCACAAGACCAGGGTTCGACCCCCACCCGGTGCACAACTTTTTTTCTTTTTAGACGAAGCTCTTGAAATTCTCTACAAATCTATATTTTCAGTACCTCCGCGCAATGTCATATTTCATGCTAACAAACTGTTGTTTTCTCACAATTTTCTTCGTGGGACCATCGATTTTTGGATTTCAGGAGATTTCTATTCGATCAGCATTGAGATATTTGGATCTTGCAGTTGTCGTGTAAGTTCGCCTAACTCTCACTTAGATATTTTTTTCTTTCAGAATCTGCCTATTTATGCCAATCGCAATGTTTTCGGCACTTTATTATCTCAAACATCCTGCATTTTTGAGAAGAGTTCATTTCGAAAGTCGTGTGACTTCTAGAGTTTCGCTAAAACCTATCAATGAGACGAGTGTTTATTTTAGTCAATTGAATATTTCGTGGAACTAATGAAGAAAATAGTACTGTAGTTTTCCGCATTGGGTCTTGCCGCGTTTGTTTGCCGCGCACGCAGAAATTTGAAAATTTTTTTTTCGAAAATTGAAAAACGTGAACACGTGGATACGTGACCTAATTCCAGAATGCCACATCACATAAAAATGTGTCATTTTTCTAAATTTTTCCCACAGAAAATGGCTGAAAAATGTTATATCGAAAGTGATGTTCAACCAACCGAAAGCCCTGATTTTCCAACTTTTTTCGGAATTGCTACTGAAATTTTTTATAGTATGATCAAAATGCCAGATGAAGAAACTAGTAAAGTTAGTTAGTTTTTGCAAAATATTCTTCTCATGATTCAGAATTTTCAGAAAATACGCGATTTTTTGATGGGAAAATCAAGTGATACAATAGGAGATGTTATAAATCAAATGATATTTTCTCAAAATGGCCCAACTATTTTCTGGAGTTCCGGTTTCTTTCTATTATTTTCCTCGATTATTTTATTGATTACAACAATTGTTATTCAATATTTTCTTTGTGGATGTGAACCAGAAAAACCAAAAAGATATGAGACGAGATTTACAAGTGGATATAATTTGATTGCATATCTTCTGGTTTCTTCCTTCTTTATTTCAGTATTTGCTATTACTTATGATATTTCAAAAGTTCATTTGACAATTGAAATTGAAAATGGAGGCGGATATTTGGATGAAGTATCTAATAGTTAGTTTTTGTGAAGCGGTAGACGCGGAATTCTTGCGAAAAAAGTGAAAAAAAAATCAATAAATGCAGCACAACATTTTAGGCTAATGATAGAATGCAATAGGGTGAGAGGAAGAGATTTAGAGAAAAACATAAAAGAATTCACGTTTTGTTGATTATTCGCGTGAACTCTTGTCGCCTCGCTTCATTTTTCAAAAAACAAAGAAAAATAATACATGTGTGTATAGCGCTTGGCCATTTGTTTGATCAATGTCGGCAATACGTTTGAACGACCTCTCAGAAAATGTTCGAAAAAATGGAGTTTTTGTTCTCATTTGAGCACGTTTGCCCACTAAAAACGTATGTTTTCTCTAGAATCTCTCTCCTCTCATCCAATTGCGTTTCGGAACGTTGTGCGCAGAGGGACTAGGAATTCGCGAGGAGTAAACCTAGTCCCCCGGTTTTTTTCGATTTTCCTTGTTGAAATAAAAATCTGCTATTTATTTTCAGAGCTCGAAAAAGTTCTAAAAGATGGAGCGACTCAATTGGAATGTGAAACCAGCAAATATATTGAGAATAATTTTGGGAAATTCGATGATTTGAAGAAAGATCTAACAAAGAGAATTGTCAATAAAACAATGCATGATATGGGTTGGCCAGAATTTCGTGATGTAAATAAGTTTGATTCTCAATTTTTATATAAAATCTATGTTACAGTTCAAAACCGAAAACTATACCAAGAATCTCAATTATGCTATCGCGATCGGTCCGAATATCGGACAATCGCCTTCGTCAAAGTGTCAACATACATTTGGGCTTATCGAAAATATAACCACGAATCTGAAAGACTTATTGAACCTTACACAAAGTGTGAATGCTAAAAAGCCTGAAATAGCTAAAAATATCGAAATTTTTCAATCACCACTTCAAGAAATTGAAGATGAAACTAGTAAGCAAATGATTCATGCGAAACGAAGTATCAAAAATATATTTATTATTTTTCATGTGAGTTTTTGAACTTCAACTGAATTCTAGAGACAAATCGTGTTCCAGGAAATGATCAAAAAATCCAAAGTTACTGTGAAAAAATGGATGGATTTGGTGAAAGCAGAAAGAAAGGATTTTGTTGAGGTAGAATTTTGAATCAGAATTATATTTCAAAAAAAATTCATAAGTAAGATTTTTAGGGTTTCGCCTATTCATTTACCAAATATTTCACCGGAATTCTAATAAATGTTATTTCATTGCTCACAATAATTTGTTCAATGGCTGCAGCATATTTAATTCATAATCGACTTCGAAATGAAAAATGGATGAAAAAATATGTGAAATTTATACTTATCGGATTCTATATCGCAATAGTTTTCACAATTTTCCTATTCATTTTCTGGATTTTCGCATTTTTGGGAGGATGGATGATTTCAACAATTTGTTTGCCGATTTTTGAAGAAGATCAATATGAATTCTACAAGGGGATTAATTTCAAATCACCGAAATTTCGAAAAGAAGTTGCGCAAATAAATGCTGGGTATTTCTATAACTTTTACATAGAACAGCTTTTCAAATTCAAAATATTTTCAGACAATTCCTTCGTAGATGTAATTCTCCTCAAACTACAACATTTTTCGCAATTCGAGGATTTGAATTCTTCTCAGCAACTCATGTCAAAAAACAATTCGAAATTGTTCACAACCTAAACGTGGCTAAATATGCGCTAAGAAACTTGAGACCAAAAATGGTTGACGTTCCAATTGAAACTGCCAATTGGCATTTTAAACAACTCAAAGAGAATTATAAGAACTTAACAGAACTTATAAATGGCACTGATTGTTCACAAGTTGAATATCTATCCATGCTCGATAAAATTATTTCGTATGGTGAAAAATATGTGAATTTGACGGATGGTTATAAAATTGGAAATATTACTGAAATATTTTCCGAGAATAATCAGGAGGTATTCGAACCTTTAAGAGTTGCAATTTCAGATTCCAGTGATTTACTTATTGTAAGTTTATTTTAAACACATGGAACTAATTTGCTTTATATATACCTCAATATTTTTCCAGCACAATCTTCAATACAATAATTTCAAATGCGGTCCATTTGTCCATATTCTCAATACCTTTGGAACCTATTTTTGCGAATATTTGGGTCAACCAATGCATGCATTTTCTGCTTCTCTATTCCTACTTAGCCTAACTTTTCTCCTAAATTCCATTTCGCTTCTTTTGGCTTATCGTTGGTTGAGTAAACCGGATTTTGAGTTTGCGAAATATGAAACGGTATGTTCCTTTAATGGGCCTATAATATTATCGAAAATCTCATCGGTACCACGTGAAATAAACACGCAACGCAGACCGCGCCGCGCTACAACACACACAAATAAGGGAACGATTCAAATTCCCTCCCTTTTTGTGTGTGTTGTGGCGCGGCGCGGTCTGCGTTGCGTGTGGTTCGATGATATTTTGTAATAAAAAAACATATTTTTCCTATGCAGAAAAACGTCGGGTAGAGACAACGTGAAATTGAGAGAGTGCAGACAGTTTTTTGTATTTTTTGTGCGAAAAATCAAGTCTGCACTCTCTCAATTTCACATTGTCTCTATTTTTCTTGTGAATAGGAAAAATATGTTTTTTTATTACAAAATATTAAAATATTGATTTATTTTCAGTCACCTGCCAACCCAAATCATAAAATTGTTTCTGGCGAAGAAGAACCTGTCAATAATACAAAAACACCAGAATCTGAAGAGAAAAAGAAGAGAAATTCGAAATCACCAAGTTCATAGGAGCTTTTTTTTTTCGTGTGAGTATTTGCAATGGTAAAATTTTTAATGAATTTTGAATTTAGAATCAAATTCTACGTCACAACTTTACTCAAAATCAATATTTTTCGAAAATTCGAAAAGTTTTGAGCTCAGATTCCCCAGAGGAGCATTTTGAAACCAAATTCCCCGGAAAAAACCCACCAATTTCCTCTCCACAAGATCCAAATCGCTTTTCCATTTTCAATATCCGAATATTCGTCTCGAATCAACATTTTTGAAGCTTTTTGAAGAAGCACATTATTTTCCTGCAAAAATTCACTGTTTCAGGGAAAAGAGATTTGGAAAATTGATTTTTTAAATTTAATCAAGAATTGTTGTTGAAAAACTTATCAAATTCGAAATTTTTTCCTCCAAAAATTCACTGTTTCAAAATTAACATTTGTGACTAATTTAATCTATTTTCTTGATCGAACTGAAATTTTGAGTTTCTTGAATTTTTTTTTCGAAAAATGATGAATTTTTTTTCAGAATTTCGATTTTCAGCCAAGTAATTTCCTCTGAATCAGAATTTTCGATTTTTTTTTTTAAATATGAATTTGATACTGAAATTCTAAAAAAATCTACTGTTTCAAAAACTTTAAATATTTTTTGACGGTTCAAAAATGTTGTTGTGATAATTCGAACTTGTAAGATAACTGAAATATTGTATTTTTCAAATTTCCAAATGAAAATTTACTGTTTCAAAAATATTTTTTTCATCGCAAAACTTTATTCACCTCAAACATCATTTCAAGCTTGTTTCATCAATTTCGAAACTGGGCGCATAATTTGAAAACTGCACGTCAAATTCTTATCAACATTCATCATAGCCGCCGCATTGTTGAAACTTCCGCAATAATGTGGTGCCGAAAATATTGTGACCAGTTTTTTGTTGGCAAAAAATTCGTAGCCATCTTGAACGACTTGATGAGCACGAGCTATCAAATCGACATCAAGACGTTCGGTGATTTCGGAAAGTGCTTCGGCTCCAAAAACTTGGCCAACTCCTCTGGTATTTTCTTCGAAACCTTTTACTTGTTCATCGGGATCGGACCAGAGAAGATCGGTTTCGAGCGATGGAATTGGAACATCGAGGACTGGACGGGGAAGTTTGCGAAGTTGATCGAGTGATTTCATCTGGAAATTAGTATAAATTCAAGCTATGACGTGGCAAATTCCGAATAAGGTCGATTCACGAACGAAAAAAATGTTTTTTTCGAGTTTTTCAGCCAAAAATGATGACAAATCGATATTTTTCAAGTAATTTCTGATGAAATTAAGCTTCGAGAACCCTATTTTTCTTTATTTTATGAATTTTTTCGAAATTCATCAGCGAAACCTTCTGGAAAATGAATTCCAAGGTCAATTTTCATCAGAAATCACTCCAGAAGCTTCAGAAATATCGATTTGTCATCATTTTTGGCTGAAAAACTCGAAAAACTAATTTTGACCTACGATGTTTTTTCGAAATTTGATCTTTCAATGTTAAAAAAACATTTTTTTCACTCGTGAATCAGCCCAAATATTTTCCTAAAGGGCTGATTCAACGAAAAAAAAAATGTTTTTTAACATCGAAAGATCAATTCACGAAAAGTCGTAGGTCAAAATTAGTATTTCGAGTTTTTCAGCCAAAAATGATGAAAAATCGATATTTTCAAGCTTCTGGAGTGATTTCTGATGAAAATAAGCTTCGAGAACCCTTTTATGAATTTTTTCGAAATTCATCAGCAAAACCTTCTGGAAAATGAATTTCAAGGTCAATTTTAATCAGAAATCACTCCAGAAGCTTGAAAAATATCGATTTGTCATCATTTTTGGCTGAAAAACATGTTTTAAATATTTTTTTCGCTCGTAAATCAGCCCAAATATTTTCCGTAACTAACCCGTTTGCTAACCCCTCCATGCATACAAAGAATTCTTCCCGAAACCAATGCCGTATACGGCATACACGCAAACGTCAATTGAAAAGAGTTCCACAAACTCGCTCCCAATTTCGGCCCATATCTTCTTGTAACCTCTTCCAGAAAACCATAAACACGATTAATTGCACCGCATTCATGATTGCCACGTAGCAAGAAAAAGTTGCCAGGAAATTTGATCTTGTAAGCAATGAATAGCGTGACGACTTCAAGACTTTGTGGTCCGCGATCAACATAATCACCGAGAAATAAATAATTGACGATTGGTGGAAAACCGCCACGATCAAATAATCGAAGAACATCGGCGTATTGACCGTGAACATCACCGCAAATTTTGACGGGAGCCTCGACTTCGACCATCGAACCTTGTGACATGAATAATGGTTTGGCTAGATCTAATAAATTCGCCATTTCTTGCGCGGAAACGATTGAGGAGAATGTTAGACCGGATACACCGACGTTCAGGATTTTCACGATGATCTCATCAACGTTTACATCATCTGGAAATTTATTGATTTCAAGTGTCCTCGAATTCTCTTTGACTCACTTTTTGGTATCGCCATGTACACTGATTTATTAGCCATTTCGATATAGGTGAAATATTCAAATTGAGCAAAAACTGGCGGACACGTCGACATTTTTTTCTTCACGTTTGAAAAAATTCATTTTTTTTCCTTTTGTAGTCCAATTTCTTTAAATTCTTCTCACAGTTCGAATAAAAAATAGGAAATTCCATTCATTTTCAGCTCGAGATGAATGAATTGCTCTGAAAATCATGAATATCATTCGAATCCACTTAGAAAACAAGAAAAACACAAAAAAAACGCTGGAAATAAAAGTAAAAATGGAAGTGCGCTCTATTGATAATTTCGTGTCTCGCACTCTCCTCAATTACCACACTGTTTTTTTCATTTTTTTCAAAATTTTTGGGAAAAAACCTTGTGAAAATAGATGAATAAAACGTGACATTTTCTTGATGAAACGTGAGTTTATTTGCTGGAAACACACATTTTTAAACCTGATCATGGGAGAAATTGGTGATCAAAAGAAAATAATCAAAATCCAAAATCTACCAAATGAACCGCCATTTCAATTAAAAATCGAAAAAGAAGAAATCAGATTCAAATATGTGATACCAAATCCAGCATTTGCTCAAATTCAAATAATCAATGAGTTGAAAAAACGATTTTGTGTGAAGGTCAAATCAACCGATAACAAATTATTCGATATTCAACCAGCTATTATGTTTATTGAACCTGGACAATCGATTTATGTGAAAATAACATTGAAAGATACAACTAATCAATTGCCCGAAAATCATCATTATATTGGGATATTTCATGTGGAAACTAGTGCAAAATCTGTGACAGAGGTGAGTTTTGAAAATTGAAAAATTGTGGAAAAATAAAATGTTTTTAGGCTTTCAAACAAGGAAAAATCGATGGAGTTCTTCGACTTCCGATGATTTTTGAAAGAGAAGGCGGAGCTGAAGATCCACCACAACCAGCAAATGTCATGAATGCTGATTGAATTCTATTTTTTTTTGGATGAATGAAGATTTTTGGGAATATGGGACGTTTTGTGGATTCGAGAAAGGTCTGAAATCGGGCCTGGAATTCAGAAGGCCTGATATTCAGGCCTAAATTTTAATTCCAATTTTCATTTGATTTGATTTTTAATCATCGCAAATTTAAAATTTTCAAAAAAAATTGAGAAAAACTCACGAATTCCTGGGAACAACCTCGATTTCCATTTGAACCACTGACAAATTCATCGATTTCCTTTGATTTCCACGTTTTTGCCCCTGAAAAACTGACGATTTTCCATGGAAAACTCTTGAAAAACGAAAAAACGAAAAAAAAAATGAAAAATTCAAATAATTTGTGTGCATTTGTGCGTCAGCGTGTTGACACACATTATTGTCATTTTGAATTTTTTTCTTTTTTTTCGCGTTTTCAAGAGTTTTCCAGTGAAAATCAATGTTTTTCAGCGAGAAAAAGGCGAAATTGATGGAAAAGTTGTGAATTTCAAGTGGAAATCGAGGTTTTTCGATGAGAATGTGAGTTTTTTTGTCAAAAATTGTGAAAAAACCAACAAAAAAGATCCCTGAAACATTGTGCTCAATAATTTCAAAAGTTCTAAATTATTTCATTCAAATTTTGAAAAAATCTCAAAATTATTCAAAAAAAAAAAATAAATCTTCATTGAGATCTTCAAATATAATACAAAAAAAAACAATTTTCCCCACAGAGAGAAAGTTTTTTTTTTATTTCCCGATTCCAAGCCCTGACGAAACACCAATCGGTCCAACACCCGGAACTCCAACTCCAACACCACTGCTAATCCCAAACAATCCACCATTTCCCAATCCTAATCCACCCAATCCACCTCCGCCAAGTCCAGGTTGAACTGGAGCGGCTGTTGGGATTCGGCGACGTTGCGCCGCTTCGAGTTCAGCGCTATCGATTTCGGGGAACTCGTCTTCGTCGTCAATGGTTTTGGTGGATTTGCGGTTTTCGAATTTTTTCTCCCAGAGATCCTGGAATAGGTTTGGGTTTAATATGAGCAATGTAGACAATTTTTAAGTTATCTGGTTTTTTGTTAACATGAGCAATCGCGAATTTTTCATCAAAAAATATTTCAGCTCAATTTTTTGGATTAAGATGAGCAATATTTAATTTTGGACAATTTTTGGTTCTAGTATGAGCAATGCTTAAAAATTCAAAAATCTCCAAATTATGCGGATTTGTGGGGTTAACATGAGCAATCCCTCAATTTTTAATCTGAGACGATTTTTTCTACAAAGTTGGAACTAACATGAGCAATGCTCAAAAACCCTGAATTTTCAAAGTTAACATGAGCAATGGCGAATTTTTCATCAAAAAATATTTCAGCTTATTTTTTTGGGTTGATATGAGCAATTTTCGCTCTTAAAGACCTAGCATGAGCAATGCTCAACAATTTTTAAATTCAGAGTTTTTGGATTAACATGAGCAATCTATTGATTTTTATATTTACAAAATTTTTCAAAAAAAAAATTTTCCCCCCAAAAAAAACCAACCTCATTTTCCCACGAGCTATCTTGACTGGCTACAGTAGTCGCTCTTACAGTAGTCTGCTCAATAAATCCCTCATCCTCTTCTTCTTCAGAAATAATTTTCGATTTTCGCGGTGGCAACGCTGGAACTTCTACAGAATCCGAATCCGAATCCACGACGAATTTTCTACGTGGTTTTTTGTGATGTCTTCTGCGATGATGATGTCTTCTTCGAGGCGGATAACTTCCACAATTACCGTAACCATAGGAACATGGGTTACTGTAGGTTTGTTGGGGAACGTAGCTACCGCAGAAGGATTGACAGTTGCATTGTTGGTAGAGTTGAGGCTGGTTGCACGCGTACGAACTCATGGACCAGGCTGAAATAGTTTTATTGTCTCTGCAATTTGCACAGGGAGGAAAAAGCGCAGCCATGGCGCAGACGGTTAGCGCAGCGCGGGATAAATTTACACTCCAGGGTTCAAACCCCGGTCGGAACTTTTTCTATTTTTTTTTATTTTTTTAAAAAACTCACTAGCCATAACAGCTCCAAAAATGGCGAAAAAAAGCGCCAGCCGAATATAGCCAGAGGTCATTTTATCAAATATGTTTGTTGTAAAAAATGGCCAATAACCTTCCAAATTTATACATGTAACAATGATTGTGTAATAAATATTTCAAAGACGCTTTGTTCTATTTTTCTTTTTCTTGATAATAATGAAAAAATGGAATTTTGATGTGATCAAATATCAATGTCCGAAATTTTTTTGAATTTGAAAATGAGAAAAAATGTTCTATTGTTCTTTTTTTTGCGAAAAAAAAAGTAAAATTTGAAAATTAATTGTTGTTGTTGGAGAAATGTATAAAATGAGGAGGAAAAAATGTTTTGAAATTAAATTTTAAAAAAAATTTCGAAATGAGGAAATTTTTTATATTTTCTACATTGGTAGTTTTGTGTTGGTCAAGTAAGTTTCGAGAAAATTTTCTGAAAATTCTGAAATTTTCAGATTTCTACGGGTCTATGAGTCACTATGCTTGCAATAATTATCAACTTCAAAAATGCTTGTAATTGTCACAGTTTTTGTCAGTAAGTTTCTAATCTGAGCAATACTCGAAATTTTTTCGAAAAGATCAATTTTTCGGCTCAAAAAAATTGCTTTTTATTAGCCTGAAAATGTTTCCCTAACCTGAGCAATGCCGATTTTCAGACCCTACCATCAACCTCCCCAATATTATCCTCAACAACATCAAGGCTCAAATTGTGTATCATGCGAAAATTCCGAAGAAGAAGACTACGACACTCCGCGATTCCGCAAGAAATCCAGAAAAAATAAGAAGAAGAATAAGAAGAAGTTCAAATTTTCGAGCGAAGAACTTCCAGAAGGTTTGGAAGATTTGGGAAAAGAAGATGAAGATGAATTTCCACTTCCACCAGATTCTTCAGATTCAGAAAAATTCGAAGAGAAATTTGTGCCCAAAGAAAGTGTGGCTCAAAAATCATCGGCGGTCTCAGCTCCAGCGGGTTTGGGAGCACTTGGTTTGGGCAACGGCCAACTTTTTGGGATTGGAAGTGGGGTTGGAGTTGGTGTGCCGGGTGTTGGACCGATTGGTGTGTCGTCAGGAATTGGAATCGGATAATTTTGAGAGAAAATATGTTTTTATAAAGTTTTCTATTAGCTCAAAAAGTTCTCAAAATCCGGATTGCTCATATTAATCCAAAAAACCCAAATGACCTTCGCCAAAAAAACTGTACAGAATTCTCCTTCCTATACTATTCGCCCGAGAAAATAATCCCATCAAAACCCAAAAATTTGGGAGGTCATCTTATTTTTCCTCCTGCGCAGAATTTATAATTTATTATTTTACGATTCCGATTTGTATTCCAATTTTCATTTGATTTGATTTTTAATCATCGGAGAATTTGAAAAAAAATGGTAAAAACTCACGAAAACTTCGATTTCCAATTGAAAACTGGCCAATTCATAAATTTCCCGTGATTTCCACGATTTTTCCCCTGAAAAAATGACGATTTTCCCCGGAAAACTCTTGAAAAACAAAAAAACAAAAAAAAATAACACATTTGGTCGAAGAAGGCGTTAGACGCAGGGATAACAGGCGTCTTTTGTGTGTTACAACGAAACACACATCTCAAACAACTGCTACAGTAGTTTTCGCGCGCTCTTTGGGAAAAGTTTAGGAGAATTCCTCCCCTTTTCTTCATTTTCGGCTGTTTTGTTATAGGAGACAAATCAGCGCGTTTCGTATATTCGAAACTTATCGACTGGATCAACGGAATTCGAAAAGGTAAGTTTTGGAACAGTTTCACACGAACTTCCGGTCTCGACCGCTCTTCTTTTGAGTCACGACTCAACGATTGAGAACTAAATAATTACATTCTGCTTTCAGAATGTCACGAGAAGAAGAGGATTTGCGCCAGAGAGCGATTAACTCTCACTCGAGGCAATCAACAGGCGAGGCTCCAGTGAACAACAACAACAACAACCATCCGCAAGCGGAACAGCGGTTCCAGTGAATCCGGCCCCGCAACCGAAGAGAAACTCAACCCAACAAGGTCTAGCGAAAAGTCTAGCAAATTTTTTCGCATCTTCGCAGGGAAGAGAAGTTTTGAGAGCGGCGCAAGCCGAAAGTCCAGTGGGAGGAGCCGATTTCGACGAAGACTTCGAGGACGAAGAGGAATACGAGGACTTGGACGAGGAAGAGGATCACGAAGAACCAGGAGGTCCAAGGGAATCTAAAGACGATGAGGCAGCTGCAAAACCATTTCTAGTCGACTCGTTCGATATTAGAAGAAAAGGTTTTGGGAAACAAATCAAATTCAACAACGCAATAACGAAGAAAATGGTCAAATTGATGTTAGAATTCCCCGAAACCCAAGGAAAAATGGAAGAAATCCTGAAAGAATTGCAATCGCGGTCAATGCTTCTTCGATTTTCCGAAGATTGTCCAACACTGATGGAATTGGTGGACGCGAAACAAGAGGTCGATCAAGTGAGAGGCATCGATCCGCTACTCGCGGATTGCCTTATCATGGCGCGAAAGGAAGAGGCGAAGACAAAAAGACAACAAGCTGCGATGCAACGGCCCTTTCCAAAAAGGGATGGAAATCGCGGCGCAAGATATCCATCCCGAAACTCCGACAGGCCATCCAGTTCGAACCGACCGTCATCAAGCCAAACACCATACTCAAGACCCGCACCACCAGCAACATACTCAAGAAACTGGACGAGTTCATCAAAGCCAAGCTTCAGAAAATACTGAATTTTCCGCAGGTAAGCCACATTCAAAATGGGAATTTTGGAACACCATTCCAACTTCTCCTCTGGTTTCTCAAACCATACAGTTCGGCTACGAGATCGAAACAACAGAAATTCCAGACCATTCATTCGTCGAAAGAAATCGCTCTTCCACTCTAACTCATCATGCTTTTGTCAATCAAGAAATCGAAAGTCTTCTCAAATCCGGAGCCGTCGTCGAATCCACCGAAGCCCTGCGTCTCAATCCTCTACATGTGGTGGACAACGGTAAGAAAAAACGACTCATACTAGATCTGTCTGATCTGAACGAGATCGTAGTTCGGGAGCATTTCAGATTCGAGGATTGGAGTCTAGCCAAACTAGTAATACCTAAAGGGGCCTTTTTCACAACTTTTGACTTCAAAAGTGGCTATCACCACATCCTCGTGAACGAAAAGTCCTCGCTTTTGTTAGGTTTCCAATGGAACGGGAGGAAATTCAAATTTCGCGCTCTCCCATTCGGTTTATCCTCCGCTCCTTTTATATTCACGAAACTTTTACGACCCTGGGTCAAAAAATGGAGGGAATTAGGTTTAGGAATAATTCTTTATCTAGACGACGGATTGATTTGGGACACTTCAGCAGAAAAATGTAAGAAGACCAGCGACCTTATCAAAGCCGATTTGATAAACGCGGGTTTCACGTTCGCAGAAGAAAAATGTACTTGGGTCCCAAAACAATCCGTGACATGGCTAGGTCTCAGAGTAAATTCAGTAAATTTATCACTAGAATTCGCGGAAGACAGGAGGCTCAGAGCGATACAAAAAATTGAGGAACTTCTGACCATACCCAGACCATCCATCAAAGAAAGAATGATTTTTACAGGTCTCAGAGCGTCAAGCTCACACGTCGTGCACAACAACATCATGAAGAAGACGAAAAGGATCGAATCATCGGTAGCACTGGCGGATCACCTTTACACACGATTCGCATGGTCTTCGGAGGAAAGACAAGAAGCCGAAGGTTGGTTAGATATGCTCAAATTTCGCCCGCCAATAAACTTCTTCGAAGATTCAGAAGACGTGGGACCCTGTGATTATGTCTTGGAAACAGACGCGTCAGAATATCTAACAGGGGCAATTCTAAAATCTCACGATTCTGAAGCAGTATCGAGTAGGCCGCTTCCTCAAAATCTCAAAGGAGAATCAAGTTGTAGAAGAGAGCTAGAAGCAATTATAGCAGGCTTGCGCGATTTAGTACAGCCTAACGTGAATTCATTGTTGATTAGAAACGACAATCAGGCAGCGATTAGGATTTTGCAAGCCGGTTCTCTGAAAAAAGAACTCCAGAACGCAGCGCTAGAAATTTGGGAATTCTTAGAATCCAGGGGAATACGACACGAGTTTGAATGGATTCCAAGGGAATGGAACAAGGAAGCGGATCTGGCTAGTAGATCCCCGGATCCGGACGCATGGGCAATTAAGGCGAGCACCGCTAGAATAGTTCAAAAATCCTTAGGATTCTGCGACATAGACCTCTTCGCCACACGCGAAAATCGAAAATGCGAACGATTTTTTTCCAGATTCGGAGAAGACGGAGCAAACGGAGAAAACGGGCTGGCGGCTCCAAGAGGAATTTGGAAATCAAGCAAAATTTGGTTAGTTCCCCCTATCCGCCTGATTCTGCCCACTATTAGAAAGATGGAAAAGTTCAAAGCAACCGGGATCTTAGGAGTTCCCATGTGGCCAAGCCAACTTTATCTAGGAAAACTCAAAGATAAGAACGGGTGGAGAAACGAAGTCAGAAAAGGAATTCGTTTTCCCAAGGGAGCGAGCATCATAGTTCCAGGCGGAATCGGTACAGCTTTCGATAGCGAATTCCTGAAATCTGATTTTGTTTTTCTTCTTCTAGATTTTAGAGAGACAAAAGAACCAAAAGGTTTCTTGCCTTCAGCAAGAAACCCTTGACAATTTCGAAGTTTTTTATTATACTAATGTAATTATGTTGTATTAATTTGTCTCCAGAACAAATGAAGCCTGTTATCCCTAGTAGAAGTCTTCGAAGACTAAATGTGTTTTTGTCGTAGGAACGGAGACAAAAATAACACATTTGGTCGAAGAAGGCGTTAGACGCAGGGATAACAGGCGTCTTTTGTGTGTTACAACGAAACACACATCTCAAACAACTGCTACAGTAGTTTTCGCGCGCTCTTTGGGAAAAGTTTAGGAGAATTCCTCCCCTTTTCTTCATTTTCGGCTGTTTTGTTATAGGAGACAAATCAGCGCGTTTCGTATATTCGAAACTTATCGATCAGCCCTCCCGCCTCCTCCTTTTTTGGGTTTTCCAAAAAAAGCAAGAATTCTTAATTTCCAGATCCCAGATTCGAGAAAATCAAGGAGATTTTCAACGGAGATGAAGTCCAAAGACTCGACTTGTGGCAAAACGTGGTCAATTGCCTCGAAAAAGACAGGGCGCCAACCACCATCAAAATCTACGAACACACTATGCGATCCTACATTCGATGGAAACAACGATCAGCGATTCGAGGAAGATTGGGAGAAGACGAGTGTCGGCTACTCTTCCTGGCCGAGCTCATCAAGAACGAGAAGGCAAAATCTGCAATTTCCGCAAACTGCGCTCTCAACTATTACATGGGCCCGGTGTCAAAACCGAATCGATCGTTGCTGAATTCGATTATTGAGGCGGCCAAACGATCAAAAAGCCCCACAAAACATCGCGAGAAAGTGGAGCCCGAAGACTACTCCAGCTTCACAAACATCCAGGAATTCGATCGAGATTCATTGCGAGTGGCAGCGTTGGGCATCGTATTATTCAGGGGTTTGTTACGGATCAGCGAGGCTCTGAATTTGCGGAAAGAGGATGCGGAATGGGAGCGTGGAGAACTGAAGATCTCGATCCGGACCTCGAAAACGGACAAATATCACGAAGGAACCAAAAGACTGTTGGTTCTTTCACCAGAAGAACAAGCAATTTGGCGCGCCCACTCGAAAAACAGCGACAACACCTCAAATCCATACATTTTCCAAAATTGGAATTCGAAGACAACTTCGATGTCTTATAACAACGCCAGGAAAGTGATAAACGATCGTTGGAAAAAGTGCGGAAATGCCAAAAATTATGGAACTCACGCTTTTCGCGGAGGAGCAGCTTCGGCCGCCATAAACGAAGGAGTTTCAGCCGAGAAGGTCCTCAGCTTTGGAAGATGGAAAACCGAGAAGGCCTTCAGAGCATATGTGAAACCAACCACTAGAATATCAATTCCAAGATCGGCGCCAGCTCAACTTGACAAGCGACCGTAAGTCTCAAAGAACCTATACGAAAACGCGGCTAATTTAGCCAAAAGAATTGTGGAAATTTAATAAATTTTTTCAGATCCATTCCCTCCAACAACGACGGCTGATCCGCACCCATCATCGTTCTACTCACCTCCGCGTTTGTTTATCCTCAACTCACAACAACAAGTCGTCGGCTCCGAGCTTCATCGACAGGCCCAGAATAATTTTGTTTTTTGACTGTTAGAATTTTTAGTCAGTTTTGCTAACCGGTAAATTGTTCACGAGCCGCTCGGCTCGTGAAATCTCGTTTATTATACTAATGTAATTATGATGTATTAATTTGTCTCCAGAACAAATGAAGCCTGTTATCCCTAGTAGAAGTCTTCGAAGACTGAATGTGTTTTTGTCGTAGGAACGGAGACAAAAATGAAAAATTCAAATCATTTGTGTGCATTTGTGCGTCAGCGTGTTGACACACATTATTGTCATTTTGAATTTTTTTCTTTTTTTTCGCGTTTTCAAGAGTTACCGAGGGAAAATTGTTGTTTTTCAGCGAGAAAAAGGCGAAATTGGTGGAAACTTTGTGGATTGGATGGTTTTCAAGTGGAAATCGAGGATTTTCGATGAAAATGTGAGTTTTTTTGCCAAAAATTGTGAAAAAAGATCCCTGAAACATTGTGCAATTGCATGTTTCTTATTTGAATCGCCTTCTAATCAGATTTACTGCCATCTTTTGGCATCCCGCATTTTTTCCACTTTTTTCTGCGTGCCCAAAGGATTTTCAAGATCCATTTAAACGATAAACCTTGCTGGCGCCGACCTTTGCCTTTTAGGGGGAGAAATTGAGATTTGGATGAAGTATATATGTAGATTTTGACAAGTAGATCACGATTCTTCAGTCAGAAATAGCTTGAAATGAGTTATGACGTGACAAAGTTGGCTAGCTTCAAAAATATCTAGTTTTCATGAAAATCCAATTTTTCTAACATGAGAAATACTTGAAATTAAAAAAATGCATATTTTCAAAGAAAAAAAAATCAAGAACCCTAACTTACTAGATTTTTACATAAAAAGTTAAAATTTCTGAAAAAAAAACAATTCAGAAAATCCACTGTTTCAAAATTTTAATTAATTTTCTTTCAGTTTCAATTTTTTGTTAAGTCTATGTTGTTTTACTGAATATGAGCAATGATTTTGAATTTTTTTAAAATTGTGGAAAGCTTCCGCGCAACGGAAAAGTTACCCTAACTTACTAGATTTTTCCATAAAAAGTTAGAATTTCTGAAAAAAAACAATTCAAAAAAATCCACTGTTTCAAAATTTCCATATTATTTTTTGCACTTTTATCAGTTTTGATTGAGTACAATTTTTTATTCTCTGAAAAATCCCTTTTTTGATTTTGTTAGTTTTCAGAATTTTTTGGAACCTATCAAAATTGTTTCACAAGTTTGCCACATCATAACTCAGGCTCAAAATCTATTCCCATGTCCTTTTTCCCCTTATTTTCATCCGGTCACTCGTCAAAATCAGTGAAAAATAATGCAATTAATTAGAGCTAGTATCCATTCCCGAAAAACATATAAGCACCCATATGTTACTCACATTTTCGCGCACTTATTATTAAAATATTTTGCTACTATTTATTTTTTTTCTCTTATTTTTTTTAAGGTTTAGGGTAACTTCTTGTTTAGGGTAATATATATTTAGTTAAGAAAACCCCTAAATTTTGACTTAGTCTAAATCTTAGTCTAAGTAAATTTTGAATGAATCAAGTCTCATTAGAGGAAAAATAAACGTCAGATGGTTGCAAGCAGACAGCCAGCCATCCCATTTTATTTGTATTATTGGAGGAAGGCCTGACGGCGTATTGGTAAACGCATTTTAATTAAATTCTTCGAATTGCACTATTCGCTTTTCTCGTTGGAGCTAAAGCCAGAAGCTGGAAATTAATTTTTCCATGGGTTTTGTGTTAGAAAATGAAATTCATTTCGAAATTTTTGATTTTTTTGCCACGTCATAGAGTTCACGTTTAGCTTCTGCCATAATTTTAAGTTTTTGGTTTTGGCTGTTTTTTTCTTGGGTCAGAGACGCAGAGTTAAGTTTTCAATGTGGGACAGAGTCAGACGGTTAGAGTTCGCTTTAGAGATATAGAGTGAAGATGTACTTTTGGTGTTGGTCAAAAGTTCTGAGAGTTTTAGACAATTATCAAAAGCACAGGAATCTAGACATACACTCTGCGTCTCTAGCCCTCACTCTCGCCGTCTGACTCTTCTATTCCAAAAATTAATTTCTCTATCAAACTCTGCGTCTCTAACACCAAACCCTGCCTGTCTGGCTCAATTTCACTTTGAAGTTCTTTTCCTATCAAACTCTGCGTCTCTAGCTCAAGCTCTCGCCGTCTGACTCTGACCCATTTTGAAGAGTTTGCGATCTAGGAACTCTGCCTCTCTACCCTTCCACTCTCGCCGTCTGACTCTAATCTAGTTTGAGGCATAGTTTTTCTATCAAACTCTGCGTCTCTAACCTTTCACTCTATCCTCCTGATTCTACCAGTACTTGAGATCTTCAGAGATCTAGGAACCTCTGCGTCTCTAACCCTTCAACTCCCGCCGTCTGACTCTACCCTGGTTTGAGACATATTCTTTTTATCAAACTCTACGTCTCTAACACCAAACCCTGCCTGTCTGGCCCAATTCCATTTTGAATCCTCTTCGTCTCTAACCTCCTAAACTCTCTCACCCTGACTCTAACCTAGTTTGAACCATTTTTTTCTCTGCGTCTCTAACCTCCCAAACTCTCTCCTCCTGACTCACATGTTGAGGTCCAATTTTTTAAGCAATCTCTGCGTCTCTAACCCTAGATTTGTCCGCCTGACTCTACCCTGCCTTAGATCTTTCGAGATATAGGAACTCTGCCTCTCTAACCTTCCACTCTCGCCGTCTGACTCTAACCTAGTTTAAGGCATAGTTTTTCTATGAAGCTCTGCGTCTCTAACCCCAAACCCTGCCTATCTGGCTCAATTCCATTTTGAAGTTCTTTTCCTATTCAACTCTGCGTCTCTAACCCATGATCTTCTTGTCTAACTCTACCATACTTTAGATCTTTTAAGATCTAGGAACTCTGCGTCTCTAACCTTTAACTCTCGCCGTCTGACTCTACCAGTACTTGAGATCTTTTGAGATCTAGGAACTCTGCGTCTCTAACCTCCAACCCCTCGCTGCCTGACTCTTACCTATCTTGAAAGTTTCTAGGTTTCATTTATTCTATCAAACTCTGCGTCTCCATCCCAATTCTGCTTGTCTGCCTCTCCCACACATTGAATATTTTGAGATTCAGAAACTCTGCGTCTCTCCCCTCACCTCTCACCCCCCCCCGTCTGACTCTAACCCCATAAAAGTGTATACACTTCTACAACTCAATTGAACCCGTTCTTCTTTTGTTTATGTAATATATTCCATTTAAAAGGATGAGACATATTTTTGAGTGGCCTGGGGAAAACGAGAGATGAGGGAAAATGAAGAGACGCAGACACACCGCCATGGTGAAAGGAGAAGTATTATAAATGGTGGAAAAAAGGGGGGAGGAGAGTGCCAAAAGGCACTTTTTTTTGTCTTTTGCCAGACGAAGAAGAAGCTTTTCTTGACAATAGCAGAAAAAAGACAAACACAATTTTTTTTTGTCTTTTTTGTGACACCTTTAGCCTTTTTCGAAGTTAGCCTAACTTATTTGGCTAGGGTTTTGATTTAAAAAAACCATTGCTCATATTTTATTTGTCGATTGACGAAACAAACCAAATAATTGAACTCAAAAAAAAATTATAAAAATTTTGAAACAGTAGATTTTCTGCGGTTTCTTTTTTTTTCTGAAAAATAGGAATTTTTTGGAAAATGTTAAGCATTGCTCATGTTAAAATTCTGGTGTTTTTTTTAATTTTGAAAAAAATTTAGATTCTCAAAAAGTATTTTTTCTTAACATGAGCAATGCCTATGAATTTGATTTTCCCTTTTTTTCAACCAATTTTTTTGGGTCCTGACACGATCTACAGTAACCTGAATTTTCCTGGAATTTTTTTTTGGAACTTAACATGAGCAATGCCTGAAAATTTCTGAAATCTATAATTTTTCTTTTTTCTTCAACCATTTTTTGGGTCCTGACACGATCTACTACAGTAACCTTAATTTTCCTGGAATTTTTTTTTGAAACCTAACATGAGCAATGCCTGAAAATTTCTGAAATCTATCATTTTTCCTTTTTTCAACCAATTTTTGGGTTCTGACACGATCTACTACAGTAACATCAGTTCTCTTGGATTTTTTTTGAAACCTAACATGAGCAATGCCTGAAAATTTCTGAAATCTATAATTTTTCCTTTTTTCAACCAATTTTTGGGTCCTGACACGATCTACAGTAACCGGATATTTTTCTGGAATTTTTTTTTGAAACTTAACATGAGCAATGCCTGAAAATTTCTGAAATCTATAAGTGTTCCTTTTTTCAACAAATTTTTGGGTTCTGACAAGATCTACAGTAACCTAAATTTTCCTGGAATTTTTTTTTTGAAACTTAACATGAGCAATGCTCAAAAAATGTATCAATTTTTATACAACAAATTTAACATGAGCAATTTTTGAATTTTTGCCGCAAAATCTTTGAATTTCAAATTTTTTTTGGTGAAATTTTTGGTTTTTTCACCTTTTCCCAATGAATATTTTATCAGAAACCAAGATTTTTCTTTTTTTTTCTCTCTTTTTTTTCGAGTGGTCAAAAACATGCGTGTATTTTTAGAGAGTTTTGTTGTTTTGGTCATTTCCGGTTCTCGTTTTTTTGTTGCTGATTCATTAAGTTTAGTACTTTTTTTTGGAGATAATTGGGAGGTCAGTTGGAAAATTTGAAAATTTTATGGATTTTTTGGGGCCCGGTTTAATTAATTGTGAAATTTGAGGTCTTGAAAATTAACATTTTTCGGAAATTAAAATTTTTGGGGAATTTTTTAGGGTTATATTTATAGAGTATGTAGAGTAGAATCTGAAAATCCACGTGGCAAAATTCAGATTTTCAAAATTTTTTGAGCTCGGAATTTGAAGCCACATGACGGATTTAGAGCTCAAAAATTTGAAAATTGAAT